GTGCCGACAGTCACCCTCCGGTCCTCTACCACCCCTTCGAAACCTACCGACCTAACTTAACCCCCTCCTTCTCTCCATTCCCTTGTGTTTCATTCCAAATTTTTCGCTCTCTTTTTACTGTCATTGCATGTCACTAACGACAAACCCCTCGATAAATACAACGACACGCGACTTATCTGCGTTTACACGTGCGTGCAACTTTACAAATCATCTTTTCAAGCTTTTTGTCTTTTTAAATTTCTCTTTATTTAAATTATATTATTATTGCTTTTGAATTATTTATATATATACTCTATACAAATTATTATTTATTCTTTTATTCTACAAATTACATACTATAAAACATGAAAACTAAATGTTTAATTGAACCAATTAAAATGTTTATTAAAGATTAATAAATTATAACAAATTCAGAAAGATGTCTGGTCTAGACTCGTCTCAGTGGTTAGTTAAAATAAACTATGATTCATTTTAAAAAAGACTGTCGTCAATAATATCTGTTCTCTCAACATAAACAACACAGATTTTATTTCAACTCAGTTCAAAGTATGCAGCAAAATATTTAATCAATAAATTTACATCACAGCTTAAAAAGTAACTAAAGTGTTAATTAAATGACTGGATATGTTAACTAACTTTTAGAAGGGACTGTATTTATTTTTCAATGATGATATATTTTTGTTGTTCAGGAAAGGTTAGGAGAAAAGAATTTTCTTATTTGTCTCTTGATGTTCTTAGAGAAGGATTCAAAGCATGTATTTCTAAATTGTGTTCAATTTTTCCCCGACTTATTTTTCTTGTCGCAAATTACATGAACAAACGTGATGTCATTGGATTTTAAGGAATTTGCGCAACTGAAGACGAACGGGTGCAAGTGAAACCTTGATGTTTACACGACGTTGCTACGCGATTTCTCAGATCAAACGCCAAGTTGATTGCGCGTGCCGACACACATCAGAAAAGGAAACAAGCGAGCAAGGTGTTGACGCTGGCTTTTCGATGCTGCCAACTTTGTTGGTCTACTTCTCTTTCATGAACATCTTTTAGACATGATGTTTATAGAACAAAAGAACGTCTTGTCTTGACTATAGTTTCTATTCTTCAACAAACTCAACAAGACGCTTCAATGCTCTTGTTGCAATTTTCTTTGAAGAACTACTTCATTCATATCATCATTGTCAGTAACGTTCTAGACAAAAAAGGAAAAAAAAAATTACATTCATCTATTTATTTATCAATGATTATATAGTGGCTTTCTTACTAAGTAATTAAGTCGCACTTAATCGGTCAAATGTTTTTATTTGATTATACTGCTGCACGTTAATAGAAGCTCAAGCATAACACTCACAAGCATCAGTAGCAGCAGTTTCCTTTCATTCTTATCGGATCGTCGGGAGCTCAAAGGCGCGCAAAAGCGGCACGTTTGAATATACCAACTGTGCGATATTTCAGTCAAGATCGGCGCGTAAATCGCGCGAAACCTGACTCTTAGTCACACGGTTTTGCATTTTATAGAGAAAAGTATTACTTGTAAGTAGTCAAGATAAAATTTGTTGTCATGTTTGATATATAAAATAAAAAACCAAGAATGCTAATTAACTATTGAAACTATACTCATTTCTATAAATTATGCTAATAGTTCAAGGATAATGCGATAAAAAAAAACGTTGGAATTTATTGTAAAATGCAAACTGTCTTCAAAATTATTTAACATCAATTTTAATCAATCAAATATTGATCATTGTTGGAATAAAAATTCTAGGAATGTTTACATAAATAATAACAATGATTTAAAAGATTTGTAAAAGAATAAATGATGCATTTGAAAGACTACCATATCGTGGAGACCAGCAATTTCATCATTAAACTCACGTCAGGTTCATGGCTTGGACGTCTTGTAGTGTACAATCATCAGTGCATAAAGACTTGCCATATTTTACTGAGTACTGAGGATACTTAACCACCATGATCGTGTAATAAATTGAATGAAGTACATGAAATAAGTAAGCTCATTTATACTTTCAAATTAGTCTTAATGCATCTTGGTTTGTATCAAACGACACAATCCATAAGTATCTATTAACGGTGTGAAAAGTATTGGCCCCTCATTTTTAAGAAGTAGAATTTATTGAGTTTTACTCAGAATAGATTTAAAGATAATAAAGTTTATTGTTTAGATAATAAAAAAAAAAATATAAAACACTTGACTTATCGACGAGATTTATAGGGTGATCACCACTAGGCTATCCTCTACCAAAAAATATTCAAGACAAAAATAAATACAGCAGGATAACTTAATGTTTATATAACAGATTGTAATTATATTTAATAATAAAAATTAGTCTTGATATTATCCAGGTGACGGTCAACTATCGATTGAGGTTAGAACTTGTGTGTTGTTGGAAAAGTTGTTTTGGAAGCTTGGAGAATTTGAATTTCGTTGACGAGAGGGAAAGTGGGCCGCATGTAGTCAGACACAACGATAGGAAGTAGTCAGTTCGATAGTAGTCAGAATGTTAGCTAGTAGTAAATTCAGTGATGCACAGACTCAAGTATCGTCGGTTTGGTACTTGGTGAAGTTTGCCACACTTCTAACCTAGAAAGTGGGTTAAACGAAGTTTCTTCCATGACCCATCGCTTCTTGGACAACGATAACAGGTAAAAAGACGGAAGAGGAAGTGAACAGCAGTAGTGGAGAGAATGAAAATAATAGAGAGTGGGAGTGATGGCTACATCTAGTGAACGCAGGCGCCAGTAGCTATGGCGACGATTCCTTCGGATTGGCCACAGCTTCCACTTTAATATCCCCGCTCTTCTCTTCAACGTCGTAATCCACCATCGATAAATCCCTCGCGCAGCGTCACTACCGGCCATCTACCCTTATCTCTTCATCCCTTCTCCACCCCTCACTCTCACTTCCCTCATCTTTCCTCCAATCTCATCCCCCCACACATTTTCATCATACTCTCTCACGTACTATGACCAAACCCTCCACCAACCTATGTCTTCTTCACCCATCTATTTTAGACCAAGAAAAATAACTTTATTTCACGAAAATCTTTATTAAAAAATTCCTCCAATATTTTGAAGATTAGGTAGCATTATTTCTTTCAGTTGAGAGAATTCTTATTATATTCATTTAATATCTAGAAAAAAATAAAATGTTAAAATATTTCTTTTCTTAACAAATCTTGCTTCCTATCGTCTGCAACTATTTCTCTCCAGCATCACTAGTAGTTTAAAGTTATCCCTTCAACGCTCCCACTCTTACAATTTTACCCCTCATGTGCCTACGCCTCTCACGTTGCCTCGGCAACTGAGCTTGGGGTTGGCTATCGTCGAGCTATTCGCCGCCCTCGCGTTTGCTGTTGTTACCTCAAGAGGAAAGATGTGAGTGCAAGTGAGAGGCTTAAATGACTGAAACAGATGATACAAAAGCAGTAAGACGAGAATACTCCCTACGATATTCCAGTTTAAGCCATGCGGATTAATGTATTTCGAATAATTCATGCGTCCTTCTCTCTGTGTATCGTGCTACTTGCACCAGCCAATTTATGTTTAACCTTCTCTAACTATCACGTATTACAGAAAATCTGTCCGGTAAAGAGGTCATTATGCAGCTTCACTTCAACTGCATCTATCCTCACTCCCTCTATGCTTTCACCTTCATTCAACGCAGCTTATTTCGCTCTCAGTCTTCATAAAGGTTTTTTTTTTTTTTTATGACGATGAAATATAAAACACTTCAAGATAAAAATAACAAGCTTTTTTTCTATTTAAGCAAATTTTTAATTTTACTTCAATATTTTTTTTTTTTTTTTGATTTTACAATTGAAGGTCTTTGAATGTTTAAGAAAAAATTGAATAGGTAATTACTTAAAATTACTTACAAAAAGGAATAAATATTTTATTCCAAATGAAAATGATTATTAAAAGATGTTTTAATTATTAAAAAAGATATTTAACACACTAATTAGTATGAATGATAATTTAATGTGGAATTAAGAATTAATTAAATAGGCCATTGAAGCTGACTAATGACAATTTTATATTTTATTTAAAATAAAAAGTATATAGAATAATGCGGATAGTGAGGATAAAATATCTAATATATTATGTGAAAACGAGTTTCCATATTAGGTAGTAATGTATATGACGATATGTGTGTATCTAGAGAAAGGTTAGCTTGTCAGACAACAAATTCTCACAGCGTGCTAAATACATTCATGCTAGCTTGGAGATCAGGTCGTTGAGTATCACTTTCATCCATGTGTTGCAAATAAATTTTCCGTAGATATTACCGCAAACATGCTTGGAGATTATAATTCATGTGATTAAACTTGAAATGGAACATAAAAGTAGACATCAAAATACACAATAGGGAATAATTAAAGAGAGTGAGAGAGAGAGAGAGGATAATAAATTAATAAAAAATATATTATGACAAGAGGCTACTTTCTCAACGAAATAATCATAATATACTAATCGATATCTATTCTCACTGGTGACACGTGAATATTTAAAGAGTCAAAGAGTAATCGATACTTCCGGAAGGTTCTAAAAAGTGAAACGGAAGTGGTATCTGGTGTGTAGGTGGTGGAAATTAAAGAGACAAATGACAAGAGATCTGGTGGAAATGGTTTCCTCTCAGCAGCAGCAGCAGTATCCTATATGATGATGGTCTGTCTCCTTCTAGTCTTCTATTTCATGTCGTCAATGTGTATCATCATATCAGACTATCTCTTTCCCTCTCCAGGATGCTTCGTTGCCTTATACTACCCACCGCTATTCCCCGGGACCCGCTAGCAGCCCATGCCAACTGAGGCTGGGAGCCGCTTTTGCTTTGTGCGCGTCGGGCGGTGGTACATCAAAGCCTCCTAGTTCCCGCTCCGGCCTTTGACGGTTGCGTCGCGGCCGCTCGCTCAGTCGTCGTTCGGTAGCGCGAGAGCCCAGCTCTGTACCACGTCTCATCGTCGTCTGTTAGTTTGTCCAGTGTCCAAAATAATTCACCAATCCATTTTCCGGATGCGTAACGAGGCCAGTTATCAATCGCCACGGCGATCTTCAAGCTTGACTTTGATTTCAACCAAGCCAATTCCTTTGAATTGGACTCCACACATTCTGCTATTATGTCACCTCGAAGTAGCAAGAGTTCGCGTGGTAAAGTGGTTAGAAAAGGGCGGAAAGTGCGTACGGTGGTGCCGCGACTAGGTGAACGGACGCCGAAGCAAGAGCGGGGACGAAGAAACGGGGAGACGATGATAACAGGCAAAAAGGCCGTCGCCGTACTTCCCGAGACAGGTCGATGTTCTGTACCGCGCATGCGTCAATCCCTGGATCCCAAGGCACTCAACAGCGCCCTGCTGCTACGTTGCATGGAGAAACGACGAAAAGCTCCTCGTACCACTGAAGCTAATGATGTTGACGATAAAGATACTTCTTCTAGTCTTGCTGATGATAGTCGCGATAATATTCATGATAAGAAAAAAAAAGTGGCTAGATGTATTGTAAGATCACGAAAAAAGTCACTCAGAAAATCCATGTCTGATCATAATTCAACTTCTCCTTCAGATAATCCTTCATCTAAATCTCCAACAGCTTCTGAATCATTAGATTCATCAATTGGGTCCAATATTAATACTTTTGACACTTGCTCACCAAATTGTCATCCGACAAATATGCATGCACCTCTTGAGACTCTAAAGAATGCCCTAGAAGGCTATGATCACAGTCGCATTTATTTAGCACATGTTTCTTTTTTAAATTGGCGAGATTTACCAGGAAGACGAGTTATCTCTGGTGAAAGAGTGTGGGTTGTAGGAGCAGCTGATCATGGTGGCAGACATAGAACAAGACTTTTAGTTGCTGGTCGTCATTGGAGACCAAGATGTTTGGCTAAAGTAAATATGGTAACTCAACCGGTTGTTTATGCTGGTGGTGGTAGTGGTTCTTTAACATCTGATCTTTTTCTCTGGTGGTTTCATCGAGAATTTGCAACCACAGCTATTGCCATGCATCCAGATGGTGCTATTTTAGTAGCTGAATCAGCGGATTATCTTCCACCAGAAATTGAATGCGTCACTGCCGACGGTTTAGTTCGTCTCTTTGTTGTTCCTAAAGACTGTCTTGAACCAAAAATTGTGGCCAATGAATTAAGAATACGTTTAGCAGCAGGATTACTCACGAGTATACGTTTAAATTTTTATGATAAATCTAAAAATAATTTAGCTGAAGGAATTAAAAGATTTACATTGAAAGAAGCTTTTGCGGAGCTTCATAGAGCTTGGTTAGGTATACGTTCAGAGACATTTGCTAGAAGTTGGATATTATTAAATGAACGAACAGATGCACAATCACCACCACCTGGTCCAAGACTCTCATCAAGACCTCACCGAGATTCAGATCATACAGAAGATAGATTGATGATTGCAGAACTACGTGGCTTGGCTCGTGAAGCTGGTCTTGAGGTTGGTGACTCTGATCTAGAAAAGTGGATTCTTGATGAAGAGAGTGAGCTTGCTAAACAAGTTAAAAAAAGTGAACTGGAAGAAGAATCAAGTGTCAGAGAGAATGAAGAGTATAAAGATGAAAAAGAAGATGAAGGAGAAGGAGAAGAAGAAGAGGATGATAAAAATAAGGAAGAAGATGTAACTCCTAATGCTGAAGAAACTGTCCAGTTGCTGTCTCGTGTTCTTCTTTGGATGGAAAGAGAACCACTCGACCCAGGTCTTTTACTCGCGGTCAGATCAATGCGAGACACTGCTGCCGTTATGGTAAGCAAGATGTGAAGAGGCAAAGGGAGTTTGTTATATCTTGCCTCTTGTCATCGATTTACTCAGACTTGTGATTCTCTAGCTTCTCGCTTTCAGTTTAAATTGAGCTAATTTGGCACTCAGTCTAAAGGGTGCCAACGTCTCGAATAAGAGGAGATACTCTACCAGCTGCGATTGGCGGAACACGACTCTGCATTAGTATGTAAGAGAATGACTGAACCGCCAGCGATACTTAAGCACCATCAAGTAGGCCCGAAAGCGCACCCATACTTTCGTAAATTGATCCTTCGCGACCCTTATATCTCTACCAGTCTTTCTCAGTATACAAAATGCTCACATTTCAGCTTGATAAAACACTTGAATAATTATCTATTTATCAATTAAAATAATCTTTTTCTTTGTTTTAGGCAAGTAAGATGGGACTGGCTGGCACACATCCAAGTGGCTTACCTTTCTTCTGTGGGAATGGTGATCACTTGACACAACCACCACCAGCACACATGGGAATACCGCCTTATGGAGCACTGGACGCGGGTAAGGCGGCTGCGGCTGCCGGTGAGTACTGGACACCACCCCAACATGGCTCATCATCCTCTCATCCTGCTCACTGGAAACGACTTCTTGCTGCAGCAGCCTCCACAGGTCAGCCACGCTTCCAACCGCCCAAATTTGGTCATTTTCGTATCACAATTATTATTTTCAAAATTATTACTTCAATTGTACACTGAGAAAAAATCTTCTTGCAATGAAAAAAGTATTCAAGTTGAAAAAAATATTTCTTTCATGTACTCACTCATTACATCTAATAATAAATAACATTGATTTAAAATTATTAAATTCTAATAAAAAAAAACAAAAGGTTTAAAAGAAAGTGAAATATTTTTTTTCATTTGAATAATTTTCATTATCTATTATAATATTGTTTTTTCTCTGTGTATATCACATTTTCATGTCTTCTAAATTTAATATTTACTATAAAAAATCATTGGGTGGTGGTGGCTGAGGTGGAGGTTGTATCAACTCTTTCTTAATCGTCGATTTAAATTCATGTGAATACGTAAGAGAACTTGAATAAGGATTATTCAATTGAATCCTTTAGTCGTCAAGATACTCTTGTGATTCAATGTAAATCAACGATAACATCTCTTCTTGACACAAGTCAAAGAAAATATCAAAAGCGTTGGAAATTTTGTTTTATCCGTTTGTCTATCTCTTTTACTCCAGTAAAAGCATCCAAGTGCTCGTAAATATTGATATTTTTGATGGATCCTAATTGAAGAAATATTCCTTATTGAGTCAAGTAGGTAGGATGACGTCTAGTAAAAGAAGGGGGATATTTCAAGAGATGAAAATATAAAAGAGACTTTACCAGAGACAGGGAAGAGAATACTTGCCAACTGGCCTCAAGTACAAGAATAAGAGAACTACTCACCATTAGGCTAATCAGTCATCCATACATTTTTTCTAGCTCCAGGTCAAGAAGTTTACTTTTTTCTCTACATCGTTTGTCTCTTCTCTCTTTTTTGTTCATTAATATTCAATTATTAATATTCATCAGCAATTTATTGATATTGATTGAATTATTTTAATGAACACTCTTTTGATAGTACTTTATTTTAATTGAAAAGTAACTAATTGATGAATATGTCCTTTTATCGATTTACATTTATTCTACATCAGAGTTCATTTTATTTTCAATAATTATATTCCATTTTATTATTTACATACTCAGTAGCTCAACAAAAATATCATTCTACCACATTCTCATATAATACATCAATAGTCTTTGCTTCATCATCATGATGACTCTGAATGACTTGGAACCTTGATGATAAAGTTGATGGACTACCAAGCTAAGATATTCAATAGTTAGCTTTCTTTAATTTATTATTTATTTAAGTTGAAATAAAATTAAAGAAGTCAGTGAACAAATTAATTTTAATTATAAAGTTAGACCAGAAGAGAAGTTTCATTGTTAGCCAAGATCACCAGTGCTCATTATTGAAGATAAAAATGATAGAACTAGTGTTGGCATGATATTAAAGTGATAATGAGAGTATTTGAAACTTTTAAATCTCATTTGACGTGAGAGTAGCAAGGATACAGATAAAAGTACTTGAGTTTCTTTGATCATAGTGTATTTAGGTCATGAGTAATAGATATAAATGATGTAGGAAATAAAATAGAAACTCTAAAGTTTGGACCACGCACAAGAATATTACGCATGATGGTTAGTCTTAATTTGAAAGGTTTCTGAATGATGGTATATGCATGTGTAAATAAAAAAAACATCATCAACTCTTATATACTATTCTCCTAGTACAATATGTAGATGGGGTTGATAACGTTTATGCAAAGCTACGAGTTCGTATGCCGACTCAGTTCTTTGTCTTGCAAACAAGCAGAAACGAAACTCCCCTTACCAACCCTCCTCTCTCTCTCTCTCTCTCTCTCTCTCTCTCTCTCTCTCTCTCTCTAGCATTGACTATTTCTTGACGTTAGAATTTCGTGATCCTTCTCACATTTCCTCCAGCATTTTGCTTTCTCAAATCTCTCCAGCACCTTTTTCCATCGTCGAGATTTTTTTTTTATCATACACAAGCAACTGAAAAATCTTCTAATTAGCCACCACTTTTCAATCTCACCCGTTTATTCCAGACCACCACGAGTGCTTACATTGATTCCATTAATTTCTGCATCCTTCACATCTTCATCCCTCTCTCCATCGTGTCTCATTCTCCAACAATATGCAGAGCTTTACACACTAAACCTGTAAAAACCAGTAAAGAAAAAAATTAAATCGTGAATCCGGGTGCGGATAATTGATGCGAGAGAAAAAAAAACATTTCAATTTTACACGACTTGTCTTTGTCCAATTCGATGTGGATTTCTATTGAGAATCCTTTTCCTCATGCTTGGCGTCATTTTTCCGAGAGGTTCAGTGGTCGTATAGGAATACATTGAATCGGGGAGTTGCCTCGTGGCACTCCTTGTACCGCACAATTACAGGGCAACCAGTTCCACTTGGCTAGGTCGACTAAATAGCATGCCGAATGCAAATAACGAGCAAGACCATTTACTTATACACATATATATGTATACCAATGTCTCAGGTAAAGGCGTGTCTATGTTTTACAACAACGAGGCTCAAATTCTCGCGAGAAACTCTACATTTAACTTTATTTCCAATGACTATTCAGCACTTTACCATATCCGCAATTTTCCTGGGGTTTACTAAATTAATTAGAATAATGTCTTTTAGTTCCAATCAGATCCTTTTCATCCGGTATTAGTTAATGTAGTGTAATGATACAGCGCCCTCTGGAAGTTAATTGAAATAAGCTATAATTTCTTAACAGGTAATAAATGTTCTTAATTATTAAATAATATAATATTGTTAATACAATGCATATTTAATTGTAAATTATATAGTTTTCCTAATATAAAATGACATAAAATCGGAATAAGGTTAGAATTTAGTTCCATTTCATGCATATTTATTATTAACAAAAGAAATATATAAGACAAAAGGTTAGGTTATGAAAGAATCATTATTGAAATATGATTAAATTATATATTTACGGACAATGACATAACCTAGAATTTTTCTTACGAGTTTTTAACCACTTTTTTGACAATTGTTGTTGACACTAGTGTACATAACCTCTGAAGAATTGATAAATATAATAGTTCTGGTTGATATAAGGTTACACAGCAACTCCAAGTGCATTCTTGTTACACATTTAAACGTGTTAAATACGATGCCACCTATTTGATTAATACTTATTTACTTTTAATACATTTCTAAGTGTTTAAAAAGTGACTAGAATATAAATCAACTGGATGACGTCATATTAAACACGTTTAAATGTGTAACTAGAATGTACTTGAATTAGCAGTGTAGGTGGCGTTGTGATCGCCGCTTCATTAATTGTCAAAAAAATATTTTTTTACAATAAAAATGAATTTTAATAATTAATCAATCATAGTGTGAGACAATACCTGAGAATTTTTCAATTAACCTTTAGAGGGCGCTGTATGTAGACTACTAAATAATCAATTTAGACCAACATCATCATAAAGTGGTTTCAATAATAGTCTTGAATAATCAGATAACGAATCAATAATAATTATTTTAGTTAATTCGTTGATGATTTACAAGTTTCATGAACAGGTTTGAAGTAGATATAAAAAGAGGCGCGTGCAACTTAACATACACACAACGTCTAATTGCGCAAGCATATCCTTTTACTTTACTTTTTTCATCTTGTGCATAAAAGCTTGTTCGTCATCGTATCAGTGGCTGGTTTATGCTCAGCGGGATTCATTATCGCCATCGCGGGGCGTCATAGCCACGTGTCCAACTTGTTTCTGCACCAATGAGTTAAACAACCGCGTGAACTAATGCAATTACCGTGTATCAATATACAAATATATTAGATATTGATATGAAATAGGTTGGTATCAGTGATTCAAGAAATTCTTATCACTATTTGAGCCGTGTGAAAATGAAACTTTGACATGTCTGGTTACGCTAATTTCTTGCTATTTATTCGCAAATTATTTCTCGTGGTCATAAAGCTTTAGAAGCTGTTGTGACTTCAGTGTGTCGTCGGGTTCCGCTTGGTTAAATCGATAAAGCGTCGAGTTAATGCAATTATCGCGTACGTCCGATAGATATCCACGAGATCGCGTATCGTGTGTGCAAATCAAGCTTTACAACTGGGATTTATGTACTGACTGAGAATGGCTAATGGCGTATACACTAAAGGGAGATAGACGAAGATACAGTTAGTGTATCAGGACACGCCTAAAAGACTGCAGTTCTGATTAATGAATATCAAATAAAGCCTTTTATCTAGACAATTATTGGGTCATTTAAGTGGTAAACTACTTTACACCTTTGATGATGGTGATGATGATGATGGAGAATAAGAAAGAGGTTGAAGAGAAAAGATGGTGCAGTCGAATGATGACGGATATCCGGCAAAAGACCTCGACCTCTTCCACATGGAAGCGCTCGATTAGACTCGTCTAACTCACGTTCTGTCTGAAGAATTTCCCGGACCACCATTAATGCTTCCTCCGGTACGAGTTAACGACGAGATCTAATAAAACCAAGTGAAACCGTGGGTTCAAGTAAAAGGATCCTAGGGGCTGAAAAAGAGATGAGAGATGCTTAAAACCATGGATTCTCGATCGTTCGATTCTCTAGTTGCTCGGGGAATAAAAGAGTAATTTTCCGGGTGGTGAAACGCCGATAATGGGGTTGCAGACTGCCGAGTCGACTGGAAAGTGATTAAGCACACATGACGGAGCCTGCGGACTTGCCAGGATATTACTAACTCGCCCCACCTGATGGTATAGAGGTTTCGTCTCACCCTCATCTTCTTCAATATACTCCTTGTTCACTTGCAGTCTTTATTTTTATCTTTTTTATTACCCTTTTCTTTTCAAAATCTTTCATCACCATTTGTTGTTTGTCACTGAAATCCAGGGTATTGGTATTAGAATTGACCTTAGAGTGGCCAGATTGCGGGAAATACTCGTTTTGCCTCAGGCACGAGGGTGAAACATGTCTAGAAATTCATTTTAAAAATTTTTCTTTATTCTCTGAGTCTGCCAATAACTCCCTAATGGTCGTTAGGTCTTTACGAAGCCAATTTAGCTGACGTGGCAAAGGCACGTTTTACTCCAATATCCCTAAAATATGACCCCTTTGATATGTAATACGTAATCCAGTACGTATGTCACGCTATCAGGCTGAGAATATTTTGACTTGCTTTACTATATTTTACTATCAATTTTGAAATTCGATAAATCCGTTTTCATATCAAAGGATACACTTTTCTGAGTACACTGTTTAGGTATTAATAGTTAACATTGTTTATTCACAGTTATACATGGTATCAATATAGAATAGAAGATAGATCAAGTTGAAAGAGAGTTATGTGTGGTCAGAGAGAAAATTTTTGTATATATACATTGATGTTTATTCAACAAACCGAGCGTTAACCCTCATCTATATGATCAAATATATAGTAATCTCCATTTGATTCATCAATTTTCCTTTGATGTCTCCATAATATTTACATTAGACTATTCCAATTTTCAAATATCTCCTTGAAAAACTCCAATCAAAATTTCATCATGGAATATTATTTTTATTTGACTTTATTTTCTCTTTGCTACAGGTCTTACGAGAGCACCAATGTATCCATTTTCTACAAGTAATTATCCTTATCCAATGTTGAGTCCAGAAATGACGCAAGTTGCTGCATCGTGGTAAGTTAACATTAATAATTTAATAAATAATATCAGGTTGTCTAAATCTGCCTCTACATGCAATAAGTTTTAGTTCATTAATTTAAATAAGAGCCTTATTTCCAATTCATAATCAATTCTCAGTTGATTGAAAATCAAAGTATTTTACATCACAAATAAATTAATAAAATTAATCATCACCAATCTTATTATTATCATTTAACTGCTTATATTTATTGATGGAATAATTTACTATGTACTCTGCATCATGAATAATTTCGTTCTTGATTATAACATTCTTAAATGAAAGAAAAATACTGCTACAACATGGCATAACATGAATCGAAGCAAGAATGGATCCAGAATGATGGCAGGATCATGACACTCAATGCTAAAGTCACAATATTCTAACATTTTTATTGAAGATGATTGAGCAGTTGAATCAAAAACAGTCAGAAAAAAAACTGTAGATCCATAATTGGATGATATATTAATAATTTTAAAAATAAATGGGATAAAACAACAGGTTGAAAGAAGTTGATAATGAAATCAGTGAAGAAAAGTATTCTTAAGTGGTCAGTCATTTTGTTTGGTCATCCTCTCAGTTCCAGTCTATTAGTTCGAGTATACTCTCTCCACTAGATTTATTTAGAAACCTCCAAGTCCCTCCTTGTTATTTGCTTTCTGCTCGAACCACCCCAAATTGAGATTTTCCACGGATGATTAGTCCTCTGTACTTCAATTAGGAAACACCCTTACCTTTTTTTTTTCTTCCTTTCAATACCAAAAAGGGAATCCTCTACCTTGTATACATTGTATCCAACATGAAAGTTAGGAATATTTAAATAATCTAAAACAAAAAAAGGAATAAAATTAATGATAATAATAATTATTTCAGGCATACACCAAGCATGTATCCTATTTCACCAGCAAGTGCAGGATTCAGGAGTCCATATCCCACGAGTTTACCTATCACAAGCTCGAGTTTACCCAGGTATGTAATCCATACATGACAAACTAATTAAATGAAATGAAATGTATACAAAATTTGGAGTAACATTTTAAAATAATAAGAAAAAACTTAAACTTAGTGAATTAATGAATAAATATGATTAATTTATGTTAAATACTCACTTTTAGTGATCTCTATCGGTTTTCACCGACGGGATTGATGCCTCCTCATCCGGGACTAAGTCCGCACGCACACGCGTTAGCATCCCACGCGATTATTTCATCGGCGCCAAAAGCAGATCATTCTACCTTGGATCACAATCACAGGTAAGCATTAAAATACAGAAAAACAAACTCAAGATGTATATCTCTTTCAACTGAGTACACTTCTCCGCCCCGGAAGAACACATTTACATAAATTAAAGACATGGAAAAAAGAAATCACATGGTATCATCAAGCTCATTTGATTCACGGTACAATTGGCTCCCTCGCCAATTAGTAGACTCAAGCTCTTGAGACCTAGATGAATTCCAGTGATAAATCATAAAATACAAGATTCATAGACATCAACCGATAAATCAATCCTTGGCGAAAAAAAAGGAGATTATATGTTGGTTGAAAAGAAAATATAATGATTGAGAAAAAAATGATTATTAGCTGAGGATTTAATCTCTGTCGATAAAAATAGATGAAGTGATATTAAAAAGCCAGCCCTTTTAGCAAATGATAAGGAAGTATTTGAAGAGATGAATGATAGTTTGAAAGACTGCCGCAGGGGGTAGCACATCCTGAGCACAGCAGAAAACTAACCCCCTAACTCTTGAATTCACTGAAAATACTTATCGAATGGCAGCTGCAGTTGAATCTCAGCGTCTGCGCTCTCTTTTCTATGCTATGTATTGATCATTACCCTCTTAACAGATTTATAATTTGTACTAGTGCTTAATTTAAATTATTGGTTTGTAACAAATCCCCTGATACACATGAGCGACGCCTGGTATTCATCGTTGAGATACGACAATTGTTAATGTTTATTTCAACTATACGATAATGACACATCCGGAAATTACGACTTCGCCATTATTATGATTGTCGATTCGGAAAGAGGGGTAGAAAGAGCCTGAAGGCTTCGTATTACAATGTAGTTGCATCTATAACGTCAAGTAGTAAAGTTCGTGGAAGAGTTCGCGCGTGCTCATGGCCTAAATCAAACCTTGATAGCTATCAACAGCTATCTGACATGTTGGTTATCATCATCATCATCATCAACTCCATAATGATTTAATAATCAAACATCAATTGCATCTCACCAATGATTGTATTTAATTAAAATAAGTCATACCAACAATGTGATGTTTGTTGCTTGCAAATCGTCAATTGTATCAAAGAGAAAAGGATTGCTACTCTTGATGAGACTGGTGAAGTAATGGATAAATATGGTATGGAGAAGTGTCTTGTAGAAGAGGAACAAAGAAACAAGTCTGTGATTTTATTCAGTGCCAGCCCTGACATTAGCGACACCAGCGCCATACAGCCCGCCAAAAAAATGCGATTTTCACCCCCCACGAGAATTATACATTGGTAGGGCACTGCGAGATGTAGTTGTAGAGCCATGAATTGCAATGATGGGCCGTGCACCCGCCACCCCCACCTCGGATAATCAATCGTAACACCGCTGGGTTATTCGTGCTACGGCGACTCACAAAAGACTCGGACAACTATCATCTATCTCAAGCAATCTTTTATTCTAAATAGTATCATAACCATCAACATTACTCATACAGTATTTATTTCTCATGTGTTGGGTATTATTTTAAAATATTATATATGGCGGTGGAGCCATTAAAATTGGTGAAAGAGGTGGGATAGTAAAGATGAAAGAACGCCAAATGGAATGTAGTAGCAATTTGTTGCCAGGGATGAATGTCATATAAATTTACTGATAATTGAGCTTATTTTTTTCTACATTCTATTGTGATATATATATTTATGATTTAAGATTATCAATGACAAATATTTTCAAATCATCAAAAAAATGATATGTAATTGTGTAATATTTATTGCTAAATTGCCAAATAATTAGTCTGTGATTTTTTTTATATCTATTTTTATTCCTAGTCTTTGATAGAAAGTGAGAGATTGTAAAGAGAAAAGAAATAAGCAGTGATATCAACATAGATGGTTTATAAATTGATAAAGTGACATTTGTAAAAATCTATTGCCACTGGTGATTATTTAAAGTGGCAATGGAGTCCGAGTATATGGAGCCATTGAATTTGGTGATAAAAAAAGATAATGATAGTGATAATAATAATGGTAGTGATTCTTCAATAGCTGATGATCTATCAACATCAAAGAAAGAAGAAGAAGATAAAGTGGAATTACAAGTGCCAGACAATATGGCCATTTTGCAAGATTCTAGTAAATCAAGTGATAATGGCTTACCAATGACAGATCAGAAAATACTCACTGCTTTGCATATGAGTAATTTAATGCAAATATCTAACAATGTTAATCTTCCAAGAGGTGTTAGTCCACCACCACCCTATGGTACTCAGTATTATTTTATGCAACTACTTGCCATGGTGGAAGCTCAACAACTCATGTGTCAACAAATGAACTGGTCACTTCCTCAACACTTTATTCGAAATCCTCTAAGATTACCTCAGCCATACTTTGATGGACCAACAGCTAATCTAACTGAACAATTGAGCAATTCGCAAAATCCCTCACCCGTTTACTCTTTACCTAATGCTAAACACGAACCAGTTAATCATGAAATAAAACAATCACACTCTAAACGGTATTTTAAGTTTAACAACATCAATAAAACAATTATCATCCAAATGACATTTCAACACATTTATTAATTCATGTTTTGTTTCATCTTTCAGGTCTTCAATAGATCAAAAAAATTCATCTCTCACGACAGACAATTCAAAAGCACAAGATACAGGACAACAAAATAATCAAGGTAATTAAATGATGTTAATGTTTATTCAGTCATTGACTGTTTTTATATTTCAATATTTATGCAAATATAATTATTGTTGTTTTTTTTTGTCATAGATAAAAAGAAACCCCACATAAAGAAACCCTTAAATGCTTTTATGCTGTATATGAAAGAAATGAGAGCGAAAGTGGTGGCAGAGTGTACCTTAAAAGAAAGTGCTGCAATCAACCAAATTTTAGGAAGGCGGGTGAGTACTTTAATTTAATTTTTTCATTTTCACTTCTTTTGCTATTTTATATATAAATATTATCATTGTATTAATGATAATAAGTACAGTTTATTTATAATAGTAATAATAAAAATTGTTTTTCGCATCATCTATTAACAGTTTTAATTAATATATTAATCAAAGCTAATTAAAAACAATTAAAACTAACAATAAATTATATTTTATTCAATTAAATATAATTAGTGCATAAAATATATAAAATGATACTCGATGCGAAAATCATATCACTAAAGTCAAGATTTTGGATCATTGAATATTAATATTAAATTTTATTAATTATTTATCATTGTTTAAATTAATTTAATCATATTGGAAATGAAGTTTTTTATTTGAAAAATAATTAAACATTACATTTCACTTAAAATTAATTTGTTGAATAATTCATTTTTAAAATCCATGGTATGCATTAATAAATAACAGCTTTTCAAACATAAAATGCATTAAAAATTAAAACTTTAATGGAACAGATTTACTTTGATGGAAATAAAATATAACGTTAAAATTTTTTTTAAAAATTATTATATTAACAAAATCTTGGCATTAATAATTAATAATATAATATGCATGATTTTACTGCTTATTAAAGAATAAAAATGTACGCTTTACTCAATTATTAACAAAATTTTTGATTGGCAAATAAAAATGATTGAAAAAAAATAATTAGTACGAATAAAGCATTGTAGGTGGGATCTAAGGAATTATATCGTAAAGGATATGTATTATTAAATAAATTAAATTAAATAAGAAAGAGGTCTCCCACGTGACATGTTTGGGTGGGCGGGAGTCGTTTTGGTCTAGACTTAGGGTACTCTCTCGATTGTCTCTAATAAATACTAGAACGAATTTAACAAAAAAAAAAAAGAATGTATTTAAAAAAAAATGAGAGCACAGTGCACGTGAATTTTTGAGACTTTGAATGACCGTTTTGGGGCATATATGACACGCAGTGGCATTCGCTAAGCCGGGAGGAGCAGGCGCGGTATTATGAGGCGGCCAGGCAGGAGCGCCATCTCCATCAACAACGCTACCCCGGCTGGAGTGCCAGGGATAACTACGGATACGGCAGCAAGAAGAAGAAGAGGAAGAAAGAGCGGTCCGCAGATCCCACCGGAGGTACCACTTTCCAGTGCTAGAACAGCAGGCCCTTTATTACTCAAATATAATCATTAATTAATAATTCATAGTAACCTTAATGGTTAATTGAAACGATCAAAGTCTCTGTGCGTTTCTTTTTTTGTTTTTATCATTTTACTTATTTATTTTTTCATTTGTTTATCATTACATTTTTTTGAAATTTTTTTTTTTATTTATTTCCTGTATTCTCTTTGATGAGCGGATTATTAATTGAATTGGATTGGATTGTCTGTGGGAATTGTGGAATGTGGCACCAGAAAATAGAACCCGCGTATGCAATTATAGTCTGGCCAACTCCCTAAAGCGGTATTCGTGCTAAAAATGAAAAAAAAAGAAATTAAATAATTATCATCATCATCATAATAATAAGTTTATTAGAGTATAAATTTTTATTGTTTATAGAATGTCTGGTAGTTGAGAAAAATAAAATTTTCATTATCAGTAAAGAAAATAGTACTTTTCGCACCTAGGGAGTAAAGTAAAATATTTTTAATAAAATCTCGTAAATTAAAGTATTTTACATAGAAGTATTTTTTTTTGTCATATTGTCACAAAAGATTAGATTTTATGCTCAGTTCAGAATTTAATAAAGTAACTAGTTTTGCCTGGTGGAGAAAAACAAATTTTTTCATTCTATATGAGGCAAAAAAATGGAACTTTATTAACTTCTAAACTGAGAATATAACCTTTCTTTATGTTGGAGTATGCCAAAAACTTGATTCTATTTAATTTTCAATAATAAATTTTATTATCAGACACTCTATACATAAAATAAAAAATAATAATTGGTTAAAATTAGTAGTGCAACCGAGGGGGGCAACCTAGGCTGTTCTTCTAGCACTTTAAACGGAAAGTAGGGACCCCAATGTTAATAGAAAAAAAAAAAAAGCTTTTTTAAAAATTTTTTAATTTATATAAAAAAAAATAGAATAAAATAATTTCTAGATGACCTAATAACTTGAGTAATGGCAACACAGGGTGGCGGCAGTAGCATATAGTGAAATTATTCTTGATTATCTATTGTTTAGCCACAATTCTGTGCAATTACAAAAGTGTTTGGTTCTCTCTCGGTAGTGGCACGCGCTAGGGCGAGAGGAACAGGCCAAGTATTATGAATTGGCGCGACGTGAGAGACAGTTGCACATGCAGCTGTACCCTGACTGGTCTTCCCGCGCAAATACCAACCGAACTAAGAAGAGGAAGCGCAAACAAGACACAAACAGTGATCCTGGAGGTACCCACATGCCTCACTCCACACATTCTTACAAATTACCCTTAACCCCCCAACCCCCCTTTCTCTACCCCCTTCAATCAACCAACCCTTTAAATCAACCTCCCCCCCCATATATCAATAATATATTGTTATACATTATATACTATTATTATTACATCTATTGCTACACTACATTATTACATTATTATGTTGCATGTTTTCCCCTTCTCGGGGGCTCTCGGTCAAAGTTTATTATTACACACCATACGTACATACATATATGTATTTTATTATATCGTATGATATATATCTCGTGTGAGGGCGTGTTTGCATGTGCATATGTAGGCACGCGCACGCACGTTATTCACATTTATATATTAATTATATATACATATATTTATACATATACATATATTAATTACGTATATACAACTTTGGGGACGCTGGCCATCTTGCATTTTACAGGGACCTTAATTATCCGCAATCAGACAATCCTACAGCGTTTAATTTCTCTCAGTCTCTTTTTATCTCCTGTTGAATTTACATTTATACATTTTTGATCCTTTGATCGTTTCAAATATTGACCCAATCCACCCTTTTTTATTTTTATTTTTTTTTTTATTTTGTTCTTAAAATTATTCATTTGTTTGTTTGATAATTAATTATATGTTTAATATTATTTTTAAAAGAATTTTTTTTTTTTACTATTTAAATTATTATTTTTTTTTTGTCTCCTTTTCAAATACATATTCGAATTCCTAATAAATTTTCGTTCACTGTACCTTTATACGAGCTTACATCCAATTTAATGTGTCCAAAGCTTACTCTAATATCGCGACAAATAGTAGTTTTATATACATTTATTATTCAATTAATTTAAATACATTGCATGCAATTTGCTTGTTAAAAAAAAATTCATATATATATATATATATATAAATATATTTCAATAAAATCCCAATGTATTTTATGATTAAAACCTTTACAAATGATAATAATTAGTATTTGACAATAATTAGACCTAATTAATATATTTAATTAATTTCACAATTTCAGAATTGATAAAATTAAACTGTAAATTATTAAATAATTATCCTTTGTGAAGGTATTAATTTTATTATTTCCAATCAAATATTGTAGAAATACGCATGATTTCAAGTCATTCAATAAAATATTATTTATTTGATCTCTGAATTACAAGCTTATTATTTGCTTTATTCAGTTTTATTTCATTTAATATTCATTATATTGCTCAAGCAAATTCTCCACATTTTTTCAATCAATATTCTTCTTTTCATGCAGAGAACGAAAATTTTTTCAAATTCAAATATTACAAAACTTCAAATCAAATTCATTCCATAGGCATTATTATTTTATGAAACAATATACTTATGATTTTTAATGTTTCTAGGTAATAACATGAAAAAATGTCGTGCGAGGTATGGATTAGATCAACAAAGTCAATGGTGTAAGCCATGCAGGTATGTATTATTTCAATCATTCCAAATGTTTATTATTTTAAATAATAATTCATTTCCAATTAACTAATTTTAAACACCTTCATTTTGAATTAATTAAAAAAAAAAGATTTTTTTTCAAAAAAAAAATATGTCCACGTAGTTCCACGAAATAATTATTTAAAAATAAAAATTTTTTTTAAATACTTAAGCTATTTAGACAATTAATAATAATAATCTATGTGTAGTTAATAATAATTATTTATTAACTAACTTATCATGGTGAATATATAATCAAATGTCATGTCATTCATTGTTCCATCTTTAAACTCCGTTTCGTCATCCACATGTTACCGTGGAATTATTTTTATTATTAAAAAACAAATAATGTGGAACCACGTATGATAGGTTTACATTAAATTGTTGGAAGAAAAAATTGTGATTTTTAGAAAGAAAAAAAAATAGACTGGTGCGACACTCGATGATATTTTCTGATGACAAAAGTGCAAATACGTTGCACCAAAAACTCACTAAAGTGTGAATTTTCAGAAAATGTGTCTTCCAAACCTCGAGAAATAATTTATAATGAATTCTAGAACATTTTATTGCAATATAGAAAATGATACTGCTTGTAAATATCTTTCTCTAGAACCACACTGTAGTTGATAATACAATAAATCCATGAATTTATCTATTTAGCGCCATTAACTATGATTAATATTGTATTGCATTAGTTTACGCCCGTAACACCCCCAACTTCCAACTGGGTTTAACAATGTCATTAAGCTCATTAAAGGGGCGAAATAAATCAATCCCATCTTCAATTCGATCTCAAATAATTCATTCTATTTTACTTATTTATTTATTTTCATTTTTTTTTTCTTGATCTCTGTTTTAAGGTGCGACCTTAGAGGTCAACACTACTAACTTCCCAGTGGAAAGTAACTTAACTACACTCAAAAAAAAAATTCACTATGAACAAGTGATATTTATTTATTTAAGGTGGGGTAAAGTGTGACACCAAGAAAAAACATAAATTAACTAATATGTTAAAAAATTTTAGTAATTTTAGATGCATTAATAGATTGAAAAATTGATAATTAAAAAGTGCAATACGCATTTTTAAACTTAATTTAACAAATTAGTCCATTTTTTTTTAGCATTTCATTTTACCCAATTTAATTTGCTTCATTTTAATTTTTTTATTCTGTGCAAATAAAACTGGATCAATTTTGCTTAAAATCTAATCAGGTTTAAGTTACATAATTTAACATTTAATGAAACTGTTTCCATGTCAATGTCATCATTTGTTCTCGAGATACACAAGACGAAAATTGATAACAGACATAAACCACTGTCTAAAAATTTGGAAGCATCTCTTTAAATCTAAATATCTATGAAATCAAAAAAACAATTTTAAACACATTCAGTATGACAGGTATTTCCAAACTTTTGAATGGTGAAGTACATACGTACGTACATATGTACACACGGACATCCTCTTAACCCATTAACTCCCAAGGGTAAAAATAAAAGAATTAATTACAAATACATTCAAAAAGAAATATTAATTATTCTGTTTATATATCACAGATTTATTTTGTTTTTCTTCAACACTAGAAAAATCAAAACTGAAATGTTACATTTTCGCAACGATGAGTTAAAAACTACATTATTCAACTCTAGAGATCTTGAAACCATGACAATAACTTCCCACTGGCAAGTGAATAATAACAAAATTACCAAACACTAGACGACCATTTAAATACTAAAGACATAAACATATAAATAAATCCAATAATTTTTCCAAGTGCAGAAAAATAAATTTTGGGAGACATATTTTCTGAAGATGAATAAGCAAAGAATAATAAAGCAAAAAAAAAAAAGAAATGTCTAGTCTAAAAAAAGATGCGTGTGGGTGACGAGGTACTAGTGTTGTGGGGTTGTAAGGTGGGATTAATAAAGACGATGTATATTTGCGAGCGCCCCTTTAATGGCTGGTGGTTGGTTTTGGCAGCCCAGTGGAGCATGGAGCGGGGATGGGCATCCACGCGAGCATAATCCATCACGGTGTGGGAAATAGCGCGGGGACCGGGGTCGGGGCTGGAGGTGGTGGAGGAACGGTTGGGGCTGCAAGTGCCCCACCAAATACTAACACTGCCTCCTCGCCTCAGCAAGAACCCACTTATGTTAATCTCTAGTCAAGCCTATCGCCTCCCTTCTACTGCAACACTTCTTCTTAAACAGTGGTCAGTCCCGACTTAAACCAACGGGCTCGCTAGCTCTCACTCGTGCCATCGCATTTAAATTGGCTTCGATAGCAATCGAAGACCATGAAGGAGAAGAAGAAGAAGAATTATGATACTTTTTTTTTATTTTGTTTACTATGGACAATTGTATTGTATCAAACAAGTCTGTAAGAATGATGGCATGCAGTGAGCAGCCAAGCAATGCTCCGATGCTCGCATTGTTTCTCATTGTTGTGGCTCTTTACAGCTTATTATTGTTGTTATCATTTATCATCCTCGTTTGGTTGGACGTTTTTTTTACTCAATGTTGCCCTTAGCATGGCTCAACTATGTAATATAAATATACATTTATTTATCTATCTATTTATATATATTTATATATATATATATTTAATACTTAATATTTTATTTAATATTTATATAAAATAAATAACAAATTTTTTTTCGGTTTCAATTACTACGTTTAATAGATTTTATTATTCTAATTTTTTGGCATGGCAGTTCATACAATTTTACCAATGATGTTGTGGTGTACTATCAATTTTTATGTGTATTTTAGTGGCTACATATTATTATTATTATATATATTATTTAAATTAAATTTAATAAAAATATTGACACGACGAGCGCGAGTCTTAACTCATTAATATCACTTATATTATCAAATAAAGTCTTTTTTTCTATCAAGATGCAATAATTTTATGTGAATTTATTGCTAATCGTTATCTAACTATCTACTCTAAGCTCTGTTACTGATAATCTGATCAGAATTACACTCAGCTAAGAGATGAATAATGAGAGCCAATGGCAGAGCGGTAAATGTCTCGACTGCAGTCCTGCTAATTAAATTGGTGGGTTCAGACCTCGTTAAAACATAAATCCAGTCCAGTCCTTCCTTTACTTTATCTTTATAAATTATTAATTAATTGTTAAATTCATATTCACATTTATACGAGACATCTGACTTGAAAGAATTTCAAAAAAAAAATGTAATTCATTATTGGCAAAAGTATTTTTCAATTTGATTCGGACTCATCGTGGCAGCTATTATTATTATTATTTTATTAATCACATGTTTAATTATTATTTATCAAATGTATATTACACACATTATGCTTGCCAAAAATTATTTTAAGCATGGCATTTGCAGCGAAGAACAAAAACTTTGCTTCTTTTAATTCAAATCAATTTAAAATAATTAATTTATTGTTTGCAGAGTTTTCGCAAATATTTATTTTATATCGAGTGATCGCATGTTATTTAGTTTCGTAACTTTATTAATTAGATGTAAAGTTATATTAACGATCAAAACAAAAATATTTCTATAAAAAGTTATTTATAAAAATATTTAAATTTTGGTCTCTTTAGTTGATGATATTTCGTTAGAATGTGTGTACTGATGACTTTGAACATGATATTAATGGATGATTTTGTTTTACAGACGTAAGAAGAAATGTATCAGATACATGGGGGAGGGAGGAGACGGTGATGGCGAAGGTGAAGGTGATGGAGATGATGACCATTCGGAGGACAATTTAGGCAGTGTTGGTGAGGCCGGAACTCCAGAAGAAGATGAGTCATTAAGCAGTCCTGGTGGATTATCTGCATTGTCTAGTCTGGCAAGTCCATCATTGGTGTTACCATCACCATCAAGTTTGGCCAGTCCGTGTCCATGTCCTGTTACACCTCCAGTACCTCCAACATCAATGCCGTTGAATGTTAATCCAGCGGCAGCACCACCTCATCGGAACCCCGTCGGCACTAATCCTCATGATATAAACAATCCATTAAGCGTTAATCAACTAACAGGACAGTGTATAAAAAGTGAAGTTGGTCAAGCGCCTTCAGGGCCTTCTAATTCGGCAATCAGTGTTACGTAGCCCTGGGTGGCCCCAAGTGACAAAACTATACTTTTTTGTGTCATCGGGGTTCACATTCAAGTTAAATACATTCGGAAAAATTCGACTGGTGTGGCGATTGTGATTACAACTAAACTTATAAACAGCATCTCATGTATTTTTAACACTAAGAAATCATAAATTCACTATTGCTGCAGTGAATCAACATTTAGATTTAAAAAAAAAAAAAAAATGATGTTATAATTGAAATATTTTTTAAAAAAAATAATTTTCAATGTATCATATTTTATTTTTCATATTATATATGATATTTTAGATTAATAGAAATTTTTAATTATTTTTTAATTTTTGGACATTTCAAAATAATTAATATAGTTTAATTGAAAATTTTTTGATATAAAAAAATTAATCTTCCTGATAGAAGATTCTTAAAAAAAAAAATAAATAAATAATTGTTATTCACTGCATTCAATAGCTTACTAATTGGGATTTGCTGGAGAATAATTGCGCCAAAGATTGTGGCGAGGCAAATCTTGTTCGTGGAGAGGTTTACCATTGCCTGACTTCATCGTCCGAATTAACCGAATAGAATAAATAAACTAAATAAATAATTCATGTAAGTAAGAAACTGAGAGAGCGAGAGACAAAAGTGTGCGAACGATATTTGTATGTAAGAGTGCAAGGGTGTGAACGAACGAAGAGAAATGAAAATATAAAAATAATAATAAAGTTAATTAATATTGAAGTAAAAATTAAAAATTAAATAAAACAAATGATGTAAAATAATAAAAAATACTCAGGACCAAGTGTCTCGTTGTAGTCACCTCATGGAGCCAATGTGCAATTCCAAGTGACTGATTTCAGTGGAGGTGATACAGCTTGTAGTCCTTGTTACGTTGTGATGTCAATGACTGAGAGGTCATGTTCCTGTGCCAGGTACTATATTCTATAAAATTAATTATATCGCAGACATAGCTGAATAATTAAGCGCTAGCGTTTATCATTCATTTTATCTAAACAAACAGAGCGAAATGAACTAAAAAAATATATAAGAAGGAAAAAAAAAAAAATAAACAAAACTTGACGTGTCAAATACCTATCTTCTGTATGTAATTTGTTATTTTTTTAAAAGTCTATACACATTACGATTTAATTAGAGTGTAAGACCATTTTTTAGAAACAAAATCGTTACTTTTAGATTATCTTTTTTCCCCTGATGCAAATGTTCCCGTAATTTTTTTATTACTATCAACATTTTAGAAATATAAAATTAACCTTTTCTTTATCAAAAAATAAAAGATGATTGTGTTGAATATCAAAAGTTATTCAAAAAAGAAAATAGGTGTTTCTTCTTGTGAAAATTGTATTAAAAACTTAACCATGGATCTCTAATGCATACTTTTGTTAATAAAATAAATTTTATCATTTATCAAGCAATCCAAGTGCATTTGTATCTGATATTAGTTTGTTTTAGTGTTATTATTATATTTTTGTTCATTTAAATTTATTTTATTATCATGTAAACGTACGTGTATTATATTAAATAATGTTTTGTATAATTTATCTCAGAGTATGCTTTATCATTTACAGATGCACTGACATTTTGTAAATTTTACATTATTCGATTACGTTTATGTTATTTTCTGTTTTATTTAAATCTCAATTTTTATTTGAGAAAATTCTCAATCCTGTGTATCATCACTTTTTTATACGAAAAATAACAAAAAGAAATATATATTAACACACACTTTTAATTTGGGGATTTAATTATTTTCAATAACTAAATTTATATTTTTAGCAAAAATTCCAATGTTATTATTTGCATTGTCAAAGAGAAAGATGTTTTTAACTGGTATGAAGGTATAGAAAATTTTTATGTAAAGAAAGAAAGAAAAGAAAAATACTTTTATTTTATTTCTCGTATTTTCTTAATAGTATTCCGTTGATATTGGCGACTGGATTTCGCGAATAATTTTTGTGCAATTATTTTTGTATGAGAAATGATTGAGAAATTTTATCTTCGTTAATAGTTAATGCATTGATTTATATATATATATTTTTTCTTTTTTTTCTTTTATGTATGATTTGAATGATATAATAATGATTACCAATTGGGACATGAAATAATTATAAAAGAAAGAATTTTATAAAAAAAAAAAAAGTAATTCAATCAAACATTATTCACTGAAAAAACACAGAATATGGTAACACTTTTTTTCCATAGAGATTATTAATAAGTAACTAATTACGTTAACTCCTTCTTTTGTAATAATTTTCCTTTGATGAATTGCATAATTTTTCTGTGCAATCTATTTTACCATCTCACCAACCAAAAAGGCAATAGAATTTTAATAAATAAATAATTATTTGATGATTCCTTGTAATCAATATTTCAGCTAATGTAAATAATGAATATATTTAAGGTGCATTTATGAAGATGGGAAAGTGCAATGGGGAACTATGAGAACAAATTATGTATACAATAAAAAAAAATGAAAAATAAAAGAAATAAGTGACTACAGCATCATTTAAATTTCAACAAAGGTTTTTAATGTTTAAAAAAAAAAAAACAAAGTTAGAAAATTGATTATTTCTCGACTGAGTCTAAACAATGTCTGTATAATAACGAATAACCATTATTATTTATATAATTATAATAATGTGTTTTTAAATAGTAAATTAAACGTGCCATAAGAACATCATGCCAATATTAATGATAATAACAAATATTTTTTACAATCAAAAAAAAAAAAAAAAATTTATTTACCTGCGTTCTGTCAGTGATTTTCAATGTAAAATTTATAAGGAACCAGAGGTGTGCATTTTTTTACTATTATTTTTTATTATTATTGTCAATTTAAAATATATTATTTAATAAGTAAAGGATTAAAGAGAGAAGAAAAAAATAATCTCTAAAATAAAATACATTCTTCATCATTTTCATTTATTTTTGAAATATTTCGAATAAATGACAAAATAAAAAATTAAAGACAAAAAATATAAAACCACTCAAATTAATAGTACAATAAATGGGAACATATGAATCACCCATCGTCAGCCTCATGTCGATAATTCTCGTACTATTTTCATCGTCTTCATTTCTTCATCAACTGTAATAAAAAAAAAAAAAAAAATTTAGGTCACCATTTGATAGCAAAAATGCACACTTCCGGTGGGCATCAATATACATTTGACATTCTCATAACTTACTGACAGACGTGGTTGTGGAAAAAAAAATTTAAAAAGACTAAAAATTGTACTGATGTATGTATGATGCCCGCTGTAAGCTCTGTGATGCGAGTGATATGCGGCCTGAATTAATTATTAATAATTATTAATTATAAAAATAATCAACAGACCGATTGATTGATTAATAATTATTAATCTTTAATAATAAATTGTCAAGTTTTGTATAATTTTAAGGGAGGAAAAGAATCCCTAGCTGTCACTTGAAGGGATGAGACGAAGAAAAGTCGAGGATTCGTCGAACGACGATGAAGTGAATACGGAATTAATGATAAAATAATGAAGGAGATTAATTTATTAGTTACTTAAATAAGTGATCTAACTTGTGGAAACATGATAAGTTAAAATGATAAAAATAGGGAAATTAAAATAAATGAAAATGTAAAGTAACTAATAAATTAATTGAATTGTGATGAATAATCATCAATGAAATTCCGTTAACCATGGCCTAGAGAATTCAAGCTCGTTGATGCAAATTCGATGTGAATAATGCTGAAACACGAGCCTTCCGTGGTAGATTATAGTGCCTCATGAAACGAGCGACTTGTCAGCGACTGAGCTTGTCTTGTTTCAACGAGTGCTTGTATTATATGTAAAGTATATGACGGTTATGCTGCGTTGTACAGTGTTTTTTAAGTATCTAGTTTATAGTGTGTAATTGAAATATTGTATTTACACTAATAAGTGATCTGTATCAAAAATTCATTCTCATATAGCCTGTACTCCTACTTATGTAGATGATAAAAGTGATTTGTGTCATAAATCTATAAATAAAATTAGCAATTTGAGAATGTTGTCGATTATAAATAATAATTATTAATTTATTCTATTCTTTTTTTTTTCATTCACTAAGTTCCAGTTAAAAAATAATTTCAAACTAGACTGAATAATATCTTAAAATTATTTCTAATTAAATAGACTGAGAAAAAAATTTACTTAAAATTTAATTAAAATTTTGATTAGTCGTAATCCAAATTTTTCTATCCAACTGAATCAAATTATATCTGATTATATATGTTTATATATCGAATTTTTTTCTCGGGTACTTAAATTAATAAAAAATAATTTATTGAACAAATACATTTTATTGTGCTCGATTATCGTCCTCGCCATTTATACTTGGCATACAGTTTTATTAAGCCCATAGGGATGGTTTTAATTGAATTTTAATATTTTATTGAATTGATCATTTATTTATTAAAATCCATGGAGTCTCAGAAAGTAAGAATTAATCTAATGTCATTTTTAAAACAAAATTTCGTTAAATTCATTAAATATTTTGAATTCTTCTTATTGTATAGAAGTATACAAAACAAAAAATAATAATAATGATAATAATATAAAAAATTATGATTATTATTTAATGAATTTTATTTACTTTAATGAATTTACATTTATAGTATCCGAAAAAAACTGAAGATTCAAAACATCCACAGCATTAATTGTATAAACACAAGGAACTTTGTAATTACAATTGTTAACAAACTGAGAAGCCAGTCTCATTATATTTTTACACTTCGTCACACAAGCACTACCATCGTAACTCAACCTGCCAAATTTATCACATTCACGAGGATCAAGCATATAAAATTTTCCATAATGCTGCATCACAGCAACAGCAATATCAGGAGTATGAAGAATACCAGCACAGTTATTCTTGAAGAAAAGAATCAGTGCTTGTGTTAAGTCATGCACGAGTAAAATTCCAGCAGCTGTATGACGATGAATATAAATATTTGCTTTAAAATCTCCCACCACAAACACATCAAGTAATTCACAAGGAGACAAGGTTCGTGGTCCAGACCGTACCATCCTCATGCTATCCTGATTTAGAATATTTCCATAGTTGATAATAGAATCAACCAATTCGGCCGTCCAAGTCGATGGGACATGAAGTAGACTCACCACAATGGCAACAGCAGCAATTGCAGTACTTTGGAAACCTCTTGATGAAACATCAAAGCTTTCGTCATGCATATGACTATTGCCAAGTAGTATACTAGCTTCTTTATCAATATAATAAAATTCTGAAGCTGTTTCTAGGTCACCAGTCTTTTCTGTTGGAGTATGACTTGCTGAACATGATTGGAACCCAACTGGATTTGGCAAAGGTTCAATGATTGTTGTTCTAATAATAGCTCGACATATTTCATAACTCCTATACCTGTCAAATTCATCAATATTCGTATAAATTAAATCATAAAGTGGTTCTAAGTAAGCGAACCACATGGTGCAAGAAGCTCCCAAGTCATCTTTCTCTCCTTGATCATTACGACCACGAGGATCATAAATAAAATAAACACCCTGATCCTTCCATAAAGCTATCATGTAGTGTCCAACTACAAGAACTCCAGCTTTATTACTGTCGAAGAATGTTTTCAAACCTTCTTTAAGAAGAATCGGTGGTGGAGGTGGCGGACGTTCACGTTTCTGAACTTTTCTTTTTTTACCTTTGGCTTTTGTTGGTTTAACTTTTTTCGCTTTTTTCCCTTTGACATCTGGTGCAGGAGGCTCGAGAGAAACTTGTCCAGTAATTGTTTCTGCTTCAATATCAGATACTAAAACATTTTCACCAACCTGAAAGACTCGAATAATATCAGAAGGTTTCAGTTTCATTAAAGAAGATTTCGATTGTAATGATTCTTGATGAACATTCAAGCCAATTACTAAAATTTCATCCATGGTTTCTTTTATCCAAGTAACTGGATTTTTTACCAAAGTCATTGCTAAAGCCACCACGCAATTAGCAGCAGTTTGTTGGTTTCGAATAGCTTCTGGAAAGATATTTGATCCTTGATGAATTCCACCTCGTAAGATTGCTCGTGCATAACCTTGGAATCGTTTAAATGCATTTAAACTGGGTAAATTAGAAGGTCTTACTGCTGTACTTGGATCAAATTTCCAAGGTGGAAGCTTATTCCAATCTATTACATCGACTGCATGCATTTCGTAATCCTCTTCAGCATTAAATAAATTCATCAAGTAATTAATTAAAAGCTGAAGTGTTTGAAAACGGTAAGCAGTGATGTTTTTATCCAGACTATCATTATTTAAAGATCGAAAATGACTAGGTATAATACAGTAATAAATATCTGTAGCCTTCCAAATAGCTAAATTAATCCCAGCAATTGTTAGAATACCTGAAACATACTCATTAAAAAAATTCTCCAAGCCAGTTAGCATGTTTCTATTGACCTTTCCTACTTCTACACAGTCTTTTATTGCTAGATCAAGCTTTCGATCTGAGAAATAAAATTCTGGAATAATTTGATCAACTTTCAGATTAATGTTATCTCCTAATCTCTCAGCAGACTTGGAATGAAGTTGATCTCCAATGACAACTATTTCATCTAGAATTTCTCTATTCCATTGTCGAGCTTCATAAATTTTTGAAAAAAGTACTGATATAACTGCAATAGCAGCAGTCTGATTATTCCGGTTTTTTTCTTCAAATCTTTCATCATCAATAGCTATATCTCCAACCAACTTCCACATGCCATCTGAAAATCTAATAAAATTATTCCACAGATTTTCCTTTGAAGGAGATTTTTTGGGACGTTCATTTTCAGCTATTCTTGTTTCGTATTCATTCTCCAGAGTTATTCCATCAATGGTAAAATTTTTATCAGGATTTAAAAATTGTTTGATGATCATTACTAGAGAAGGAATCGTTGTAGACCAATAAACAATAGCAGTATTATTTTTTTCTTCTTTTAAATTAGCTTGATCACTAGATCCACGAGGATTGAAAGTAAAATAAGTATGACCTTCTTTCCAAATAGGTATCATTATTTCATCCTGTCTTAAAATTCCCATTTGATTTGTTCGAAAGAATTCTGCAACACTGGTATCAATATCTTTCATCATTCCTGAAGTGATTCCCTCTTCAATTTCAACTGTAGCTCGATTAACTCCAATATCAAAGAATTCATCAATTTCACTAGGTACCAGGTAATCTCTTTTAATCTGTTCTTTATCAACATCAGCTTCTTCCTCAGGTAGATTATCCAAATTCTCTTCAGTTATTTTATCACCAAGTTTAAGAATATCATCAACAACTTCTTGATACCATAAGTGCGGATTGTATAATTTACTCATAGCTAAAGCAACCAAAGCATTAGCAGCTTGCTGTTTATCACGAGTTCGAGATTTAAACTGCAAAGTATTCCCTTGAGTAAAACTTCCTGCTAAGTAAGCTACCTCTTCACTTAGTTCAGAATAATTATTCAGATCAGGTCTTATAGGAATTTTTTTATCGACAATTAATTCTTCATAAGTCATTGGTTCACTAATTGAATCTACTTTGAATCCATGAATAAAAAATTCATCAGATGCTTCTTCTTTCTCATCAATATTTAATTCAATTATTCGAGCGATTTCTTCGAGATTTACAGCACGTACTACACATGCTACTAACTCTTCATCATCTTGAGGGGTTTGATGGCCTAATTTTCCTCGAGGATTGGGATCAAAACAGTAGTAACTTACATTTGATGGTATTTCTTCACTTTCTTTTGGACTTTTATTTTTTATCTCATGCTTCCATACTGCTAAAGATAAATTATTCAATTCAACTATACCATGCTGATGATTCTCAAAGAACTTCTTCAGCCCATCAGCTAAGTTTGGTACCTGATCACCTGGTTTAATTCTTCCTGATGCTAATAGTTCATCTACATTTATAATTACACGTCGATTGTCGACATAAAGCTTTGTTTTTAAATTTTTTAGAGTTAATTCTCGGTCTTCTTCTTCATCCTTTTCTTCTTCAGTAGAAACACACCAGTTGAAATATGCATCACCTTCCCTAATTACTTGATCAATTATTTCACTTGTCCATTCATTCGGTGGAATTTCTATAGCCTTTACTAATGCTACTATTGGCATAGCGATACCTTGAAAACCACGACTCTCGTCTTCGAATTCTTCAGCATCATTAGAAATACTTCCTTGAAGGATCCAAGTTCTACCAGCTTCACCAGGTTGGAATTCATTCCACATTCTAGTACCTGGAATATCATCCATTACTGAAATGTGACGTATTGTAAATCTATCATTCTTTTTTAAAGAACTTATGTTGTTTAAAATGTGAACAGCTAGTGTATCAATGCTAGGAAATCGCATTACACAACATTTCCCTTCGATCTTTTTAGATAAGCCATTGGTACTTTTCTTCTTGCCTTTTTCGCTGCTTTTAATTTTTTCATTAGCTATCATCCTGACTCCATTAGCATCACATTCTCGAGGATCAAACATATAGAAATAATCATCTTGAGTCCAGATAGCTACAGCCATTGATGAACTTTCAATTACTCCGTCTTTGTGGACTAAAAAAAATTCTTCAAGAGCTTGTTTTAAACTCAGTATTGATGGATCTTTGGAATGCAATGTACCAACTATGGTAATCAAATCAACATCATTAAATAATTTTTTTCCACTTACTATCATTTGTGAATTATTATAATCAGCAGCTGTTAATGATTGAATCATTGGATACTTTGCTTTTGTCTCGGTATATAAATTATCACCCAGGGCTAAAATTTCATCAAGTCTTGGTCTTAACCAGGTTTTTACTGGGTTTATTTTCTTCATTCCAAATATTGCAATGCAATTGGCTACATTCTGAGCTCCTTTACCTTTATACACATCACTTAATTGATGAGTCAAGCCATGAAGAATAGCTCTGTCTCCAGGCAATTCTATAAAAGTTACAGCAGATACAGTGTCAATATTGTAATTGGAAATTGTTATTAAAAAAGGTTCTTTAATGAGAAATAATTTATGATTTTCTTTTACTACTGTCTGATTACGGTCTTTTATTTTTTCGTTAATTTCTGTAGGATTTAACATTTTTAAAACATTCTCATCAGCATGAATACATTTTTCATTGATTGGTATTCCTTGATCAACTAACTTTACTTTTGAAACAATAACTCTATCTATACAATAACGAGAATTGTCTTTCTGATTTAAATTACTTAAAAATAAATCTCGTAAATCATTTAGACATTTAAATCTGACTACACAAGCAACACCATTTGAAGATTGAACTCCAAGTTCATTACAGGAGGATGGATCAAAATATAGAAAACCTTTATCAAGATATCGCCAAATAGCTACGGAATTTTCTTGAGCTGTCAATACTCCAGAATTGTTGGTTTTAAAAAATCGCTGGAGCCCATCTGTTAGATCTGGACTACCAAGGTTTTCACTGAACAAATTACCAAAGACACAACTGTCTTCAATGCATACCCAGCATTTATAGTCTTCGATAAAAAATTCTGGGTAAATTAACTTGGTTGTCATATAAATACCAGGTTTTATACGATTTCGGGCTTGACTTGTACGAAAAAGCTTATCACCATACTTGAGAATTTGGTCTACGAAATTAGATGTCCACTCTTTTGGCTGACATAGGCAACCAAAAACTATAGCTATTACAGAACAAGCTGCACCTTGTTGTCCTCTACTTCCAAACTTGAAACGTTTGTCACTCATTGAATAAGATCCTCGTAAAATTGCTGTAGTAGGACTTAAGACATCAAATTTAAACCATTTTTTTGGAATTGATTTTTTCTTAACATTTTCATGGATATTTTCAAGTTTTTTATTCGAATCTATTTCCATTTTTATTACTTATAATTTCAATAGTTAATTAAATTAATTATAACAGCATTATTAATTGATAATTATTGTTTCTTTAAGTCTGTTTACACTTGCAATTTTGAAGTAATTTAGAGAACACGTGTGACTAAAATAGAAAAAAGGTTAGTTGATAATTTGTTGATGACTATTAAACAAACTGACAATCACATAACACCAATATATAATTATTTCTTCTTTATTACAACTGTATAACATAATAATAATATAGATATATAATCTAAAGAAATAATTGTAAAGAATATGTACAAAAAATAAACAGTGGTTGAAAATGATAATATAATAATCCTCATGGATATTTATTTATTTATTTATCTGCCTATTGACAAAAATAAAATATCTATTGGAAACTTTGATAACTGAACTAATAAGTAATGATAATAAATTATGACTAAGCTCATTGGACTACTGTATTGAAATATTATTTACATTTGACTTAATTATTTGATCATCTAGCCTAAACAGATTATAACAATTTTTACCAAAAAATATCTACACGTAAAAATATAGTTGTATGTTTATTAAACACACTGACGCTTAAGTGCGAACATGTGTGCGCCTTCAGTATTTATTTATATATCAATTAATCGTTCTTTATTCATCAAATGTTATATATTTGTTGATTTAATTTTTTTTTATCATTATTATTGTTAAGATGTAAATTTTTATTTTTTGCATAATTATTATTAATTATCTTTTTTCCTTTATACTTTTTTTATATTCATGAACATTAACGGAAATTTTTTTATCATAAAAGTAGCATCAATTTCAAAAGTGTGTTAATAAATGTTTAGTTCATAATAAAAATAGTTTTTTTTTTTATTTATTTTATGTTAAAATTCTTTTAAACACTCAGATATGTGATGATAAAATAAATTAAATAAAAAAATTAGTCAATTTTGACAACTATTTCTATCTTGAACTAATCAAATATCTTAATTAAAGCTTATCAGCATGAATACATATATACATACATAATTAACATAAAATAGTATACAAATGAATCTATATAGTTTTGTAATTATGTATGAATATATGTAACATTATTAATAAAAAATAAATTGACGTACATAACAGTCCTTTCAGTACAATATATCAATAACGTTGTATAGAAATTACATCTAATATGTATAATTATCTAATAATATAAATATAAATGAAAATAATTATTCTCACATAATTTAAGTAGAATTGTGAAAAAAATTTGTGATCAAAATATCGATTCACATTTTTATTTTGACAATTTTTTTCTTTTGAACATTTAAAGTTGGAAAAAATATTGAACATTTATTTTATTATATTATTATTCAGTTGGTTAATATGCAAAAGATGCATGTAAAATTTTTTATAATATACATATATAAGTATACGACACATTAAGCAAAACATCATTAAATTGAATTATTTTTTTAAAACAGATTATTTATGAGTGATTTAAATTTGCGAATAATTCGCACTATACTTGGTTCAGTATGGACTGCATTAATATGAAAAATATAGTAAATATTGTACATACATTATTTATATAATTTTATCATAATTTTTATACATATTTTTGTTATTATATCATAATTTAGCAGAAATAATCACGGTAATGTATACACATAAGATCAATTGTGCTTATATTAGTACAATGAATCAATATCATTCTTCCTCTTGGAAGATTGTCAACAGTCTGGCGTAGTTTTTATTTTTTAAAATTAGAATCTTTCATTTTAAAATTATTATTATTTTTTTTTTCAATATTTTCTACACATCTTTCAAATTTTTGATTTTTTTTTTTTCATTATTTCATAAAGAAAATAATTAAATAACAAAATAACTTTACAATTTATAAAAATTATCTTTAAATCATGACAGCGAGCATTTTTAATGACTAATAAATTCAAATAAAATACTTTTCTAATTTATTATCTTTTTTACTATCGTCTCGTTATATCTTTTTATATTATTTCTTTTCAGTTGAATATTAATTTATAATTTTTTTCTTTCAAAGATTTAAATTAACATCACCTTTAAATTAATTTAATTGAGATTCTAAATAATTAAGATTAATATCAATATTGCATTTGAGTTTTTAATAATTAAAATGCTCGCGTATAATAAATACATTCTTAAGTTATCAATAAAAAAAATTTTATATCACTGATAATGTAAATCAAAAGTATAAATTTTTTTTTTTAATTTTAATTCATTATTTGGTCTCACAAAAAATTCCACGATCTACTAAATTATTTTTTAGGACAAATCTAATATTTTAGAATTGAAAAAACCAAAGTTATTATATAATTCAACCGATCGAGGAATATCTGTGAGGTTATTCTATAGAGTTATAGAATCATTGAAAACTTTAGTTATAATTTATACAACATCAAAATTGTTGAGTGTAGATATAAATAGTCTAATTTTTTTTTACAACCAATATAAATTAAGGTCGAGTTTTATATAAATATTTATGCCGAATTTATATAACGGAAGATAATTTCTCATTATTTCTCTACAATTTTATGAGGAGATATTGGATATTTTAGAAAATTGTACATCAGCTTAAAATAATATAAAAAAATTCGACGAGACTATAAATTTATCATCTACGATACTGTCTAAAGCTTCTGTTTATGACCATTTACTCTTTGATCTACATTTGTTGACTATATCGTAAATTATTTATATTTCTATGTCTTTCAAATAATGAGGACACTTGAATTTGTTTTAACATAAATTAAATTTAATTATATACATATTGAAATATTTACCCCATAACCATAAGCTCCATTGTAAAATTGTGATGAGTATTAACTATCCCGGTTGGGGTGCTTGGCAAGAAATCTTCGAGGCCAAGGAAGAGGCCAATCATATTGTCTTGGTACTGTTCCACCTACGTTCTTCTCAAAATATCTAAACAGTGGGAACCACCAAAGTCGTGCCAAAAAGTTGTTTGGTCCATATTGCTGTGAAAAATGCATAAAAAATCATTCCTATTTATTCCATGTATATATTATTATTATTTTATTATAATAAGTTGATAGATAATATGCTAATAAACATGATAATATTAACAATAAAAAAAAATTACTTTCAACTGGGCGTTATTGGCTAATGTGTGATAAATATACCACAACCGGGTGGTGACCCAATACGCAATGATAACATCCACAGTGTAATGACAATGAGCGATCAAGACCATAATCACCCCAACAGCTGCTATAAGACCAGCGATCCAATGAATTGGTTGACATCTTCTAGGAGAGTCTTGAAAAGAAAAATAATCAATTAAAATGGTTGTAATAAAGTTTCCAGCCTAGTTAATTATACAGTATATTCATAATCAATTTAACTTGAATAATTTTACTTTAGATAATTTAATAAAAATTTAGAATTACTTACATTCTTTGATAATCAGGTAACAAAGTACAAGAACTACAGTATGTCCACTGAAAATAAAATCTCCGCAATAGGTGTGTTTACCATTTATTGACAACCCAAAGCCAGAGATTAATTGGAGGACTCTTTTTGTAATAATAAGTGGTGTTGTATGATTCACTTTTGGACTACAATAATATGTTCTACTAGACATAGGTAAAACCGTAACATAGAATGTGATACTTCTCATCATATAAAGTAATCCCATTACGATGAATATTCGTCTGACAACAATAAACCTAGAAAATTAAAGTCATGTTATTAGATTAAATTAAATCTAATATTAAGTTTTTTTTTTCTCATCATTTTAATTAAGAAAATAATTAATTTACCTGTGTTTATGGAATATCACAAAGACCATGGCCGAATTAGATACTATCACTATTAAAACCTCAGATACATTAAGTGCCCAATCTTGTGCTTCAATATTGTCTAGAACAATATCGGGTAAAGGACCATATAATGAACGGTCTGGTACACGTTCATGTAGCATCGCTAAAGATGTTGTTGTTAAAATAAAATTGAAAACCATAAATAAAAATGCTGAAATAAATAAAATTATGTATTAATAAATTTATAAAAAGAGTTAAACATTTTGAATATTTATTTTTACTCCACAATAATAATCTTTAATATTTTTTTTTTCTTACCCAGAACAGTTTTCCATTTTTCCTTTGGAAATCGTGGCTCTTCTCTTAAAGGTGGAGGTATATCCAACTTAACAATACCACTACCATTTTGAATACCAGCATGTCGAGTGTGTCCAATGCTATCAATTTTATCATGATCATCCTCATAATAATCTCCACTAGAACTTACTCCTCCCCATCGTTCTTTACTTTTTGTAGGTGCTCCAGGAAGCAGCGGTTGCCTCTGATAAACGTCACTGGATTGGGCCATTCCACTAGTGTTCCCATCAACCGCTGCTTCTATGTCCCTATCGTGACTCTCTCCACTTGGCAATGGTCTATCAAAACTTCCGTAATCACTATGCAAACTCGTAGCTTTGTGGTCCAATACCATCCTGTAAAAAGAAAAAAAAGAATTATCACTTATCAATGAATCAACTAGCATAAGTAAATGAAATTTATTTCATTAAATACATGAACATTATCAATACATCAATTATTTTTAGAGCCATTAATCTTATCATCATATAATAAAAATATTTTTGTGTTGGAAAAATGGTTATTAAAGTAATCTATTTGAATTTTTTACAAATTTTATGTTAAAAAATACAACATGTGATAATATAATTAGATTTAATTGAAATAAAATATATATAATATAATTTATATAAGATTTCTGAAGCCATACCAAGTATGTGGACATGAATATTGAATAGAGCAACAATGATACCCATTTTTAGATGAATTTTGATTATTTTTACAACCAAATTGATGTACACCAATTGGTAAAAATAAATATAATTCATGAGAAGTCATTGTTAAACTTGAACTAAATATTATAACTGAATATTTTTTTTTTTTTTTACAAAGCCAACTTTTTTTTTTTTACGAAGCATTACTATCATAATTGTCAACGGTTTAAATATTAATAGTCCGCTTATCATGTGTTCACATGTAAATAGTGAAAATGCGTGACAAAATAACAAGGTCTTTCTTTCCTTCAGTTAGAATATATATATATGTATTAACACATTTACCACGCATTTATCAAAAAGATTAATCAAACGTCTTACAATAAATTTATTTTTTTTCCTTTCTCATAATATTATAAAAAAAAAATGTCTTTCAATATTTTCAAGTAAAACAAGCTATAAAAACGTCATGTTTAATGGCAAATACCATTACTTTATTACTTCACTATGTATACTAATGATTGTAGCATTACATATAACGACTCATTTACAAATGAAACAATCAACTTAAATAGTTTGTAAAAAAAAAAAAACAAAATAATGTTAAACAAAATAAAACATTAGAGAATTTTTTAATATCATTTTTTTTTAAATTAATAATCTAAAGTAATGCGAATAGCCTTGATATTTATAATTAATTATATCATTATTATGATTGAATATGAAGTGAAATATACTTTCTTATATGTGAAAACTTGCTTCACGTTGCTACCAACCACTAGATTGCAATTCTATTTATAAATATATATAGCTATTGAGACCACTAACAGTAAATTAATAAGAAACTTTAATCTGTTTAAAAAGAAGGATGTATGCAAATTAATTGAATATTTCTGATTGTTAAATGTTATATCATCCTACCAGACGTTTCGGGAAGTCTTTTATTATTTTTCTACAATTAATATTACACAATTCAATCAACCAATAATTTCAGTCTAAAGCAAGAGAGAGAGAGAGAGAGATAATTCATACAATAACTCTAGTATATTAATGACACCATCAATCAAAGTGTTCTTTTAAAAATTTATATCACAATTGAAAATATAAAAAAAATTTCTAGAGATATATATTTGATTTAAAATCATTGATAAAATGTGTATACTGTTTGAAAGAAATATTTTTGATAATTTTTGCTGTTGAGAATTGACTCACTCAGCCACTTGTAGAGTCAAGTGTCAGAATTAAATCAGAATAGACATTTAAATGTTATTTCTTGGGGCGTGTCTACATTAGCAATTTATTTATAAAGATTACTAGATGAAAAAAAAATTTTTTATATTGCTAGTTAGTGATGATCATCAGAAATATAACACTTTTAAAAGAAGAAATTTTTAATTTTTTAGGTTAATTTACTCACGGATCAGGGACGAGAATAGTTGGAACACGTTGCATGATGGTGAACAACATTAATAAATATCACATAAACACAACTGTTTTGGATGAATAAAGAAGAATACATAAACGTTGATGTGATCAGCACAAACGTATTTAAACAACTGACGGCGATTCATCACTCAAGATCAAGTGAAAGGCCAGGTTGAACAAGGGCTCAGTTTGTAGGTAATATTGCTATGTTGTTTTGTTTTAATACTTTAGCACATTAACAGTTAAGATTTAACTGTATGTATGTATAATGTTGTGTATTGTTGTCAGCAGACAGTTTAATGACGACTAGACGCCACAGTTTAAGACCAAGTGGCTAACGTAAGCGTCAGAAATATACTAAAGTTAAGTATAAACTAAGTTAGGTAGAGAATCAAAGACTAGATGGTCTGGTCAGCACTCAGTTGCTTATCTTTTTCTTTTACTTCTTCTTACGCCATCGTTAAAAGTACGGTTAGAATCCTGATTTGGATTGGCATCCCCTCTTTAACTTTTTTTGCACTTACTTAAATGCATAAGTGTTACGGTTTTTGCTATTTCACCATTTTTATTTTTTACCTCATCAATTCCTATTTTTATTTTCATTTTGAATTAATTTTAAAATTCAATCAGATAAAAATTCAGTTTCATGACCACCTTCTAAAAATCAATTAAATATATCATGACATTGAGACATTAAAATTTTTCATTCTATTTTTGTTAACAGCAAACATTGTACTCAATAATTAAATGAATTTTTTTTTTTTTTTAATTACACTTTATGGAACAATTTTCTCTAAAACAATTCATTAAAAAATGGATCTGTGCCCTGACTACAAACTTCCCATTTATTAAAATCCATAATTTTGTCATTTTTTAGTTTTTTTTTTTTTCGTTTATAACAAATTCAAATTGTTGTAAATAATATATAATTGTTTAGAGTCATGTAAAATTTTTAGCAACTATATTGCATTGATATTGAGCTCAGTTTTTAACATAATTAATCACTCAATAAGTAAAATCAATTTCAAATGTCTTTTTACTCAACTTCTTTTACAATTTGTCAATAAACCGAATTTGTTTAAACTTCTCTGAGATTTTCTTCATTGTATTATCTTTCGAATGAAATTTGCCTGGAGTCAATATCTTTAATGGTTCTCGAGATATCAAGAACGAAAAAAAACCTGACATACGTACGTACAAATGTCCGTCCGTATAGACAATCATTTTTAAATTTTCTAACGTCTCAAAACGTAAGAATATGACAAAATTACAAATTTTAAAGATCGATCTCATTACAATAACTACCTAATGGCAAGCTAAAAATTTTTTTACTGATTCTTCTTTATAAGTGAAGATTATTTTAATCCTACTAATTAAACAAATATTTTTTTTTTCATCGATTAATATTAAGTAGATAAAGAGCTCTGGCTAATCTTTTGAGTCATAAACGATGACATATTGTGATACCGGACAACTGTATTGAGGATTATGTTAAAGAATTTACCATAAAATTTTTCAATTATAAAAAAAAAATCTATAACTAAATGATATTTAAATGAAATGATAATAAATACTATATAAAAGATAATAAGATAATTCGAAATTAAAAAGATCTTTCGAGTATGTTAACTTAGTATTACTCATAAACAATAATTACATAGTTATAGCTCAGTAAGTTGCCTTGAAAGTATACAACTACGTATTTTGGCGACATAAAAGGGTGCAGTTATTATAAATAAATCAATATTACAGTTTATCGTCATTATATTAGCATTTCAAATAATGATTGCACGTTTTTTGATCATCAACGTTTTGAAAAAAAATATTTATATAAATATTGCATTCGTAAGATATGATTAATTATAACTGATCAATTATACATGATGATTCATGTAGAATTATCATTAATATATGCACATTAAAAAATTAATGGCTTAATCTAAAAATGTAATACTAATTAATGAACATCCATTTACTATTGAAGTGTTCGTTTTTCTTTAAATAAAAAAAAACCGTCATCGATCAGAGTACTTTTCAACGTATAACATATTCTATGAAAAGAATGACATCATAAATATGAATATAAAGATATGTCACACTCATAAAAAGAGTTGATACAATTAAAACCTTGAAAAATAACTATTTTGATAATTTTTTTATTTGATACACTAATTAAATTAAATTAATAAACAAAGTTAATGGGATTATATCAATACCTGTTTTCTAGGCTTCTCCATACCTTGTAATAGCAGAAGGTAATTCAACCTTTACAGGTAGTCTTAATTTATGCATTGTTTTACAAATAATATATATATTACACACACTATTTAATTTAATCACAATGTAAAAATTATTTTCACTAATTTTATTTTGTGCTTCAAAAGCGTGCGACGAGTGTATAAATAATGATTCTTTATATTGAAGAAATTTATCAATATAGTTATCAATATTATGGTAAAATGATGAGTGTAAATTATTATTAATCAATATTAAAAAAAAAAAAGGAAAAGATTTGTTATATATCAAGTAAATAATAAAACGGAGTAATATATAAACAAACTCGCGTGATTATCGTGCGTGCGCATTCCCCATGTGATTATAGACTAGTGATAAAGCACTTTTTTTCAATCGAATACACAAAAAAACTAACCAATTGGGTTGATATTAATTATAAATTTTGTTTGATCTGGACGAATTATTTAATCACTTGTAACGTTCACGTTTTCCAATCGCTAGATCTTTGATTGATCTATGACGCAAACTCATAGTAAACTACTTACACTCTATGACATCAATGTTTTAAGCTATGTATTTAGAAATGATCGTTTATGTTTCATTACATTATCAACGTACACTCTATCACACGATCAATTTACAGCCGTAACATTGCAAATGAATAGCACCAATACCAGTGTAGTCGTTCACGTTATATTTTTTTTTTAAGAAAGGATAACTAATGAGAAATTATCTATTTAAAATCAACTGTGTAATTATTTTGCTTAGTTGGAGGTCTGGCTCTTTCTTTTGCTACATTCGACATTCTCGCTAAATTCCAACCTCTCTAAAGTTTTAACACCCACCGCCTCTACAGTCGTAAATTGGAACTACAATTTACATTCAACTCCGCGGGAAATTCAAATTTTTAAACTATCGATAAAGTCAATGTTTTCGACTATTTATGAATGAATAAATAAGAAAAAAAATTCTTATATTAGGATGAAAAAATAATTTATCATTTGATAAATAATTATATTAGAAGTTTTGAATACCTCAATAAAGCTTTTTTCCAACAGTAATCGGTTTCAATGACGAGTAACTGCAATTTCATCATATATGTAGACTTTGCACCAGACATGGAAGAGTCTAGATAATATTTTAGTCTCGTGATAAAATAATTATTACTAATAATTATTATATATTAATGATTTTTTTATACTCCACATAGAAAGCAAAGTTTTATATCACATATGTTCGAATAATACAAAAAAGATTATTGTATTAAAAACAAAAATAAATATTTATATCAATAAATTTTCACATTTAATTCAAAAAGACACATGCAATAATGAAGTAAAGAGTTATATGGGTTTCACATAGAATCTATTGTTGCATTATGCCCTTCGAGTATCTTAAAATATCACACAATGACCTATTTATGTCAACATAAATTTATATTTGACCTGAATATCAATGCTGCAGTCAAACAGCTATAGCTAACCGTTTATTTAATATTAATTATTATTCATTTAGATAAATATTAAGTAAACAATCACATTTCAGTTTAGAGAAAAATAAAAGTTATTAATAAAAGTTTAGGCAGTGATACGGAACCGCTTCCGCGGATTCACTACTTGCAAAAAAAAAACACCATCTCATGGACAATAGACTTGCATCCCTCGGGGTCAGAAAATGAATCAAAAAGCGCAAGCGTACTCTCATGGATCGCATTTCTGGCTGAAAACTACCCCCATCACTATTACTGCTCTAACTCAATAATGACGTCATCCTTTCATTCATTCACGAATATTTTAAGCCCACGCAATTTCCGTTACATTTCACATTTAAGGTTGAGCTTTTTGGCTGTACGGGTTTCACTCACAAGGCCAGCTGGATCTAACTCAGCAAAGGAAAAAAAAAGCTGAGCTTTCCTAAGCTCAAATCACCTCAAATTTTTCGCATCAAATTAGGTTTTTTTTTATTCCTTCTTTTTCATGTAAAAAATATTTATAAATGTTGAGGAAAATGGTATACAAGGAGGAAGACAAAGTTTGTCAGCGTAAGTGCAATAATAATTGGGGTGGTTTCCGTGGCGTCACGATTTTTTTTTGAGTCGCAAAATTTTTGTAATGTCGTACAATATACTTGCAGGGTGATTTTTTTTCATTAAACAGTGCAGCCAAAGCTGTGCAGCCCCCACTATTTTTTAAAACTGCTCAGTGCTGCCACGATGCTTAAGTGACGTTTCTTTGGACACGTTGTCATGAAAATCTACATCTGTACATTCAACGCGTGCGCATATTTGATATTTTGTAAGCATACAGTTCTGTGTACATTAGATCTGTAAAGTGAAGATATTTAGTTTAAATAATTCTTTAGTACAATTCATTTTTATCATTAAACATGTCTGCTAAATCTAAAGCATTTACTAAAGAAGAAGAATTACTTCTTCAAGATTTCTCACGAAATGTATCAACAAAATCATCAGCATTATTTTATGGCAATGCGTTCATCGTTTCTGCTATTCCAATATGTAAGTATTTCCATCAATTGAGCTTCAACTTTCTATCATATTTAATAAAATATAAGAACATTTTTTTATGATTTTGATAAAATTATACATATTTTACATAAAATTTTATAAATTAATTGTAAAAAAGTTATTTTTATGTCATTAATTTGGAGTAAATATGCCTTAGCACTAAGGTGTTGATCATATTGAAATTTTTTAATAATAAAAATATATGCTTTCATTATTTATGATCAATTTTCTTAATTGTTTCAGGGCTTTTCTGGAGAATACATCTAATTGACCTATACTCAAATATTTTCTCCTTTGTATTTATAACAATATTCAGTACTTATGGTTTAGCTCTTGCTTACAAGAACACAAAATTTGTCCTCAAACATAAGGTAACTATTACTTATATTAACTCCTAATTACCACTGAATCAGTTGAATTAAATAAATTGATAATAATCTTATGATAACTTACAGATTGCTGTGAAAAGAGAAGATGCTGTGACCCAAGAAATGAACAGAAAACTATCAGAAGATAAGAAAATGAGTAAGAAAGAGAAAGATGAGAGAATATTATGGAAAAAGAATGAAGTGGCTGATTATGAAGCTACAACATTCTCTATTTTCTACAACAATGCACTGTTTTTGGCAATTGTTATTTTCTGTTCTTTTTATATTTTAAAAACATTCAATCCTGCTTTCAACTATGTTTTATCAGTTGGAGCAACAAGTGCATTTTTAGCTCTTCTTTCCACTGGATCACAATAGTAATGTTTTTATTAATTATTATCATTAGTTTTCTATCAATTTGTATTTATTCGAATAATACAACAGTAATTAACATGTTATCGACAAGTTTATTTACTGTTTGACAATAAAAAGAACTGGATTATGATTATTTTATAAATAAGAGTTTAATGATATTAATTTGAATATAAGTCGTATTTACGAACTATAAATATTAGAATTCTAATCAAGCATTTATATATGCTAACTAAATTCCTGCTCTCCATGAAGCATCTTTGCCAAATTCATCTGTCAACAAACAACCAAATGAACACCTGTAGATGTTTTCAAAGACTCAGGCCAAATAGTTAATTGTAAATTTCCCGATCTACGACAGAATTTCTAAAGTTATATCTTGTGGCGTATTTGCTATTTTTATAATATGCTGTTTTTCTGAAAAGTTATACTTTTTAACATCAAAGTGAATAACAATTACATGCTAATACTTTAATATTTAATTGGGTCATTTGAAATTTTTCATATTTATTTAAAAATAAATCACGAGACTCACGTGTTTGGATTGACTCCAAATGAATTTATCGCCAAATTTCATCTTTTATGTACTAAATTTTACAATTAATCATCAATAAATCATATCACTTATCTATTCAAATTATGAATTACTCATTCATTTAAGCTATTCAATATCAGATGATGTTTACCATAAAATTTATACCAATTTGTATTTAATTATATTTTCAAAAATAAAAATGAGATTCGAATAAAAAATTGTATTGTCATTTAAATTAACTAATAGTACTTTGTTTATTGAATCATTGTTATGGGATTTTTTTTTTTTTTTATAAATGCACAATAACTTAATTATAGTCAACCATACGTCCACGTTTTACTGTTAGTTTCACAAGACCTAAGATTTTCTCTATTTTTATCTCAAGCATTGAAAAGTCTTTAGAATTTAATATTTTATTTTTAATTTTTATTTATTTGAATTGTAATGTAAACAGTAGATTTATTTTTATAATTTCCTGTAATATTGAGTTGTCCTATAAATCCTTGCCAATTAAAAGCAATTTAGTATTTATTATTTTTTTTTATTAATAAAGATGTAATCTTCCTAATTATCAATTACAGTCAGCCACTTATTGGGCAAAGTTTCAATACCCTTAAAAATTAATGGTGGCAAGAATTAATATAATATGAATATTTTTATTTTATATTCAATGAATCAATAATTTCTTATTTTATAAAAAAAACAAAGCATCCAATGAAGACGTCAAGATGCATGATGTTTCATAAAAACAATTAAATAAATAATAATTTAATTTAAAAACAAATAATTTGCAAGCTTTCTGTCTTCATAATGAATGGCAATAAGTTGATGATTATTTGAAAGAAAAAAAAACAAAACAAATCAAAAATAAAAATTATATTTGATGCTAAATAAAAATTTTCGACAGTTTAGTAGGGATATTTTTTTTAAAAGTGTTTTTTATACTTTCTCTCACACTGTTCCATCAAGATGACAAGAATAGCACAAGAACCCTCCGAGCTTTAAACTCTGGCTTTGCTGCTGCTTCTAATGTGGCCGGGATTGGCTGGAGCTTAGGAGTACACGATTACATTGGTGAAGTCCGGGAGACGGCGGGTGATACGCAACCGCTATACCTTTTGGTTTCAAATATTACGGCAGAACTCAACTCAAAGTGTCTCAGTATCAAAAATACCAGTACAACTGAAATCTGACAACCTATTTATTGGATCTAACATCCAGTTACTTCTTCTTATCAGTGATTTTTTTAAAATTAATTAAACATACAAGATGGTATGTTCAATTGATGGTGATCTTGTAAGTCGTCGTTCTGGTAAACACACACGTTATATACTCTCTGATTGTTTCTTCAATATTTCTTATTTAACAAAATCCTTTTCAAAGTCTTATAGCTCAAATATCTTCAAACTATCAATTGATATTTAACTTTTTCCAAAATTTACATTACTTCGACTATCTAACTTAATTCTATTGAACTTTATTTTAACAGTGAATGATTGAATTGAAATATAATATTTCATTTTTATACAGTAATAAAATTCTTAGAACCATTTTGAATGCATCGATTGTTAAATTGTGCCAACTTATTACATGGATTTAATTGTATGTGGGCGTTTACCAAGAATGCAACGACTCTAATGATATGGAGATGAAGTAAATAATTTTCATTATTTCTATTATTATAAAAATACTGGAACACAATTCTCGTATCTATTATCTATATCTGATTATTTAAATTATAAAACTTTATCTATGTGCATGAATAGATTACAATATATGCATTGTTTTTTTTTTTCAAAATTATTCTCTATTTCTATATCGTTTCTAACTACTAATTGGCAAGTTTATTTCGAAAAATTATTATTGAGTTCATTGTCTTGAATGATTAAACTAATTAGAATTATTTATCCTGTTTTTTTAGGCCGACGAGCTCCCTGCAGAACAAATAGCAGGTAAAAGATAATAAATTATTATTATTATTATTAAAAATAATAAATTTCATTTGTTCTACTTACTTTAAGTTATTAGCTTTATCTACTTTATTACAAGTTTATTTATGTTGAATTGAATTGCTAGCAGCTGCTTCTGACTAAATATAGTATTCATCATCTTTCACCTAGTTGATGGAACCAGTATCGAGTAACGATCAAAATCCACTGATCAAACAAGACAAAAATAAATATTTTCAAAAAAAAATTTTGATGTGATATAATCAACTAAAAAATATAGAATCTAAAATAAAAAATATTTAAATGTTAGAAAATAAATAGACTAAAACATATTTACCATTTTTTTCAGTCCTCCGTAAAGCTTTTGATAGCTTTGACAGAGAAAAAAGCGGAAGTATCCCCACGGATATGGTAGCAGATATTCTTAGATTGATGGGACAACCTTTCAATAAGAAAATCCTTGATGAACTCATTGATGAAGTTGATGCAGATAGTAATGATATTTATTTAATTTATATAAGAATATTGTCTTGTTAATTATTTATTTATCTCTTTTATTTTGAATTAAAATAGAATCTGGAAGATTGGAGTTTGACGAGTTCGTGACACTCGCAGCTAAATTCATCGTTGAAGAAGATGCAGAAGCCTTAGAAAAAGAACTTCGTGAAGCTTTTCGATTATATGATAAAGAAGGTAATTGTATAGAATTATAATCATACTATAATGTTGCAACAACGAAAACAACACAATGAAAAATAGAAGATATTATAAAAAGAATATAGATCGTAATACAATTTTGTTTATACTCATGTTGGAATGAAGCCAAATTTTATGTTAAACGAGAACGAAAGCAGCTGGAAAGAAAAACGAGACGTTAGAGTTGCTTGAGACAAATATAGCTACTACCAGGAATATAAATGAGCATAAAACTCTACTAAAGAATGTATTTAACTATTTCAAATAACAAAATCCATTCTGATCATTGATCATATAAATTTAATTATCTAAATTTAGACATTTATTTATTTTAATTAACAATCATTTTTATACATTATTAGCAATGATTTTTATTTTTGTTTTATTTCCAGGTAATGGCTACATCCCAACAACCTGCTTACGTGAAATTTTGAGAGAGCTTGATGATCAACTTACTGATGAGGAGCTTGATATAATGATTGAGGAAATTGATTCCGATGGTTCAGGAACTGTTGACTTTGATGGTAAGTTGTTTTTTATTCTAACACTCGAAATAAATTTCTTGAAATCTCTAATGTTTAAATATGACGAAAATGTTGATCGTTCCAAGTTCAATATCGAGAACTTGGCATTACTAGATCATGTTGCTAATCCTCCTACACATTAAAAAATTCGAAAAATACTTTAGTAGCTGTATCTCTAAATCTAAAAGAAAAAAAAACATCAATACTTAACAATACAATAATATAATAATAGACTGTTAATAATACCATGACTACTTATTTTTGTTACAGAATTCATGGAAATGATGACTGGAGAATAAATATCCAACAACAAAGAAATAATATCCATAAAAAAATATCCATCAACTTGAAATAGCACTCCAACTATTTTTCGGCTTACTTTAAATATACATTCTTTGATACTTAAATTATTTTTATTACACTAAGTGTACGTTCTTCTGCATTAAATTATTAAATAATTAAAAAGTTTATTGTTATTTATTATGACATAATTCATTGATAAACAATTTATTTTTATTTAAAAAAAAAAAATTAATTTAACATATTTTAAATAGTTTTGTCATAATATTTAATTAATAATTATTATTTTTTAATAACTATCTTTACATAGAAATAACTCAAAAACAAAAATTTTCGAGTTATAACAGTCTTACCCAACATCATTTTATTTATTTTATTTGCTATTTATTATGAATCAAAATGATTCATTTTAACTATTATTTATAATTTAATTGACATAACTATGACAAATATTTGTATGATGCTGTATAGATGATTTTAAAATTTTCGACTAGATGAATACATCAATTATTCACAATAATTAATAATAATAACTTTGATTTTAAACCTTGAATAAATGGATCTTTTAATTATTAATATTTTTTTTCTGTTATTATTATAAGAAAAAAAATTACGTATGAATGAGATAATTATTTGTGCAATTTAAATAGCATATGCTGCGGTGCAGAGTTAACAATATCCTGCATTCAATTATATAAATTATTTTTATAGAATTTATTACTAAATTCTTAAATGAGCATAAACATCAAATACCGACTAGATTTTGCTGCAATAAATTTTTTATATCGTCAATAATATTTTTAAAATAATAAAATTTCTTTAAACAAGAGTCTGTAAATCATCATCTTCGACCTCCTTATCCAAGGAGGACGTTGCTAAATGTCACATCTTGAAGAGACTAGGAAATTCATTACTGATTTCACGAATTAATTTCTGATCTCCATGGCTTTCAGATCCTTCTTCACAAAATATTCTAGTAAAACATTTGAGTAAATCTTCCGATCGATGACGATGATCATCATAACCAGAAGTTCGTAAGACTCTTCGACATAATTCAAGATATAGTCGTCTCTAAAAATATTATTAGTATTATTACCAAAATAAGTTTTAAGTGAATATAAAAAAAGAATTATAAATATATTACTTTATCTCCTGGAGGAATGTCGAATAGTTGTCGAAGAACGATATCAATCAACACTTTAACGTCATTAGTATAAAACAATAAAGCTGTCTTCTCTGAAGCAAATAGATCGATGAATAACTTCAATACAGAATGAGGAGGAGCAGGTTGATGATCAAATATTCTCACTGGATCTTCTTCTCTATTTAATAGCAATAGTATTTTTTGTGTGAACGTTTTGGCAGTTGTCCTCTCTTTCAGTGCATTAATCACAATATTTTCTGAAGTGACAAATTGTAAATTATACGATAAAATCAAGTTGGTGAATAAATCAGGAATCTGATCTTCTAAATCAGTGTCAGGTGGCTCTTCAATAGATTCTAATAAAAATGATATAAAATCAGGTCCTAATTGTTCTAAGTGTGTTATAGGCATTGGTTCACCCATCGAAAAAATCATAGTAAGTAAAAGAGATGAATAATTTAACTTTGGCACATTTCTAGGATTACTTGTCATATCTCTAGCAAGTTCCATAGGTAAAATACTATTCAACATAATTGTCACCACTACAAGATCCAAACTACACATAACTCCAAAAGATTGAAGCAGTAATTGTCTAATAGTCCATCTTGCTTCCATCTGATAATATTGAATTAAAGTTGTAACTCCATTATACTGATCTTGTCTCAGTGCATGTCTTGATACATTGGCATCAGCATTTGTTAATATAGATGTCAATTCTTTGATGTATTCCACAATTATCGATTCATCTTCATATAACATCCAACTTCTTTGCTGAGAATCCTCTTTGCATGATGTTAATTCATTAAAAATAATTTTTAATCTATTCGCATCATATGTATCTTCAATACGCATCTTTGAATTAATTAATGGCATCTCTAATTGATTTAATACAGCATCAAAATAATGACTTAAATTACTAGGTAATAATTGTTGTAATCCTGATACAACAACATTCACAGCCAATTTCGACATTTCATAAGAAAGTTGAGTATTTTTTCTTACATCATCCAACAGTTTATAGGCAGCACGTGAATCTATTTCAAATGTGCTTGTATTTGTGTTATTTTTCGTTGGAGATACCCGACTTGGTTGACGTAGATTTGATTGTATAGGAGTTTTTTGGCCTTCTACAATATCCGAATGTAAACGTTGAGCATTTTCTGATGATAATTGACGAGGGAATGATGATCTTCGTTGATCATTAGTTAAAGAATTGCGGTGATCTTGAGTCTGTGGAATTATTTGTGCACTTATAGCCTTTTCTCCATCATGTAAATTACTTTTAGCAATCTTAACTGGTACATTAGATGTTGGTGTTTTAATTTCTGTTTCTGTTTTATTGTGCGGAAATACAATTTCTTTATTTGGTGATGTTGATGTTGTACTGAAAATTGGTGGAGATGGAGCTTTCTTTTTTTGTCTTCTACTTGATTCTGCTTGTCTCTTTTTCTCTACTAGCTTCTGAACAAGATCCTGTTTATCTATTGGTAAAGGAGCTCCAGGTTTTACAAATTCACTGCGAAGTTTTTCAATACATTCTTCTAAAAAATCAATCATAAATTGTGGTTGTACCTAACAAAAAATTAATCAGCTGAATAAATCTAATAAACTCAATGTTGAATTATATTTTAATGACATTATTTTAGCAAACCTTAACTGTTGTTACATAGTTGGAGGGAATATATCCTAGTTGGCCGGTATTATTAACAACTTGCCACCAATTACGTTGCTTAGAATTTGATTGATGCAAAAGAAAATGATCATTTTCTTTAAAACTTAAAGTTTTAGCAAAAGTCGCCTTGAAATCATACAAGGCCTTCAGCATTTCATAATTTTCTAAAGAACAATTTATTTATTGATATTTAAAGTAAACATTAAAAAATAATAAATAAATTAATACAATAATACATACCTAACCTAATATTATTTTCATCCATCCTTTAAATTATTTACTTATCGAAATGAATTTGATTTATATCTTGACAACGCCCAAGTGTCACAAGTAGTTTTAGGCCTACCACAAAATATACAATTTACTTTCATTTACTTCTAGCATTTTATTCTATTTTCCTTTCCCCATTTTTTGTAAAGAAAAATGACGTGCTAACGTCGAGGAGTGCAGCTGTATAGTCGAACTGAGAAAAGAGTTCCTCAGTTGCTTCAATGCTTTCGGGTTCCCCACCACTGATTTTCTACCCCTTCTACCATGTTTTTTACTACTGCGCAAGCGTACAAGAACACATGAAGAGCTTCTGAGGAACTCTCTTCTCAGTCCGACTATAGACTAATAAAACTATATATAGTCGGACTGAGAAGAGAGTTCCTTAAATGCTCTTCATGTGTTCTTGTACGCTTGCGCAGTAGTAAAAAACATGGTAGAAGGGGTAGAAAATCAGTAGTGGGGAGTCCGAGAGCATTGAAGCAACTGAAGAACTCTTTTCTTAGTTCGACTATAGTCGGACTGAGAAGAGAGTTTCTCAGTTGCTCCAATGCTTTCGGGCTCCCCACCACTGATTTTTTACCCCTTCTACCATGTTTTTTACTACTATTTTACATTTCCTATTGCTACTACTCGAGCTATTCCTGCTTCAGTGAAACCTGTTGTATCAGGCCAAGCTATAGCCCAAGCAGTGCAAATAAAGTCAACCGGACAACCAACAGCTCTACGAGTTGCATCTGCAAGTGTCATTTCTACATCAACAATCACTACTACGACTACAACAGCTACTCCAATACCTGCTGGTACAACAGCATCAACTGCGACTATTATTATAAATAATAGTAATAATACCGATAATTCACCAACGCCTGTACCTCAATCGTCTCTGTACCCTCAATATCGACAGACTTCGGTACAACCAGTACGATTACTTGTTGAACCTAGTCATGAAGAAAATAATGGCAAGCCAAATGCTTCACCAAGGCCAACAAATGAAAGTTTAACATTGCGTTTTTTTTAAAATTAATTTATTCATGTTTTTACAATTACTTAACTTTCTTACTCTTAATCTTTCTCATATAAAACTCCAATTCTTTTCCCTCTAGGATATAACCATCAGTGCGACCGCACTGGCCAGGTCTACTTGAAATACATGCCAAAACACGTCCAGTAGCAAATTGTTCGTCTAAAGCCGGTTCCACCTTTGCAAATTGTTGACGTGCTTTGTATTTATTTTCAGTTTTATTGGATCTTTTTTTATTGAAGATTTCCTCTTCAGCTTCAGACTATAAATGATTTATTATTTATATTAATTAATTATAATTTTTAACTAATAATAATAGAGTGAAATTGGATGCATATTTAATCAAAATGATCAGAATCTTACAAGTTTCGATCCTCGCTTGCGTCCTAGAGGCAGAATGTAATGACTTTCATACCATTGTCTAAAAGGTGTTGCGTCAATGGTGACAATAGCGTTTTTCACCAACGTTTTTGTACGCACAAGTTCATTGTTTGACGCATTATAAACTACGTCAATAATGCGTGTTTTTCGGGTAGTGCATTCACTTCCCCATGAAAAATTACCGGTATCCAACCGTAGAGCACGGTATTTTTTATTTCCTCCACGAGTACGTACCTAAAAATTGTTTAAAATTAGTTTCCATATCCTATGATGGTTTGTAAAATTAATAATATAAAAATAATTTCAGATCGCTGTGGGATTTGTGTGTCAACATAGCACTCAGAGTAGGTAAGGTGATCATCATTTCAATTTAAATACTAGAGAATCAAATAAAAATAAATACTTTTATACAATAATTATAAGTTTAGAACTGAATTTTTAGATTAATTGATAAATTAAATGAGAAATCGAGATAAGAAAATTTCTAAAACACAATAATACTCACGGTATGAATTCGTTGAAGTCCAAGTTTTGTATTGGCAGCCGGCCGTCCTAACTCGAACTTCCTCTTCTTTCGGAGAGGTTTCCGTTTACCTCCGGTTGCGCGTCTTTTATGCCAATGATCGCGCGAAATACCTGGAATTAATTCATTTATTTTCAAAAACACAAATCAAACAACTGCACCCATTTTCCAGTGAATCTACTAATAAACCATAGCTATCAGCGTTACAACTAATAACCTATGGCTTTCACTGTTACTACCAAACAATTAATTTTTCACTTGATTAGCTCATGATTACGCAAAAATATTAATAAACTTATATAAAATAAATATTCATTAACAATCTTGGATGAATAATTTTGCAATATATCATGTAAAAAAGTGGATGATTGTCAATTAAAATAAATTTTAAAGGAAATGTGACACTCACCCATCGTGTATCAGGGTAAAAAGAACATAAACTATAGAGTCAATCAGATAAGTGAGCTGGTGAATTAAAAGTCGTCCATTTTGAAACTACCAAAACGTCACTTATCGGTAAATATGCGAAACAAAAATTTGAATGGTTGGCAACGCTGCAGTCTCCAAGGGGCTCAACGTACTATTTTATACTTTTTTTCTCTGTTCAAATACTATTGTTATTATAATCATAATAATAATAATACTTAGCTTCAACAATCAGGCATAGTCGAATGGCTGGAATAACAACTCCTGCTCCAATGAGAATAAACTGCGTGATCGCCAGCATTTCCCCACCTTTGAGAACCTCTGATTTTAATTCTACTTTATTTTATTCTTAATCTCACCTAAGATCTATTTAATTATCTCTTTGTCTATTAGTCGTTACGAAATTCAATATTAATAATACTACATGTCAGGATGAATAAAAAACTTTTAGTATAGAATAAAAAATGTTCTTATTAAAAAATATTTTCAAAGTTAATAAAAATATTTTATGATTTTGGATTTAGATATAAACATTTAATTTATGATCCTTCAAACATACCAACTGATAATAAAAGATTTCTTCTAGTAAAATGAAGAGTAAGAATTGGAGAGTTTTTGGTTGGGAAAGTTCTTAATAAATATGATTCAGTAGAAGTCTTGACATCAGGATTGTGGGATACATTAACATCTTCCAAACTCATTTCTTCAGCTAACTTTGTAAAATCCCATAATTTGACAGTACAATCTAAAGATGCTGTAATTAAAAATATTTTTAAAAATTTAATTTACAGTTATTTCTTGGTAGTAATACTGTAATACATTTGATTATCAAATTTCATTACCAGAAACTAAAATATTTCCATCTCTACTAAATGATAGACAATGAATAGTACTCGTGTGTCCTGATAATGCTGCAACTAAATGACCGTGAGCTAAATCCCACACGAGAACTCTATTATCAGCTCCTGCTGACGCTAAAAATCGACCTTCTGTAGAGAAAGTGAGTGCATAAATCGGTCCTTTATGTCCTGTCATTAATCTCACTTGAAGTCCTGTTACACAATCCCACAATCTTACAGTCATATCGCTAGATCCACTTGCTATATAATTTGAATTTGGATGAAATTGAACTACCTAAATTAAATGAAAGTCAATAGAAATTAATAACTTACAATAATAATGATTGATTAAACTATATTAATAAACTTACATCAACATCAGAGTAATGCCCCGCAAATATTCGAAGCGGCTGATGAGAATCAGTGGCCCAAAGTCGGGCAGTTTTATCGTGAGAACCCGTGGCAAAATAATAACCGTGAGACGAAAATCGAACTGACCATACAGGGAATAAATGACCTTTATATGAAACTACGCACGTCCATGTATGTAATGACCACAATCGAACTGAATATAAACAAAAAAAAATACTTAATATTTTTTTAAAAATAATAAATTATATAATGATATTAAAAAAAATTGTTGATAATTACTTGTAGCATCTTCAGAACAAGATAATAATAAATTTCTATCAGGACTGAAGGTTAAACTATAAACAGGACCACTATGACCATGCAAGGTTTTTACTGTTTCTGCCGTACGGTCATCCATCATCCTTACTAGAACATCATCTGCTTCTCTTTCAGTATCAGTTAATGCTTCTCCAGTTTTCATCGATCTTAATTTTTGTGGTACCAAACTCCATACTTTAATTATAGAATCACTGAATCCTACAGCCAAAAGGCTCGAGTCTTCCGAAATTTCAGCTGATGTTACACTGTGGACTGTATTCAGTAATGTGTAGAAACATATAGAAGGTAAAGAATCGGGTCCTAATGTAACTCTTTTTGAGGCTTCACGCAAAGCTTTTACTTTTTCTAATTTATCTATATCCTTCCTAGAATATTATATCATATTGAAAATAAAAATAATAAATTTTACTGTTGAAGATAATAAATAATTTCCTTACAAATATGGTAGTGGCATTCGACCAAGGGGAGGAGCATTTGGATCAGATTTAGTTTTCTTAGAAAATAATGGATCTTTTTTAGGTTTTTTCTTCTTCGGTTTATCCCCCTCGGCTCCAGGGGTTGATTCATCTTCTTCCTCTTCGGCTGGTGCCATGCATTGGATGTCTGGCTCTTTCAATAGTCCATAATAAACTTTTACTTTATTGTCTGTATAAAAAAATTAATTTAAAAAATCACTACTAATTAATAAAGAATTGTATTTATATTAATTTATATATTACCTTGTCGCGTTGCTTCGCCCAATGTAGCACCAGACGTGGCTTCTATTTGCTGTTTATTTCTAGCAACACCTTCATACATATCAAAATAAAGGTGTTCTTGAATAATATTCAACAACACGCTATGTTTTTTTTCTTGTAGGTGCCGTTTTAGTATTGAAAGAGTATCTCGAGAGATCCTTATGATGAATTGATTTGATCTATAATGTAAATTCTTTCAAAAATATAATTGTTTCAACAGAATAAAAATAATTGAATTTTGTAAATTGATTGAAAATTACTTGAAGGTATCCGTAAGTTCATTGCCAGCCATTTGTTCTCTCTTAGTCATATGAGAAAGCCTTTTTAAATCATTTTGATAATAATCTTCTAAATTACCGCTAAATTTTTCCATCAACTGTTTCGCCTGCTCTGAATGATTATTATATACAAGCTCCAGGTACATATGAACCAACACAGGATATAATATTGTTCCCAACTCATGCTGAAAGAATGAACGATAATTAAAAATTATATACCTGACTAAAAGTTCTTGTAACTTTAAATTTGGAACAAAAAATAAGAATTACAGGGTATTACTTTATATATATCCAGTGAACTTTCTACAAATTTTTTTAATTCACTATATGCTTTTTCGTAAAGGGCTGGATCTCCTTCACTTTTATAAGCTGATAATACACTACTGACTTCAGAATCAGTTTGTTGGTTTTCGTCAACATCTACATTAACTAAATTTGCTTCTTTTCTAAATAATTCTTCTGTACCCTGAAATTAATAAAAAAATAAATAGAATAATTAATAAAGTGGATTATGGAAACAAACACTAACAATTCGAAATTGTAAACAAAAACAATTTGAGGTTAGGTAAGAACATTGAATATTTACCTTAAGATTGTATTTTTTAAGGAATTGAAGAACAGCTAATAATGTATTTCTTTCATTATCCATGATTGATTAAATAATATTATTATTCACTTTTTATTATAACAATATTTTATAAAACGCCGCAATAAAGACGTTGGAATTCGAATAAGTTCTTTTAACTTTGATTGACTTGAGCAAAATTCTAACCACTGTTTAGAGGTTAATTATCAATCACTTAATATATGTTACAATTGTATGAACATTTTCGGCTCATTTTGTTATTTTTATTTGTACAATTTATAATTATTTATTGAATAATTATTATCAGAGAAGGAAGTTTTTTAGTGAATTAGACATTGTTGATAGTTCCGCATGGCGCGCTGTATGTAATTTCAAAATCTGAGGATTTTTAACCCATGGGATTTTTAATCCTGCAGGATTGAACTAGTCTCTCTTCTCTGATGCCGAATAATATTAGTTGCTGTATTATTTTTCCAATAATATAACTTTTAATAACTGAAATAAATCTACAATGTTTACAGAATGCTGAAAGGGAGAGAGAGAATCAAAAAATGTTGGAAGAAGCGCTGAGAAACGTGGAAAATAAATCAAGTGGTACAAAAAAATTACAATGAGTTTATAAATATCAGTGTAATAGATAATACTTTACATTTATATAAATAAATCAAAGAGATGTAACGGCTTTTTATGTCCAAGAAATTCTAATATATTTTCTATTTAATTTAGTACTAACTTTAATAAGGGTGATATTTACACCCATGCGATCCATGAGCTTTATTTATAGATATTTCTATTGTTATATTCCTCCCTATTCTTTATCAAAATCCCGCTATCAATAAGCAATCAAAATACTAATTTTGTCAATAAATCATTTTATGGAGCAATCATTTGAAATTACATAGAAACGTGAGTGTAACCTTACTTTCGTCGCTAACTTCCGAGAGGTGATTTTCTGGCAACCCTGCTACAAAATCTATTGGTGACAGAATAATTTCATAAACAGTATTATACTGTAGACAGTATTATTGATTTTATATATGAATGTCTTTTCTAATGTTATTGTTTTCATTCGTTTGTATTTATAATAAAATGGACGATATGATATTAAGACTACCGAATAATGTTCTTGAAGTAATATTTTCATACTTAGATTTAGCCAGTCTCAAAAATTGTTCACTCGTATGTAAATCTTGGTACAAATTTCTAAGCAATGAAAGTAGTGAAATTTGGCGAACTCAGTGTTTAAAGAAGTTAGCTGAAGATGTTATTAATTCTGATTTATTAGCATCAGTTCCTACGTATAAAGAAAAATTACGTGCATATTATCATGCTTGGAATCCTAATGATTGCTCCAGAAATGTTTATATCAAACCAAGTGGATTCACTTTACATAGGTTAGTTTCGATTAATTGTTTTCAATTTAAATAAAACAAGTTTTTCAGATTTTATAAAACATTATTTGTAGAAATCCTGTCGCACAAAGTACTGATGGATGTAGAGGGAAAATTGGATTTACTCGAGGTCGTCATGCCTGGGAGGTAATGTGGGAAGGACCTTTGGGTACAGTTGCAGTAGTTGGAGTAGCTACTAAAGACGCTGCTCTTATGTGTCATGGTTATGTAGCATTACTTGGATCAGATGAACATTCTTGGGGATGGAATTTGGTGGACAATCTTCTTCTACATAATGGAGATGCTCAAGGAAATTATCCTTTATTAAATAATGCTCCAAAATATCAAGTAAGAAACTTTGTATTTCATATATTTCTTTCTCAATTGATTTTATTATTCTCTTACTCTTCATAATCAATTTTTTCCTCTTTTCAGGTTGGTGAAAGAATTCGTGTTATTTTAGATTGTGATGACAATACATTGTCTTTCGAAAAAAATTACGAGTTTCTTGGAGTTGCATTTAGAGGTTTACCAGATGTAAAATTATATCCAGCAGTGACTGCAGTTTATGGTAATACTGAAGTTTCTATGGTTTATCTAGGATCTCCTTTAGATGGTTAATAATAAATATTAACAATGAATATAGATAGAATAATAGTTAATTACAGTATCATAAAATGTCTTCATTTCAATTAGCGTTAACTAGATTTTTTTTATTTATAAAATAATGCTAGCATAAAACTTTTTCTTCCAAACAAATTTAAATATTTGTTATAATTTAGCATAAAAAATTACGGGTCCAAGACTGTTGAAAAATTTTTTTTTTATTTCATTGAATGAGATAATTGATTTTGTATAAATTTTTAATTGCTAATTAATTGTAGCTGAAAATATTCATGAAAATAGAATTATCTACTTTATATAACTAAATAGACCTACATGTACTGATCGTGATCAATTACTGTTAACATACAGTTTCATTGTTCACATACTTAGAAGAATATTCAATGATTCCTTTTTGTACTTTGTCTAATTAAATTTAGTCCCAAGTTGCCAAAGAGTTGATATTTTGAACGTTTCATTTAATGACAATACCAATGAATGTAAATTATTATACAATGAGTTTTGCTCATTTTTTAAATAGTACAATCTTTGTAGATATAATATATCAATAATTACAATTATATTTATATATTCATGTAAATATTCATCACTCTCTGTATTGCCAATTTTATAATTATTTATTATATCGACTCATCCATATGTGTAAATGATTGTATATACCTAGTATAAATGTTCAGGAAAAAATTGTTTTTATTTAATGTGAAGTGATTGTTAATATATTTGAATTTTTGTATAATTAGATCAGTATTTGATTTAAATTAATATGCTTAAATATATGTATTTATTTAATTTTATTGTGACAATCTTATGTTTGTTGTAAATCAGTTGTACATAAATACTCGTTCAACTTTTTATTATTTATAAATTAATAATAAACTAATGGTAACTATTAATGATTTATCCAGTGTCTTAAAATTAAAAAATTTAATTTCATAGGCCAATTAAAATATGAATGTCCGAGTTTTATAAATTCTAGTCACTCTTTATTCATTTTAAGATAGTAATTATACCATTACGGAGTTAGTAAAATAGTTTGTCATGTTTTTGAGCTGAATATATAATGAATAATTAGTTTTATGGTACATTTGTATAAATTGACATCGATCGTTGAAATTTGATAAACTCAATTTAATGCCAAACTTAGAGCATTCGACTATCAGCTATTACTTTCCTCTTATCATAAAGTAATTTGCTTATATTTATTACAATATGTACAATAAATAATTTATCTTATCATAGTATACATGATGATTAACTTTATTCTTAAGTTATTATAATAATACTTAACGTAAATATTTTTGACTTAGTTCATGTATGAGATAACAGAATGCTCATAAAAATATTTTTTTTAATTGTGACTAAAAAATTTTTGTTACTGCATATTTAGGCAGACTACGGATGATCACAGCTTTTATATATTATCTCTATTATGTTTATAAAATTTTTAATTTAAAAATCATTAAAAAAGATTACTTACTAGCAATGTTTAATTAGCAATTATTATTAAACAAAGCTGCATTAATTTAATTTTTGTCAGTAAATTATTTGCTCGATTTTGAGTTTAGAATAAATTATTTATAATAAACTGTTTATAATTTAAAATTATTTCGACATGCTTTTGTTTAATGATAATTATTTACTTTAATTTTATTATTGAATAGTTAATTAATGTTACTAATCATTGTGTTAGTTGAGATCATAAATTAATTAAATTATAATTTAATATTATTCAACATGCACTTCACCATTTTTACGATCTTTTTGTCTACTTTGTAATTCCTCGTCACTTTCACTCTGAGGAAATTTATGGTCTATCGTATGATTAATAGACGACTTTACTCTAGTTGGAGGAAATTTAGTGAGAAAATAATTGGCTATAACACAAAATAATTTCGCTAATATTGGACAGAGTAATCCTTCATGAACAACAGCTGCTAGACGATAAAATTGACCTTCAAATGGGTCCGAAAGTGCTGGGCAAAGAATGTGGCTCAAATTGACTTGAACAGGCTAATCAAAAAATAAAATAAAATATTACTTATCAGTTATCACATAAATATATTTAATATTAAAGTATTTACCAAAGCAACAAGCTGTAATATCCACCAGTGATAGGCTAAATTAAATCCATAAGCTAATATACACCAGCTAAAATCAGAGAGTGGTTCAATATTGTAAACACCTCCGATTCTCATCAAATAATATGGAATAACAACCATCATTCCATGTTGGAGCCAATACATAGCTTGGTCAGCAAGCAGCTGAAATAATTTATTTATCAATAATAATTATGATAGTTCTTTTAATAACATGAACAACTTACTTTTCTAGATTCAACTTCAGGAAAAACATATGCAAGAACAGGTCCATTTAAAAAGTTTAATTGCAGCCTAAAAATTGCAGTGACGATAGAACTTGGTTTAGCAGCTAATAAATATAATTGAATCGCTGTTGTGATGTGACAAGGATTGAGTATATACACAAAAGTTCGGCTGGTAAGTTTAAAACCAATTTCCATACCAAGTATCAAAGACATAAAAATCAATAAGGCCTTTTTTCCTGTTCTATCTTGATTTACATATTTTACGTTTTTTGGTAGATTAATACTCTTGAAACCTTTTATAAATAAATAAATGATCAAAACAGATACTCCTAAGGTTTCGAATAATCTGTAACGTGGTGACAAATATCCAGCACACTCAGGACCAATATTTCTTGGTATTGAACCGTTAATACCATCATATGCCCATTCAAACATGTTGAAATAGCTGCTACTGAAAAATAGAGAATGTTTATGTCAATAATAATTACTTGATAAATTATATAAGACTATGTAAATGATTAATCATCGATGATAAATGATAGCAATGCATAACTATTAGTCTGGTTTTTTTATTATTTATGCAATATCATGAAAAAACTCTGATTATATGCATTCACTAATTATTATAGCTGCTCCATAATACGTTTACATTTTATTTTTTTATTTAAAAGCGTTAAAAACATGGTATTATTATCAAACAAAACTATTTTATTATTGTATTGATTAAATATAATGTTATAAAAACACACAGAGCAGTTTTTGAGATTTAACCCTAAAATTTGAAATTATTAAAAAATTAAATAATTGAGAAGAAAAAAAATAAGATGTAAATAACACTGCAGATGAATTTTTCCGTAATGATAAAGCTGTTAAAAATAGTGAAAGTATAAATGAATTACATTCAGATATATAATTCACTGTTAAATGAGTAACTGAAATAGAGGTTATGCTTAAATAAATGTACAAACACAACTAAGAACATCCACAAATTTTTTAAACTATTAAAATTACTGATAAAAAGTAATTTGAAAGAATTTTACTCACAACTATTGTGGACACGATCCTATACGAGTGAAATGTAAAGTCAATAACTATTCCTAGCTAGGTAGTAGTGTATTACCAACAATTTTATACGCATGCTTGATTACTTCTAGTTATTTTATACTATATATATGCATAAAACAATGAATTGAGCTATGATTCAAATAATTTTATGAAAGCATTCATTTGTTATTGAGTAATAAATAATAATAATAATCATTAATACAAACTTTTATCATCATTTCTTTGTTAATAAAACATGAGGTTTTTAATACTCTACAAAACTTTATTCTAGAAAATTTTTACAACCAACTTGATATTTTAATTAAATGACAAAAAATATCATTAAACAGTAATAACTCAACTAGCCTCAATTAAGTACTTATTTAAATATGTTCAACATTGTTATTAACATTAATTATTTTTCTTAACAACATCTAATTAAATAATTGACCATCTTGTTGATAAATTTAACTTTCTATGAAGTTATGCTATACAAAGCTGTACAAGCATCTAAATATTACTTTATCACTAAATTCTTATCAAACTAATTATTCAATATTTGTTGTCTATATTCATTTTTTTGAGAGACTTTTTTATTTCACAGGCAAGCTTATATCCAAGTTCTGGTCTCCTATCTCTACCCTCAACCATAGCTTTTACCTGACTTGAATTAACAATAACACCATTACTAGCAATAACTGACGATTTTGTTTTTTCAATGTCAACTAAATCAACCCCCCGACTGCAATCATCAATGAGAATAGTACGATATCCACTGGTTAAAGCATCAAAAGCAGTAGCACCTACGCAAACATCATATGCAAGTCCGCAAACGTAAATGTCAGTAGCTCCTTTATCTTGAAGTTGCGAAGACAAAGTAGTTTCAGTCAATTTTTTATTATCCCAGAAGACAGAATAGGAGTCAACGTCTGGATTAGTACCTTTATAAATTTTAATAGCTTTATCAATAACTTTTAAATCTTTATGAAGCTCAGCTCCCCAGGAATCTTGAACACAATGACGAGGCCACAGACGTTGTTTCAATAGTGGAGGACCTTTAAATGTCACTGTGTCGTATACTTTAGCATCATCTTTTGATATTGGACTTGACTCATCCACTTCTCTATAAGAAGAGTATTTATAAAATTAACAAATCATTTTCTATTCTATACATGAGACTTTTTTTAAGATTATTTGCTCTACAAGTCTCTCATAATCTTATCTAAAGTAAATATCTAAATTTGTTTTAAATTAAAGTTCAATTATAGATAATAAAATAAACATAATTACATCATGATAAAAAAGAATGATCGAATTGATCATGTAAATTAAAGCATTTACCTCAAGTGCAAATTATCAATGAAAGAAACGTGATCAACAGGGTGCCAGTCCAGGGAATAGAAGACAGCATCGAAAGTCACGGTATCAAGTAACCGATTTATTGGTTCAATTACTTCTGAACCGTCATGTTGAGCAGCACAATTCTTTATATTCAGCGATCCTGATATAAAGTCGTTTTGAACATCAACAATGAGGAAAGCACTTTTAGGCCTTGTACATATTTTTATCCACCGGTTCCAACATACCTGGAAGTAAATAAAAAATATCAATGAAACGTATTTTACAAAAGTTTGTCTGTTATATCACGAATCGATAGTGAAATAAAAAAACTATAGTGCTTCAATAACTATGACTTAATTATTTGTGACCAACCTTTGTTGGAATATTTATGTAACTTAACAATCATACCTTTAACTATAATCTATAATCAAATCAAAACAAAAAAGTATAGGAAAGAAATATTTAAAATTACCTCAAATTCTTCTCGATCCAGAAATCCATCATTTTTGGTATCAAAAATATCGAAGATCTCTTTTAATTGATTTTCTTCTATGTTATAAACTTTGCCTCGATCATTCCGAAAGAGTGCCCGGCATATTAATTCAAATTCGTCAATCGATAGAAAGCCATCAGCATCCCTATCGAATGCAGTAAAACAAGCATCCATGTCGACTGGTAAAGACATTATAAAACACTTTTCTTCACGTTTCTAAGTAATTTGTTAAATCAATATGTGTTACTTCTTTGGAGAAATCGACCTATTACACATACGAACAACGATATTCAACTGCAATAAACTTTGCGAACTCATTGACGCGCCTTATTTCCGTACCATTTTGAACTGGCAACTATTTTCAAATAGGACTGAGTGAGAGAGATTGAATCATAAAATAACGAATGGATAGAAAAAGAACGAGATATATTGAATCTAGCGTCCTCTAACCACGTGTTTCAATTTATTCATGCCAGTGTAGCTGTTAGTAATCGTCAAGAATTGTTAAATAAAATTTCATTGCTAATCAATCACATGTTTTTTTCATTGATAAACAATTTATTGAATCTTATTTACGAAGAAAACCGCGAATTTTCTTTCTTTATAAAAAAACTTATCAATTATAAATCATTATTAATATTTTCAAAATGATTTGCTGTATTATTGATTCAACCGATGATGCGTCATAAGTGCCACATCAACCATAACTTCTGGCTGTAATAACTCAAAAGCTTTGTATTTAGTAGACTCTTCGTATGCATAAGTGACAGAAGTGTCTGTTAAAAGAATATTAAACTTAGCTAAAATTAAGATACAATTTCGCAACCTTGCGCAAATTTCTAAATCTTCATCAGACACTTGACTCAAGTCCTGCGTGAATCCACCTTCCGATCGATCAGTACTACTACTAGAAGCTCCAACCCATACATAGCCATTATTTCCTAGTATAAGTGTTGCACCATTGGTCAGATGATGAAAATGAGTTTTCTTTCTTTTGATCAAAGCTGGTGGAACTTTGATCATGATTCCTTGAGACAATTTTCCATATTTTAGAACGCGTGTATGAAGAGATAGAGATCCATCTTGATATGAACTTTGCACTTCTGCACATATTAGATCACCTTCTTGTAAATAACGACGCATTGTCTGTTCATCTTCTGCTGACCTTCGTCTCTGTTAATTTAATTAATTTAATGATTAAAGATATAATTGGGAATATTATTGTTATTGTAATGTTATAAGCTTTTTTACCAGCTCTCCTCCAGGGAGGTTAATACTAGATAATAATAAAACTGAATCCAATTTGCAGTTTGTATCCACTTTCCATCGACTTTGTCGAACTTCAGTAATCCTACCAACAACTACATCCCCTATTTCTCCTTGATATCTGGCTTTAAGAGGTCTTACAGATATTAATTTATTAACTTTCTCTAAAACTCCAGCTACTGATGCTCTTAAACGCTCATCTTCATCCACATATGTTCCATGACCTCTGTTGATTAATAAACAATGATATAAATGGAATAAAAAATATATAATGTTAATTCATAAATTAATTGTACCTTAAATAGTCTGACTGAGTGGTAATTTTTTCGCCGGGAGTATAAATTTTCTGGTGAATATTATCTCGTGCGAGAAAATTCATTTCAGTACGATCGACTGCGAGTCGTATTTCAATTTCAGGAATTTTATCCATTGTTTATTAGGTAATTTTTGGTTGTAATTGTTTAAAATACACGGGAATTGTTTTTATACAAATTTATACACACGAATTTGTATTGTTGAAAAACTAACCTAACTTAACCTAACTTCGATACATGTGTAGTATATGCCAAATCTATAGTGCATAAATCACATTGGAACTGTTTGAAAGGTTAGAAACCTTTAACTGAATTCAATCTAACTGTAATTATTATTTACAAACAATTAAAAATAAAAATTTAATTATTTCAAGTATGTAATGATTATATTGTATAACGATAATACATTTATTCATCAAGTTAATGTTTTTACTCGTTTTTTTTAGACTTTAAACAAAATGAGTGAGTTCGTAATTACACGAGGTGCGCAGTTGAAGAAAAATGCTGAAAAAAATTTGATTTCAGTTGTGTATTCATCAACAAAAAGAAAAGAAAAGTTAGATAGTGCAAAAAATAATGTTAATGAAAAATTTACATCCAAACCAACTTCAATGAAAGATGAAAAAAATGAGCAAGAAAAAGAAATGAAAAGGCTACGGTGGGATGTGATGAAATTTGCTTCATCAAGTTTACAAGGGAAACAAAAACATGAAGCAAATGTAGCATTAGCTATTTCACTAGGTGCTAAACCTCCAAAAAATATAAGGAAAAATTATAAAATATTAAAGGAGAGAAGACAACAAGAGAAACAGAATGCTGTTGAACAACAAGTACAATCAGGATTTACAGGAAGCTTGAAAAAGCCTAAAATGAATGTAAAGAAGAAGAAGAAAGATACAGGTCTTCTGGGTGTTTATGGAAAAGTGCACAAGCAATAGTTAAGTAAAATTAATTGGAGTAAATATAATTGTCAAATTGATTTTGTCAAAGGTATTTAAAAATTTCATTTAATGATACTTTATTTTTTATTTAAACTCTAGAAATATAAGTAAACAAATTAATAATTCTTGTAAATAATTGAAAAATCATTAAAAATTTGATGTGTTCTTATTGAGGTTACAAATAATATTCATGAAACATTATAAATAAGTTTACACAACTTACAACATTTATTAACTGTTGGAAAAATAATTATAATATTATTGTGTTGTATATTCTGTATTATATCATTACATATAACTCGTAGTAAAATAATATATAATTATATTTATGTATAAGATCAGATTTAGAAAAAATCATCTTTTTAAAGTCAACAATAAAAAATTTCTATATATTTTTTAAAATATGATTTTCAATCTTTAATCTCCAATTCATGAAAATACAAAATAATTAAATATTTTTATTTTTTCAACATCCAATGCCATAATGGAATGATTCGGCACTCGATAAATTTTAAAAAATTGCTTTACAGTATTTAAAACAATTAAATAACTATATTTCATCTCAAATTTTATCATGTATTATTACAGAAATAATTTAAAAAATAGATTTTTTTTTGTATTTTAATATATTCCAGTGTTAAAATGCTTTTTAACCATCATTTTATCGTAATAAAATCAGTTTTACATATCATTTTGATAGTTTTAAGTATTTAAAAACATTAAAAATGAATAATATTTAATCGAATTCTATTGATGAAATAGTAAAAAAATTTTTTGTTGATATCAGTTCTTCAATCATCCTAAATAGTCTAATTGAATCATGATTATAATTAATCATACGCGGCAGCAGTTGGAGCCACCTCTAGGAGCATTTGAAGAAAAACATTGACCCTTTCTGAAAAATAAATAAATAATCAAGTAGTCTTATAAATATATTCATGGAATATGGTAAAATAGTGAATAATATATCAACATTACCCATAAACTTGGGCACGTATCCATATTTAACAAATGGGAGGTAGAATAACATGCCAGCAGCGATAAAACCAGCGGCATACAAATACTCGATTTGTGGATTATCAATAATCGGGCCAACTATCAGGTACATTGAGATTCCTAGCACAAAAATAGGTATGACAAGTGGACATTTATAAGGTCGAGGATGATTAGGTCGTGTTTTGCGCATCACTAAGAGAGCGAGCATTGAACCTCCATAAAATATCCAAGCCGTAAACGAAAAGAAATCAATCAAAGAATCAATATTTCCAGATAGTACCATTGTAGCTGGAAAAAAAATTAAATTGAATTACATATCATTTCTAGCTAAACAATAATAATAGCAACAAATGAAGAATCAATAAAAAAAATTGATGGATAATACTTAATGTACCTGCCACTAAAGAATGAAAAATGAGTCCCGGCGCAGGTGTAAATCGACGTATGTGTACATAGCTCAAGCAGTCTAGGAGATGACCTTGTCTAGAAGCAGCAAAACACAACCTTCCTGCCGCAAAAAGGGTTCCATTTGCTGAACCAAAAGTACTCACAGCCACTGAGAATGGCATTAACCAAGCCATTACTCCTAAAATTCGGTTTCCAAAGGTCTAAACAATTGAAAGAATATACATGAGATTATTTAAATATAATTGAATCAAAAAGGTATGACTGAAGTAATTAAAGTAATGAAAATAGTTTGAAGATTCTTACTACAGCCACCGCTTCACTTTCAATCATTTCCATAGGTGACATAACTGCTAAATAGGATAAATTAATGAGTCCATAGCAGACGGTAACGAGAGGAATTCCAATCATAATCGATCTAGGTAAATTCTTCGAAGGATCTTTAATTTCTTCAGTGACATAGTTTAAGTTGTTCCATCCATCATAAGCCCATAATCCCGTATAAAATGCAGTTGCAAGTCTACCGATGTTGATAGAATCACTGCCATCCAACATTTTAAATGCACCTTGGAGGTGTTGAGTGTTCCCTTTGGCAAGAGACCACGACCCACCAGCTATGACAACCAGGATGGCAATGAGCTTGGCCGCAGTGAAGGTATTTTGTACGCCAGTTGCAAGATTCACGCTATAGCAATTAATTAAAAGAATAACTGTAATAGCAAGAAGCGCTACAAGCTTCACCAAATGTTCTGGTGGTTCACATTCTTCAGCAAATGCTTCCACAGCATATTGGGCAAATGATAGGCATATTATCGCCATTTGTGATGGCTTCAAGACTAATGTTGATACCCAAGAAAATAAGAAAGCTGGTGGTGCTCCAAAAGCATCCATAAAGTAAGCATATTCAGCACCGCTACTGGTGTTCATTGTTCCTAGCTCTGCGTATGCTAGAGCACCGCATAAGCTTAGTACACCACATGCTGTCCATACCAAAAAACTCAACCCGACACTGCCAGTTCGAATTAAAAGGCCGGTCGGTGAAACAAAAATTCCTGATCCAATCATTGTACCAACAATTAAAGCCACCCCACTGACGAGTCCCACCCGTCTCTTGAGGTGAACAGAGTCGTCCGCCTCTGGGTCCTTCCCCTCCATCCCTCCGCGTCTTCCACTCCCTTCTTCGTCATTCCCCAAACGAAAAGCCAATTCATTGTCTTTGCCTTGTGACGAACTCCGACGGAGCCTCCATCCATTTTTACTTCCACCGGTATCTTTGGTCGTACTCGAGGCTTCAACAATACTTCCGGGATTTGATAGATTCTCTTCGTTGTACACCTCACCATTTCGCCCTGTATTTTCGTATCCCACTGTAGCTGAAAGATATGTATACATCATTAATCATACATTTATTTTAGATTAATCTTCAATTAATTACACAGGCCAACAAAAAAATTATTAAATATTAGATGCTTATTGTGTTATATTTTCTCTCTAAAATTTTTTGCATAGCTAAAAATTAATACAAATTATTTTTATTTAATATAAAACTGGGAGAAATTGGTGAATAATACAACTTTTTCATGGTTGTTTTCGGAATCAACACACCAAACTACACAAAAATTAGCTAAAATTATAGAAAAAGTTTTTTCATCGTTGGCCTGTGTTATTTTTATCATTAATATAAATGTTTAAAATAATTCTAATATCAATAAATAATCATCATCACATCTAGAAATGATAACCAACTATTAATTGTTCAATTCAACATTTAATTGATCATTATGATTACTCATAGTTTGATAATAAATAAAACTGTATCTTTTGAATAGATTATGTAAAAAAAAGAGTAATAATAGTCTTTTAAAAAATTTTTACCACCACTCAATAAATAATTTAATCGCTCTTGAACAGAGAAAATAAAATTCGCCGATGCGTTAAACATTCCTCAAGCAACTGGTTCACATCCAGCTACGACGATTTCTTCACTGGTTTCATCAGCATAATAAAACGCCATTTTTACTCTTACATTTCTGGTTGTGATATTTATTTATAAATTTTTGATAACATCAACATTATTATCATATTAAAGGATAGGAATTCCTTGTTGCATCAAGACCAAATATATGATCATAACTGGGAATAATCATCAGGAATTTGATTTTAATTTCAAAAAAATATTGACGTTAACCATGACATTGACGTACATTTGGCATATGACTTCTTGTCAATGATAAATCTTAGGCCGTTAGCCAAAAACTTTTCTTATCCAATTCCTCAAATTAGGATGTGTAGCTCCATATTTAAACCAACCACATGACAAGTTCGTGACATAGTAACGTCATCTGAATCACATTGTTTGCAGTCACACAATGACTGATCAGAATGATAGAATGGTGTCACTAAAATAGTTGAAAAATAAAAATAACCTTTTAAATGATGGTGGAAAAGTGAGAAGCATTTATTTTAATTGATGAAATATTTCATGTTAAGTGTCATTGACCAGTTATTTCTTGAAGTTTAACAGAATTAGACCTACCTACTTATCTCTCTATAAAAAATTAGTGATGACAACAAAAAGAAACACATCACATGAGTGCGATATTTTTAAATGTGTTAGAGGCAACTATTTAAAGCTTGTCCAAGTACCTATTAAAATTGAGTCAATGAATACATAATATAATAACTTTATTATTAAACATAAATATTACTTTTTATTTCAAATACTAGCATAAATTATTTACCATCCATTTGCCAATAAAATCATTTGTTAACAAATTTTCTGTAAATTCATAACCCCATAAAAAGTTATTGATCTTTAACAAAGTTGGATGAATACTATTATGATAATCAACTTTTATTGCTCACATCCTTTTAGTCATTGATGATCATCAAGTGAATGTGAAAATAAAATAACTGAATATCGGCATTTATTAATTACTATTAAATAATAATAATAAGTTAGGTTATTTTAAGAATTGCACCGCCCTCAAAATTTCAAATTGAGCCCCAGACTGAATGATGCAATGCGTCTCAGAAGTTTTCGTATAATGATATATAAAAATGTAGTGTATTCATTTCGGTATGCTATCTTATAGTGATGATAAAAGGTATTGAATGTCATAATAATTATTACTATAAGTTAAACAATACATACAACTGTACAAGTTCTTATTGATTATTATTTAAAAATAACCAAGTATACAACAGCAATAAAGGTTTTTTTTTAAGAAACCTCAATAGTTTAATTGACTAATTCTTGATTAGTAGTTGAAAATATTATATTATCAACATTCTTTAGCACCAGTTAATTAATTGAATTCAAGGTTAACTGAGAGAATTATTATTTGTATTTATATTATCATGATTGTACCTTAATTGCAATTGTTTGGCATGAACTCTCATTTAGATAATTATAATTAGTTTGACTATTTAATATTAGTAATATGTTTTGCTTAATAAAAAGGTCACTTAATTTTTACTCATGAAATCTTATGCAGAAATAAAACATATCAATTGTAATGTTTACCAATATTGCTGATCAATTTTTTTAAATGTCTTAAGACTTTTAATTTTCAGATAGTTCAATCTTTTAATAGAAGATTCCATTTAATAAATTGGTTGATAATCGTCTCAAGATAGTGTGAATGATTTTTATTAGATGAAATTGGATTTAATTGAGAGAACAAGATAGTTGATCAAAAAATGGGTAAATTACATATGCAAATCAATTAATTGTGATAATGATGATTTATCTGAATGTTCAATAAATAATATAGAACATAAGAATGAACTTTATTTATTGTATTTATTTAAAAAATTATTATTTGTATGATTATTTATTGATTTTATGAATTATTATTAAACGAGATGCTATAGATTAGTCTAAGTTTAGTTTACATTGATAGTAAATTAATATTATATGTTGACAAAAAAAAATTAAATAATTTATGAATTACCTCGTTTGAAGGGCGCGACATGCATGACTCTACGTAGGACAAATAAGAAGGGCGGATTGTGAAGCCGCCTCTCATGACACCTCGACGACTTTTAAAAGTAATTACTGCTCGGTTGTCTTAACTTACAAAACTCTCTTGAATATTATTGCTTCTATTCGTTGTTGTTGTTTTTTTTAATGAAGGATCACAGATAATATTGATAAATTCAACAGATAAATTTTGTTGCAGGACTCAAGTACTGCAGTTTAATTCACTTGTGCTTATGTCTAGATAACACTATCACTTTTTTTTAAATATTTATCGGTTTTGATAATTCTCTTGTCTATTATTTTCAGCTAATTGTATATTTATTTGTTCAAAAAATGAAAACTTAACAGTTGTATATGTAATATGCATATGCACACTAATTGGAAGGTTCAGAACGACGTACTGATGACGAGAACTCGCGGCGAACTGGTTGGTGTCGTTATAAAATTGTTGAGACTGAAATATGTATATCGTGGTGATATATTCCTCCTAAGACTCTTCTATTCAACCTTCTGCTGTAGCAGCGGTCGTACTGGCTACTATTCCTCGGCGTCGGCGCTGATAGATACTCAACATCGCTCGATATTTACACGCTCTCACTCATGTTATGTTCACCCTTCTTTGGTTTGCTATATTACGAAGTTACATCAGATATTCTTATTCATCTCCAACAGATTTTCAAGTTCAAATCTTCGAATGTTGATTAAATTTCAAACTCATTAAGGATTAATTTAAATTCAATTTAAAATTTAATAGATTTTTTCACAAAATTTGCATTTACTGATGTAGTTTTAATCAATAAAACTAATAATTAATGTATATAGACTTATCTATGTAAAACCAAATACACCATAAAATTTATTTTTTATAATAAAACTTAGTGTAGTTAATTTTAATTTAATTATTCAATAATTTATTCTTTATTGTCATCTTTCCAAATATTTCTTTTATTTATTCATAAAATTATTATCCAATCTTTGTTATTTTTTAAACTAAAGTAACTTAAACAAGTTTATATTGCAAATAATAAAAACATTTTATTTATTGTAAAAAGTAGTTATTAAAATCATTAAATAAATACATAATAAACCAAATTTGTTCATTAATAAAAAAATTCATTTAAATTTTAACCATGATTTATCATTGATAGTGAGCACCATTGCTAGTTTAATTATAGCTCTGCTAATAATATAGTTAATTAAATTTTATTATTTATTTATTTTTCAATAAACGGCAGTAAAATTTCAATTATACTACAAGTGTTACACACATGTATATATATTTATATATGTATTTATATAAATGCAAATAGATTGTGTCCTCCATTAATTTTTATACATAATTCCATAAACATTTTGTTATGCCCAATTAATCAATCCCAGTATTTGTATTAAAATATCCCATCATAAGAAAATACTTACAAGTAAAGTCATTTTAAGTTAGGCATATTATAGTAGAAATAATATAAAGGCATGTAACAATTACATTTGTTTTGTATGACTATAAATGATAACAATGATCGATTTAAATTAAAAAAAAAATATCATCGTTTTAAAAAGAGACTCGCTCTTTTTTTTCATTCTCTTGTTATTTCTTGATTTTTTTTATTGGAATGTTTTAGAATTCTTTCTAACGAGCTGCGATAAAGTAGCGATAAATCAGTGTTGCGAGAATTCCAACTGCTACAGGAATCAGCCAGGATCTCCAAGAGCCACTAGAATTGCCAATCATCACATCACCATGCAGCAGCGACTAGTTACATTTCATATATATCAAAGTTCTAACATTTCTTCTTTTGTGTTTTTATCAATTTAATTTACAATAAAAAAATGCAATTATTCATTTGAATTAATTTCTATTGAACTCTGAACATAAAGTGTGAACAGGTTAGTTAGATGAGAAAAAAGAAATGTTAGTACTCCGTTTTTCTATTCGATTCAATTATGAAAAATATTTTTAAAAAATATACCTCGATCCATCGTCATCACCATCACCACTTCCCCAGTCTCTTTTTTTATCATCCTTTGAAGAAATATTTCTTTCTTCCTAAAATCATTAATTACGCATTAATGATACAGCTAATTACAAACAAAATAATTGAAATATTAAATTTATATACCTCCACAAGTTCACCAATTTTATATGGTTCCATCATTTGTCTAGCATCACTGGAATGACCGACATTTTCAAAAGCTTCTGTTGCATCCAAACCTGCTTGCTCATATAAAACTTCTTCACCACCAGGGTGCTATTCGGAAAGAAGATTAAAAATAAGTTTAGTACATAAGAGTAATGACTTTTCAAATTTTTAGCAATAAGAAATTCAAAAATTTAACTTAAAATGTTTTGGAGTTTTTTAAATATATACTAACCTCTTTTAAAAATCCAGTTATATCATAAACATTATTATGAATAATAAACCATAAATTATCACTATTTGTATGCTTAGCAACCTCTTCACGGGTGTAAAAAGTAGTAGACGAATTTGCTTCTGGAATCGCCATTTTTATCGTACTATTTGGTTAATTAAAAATGTTTAATATCTAATTTATAGGTTATTCGAGATCTCACTGAGTTAATTATATAGTCTAATAATTGAAAATAAATATTCTAAACAACAATAAGATAAAAATAACTACGTCATATAAATTGAATGATAATCAAACAGTAACAGCCATACTTTTGACGCCGACAGCAATTTAGACTCTCGAGGCAACAAACTGACTTGAGTCAGCCAGTGATACCACCTGTAAGATTTTGAATACCATGCTTACCAAGCCAAAAAAAAAAATCAGGTGCATCATTGCAAATTGTACATAAAGTGGCATGTATTTACTCGATTGATTGTTGTTATACAAATTCTACATGTAGTCAAATTATAATTATGAATAGTTAATGAAACAATCAGAATCATAAGATAAGAGTTGTAAAATAAGTTAATACTCTCAATGTATTTTATTAATTTAATATTCATAACAATTGCTTAACCATAAAATGCATTATTTTCGAATTCGTTTTATTATTTTTTATCTTATTTATTTACAAGAAGCTAGTAGTTTTTATAATTATTTAAGATCAGGATTTAATCATGTAGTTTGCTCTTATCAAGAATGCTGCAATGAAAAATATATTAAAAAAAATATTACAGGTATTTTTTTTATAAATTCTAAGCTTAATCAATTTGCCGGTATTTATGATACTTGCCTGTGATATCATAAACTTATCATAATAAAATAATTTTATACATGTTTCAAATGATTGATTATAGAATTAAATGAAAGATTACGTACCAAATTATTTGGCCAGCACATTGTTAATAAAGAACTCATAAGTGCTTTGGGTGCACATATAAATGTAAGAGAACCTAAAAAAGCTTTAGTAATGAATTTCCACGGTCCTGGAGGAACCGGTAAAAATTATGTTGCAAGAATGATTATTGAAACTTTTTATGAGAAAAAAGTAGAAAGTAATTATGTTCATTTATTTATTGGGAGAATAAATTTCCCCTTAGAAAGTAAAAAACAAGAGTATAAGGTAATTTATATTTTCATTATTACTTGAAAAAAAATGGAATTCATGAGCTGAATGACTCATTAAAATGAAAATTTATTTTATTAGGAGGACTTAGTCAAAATCCTAATCGAAAGTTTATCAAAATGTCCAGAATCTTTATTTGTTTTTGATGAAGTGGACATGATAGTACCTGGAGTATTAGATGTACTTGTGCCATTTATGGATTACGGGACAACGCAAATATGGCACATGGGCCAGAAGTATCAATTAACTACTAACAAAGCAATATTTATTTTTTTATCAAACACTGGATCTAGAGAAATAATACAAACCTTATCTAATGCTTGGCTAAGTGGGAAAAAACGCGAGGAATTATCATTAGCTGATTTCGAAGCTTTAATGGCGAAGGGAGCCTTCAATGAAGGTGGTGGATTCTATAAAAGTGATACTATTCAATCACATTTGATTGATCATTATATACCATTTTTACCTCTCGAAACAAGACATGTATTGCTTTGTATTGAAGAAGAATTTAAAATAAAAGGACATACCCCAACTTCAGAACAAATTGACAAAGTTATGGAGTATATTTCTTGGGATCCAGATCATCAGATTTATGCAAGCAGTGGCTGTAAAAAAATAGCCTCCAAAGTATCAAGTATATTATACCGGCAAAAACTACATAAAGAGCTATAATAGACTTAAATCCACAATCAATTGATTGTAATAATAATTTAATTATTACTAAAAATATGTGCAGACATAAAATATATTTCACAATGAGGTATATACATCAAATTTTATCACTAAACTTTATTGGCACAGTTGGATAATATTTCTTAATAATTAAAAAATATTTTCTTTTTTTTTTTTTAAGAATAACAATGTATCTGTGAATTTTTTGTAAACATAATGATAAATATATTTTGGCTAATTTTTGAAGCCTCAAAATGTTTTTGTATATATATGTATATTGATATATATAACGTTAAAAGCATCTTTGTTATGAAGCAATCTCATTGATAGTCAAAGAGAGTCCGAAAAATATTTAGCAATTTTATTACTTCACATATTTGTAATATGATCGTTCTATCACAATTGAAATTAGAGAACTCTCGGAAATAGTTAATAATTAATTTGTTCATCAATTTCGAGCCATCAAACAATTTTTGATCTAGTAATTTTGCTCCAAAATTTTTTACAACTTTACATTCCCATAATTTCCTTTTAAAACTTACCATTGATGGTTATTTAAATATTTTCATGAGTACATCATCAATAGATTATTATTTGTAGTTAAAACTTGCCTAATTAAAACTTATGCGCATTGTCTGTCCAAGGACTAGTTTGAATGATAATTCATGCGATTGCACTGATAATTCATTATGGTATCGCGATTCTTTGGATGAGTGCTCGCCTATTTGTTTTACTTTTATAATTTTGTTTTAACGAGAAATATGATTAAATCGAATGAAAGAACATTTGTTAAGATTTATAATATCCTGGGTTATTCTTCTTCGACATACTCCTTTGGAAAAAATCCAACTTGGTCTCCGATTTTTCCTTTCCACCATCCCTTAGCATCACCTTCTTTGCTAAGGACCACAACTCTACATCCACGTCTTAATGTTAACTGGTTACGTTCAACTGCACGAAAATCGAACAGTGCTTTGGCCAATACTCGTCGAAATGGCCATAAAAGTCGTTGATCAAGATTTTCAAAATTTTCTGCTAATGAAGCTCGCTCATAATATTCCACCAATTCAACGACACTTTTAAAAAAGCGTGATTCACTTAAATAATAAAGTTCTGTGCCATTGACATCTCGTTTAAATATTCGCACATGTTTAACAACACCATCATTTCTGTAATATAAAATTATTTTGTAAATTTTTTTTATTTTAAATTTAGTTCATCTAAAAAATTATCTGTTATTCTATTAATTATAATGACTTACTTAACACTCAAAGCGTAATTAGTTTCATGTTTAAGCCTCGGTTTACCCGGAGGTCGTATTCGCAACATGTAGGTTCCGTCTTCTCTAGCCTCTAATTTGTGTGCAGCAGCATCTCTGCCCATTTCTCCAACAAACCATAATTTTACTGATAATGCCCGGTCACACGGAAGTGGAGGAGGTAACGGTGGTGTAGGAGGAATAGGCACACATCGTCCGGAATATGATATGCATTGTTTATGAACTGCTAGGCGACACACATCACAACTATATCCCTAATAAAAATAAGAGAGAAAAGTTATATTTTATTTAGATATCAAATTTAATTTTTACTTTGAAAATAAAATTTTTTTTAATGATTATAAAACTGAAACAAATAGTCTACAACAATATTGATTAAATAAAATATAAACTTACTTGAAAAATACGACCTTTAAGGAACTTTCCACAACGTTGACAGCTACGAGCACTTTCAAATGTCACTAAACGGAATTTGTGATTTGTTAATCGACAAGCAGCAGGATTAACATTGTCCATAGCGTCTTGCAGAGCTTTTATCCACATCTGTTTTTGATCTTCAGTTCGTGCAAACAATGTGTATGCTGTGTAAGCTTTGTTGTGAACTAGTAGCCATTGATATGACCATCTGGAATCTTTACCGAGTACCTTACGCCCTGAAGGATCTTCAAGACGATAATCATCCATTCTAAGTGTCTCTCTAAAGCAATATTGATCTCCACGACCGGCTTTACAAAGCAATACAGCTTGTTCGAACACAAAGGCATATCGAGCCTTAATCCTTTGATCACCATGAGCTTTAACTTTAAGTTCCCCATCTCTCAGTAAACGTCCGAAATCTTGTAATTGAGTACCATCACTCACATCCCAGTCAATTATTGATGCTTGAATATCCTTGATAATGTCTAAAGTATCAGAGTCTCTTTTCACTTCATTAATATATTGGGCTACATCTACCATCACTTCTCTTGCTTTTCCTAACTGGCGAAGATCTTCAGTCCAATCACGAGGAGTTTCTTCAACTAATTTATCTAACAATAAATGATATTTTAACACTCGCTGCATTGGAACAGAGAGAATGTCTCGAAGTTTAAACTTTCCATTGTTTGCTTCTTGTTGACATCGAATAACTTCTTGATTTACAACTTCATTTCGTGCACAAGCTTCTTGTAAAGTATTCTGAGCAACTGTTAAATTAGCACAATAATCACCATAAATAAGAAACTTTTCTCGCCAATCAAGAAATACTTGAGCGATGGCTGCACCATTCCGTGCTTTTCTCAATTGACTATGTACACCAGCATGTATTTCTGCAAGATCCTTGATACCAAAAAAAATAATTGCAGCATCTTTTGGACGTAATGATGATGATAAAGGCCGGGCAAAGTGTCTCAATAAACTATTAAGCACTTCAGCATAATTTCTTTCAGTCTCTACAAGTTCTTGTACTACAAAATCTCTCTTTTCTGCACAGGAAATTGCGCCATCCTAAAAATAGTGATAATAAAATGTATTAAGCTTGTAGTGCTTATGATGAAAATAATAATATTTTTTTTAACAAATTAATATTTAGTTTTTGTGAATCTTTTATTTTTATTTAGACATATCATACCAATATTATAAGATTTCAATATCATGCAAAGCAATCATGCTAGTTTAAATAATTGAAAATAATAAAATAAACAAAAAAAAATAATAATAACCTGCACAACATTAACAGGAGGTGGCAAGTGTAGACTACATAAATCATGGTAGACTTCTTCACTTTGTGCATGACTACAATAAGCTCCATAACCATCTTCCTCTTGATCAACTTGATTTTCTATTTGATGTGTAGACTCACCACCTGCTTCATCACCTTCTCTTCTTCTCAATATTCTTCTGCGACCTTCAGTTTCACGACTAAGCATTTAAAATGAAAGAAAAAAATAATATATAGAGCTCATGCACTATTTATGCAAAATAAAATTTGGGTCAATGATAAATACATTTTTTTGTTGACAGAAAAAAAATTGCCAAAATGAAAAAGAAAATTTCTAATCGCTAGTACACAGAGATTACTCATAATTGTGTTTACAAAACAACGCTGCGGTGATAGACGTTAATAAGTTTGTACATTTGACGAAAATGTACCTCAGTAGTTGTAAAAGACCATTCATGTTGAGGAGTAGTTGAAAAGCAGAGTAATTCTTGATATACTTGGGATTCATCGGGATCCACAGCTCTAGGTTTTATAGCAAATCCCACCTCTGTGCTTGTGGGACTAAATTTATTGATTGAAATTAGCAAAGGTAATAGTTGATTTATTATTTAGAAAATTATTTTTAATTGAAACAAAAATCAGATAAAGAGTGATCAATAAATATAGTAGTGTATAAATAGAAAATAAAGGGATTAGTAATAATTGATAGCTTTCAAAATAACCTACCCAACACCAGCGCTTTGGAGATCTCTATAAGCCTCTTCCTGGGATCGATCACGTCCAATCATAAAACCTCTGAAGTATTACAAGATTTTATCAATCTTTATTCATTAATTATTTATAGTTGATATTAAAAGTTATCATTTTTATTTAGACTTTGATAGACTTACGCAATTCCTTTACGTCGGAATTTCGGTGAATGTGATAATGCTGAGAGTGTGCATAAAACTTGATGGAAGTTTGACAAATCAAACAATACTGATGGTTCGAAAAGATCTGAGTCTGGAAGACCAAAATTTGAGGAGCAAACTGTTAGGAATAATTTTATGTTTCTTAAACATAAAAATTGAGCCATTTGTGGCTTTTGGCTAACATCTTTGATGTCTATACATAATGGGTCTATTAAATTCAACAAGTTGCAAAGTAATACTCCATCTCTTAGAGTGTAAGCTAAATCGAACGCAGTGGCAGTTGACCAGTTGGCTTTATGATCTGCTCTCAAAGCTCCACACCTTGTTAACCAGCTGGCACATTCTTGCCATCCAGTTTCAGACTCTGCTCCATTCTCTGTTGTACTCATTGTGTTATTGTTTTATTGTAAATTATATTTTAAATGAACTTTTGTAAATCATAAATCCATCTCACGAAGACAGTAAATAGTTCTCAATAATGACAGATCACTTAAATGGTATTACCAAACTGAAAATAAAATTTGAATGATAAATAATTTTATCTTTCTATTATCACATTTTTTTTTAATAATAATCAAATGTAATTTTGTTTATCATCAATAATTAATTATAAAAATTATTTTCATATTGAACAAATGAAAATTATATTTATAATAATGATTTAAATTTACCTATAAATACATCAACACTTTGCAGTTTTTTCGTATCACTGTCGGAATAAAAGATTATTGAGATGTGAAGTTGACAAACGACTGGTCCATTCTTCTAAGTGACCTTTGCCTTAAACGCCGATTATGTCATAATTTATTGAATCAACGCAACTGTATCAAAATAAAATCATAATTGGTTTTTGGCACGAAAATTTACTGTCACTATTAGTCTTTCATAATCATGGAATTATTCTCTTATCATTTTAGGCTAATCGAGCCGTCAATTCAACAGCGTCCATTTCAGTTCTCTTTAGAGTTATCAGTCATACCACTGCTACAAATCAAAAATTGTTCTGTCAATATTTATAAGTTGGCAACAGTGATTGAGAAAACAAGTGCAGAGACACCTATCTGTCAATTTTTTTTACTACGACATTTTTTGGCAATGTGTCACTCTTATCATGGATATATGTATATATATACTTGCGTACACATGTATATGTGTATGTGATATTTGTCAATCATTGTCAATGTCATTCTACTCAAATTCTGGGAATTTCATATCATGAGGGCCAAACAAAATAAATGGGCTCCAAAACAATGTTTGTAGATAATAACATTGAAAAGTTAGATTCATCGATACAATAACACCTGGCTATTCATTTTTCAATGTCAACAGTATATTACAGCTTGAATGAACCATTTTTACAGATCAGTATATAATCACAATTTGCTCTGTCAAAGTACGAGGAAAAAAGTGATGATTAATGAGTGATTGATATATAACAACGGTTTTATTGTTGTAATTTATCAACTAATAATTGTATATTGCTGAGAACGTTTTGTATTTTAAAATTACAAGAGTTAGTGCAAATGTAATTAGAACATTTTTGATCAACAATGAAATGTAAATAAGATACAATATCAAAACCTTCGTCACGATAGTTGGAATTATCGATTTTAAAATTGATCGATGCTCCATTGACATACATTTCTAACAATGTACGCGAGACATTTATATTTTTTTATATTAATAATAATTTTTAATATTCATAGTAATAAGAGTGATTCGAATAGTTTACAATGTAAAGACGAAAATGGAGATCCAGTTGATTGGTAATTATACGAATTCATCTTTGACGTTTGTTTTGAGGATAAAGATATCAATATGTCTATGTGATTCCCAGGTATGTTTTATACAAATTACCAAAAGTTGCGGAAAGCAGTGAGCCATTAATTAGAAAAGGTCTAGCTTACCTTTATATAACTAATAAAACTATAGACCTCGGTTGGCAATTATCAAAAAAGGAAATTGGATCCAAGGACTCGGTACCAGGCAAGACGTTATCTTTATTATATAAAGATGTGAGTATTTAAACAATGAAGCATTCCTATTGACAGCTTTTCTACGAACTTGAATAAATATTATCAAGAATTTATTTTAGAATATTGCATCAAAAAAAGGATGGATCATGTATAGTGATCAAGCTCCAAATGAAAATAGCGCTAAAAGATATGGCCATGCAAAAGGTATTGTGATGACTGATGAGCATCAAGGATTTTGGCTTATCCACAGTGTCCCTAATTATCCTCCTTCTCCATTGTCTGGAGAACAGAAAAGAAAAAAACACAGTCTCGAAAACTTCAAAAATGTTACTAATGATATACCAGATGGCGAGTATTTGTATCCAAACTCTGGAAAATCTAATGGACAGAGTTTTCTCTGCATTTCGATGAATGCAGATCAGATGGATATCGTTGGTCGATTATTAATTTACAACCAAGTAATCCCATATCGATATAATATGCCTGAAGATTTAACTACCCAATATCCAGCTCTTTTAAATGCTTCTAAAGCTATACGAATAAAAACTCCCCCTTATTATCATAAAAAAGAAATTCATTCAAGTCAAGGATTGGAGTTTATTAGTTTTGCTAAGAGTGATAAATGGCAAAAAGGTATACTAAAATGTATTATTAAACTTTAGTTCCCTGTTGGAAATGAATTAGATTTATTTGGTTGAGTGTAATGAACAGAAATGAATTATTTCATTTAGATCTCTATGATGATTTTGTGGCACCACAACTACAATCCGATTTATTAGCAGAAACGTGGTTGAATGGTCGAGGAAAGCTACCCTCTGAGTGCAATGGATCAAAGTATTAATAATGCTAATTAATTTGATAATGGTGTGGTTTATTAGCAATAATAATTAGCTCAAATTAATTTTTGCAGGGTCTATAATGTGCAATCTATATTATTAAATAATATCAATATCGATTTTAAAAGCACTCGTGATCATTCCAAATGGGCTGTGGCTATGAGTAATAAGCAACAACGAAATTGGGTCTGCATTGGAGATATCAATAGAGCGGTAATTTTTATGATTAACTCAACAATTAATTTCGTTATAAATTTAATCCATCAAAGATAAATTATCGATTAAAAACAAATGATCTTTTTATATATCTACTATTAAGAATGATTTTTATATTTTTATTTTTTAGGATACGCAATTTAATCGAGGCGGAGGTACAGTTTGTGTAAATCTTCTGAAGCTTTGGAATAATTATCGTTCTTCAGTAAATGATATAGAACCTTGTCCAAAGAAACAAAATTTCTTTCAAAAATCAATGACTTCTATTAAATCTTGGTTTGGTAATATCGTTAAAAAAATATCAATGACTGAATAAATAATTAAATGAATTTTTAATTAAACATTTGATCAAGTTTATAAAATCATATAAATGCTCATCAAATGATAAAATACAATATCATTAATTTGACATTTAATCATTTATATTTCGAGATAAAAAGTGTCAACAAAGGAAAATCGATTATACATTATCTATTAAATTGGTTTCTCATTATTGATAATATAACTAATTTTATCAAGCAATATGTAGGAAGACTGAATAACACATTTGGCATTTATGTCTATCGATGCAAATATGTAGTAGTCATAGTGGTAATTGAAATAATAACAAATTTATTATTACTCAAACATTTAACAGTAGATGAAATGATCGATATATTTACTGTGTGATATTGATTAAATTAATTTATGAAAATGATCATTATAATTGAAATTGTTAACGTTTGCACATCTCGTTTTTGTATAATTTGATTATAATTATGAATTACGGAGGATGAATCTATTTCAAGAGCGTCAAATGTTATTTACATATACATTGTTTTCCTTATATGTATATAAATGGAAAAAAATTTTAAGTGTTATAACATTAATAAACTTCTTAATAAAATTAATAATTCGATACATTAAATGCAAATAATGAGTAATGAATCACCAATCATTGTACACGCTTTATGATTATTTTATTTATTGATTTATTTTGATAATGAAATATAATGATTGATTCTTGAATTAACTATCCAATGAATTATATTAATGAAAATTACACACTTAATGTGTAATCCTTACATTTATTTTTATATAAACTACCGTGAGAGTTTTTACTTTTTAAGTTTTTTTTATATTCATTCTTTAACACATTTGGGAATCACTAACTCTTGAGAATTATGATGTATCTAATATTTTTCCATTCATGTACTTATCAATTCATTACTCTGTATCACGTTTATTATTAAAAAGTGAGAACTAATATTATTAAAAAATAAATCTCTTAGATATCTTAATAAGAAATAAAAATAAATAAAATCATTTTCTATAAGTTCTTTCATATAAATATTATTATAAATAATTTATTAATTTTTAATAATTTTGTTTTAACTCTTTTTATCTGGTATAAATCATCTAGTTAAAATTTGTTCAAACAACTACCAACCAATTTTTGAAATAAATATTATACATTTTACACAATTCCTATTCGTCTGATTGAAACTTTAGTAATTTAATAACTTGACTGATCATTTTGATGGTCGAGCGATGTCTCCAAGCAATCAAACAAAATCTTACGCTCCCAACGTTTTACTTTTAAATGATTTAACTGTTAAAATTACTGCCACTAATTCACTGCATCATAGCTATTCATCATTTCAACTGCACAAAAATTATGACTAATCGTTGATAATTTTTTTATTCATCATTTTTTTCGTTTAATTATTAAATTATTAAATGAATATGATATAATTACATAATGGATTTTTCGATTTACACGTATTTTTAGTCTCTTCGTTTCTATTTAAATTAATATTTGTTATAAATATTATTATTGTTGTTATTAATATTATTATTTAATTTTCTAGAATAGACATACATTCAATTAGTGCTTTGTATTCAATTAATTACGAATGTAAAATGTGCTCGTAATATAATTGATCTCTCGTTCTCATGTATATTCAATTATGTAATGTGTCTACAGCATCAATTATGTACATTGTTTTTAAATCGCCTTCGATACTGACTAAAAAAATTTTTTTTTTTTATTTTCTATATAAGATGGCAGTAGAATTATACATTTTTTCTGGTAAAAATAATTAAAAAGAAAATTCATGACAATCAGAAATGCGTGAGAAATATTCTAGTTGAATCAATCTAAAAAAAATTCATCAAGTTAGCTATACGTTTTAAAATTTTTTTTTTTATTTATTTTTTAATAAAAATTATTAATAATCGTTGTATAATAAAAGGCAGTCGACTCGATTCATCATATAGATATTAGCCAATTGTTGGGGGCGTGAAATTTCATTGACGAATCACTCATATTTATTAATCTTAATTATTATTAATTAATAATTATTGCAATGAGATTACTTGATTTTTATCATATTTAATTAGATGCACCAGACAAAACATTCAAATATGTATGCATTGATGATAGGCTTAATTTATATTAGTCACAATGACTGATTTATTTTCAAGGATATTTCATCATGTCCTCAAATTAACTGTCTTCCTCCATTTTTTCTTAATTTTAAACTAATGTACATCTCTTTCATTTATATATATCTATACATATTTGTCTATACGATTATTCTTAAAAGAAGTCAATTGGAAATATTTATCAGAATATGTCAGAGGGAGAATGATCAATGTTTAATGATTTAATTATTAATTGAAAAGAAATTGATGGACCGATTATTCATGCTGACAAGAGTCAATACTCATTCAGAGTAGACCTAAAGATTTATATTTGCGAATTCAGGCATTTCTTGGTCCCGAACACGAGCCAAATGTCGTGTTTAAATAATTCAAAAACTGCATCGAATTTTTTCGTTTGCAATTTTTACTATTTACCCTCTCACGTTTTTTTGGTTTTTTTTTTTTTTTAATTTATTTACTCCATTATTTTTTGTCACCCGACTACAGCTCAATTTAATTATCAGGAATTCATAAACTCTACACTTAAGAAGTTTATTAATATTCATGCAAAAAATCCAAAAAAAAGTTTCTTCTCCCATTACTTTTTTAGATTTTACCTTAATTCACATTATTATTGGCAGTTTACTATTTACAGTGCGATCAAATAAATTTTCTTTGAGCGTCATCAGTATGTTTCTCATAAATCCTTAAAGAAACTACTGGACTTCTCCGTATTAAAATGTGGTTAATAAGGCTACGGTGTTTTTAATATATTTACAAAAAAAGCACTAGTTTTTTATTTATTGTTAACATCATCTTCTTCATTATTCAAGGTAGTTTTTTCACTAAAAAATTATTTATATTTCATGAAAATTTATATTTAAAAGCCAAAAGAATTAAATTAATTAATTTTTTTTCATTAAAAAGAACACTGCAAATGTATAACAAATTTAGTAATAAATGAATATTACAGATTAATGACAGTCTTATGTTTCAATTGACAGATTTAAGTGACAATGATATCAATCACATGAAATATAACTATATAAAAATTTTTTTGATGAAAGAACTACCGTATTTTAGATTCATCTAATTGATTCTCATCCTCTTGTTCATTATTACTATCTGACTGCATATATTCGACGATTGGTGAGAGACGATTGGCAGCGATATTTCCAATCTCTTGATTGACTAGGATACTCGATTCATCGTTAGTGTCATCAGAATCATCTAGTAATTTATCATTAACTTGAATTTTTACAACCGCGTCAATAGGATAGCGACCATTTTCACTTGATGAAGAGGTTAATTGAGTACCAGAGCCATTTTGACCTGGACTTTCTGTTGTCTCAGTACTTGGCTCTTCACATTTAGAACAAAAGACACCTTCTTCTTCAGTCGTTTGCTCTTCTTCATTTTCACACCGAAAGCAAATTAAATCAGCTTCTTCACGAATTGGATAGTCACAATGCATGCATTGGCAATCATCAGAAGACGATTGCAGTTTAGCTGTAAAACATTCTTCACATCTTATAGCTCGTTCATCTTCGACTGACTTGCCAGATTTGTCGATTACTATTCGTGGTCGATAAGAGCATGATCGTGCTTCTAAATCACACTGCATACAGAGGAGAAGATTGGATTTGCTGCCGGGATGTGAATTGTAGCCATTGCATGTACCATAATGTTGATGATCATCGTTATCACTCTCGCTATCAAAAAACCGTTGACTTGGACTGCCAATCGATAAACCACATGGAGTGGTAGGTGCCGTGTTAGCGTCCTCAATATACCTGCGAAGATGATCCATTTTAACTTCGCCGCGCTCTGACCGCGGCCAAACTTCTCGTTAAATAATGCTCTCGCGATTTCGCTCATTATCTTCAACACTTGATGTTGAACTAGCGCCACAAATTTGCATTTCGATTTCCGCAAGTCTATGTTCTACTTCCCACTGTTGTTGATTTAATTTTACACTCATAGCTGCATTTTCACTCTCCAAACATACCAGTCTTTCTCGAAGACGCTTTATTTCTGCTAAGAGAGCTTCATGACTACTTACTCCAAGTAAAGGCGTTGCTGCACCTTCTGACATTAATTGAGTCATGCTATTACATGTCATACCTACAAAAAAAAAGCGTAATATTTTTATCAAATTTTTTGAATGAATTTTCAGTGAATTATTTAAAACAGTTCACCTGAATGAGTTGACTGTCGACCAATTGATGGTTGTGTCATTGTTGAATGAGGAGCCCTTGCCGTCTGATCTTCACTGCTTCTCCCGCTACTTGTCGCGCTCATTGGACTATCTACAGCTCTCGGGGTGGACGTGACAACTCCAGCAACAGCGGTGTCTCCAGTTTCCCCTGGCCGCAATCCCTGATAGGAGGCAGTAATGGGACTCGGACTAGGAGATAACAGAGAATGAGGTGTTCGTAATTCGACAGGTGAAACCCACATATCTTCTAAAGGTATTTGTCCTCGTGACTCAACCAGACCTGGTGTACTAGCACATCTCGCCAATGCAGCTGCAAAAGACGGTATAATTTTAGATGGAGCTGTAAAATGTTAACTGCCATTAATAATGGTATGTTTAATTATATAAACACGATTAATGATAACCATAATAGTACCTTTATCAAGTGGATCACGTTTGTACTTTTCAAGCCTCTTGACAGCAATCGCCTCAAGCCGCACTCTTGCTGCTGGATATTCCTTCAGCACATCCCACATATCCTTCTTGCTCAGTACGAAGAGATCCGAATATCCAACTGAACGTACACTTGCTGTTCGTCGATTACCTACGATAATGTAGCCATTTATCGGTTATCGGGGGATAAACATGATGTTTATTACATATCTCGATTCTAACTGTTGAAATGAATTCCTAGATTTGAAATTTATTATTCTACTTTTTAACTGGATTTCTTTTTTGGGCCAATTTTTTTATCGATATCAGACATCAACGAGAATATTATATATTCGAGATATGCAAATGGACATTGCGGAAATGATTCTTCGATATCCAAATGCCGATACTCATTGAGCATTTTGAGTGGCAGCTTCAAGCCTCGCATCGCTTCACCTATCAGATCTCACCTTGTAAAAATAATTCCGATCAGTTATCGATGTACCAAGTCCGGCGTACCGAAATGGTATGTCGATTATCATTTTTCGATTTTCCATTGCATGGAGATATTTTTTCCATCAGCTTTTCTATGAAATATTTAATTGAAATACCCAACACTACTAAATAGCAAATGCAGATAATATGTTTATGATTCTACTTCATACGTATATATATATATATATAAAATAATGACTACGAATATACATTCAGGGGCAAAATTTTTCGGTATTTAAATATTAACAGGAATAAATACAGTAATTAAACAATCAATAAACTACAATGATTTATTAAATATTAATTACGATAAAAATATTTAACAAATTGAAGTGGCTGATTTTAATTTAAATAAATCTATGCTAATGAAATTGGAAAAAAATATCATCAATGAATAAATTTTGCGCCTGAATGAAGAAATAGTTCTATGTTAATAAAACTGAAAAGAAGCTTTTAGCTAATTCCAATATAAAATTTATCTCCATTAGTTGCACGCATTCAAAAAATTTTCTACTCATTAATTCGAAAAGTCTAAAATATTTTTATCGTGACATAGAGAGATTTGAAATATATAATATATATATAAAAATCGTGGATCAAAATTGAAAATATAGAAGTGCAATTCAATTTGAAGAATAGTGAGATTAGATAAAAGATATTGAATATTTTTTTAATGTTTATATGTATATATAAATATATAAAAACATTAATTATAATAATATATAAATAATGAATACTGTATATCCAACAAGCATCGATAAAAAATGATAAAATTTTAGCGTGTCCCTAATTAAATAGCCGAGCTGTATAGCATCAATTCTATAAAGGGAAAGTGAAAATGTGAAAAAAGCCTAGAAAAGTGACATTGATGAAGATAAACTGTCTATGAATTACTATACAACCTTTAAGATGTGAATTGAGATTACAGGATGTTTAAAACTGCCAGTTCATCTTCATCGATTGAATTCTGTGTATGAAAATTGTGGCCGAGAGAACGAGGTGAAAAGATGGAAGGAGAGGGGTGATCATAAATAATAATAAACTAAAGAAAAATATTGATGGAATGAGTTGATAAATATTCAGAGGATAAATTATAAAAGTAAAATCGATAATTCCAAACTGAGAATCAACAAAAAAAAATTCTTTCACCATTAGCGAAAAAAAAAAAAAATTCAACAAAAAATTCCCCCGTTGTTATCAGATACCTTTATCGTTGATTGAAAATTATTCAGATTCTAGTTGAATTTTCATTGTGAAATACACGTGATTACTCGGAAGAGTTAAAAATTGAATGATAAAAAAAAAAAAAAAAATGTTGTCAATAAATAAGAAAATTGGAATTGGATGAAATGAAAGCTTGGTATAGAGAAGAATGAACTAGAACGTTCCCGGTAGTAGTTACCGATCGACTCATACCCGATCTCTCGACGTCTTGCTGAACGACGAGTGTAGGAACGTGAAACGTGAAAGATGGATCGACTGATCGTGAATGAAATACGAGGGAGACAGCACTCGTGGCTTTGACAGGCCCCCTGGCTGCTTGGAATATTTACCGCACTCTTTACCTGCGGTCCCCATATTGAGAATGCTGATTTCCCCGAAGTATGATCCAGCTTTTAGCGTTGCTAATACTGTCTTTCCATTTTCTGCTACCACCTGAAGACGACCTCTGTTAACTATGTACATCTCTTTGCCCACTTCACCTGAAATTCATCATCAGAAGCATTATTTCATGCCAATTATCACAGCTCATTATTCATTGTATAGAATTATTCAATTTCTATCCTGATGAGAATTGTTTTCTCCTCAAACTTCATTTATCTTATAGCTAATTTCAGTAGTTTACTTAGTACTAATTGAATGTTATATGGATAGAACATTTTGTTAGCACAAAATAAAAGTTTCCCTTCTGCACTTAAGAGATTAAACTGATTGTAACAAGTTAGGTAACCTTGTCAGAATCACATAGAGGTTCGTTAATGTCTTTTATTTAACTTTTGGTCCATTTAACTCTTTGGCCTATTTTAGTGATAAGAATAAGAAATCAGGAAGAAGTTAGTCTCATCAAATGTTTAGATTAATAAATTCTTCAAATGTTTATATAAAAAACATTCAAACCTTTTCGACAAATATAATCTCCAGGTGAAAATAGCACAGGCCTCAATCTTAGCACCAGTTCACAAAGAAATCCTGCTTCTGTGTTTTGAAATATTTCTACTCTCCTTAATGTGTCCAAATGTACATTGATAGCAATTTCCGCCTTGAGTTTATCTGAAATACAAGTAAATCGGAATGTCAAATGATTTAACGTTAAAGCAATGAGTCTACACAGTTGATACCTCAGATCATAAATAAATTTTCAAATCCTGTCGTGACATAACTTTGTCAAATAGACCATGATAACAAATTTAAACAAAACCACAAGCTCTAACTACACATCAAATTCAATTTTGTTCGCACTTCAGACATGAAGTATTAGAGTAAATATTAATCGATGTACATTCATGAATAGTAACAGGCTGATAAATACTCACCGGGCAAACAGCTCACAGCCTTTTCTTCATCTGAACACTTTTGAGTCAGCCATAAGTAGTCAAACCACTTGATTACTTTTATTTGGAGGTGATTAGGCACTCGTCGCATCCTCATATAGGTTTTCACTCCATCCAATTTTGCTGAAAAATTCCATTTACAATTAAAAATCAATTAAAGCTAATATTTTATACATTCGTAATATCAATTATATAACATCTTTTAGCAAGGTACTTCGGTCTAGCACCAATTGGTGTTCAAATGATAATGGAAGTAGTTACCCTTGTAATAATTGTTTTGATAACACAATTATATTACATTACTCTAGAATTACTAATTTTCAGTACATTAAATACAACAAAATATTAACAACCAACCTACTTATCATTTAAGAAATATTTATTATTATTATTATTAACAAGTTTTTCTACTTATGATGATAAAAAAAAAAAGTATTCTATAACACCAACAGTTTTATGGGTTATTACTTAAAGGTTGAAACTATAACCGTCAAAGCTTGTATAATCCTCATTATACGTCACGCTACTAAGCGATAAATTATTCTGCAAAAGCGGTTTATACACCCTCTTGAATGTGCATTCTAAGATATATAATTTGAGTTGTTAGATATATTATGACACTTGCACGCCAACATATAGATTATAGTCATAAAGTCCAACAAGTTCAATTTAAATTGAAATATCAGGCATCATCTTTCTCCCCTGCGTCATTTTTCTCAAGTATCAATAAATTTTTGCTTTCCATTAAATTTATTCTATATGCGCACCAAATCAGTTATAGTATAAAGTATACGTCAGAAAATTCTGATATTTGAATGTAATTTGATGGAAATGACAAAATTTTAGATATTTTTCAATACAATAATATTTTTTTTTCTCTCACAATACTTTATTTAAAAATATATCTCTATTGATTAACGATGAAAATAGACTAGGAAGAATTTTTTTTTACAATCACTTTATCAGTAAATATAAATACTCGACATGATTTTTAATTAATTAAAGTGAAAAATGTGTAGAATAGTGTGACTTGATTGTACTTGTTGTATTATTGTCAATCTCTTAATGAATTATATTATGAAATAAATCAATATAACTTGAGCATAGCTTATCTCTAAGTTTGAGTGCCTCAAATCAAGTTGTTCACTAGTTTCTAAACTCTTGAATTCTCGCAAGCATCTGTAAAATCAATGCAAATATCTGAACTTTCTTCCTTACACTTGATGTTTCTATTTAAAGTATATAAAATAGCTTATTATTAGAACTTGTAAGTAGAGTTTTTGTACTTTTATAAATAAATTGATTAATTTTTTTTTATTATCGGTTGAAAGAATAAATTATTTATCAAGTAATAGAATAATTAATTATAAAATACTACTTGAGAAAAAGTAATAACGGTTAAATCGTTTATTAGCTTTAAATTATTACGCTTCCTTTTACACCCGTGATACTACGTTGGTGGGTCGTTGTACTTTTCTCATGAGAGCTTACGTTCCTCGAATATTCAACGAGATATATCTCGAAATTATCCTGTAGCACGAGGGGATTGCTTCATCCTCAACTTGCCCCAAGCTATTTCTTTCCTTTACTCCTACTACATTCTTCGCGATTTTCCGACATCAACAAAATATATTTTACTTCGCATCTTTGCTAAATAACTATCAACATTTTTGTTCTATTTTTGAAACTCACTTGATTCTAGAATAAAATATCATTATTTACAAACCTTATTTCAACATCAAAATTTCATTTTTTTATCACTATAATAAATAATCACTGATTTATAATACTTTGCTGATTTTAATTTTATATTATTTATAGATAAATATTTTTTTTTTCACTACTAAATAATGTGGTTATTGTGTTCTAATCCGAAACCACACTTTAATCAGTTGATGTTATTAATTATTCATCAATTAAATATGTATCGAAGCATATTTCATTTCATTATTTGATTTAAAATCAATATTTTGCTTATATCATTATAATGTAAATTTATTTCAATCTTGAAAAGTAGTGAATCGTAAATGTATTTTGTAATTGAATTAACAAACATGATATCCAAACATATTATGCAATAAAATTTACATAGATCTATAAGGAATAAAAAATATGTAGAAAATATTGATATTCTTTAAATATGTATGTGTACCTTGAAATTCCTTCCTAGCTGTACTGACCGATGTAACAATGTTAGCAACATGGCCAAGAACAGTCGCAAAGAGAAGCAAACCAAACAGAAGCTGAATGATGACAAACAAATACTCGCCTTTGCTTCGTGGCCTGGAAACATCGAAACGACTATAAATTAAATATGAATTATAGACACAAGCAGTAATAAGAAGATCGATTGAAGATTAAATAATCATAGTAAATATTTGAATATTAAATGATGAATACCTTGGCAGATCGCCTATCGTTGTCAAGGCAAGAGTACACCAATAATAACTCTGCAGATACTGTTTCACTACATCTGCTGCTTCTGAATCGTTGAATACCCAATTCTTGCTCCCAAAACCATTGTTCTTAGATATAAGATGGTAGAGGCACCCATTCCAGTGAAATATCACCAGTAAATAATGAATTAAAGACGTAGATCGAAATAAATTTGGATAATTAGTATGTCGTTCAGTTCTATCCATGAAAGCCCAGAACCTGTCCGATATCATATAAAAATATCATGTTATTTTATCAAATTTATTAAACGAAGTTTAATAAAGTAAAATTAGATTACCGATAGATTTTAACGAGTCTAAAACTTCGTAGTATACTGTTATATCCTATTGATAAGTATAAAAAGTCAAGGGGTAGCAGGCACAGACAGTCAATGTAAAAAGTAGTGCTGTTCATGTAATGATTTCTTAATTTGATAGCGTCAGTCTGTAATACCCCATCTTCGAGATAACCCGTACGAAAATGAAAGGCTATATCTACTGCATAAAGAAAATCCGAAAAGTAGTCAAGGCAGAACCACACCAATCGGGTTTTATCTACAAAAAAAAAATGACGTGAAATTAAACAAATTAAATTAATATAGATTTATATTATTTGTTGTTGTGTGAGTTTACTTCGTAAGGAAGAGTAATAAAACAGAATCTTGAGCTATGACTGACCATTTATTTCCTGGAAGGCAAACCTATAGATGATGACCCAAAAGTTGTAGAGAAATGCTAGTGAAACAACCATAGACCAATAGTAACTCAAGCGTCCAGCTGGGTCAAAGACAAATGACCAATTTGGTGCACCAGTTCGGAAGCCGCGTGTTCCTGGTTGCCCTGGATATCCTCTACTTCCTCTTTGCTGTTGTTGCTGTTGTGCTGTATATCTCCTATGACATTATAAATTACTTTTGCTTCAGATGCATCCAAGATAATAATCATGAGACTATCAAAATTGTCATACCACTCACGTTTCAGTACCATTGCAACTGCTGTTACCATTCAGATGATTCGTTGAAGCAAGACTGCGCAGATGGGACACCTCCCTCGAAGAACTTAAGCTCCCGACATTTGGAAATTTTAACTTACCTCGCAGCTGATCCTTCCTCTTTGACTTGCGACTGAGGTCGAGTTCACTTGCCCCACGATTTACATACGCGCCGTGCAAAGAGTCGTGAGAAGAACCAGAGTGTCTCTGCGAAACAAAGTAAATCTGAAATATGTTATTAGTAATTGTTAATAATCATCATATTCTATTAATATACACAATTTTATATTTCAAAAAGAAAAGAAACATTTTAAACATTTAACTTAATATTGAAATAATAAATTAAATCAGGTCTGCATGTTATTTCATACATTTGAGGCTAATAACTCAGTTAATAAACATAATTTACTCGTGTTATCATTTTATTTTTAGATAAATATGTTCGTTTAAAAAAATGAAATATCTGATGTTCAATATCTACATTATTAGGGCAGGAGAAAAAATTTTTTTTTATCATTTGAACAATGGATGATAAATGAAACGATACAAATGAATAGAATAAAAAGTTTCTCTATTCAGCTTTAAAAAATGTTTAAAATTTCATTTTTCTTCTATGAAAGCTTCAGTTGAACTTTTAATAAAAATAAATAAAAAATCTTGATGATAGACATCTCAATTCGTTGAAAATTTTTTAATATAATTGAAACAACTCAATTCTTCTCGAACAAAGCCAGTATTATCAGCATAGCTCAATAAAGGAGAAATCAAACATTGTTACAATTATGAGCAAAAAATTAATAGCTATCAGATTTTTTGTTAATGTCAAAATATTCATGTTATTTTAACTATTTAAAATGTTTTTCACAATAATATTGTACTTGTTAACTGGAACACATTAATTTAACCAACCTGTCGTTGTTGTGATTGACGCAAACGTTCCTGTTTGTGTTGTGAATGTTGCTGATAATGATGTTGATGGTAATAGCGATGATTTGAAGGTCTACCCATCAGTTTATTACCCACAAGATCCATGAGACTCTGTCTCGACCTAGAAATGGTGCTTTCAACACTTTTAGTATCATCATCTCTACCTCTGTGCTTGATGTCAGCTTTAGCATTGCCAATTCTTTTGTCACTGTCTTCACAGTCAGCTAAACCCGGAAAGCTGCTGGCTGATGGTTGACCTAAAACACATCGTGAATTTTGAGTTTAATTTTCGAGAAGTAGTTTAATATAAACGGATATCGAACATTAATAAGCTAGGAGATTGAATCCTGTTCACGTAAATACCCTACATAATTACATCTACGTAAATTTAGTAGAGAGGATGAAAATTTCTTCGCCTATATTGCTGGTAATTTGTGTATATACTGAATAATCTAATCTCCAGGAAGTTTATGTAATTCTATACATAGATTTATTTTTTTTCTTGATTGAAAGTTGGTTATTTTTTTTTCCTGAGGATTGGTATCAAGTTGAATCAGCATCGGACTGATCACAGGTTCGATAGAATGCGGAGAAAAGTGTAGAGCAAGGATCGATATTTGGCAAATAGCCAAACGCAACGGGTAATCTCACCGTGAGATCCATCGATAAAGTTAGGCCTATCATTGGGCACCGGTCCAGCGAATTGCTGAAATAATCAATGAAATGTATCCATGTAACCCTACAATGCGCAAATTTTTTATTTCCTTTGAAATAAAAAAAAAAAAATATTTATATTATGTGAATTAATAGAAATATTATTATTTGAGCATCATTAGGTTCTTAATATATACTATTAAGGTCTTTTGAACTAAAATCATTGGGTGACAAATAAAACCAAGTTTAAACCCATGAGAAAATGAGAGAGCCACCCCAGGAACTCAACACTGTCAGAGATAGAATCGAGTTGGTGTTTAATTGGATTAGCCTCTGTCACTCGAACACGCAGAGAAGCAGAACGATGTTTTGGCCGAAAGTAGACTGTGGAAATTCAGTTAAATGAGAGATGTTGCTTTTCCCTTCACAGTATTTATACGAACTTCACTCAACTTATATAATGAAATGAGATAGTGTAAAGACTCTGGGAGTATAAAAGCTAGAAATAAAAGAGAAAAATAAAAAAATAAAAGGAAGAAAATAAAAAGAAAAAAGGGATTTAAGTGAAACGAAAATAAAATAGCCAGACTTACCTACGGACGTGGCAATGCTTCTTGGAGTTGAAGTTATTGCGGATGAAGCAACAGGAATAGAAGTAGGTACTGGTAGTACAGACGTAGCGATGCTGTACAAAGTTTGTCCACTTCCGTACTTGTTACCTGAACAATGACAAGGAGTAGTAGGAGTGACGGCGCCACCTACGACTGAGATCTCATCTAGCTCATGACCACTGTCATAATAGCAAAGTCGTGTAGCACTAGTACTTGATGCTCCTGTATCTCTACCAGCAGAGCAATCATTTCTCGCATGTGCACTTTGATCACTAGCACTTGCACCGCTACGGCCCCTCAGCGACTGCATGAGCCGCTTGGCGCCCGAAGACATTCCACGGAGGTAATCCAGCCTTCTGATGGTCGTCGGCGCAGCCGCCGCCGTAGCCGCGTCCCTCCACGTGTTGAAATAATCCTTTTCCACCTGATTCTCACTGCTAGAGTTCAACTGGTCACCAACTTCTCTACGGCTGCTCGTGATACCAAGAGCCGCTTCTTCACCGCAATCCTCTCGATAACCCATTCATTTCACCTCATCATTATAAATTTTTATTCGTCTATTTATTAACTCACGGCTACGTTGGTTTATCAAAAAGTTACTCTGTCCAATCATTGGACCCTACACAATCTAATGTCACCGCTGGGTTGATGTCAATGACCTTTGCTTCAACATTGTGTGCTTTCAAGATCAACACTCGTGGAAGAATTATCTAATTACTCTACGCCAAACTACTAAACAGGCCTAAAAAATATCAAATAAAATGTATAAATAAATTTTTAAAAGATTGATATTTGAGGTTATTTACCAGTGTTATTGTTGGTTTCTTATAATAAACGGCAGCTTTTTCCTCCCTAGTTTTTCATATCCTCTTCTTACACTTGTTCCTCTTCTTCGCGGTTGTTTACTACGATCTCTTATGACTCGCTCGAGCAACAAGTGTCCATGATGTGCTAGCAATTCATTTCCCATGCGTTGTGATACTCGGATATTCTCGATTGCTCGCTTGCATAAGCAATTTTCTTTTATCTGAAAAATGATATTACGAGATCAATCATCTCTTGACATGCATGTAATCCATCAACACATTCATCAACATCCTCATTATTCCACATAGCAATCAACTTTTTCATTACTCTTTGATATTAATTCTAATTATTAATATGAATTTTATTACTATCTCTACTGCAATTACTGTTTTCATAGCTTCTATTGGCGTCTGAAGTTGTCGTATTTTTATTGTTACGGTTATATTGGTACTTGTATTTTTATTTTTATCGGTATATAGCCTTTCTGTTATCATTATTGAAAATTTTATTCATTCTTTCTATTTTCCATAAGCTTAGTCGTGCGTAAGTATATAAAATGGTCGCGGAAATTCCTTGCTCTCTCTGGGAGTCGGTCGTCCGCGCCACTAGGGGAAACAGCAGCAGCTCTCTAGTTACCATGGCGACCACAACGATGTCCCAGTCTAAACTCACCCCGACTCATATCTCTCTTTCTCTTTCTCTCACACATACATCCATCTACACACACACTTATTTTATCTCTTCATGTTGGTACGAGAAAGAGAGCTTACGGCGGTCATGCCGGCTTTCCTCTATGTACGCTTTCTCATTTTAACTTTCCATCTCTTTTGAGACATCCATCATTTTTCTGATTCGTTACTATCCACCGCCATGTACACCAACACGATATAAAATTACAAAAAAGCATCATTCGAAGTATTCGTAACGGAAAAGAAACCTGTGGTGTATAAAAATAATAATGATAATAATAATAATAAAAACATTGATAAATAAGTTTATTTAGACAAGAACATACATCGCCATTTTGTCAGTTAATTAGGTCAAGTAAACGCAAAAATAGAATTTTTAATTAGAGAACTTCAAAGTAACATTTTTTTTTCTAGGTTAACACCGAATAAATCAATTTACACTTAAAAGTTTAGCAAGAAGAGATTAGAGGCATTCTACAAATTCTATTGATAGTTTAAACATTGATGCATGTCAAACACGTGTTGTGTAGTAAAGTCATGCCACGAAAATCAAGGAATGCTATAGTTTTGTTTATGTACGTGATATGAATTTTAAAGTGAATCCATTTTAGTGTAATTTATCATTGAAAATGACACTCAACATTCCACATGCTATTAATTGCTAATAAAAATGTGACAAATTTTGTGATTTTAATCAAATCACTGTATATAAACAATTCATATTTTTCATAAACTAATACGACATGCTAATAAATTCGCATTGGAATTTTTATGAATTTATGTATAAAGTTTAATTACATTATTTGTCACAAAAATTTTAATCTCAAACGAGTAGTATGTGTTGCCCTGTAGTCAGCCGTACAATTTTTATAGCCTCAAGCACAATACTCGAATTCAAACGTTACACACACGTTAATGCATCTATGTTTTTGGTGAAAAATAATAGAGATCAACAATTGACAACTACCAACACTTATAAATGATTGTTTTTTTGAAACAATGAAGATTAAAAAGCATTGAAGGCAATGATTTTATTAGATTTTTAATCAAAAAAAAAAAAAAAAAAAAAAAAATTCTTGGCTCAACATTTATGGAGAATGTATTATTTATATTGGTGATGTTAAATATTATTTATAAATTCGCAGCAATATTTAGTGTAAGTACATAAAAAAAGATAATTGAATAATATAAAATTATTGCTGACTATTACAAAACTTAATACATATATATTTTCATTCTAGGTTTTTTTAATCCCCTTTTATAGCCAACAAATATACGTTAATGCTTTTTTATGACCCAAATCTATGACATACTTTTTCAGACGTTCAAAGACTCCCAAGTGACTTAACAAGATCCTTAAATAAAAATATAGCATTTACTGATTATTTTATTTCCTTCTTAAATATCACATTCCATCATTTAATACTTACTTGTACATTAAATATACCTCATCTTCAGTTTCGAGTCCATAAAAGAGTTTTTTATTTCACTGTAAAGAACACATATTGAAAGTACGTATTATTTGAAAGAGAAGTTGCTTTAGAACAAAGAACTAACTAATAATCTAAATGATTAAAATGGAGTCTATGATATTTTTACTTGATTTCAATATTTTTCTTCTTTGAAAAATAAACCAAGTGTTGATTAATTGAAAATCAGTTAATATTTTCCAACACATTGTCTTGATGATTGGGCCTAGTAAATTAGCATAGCTATCATTAGCTTTTGGTGAACACGCCGCCAATACTTTGAATAAATAACTCATTTCACTTGAATAAAAATAAATCAAAATGTTGTATAATAGTAAATAAACACATAACATATATTATTGTATAGAATCTTTGGACACTTTGGGAGCTTTTCAAACGTTTATAATGGTTGTGACATGGCGGGATTCATTGAACGCGTGATTGGCTCTGCTTTTGTAACCACTGCAGAGTCTTGCGCGTTCTAAAACCCATTTATTTGTTAGATATTTACGAGGATTATTTAGAGCATCTTTAAATAAAGATAACTTTGATATTGGAGCATCGATTGCCATAAAAATTATCAAGCAAACTGAGAGTTTTTATCACACATTTTTTGTACTTATTACTCTTATTATAAAACATTATTATTATTTTATTTTATTTCAATTAATCACTTGATTACTGATGATAATCAAAGCACAATGTTTATTACAAATTTCTCTAAATTAAAAACACTTTGTTTTATTTGTAAGAGCACGTTAACGGTGAAAAAATGTAATTATTTTACAGACTCTTGAAGCCAGCTTAGAAAGCGGCTATGGCGGCGGCTTGGCCCTCACTACTCTAACGTTAGTTTGCTCTCTAGACTGGAGGGTGAATCGGATATTTCTTCGCGCAGGACCAAATTGCTGAGTGAGAGAAAGATCTTCCAGCATCCAAAGCGCAGGACTAAGCGCAATGTCATCGTTCTATTTCACCGGTTGGCTTTATTTTTCGCTTTACTATTATCCATTTTATCATCTAAAGTTTGCTCTTATTGTTCTCATCAAGTGTATTATACTCCAAGAGATCATAAGATATCATCAATGAAGTAGTCATTCAAGAATTCATTTTTTTTAATCAACATTACATCTTTTACTTTGTCAACTCCATCAGTATGTCATTGTTGGATGTTGAACGATGCACCATAAGTTGCATTCATTTCTTTTTTTTTTGTCTTCAAAGTTGAACTATTGTTGCTGATGAATGATTCAATTTTATGTCATAATATCATGCTAACATTGTGTGAGTTAAAAAGAGATATTTAATTTAATATGTTCTAGTATTAATACGTCATAAGAAATGTAGCTTATTATTCAGATTTATTTAATGAAAATAAATGTGGAGATTAATAGAAATAGTAATTTAATAAATTCTAATAATGGCATTGGTGGAACATCATAATATATATTTTAGACGTACTACATCATATTCAATACATCAACATCAATGAACTTTTTCACCTAGCATGTAGGTAATAAATGACGTAATAAAAAATTTTCTTTCTAAATAGATAAAAATAGGATTAATGGCTTATAAGGAATAACTGAAAACAAAATATATTTCAATCAATAATAAATACATTATAGTTAATTGATGATCATTAGCGACTGTTCAACTCATCAGAAATGATGGCTATGTCTATTTCAATAGTTTTGATTAAAGAGTAAATTGAAAAGGATCAGTTGATGATAATTAATCATCACACGTCAAACAAATTGCGTCTACGATTCGGCGCCTCGAACTGCGTCGACACAACGGATCGATTAGCTATTACGCTTTGACGATAACATCCCTCTTATAAAAATGCCGAAGAATATTGCACGCCTATCATAAAAAGGTGTATAACTTTTAAAAATACTTGAGTCGTCTATTCCCGATCAATTTTCCTTATCATATCAATTTTATAGGTTTCATATTTTATTCTCCAAAGATATATCATTGCATTGTCTCTCGGTGATACAGCCCTCTGAGAAAAAGTGTAATTAAAGATTAAAAAATATTAGATAAAAATAAATCTCAAGATGTTTAATAATATATGTTTTATTTTATAGCACATATGTGGGCGTATGTGTGTCTGTGTCTTTTAGAACAAGGGAAATAAAAATCTGTGGTACGTGATAAGAAACTAAGCAGACTTTTTACACCAATAATTCGTAACTCAGCCAACACTTTTTTTGCTCTTTCGCCTCATTTACTTAATTTCTTCCATCTCATCCTAACTCACAACTTATTGCTATCATCACTATGCATTTTTTTTAAATTACGAGATGCTACATTTATGTTAGCTAAAGTGAGAAATAAATTAATTTTTACTTCAAAATATTCGTGTAAAGAGGAAATTCATTTTAACAAAAATAAAAAATAAACTTCTGAACTAAAAGTAATTAATAGTTTATTACTTTTGTGAAATTAGATTATCCTAAAGAGTAACTTTTTTTTTTTTACAAATAATAATCCTTATTTTAATAATTAATAATCATTCTTATTCTAATATTTAATATTATAAAGAAATTATTTTTAATATTTTAAATAATTTGTTGATAATAAAAATGAAAAAATTATTACTTTAAATACAAGAAGGTGAAAAAAAAGAATTGTTATTTTCTTTTAACTCACAATCCCTCGAATTATTTAATTGAGTATCGCAATTGTTTGTAATGATTAATTCTTGTCCTTTTAGTGGCAATGATAAATGAAGAGGAAGAATGGATAAAGAGAGAAAGTATTAGGTAAGACTAATGGTAAAAACCTAGGAATAAAAAGAAAAAGATGATAAAAAAGACAGTGGTATGGAGGAGTAAGAATGAAGGTCGCAGCTTCCATTCGTGTTTCAACCATCTAATACCCCGCAACCCCCGTAAAAATCAATGTGAGAAGCTGTAAGGTATATCTACTAGCCATTCGGATAACATTTTTGTCTTTCTCACGAACATCGAACCTCCTTAATTTATATCATCTTTTTCTACATTTTACTTTTTGTTCTAAATTTATTTTTCACTTTTGTTCCCTTTTTTATCGGATCCAATTTTCTTGCCTTCAGATACATCTTGTTTCATTGGTGACAATATAAGTTCCGTGAAGTTCATCTAAATGTTATCGTTGAGTAAACTTAAATAGAACTGACTAAAGGTGCCGGTAACTTTTAGCTAATTGTACAAGTGAATGAATTGGAAGATTTAACAATCGAATCCTGTAAATCTGTGATACAATAAAACATTGATTAATTAATTATCTTTTTTAAGAAATATTACGGCATTTATTTTGTTATAATTTTTTTTATTCATTAATTAATCGGTAGATAATTATAATTCCTGTTGGAAATATTGGACAAATTAATAATAATTACATTAGTGAATAATTAATAAATAATATTCGCAAATTTACATATTAAAGATCTTATATTTTTACAATCCATTACAGTGATCAATATAAATATTTGTTGATTATGTATTTTTCGTTTTAATAAAATGAAGTTGTTTCATAATCTTTCTCATGTTTATAATAAAAAATATACATGTATTATATTCTAAATAATTAGGAAATATTTTTTTGCTATTTACAATATTAAAATTAAAATCGATTAATAGTAATATTAAAATAATTATTAACCAATCTAACACTTTTTTTCAGTATTATTTTATGATTTTTTTTTTTTTTACGTTACGTCTTTCTCCATCAGTTTTTTAAATATCTACAGCACAGCTGTATCATTAATTACTTTTCTTTTGCAAAAAGTAAGTAAATTTAAAGACTGATTAATTATTTAAAAATTTTTTTTCAAATCACTTGAGTGATTTTTTTTTTTTTTGAATTTATCTATTATCGCTTATCATCCTAAATTCATTTATTAATAAAATGTTGAAATTTAAATAGCCCTTTAAATTGTTACTCACTCTTTGCAAAACCAAAACTGTTTCAATAATAAATTTGTCCAAATGCATTATTCATCAACTACTTCAATATTATTTCTACTCGTTATTAATAATATTATTACAATTCGTTTACAAATGAACTTTCAATGTTTTATCATCTAAAAATATTATTGATATTTTTGACACAACATTTAATTTTATAATTTATAAAAAACATTGAACTAAAAAATTATAAAATCAATTGGCGAAAGATTGTTTTTTCTTTATACATTTAATATTTGATTTTTAGTTTTTAAATGATTCATTTTATTCTTATCAATCTTTCATTTATTTTACTTTCAAGTTTTCGAATTGGTAAAATTTTATAAAATATTCATTTATTTTTCTTCGTTTAGTTTTTAGACATTAAATATTCGCTTTATCTTGAATCATTTCCTCGGAACAGTTTCTAGGAAATAAAAAAATGTATTTTGTTAAATATAATGAATTATCGATCTTAAAAAAAAAAACTTTCTACGTCGTAATGAATGATTTTAATAAATAAAAACGAGGGTTGATGAATAAAGAACTCATGTTAAACAAATCATTCATCTCGTTTGAGCATTAACTATAAATACGATTGAATATTAGTGTAGTATAAATTGATAAGATTGATTATTAAACAGTTTTGGAAGCAAAGAGTTGTTAATTATTAATAAATTATTACTTGGCATTTATAATGTGAATTATGATGTAATTCTCAATCAAAGCTTAATCTAATCTTAAGTCTATAATATAAATTTAAAAAGTAAGGCACTAATATTGTCAATTAATGAATGCCTTTTGAGCGCATTTAAAATTAAACATGATTAAAGAAACACAATTCACGGAATATTCACAACAGTATTAAATTTCAAGCAGAATTAACTTAGAGTTAATTCTAATACAAGTCAGAAACTGATGGGAATATTTCAAGTCTTGTAATTAGTCTTTACAAATGTCTGACGTTTATGAATAAAAAAAATATATATCTTTTTTTAAACATAGAACACACACACGATCAGGATTAAAATGTTCAAAGCATTAACTTAATTTAAATAATAGCGAATGTAGAATGGACGAATGATATTGACTTTCGATCATATTATTTGTGATATATGATGATTTTAGAAATATAATTTTATGGTTTAAAATAAATTACAACCTCCTTAACGATGCCATACTTAGAGAACTGCATTTTGCCTTTCGAGTGGGTTGAACTGACATTGGAGCTACGAGTACATCTTCTCTGGAAGGCGAATCCGTGCCATTATTGCCTAATTCCTAAAGAAAGTAAAAAATTATTGAATTACAATTTCTTGATATCAAATTTATTATTACAACACATTGAATAAATTTCTAAAAGAGTTATTTAAATAGCTTTTTTTAATAACAAAAGTAAGATTATATTTTTTTAGTTATTTAGGAGAGGTTTTTTTTATCTTATTTAAATAACTCTTTGTTAGCAATGTACTTTCGTAATTAGATTATCCATATCAATTATTAAAATTAACGATATGGCCCACTAGAGTATTACACTTGATGAAAAATTTACCCACAATATTCACAAAGGAAAAGCATGCATTAATATTTGACAGAGAGAGAAATAAGTATGAAAGACTTACGTGTAAGATGACGATAGTCATCCTGATAAAGTTGTTAAGCAAGTCATAAAAGAAATTTTTTTTTAAACTATTAAAGAATTGTTAAAAAGTAGTTGTGATAGAAAGTAAAAGTTGAGCTGTGAGAAGGTGAATATTTAATCAAAATTATATATAATAATTAATGAATTTCTGATACAATTATCATAAATTACAATTGATTTTTAATTATTATATATGGATGTAGTGTATCAAGTTGTATGTATTGATATTTGATTTTAAATAGTTTTAAATAGATGCAATTGTAGCGTAGAAATAAAAATGCAGATTAGTAAAAGTGAAAAAAGCTTAATTTAAGAAAAAAAATTCATCGCAATAAAATAGATAAGAATAATTAATTAATAAATGAATGAATTTTTTTTGTTTAACTAACGTTAATATTGTTGCAACTGGCTAGACGCATTTGGGCAAGTTGCTGGCTCGCTGGAGTAAGGCTGTTCGTTGAGCCGAATGGTGACATCATTGTGGACATTGCTCTTTTCAATTTGCTTGGAGTTTTGTTGAAGCTGAATGCTCTGCCAACTTTCATTCTCGTACGTGATGCAAATCTGAATAGGAAAAAAACAAATTTTTATTTTTATCAACAAATTGCATTTTGACATTTAAAAAATTTCACGCTAAAAAATGGTTCAGCTAAAGAGATAACTCTTTTGATAAAACAAAGTTAAAAAAAAATAAGCTAAAAAAAAGTAATAAAGATAAGCTTTAAATCTTATATAATATTGCCAAGTTTTTTGAAACATTATGTAAAAATTGCAGATAAATTTTAACTACATACACATTTAATTTCATACATTTACTATAAAGTTTGTTTTTTAGTTTCTTTCTGCGGTCAAACTGCAAACCATGCTGCGTCTATTATTTTACTTGGAAAAATTTTGAAATTTAATGAAAAAATGAACTTCAAAAAAGAAAAAAAAAAAGAAAAATGATAAAAAAGAATAGATGAGTATAAAAGAAAAGAAAAAAAAAAGCAATGTACAATTTTAGGAAAATAATTAGGTGTTGTGCGAACACTAACGGTATTGGGACATGTAACGTAGTTTCACACATGCTACTAAGTAGGAACACATACGGATCCATATACTCCAGGTAAAAATTATAAAATAGGCTCCTGCAACCAAACATCACGGTGTCCCATTATTGTTCCGTTCCCATGCAGTATAAGAAAAAAAATTTTACATTAAAAACTAAACTATGTAATAATTGTATAAGTTTGTTTAACGAACTTTTGGTATTTGATTGAATTTAAAAGAATTAGCTAAAGTACACAAATGTTGAATAAATATGGAAATAACAGAATTTATAATAGTTTATACATAAATATTATTATAAAAAATGAATTTTTAAAAGTTTATTTTTATATTTTAAATAATACTTACTTAAATGCTTTACTCAATGTCCCCAAAGCGACGTCACTGGTATCAATTTCAAGCTGATGAGAGTCAAGACTAATTAAAAATGTATCCTGTAAAAGAAAAGAAAATTTATGAGTATACAAACTTGATTCAATTTGCTTTTGTACTTAAAAACTTAAACAAACTTACAGCATCAGCTTTGCAAACTGTATTCGCCATTTGTCTGCATAATGTTCGCAAATAGTTACTTTTATTTATTTCTTCATCTGTTATTGTAAATGAATACAACTTTTCCTTTAATTCTTGATTATTCCGTACCATTAAAGCAAATACTTTTTGACATTCTGAAAAATAAAAAAGAATTATAAGTTAAACTTACTATTATCATTATATAATTGAAAGTATTTTTATATTAAATCATGATAGAAATATCAATTACAAAATATACTTGACAAATATTTACCATCAGTTTCACGAATGTCGACAACCTTCTTTATTGTACTTAATGACAGCATTTTAATGTGTTTGTAAGGTTTACCCTGATTAAGTTTAACTGTGTGAAGTCCATTAGCCATATTAGGGCTTTTTAAAGAATTAAAAGCTTTTGAACGTTTTTTACATATCTCCAAAGTATCAGTAAATAAAAATAATACCAAATGATCTCCACGACCACTTAATCCTTCACCTAGCTCCATAACATCACACTTTCCAATAAATGATCGATGTGAAGATACTAAATGAGGTGGACAGTTGTCTATTTCATTGAAAATATCAAACATCACAAGTTGACCTTCTGTTTTTCTCTTGTCTTCATTTATATACGTCATCACCTCTTTAATACTACTGATTGATAGTTCCAAGGCACCATGGTCTGAATTATTCTTACTTGTATGTTTAAGAATATCAGTTAATAATAAGCTAATACTGGGAAGTCGTTGCACAGGTTTTATCATTAATTCTTTAAGGCTCTGTCTACCACATTCTGGTTTTGTTTGGCAAATTTTTAAAAACGCATGAAATCGAGGTTTATTTTGATCACATTGATCTAGCATTTCTTTAGTATTTTCAAAGAAATTAACGTATGGCGGGTAAGCTTTTACTAAGTCTGGAGCGTATTTCAAAAATATATTTCCTATACTGATATCTTCTGCCCAGTGTGCTGCACTGTATCGTAGTTCTTCCAACATTTTTTTATGCACCTCATAAATTGGCGGGAAATTTCCAAAAATTATTTTAGCTTCTGTACTGTTCAATAATTCATTACTCGTTTCAATATAATCTTCCAATGGTGATTTGAATAACTGAAAAAAAAATCAAGTTGAAATTATTTTCATTTAAAATCTGTAGTGAGTTAGGATATAGGACATTGACATTAGAGTGAGAAAATAAGGCATCTTTATACCTGCCTGATTGCCACCCGTAGTACCATTGGTACCTGACCCGGAGGTGAGGGTGGTAAATACTCAGGTAAAGATGCCATATTCCGTTCTTATGATAAAGTTAAAATTTGTACGATTTAAGGTTAGGAAAACGCCGGTTATTTTCCCGAAAAATGGGAAAAACCGATTAATTGATAGAAAAATTTTATTACTTACTGTCATTATTGTACTTAAAATACCAACGTAGTTGGACTCTGTTTGCACTAACTCCAAAAACACTTGATGCCGAGGAGATAAGTTTTTCCGGGTAGATTCTGCTGTTACAGCTTCTACTTCTGGAATATCTTTTTTCATTTTGAAATAATTAATTTATAAAATTTATTAAACTTTTATAGAATAACACACGTATAACTTTAATATCCCGACGGTTAAACACGACCCGATTTAAAAGATGTCAATTACCATCCAACATTTGCTTGTCAGGACTTGCAGTGCAATCTAAGAAGCTTCCACTAACACTCAGGTGACCTGCATCGCTGATGCTAGATCTTCTTTTGTGAACAGCCGGCGAATCGGTGCCGTTTTGTACAAGGCTCGACAGTGTGTCAGCAAGACGTTTGCGTTTCCGTCTAGTCGATGCCGTAGTAGGTGTTGCAGTTTGCTGATTGTCTTTTTTGACAGTTGCGCTCGGTGACAATATTGACTCCAAGTACTACGAACAAAGTATTATTGTAAAATAATGTTGCCAACTGTAGAAATTTTTAACAATTCTTACATCTTCAAATAAGTATTCTTTCTCATCAGCAGCCCCTTCGTTTTGAACTGACGTCCAAAACCACTCAGCCTTAACTATGAAGGCTCGCATTGCCGCCAAATCCGGCAAAGTATTCACGTTTGACTCGTCGACAACCTTAAATTAATAAAAGACTTTTTTTAACAAAATAACCAAGTAACAAATGACATAAACATTATCTGCACGTAGACACAAAGTATAAACGTTTTGGCGACAGTACAGTTTCCATAATTTGGTGAGCAATAAAGTGACCAGTTGAAGGGGAAGGTACGCTAAATCTCCTTGAAAATAGGACCCAAAGGAAGATAATGAGGTGTACAGGTCCGTTTTACGAGTACGTCATTCCTGACCATATTATGGAAACTCTGCTATATTCTAAACAATAATAATATAATGAATACTCTTATATTATTAAATTATTTTTTAATAATATAGTATCAATAATAGAAATAGTATGATGATAATTTTGATTTTAAAAAAATATTAATAACCGCCCTTTACTTCCCTTCACCAACAAAAATTGACAACAAATCCTACAGAAAAAAAATTTTTAAAACAAGTACCATCAAAGATGGCGCGTCCTTCCGTTGTTTAATCTTGAAGTATTTTTCTTTTTGTAAATTAGATTTAAAATCAACAGAAGCAGATATATCACGTATTAAGCCTTTTGGATACCTAGGTAGATTTGGCAGTGACAACCGTGTTGATTTAGATTGAGTAGAGAAGAAGCTACATGATAGAGAGCGTCGCTTGATCTTAAAGTCATTGATAGTATGTGGACTAATTTGCGTGGAGCATTGTTTAAATGAAAGAGGAAATGTCATATCGTGTATTGATGACGATGATGAAGAAAAAGAAGGAGCAGATTGATAATAATATGGATATTTTGAAATTGATAGTCTAGATTGATGTTTTTTCATTTTCTGATTCATTTCTTTGCATAAATATTCGTCAATATTTTCTTCTTGTTTTAATGATGTATTCGAACATTGCTTTTTCAAGCTTTGGGATTGATTTGCAGTTGCCGTGAATGATGGTAATGTAAAACATGATTTAGATTTTTTCCATTTAAGATAACGTCTCGGTATTATATGTTTTTTTTTGAATAAATTATTATCATTAATTGATAGAGGTTTTTTAAAATAATTATTTTTTAAATTATTTATATTTTGTAAAATTTTAGTTGAAGATAAAAAATTATTGCGTTCATTAAGCATATCAGATTCGTTAAACGAGTGAGGTTGTTCTGAATTAGAAGAGAAATAATCCATAAAAATAGCTGAATCTTGACTTGTATTTCTATAAAAACTACTGACTCCCGCAGTATCTCTATCAATATTCATAACAGAACCCAACGTCATTAATGAAGTTATGCTATTAAATTGACTTTTAGAAGACTCATCATCATCATCATCATCATCATCATCATCATTATTATTACTATTATTTAGAATTAATCGCGGACTTTCTTTATCAGATGGACTAAGAATGAATGTTTGATTTAATAAAGGGGAAGACTTGGGTGGTGAAGGGATAGATTTAGTATTAGAGTAATTAGAAGATTGTATTCTAGGAGCCTTAGTTTCACCATTTTTTGTGCGCTTGTTGTTAAAATCAGTAACCTAAACAATTATTTCAGCAAGAAGATAAATAAAATCCTTATTTAAAGCATAATAATAATATTTCATCAATTTGTTGTTCAAACTTACTACGTGGGTGCATTCAGGATCATCAATCTCTGTTGGTTCTCCCCCTTGCTGTTGAAGAACTTCACACATATGCCTCTTTTCATCATCAGGGAAGCCAAAGAAACATACTTTTGCACCAAAAAAGGGTTTCAACTTATACTGTGCAATCTAAAAGATATTTTATTAATTAACGATTACTAAAAATTTGTTACTCATTAATATTAATTTATGAATTACACTAATTTGTTTTTTGTTTTAGGTTAGACAGATCAACTTACCATATTTTCATTATTTGCATAGCTCGTCACATCATTTTTAGCATCCCAGAGTGCTATTACCCAATTCATAGACATGATAGGTACCCGAAAGGTAACAGCATATCTGTATTTATCACCACCACAGCAATTTGCAATGAGGTGAGTCACTTTTGCACCCATATCTTTTCTAATACTGCCTCCCATACTGTGAATCATATTGATGAGCCTTGTCTATCAAAAATAAAAAAGACCAATCATAATTAATATTTATAAAAAAAAAAAAATTTTGATTTCTAATTTGCATAAAAAAAAAAAAAAAGAATCATCTTTAATTTACCAATTCATCTTTTTTTCTGAATCCAGTAAACACTACAACTGTTCCGAGCATAGCTCTTGTGTACATGGGTCTGTTGATACTGGGTAGAGATTCCTTCCTTTCTGCCAACTGTACAAGTGCAGTTGGTCCCAATATTCTATTGAAATATTTCACATGTAAAATAGGTATATTATTTGGAAATAATAACAATTATCAATACATATTAAATATTATTTATGAAATGAAAATTGAAAAAGGATTTTCAGTGTCACCTGTGTGGGCTTTTGTGTAAAACTTCATATTCGGATCCTTCGAAATGCTTGAGAACAAAATAGGTACAATAAGTTGTATCGTCGACATATTCTACTCCAGTGTCAGATTTAAGAACAGGAACATTAAATTGATAAGCTGCTGTTTCAAGTATTGGATCACTACTGGCTATTCCAACTAAACATATTCTTTTTTTTCTTGGAAGGATTATTGCTGTAAAAAAAAAAAAAAAAAGTGTAACGAAGTAAATATTTCAAAACCAAAACAAAGTATCTTTAAGTAAAAAATGTATCAAAATAGCTTTGACTTTGATTATACATTTAAAATATATTATTATACCAAAACTAATAGCTTTATTTGGATTGTTTGATGAAATATATATTTGCAAAGTCTAAACAGGCTTTCCAATGATGCGGCAATTGCTCGTGTCCGCTGACGTAATTTTTTTTGTAGCTCTAATATGTCAAGGACGATATCAAAAAAAGTAAAAAATCGCTGTTCATAAATAAAAATATTTTTTTTATCGATAGTATGAACTTATGTGGCCATCAAAACAGTTAAAAAAACAAAGAGAATAATAATAAACGCGTGACGAATACTTATAGTCATATGATATAACATGAAGCTGCTTTATATTCTGAATTTTTAGGGGTTAGAATGAAATAAAAGCTATAGTATAATCTTTTTGGTCAATTTTCGACCGTTATTTTTCTTTTGGTAAACTAGGAAATATTCATATAATTCTTCTTCACTATTTTTCGATTTTATTATTTATTTATATATTTCTGATAACACTTACGTTCGGACTTCGTGGCTTCCTCACTATTTATATCACTGATACTGCTGTGTACGCTCTGCTCTTCCATTTTGACTGTTTCGTTATAACATCGAGACGCTCGTCCGTTTGTTCTCGTCTAAAGTCGCGAATTGTTCGCGAATAACAAATCTCAACAGAGTTTGCGAGTAGTAAAATAAAAATCTCAATGATAGCTATCATTTAAAATCCATCCTCATTAATAAACTAACGGTCACAAAAATCACACTCCCGCCTTGACGTATCATACACATCGATCTGACAAAACCATTAGTGTAAAAACATACTCGTGTACTTAAAACTTTCTCTCTTCTGTTTAGCTTTACTACAGGTCCTATACAGCTTACCACTTTACTGCTATTTTTTTTCTTTATCCTGAATGCTCGAAAATGTCTTGAGAAAAGAGATGTACAATAACAGCATGCCAACTAGCTTTACAAAGAGGAGTTAACTGGTATTTCTCAGTATTTAGTTACAAATATTATTCACAGAGAGCACTAAAATACATTTTTGAGCGCAGAAACTTAAATTTAAAATTTTGCAACATTATTTAATTTTTTTTTTCAATCAAAAAAAATTTTTTTTACACAAAAAAAATAATATTAAGAAGCTATCTATCATCTGAAGCTTATGCTCTTATGATTTCTTATGAAATATCTTTTATTTTATTTAAAGAACTTTTTATTGTAAATAACTTGTATCTTATTATTTAATTATAATAAAATTATAAGAACTAATAAAATAAATAATGAAGATTTATCGTCGTGAAAAATTGCAGCAGTAGTCATTATTTTTTTGAATTTTTTTGCCATCATTACATATAATAAAATAATATTTTCGTTAACAGAATTTACTTGGAAATTCATTACACATTATCAAATCTCGTGCACATGCTTTCATGCCCAATTTAGGCGATAATGAATGACAAATGTAATATTTGAATTAATATTCAAATAAAATATAAATATTTACATATTACTTTTATACAGTACGGTACAGTACATTTTACAGTAATACATTACAATTTACATTTTTTCCTTTAATTTTTTTTCGAATTTCAGATTAATAAATATTACAAATATGTGCTAAGTTCTATACAAATCAGTTATTCAAAATAATTTATATTTCCTTTTTCAATGACAATGATTAAGAATATTTTTATGTTTAACAAACAGTTATTAGTGAATAACTCAATATATATATATTTAAATAAATCGCATTTAACTTAAAAGAAATGTGTAAATAGCATCACTCACATTACAAAAATTGCGTGTGATAAAAACAATAAATAAAAGGTGTTTATATATAATGATATAATGTAAATCTTTTAGTAAAAATTATAATAAAAAAAAAACGTCGACCATGATTTGTATCCTCTGGAAATATATTTTCTCTGAAAATATCCTAATAAACCATATAATCATCTATTAATTACAATTGTTCTCTTAGAACCAATAGAGTCATCTAGCAATTTTTTTTTTTTATCAATTTGTTTTGTATTCACATAGTAAATCTATTTACATGAATAGTAAAAAAAATCTCTAGTCAGTTGATGTTAATAAATTAAAAAAATTGATTATCAAATTTTCGCATTTTTAACTCTATAGTATTAGTTATTACACATAACAATTGACTAGGTTTTTAATTAATTTGACTGCAATCATCTGAACTTTGATATTAATTAGCTAAATAACAAATATTGCAATTTTATTTATGTATAATTGTAAATCAATAAAATTAATATGCCAAATGTTTTTTTCTTTTTTAATTTCTTCCTAGAGGCATATCATTATGCACATGTAAATGAACCTAATTTTTTTAACTCGAGGTGCAACTAATAGCTACAATGTCGATTGATGAATAATTATAAATTACATATTAATTATTTGGAATGTAAATTTATTTCATCATCATCATCACTGTAATCATCACTTAAATAGTGATTATTTTTGTCGAATTCGAAACGTCCGCTTTTTTTTGGTGGTGGACTGTAAAAATATTCATTACTATCGTTTAAAAATTAATTAAACTTATTAAATTAAAACATAAAATATATTAATTATTATTAATATTTTACCTCACTCGATCCTCATCATTATTACTTCCACTACTTCCATTAGGACTACAAGCTCTTTTCGGGCTTGCTGGTGGAGATAGAGCTTGCATTATACGTCCTTTACTTTCATTCCAAATAGTCGACTGTAAACATAGATTAACAAAAAAAACTTGAAACAAAATTCATTGTAAATAAGTTTGCACCACTGATTATTTAACTTTGACAAATAAAACAGCATTGGGAATGATGTATAAGAAGATATATTTAATTTATTTAAAGGAACATAAAAAATGAACAATAGGTAAGGGATGATGAGTTACACGGAGGATGTAAAGATAAAAATGATTATAAATACTCTTGATAAAATTTTCTTGTGGATTTAGAAGTGTAAAAAAGGTTCTCTAACTATGTACTTTTTGGCAGTGTAAATTGTTGTTGAAATTCCAATGAGAAAAAAAATGAAACGTAAAAAAATAGTAAAAAATTTCTTTCGTGAAATACCCACCAAACGACCTTCTCTTCCAAAAAGTAAAAGAAATGCATCTATGAAATCACGTGATCTCTCTTCCCATTTGCTTATCATATCCACTCTTTTTTCTTCTATATTTTCGAAAACACGTTTTCCTTTATCTTTTAAGTCATCAAATTTATTTTGGAGGCGGAATTTTTTTTCCTAGAATGAAATGTTTGTTTTAAATACATATACATTCATATTTTAATCTTTAATAACTTACACTCAGAAAAGAAACATTCAATTCTTTAGCACTGTAACCTCTTGCTAGATTTCTTCTCACATAAATATCATAATCTTTAACTATTCTTGCAACAATATCTGAGGTAGAAACACCTTCGGTCCTTTGAGTTGCCACAAACATTCCTCTTGCTTTGATAGCTGCATAAACATCTTCAGCCTCTTCACTTGAATAGGGAATATCGTCATGGGCTACAAAGTCTATCTGTGATGTGCGAAAAATAAAAACAATTCAATCATTTACAACAGTTAAACGAGCAATTTAGTATGAATAGTCTTATTGTATTATTTCTATCTTACTTTATGCTTGGTAAGATATTCTTCATCTAGTTCCCATGGTGCATTTCGCACTACTTCATCAACGTAGCGGCAGTGTTGAACCGCTTCATATCTTTCTGTATCAGTCATAACGGTTCGACCTTTTTTCGCATGTGTTAGTTCATCATTGCAAACTAAAAATAATTTAGTTTATAATGAATAAATAATTTCAAACACTTGTATGAAAGTAATGTTTATATAGAAAATATATATATATATATCATACTTCCAACAATGAGATAAACATTAGGAAATAAATTTTTTGCTTGCATCAGTTGACGTGCATGACCTTGATGAAATAAATCGTAAATTCCGTCAGCATAAACTCTAATTCTTCTTGGAGCTGTGAAAAAATTCATTCGTTAAAATCATGCTTTTTAATGAAAAATGACAAATTCCAATGATAATTTACCTTTGCCACTTTTAGCCATTTTTAACGTAATTTTCGTGTCATAATCACAAGCTGCTGCTTCTGCAATAGCTTCTGGATCATCAGAGAATGGTGCTGCTTTGTAAATTGACTATAAGAATAAAAACAAATTATTACAATAAAATTGACACTTTGCAATGTTAGTAAAATAAACAGTAATTGAATATTATTGAATAAATCTGTTTCACCAATCTTCATGTCTTGCTATGTTTTCCAAACAAAATTAATATCAAAATATAGTACTGATATCACAATGTTGATAATAAAATTACATAAATGATAATACTAATTATGTTACAAAGTTTTAAACAGATAAAATTCTAGTAAAGTATTTATAAAATAATAATTTACCGGGAACGACGTTGGAGAATCACCTCGGGAACTTGGAGGATCATCATCTTGATGACTTTGAGAAAGTTTTTTACCGTTTGAATTTCGTTCATCCATGATTAGGATAAGCTTCTTGCCACGTTAGAGTTTTATTCAATACCTGTAATTAACACAAGAAAATTAAAGTTGTTACAAATAGTTTACTTTTATTTATCAATGCTTCCTTAATTATCTTTTGACGTTAGAATATGACCAACAAACTGATAAAGTTTAATTTATCGAAAAAATAACTAAAGATCAGTTAGAAATAAAACTTAAAATTATTCACAATTTAAAAAACGATATTAGTTAAAAAGCAAACATATTTAACTAACCTATTATTCTGATTATATTATAAAAAAAAATATTCCACTAATTTAATGTGGTTTATGATTATTAAAATGTACACTAGTTGTAAAAAATTGGATCAGTCTAATAAAAAATTTGTTGACAAATATGTCAATCAAAATAGTAGCGTATTGACATTAGAATAGAGATTCTAACAAATGACAATTGTAAATCAAAGATTGTTTTTTTTTTTAAATAAAAGTAACGCGTTATTAAAAGGCTAAAACAAAGACTTATTTTTTTATTCTATAATTTAATATGCCCGGCTGGCCTATCTTTTTAGATATCTTTTCATTCTTTAACATACACGAAATAAAAATCTAGTGCCAGATTTTAAGTTTATACAAACCGGGTATGCACGTTGAAATAAAATCACACTATTCACATTCAACTTTTATTACTGTTTCTTTAACTTCTCCATACGGATAACATTCAAAGTCACGTTTAGATCAACTTTGGACAAAATCACAATTGTAACTGACTATAAAATCCACCAAAATGTATAAATGTGAAGGCTAGCAGTATAGGTTATACCTGATTAGCGGACATAAACGATATGGAGTGGATAGAAATGCAGAGTGAGACTTAAAACTGTGAGTCAGGGACGTATATAACAAGTAGTAATACATATAATACAAACAAGTAAGGGGAAAGACAGTCTCATTGATCATGTAATGTCAATTTTTGTTTTTTTTTTCAAGCATTTCAATTAAGTTGTACTTTCAATCGTTTCTATTTCGTTTTTCAACAACGTTGAAATGGAGTTAACTTTAAACGCTCCGAAGAGAAACTTGTTACCTAACTATTCTATTATTAATACCTAAAAAAAAATCATACTATTGTTAATTTAAATAAAATTAAAACGTAATATTTATAATATTAATTATATATGTATATGTACCGATAATCAGCACTAGATGATTATAAAAATGACGACGTAATATCGGATGATCCACGGCGTCACAAAAAAATTGTCCACGTTATTAACTAAAAATATATCAAGTATAATTGACACAAATTATCATTTCTTTTTATACTTACTATTTATCCGATTGTTGTACAAAAAAGTCTGGAAAATAACCAAATTATTTATTCAACTATTTTTTTTATATTAGATTGTGTACGTCTAACAAAAATGCGACGATTAAAATAAGCATTAAATATTTTTATCACATTGTTTTTATTTTGATTGTTTTCACCCATCCATTCTATTTGTGGTTATTTCGAGATTCTTAAATATTAATGAGTTATTCGGCGAAATTGTTTTAGAAGTAAAAAACGGTTATTTTATATTTATTTACATTTATTGGATTAAAAGAGCACAAAATAGCCATATTGCTTGAATAATGTTGATAGATATAATATTAATAAAAATATTGATAAACAAAAAGTGTTCCTAACCACAAAATAATGTTTTGAACTTTAAAATTTTTTTTGAAAAAACCGTTTTTATTTATGGCGGGGAATGCATTGGAACCGGAAATTTAATAAATCGGAAATGACGTACTGCGCATAAGCTTGCGTATGAATCAACAGTCCACATCATTCGCTGTATTCCATCGGCGTGTCAATGACAGTCATGCACATACACATTCAATGGTAAAATCAAGCAGTAGAGTAGTGGTGTGAAAGCCACGAGACTTACAATAGTAACGAAATCTTTTTAAAACACACGCACACAGTATCCAAAGTCGAAAAATAAAGTTGTATGTGTGTCTGGGTCAACTACTGCGTGCGTGCGTGCAACGTGTGGTGTGTGGATGGGTTATTTTTCATTTTTGAATAAATCACGATGGTTATCCAACAAGAAGTTGTTTCTAAAGCTGAAGAAATAGCAGATCAGGTAATATCACAGAAAATATTCATATATTACTGTTAAAATTAGATTAAAATACTCCAAAACAAGTACTTTCTTCTAGAAGGAAAGGATACAATACTGTTTCCTACGGGACACAGGTGTGTTTCTCCTGTCAACGTCATCACAATCATATCCCTTCAATGTTTAACATATTTTTTGTCATTTATACATTCTATTATCTTAGTCATGATTTGTTTATAACTTTTTAAATGATAGGAAATGCAATACATTTATCACACAAAACAGTTTGAAAATTGTTAGAGGTTATGCAAGCATTGAGCTCCATAAATAGTCTTTTAGCAATTATCAATTATATTTTAGTTATTTATAGAATGTTTTGAATTAATTTTATTTTCTTTAATTAATTATAAATTATTTAAATAGATGAGTTGGTATTTTTTGTAAGAATGAACATATTGAACTCATTAATTACAAGCAGATGAATTGATTATTAATAAAATGTTAATACTTTTTAGGTAATTCGTAATGGAAAACATGTATTACCAACGTTAGCTCGACTTTGTCTGATTGCCACGTTTCTCGAAGATGGCTTACGGATGTGGTTCCAATGGAATGAGCAAAGAGAGTATATGGATATGTCTTGGGGCTGTGGAAGGTTTCTTGCAACCATATTTGTCCTGATAAATTTAATTGGGCAATTAGGAGGATGTGTCATGGTTATTGGAAGATGGCAAGTTAGTATAGCATGTGGAGTGCTATTTTTTATTGTTGTCCTACAAACATTCGCATATAGCATCCTTTGGGATCTTCAATTTCTCTTCCGAAATCTTGCCCTCATTGGTGCACTTTTATTGGTTCTTGCCGAATCAAGAGTAGAAGGAAGATCTCTGTTTGCTGGAGTACCTACTCTTGGTGATAATAAGCCTAAGAATTATCTACAGCTGGCTGGCCGTGTATTATTGGCTTTTATGTTTATTACCCTCATACGTTTTGAAATATCATTTATGCAGATAGTGCAGGATATACTTGGAAGTATACTCATGGTACTTGTAACGATTGGCTACAAAACCAAACTTAGTGCTCTACTTTTGGTTCTGTTACTTTCGGCATTGAATTTCTATCATAATGCTTGGTGGTCTATCCCAGATCACAAACCACTTAGGGACTTCCTTAAATACGATTTTTTCCAGGTAATCAGATAATTAAATTTTTATATTTAATCCTTGGTTTTTTTCTATCTCCAACTTTCATTAAATTTATTATTGTTATATTTCAGACTTTATCTGTAATTGGAGGATTATTGATGATTGTGTCACTAGGACCTGGTGGCGTGTCTATGGATGAACATAAGAAGAGGTGGTAAACTTGTACTAGAAGTACTAAAAATTGAAGTTAACATTTAAATTTTAAATTCTATAAGTGATCCTTGTCAACATTACTTATACAAAATGATAAGACGTAAAAAAATACCACAAAAGATAAAATAATTTTATATAACAAGTTAAAATCATTGAGCGACTACTTAAATGACTAGTGATTGAAAAATAAACGCCCAAGGATATTTAACGATGATTATAGAATGAAAAAAAATTCAAAACATATGTTTATTTAAATTTAATAAAGAATAAAAGAAGATATAAAATACAAACATGAATATGTTTAGATATGGAAGATATTATAATACAAAAAAAAATTAATGAAATACATTTACAAGAAAAAAAAAACAAATAAGACTAATTTATATTATCGTAAACATGATATTGTACATAAAACAGTGATTATGAAAGGGGAAAAAAATACATGTCTTTCGGTTTACTTTCGTTTCTTTTTTACCTATATTTTAGTTCTCTTATAAATTCTTTATTAATGATTCATGAGTGAATAATTTTATAATGTAAAAATCAATGAATAAAGTTTTTAAAACTTCATTATTATTAAACAATTTTATAAGAATGAAAATTATTAATCCATTTTTTAGAATGTTAATAAATAAGGAAAATTTGAAAAAAACCTGATTACCTATTTATTTTTTTTATTTTCCATAACCTTACATTATGTACGATTTCATATTACTGATTAACATTTTTATGTTTTCCACCAGTATATTATCGTTTAAAAAAGCCTATAAATTATCTTTATTCATTGGATAAGAAAAAAATTGAGAAAATTTATGATTTTTCTGTCAGTTTGAATTATTTTATTAATAAAATAGAACAAAACGGTTTTGAGCTAAACGACGCTCGAGGCGCCAATGAAAATCCATGATCTTATTGGTTACTACCACAAACGTGTGTGTGTATAAAACAACAGCTGTTTCATATCAATTAATTTTTTTTATACATATCATCTTATATTCTTGTTTATTGTATTAACTTTATATATTTACAATGGCATAGTTCTTAATTTATTTTAATTCATTTCTTTAATCATACAGTAAGTGTTTTTAATTATAACCTTTTACTCTTCTCTATAATGAATTTAAAAAAAATTTACATCTGTCAAATCCAACTTTTCAATGTCGACTTATGTTCTACTTTCTCTTTTAGATTATTAAATTTCGTTATAAAGGTTCATGTAATGAGATTCTTTCTGAAATGTAATTTTTATTTCTAAATAAATTGTGTTTACTCTGATAAAGGTTATATTTTTATCGTAGTTAACCTAAAAATGTTTCTGTAAACATTATTCACGAAATAGAAAATCAATAAACAATGTTCTAATTTCTTTCAGTTATTTTCATATGGTCTAAATTACTAACAAGTCTGTAGAAACTTAGAAGATGTTGTCAGCATTTAAACGTTTAGCTGGAAAACATGATGGTATGGGTAACACATCACCTAGGCCTGCTCATCAATCAATGCCCACAATATTGCAAAGAAAATTCGCTAAAGGAGTCCAATATAATAGTAAAGTTATTTTTAATTATATTTAATACTTAAAATAATTAAGTAGAATTTATAAATCATTTAAATAGACTTATTGAACATATGAGTAAAATTTAATTCAATTATTTTGCAGTGAAAATTATTATAAAAGGTGACAGAAATGTTGGAAAAACCTGTCTATTTCATCGTCTACAAGGTCAAAAATTTATTGAAGAATACATTCCAACGGAAGAAATTCAAGTAGCTAGTATTCAATGGAATTATAAGACGACAGATGATGTGGTGAAAGTAGAAGTTTGGGATGTAGTTGATCGAGGACGTAGAAGACGAAAATTAGATGGTTTAAAAATGGACAATGCACCATCAGATGCTATCATAGAAGAGCCGGCATTAGATGCAGAATTTCTCGATGTTTATAAAGGGACCAATGGTGTAATAGTAATGATGGACATTACGAAAACATGGACCTTTGATTATGTTCAACGAGAATTACCAAAAATTCCTGGTCACATTCCTGTGATTGTTTTAGGAAATCATTGTGATATGTCTCATCATCGAACAGTAAATGCTGATCGTGTTACATATTTTATCGACACATTAACTGATAGAAATGCTCAAATACGTTACGCAGAATCTTCTATGCGTAATGGATTTGGTTTGAAATTGCTACATAAATTTTTTAATCTTCCGTTTTTACAACTACAGCGAGAAACATTGATAAAGCAATTGGAGACAAATGAAGAAGAAACTCAACTTACTAGCCAAGAATTAGATTTATTTCAAGAGAGTGATGATGCTGATTATGAAAAATTTTTAGATAACCTTATGCAACGGAGAAGAGTGATAGCAGACTCAGCATCTGCAACGGTTCTAGTCCCTAACGTAACATCATCACTGAGTGCACATCACTCATTGTCTTCCAATAATATTCATAATAATTATGGACAACCAGATGTTAAAAAATCTCATTCAATATCTGGACCTATTGGAGGTGGAACTCCAATTCCTATTAAACAGAATGAAATAAAAAATATTCCAAAACGAGATATGAAAGTTTCTCAACAAATAGACTACTCATTAAAAAATTCAGCAGTAAATTCATTGTCAAAAACTGGAGATGCACCTGATTTGAATGGAGAAAAAGAATCTCAAAAGCAGCAAGGCTTTGTTTCAAAAATTTTTTCTATGAAAAAGAATGATGAAGGATGTCCAGGAACTGATACTCCTTTAGCATCTGTAGAAGATTTTATTCCTGATGATGGAGTTTTGGACAGATCGTTCTTAGATGACAGTAATCAATCGCCTCATAAAAATCAAGGAGACAACGCCTTAGAAAGTGATAGTGAAACAGAAACAGCAAATCCATTAGTAGCTGGATATGAAGATGATTTATCATCTGCTGATGAAGCTACTGTAGCTATGGAACCAAGATTAATTGAAAATCCATTAAGTAAACAAAGAAAAAGAATTGAAGAGGAAAAAAAAATAAATACTAATGTAAATTACAATAAACGTGATTCAATATCTTCCAGTGAACAAGAATTGGGAAATTCTGTAATGAATGGTAATTTTAAATCTCTTAATGATCATGATGAAAATTCAGATACATTTGAAAATTGGTTAAGTAGAGATTCCAAGTGGAGACAAAGTCCAGAGGGTGGAGAGGACGTTAGTAGCATTGGAACTAGGAAAGATAAATTAGATGTTAGTGATAAAAGTGTTGATGTGAGTGTAACAAGTTCGAATGTTCATTTAGAATTACTCGATAACTCAAGTGTTCGACCAGTTTACTCAAATTCTAGCAGTCCTATAATGAAAGAGAAGAAAAAGCATAAAGAAAAGAGTGATGACAAAGAAAAGAAGAAAAAAAAGAAAAGTAAAGATAAAGAAAAAGAAAGAGAGAAAAATGAAAAAGCTGAAAAGAAGAAAAAAAGATCGCATAATCGTACGAAAGATGAAGACCGAGGTCGAGATGAACTCGAAGAGTTTTTAAATGGTTCTAGTTCACGAGCAAATGTCAGTGTTGCTTATGAGGCTTTATAACAAATTTTTCCTTAAGATATTAATCATCACATCATATTGCTTATTTATATATCTGCCAAGTTAACGAAATGGATGAAATGTAAAGCAAGAATATATTACTCAGATGAACTGAGATGAATAAAAAAAAAATAACATTTGGGGTTGATTCCCGATGATAACAAGTTATTTAACGAAACATGTAAGAAAAAATCGTTCAGAGTTATAAAGATATTACTCTTTTCAAAGTACTGTTGCGTAAAGTATCAGTGAATATATAATATTCCATCAAAATAATTTTAATTATACGAAATAGTCATGATGACTGAAATTTATTATGAATAATATTTAAAATAATCATAAAAAGTTTATATACGCTCTGGAAGCAAAACTGCTAATGAAACTATTATATTAATAACATGAAAAAAAAAAACAAAATTAATGACTTTAGGAAAATTCGTAATTCAAGTTTATTAAAGTCACTTATTTTTATTTTTCCAATAATAAAACTTATTCTCCCATTGTGTATTTTCGTAAGTAAGTAAAATAATTAAGCCAATTTTTAAACTAAAAACACTTAATAATTATTTTCGAATTATTATAAATAAAAACAAATTGTATATTCAATTTTTATAATAATGTATCAATGTGAAAGTATATTTCACTCAAAAAGACAATAAATTTTACCTTCTTATATTTTTTTTTAATAAGATCTTTTTTCTTCAGTTGATAGAATATTATTTGTTTGATAAATATTATTTATAAAAAGCTGGTCTATTAATAAAGTTAATCATTGGCTTAATTATATATTATATTTGAAGTGTATCAATTAATGATTTATAAAATTTTTAGTATAAATATTTGATGTCTTCATATTGACTGTATAGTTGGTATATGTGAAAAGAGTGCAACGTCCGTCATTAGTCATTATTAATAACTATTTACAACAATGATTGTTAATTTTATAATTATTTTTATTAACTTCCAAATATGTGAAGTTTCCGTTCTATATTTATTCCTCAATAATATTTAATTACTTTTTGTAAATATTTCTATTGAATAGTAGATTTATTTAGCAACATTTATGTTAAAATGATCAAAGTTTTTTCTTTCATCATCTTGATATAACAGATTTATATCATTTTAATATCCAGTGTAATAACTTTATTGCTTGAAAAATAAATAAATGTATATTTATAATCAGAAAATCATTTTTATATTCTTCATTATAGGTATAAAGTATAATTAATATTTATAATAGTACATTCAGCACCAAGATCTTGTAATTATAATGACATTCGATTGATTCAACAGCATATTTTATAAGTAAATTGTTAATTGCGCAATAACAATTATTTATAAATAATATAATTATTTTGTATTAATAATAATTCACTTTAAACTTACTATTTTTATTGGTTGTTGAAATTTGTAATTGTAGGAGAATTTTATTGGCGCATGACAAGTATGAAATAACATGGTGGATCCTGCGAATTTCGAGCAAATGCTCGAGACTTGTTTAAATTAAATCAACGTAAAATTGAGATTTTATTATTAGTGTTTTAAGTAATATTATAGAATAATAGTTATTTAAACATTTTAATACGATGTCTTTCTACATTCGAAATATACCTAACAAATTATGTTTATACGTCGGCACACGAAACCAAATAATACAGTCTGATCGAAAGTTGACAAAACTTATGAGAATATCGGCATTCACTCACAAGGTTTAAATTATTACAATTACAATAAATAATGCGAATAACCTCAATAAATTGATAGAAGATTAATTATTTTATTTATTTCTATTTAGAACTCTCACTGTCACGTACTATTAACCTATTTTTCATTTATCGGCATATGCGACTAATACTTAACCTCAATTAAATAAACTTATATAATAAATAAAAACGTTTCTCTTTAATGATTGTAAATTCTTATATTTTAATTTTGTATATTTTTTTATAGGCTACTTCATCTTCAAGTAAAACAATAGAAAATGAATTTGTTAAATTACATACACCAATCAACACAATACAAGAAACAAACTTGAATAATTTAAATTCATCGTATTATTCTATTGCTTCTAAATTGGCAGAACAAACAAATCCAATCACTGAATCAGAAAAATTAAATCGACCTGCTAGCAATGAAGATAATAGCAGTGAAAAGAAAACAGATGGTCCTACGAAAGAACAGTTAGAATTTATTTACAGGACTCTCGAACATGATGTAAGAAATATTTTATTTTATTTATAATTATTTTTTATAATTAAATATATAATAAATTATAATTATTGATTCTACTACTAATAAACTATAAAAATTTCAGCTTCCGAAATTTTTCGTGACTGCACATAATTATAATATTTATAGTCCCCATTTGGAATTTGTAAATAATTTCAAAGGCGAAGTTTCACAGTAACTATCAATTTTATTGATTGATACAAAAATATAAATTGTATTTATTAAATTGATATTATTTCTAATTTTGTGTTTTAGCGGTCTACCGGCATATATAAAACAAACATTATGGATAAAAATCGCTGGTCATCTTTGCTACGTTTATGTTAAATTTGAAGTTTTAAAAATAACTAAACATCCTGAAGACAATACGGTAAGAGTGAGATGGCGAATTTGCGGCTTATCAACTTGGCAAGCCCTTTCAAATTTCTATAGAATGATGAGGAATTTAGATAGAAAAGAGACGTAGGTGTTTTTCAATATTTTTATTATTGATAAAAACAATTAAAGTAGTTATTGATGGATAAATTATCATAATTATAGGTGGTATGATGGCTTTTCAACATTTTTTGTGGGATCTGATGGAAAAGTATTCAAACATATAGCTGATAAAATGATGCCTGATAATGATCCAGTACAAGATAAAGAGAAAACTAATATCGCCGCAAAATTAACTACGTGAGTAATGCTGTTAATAGACTATTGAATGTCTATTATAAATACATTCACTTCCGGAGTGAGTGTAATTTGAGTATAAGCGTTATTCATTTTATTTCTTTAGTTATTTTAATTTATATTAACTATTAATTTTTTGAAATTTTCATCACTGTTATTATAATAACTATGCTCATTATTCACAAATTTTTTTTAATAAAAATTGTTAAATGCTACATTTATAAATTATAATTTAATGCGAATTATTCATCCGATTAAGTTAATATAAAAATAGTTTAATAAATATGACTTCACAAGTCAATTATTGGTGAGGAAGAGAGTGACTCTCTTGACAAATGCTTCGATCCGAATTTATTGGCATATTAAACCTGTAATAATTTCAGAGATTAAAACATCAATAATTAATTTCTCAATATTCACAATAATTATTAAAAGAAAAAAATTAACATACCTAAGTAATCATCCATCAACGTTCCAATAGCAAACTAAGACAAACAAATAGAATTAAATTAGATAAACTTCAGAGAAATGAATGAGTAATTAAATTATCTAAAAGCGACTTACGATTCCTGTAGCATCAACTCTTGTACCGACTATTTTCAATCGAATTTCATCATCAGCTTGAATTACAACGTCCTAAAGAATTTTTATATAAATATTAATTGCAAATCATTGCTTCATACTCATTGATTATTTTATAATTTTAATTATATTGGGTATGGACAAAAGTTTTAGCCGTTTTGCGAATCTCGAATACCGAGTTGAAAAAAATATATTCCTCATAAATAAATAACGCAATATTGCGCAGTAGAATTCTAGATGCCACAAGCTTTTAATAGCTCATGCCTACATAATTCTTGTTTATACGTAATTGTAACATAATTTTAATTTTTTTTAACTCTCTAAAAACGAATAGAACTCTTGCACACGCCAATATTATAAATAATTATACACAATGTGTTTGTTCTTACCTCTTCTTTTGATTTGTAACATGGTGGGCTCACGTTAGGACAAAATTGCATATCCGCTGGAATTGTCTACAAATAAACATAAGAAATATTTTAGATGCATAAGTAATTAATTAAAGAATGGGACTTTTTTATATTATTTACTTACATGATGAGATATAAAACACGATAATGGTCCAATTTCAGCAAACATTCCTACCTGTAGAGAGACAAATATAATTTTTGTTCTGCTTAATTATTATAATAAACAAGTAGATTCGTACCTTGTTGACTTGTGTTACTATAGCATCTAAGACTTCACCTTTAAATGGTCTAAAAACGATCGCTTTATATTTTACAGGATACACTACGAATCCTTGACCAGGTTGAATAATACCAGCTCCTATACTATCAATTGTCGTAACAGCAACAACAAATCCATACCTAAAACCCGGTGTTTACAAAGAGTTGTAAAATAGCATACTTGAAATAATTGAAAGATCATATAATTATAAATTAAATTACACTTACTTTCCGCTACAAGTTCCTTCGACTTCTGTATATAATTTTTGTTTAACTGTGTCAAGAAGTTGAGGTCCAAAGTATCTAGGATGTAGAAGGATCTCATGCTCCAAAGATATCTGAGCAAAATTTTGAATTAATTTCTTTGTTTATTACTTTTCTAATGTTTATGTATTATTTAAATTAATTTAATATTTATGCTTACATGATAAAACATTGTATAACATTAACGATAATTTTTTATAGTAATTTTTTAGATCGTTTAAAAATAAAAATAACAAACGCGTGAAATCGTTTGATGGGTTTTTTGAGGTTATGTAGACCTTAAGTCATATTTCCAATTTTCACAACAACAAAATACCACCACAAATTTAACATGTATTTACATCGTTTACATGCATATTTGTGTATGTATACATGCAAGCCTATTTACCAAACATACGTAAATCTATTCACTGTTATGTTTTGAGAGATTTTGCATTGAGCTTGTATTCTCATCTATTGTATAATGTTTAACAGTAAAAAAAATAATTTGCCGCCTAGGCCAAGCTTACCTTTACCTGAACAAATATTAGAAGATCTTCATAATGCAAATAAAAATGATATAACCTTCAATATCATAAAAAGTGGTGAGTAATAATCATTTATTCGATTTCACCAAAAACATTTCTTGTTATTATAACAATCAATTTAAATTGTAAATTAATATTTTTGTTAGAAAATGAGAAGAAATCAAATTCTTATTTCTCATCCAACACCAATGAAACTGAGAATATTTATGAAAAAGCTCGAGGATATTTAGATGGTATCCAACAATTAAAAGTATTGGAAAAACAATTAAATGAAGAACAAGAATCATTAAAAATCAGTTATGACGAAATTACAAAATTAGCACAAGACATTCGTAATCAAGCACAGGCAGTTCTTATAAAATAACACAAAACATATGATTAAAGAAATTAATTACAAATATTTCATTCAAAATAACACTTTATTTTTACACCAAATTGTTGATCACAATTATGACTTTACGTACTATGCAATACAAGAAGTATTTTTAAATTTAATTTATAGAGGATATTTGTATATTTGTTAATTTATTAACCACTTTAATCAATTACACAATTTGTACTGCTATTTATTTGTTCGGAATAATTCATAAAATGGACGGATAATGAACAACAATTACTGGAATATAAAATTATAATTATAAGGCACATTATTGTGGTAATTGATCACATAACAATTAATGAAAATCATATTTCTAAATTTTATCTAAATATAATTTTATAAGTAAAAATGAAAAATAACACAGTATAGTAATTTGTTCATAATAATACAACTATAAGCATAATGATATGTTTGTAACCTTGAGACCTTAAATGATTATCTATATTTATACTCAGATGTAAAGAGCAATTCTTGTGCTTGTGACAATGACTTAATTTCTACGACATAATAATAATAATAATAACTGGGATTTTAAGAAGATTATAATACAAAATTTTGTATGTAAAACAGCAATCAAGTGAGTAATATCATATTTTTGTGTTAAATTGAATATTTTTATGCAAAATAGTGTTACATACCTATTAATGAAGTTACGTAATTAGATATTGAGCTTGAATGTTACACTCGAAATGGATATTCTGACAAATTATTTATTCATATCAATTGTCATAATATTTGCATAAAAATCATTCAATTGTACTGAAGATTTATTTAGTAAACTTGATTACTTGGACTTATACTATACGTTGGATCATATCTAATAACAGGATCACTAAGGTAAGCACACCACGTAAAACCTGGCGGATAGCCTGAAAAAGTCATGCTCTTATTGTTAATTCAATCTGAAAATAATTATGGTTAATATTCAATACAATAATATGAATATTAATATTATTTATAATTGTTTTGATTTGTTTATTGTGATGTTAATTAGTAAAAATACCCATCGATAATAAAGCTGTTAAAAAAGAATAAATAAATTTATAATACTTACATATTTCCCAATTTTTTTTATAAATACAATATATAATTTTTTTTTGTTTCAAGTATTTAAAGCATGATTATGCGATAGAACAGAGATTTTTTCCTTTTTTTGTCCAGCTGCGTGCAAATAATTATTTACGATTAGTTATTATTCTTTGCTATTAATAACTACGATAACCTACTAGTATAAAAGAAAATAATTAAAACATTAACATCAATAATTAAATTTTAATTGAGAATCTAATAGAAATACATTGTTATATTCACATATAAAATATTTTTAAATTAATATTATCGATATGAATTTTTATTGCAAATATTATAAAAATTATTTCTCTCCCAAATACTATTTTAATACAAAATCAATCATCAGACCATATATTATAAAAACCAATTAACAAAAATAATAATAATAATTACAATTATTGTGCTAATTATTCTCTTGACTTTTAAAAAATATATTATGCTAGGAAAGACAATTTTCCAATTATTCAATTAGTTGTCTCCAATTTTTAAGTATTCTTATCATTCTACTTAACATAAAAACAATTTAAAATTGGACGGAGTTAGTTTGCAAATAATTACTAAAATTAATTGTTAAAAATTTTGTGCTTCAAAGCAGCTGGTAGATAGTACATCTATCTGTTTTAGTGATAAAATAATAATTTTCTAAATAAGATAATAAACTTATCAATAAAATGTTAAAGCAGATAGGTATACTAAAAAGTTAATAGCAAATAAACTGATGAATCATTTAAAACTACCAGCACCAACCCGTATTATAAATAGAAGTTTCTAATAATCTACATAATATTAAATAATAATTTAATGAAATATTACAATAAACTATAATCAATGAAATGGCGTATAATAATCACTGGTAATTATGACACTAATGTATATAAAATATATTTATATACATATATGTATATCTTCAACAAAAAATTAAAGGAATTCATTAAGTACACAGACGCACATTGTACAGAAGCGAAAAAAGTAGATATGTAGAGATAACAATTCTTCTAAAGATAAGAAAGTAACAAAATAGTATACTTCTGTCAATACATGACTGTGATGTTACTGTTTAAATAGCTATCAGCTGCCATTAATGACTAACAAAAATGTTTTCTATTAGATTACCAAAAATCTAGCTATATTATTATTATAACATCATGTATAAATCTTCTGTTTTCACTTCAATTGTATTTAAAGTACCTTGGTAAATAAATACCAACAAATATTTACATAAAAGCAAGTTCAGCCTTGTTCTGAAAAATTTTGATGATTGTGATGATGCCATTTAATTGATATGGTGAATGTACAAATACTTATTACAAAGTGTAATAATTATGCAGAGATATGGATTTTATTTAAAACCAAAATCGGGCATGGTAAATATTTGACGTAAAGTTAACTTGCCTCTGGGCTTGTATTTAAGATGATCCTCGATAAACTGGCAAGGACAACGGGCGGAGACGCAATGACGCGGAGGAACAGTTGGTCCCACGATGGTTCTATTGCGCTCCTGAGAGTCAATAACCAAGTCGAGTCTGTGACGAACAAATTGCCGCGTCCATCGTGACGCGTATCTCAGCAACAGCAACTCCGCCCGCTCCTGCCAACACACACCGTCACCATTCAACGAATAAAGCTGTGTAATTGTAAGCAATATTTCAAGGCACAATTTTAACATTATTTTCAAAATGCTGCAAAGCTAATAGTAAGTCAGAAACTAAGCAAGTTAAAAGGTTTTAAAAAATTATCCTCCTTATTACTAGATTATGTCTATCAATATCAAATTACTGGAATAGTTGATTTCATTTATAAACTCTATCACCTATAATATTATTAAAAATTATTTAATCTAATTAAGTCATTTCTTTCTAGCTATTATCTTTTATCATTTTTGCTTCTAAAAATATTGTAAAATTATAAAACTGTGGTCTCATACAAATGATGATCCTACAATTTTACAACTCATTTAAAATTACATTTAATTATCAATGTTCATTTTTTATGGATCCTTGTTTATTGACTTGATCCATTTTTTATCGACTAAATGACTTTATTATACAAGTACCTTATTATGCGATAAAGGTAATTTCTTTAATTTTATTTACTTTTCCTTGAGACTCTTTTTATTGCTCAATTGAAGAAGTTTCAATGAACTGTTATGTTCTAAATTACCACAAGACCATTGTTTTATGATTTTACATTACTTTTTGTTTTTCATGATGAAACTTTGTCCAATGATGGATTAAAATCCTCTGTCCCTTAAAAAGCTGCTCCACCTAGGACAAAAATCCCTGCCTTGAACACGTGGTTTATTACGTAACCATTCTTCAATGTATTGACAAGGACATAATGCTGAAGCCAAATGTCGTGGAGAAGAAGGATTACCACCTTCTTCATCAACTGTCCAGTCTAGCCGTCGTCGAAGATAGTCCTTTCCCCAACGTTGCACGTAACGACATAAAACTTGTTCACTTTTACCCTAATTTTACATTACATAAACATTCATTTGTAATACAATATTTTAAAAATAATAAAAAAAAAATAGATACAAAAGTAATAAGAGAGTTGGAAACAGGAAGTAAGCATTATGTAAAAGGCTTATCAGTAAATAGAAAAAAAAAAATATACATGTTTTACCTGCTTTCGAGATAACCGTGTAGTCGAGCTCCCTTGTATGACAATATCACTATCGTCAATATCCATGCGTTGTTGTAATTCTTGTCTTCGTCGTTGGGCTTCACTCGTCTCGTCGCCACCGATAATTCTACCTTCTCTTTCTTCTCTTTCAATAACATCTTGCAATTTTTTCTGCGAAAATTGATTATTGTTAAATAGCACAAAAGAAACCATTTACTGATAATGAAAAATTAAAAATAATTAACAATGTGTTGAGATATGAATTTTTTTATGTGACTTAGTCATAAGTACTCACTATACAATCAGTAGTGTCAAAGTATATGAAGCAAAGATTCACTTTATGACACGATATTTTTCCTCTGTCATCCAAGCCAAGTAGAATTTTATGACGTAACAGATGTTTATTCACTTGTGCCATACACTTCTCCAGGTTATGATTGAGTTTAATCTTGATAAACATGCACAAGAATATAGCAGCAGCATTTAAAATTAACCACATTATTCCAAGGCCAAAAAGAGTTAGCCCTGTGACACCAGAAAACAATAGGCCAAGGAGTATTATAAATGCTGTGAATATCCATAAGACGAGAATTCTTTTGTAGCATATGTTGTACATGTTGAAACGTACATCATTGACCAGCAATTCCATAATATGCACATAATCTTCAACTGTCAACTGAAATCAAATAGATAGATTTGAGATTGATGAAACTATTTATTACTCACATTAAATAAAAAAAGAAAATTATTTTTACCGTCAATCCTTGAGCCATAAGTTCCTCAGGAACTAGTTCAGGTCGAAATTTCGCTGGTGTAATCCAAGGCCACCTGGTATTAACTGGCAGTAGAGTAACAATTGTATCTCCATTAGCAAATCCTCGTCTTATATTACCAATAGGTGTGCTTATAATATTATTAATATTGTTCCGACCATTCGAAACATCGCGAAGATCAATGGTTTTTAAAGATGCACTTTTGGGGTCTGAAACTTTAACTTCAGATGCAGCAAGATTATCAGGACTCTCGGAAGATAATGATCTACTTAGCCCTGATCGATCTAAATTTATTTGGACGGATTCTGTTGCTATCACAGCACCTTTATATTCATTTTGTTCTTTTTTATGATTCTCTTCTGCTTTCTCAGCAGCTTTTATTATTTTATCAACACTCACAGTCACTGATTCTTGTTTTATTGTAGCTGGAATGTTTTCGTTTGTTATCTCTTCAGTGTGTTGTGTAGATTCTTCGTCGAATTGAACCCAATTTTTTTTAGCTGGTGCTTCTGTTGTATTTATAGGTATCGACACGTGGTCGGTACTATCCTGAGATATTGGAGCACTCATTTTATTGCATTGAATATGGTAAATATTCCTTGTCTATCGTTTTTCTTGATTGTTAGTTAATTATTTAAAATTTGTGTTTGTCAAAGAGGTACGTAAGAGTTGCCGTGACGAAGAAAAAATGAAGTAAAATTTTCAGTCATACTTTCACCATGTATTTAAATCTGTAAAAAAAAAATTCAACAATTAATTAAGTATATAAACATTGAAAATCAAATTCAAACAATTAAATAACTATTATTGTTCATTTCAGATATTCAATATCATTCCGCCATTTTCAACCAGTTTCATATGTGTATGTAAATATAAACAGGGAGTGTCCGTGGACGATATAAAACCGGAATTGACCACTTAACGAGTAGTAAATCAGAATGGTAAATAAATAAATTGATTTGAAAAATAAAAGTGATTTTTTTCTCTATTAAATAATCATTTTTCGAAATAAAACTTTCCAGTATTTCATAATTTTTAATTTCGTTCGGAAAAAAGGTTAAGACCGAGGGGTCTTTTCACTTTACCTTTTCAAATCAACTTCACTTTCTCTTTCGTAAATGGAAATCAATAGAAAAAAAACTTTTTTGGAGTTTAACAGAATGTATGAGTAATTAAAATATATTGTTAAATACAACTGACAAGTAAATTATATATTTTAGTTAATGGTATGCCACATGCAACGTACATACCTGGTAAACAGTCTGCAGTCTTATGACCAGGAGTAAGTGTATGAACAGTTGGTGGAAGCAGGTAGAGGTCAAGGGGACCCCGACGAGAGCCAGTCAGGTACGAGCGTACAACGGATATATACGAATGAAATGTGAACAGGCATCGATTGAGAAAGGGTACGTGAGTATATAAATTTCGAGACGTAATAGGTACATTGTTGTATCATTGCAAGATGAGAGTCAAACTAATTAGTGCATGTACTAGTGTTTTATTCTCTCTAATATTATGACGTTTTATGTAATAAAATATTTATCAGTAATAATTGTTGTTTATTTATTCTTAATAACAATAACCTAATTTTTCTATTTGTTTCTCTTAATAATGTTTAGATTTACATTTTAGAAATTCATTCACGGACAACATTATTTAAATAAAATATTTGAAAATGGCAGCAAGATATTTTTTAAGAAGCTTGAACTTATTAAGAAGTGGGAGAAATTATTTTTATTATGATAAAATTCAAACAAACTTTATTAATTTACAATTCATAAGATTAAAGCAATGGAGACAACCAAAATCATGGTATTATGATTGTTTATTAGAGAAATTAGATTTTATTGAGGATATTTAATTATTTAATTCATTTTCTATAGGAGTTTTAATAACAAATTCAAACAAAATTTAATAATAGCAAGTTCAGGACTCTGGGGATTGTTTAAGTTTGGAGATGACGAAGAAAATGATGCTGAATCTGAACTAATAATGTTAATAAAACGATCAGTCTTATTAATTCAGGTTTTACTCGCCCAATCGTAAATATTTTATATGATAAATCACCTTGGAAATTAAATAAATATCTCTATTACATAGAAAGACGAATTTAAAAAAGCTGAACAAATGTTACATGTTGCACTTCGTCAAGCACAAATGCTCCAAAATGAGCAAGGAATTACCTATATTTATTATGTCATGGCTGATTTAGCTTTCCAAGTCGGAGAAATTGAGAAGGCACAAAATCTTTATAAATCAGTCATGCAAAGATTACTATCTAGTGGCACACCTCAAGATGATATAAAGATTGTCCACATCAGTCTAAAAATAGCCAGACTGTATGAACAAGATGGAAATCCAAGGTAAACAAACTAGATTTATATAAAATAAAAAATTTATAAATTAAATTATTTATTAATTATTGATAATAGTAGTAATTACATAAAATAGCATGGCAGAAAATGGTTATCAGTTTTGTATTCAAACTATGAATACTCACCTGAAAGACAATCCTGATGATGAAGAAACTTTGATTCTATGGGCAACATTGAAGGATTGGTATGCAAAAATGCTTACAACTCAATCACGATATCCCGAAGCACTCGATAACTTTCTGGAAGCTTATAAAGTTTGCTCTCAAGTGAATGGAAAAGATCATGAATGGTCGCTACTACTGATGAATGATCTTGGAATGGTTCTAAGTGTTTTAGGACAACATGATGATGCTTTGAAATATTTAGAAGAAGCTGTCGAGATAGGTATTGTATAAAATCAATTGATATTACATTGGTACAGACAATTGATATTATTAAAAAATTAATTAATCATTTTAGGAAAAAGTGTCAAAGATTTAGATCTCACTGAAATGTATATAAACTTAGGATTTGTTTATCTCTCAAAATCTTTATACAAAGAAGCGCATAAAGCATGTATGGAAGGTTTAAAATATGCTAAAGAGAACGGGAAAGATGATTGTTTGGAGGAAGCTAATCAATGTTTATCAGCAGTAAAAGGATTATTTTAGAATAAATAATTGTATTATTTTTTAATTACAAGATGTTATAAATTATCCGCAACTGTATATAGAATAATAAATTATATTATAAACTGTTATAATTCAGGAAATAATAATTTGTTTAATTGTGTTGTACACAATAAAATGTATAATGTACAAAAAAAATAATACCACAAATTCATGATTCATTTTGCAATATTAACCGAAAAAAATAATTGATTCTGGAAAAAAATATTTCAAGACTAAAAATCGGACAAAAACTGTAAAAAATATATCACAATTAACTTCCATAGTACGATTCATAGAAACTTCTTCTAACTTATGGTTTTCATTCTATGTACTTAAATCGTTCTTTAAAAAATTCATTTATTCGTATTCTGCTATCAGTACCATCATATACACTCCAACTAGCAATGCAATTATTTCTTTTATTGATTGCCAGAATTTAGTATCTGATAATAATTCAGGTATTACGGATACAGTTGCAATATAAATAAATCCCCCAGCAGTAAAAGGAAGAATCCAGTGTGTAGCAATATCTCCTGTGGAAATCAATTATCATTACAAATAAAATATCTGAGTCTGAATGTTATCTATTATTATCTTTAATATGAATTAAAACATCATCAATTACCCATTCCTTCAGCTAGAAGAGACACATAAGTACCACACAAAGCACCTACAGCTGTTGTCAGTTGTAATAATATTGCCTAAAAAATAATATATGCAATTACGTTCTTTTGATAAGAGTTTTTTTTTTCATTTAAAATAAGTGTTATTTCTATTTACTTTTTTCTTGCTGCATCCACTTTGAATGAGAATAGCAAAATCTCCAATTTCATGGGGGACTTCATGGAGTAATATTGTAAAAGTTGTTACATATCCAACATTTTTTCCTGCTAAATAACTAGCTCCAATTGCTAAGCCATCTGTAAAATTATGTAAAAAGTCAGCAGCTAGATTCAGGTATCCAGCAATTTTAATGTCTTCATTCTCTATTTGTTCTTCGGATTGATTATTGTTTTCATTTTTTTCTGTCAGACTTTCTGTATTGTCTTCAGTTTCATTTTTCTTCTTTTCTTTCGATTGGTCTTTTTCCACTGTATCAGTGATACTGTGTGAGTGTGAATGACCACCTTTGACTAGTCGAATTGCTTTTTCTACCATTAAAAACATTATTATACCGAGAAGAACACATAAACCCACAGACATATCATGACCATGACTATGTCCATGTTCATGATCATCATGTTCATCATGTCCATCGTGATCATGAGAATGAGAATGCGGCGTCAAAGCGTGTGGTATCAAGTGAAGAAAGGCATCTCCAAGTAGACCTCCTGATGCAAAACTCAATAAAATCTTCAATAATGGTTCTTTTTCTTTCGTATTATCCAAAGGAACAAAAAATAGAATAATAAATGGAGCTATTGATATCAATAAAGTTGATGTCATTGCATTAAAAAATACATCTTTATTAGGTTCTGCTGATTTTTCATTTAATTTTGGTTTCGAGGGTTCATGATGATGATGATGGTGGTGATGATGATGATGCTGATGTTGTGGCTTTAAATTTTCATTAGCTTCTTTTGAATATTTAAAACTTGGATTCGCATCATAATGATGGTGATGATCATCATCGTGTAGATGTTCATGGGATTGACAAAGAAGCGGTAAATCCAAAAAAATCAATAATAAAAGAATAACTAGAGCAACATTTACCCAAAAAGAATTTTTTTTCCACCACCATACATTCTGTTCAGAACACTGTGAAGTAGTTTTCATGATGATATTATTTTTTATAAGTAGTTCTATTTATACACTTCATTTATTCATTAATTGTTCATTAACTATTTTAAGTATAACATAAATTTGAAATTATTTTTATGTAAAATTTAAAACAATATTGTATTTATATTATTACTATATTTATATTAGCATTTACGATGTTATGTCCACGCATAGGATAAAACGTGGATCAAATTCTCTACGCCAATAGAATTCGAGCTCCACTGAAGTAAAAAATTACGCATTTATCTCAAAATTTGTAAAGGAATATACTTGTAATGCCATCATGTATTACATCAAATAATGCTTTTTATTTTGAACATTAAGGTTAAAATCTTTTTTCATTTTTAAGTAAATAAATTTAGGAACATCGTTTTATTATTTAAATAAAAAAATGTAATTAAATTATGTAAATAATAAAAAACAAAATTATCCTGTAGAAATAAGCTACAGGATGATTCCTAACCAAAATAATTTAGCATTAGCGCCCTCTAAGAAACTTGAAATGAAGATGAACTTCTGAGCGTACACACACTTTTGAATAATAAACAAAGAAATTTTAACGTATTTTATAACATTAGTTTGGGTGAATGCTTCAGAGAAAATTTTAAATATCTAATTTAATGAAAATCCTTACAATGTTTTGTGTTAACCATTATAACTATAAGGGTGTAACGTATTTTTATTAGTTAAAATTAATAATATACATTTTACTGAGGACTAAAAGTGTCGTAGACGCTATCAAGTACGACTCTAACCTTATAAAAGCATTGTTTTCAAATCTGACTTCAAACTTATTTTATTGCATGATTTTTTTGATTTTATTATTACTATTTCTCTGTTGAATTCTTCGAAATGTTTAACAATTCGGAAATTCGTGGATCTTGCAATGCTATTTTCTCAAGCTCTCCTATTAATTTTAATAAAGAGAATGAGTCTCCTCTTAAAGCACGAACGTAAGTTTGTTTATGAATTTTTTTCTAAATACCAACACTTTTTATTATTTTTATCATAATTATATCTAATTTTTGGCACAGCTTTTCATCACTTATTTTATCAATATCACATGAATTTTGTATTGATTTTAAATTAGCATTTTACTTTAGTTAGTTCATTGTGACCAAGTTATTAATTAATTTAGTTTCTATTTTTAGTGGAAATACAAGTGAAACAGATTTAGCAAAGAAAACTCCAAGAATGGACAAGATATCGCAATTGAACAAAAACAAATCAATTTCTGTTGAAACAGTGGTGCTAAACAAAAATGAATCACTTCCTCCTGAACGAGTCAACAGTAGCCCCTCATTAAGTTTTCGTAGAGCGAAAATAACTAATAGATCGCAAAGACAAGATTCAAAGTTTTGCAAAAAATCATATTCAGATGACAAACTCAAAACTCCATCTAAATCTAAATCTATTAATCACGTTCCTACAGAAAAATCGCCTGTGAGGCATTTTTGTTCATCAAAATCTTCAAGTAATATTAGTAATATAAAGACTGATGGAACTCCATTCAGAACTCCAGTAAAGAGGTTTTTTGATAGCCATTTAATGTCATCAACACCGGATTGTTTTGGCTCAGTGCAATTCGAAACTCCCAGAGTAGAAAAGACTGATGTTACAAAGGATGAAGCGACTATTTATGACGAAGAAAACAGTAATCTCACCGTAGGAATTAGAGTAAGACCTATGAATTCTAGGTAAGTATTAATAAAATAAAGATTTGTGATTTTTAATCATCATTTCTACTAAGCTTTAATAATACAATGATTTAAATTTAATTTATTCCAGAGAACTGAATGATCAAAAGGTTTTATCTATTATCAAAGTAAAAGATTCAAGTATAATTGTTGAATGTGATTCTTCTCAACATGAGTTCATCTATGACCATTGTTTCGTATCATATTCAAATACTGAAAGGAAAAACCATGCCAGTCAGGAGACAGTATTCAACAATATGGTTTTACCTCTGGTACAAAATGCATTTGAAGGCTACAATGTATGTCTTTTTGCATACGGTCAGACTGGATCTGGGAAAAGTTACAGTATGATGGGTTCTGAATCATCTTTCTTAAATTCAACTACTCTTTGTGAAGATGCTGGAATAATACCTCGATTTTGTCATGAAATCTTTACTCGTGCTGCTGAAAATAAACAATTCAATACCAGTGTAGAGATAAGTTACTTTGAAATTTATAATGAAAAAATTCATGATTTATTAACCACTAATTCAAATCAAAGTGGAACGAAACGAGCTCCTTTAAAAGTGCGAGAGCATCCTATCTTTGGACCTTACGTTGTTGATTTAAGTCAACACACAGTTCAGAATTATGAAGATCTTCAAATGTGGTTGAAAGTTGGAAACTCACAGAGAGCAACAGCAGCAACAGGAATGAATGAAAAAAGCTCAAGATCTCACAGTATTTTTAGTATTATATTAACCCAAGGACAAAATAATGATCCAGCTGATGGAGTGGTTCGTTCTGGAGACTCTGGTCGTCGTAGTAAAATAAACCTTGTTGATCTTGCAGGAAGTGAAAGGCTTAGTCAGACTTGTGCCAGTGGCGAAAGATTACGAGTAAGTAACTCAGTTGTTTTTAAATATTTTCTTCAGCAAATATTTCAACAAATAATTATTATTATTATAGGAAGGTGTTTCAATTAATAAATCCCTCCTTATTCTGGGCAAAGTAATTGCATCTCTCGCTGAAAGCACTACCAATAGAAAACGTGGTTTCGTTCCCTATCGAGAGTCGGTACTGACATGGCTTTTAAAGGTAAGTTTTAAAATCTTTTTTTTTTTATAAACTTAGTAAAAACATCTCTTTATTCATTATTATAAAATTAATACATAATACTTGAGATTGTTTTCTTACATTATAGCAATAATACATAGCTCATATTTTATTCTTTTTTTATAATACTTTGTTAATTAAAAAAACTGCTGATTTCTGAGTCCATAAAAAAAGGTCTTTGGAATTGATCCGTGTGTCTTAGTGCATTGTATCCGTAAAATAATTAAACATAGGTGGTCGGATTTTTATTCGTTTAATGCCGCATTTACAGCTGCAATTGCACTGACATTGACACACTTTTCCGTTCATACTGCAGGTACATTTATTTGGTACTTGGGTTTTCTGCTTTTTTTCTATAAAAAAAGAATTAAAAAATCATTATTTGTTTCCATTGGTTACAAAGTTAATAGCTCTTATTAAAATCAAAATTTTTTACGCAACAAGTTAAATCTATTTTAAAATAACTATTTTTTTCTATGAAAACGTCATTTATGATTAAAACGATGACGTAAAATTGATATAAATTAATTTTCAATAATTAATCTATTAATTACCTTGTTTTTTGTTGCTTTTAAACATATCCCAACCCATATTTGTTGAGATTTTTAATTGTTACAACTTGTAGAAATTCAAAAAATATGTCTGGTGTATCTAGAAAATTCTGAGACTTATTTTCTATATTATCAACTGCAAACTGTAATCGATAACACGTAGGTTCTCTGATAAGTTTCTGAAACCACTGGGTAGCTCTGGTATCCACTGCGGCTTTATACAATTTGCACACGGCACCAAGGTTTTGCACAAGGTACCAATAAGCGCGCAACTCACAATACTTTGATTAAAGTATTTCTAAGTTCATTAATTTTTAATGTTTCAGAATAAATTAATTTACTTATTAACATTTAAAATAATTCTTAATAAAAAATAAAATATTTAGGACTATTTTTTATAGGTTAATTTTTATAAAAATGTTGCTTTGATCATCAAATTGAACAGTAGTGTCGTGTGCATCAAAATATGCAACAACTTTATTTGAAACGACATAAGAATGCTTTATAAGCAGTCAAACTATTTTTTATCAAAATTTTTAAAGAATAAAATGATAAAGTTTTTATTTGCAAATAAAAATGTGAAGAAGTAAATTTATGATTCATTTCAAATTAGAAAATAATTAGTTCTTTCATCGAAAACAATAAACATACGACAATAATGTCTATTATAAAGGAATATCAAGCATACAATTGATAATGATAAATTTTTATTAATTTTATATTTGAAAAATAGAATTGAATAATAATCAAGCTAAATAGTAAAAAGTAGTGAAACTTTTTTTATCATATTTTTATTAACATTGTGAAAAGCTCTTCTCATTATGTTTTGAACGTTACACTTGTTATTGAACTTTTTGGTTAAGTTTGAAAGAAAAAATCATCTTTCGGATTTATAGAATGATATTAAAATATCCAACTGCATCAATATTTAACACTTTAAATAACTCTTATAGTTATTATAAATATTGAACTTTTCATTAACTCAAAGTATAACCTTTTGTAATCTGTTTTTAATTATCACAAAAATAACAACAATTTTTTTCTAAACAAACATATTTATTATCGATAATAATAACTAGTATATTTATGATATTTATAAAAGCAATTAATTTTCTTTTCAGTAATCAATTTAATTAATACATCAATCAATACATTTTATACTTATGAAAATTCCAAAAATCACAATTTTTATCATTTTAAACAAAACTTAAATGTAGTATGATACAAAAATATTACTTATGCATTATGATCTTGATAACAATTCTTCCAAATAATTTACCTTCAAGCAATATTAATTATTGATTAATATTTAGTCAGATATATCGTGAAATTATTTTTTTAATTTCTAAATCAAGTGAACTATTAATCATTGATGAATCTGGAATAAGTATCAAAGTAAAAAAGAAAGTTAGCACAAAATCATAATATTTTGTCAGTCATATTGCCTGTAAATAAATGAGTACAAAGACTATTTAAACTTGGCTGAAATTATACATGTCATTCTTTGCACTTTTGCATTTTTAAAAATATTGTTTCATCTCGAACAAAACTATTCACAATATAAACATACGTGAACATTAATTAATGATATTTCTTTCATAAAAATCTTCACTTAGAGGTATTTTTCTCAATCATACATATAGACTTTTTTAAATTAAATAATGAAAATTTATCAATCTTCAACTCCTTCGATTTTTGCAGCCTTGTCTCATCATTATTCTTTTTTTTCTAGATCATCTTTATTTTTGCTGACATCTGTGGTAGTAGCGACGTCTTCTCCATCTTCTTTCTCTTCTTCTTCTTCCTCTTCTTCTTCATATATCTCATTACATGATGAGGTTCTGCTACGACGTCTTATGTATGATCCAAGAGCTCTTCTTTTACTTTCTTTGCATAAATAGCAATTTTCTTTGTGAGTGGTACGTGATTGGTGATGCTGGATCTGCTCTTGCTGTTGTCGAGTTGTTTGATTGGCAAATGATTTTCCTATTAATCAAAAAAAAAAAAAACAACTATTATTATTATCCAGTCATCATATTAATTAATAATTGATTAATATTCAATTGAAAACATATTTTTAATGCATATCAACAATTGAAATGCTTAGCATTTCACGTTATTTCCCTTTTTATATTTTCGCTTAGCAACCATGCTCATGACCTAACTGGTTACCGAAACCAGTTTGTAGAAACTTCTGTATAAATATTCAAATATGGATTAATTCCGTAGCTAAAGACACACTCAATACCCACCAGATTAACATTCGTGATTACTCATAATTATAATTTTTGATATTATGACCAGTCTTTTGACAATCTTTAACTTGTACTCGAATATTATCATATACTATCATACTGAGAAAGTATTCTTATCGGTCATACTACTATAATTATTAGATCATGTAATTAACGATTTGATTTATTTGCACACGTTTTTAGTTTTTATTATCAAAATTTGTATGAAACATTATTTTAAATGATCAAAAAAAAATATAATTCTGCTTATAACCAGATATGGAATGAGATTCATCAACTGATATTGAATAATTTCCTTCAGATAAACTCTTCTCATGGATTAAATTCTAGATATTAATTTTTTAATTCGATATTTAAAATGTGTTCTTCCCAATATTATCATATCTCCAAAGTACTATGAAGATTACAAGACTGAATCATAAAAACAAAGTCAACAAATAATCTATTTATGGTTTAATTATTAACTCTATCATTAGTTTGAGTACATGAAAGCAAAAAATAATTTTTATGTTCGATATATCTATTTGTTTATCATTTAATCAGTTGATGCAGCTCATTTTTTATAGCCTTGAAAATGCTGCAGGCCATTTTAATACTATGTGGTACTGTAATCTACTAACATTAAACCGCAAGGTGAGAACATGTTAGATAAAATAAACAATATTTGCTACGGCGCAATTGGGCTTGACCTACTTCAAGATAAAATTTCATGACAACAACAAAGAATTTTGGCTTATCAATTCATCTACTTACAAAACTTCTACGTTTTACTCCAATCAAGCAAAATATTCTTACCAATGATAAGCTTAAGTTCATCAGTTTCCAATTAGAAATCTATGTGGAAAATTTTTTTAAATACATTGTATACGTAATAATCGCTAGGTTGTTGATCTGGCTTTCACTTGAGTGGTTTACCTTTTAGTATTTTTTGCAGACATTTTTATTTTTATTCAACTTTTTTTAAGCTCTCTATTTTTACTTTCTGACTAAAATAATCAAACATTACAGTTACCATTTTACTGATATAATTATAATCAAATTATGATAATAGTTCTGTTTATTTGCTGGATATAAATATGACATTTTTTTTAGCTTATTAATTTGTTAAATAATTTCGTTGTTTATTAACAATTATAAGATTGTTTCTGATGAATATTAACTTATTAATTTATCCACGATAATGAAGTAATTTTTTTGTTTATCTAATGATTCAATATTTTCTATGAAAAATACGACATTTACAAGTGTGAAATCACCGTACTTTGCATGATGAAGTTTAAAAATATCTTTTCTAAAAATATTATTCAACACGTGACTTGATGTACATGTTATATTCACGACACTTGAACTTAATTAATTATACATACCATACTGAAAGTAATTTTTATTCCATGGTTGTTCATAATCTCGGTAGGCTGGTGTTCTGAATGATCCATAGGTCAGTACCTCTGGCATGTAAACAAGATCCATGGTTATAGAAAATTTTGAATCTTCGTACCAACTCCAATGACTTTACCAAAGATTTCAGTACTCTTTTTTTCCTCCAAAATCAGTACAGTTGCTTATTATTTATTATTTTAATTAAAAAAATAGTAAATAATTGAATAAATCAATTAAATAAGTGATATTTATATGCTATGGAGCACTAGAGTTAGGTTTTTTTCTACGCTTAGGCCGATTTTGTTTTAAAAATCTGCACATGGGCGTTGAATGAGGAATTTTTTACCACGAATTTGTATCAAACAAACTCCAAAAAAAAATTCGATGTTTATATACGTCTAGTACAATGGTCTTCGCAACTACTAACGTGTGATCAACGCGTACAAATGTTTACTTGCAAGTGGCTTCCCCTTCCAATCTTAAGTCCTATCCCTCTTTGTTGTCCCCTCAAATACAATTCCCCTCCCTACATGGCAGGAAGTGCATAATGTATATGTATATCGTCGAAGAGGTGTATCCCTCTTTTTGCGTGTTAATTTTTCTCTTCATATCAAATGTTTTTGACCAACATCCCACTCATAATCACTTAAACTATATACTGCGTACAAAACGTTGAACACACCCAGCACGTAGCTAGCATACAACTCACTGAAACCTGTTATATTACATTTAGAGTCCGAACGACCTTTAAATAAAGTCTGGATGCTGGTAAACGTGATCACTTCAACGTACACCACGCAATAGTTTGACTATTTAAGGCCCTTCAAATGAAATAACATCAAGGTCCTTCCAAATGACTCTCATTCATTGAATATGGAAATAAATCTAACGACATATATACAAAAATGTATTTTTCCAAATAAAATTACAATATTAATTTATAAAATAAGCCTTGAACTTTTATTTCATAATGATAATAAAAGTTTCTTTAACCCAGTTTTATTAGTCTTTAATAAAACAGCAATGGATTTATGTGGTACAGATTCTGTTGTTTGGAAAAAGAATCATATGTTGATTTGTCCCAAATCTCATTCTTCATAATCGATAAATAATTATTATAATTACAAAGAATAATATAAAATCTTATAAGATAAGAATTATAATTCATATATTTGCTTATTCAGTGTAATAAAAATTACTTATTCTCTTAGTTGCAAAAGTAATAATTAATTTTTTTTTGATAAAGAATATGATTCAATAGTATACAGATTTTAAAGCAAAAAAGCTTCTTTGGAGTAATCTTCAGAAATCATTAAATACATAATAGATAAGTTAAGAATTGATTCAATCGAAAGATTGAAGGTTGTTAGAGGAATGTTAGAAGATTATCTAATGTAATTGTGATATTTTTTTCTTTTAAGATAGAGAAATGTACACGGATTTTTTATTTAAATTATCAAATGAATCAGTCAAGGTTACGAAAATAGCCAACTGATAATAAATATAATAAACATCTTAGTTTTGAGGGAATTATCTGACATTATTTGAACAATTTGTATTTTTATTATTTTTAAATTCAATAAGTTGATAGATAAATTACGTCATTTTAAAATGATTTGTTTATTTGTTTAGGAAAGCCTTGGAGGAAATTCGAAAACTGCAATGCTGGCCACCGTATCACCAAGTAGTGTTCATCTAGAAGAAACTTTAGCTACACTACGATATGCATGCCAAGCAAGATCTATTGTCAATCGAGTTAGAGTTAATGAAGATGCTCATGACAAACTTATTAGGTAAGTAATTATAGTAACTATACTATTAAGAATTAGAACCAATTGATCTAAATTTAATTTTTACAACACTTATTTATTTATAATTTCATTTGTTCTTGTTTATTATAGAGAGCTTAAGGCTGAAGTTCTAAGACTGAAGAGTTATGGACGACAACTTGCTTCTTCAAGGCTTTTGAGTAATGAAGGGTTCGGTAATTTGGATGAAGAAGTGGTTAAGAAACAGGTGGAAATTGATCAACTCAAAGATCAGTTGAAGAAAACTGAAGAACAATTGGCCATTAATCAAAAGTAAGAATTGCAATAATTAATTAAAGTTTTAATAACTTCTGTAAAAAAGAAGTATAGGAGATTGGAAAAGAATATTCTCAGTTATCTAAAATGATAGGATAACATTAGAATGGTCCTGATTTTAGTCGGAAATGTGAAAAAAGAAAAATTGTCAGCAAAACTGTTTCTAGGTCATTTGCGGAAAGATTGCAGGAAGCAGGGGAACGTCGAAAGTCGGAGTTAAATTTCCTACGACATTGCGGAATTGCGGTTGAAATAGACTTGAAGGAAAAAAATTCTACTCCTTGTTTGGTTAATCTTGCAGCAGATCCGATGTTATCTGGTACATTGTTGTATCTCATTCCTCCCGGAAAAGTGCGGATTGGGCGAACTAAACATCATAAAGCTGTTGACACAATTGATATCATCCTCAATGATCCACTTGTTGCTCCATTCCACTGGTTAGTGACGAAAACATGACGGAAATATCTGATCAATAATGAATCAACGATTCATTTGTACTTGAATTTTTATTAATCACTATTTAATTATGGCTTGGTTTTGATTCGCATGAATGATCTTCGATAATTAATTCTCAGCTTTTTTTTTTGTTTTTATTTGATTGTTTTTTTTTATTTCATCATTTTTTATTCTTAACATCACTGAGTATCTCACTAATTAATAAAAAATTGAGTAGTAAGTGTATTATACAATCCGGTAGGGAGGTAAGCCAAAGACGAGGGTAGTGAATATACAAGTGAAGATGGCCAACTTCCTTCCTGTGTAGTACATACTATTCTTTGTTATGTTTATTTTAAAAATTCACGATCATTTTGTTTTCCTAATTATTCTCACAAATAAGAATGCTTTGGCGAGTTATAACTATTTGTTATCACGATAATTATTTATGTATTACTTATAGCAGTAAATGCTGCATACTTTATTTAAACTTGGTTTAATTATTTTATAGCACTGTTGAGAATAATAATGGAGTCTTAAGTTTAACACCAGAATCAAATGGTGATACATATGTTAATGGTCAAGTAAGCTTTTAATATCTTATTTAAATACCAAAATATTCAATAAATTAAATATAAATACCATATGATTAATTTAATATTATTTTTCAGCTTATATGTGATAGAGTGTATCTAAAACATGGAGATCGATTGATAATTGGAGGGAATCACTATTTCAAAGTGTGCAATCCTCATGATGAACGTTTTAATAGCCCCGGAAATAATCAATTAATTGATTATGAATTTGCACATCAAGAGATACTTAGTATTCAAGAGGAAAAGTTAGTTTTTCTTTTATTTTATCGATTTAATTATAATTTTAAATACATAAGAAATTAATTTATCTATTTGTTTACTTATAGATTGAAAGCAGAGCTTGAAGAAGCTAAGCAAAAAGCCTTAATGGAACTAGAAAATGCGAAGAAAGAAGTAGAAATACAACTTACTTCTCAGAAAAGTGTTTATGAAAATGAAATAAAATTATTGGGAGTGTCATTAGAGCAACACAAAGCTGCGCTAAGAGAAATTAATCAAAAGAAACGTGAATTAGAGATAGAAAAAGAAATATTAACATATCAAATAGAAAAAAATGATAAACAGGATGTTAATTGTTGTGAAACAATATCTATTTCGCCATATGAATCTAATTTCTTAGAGGAACTGAAAAAACTTCTCACAGAAACTACTAATGATGTAGAAACAGCTTTAGTGGTAGAAGCTAGTAATGAAGCAATTGTTTCTGCTGGAATTACTATGCATGAAATGCAACTGCTGGTCAAAGAAGCCACTGAACGGTGTCGAGAAATTGGCATTAATTATGTGAGTTATTTTTAACTGCATTAAGAATTTATATTAATTATTCAAAAATAAATTAATTCATGGGTATGTTTTTCTTTTTTAGGAATTCTTTCAACAAAAATTGATTTCAGACAAAGGCCTTGAGCCAATTATTAAAATCCGTGATAAAGATCGAATGTTGGAAACACTTTGGCAACCAAGATTATTTTTAAATTGGCTTCATAAGCTCCGAGACTTTGATGATGAAGATACTATCAAGGAATTGATAGAATCTGAAACACCTTGGGAGGCATTTGAAGAAAGTGAAATTCCTGAATACACTTTTAATTCTAGTCGTATCTCAATTAATCTAACCCCTGTCAAGAAACAACTCAATGAAAGTTTGCATCAATTATCGATGAATAGTTCATTGCTTGATGTAACACAAGATAAAACATCTGAGGTATTTATTAATAAAAGACATGATGATATGAATGCTTGTCTTCTTCAGATGGAACTCGCGACCAATACTTTGAAAAAACTGTGCCATCAGTATGAAAGTCGAGAATTAAGCGGAGAAGTTACTAAATCTTTAGATAATGTATGTAAAATTGTTTCGTCATTGCGAAATAAATTGGACTTAGCACATAAAAATGACCAGAGTAGCACAAAAAATAGTACAAATATGGAAAGTAGCCTTAATAATGTTGATAAAGAAAATATCTCAACTACGGAGACTCAAAAGATAGACCAAAATAATTTAGAAAATGAACCAAAAAAATTGAAAAAAGAAATTTCAAGAATAACTTCCAGAAAGTGCCCATTTTTTCAAGATAACTCACAAAAATCAGTTAGATTTAACGTTGAATAATTTATTATTATTATTACTACTACTACTACTACTACTACTACTACTACTATTCTTACTCTTCATATTACTATCATAAAGTTAAATTTTTTTGATTCACAAGTTTGTCTATGTTTTAAATTCACACAAATACTTTTTGAATATTTGATATTAAATGACTATCAATAAAAAATATTGAAAGCTTTGAACTTCCGACATGATTTTTTGTTAAAATTTTTCAAAAAAGTTACTTAATTTTTTATAAATTTTGAATACTATTTAAATGAGTTTTTCATTCTTCATACAAATTAGTCAGTAGGCAATTAAGAAGAAAAACTATCAAGAATGTAAATATCAAAATTTTTGATAAATACATCGATTATAAGATTAGTTTTCATGACAAAGAAAGCTGTGACTACTTCTTAATAATAATAAAATAGAATTATCATATTATAATTAAATAAGTTTTGCTTTTCATTTATTGTAATGATTATTATAAGTATTATTTAAATAATATATAAAGGCATAATGAATAAGATTGAAATAGAGATATTAATTTTATTGCAATGGTAAACAATGTCTTAATGAATAAAGATTTTATACATTTGTCAATATTAGTATTATTTTTATTATCAAGACGATGCCTTATCATAATACAATCCAATAAAATTAGAATAATTAATCAAAGTAATCCTCTATATCTATATTAGGATTCAATAAATCCTCACCATAAATACTAACATCTAGCTGATTAAGAATTAAATTCTCGCACATTTCTTCAAGATCAGTTTCTCCGATAAGCACTGCACCTTGAAGTTTACCGTCTTTAATAACAAGTTTTATGTATTCCAAATTTTTTGTTAACCTCAGTAAAATTTCATGATTTTTTTCCAACTTCTGGCCATTGTATAATCCTAGGAGAACTACTTTATATCCAAAAAAGGTAGTGACATGTGAAAATAACTCGAAACAAAAATCTTGGAAAAATTCGTCGCCTCTTAGAGTTGATGCCATTGATTTAGCAGCATATCGACCCATTTGATGGGCTTGAGTCCATAATCTCATTTGAAACCATTGCTCTGCTAAATCCCAACCAGCTGAACAGACATCTCCAGCTGCATAGATATCATTCACAGATGTTTCTAATTTCCAATCGACCAAAAAACCACCATCATCACCTCTTTTTAATTCTTCTAATCCCTTGATATCAGTATTTGGAATAACTCCTGTTGCTGAAACGATGAAATCACAACCTATGACTTTTCCATTCGTTAATTCAACATGAACAGGCCAATCAGAGTTCGCAGGAATTTCTTCTGGATTTAAAATTCGAGCTATTTCACATTCATACTCTATATCTACTTTTGTAGAATTATTTTTTTGACCTTTCATAACAAATGACTCATGCCAATCTGGACCAAGAGCTGCTCCAACATTATTCGAATCCTTTTTAGATCCAATTACTGTGTATTTAAATCGTTTACAAATATTTTCTTCTCCAGTATCCTTAGGTGTATTTTTTAATAATTTATCTTTGAAGAATTCTGCTGCTCCAGGATCGAAAAATGTTGCAGAAATATGTTTATCTTTAATTACCCAAATTATTTCGACATTCTCGACTTCATGAACTATTTCTGTAGCTATACCTCCGTTTCCAACAACAATTATTTTCCGAGCGTTGATGATTTTTTTTGAAAAAGTCTCAACTGATTCTGTATCTCGAATTCCCAAAACATAAGGATTGTCATATATGATGCGAGGTTTTGCTCCAGTACATAAACATAATTTTTTAAACTTTATCTTTACTCCTCTTTGAGTTTCTACTATTTTTTCTTTTGTATCAACCAAAGTGACGACATCATTAATAACAGACAATGATGAGTTACGATCCATTATAGATTGGAAATCTTTTTCTGCAACATCAAATTTCATAATAGTTTTACCCAGTGGAATTACATTCGTGACAGTTTTTACCAATGCATTGGCGCTTATTAAAATTGTTTTTTCATCACTTTCTAAGAATGATAAACCTTCTACACATGATACTCCAGCAATTCCTCCTCCGATAACAACGAATGTTGCATCCATAGTTAATTATTTTTACAATCTAATGTAATGTATCAAAATGTTTCCTGTAGTTTTTTTACGCAAGGTTTTCTTTAGGTTTGTACCATTCAGAGTAATCGTAAGCTCGGAAAGGAACATCAAATGTAATCAATCCATAAATTTTAGCTTTAGTTATAGCAACAAGTAATCTTTTATGCTGTCTTCGACAAAGATTTGTTACGCTGAAATAGAAATAAAGAGAATTAAAACCTATGGGGTAAATGTTATGCTTGAATTATCAATGAATCTTACTCATAGCCCAATATAGCTCCATTATACTCTGATATAAACTGTTTTAACAAATTCACATTTGTGTAATCTAAAACTAAATATTCATCTCGACAAATGGGGCATGGACTTCCATAGACAATGAAACCTTTTCTCTGTAAATAAAATTTATTAATAAATAATAATAACAATTTGAGTTATAAAATAAAATGGTAGAATAGAAATCCTTACAACACAACTCTGTCTAGTTTTTTTAGGAGGAAGCTGTCCCTTGTGATTTCTTCGATAAGGTTTCCAGACAGGTTCGTCACCATACGTTTGTTTATAAGCTAACATATTTATCAATTATTGATGTGAATTAATTAAATATATTCTCATCAATATGCATAAAATTTCATACCACTGCTAGCTAGGTATCGAATGCTAGTCTCTACAGGAATTGGATTTCTTCTATCTTTAGTAGGATCAATTGCCTTTTCAGAAGGATGCTGTTCTAGGTTTTCATTTTCTTCATCATTAAATAAAACAGTTCCTCGAGAAAACTGTCTTCCTACAGCAATCTAAAACGATAGATATTTTTATACATCATTCGTACGTTTTAAAAAAATTTTTTTTAACAAGTTTAAAAAATGATAGGTTATGAACATTACTTTATTTAATAATTCATATCTCAGTGATTGATGGAGTTTCGTCAGAATAAATAACATATTCAACTATTAAAATTAACAATTAACTAAAATTTTGTTATTTCCAAAAAATTTTTAGAGTGTATAGGTTAAGCGTGCACTCAATTTATTTTTCGCCGGTTCTGCTCAGAAGTTGAGAACCCTTAGGCCGCCATTTTTCTGTCTGTACTCAAAAGAAAAACTTTAAACATTCATTAATTTTTTTTTTTAAATACAACTAATTATTGTTCCTATTTATAATTAATTATAATAATTTTTAAATAATTTTTTATAATCGGAATGAATCATTTAAGGTTAGGTTAATAAAATTGTAAAAAAGGAAGTGGAAATAATTTGACGACCGACATTTTGTCACACTTACATCCGGGTTCCTAAAACGTATTTCCCGTTTGGTCGCGGCAGCTCGTGATACGTAGTTAGGTGAGAAAAATAATCGAAGTCGTCTAAAGTTGGAATAAAAACGTGAAAAATATTAAAAGGTAATGATATTACGATTCACTGGGTTTTTGGTTACAGATGACAGGTTGGCGAGAGATTATATGGGAATAATAAGAAAAAACCCAATTTATAGGATCTCCACCCAGCCGAGAATAAAACTCAAGACGCTGAAGCCATTACCCAATTAATCGGAGACGCTTGTATTGACGTTTTATTGTGTATAATACATAGTTTTTTTTTTTATTATACTATCGTGAACCAAGCGTTTACAATAAGGAACTTAAAAAATTAATTATAAATAATGTAAGTGGCTTATCGATTAGCCTTATAAAAGAAACGTATAAAATGAAATATTAAACGAAAATTCCTCGAATTACGTCACTATTAAAGACGATAGATTGTGCTTTCTATTCATAAAGAACAATAAAAATCTATTTGCTTATTTTCTTATATATAATAATGAAGCATATGTCAATGTTGTCTGTAGTGTTATATCTTAGTAATTATCGGGAACGCGAATAAAAGTGCAAATAAATGAGAACTTGAATTAAAGAAATAATTTAAGTGAATTGATGCATTTGAGTGGGTCAGAAGTGTTTTAAAAATATTTTATTATTCTACAAAATGGAAAATAATTATTACATTGGATGCATTGAGTCATTTAGTTGCCTATAGATAGATACAAAAAAAAACTGAGGAATTTACGAAAGTAACCGAAGTTGAACGATTTATATTCGTGATCGTGTCGCGTTAGTTGCATTTTGTGGTAGATAATAAGAATTCGAGGAAAAAAGGAGGAGTAGCGAGCTTAACTGCTCATATAGTGACGTCATAGATTTAAAATGGGGACATAACGATTTTGTATTGCGATTGGTTATCATTGGATTGCTGTTGAAATCCTATTGGTCGTTAGTAGCATCTAGCTTCCTTTCTCTTGCTCAGTAAATGGGTATGCGCAACACAAATGCGCAGATTCTTTAGCAGTCGATGGGCAAACCCCGTCTATCAGAACAATCGCCATTTCATATTCGCATATTTTTCATTTTCAGCGCGATATTTTTATCAATTTTGAGTCATCTTAGCAAATATAGACTCAAAAATAAATGTCGAATAGGATTTTCAATAAATAATCTACGGGTAGGAAAATAATTTAAAGATAATTTTCTTTTAGAAATTGTTCCATATGGAACAATGATACTCGTGTTCCTTTAGCGTATTTTCTCCACTAAGCTGATTCATGTGGCTTATTACTGTTAAGATATTTTATTATTTTTTTCATTTTCTTAATAATATTGTAATAATTTAAAAGTGCATGAGAATAATTTTATTGTGGAAAAAGTCATAATTTTTAAAGATGGCCAGTGATCATTAAACTAGATCATTTACGTGATACGTGGCATTTTATACTCATTAATACTTTCTTTACAGATTCAATCATGCTTTTAACCTTGTGGGACATCATCATCCATTAATTTGAAGAAGAAATTGCTAGTTATTAATTTAAAAAATTAAAAATGGTGAGTTTATTTATATAAAAGATATTTTATACACTATTTCGGTGGTATGAACAATTACATGTTAAAAGATCAGGTGAAAAAGGTGGCGCCACTATGGCGATAATTATTGTACCCTAATATGTAAGAGTCATGAGTCGGTATTCTTATTTCCGTTCTGCGAAAGAGGGGAAAATAAAATAGATCAATGACCTTTGAAATCACTCAACGCTATATTAGCCAATAACTTTTCTATCCTTTATTATTCATCAGAAATAAATACATAACTTAATTTTAACCGGCCTTAAAATAATAAGTTTTTGCTGTAATTATTGACGAAATTACTGAATTTATTTTATTTTTTATAATTTCAGCCACGAATAGATCCATTATCATTGTTGAAGTGTTTAAGCGTTTTATTAGGATCTACGGGTGGGATTAAAAGTAAAGAAGAGGTTCATCGCTTAGCGAATCTTATGACCAAGTTTTCAAAAAAACTTGTTTCTAAATGCATCTATATTCAAATTCTCAAGAGTACTAGTGCGGAATTATTAAATCAGTAAGTATTTAAGTAAGATAAAAATTAATTAATAGCATTTACTGTAAACATTGTAACTTTTTTTAATAAACTTAATCCAGAAAATCATACTTGTGATTTTTATCGAAAAGATCTTATTAAATAATTATTAACGCATTTTCATAAGATACTTTCAATTTTATGCATATCATTTTCTATCTAAGATCTTTCTATCTAAAAGCACGTGAGAATACAGATACTTTTTACATTGAAAAGTGTATGTATAGCTAATAAATTCAAAGCAACGTGCAAAATAAAATAGGACTCTGAACCATTGGGCGATTTCTTTTTAATGAGTCGTGCTTACTGATATGTTTCCAACAACTTTGATTAATAAATAATAAAATTTCTGATCTAAGCTATTAACTTTACATAATTAAAATTAATTGTTCATTGTGTTTTAGATTTATGAGCGATGGAGGATGGAATTTAATTCACATGTGGTTAACTGATGGTATTGTAGCTAAAAATTGGGCATTAATTCAAGAGTTATTGGAGCTTCTATTACTTTGCCCAGTGGACATCGACCGACTTAAAAGCAATAATTGTCCAAAGCTGATCAAAGGACTGTCTAAGGAAGGGAGTCATCAGAACGTTCGATTATTAGCAAGCCGATTGGTTGAACAATGGTTAAAAATTGTAAAAGGAGAAGCAGCTCCAAATTCCGTACCAATGCAGATAACAATCGCAAATCAACCAACATCAGCAAGATTTGTCGCAGTAAAAACAGATCAAAAAGACATGGTAGAAAGTTCTACCGTTAAAGTTCAAGACCTTAATATTAATGCGAATTCTGTTGTTAGAGATACAACCATTCAACATCCTATTGTTCAGCAGGTGCAACCAATTCAAGATCAAATTCACATACAACCCGTACAAGTACAAATTGTTAATACAACGTTACCAGGACAATTAAAGCCAACGCAAATAAAAAAACAATCCTATGTTGTAGTTTCTAATCCATCATCTCAAAATCAAACAGCCGTTCCAGTGTATAAAATAACTATTCGCGATGGCGATCAAATTCTCACTAAAGTTGAAACTGATCCTTCAAATATTTTTAATGATAGTGCGAATAATGTAGTTTTAAATGGAGAAATAAAAAAAGACGTTTTTGGTAAACAAGATAATGATGATATATCATCGACTGAAAATTGTCAATCATATAATAATGGTGTGTCTGATAATGTTGAGAGTGAAGTGAAGCAAGAATCTAATTGTAATGATGAAACTGAAAATGTTGTGAAAAGCATTAAAGATGAAACAGATAGTACTATAGACAATACTGTTAATAGTGAAAATAAATCTAGTGATAAAGAAAATCGAGAGTCTCAAAAGAAAGATGAAAAATCTAGCAATAGTTCTGATAAAAAAAGTAGCCATCAAAGTTCATCTAAAAGTACCTCTAAACATAGTTCAGGATCTAGTTCTCGATCGAGTTCTAGTTCACGCAAGTCTTCATCACACCGTTCTAGTTCTAGTAGTAAGAGTTCATCAAGTTCCAGTAAATCTTCCAAAGACAAGCACCATTCAAGTAAACACTCAAGCAGTTCAAGTAAAAGTAAGTCAGACAAAGAGAAAGAACGCGAAAAAGAAAAAGAAAAACAGAAAAAAGATCAAGCAGAAAAGGATAAAGCTACATTGGAGAAGGTCCAAGGCCAGTCATTGGGAAGTAAATTTGGTAAAATTCCTAAGAAGAAAGCTGAAGATGAAAAATCAACAGATTCAGTACGGAAATCATCAACAGAGTCACGCGAGAGTTCGAAAGAAAACAAAGACAAAAGCGATTCGAAAGACAAAAAATCATCAATAAGTCCTACTATTTTGGAAAAGAAGAACATTTCAATATCTATAGAAAATAGGAAAAATTCCCAAGATTCAACGCGTCCGAAAACTGTTAAAACATTCAATTCTAAATTTAGGTCGACAGGTCTTGAAGAAGAAGTTAAACCTCCACCTCCTAGGACTGCTAGTAAGAAAACATCTTCAACGGCCGATAAAAAAATTATTCCACCTAAAATACCATCATTGAAAAGGCCATCTCCAATTCGAGAATCCGGTGCTTCTGCTGATAAAAAAGCTAAGCTTTCTTTGGATCCTCCAGTCATTGTATCGGATGATAAAAAAGGAGGGATTAAAATTATTCCCCCAAAACCAAAACGTAAGTACATTTTTATACTTATTTATAATTATTACACAAAATTATTATGCAATAATATATTAATTTACACAAAATTTTTATTAAATAAAATCATATTAAATTCGTTACATATAATTTATTTAAAAAATAATTGATTTTTTATTGAAGAGTTAATATCTTGTTGCATCTAAGTATTAATAGTATAATATTTTTCTTTTTGTATTATTTAAAAAAATCTCTTCGCATTATTTATGTATATATCATGAAATAACTGTTGCAAAATGGTTGAATAACATTATTATTATTATTAATTTATTAATGGCTTACTATTGAGTTTCCAGGTGAAATCTTCCCAAATGGTTGGATATGCATCTATATCATTGATGGAGAACTTACTTTATTAATTAATTTTATTTTTTCTAGAATTTTTTTGCATGTTGAATATTTTATTAAAAAATTTTTTTTAATAGATATTATGAAGAATATACTGCTAATGTAAATTTTATGTTTGAAGAAAGAAGTAACATCTGTATCGTATCCTCATATTTTTTTATGTCAGGTAAAATTTAATTAATCTGACAAGAAGGTATATTTTATTGTAATTATTTAAAATTATAAGTAAGATAATTAGAGTCATCAAAAAAAAATAATAATAATAATAATAATAATCATAATTGAACGCGTAATTGAGATATAGTAAAACACAAACATGAACATAAAGTGATTGAAGAAAGAACTTCAATGGAGATGTATATTTGAAGATGTAACTCAACATAACATCAATTCAACATCATCGAATGGTAATATTTAGCTCATTATGCGGTAAGGAATACACTTGTTATTAATTTTTTCTCAATTTTTCTTGTATATGTATATTTTATTGGAGGTAAAACAATAAATTTATCATAAATCTGGAAAAACATTTGAGCTTTTGAGTTTTAGATACATATAGTCCACTTGAATATTTATTATTTCAAACGACAATTCACCAATTATTTATTATGGAATATGTTTCACACATATCTTAAATGAAAAATTTATACACAGTGAGCATGTGAAAATAATTAATAAACCAAAGGTTTTTTTTTCTTTTAATAAAACTGAAAAAAAAAAATGATCATAAACGTAATGAACAAAAATTATATTATAAAAATACATTCATATAAATGTCATGTTTTATGCGCGAATATAAAACTTTTAATTAAAAATTAAACATTTTTCATAAACTAAAATAATGATCATTACATATTTTTATAATAATTTGATTGCTATATACAATCACTTTTTTTCTTTCTCATTTTCTCACTTTCTTGATAAGAGTGTATGAAAGTGTGCAAGAGAAGAGAAAGAGAGAGTACTTTTATAAAAATAGATTCATTAGAGGGTAAAACAGCAAATAATATCCATTTTAATTTTCAAATAGAGTAAATACATGAGATATATATATATATTTATCTAACCATACTAAAGAAGAAGTAAATAAGATAAAGCACATTTAAAAATAATTTTGCTATTATTGAAAGTATCAAAAAACATTCAAGACAACACCCAATATTTGTTTAATTTATTTCTATTATTAATAACAAAAGAGAATTTAATAATAAATTAATACTCGGTATTTCATTGATTAAATTGTAGTTATTAAAAAAGATTAAATTAATAATAAAAAAGTGTGAAGTTTTCGAAATTGATATTAAAATAAATATGAAGCTATAAATGATCATTAAAAAGATTGAAATGATGATGCAGAGTATATTCAAGTGATTTCATTTTTTTATATTCATCTTTATGTTAATCAAATACTTATTTGCCACAGAGTTTTCTAATGGAAATAATTTGCCGCCTCGTTTCTATTTCGAGCTGAGTCAATGTTTTCTTAACAGGGTCTGTCGTGTTATCGCTATCTGTTTCACTGTTTGCAAGAAAAGGAAAGAGCCATTACACTACTAACCAATCAGCTGATATTGACTGCAGCGAGTGGACTCGTGATGTTCTGTCTGCACATCATCAGTTTAAATCTACTTCTTTTGGCCTCTTCTAAACTACAGAGAGGCTGATTCAAAATATTCAGATTTTTAATTTAAAACAAATTCATTTAAATAATTTATACTAATTATTGATAAATGAAATACTGAATTCATTGAGTTTATAATGAATACATAACATGCTTTCAATTAATATCCTATGAAATTTTATTATTTTTATAACTTTAAAGATCTTATGATCTTTTGGAAAAGTTACTTAATTTTTTAATTTTTTTATTCATATTTTATATCAATAAAAAATATAATATTTATTCTTTCATTAAATCGTAAGAGAAATGATCAATCATAAAATAAAAGTAAATAAAATATTTATTTAATAAATATAATTCTTCACCTTCTTATATTTTTTATATTAAGTTTACTATAATTAAATTTGAATATTTATCTTTAATAATAAAAGGAATTTTTTATGGGAAAATAATTTGATATTTATTAAAAAGTATTTTTATACAGATAAGCTTATTATATTGAAATTAAACATAATCTTATTTGTTGCGAAAAGATATGCAAAGACATGTGACCATTAATCGATCAAGAATAACTTGCTATAACTGTATAACTGATATTGTCATTGATATTTGTAAGTCATTTTTAAAAAGAAATCATGTAATTATTTTTTCCAGCAAAAATATATATATGACCTTTTTTAGCTACTTATTAATTAAGTTATTAATGATAAATACAATTAAAATAATGCGAAGAGAATATTAATGAATAATTATTTGCATATAGAATCGAATCGATGGATTTATTAATAAATAATACATGCATATGTTATAGCAATGGTACTGCAGGAGAGTGACATGTTTATGGACGCTTTGACGGCGTCAACAAAGAATAAAGAACCGAGAAAGCGGAAACGTCGGACGTCAGTATCCAAGGACGGATCTACCGAAGCGAAGAAATCTGAGGGCGCAAACTCGGTATCAGGAGACCATACAGCTAGAGATAGTACACCACCTCCTTCCTCACCTCAAAATACTGATGAACGATCTCTTTCAGTTAAACCCGAATTTAAGGTAATTATAGTTTTTTTTAAAAGAATAAATGATTTTTGTTTCTTCTTTGATGTTTACTTAATTTTGTTCTATTGTTACAGTTTTATCAGGACACTCTTGAAACAGATGAGGACAAAGAAGATAAAGATCGACAAGATGATAAAGATGTAGAAATGGATGAAGATAAGCTGAAAGAGAGAGGAATAAATGATGATGAGGAAAGAAGTCGAACGCCAACTAATGAAGATGAAGTTGAAGATATGAAAGGTCCTGCTTCTCCGGATGATCCTGAAGATACAGGACGGAAAGAATCAGATCTTCAATCAGAAATAAGATATGTCGATGGTTTAAGAAGTGTTTTACTTCTTCAAAAACGAAGAGGTCCAAAGAAAAATTTAAAATGGAAGACTGAATTAGAATCAGTCAGATATTTTGAATTGGATGAAACTGAAAGAGTTAATGTAACGAAAACATTTACTGATATGAAACAAATGGAAAAACAAAATGAAAGAGAAGCATTCCAGATGGCGAGAAAATTAAGTACTGAAGATTTAATGGAAGAGAGAACTAGGTGGAAAGTTTTAATTCCGATTGACTTACCTCCTCCTTTAGTAGAACCAGGAAAAGATAGCAAAGAAAAGGATATTCAGTATGCAAGAGAGAAAGGAATTCTTCAAGCTCTCTATTTTAATCGTAGTATGATTCCGGATTCCGCAGCGGAGCCTGATGAAGAACGTCATCATGTGATAACTGATCCGAAAATTATTCCTCTTGACGATCTCACAGGTAATAAAGAAAGTGAAAAAGACTTTACATCAGTGGCATGGCCAGAGCCGAAACCTCAATTAGCTTCAGTAGCTCCAGTTGTATCTAATGTTCATTTTCCATCATTTGCTCCACATAATCAATCAATGCCTACAATGCAAATGCAGTCGAATCCTATAGGGTCGATGAATCCAATGCCACAACAAATGAATCAAACAATGATGCCACCAATGAATCATATGGCTGGTAGTGTTCAAGACATGAATACCGGTGCTGGTGGATGGAGAACTGGAGATGGCAAGGTTGTTGTTCCTGATGTTCAAATGAATAATATGAATAATATGCCTAATATGACAGGAAATTTACCTCCTGGATTTCCACCACCTGGTATGGAAAATCCAATGATGCCTAATATGATGCCACCACCTCCAGGAATGTTTAATCAACAAGATGGTTATCCTAATATAATGGGTGAAGATGGTTCTTATGGTCATATGCCTAATAACTTCCAAGGTCCAGGAATGTTTGGCCCTGGACCTAACTTCCAAAATGGACCCAACATTCCGCGAGGGATGGGTCCAATGCATGGAGCTAATAGAGGTAGAGGTGGTCCTGGATGGTTTCGTGGTGGTGGTGGTGTTATTGGCGGCGGTGGTGGAGGAGTGGGGCCAATGCGTGGAGGCTGGGTTGGACGTGGTGGATGGAGAGGTAATGGAAAACAACCTCCAGTTTGTCGACAATTCAGTAAAAATGGTTATTGTAGAGTTGGTGACAAATGCCAATATCTCCATCCTGGAGTCAATTGTCCACCATTCTAAAGAGCCTTATAAATTTATATATTTGTAATCGATAGCAATGAATAGGCGACAACTTAAAGCATTGTCCAATAAGAGTGTACATAGAAACTTTATAAAGAGTACTAAAAAGACCATTTTGATTATTGGCTTTTCGAATTTCTGAGTGATGAATATTTTATAGGAAAAGCTTTATGTCTTCCTATTAAATTTTATATCGAATTTCAAAGATAAGCCCACTATGTCACTGCCGTGCAATTGATAAAGCTGAGGTAACTAAATACATTTCCTGTGATAGATCGTCATTAGAGACATTAACGATTGATATAAAATAATATTAAATATAAGATAACTATAAGTGAAGAAGTTCAATTAATAATGTATATAATCAAGCGATTATGAAACGAAATTTTTCACATTAATAATAATAATAACGATAATGTATATTTTCTTGTAAATATCATTGTATTATTTTTGTATAAACAATTTAGAGATTATAATTAATAAGCATGATAATATAATGATAAAAAAGCATTAATTATTAAAGAAAAAATTTCATAATTAAGAAAATTAGCTATAATAATTACAGTGGTGAATTTAAATATTAACTCTGATGAACATAGTTATGAAAGAATATTCGAACCAAGTTCTTATAAAAGTAATTTACCGATATATATATATAAAATTACAATTATTATTTTTACAGCTAGCATTATTGTTTAAATTAACAATTATTAAGTAATTATAAATTTTCTTTTTATTTCTTTTATACATGATTGATAATTATGTTTGTATATAAAATCAATTAATGTAATGAACTGCTTAAAGATATATGGTTGTAAAATTTATTTTTAAACAGCAAATTTTTTCATTTTTATCATATTCCATGTAAATAATTTTGCGAATTAAATTTTCTATTAGAAAAATTCTTTTTTTAATGAACAATAATAATAATTACTGAACATTTCGTCAAGCTATAGTAGATATGAGTGTTTGTAATTACTGAAAAATTGCAAATATCTTACTAAATATACAGTTAGAACATTAGTTAAATCTTAAGTAACGATGTCTCCTATGCTTTTGATTTCGATGCTCTTCGTCATTATGGCCACGTTTGTGTCGACCTGAATCATTATCACGCCTTTTTGATTGCCTACTCCACCAGTTTTCAATTATTGGAGGTTCTTTTTTGCAAGAATCTCGCTTTGTTTTATTATTAACGTAATCGACATCATCATCTGTGTAGCGATTAGAAAATTCTAAATCACAATCAGCAAGAAATTTCTTTTGGTCATCATTTAATTCAGCTATTACTTTATTTAGTTTCTGTAATTCTGCTCCTACAAAAACAAAAAATGTAATTAGATCAATGAACAATTGATTAATACATAACTTATTTGAATTGTTTGAAAATAATAATAAAATTAGAAAAAGGTTACCTTCTTCAATATCACGTTGATCATTAATTAATGAAGCCATTTAACAAATTTAAATTAATAATAAGATCTTAGTAATGAATATTAACAGTCACTTCAGGAAGAAAATAAAAAGCAGGCTTGTTTTCAACAAATTTATTGTTGACAATGAGTCAAGATAAAACTAAAATCTACTTTACCAACAACAAACAAAATTTTTTCTATCTTTCGATAGATAAAAACGATGCCGTGCAAATTTATTACCGACAGAGCATACCCAGCAGCAATGGCCAGATTAAAAAATTCCTCACTTCTCCCTATCGAGATACCTTCCTATCTATGCGTTCATTTTGTTCGTTAGATTTGTCGTCACATTTCAGAGTTTCATATTCACTTACATTTCTACGTATATTCTCGACATTTACAAAGCTGTCCTTGTGTATAAAACGTTAATAAATAAGTGATATTTATAAATATATTTATACTCATAATAAGTGTATGAAAAAATATTTGTCACATCTTATGTACAAAAAAGTATACCCAACGTTAAATTAATTGATGGTTATTCGTTTTACTTGTGCAATAAATCGACATCAGCAAAAAATGAAGCTGTTACTAACACTTATTTTCTGCTGGGCAATCATTTTAGTATCTGGTAATTATTTTCAATGCTTCACATTTTTTCTTTGTTTTAAATTGATAACATGACTTTTTTTTCTTTATTGTTCAGGCTTTATCATAAATTTTTGAAGAAATGCCAAAGAAATTTCATTGTTGTCTTTATAATAAAAAATAATAAACTGAAACATGATTTGGCAATATTTTGATATTTAATAACGGTGAAACAAGATTTTTGGTTTCGATTATACAGAGACAAAGAGCATTAACAAGTTTTGCTAACCGGTTTTTTCCAACATTTAGTCATGATAAATGATCTGTTTCTACCACCATTTTTTTATCACTTATTGCTGATAGGTTTCTATTGAATAGTTGAAAAAATATTCGTCATGATATTACATGGCGTCGAGATACGGCTTCGAATATAAACATAAAACTTTGGAATGCGAAAAAATGATGATATCTCACGTATGACACTAAGTTGTATGACTAAATTAATATTTACATGCAAGACTAAAAACATGAATACCTAATTTATATGTAATTATCAACATCTATTGTTACTTTTTGTCAATACTCACTTATCTTCAACGTATTACGTAATTTTTTAATTTCCATTAAGATCATTTTTAGATTAATCTCATTATCAAATTGGAAAATTTACAACCATTTAATATATACAATGGCAACTATTTATTAAATTAATCAGCTATATTCGCTAGTATATCATTTACATTGGATAAGTTATCTTTTCGTGTAATTAACTCAGGAAGAATGACAAGTCCTCTTTAGTAATGTTTAAAAAAATTAAATTATAATTATTACAAGTAATAATTTTATTCAGGCATATTAATCGAGATTTTGAGTTCTAATGTCAAATATGATTGTAACGCAAAATGTTTCAAGTAGCCAAATTACATCTTTTGATATAAGTTGATTTAAAGATTTGAGTTTATTAGCCCTACTCAAAATAAGTTTGTTGAATGTTATCTTAAAAAATTATTTCAGGTGCCGATCAGATACCAACAAAACCAATTGAAAAAAATGCAAGTGAAATTGATGTTCCAATAGAACCAACAAATCCTAATAATGTAACTTCAACAACTTTACTACCTCCACAGCCAGAAACTACAACCATTACAACAACTTCTACGACAAAAACTACAACTACAACTACAACTACAATTACTACTCCAAAAACAACTACACCTGATTCAAACACCACAACGTCTATTCCAACAACTACACCTACTCCAACACCAGCACCTCCAACACCAAAGCCAGAAATAGGTCAATGGACGGTGAATTCTACCAATTATACTTGTATTGTCCTTCGTATGGCAGCACAATTCAACATCACTTATATTACAAGTGATAATAAGGTTAATTTATTTGATAATATTTACACAAACGATAGCAATGACGATAAAGAAATCAATTTATTTTTAATTTTAACTAATTATTAATAATCTTATTGTATTCTTTGTTTATATAACGTGATATTTTTTCCAGACTATGTCAAGACACATGATATTGCCTTCAAGTAACGTCACTACTGCCTCGGGAAATTGTGGAGATCCAGAGCAAGTTATTGAAATATCATGGAACAGTTCCACATCACCAATGAAAAATAATGATTCATTGATATTCCATTTTATCAAAAATAAAACTCAATCTATGTACTCTTTACATCACATTGAAGTTAAAATAGCGGTAGAGGAATTACCGAAATTTAACTCCAGTATGTATAATTTATCAGTGATAATCGGATCACAGTAGATAATTTTTTAAATATATTTCTTTATAATTACTGTTAAGCATTGTATTCATATCATTATTTACTTATAGGTTCTCCATTGGTATTGATACATAATGCTAGTGAATATAAAATACCATTAATTAACTCATACAGGTGTTTGAAGTCTCAAAAAATATCTCTTTCGTCAACGGTGAAAAATACAACGGGTATTCTTGATGTATCCGATCTTCAATTCCAAGCCTTCAAAAATGAAAAGAGTTCTGCATTTAGTACAGGTGGATAAATTTAAAGATTAAAATAAAATCTAAATTAAATTTGTAGTGTCCATAATTAAATAGTATAATTATGATTAATGTAATAATTTTAATTTGCAGCCGAAGATTGCCCATATGAAACACCAGACTACGTCCCCATCGCAGTTGGTTGTGGACTAATTATTTTAGTGGTAGTTGTTTTGGTGGCTTATCTTGTTGGCCGAAGACGTAGTCAGGCACGTGGTTACCTTAGTATGTAAGAAAATACTAATAATGTTAATTCGGTTTTTTTTTAATTTTTATTACAATTATAATTATTGTTTAAATCCCTATAATTACAAGTTAATTATTGATGATTATTCGATGATTTATGAAATTATAATTATATTATCTAATGAGTCTCTTTGTCCAATTATTGATAATGTATTTTTTTCGTAAAATAACCTATTCGGTAAAAAAAATATCTTTATTTTTTCTATATCATTATATATTCCTATTCATCATTATTTGATATTCTAATTATAGAATCAATATATATATACAGTATGATATCAAATACGTTTTAAAGTAATGCGTAATTCGTGTACAATAAATATAAAAATTATAGTATTAAAAATAAATTTAATAAAAAAAGGCTTCTATCTTATTATTAAACCCAACAGTAGTTTTTTTTTGTTCAAATTAAATGTATAGCTTTTATGCAGTTGATAACAATTACAAAGAACAATCAAAGTTCAAAATATTTCCTGAGGAATTTTATTATTTTTTTTTTTTTCAAATGCGTAGTTCATTTTTAAGAAGATAGGGGCGCTGGCATCTTTGTTTACAGTTGTATAAAGCCGGTATGAACTTTTATTTCGTTAATTTTCTTTTCAAGTGCAAGTTTTGTTAATAATTTATGTTTGTTTATAACAACACAATTAACAATTAATTGGTCTAAAATGTCTAATAATAAAAATGTTAAAAAAAATAAAAAGAATTCAAATCAATCTAATGTACGATCAAAAGATGCTCATAGCTTGAACGATGAAGAGGTTTATCGGAAAGTTAAAAGACAGAAATTTAATCATAACAATGAAGAAAATGATTTAATTAAAAAAATAAAAGTAGACTCAACAAAAACTGTTAAGTATAATAAATGCACTATATGCAATCAGAGGTTATGTCACTTGAAAAAACGTGATCCAATGCCTCAAGGTACTGTTGATGAAGTTGTTGCATTAGTTGATAAAAAATTATCATTAACTGCTGATGATGAATTTGATGATTTTAAACCCACTTATAAATTAATCAATTTCAGGTATTTATTATTCACATAAGACTCGAGGTTTACTTCTAATATTATATCTGACAGTGTTGTTAATAATTAATCATCATATTTTCAGTGTGTATGATGCAAATGATCATTTGTGTAGATTTGATACCGGTTTGATAGAAGCTAATGTTTATCTTTACTGCAGTGGTTGTATTTTACCAATTTATGATGGAGATGTATCAAATCAAGAACTATCTAATGGAGTCATGGCTGAGAAAATTGGTCCGATTAATGAATGGTATGTAACTGGATTTGATGGAGGACCACAGCAGCCTATTGGAATTAGTACTCCATATGCTGATTATTATTTAATGTATCCAACTGAATCTTACAAAGAGTACATGGATCCAGTGATTGAAAAAATATATTTAAGTAAAGTAGTAATAGAATTTCTCACTTCCCAAGATAATCCTACGTATGAAGATCTTCTGGATGAATTACAGGTTTTTTTTCAAAGATTAATCAAAATTTTTACAAATTGCTATTGCAATAAAAATATTTATTAAAGTATAATTATTTGTTTCAGACTGTAGAATTGCCTGAAAGAATTGAGCGCTTTACTGAAGAAACTTTGTTAAAAAATGCACAATTTATTTGTGATCAGGTTATTTCTCTTGATCTGAATTCAGATGAAGATATCTTTCCTTTGCTTTCTACATCTTGTATGCGATCTCTGATAAAGCTTACTGGTGTTACGATTGAAAATAATAAGAAACAGTCAAAAATAAATGATACATCTCCAATCAAGAAAAAATCATCTCAAGTTGTTCTGACAAAGTTAATTCATCAGATTGTTAATAGATTTTTTGTAAAAACCCAAGATCAAAGTGATGAAATATTCGATACAGTCCCATCAATAGATTCTGAGAAAAATCATGTTCATAAGAAAAAAAATATTAAATCAACGAAAAGTAAAATTGAAACAAATAGAAAAAAATGTTTACATAAAACTATGGAGGCAATTGAAGATGACTCAGACTCTGATGATCAAGTAGAGAAGTCAGAGTGTTTTAAAGAATTTAAAAATTTACCTGAAATGCTGAGTAGTATAAAAATTTCTTCGAAAAAATTTCAATGGAAAAGCTTGCCTATTTTTGAAGAGAAAAATCGCACTTATTACAGTGAGTTCTCATTGGAGAATAATTATGAAACTATATATAGTTCTATCAATGGGTTTGTGAAGATAAAATCAAACAATCCCCGTTTTGAAGTAATTTCTAAAATTATTTCTATGTGGGAGGATCGGGAAGGAAACCAAAAAGCTCATGTTAATTGTTTTTATAATAGTAGAGACTCTATTTTAGGTAATTTAGGTGATAAATATGAATTATTCTCAAGTGATTTGTGTGCAGATATTATGTTAAAAGCCATTGATAGTCCTTGTACTGTCATTTATCAAAATATACCCACGAACTGGAATAAACTTGGTAATACAGAAGCTAGTGTATGTGAAAAATCAAGATGTGAAGCAAATCCTGTTTATTTTTATCGGATGCATTACATACCAGAAAGTGCAAGATTTGAATATCCTAACTTTGATTGTACTTCAAATTTAAAAAGCCCTAAATATTCAGAATCTTCAACAAATACTCGTAACATATCAGAAAAAAATTATTTCCAAGGTTGTTTAGTATGTCGACGAAGAAATGAGAGCAAAAGACTTTCAAGACCTAAGCTTCTTGAACCCAATAAAGCTGTGAGTGCTGATAAAATATTTTTTAACTGTATTGTATATAGAAATGAAGAGTATCGTCTGCAGAATGGTGTATATATTTTACCGTCATTTGTAAAATATAAATACAAATTTTCTATTCCAAATAATCAACGATCAAAGCAAGATGTTGATGATGAGATTTATCCGGAGTATTATAGAAAATGTTTGATAGGAGATCATGTTAAAGGATCTAATTATGATACACCTGAACCCTTTGCTATAGGATGCATCAAAGCTATCTATGTATCAATACAAAAAGAAAGTTTGAAAAATATTGATGAAGATACTGATGTAGATCCTAAGGATGTAACAATATTAATCAACAAAATGTATAGAAGTGAAAATACTCATCAGGGATCATCACTAACTCCGAAATCAGATTTTAATTTATTATTTTGGAGTGATGAAGAATGTGAAATTCCTTTTTCAGCAGTGATGGGAAGGTGTGAAATTATTTATAGGTCTTCAAATGAATCAATTGATGAATGGAGTCTAGGAAAATTTCATAAATTTTATTTTAATCAATCTTATAATGCTGATGAAGAAAAATTTCATGAACCATCAGATGAAGTACGATCAATAGGTTCTTCAATCCTTCAAAACAATAAAGAAAAATTTACCAAAGTTAAACCATTAAAAACTCTAGATATTTTCTCAGGATGTGGTGGATTATCTCAAGGCTTTTCAACCTGTGGAATTGCTGATGTGAGATGGGCAATTGAAAAAGACTCATCTGCTGCCAAAGCATTTATCAAAAATCATTCAAATGTAGAAATGTTTGAAGGAGATTGTAATTATTTGTTAAAAAAAATTATTAATAATGAAAAAGTAAATTTTCCAAAAAAAGGTGATATTGAACTTTTATGTGGTGGACCTCCTTGTCAAGGATTCAGTGGATTAAATCGTTTTAATTGTAATCAATATTCATACTTAAAGAATACTTTACTCTTCACTTTTTTATCATATTGTGATTATTTTCGACCGAAATTTGTTGTAATGGAGAATGTACAGAACTTTGCTCTACATCATAAGGGTTTGATGTTAAAGTTAGCTATATACTGTTTTTTACAAATCGGATACCAGTGTACTTTTGCCGTTTTACAAGCAGGAAATTTTGGATTACCTCAAGCTCGAAGAAGAATTATTTTACTAGCTGCTGCACCAGGATCAACATTACCAATGTATCCAGAGCCCCTGCATGTGTTTAGTAAACGCAGTTGTCAGCTAGATGTTGTTATTGATGGAAGAAAATACTCTCCGAATTTTTTTTGGAAAGATTCAGCACCTTATCGAACTGTTTGCGTTCGAGATGCTATTGGAGATTTACCGAAAATCAGAAATGGTGATAACAAGATGGATATTTCGTACGAAAATGATGCACAATCACATTATCAAAAGAAAATGAGAAGAAATAAAATTTGTGGTGATACTATAATGGATCATATATGTAAAAAAATGTCCCCTCTTGTAGAAGCTCGAATAGAAAATATACCAACAAATGCTGGAGCAGATTGGAGAGATATTCCAAATATTATTGTTAACTTAAGTGATGGTTCTGTTACAAAAAAATTAGAGTATAAATATAAAGATCATTTAGGAAGATTGAAAGGGGTCTGCTCTTGTGTAATTGGAGAAAAGTGTAATCCTGATGATCGACAAGAGAATACTTTGATTCCTTGGTGCTTGCCTCATACTAGTCATAGGCATAACGGTTGGGCTGGTACCTACGGCCGCTTGGATTGGGATGGCTTCTTTGGTACAACAATTACGAATCCTGAACCTTTAGGAAAACAAGTATTAATTTCTATTTAATTTTAATTTTATTGAATATTGACAGAAATGATCTTTAATCCATTTTTATTTTATTTATTCAGGGTAGAGTTCTACATCCAGATCAAAGTCGAGTAGTAAGTATCAGAGAATGCGCTCGTTCTCAAGGATTTCCAGATAATTACTGTTTTCATGGATCTGTAATTGAAAAGTATCGACAAATTGGTAATGCTGTACCACCACCCCTTGCTGAAGCAATTGGAAATGAAATTCTAAAAATTCTATGACAATTTTAGTTTTAATAAAAAATGTTTAAATATTTCTTAAAATTTTTATAAAAATTAGTCATATAAAAACATATACAAAAACTATTTTTTTATTTGTTTATAAAAAGAATAAATGTTTAATTCATAAAATTGTAGTTATTATTATGAAAGTTTACTTATCATTCAAAGGTAATGAAAATAAACAAATTTTATTAATAAAATTATTGCCATTATTTTTAATAATTAAATTAGTAATTTAGATTATGCGTAAATTCATACAAATATACAGTTATTTGATGATTGTATAACCTTCCTGAATTGACATGACAGTTGGAACAATTTGTAGATAAAGGCTAAGTATGTATGTACGGCTGCATACTTACACGTTGAAATTCCGCATTTAGAGCGTGTCATGGTGACGTTGACCAAAATAAGTTATTTTTTATGATTTTAAAATATAATTTGTTGTAAAAATATAGTGATTTAATTAATTATTTCGTAACATGTGGGCTGATACTGTCTTAATTGTATTTATTAGTATCTGTACAGCTTTATTAGGAGAAGGTAAAAATATTATCATACATACTCCAATTTCATTTTACATGTGATTAATTATAAAATTAGGAAAATTTGTTGCTATTTTGAATGATTGTTAACTTAAAACATATTTTATTCGATAGGTTTAACATGGTTAATGGTGTATAGAACTGAAAAATATCAAAAATTGAAAGCTGAAGTGGAAAAACAAAGTAAAAAATGTAAGTTACATTGTTTATAACCTATTATCTTTTCAACAATTGAACTTCTTTGTTTTGAAATACTTTTAAATTAGAAAATAAACCACTGTTTATTGTTTAAAAATTATTTTAGTGGAAAAACGTAAAGAAGCTCATGGCGATTCTCTGGATAAACAGCAAAAAAAGAAAATCGAACGTGAAGAAGAACGTTTGAAAAATAATAATCGTGATTTATCTTTAGTAAAAATGAAATCAATGTTCGCAATTGGATTTGCATTCACTGCTCTTCTTAGTATGTTTAATAGTATATTTGATGGTAAAATTGTTGCGAGATTGCCATTTATTCCAATTACATGGATCCAAGGTTTGTCACACAGAAATCTTTCTGGTGATGATTACACAGAGTGTTCATTCATTTTTTTGTATATTTTGTGCACAATGAGTATTAGACAGGTAATATTTCTTTATTATTAACTATTTATTTAATTAATAAATTTGTAAAATATTATACATATAATATTTTCTTACAGAACATTCAAAAATTGCTAGGATTTGCTCCATCAAGAACAGCTAGTAAACAAAGTGGAAGTATTTTTGGACCACCGCCTCAACAATTCAAATGAAAATATTTACAGCTAAATAAAAATTTCACTACGTTCTTTTTTTAGTGTCATTTAAATGAAGTGTTATTTATTAACTATTCTAAACTTGAGATTAATAAAAGTATAATTTTTTTCGATTAAAGCACAGCGGCAGTCATATATTCCTGTGTTATGAATCTATCAAAGCATAATCTATTAAGATTTATTGAAGTGAAAGCTCCATTTTTCATGACTTCACATAAACTTCGTCCAACAGCAGGTGACATTTGAGGTGCGTGTTCTCCAAATCCAGTTGCAAAAAAAATATGATTATAATACGGATGTACTCCAACTATTCCATTTCCGTCAAATGTATTGTAATCATAGAAACTAGCCCATGATTGTTTTAATTTAATATCTTTAAATGCTGGAACACGATGCGCTAGTGTAGGATGTATTTTATTGTAGAAAAAGTCATCATTTGGTTCTGGATTTTCATCGTACGATTCTTCATCTTCATCTTGTAATACTCGTCCAGCTGTGTAGTGATTTGAAAGAGTTTCTCTTTTGAAGTAACATCCACTAGTGTCCATAACCATTGGAGTGTTAAGACCAGGTCCATTTGAAGCTTCGAACCCATATAAAAATCGTTTCCTGGATATTGAATTTTTTTTTTATCAGTTAATGACGATAATTCATCTTTTTTGGAGTTCAATAACAGTTCGGAGTATTAAAAAATTATTTTTACCTTTTCTGTATTGGTAATGGAACAGATCTAATTCCCGTAGTATTTCCAATTTTCATAAGTTTAGCAACATCACTGCTCTCATGCCCTGCAGCTATCACACACATAGCAAACTGTATTACTTTACGTTCACCAGAAACAGTTTGGACCTAAAAAAAAGTAAACCGAGATAGAATATCAATTATTAAATATTTTAATGATTCCTCTAATACTAAGAAGTTGACTTACAGAAGCATGATTAAGATTTAGGTTTAAATTGATGGTCGAGGTTGATGGTGATGAGATAAATTCATTATCTGTAGAACTAATGATAAAACCTTTTAATTCCGCTGTTACAAATTCAACACCTAAATCAAGAGCTTTTGTTTTATAAGCATTTAATAATGCCCATGGATCAAATGATCCTTCTAATTCAAGACCTAAAGTTCCTAGAACAATTCCATCTGTATTTAACCATGGAAATCTTTTCTTTAGTACATCTTGAGATAATAAAGCAACTTTAGTTCCAGCATTATTCATAATTTGTACACTCTTTTCTAACGCTTCAGCTTCCTCTTCATTACGAGTAAGAAATAAATTTCCATGCGGACGATAACCAATGTCTATTCGAGGCTGTCCTCTGACACGTAAATGATAATTAATATTTTTAAAAAAGTCGGCGGCAAATTGTGACATTTCTATATTTTCGATTAAACCAAATTGCTGTCGTAAATTGTTAGAAGAGATAAGCATTGGCCTTGATAGATTCTGCAATAAAAAAGAAGTAGTTTGGATTTTATACATTTTGAATAATTCAACTTTATTTAGATAGCTTTTAAAGTTACCATAGGTTTTCTGTCAACAACAACAACACTCCAATTATCACCGCCCACTTTTTTTAGCCAGTATGCTGCAGAACAGCCCATTATACCACCTCCAATAATAAGCACATCAATATGAGAAGGAAATGATACTGAATCGGCTTCCAATTCTTTCCACGGTGAACGATATGGTCGTTTCCAAAAAAATACGTTGTTTCTAATCGTTCGGAATTGCTTACCCAGCACTCGGAATGCTCTGTCATATGCATCTTCTGGCTCCACTGGTGAAGTCCAATAACCATCAGGTTCTTTTTTGTTATCATAGGTATAAGTGTATTTCTGATTTACCTTATGCTATAAAATAATTCATACATTCGTCAAATAATTAAAAAACTCTTTACTACAAACATTCTTCAGTGATAAATATTAAATTCAATTACCTCTTCCTGCAAAACAGCAGAACTCTTGATTGATCTTGAACATATAGTGTCCAACGTTTTTTTATTTTGAATAATTCTTCGCAACATGATTAATACATATGATAATTAATTTCATGCAATCGAAGTATAAATTATTATTAATACATTTCCATGCTGAAATTCAATATTTTGGAGTTTATTTAATTGTAGTTGAATTCAATAATTATTAGAACCATAACCTTTGTTGCGGTAGATGGACTGTTTTATTTGACATCCTAACCTCTCCTGCCGTTCTCACATGGTAAACTTGTTTATTTATATCAGCTAACCACATGATACCGTGAACGGTAGACAATTTTTCTCAGAATTTTATGTGCTCCATAAAATAATCATTATTATTACATTGAAAAATGTTAATTGTTTATTATACGAGAAGATCTTCTGATAATAATATCAAAAGTAACCAATTAAATTATCTGTTGGAATGATTTCAAGGAAATAAACCTTTACTGATGATATCGTTTCATCGATGCATTTATGATTAATAAATTTTTAATTTTTGATATATTCCAGATGTTTTAACCTTTAAAAATTTAATTAATGAATGCAACAAGTATGGATTAAAGCATTGTCAAAATATTGTCAATAAATCAACAAGCAGATTACGTTGCATATGAAATGGGAAATTTGAATTTAGAATTCATTAGAAAGAGACGAACGTTAACATATAAATACACATAATCAGGCCTAGAGTTCTAGATGACTTATTTTGAATCTATTTTCGGCGATTTGGAATCCCAGCTGATCCCTACTTGAATGCCAACCACTTTTTTGTAGGCTCAATGATTTCCTATTTGTAGAAATACGAACAGTTTGCCAAGAACCACTATAACTGTTATTACTCAGTGTAATTTTGATGCAGCAGTCTAACGCTCGTTTTAAATATACAAAATTTAGATATTTAATTAAAAATCATTATAATAATTATTTTACTTGGTGCTATAGATAACAATTAATCTGGCGTCTCAAAATTATTGTTGGAATAAATCAATAAACAATGAATTAAAAGAGTCACTATATGTAAACAATCATGAAAATAACTGGTCTCAGTGTCCAATGTGCCATAGAACAATGCAAGAGCCTTGTCTTCTTGATTGCCTTCATCCAATTTGTTCCAATTGCATTGATGCATGTCTCAAAGTGGTACCACAAGGTATAAATATATTTAAAAAATATATTCTTTAAAAAAAAGTTAACAAAAAATCGCTATCAATTGGTGATGAAATGTTAAGACTCGCGACAATGGATTCAGGCTCCTTGGAATCTTCTTGGGCCATTCCAAGTCAAAGAGGATGTCCAATCTGTGATTACCCTTTGCCAACATCAAAATCACCGACACCTCCACCACATTATCCACTTCAGCACCGTCTTTTAATGAATGCTATCATAACAAGGCAACTTTTGTGCTACTGTGACACCTGTAACAATCAGCAAGAGGTAAGAAAATTCAATTAGTTATATACAAAAATATTTTAATCAATAAGCTAACACTTTCCTCATTGATTGAGCATAATAAATTCTTCCTAAGGCTTCTCTTCACTGTTCTACCTGCTTGCGGAATTTTTGTTTGACTTGTGGAACAAAACATCATCAAACTCGTGGAGTGAGAAGTGGAATCCATAAAGTTTGTCCACTCTATCAAGCTAAACGTTTTAGACGTACAACAGTGTGTCTTAAACACCCTGTACATCCAGTGCGATTTTATTGTATCGCTTGCCAGCAGGTTTGAATGCTTTTATATTGACTTGATAGTGATATTAGTAACTTATCAAGCAATTGTCGTTCAGGTGGCTTGCTGCGAGTGCATGTGGGGAGGTGAACATCGAGGCCATGCAAGTGAGGAACACACGGTAGCAGGCAAAACAATTTCTTCTCTATTAGCGAATGTTATCCGCAATGCCAAAAATCTTCTTGATAGATTGCTGCTTCGTTATACATTGAATTCATTCTCATCGAGCTATTCTTGTCGTAGCAATCATTCTACTCAACCGTATGCTGTCTATTGGTTATTTGTACTTTATTTTTTATCGATTCATCATTTATTTATTTACTCTCAGGAATCCTCAACATTGGCAAGACAAAGAGGACTCTTTATATACTAAAGAAGCTCGTCAAAGAATAGAAGAGTTCAATCGACTTAAAAATGCACGCTATCTTCTTGATGCTATTTCATTCACTGAACAGCTTCTTGCTGAAGGATCCTACGCAGAAATTTTAAGCTTAGCGAAAATTATTCTGAAAAGATTTCAAATGCTGGGTTTAAATAATCGATTAGGTAATTGTTAAAAATAATAAATAAAATATTAAAAATTAACTTAAAACTTACAAACATAATTTAAATTACGTTCAGATAATTCTTATCGAAATCATAATCATACGGGAGTATTCCATTGCTGTTCTTTCTGCTCGAGTGGTGGAAAAAAAGAGGCAACGTGTGCTTGTGGAAGAACGATGCCTGGTAAATAGTTTTATTAAATAAAAAAAATTAAATAATGGATAAAAGATTTATTTGATAAATAATGTTTCAAGGTGGCTACAGAGGTTGTGGCCATGGACACCCCGGACATCTTCATGTTAAACATTGGTCTTGCTGTGGATCAACAGATCCGAACAGTATTTGTTCGCAACAAGGTCCACAAAGACCGATCTATCGTTTTAGACTGTAATCACCAACTAATTTATTTAAATTCAATATCCATTGTAAATTATACCTAACAATCCTTGTATTTTCTTTCAATCGATATGTCTTTTATTATTTTTTTAATGACATTATCTAAATGCATAATACTATTCGATTGAAATTGAAAAAAAAATTTAATACTTTTATGACAAAAAATTGAAATTAATATATAATTAGATCGATATCTGAATAATAAAATAAATAAAAAATGTGAAGAAAAAAAAATTTGTTAATTTCTGTACACAATTTCAAGCATTATATACACTAATTATACCGGCATTAAAGCACATTTTCATTAATGTTTTCAAATGATCTTCATAATTAATTCCGTGTTTATTTTTAATTAAATGACGTTTTAAAGAGCTGTTAACTATTTCTCCTCGGCCGGGAATTTTCATTCGTACTTCTAAAGGATCAACCCATAAAGTATAACCAAGCCGCAGACAAACCTATATAAATAAAAACAATTATTAGTAATACCAATATTTTAAGTATTGATTTCACAATTAAAAGGTACCTTTGCTTGTAAAAAATTGTTCATTCGTAATTCCGTTTTAAACCATCGTTCAGTACATTCAGTCGCATAATTATTCCACTCAGTTTCTTGATCATAAGGTTGGATATTTGTTAAAAAAATTTCTACAATATACGACGGAGCTTTTGCTAATTCTTCAGGTAACTGAACAAGCTTACTAACCTGTAAATAATTAAATAAATGTATTTATTTATTTTTTTTTATAAAGAAATAAATTTTAATAATTACCCTTTGATGTTTGTAAACAAGTCCAGAATCAATACATCTTATGTCAACGACAGAAGGATTATTTCGATCATCATATTTGGTAATATTAATAACCTGCACCCTTTGATACTGATCGAAAGATGTATCATAGCCATAAAATCCACCAGCAACTATTGTCTTAATTTTTCTTCTGTTTTCTTTATTTGCATAAAAAGCAGAAACTTTACTAACAATGAAAGCATGATCTTTCTCTGATATTTTATATTCTTCTCTTTCATTATTTATGTATGCTAAAATTTTAGCAGAAAAATGAGTAGCACTGTGAATGTAAGTTATAATAAACTTGATTTCATCTCCAATTGATATTCCGCACGTGGGAGTATCAACATCAGAAATAAAGCAATGTCTATAAGTACATGTACTCAATGTTGAACAACTTCCTAGTGTTTTAATGTTATCACAAATAGCAAATGCTTTCTTCTTGTATTCAATGTTGATATAAATTTTTTCAAATGCACTCAATTGTTCTGATGAAAAATTATAGCCTGATCTTTGTACAAGATCTAAAACTCCACGAAGTTGTACATCATTTGAATCATCAATAAGAATAGTTACTTCACTTTTGGGTGATTTCTTCTTTAAGTTTGCCATCAAAGTCGAAAATCTAAAAAGAAAAGTACTTTTGCATGATACTGCAATTGAATAATGAATCAACCAATCTACATCAGTAATATTTAGATCAGGTAATACTTCATCGGTGCAAATTAATAATTTATACATCCCAGAAATACTGGCGCTCCATGAATCTTTGATTACAGATATATCTGTAAAAACCATTTCTGTATTAGCTAATAGGGTATCAAAATTGTCTTTTAAATATTCATTCAACTCTACAGCTTCTTCATCATTTGCACAAATAATCATCGTTTTCACCATTTTATAAATATTCCCAAGAAGTCCTTTAACTCTTTCTTTTTTCCTCTCTTTCAAAACAAGACGAGTTCTCAATTTCGTTCGGCAAAAAATAGCTGCATCTGCAAATGATCCTATGCAGATGTACGGATTATTAAAAATTCGTATGAATTTTTCAACATCCACAGACCAAGTTCTTGAAGTTGCAATAATTTGAACAGCCATCAGATCAGAAAGATTGTTTTGTTTAGTCGCAGCAACAGGAGTATATGTATATAACAATTGATTTAAAGATGTTAAATATTTTTTTATCATCATGTCTAAATTATCAATGACTAAATGACTGATATAATTAAATTTCAAAATTTCTCTATGATGTTCATCACTCAAATATCGAAGCAAAAATGGTGGAGTTGAGATAAAAACATGACACCCATTAAATATTTGAGCTGTAACTGATCTATCAGTACATCCATTATGAGCTGCAATTACTCGAATTTCTTTATAGTGATCTGGAAGTAGATCCATAAAAATTGCGTAAGTCTTCAAAACTTCTATCGATGTCTCGCAGAGTATTAAAACCAACGGAAAATTTTTCTCTTGATAATTCTTGATTTTTATTATGATGTTTGTGATGGGAGGAATAAATCCGAAGGTTTTGCCATGTTTTATCGGCGCAACTGCTAGCACATCAAATCCCTTAGCAATTGCTGACCACATGTGTGATTGTATTTTCCATAAATTATTTATTGATAGTTGTTTCAAACCTTTATGAACCCCTTTAGGATATTTTGCCTCAATAATATTGTTTAAAGGTTTGCATTCTAACTCACTATTTACGAAAATGTCATCAAACCCGAATCTTCTGTCTTTTATTTGACATTTTGAAATTTTATCTAAAATATCTTCACTTGATTTATCAGTTGTAGTAGAATCTTCCAAATTGTTAAGTTCGATGGAACTATTGGAATGTATAGTATTATTGAGACAACTAATAGCAACATAAGCATGTATTAATGCTTTTGTTAATGGAATTAACTTTTTATTTATAACTAAATGAAGTTCTCCATACTTTCTTTTATTCTGATAAGTCGACTGAATCTCAAAATAAACTGTTTCCGAAACAGATAATAAACTCTTCATCAAATCTATAGCTTCTGATGTCCACTTGGGCTCAATATTTAATTTTACGGGTTTATCTTTTTTGGAATGATACTTGGAAACAGGTAAAATATTATATAGACCAATAAATTCAGTAAGATAAGGGTCAGAAAGAATAGTCGGTGAAACTTCCATAAAAGCTTCTCGATTCATTTTAACAATATCTCCATAGTCTACTAAAAATGCTGAATACTTGGATTTTTTTTCATCGAATCCTGTTATCAACGCACGACAATGCCAAGCAGGAAGATCAACTTTGTCTGACATTTTTTTATGCACAATTGTCAGCTAGAAAACACCACAAACGCATTAGTTGAAGAAAGACATTTTGTCCACATGCTAAGTCTACGAAACAAAACAATACTTACTGTTCCAATAGCAAGCTTTGACTTGTTATCTTCCGTGCCTTCATTTAATTCTTCAATTCGTCTTGATTCAATCCGTAGCTTTTCATTTATTCGGCTGATAGTATTGTAAAAATTTTTTATGTTTGGAGTTATTAAAATTTTGTAAGGATCTATTGCTTTGTGTACTTTTACTTCTTCCGCATTGGGGGGAAAGAACATTTTTATTTTTAAGGCTAAAAAATTATTGTTATCAATAAATAATTATCAATAAACTTTTTTGTGTAAATAAAATTATATAAATATTTACCCATTATTAGAAGTTGTTTTAATTGCGACTTAATTTAATGTAAACTACCTAATGTACACAACTGCATTTGAAACAAAGGATTCACGAAAAATATTTAGAGATCAAAGTGCTTGAAAGATAATGTATACACGCGCTATTTCTGAGAAATCGGCTCTGGCATCAACTTCCAAATCAGTATGACAACTAAAGAGTTTGAAAACAAGTGTTACTAACCTAAAAATGTATTATTTACAACAGTGCGCGAAGCGCAATCAAATCGGTTGTTACTTTTCGCAATATAAATCAATTTTTTGAGATAATTTTTATGTTTTTTGTGTAAAAATCAATGTGACAATGTATATTTTTGATGTACAATATTTTATTGGAAATGTATATAAACAATGTAAAGCTATTTCAGTACCAAAGATTAATTTATCTCGATCACAAAAGGTAATCAATGCTTACATAGTAGGTTAGAGTTCATTCATTTATTAATTAATATTTATTATCAATTTTTTGTCAAGCACTGATAACAGAAAATTTATTCATTTTTAGATATTTATAATATGTTTGACTGGTGGAACTTTGTTATTAAGTGGTTTAGCTAAATATTTAAAAAGACGACGACGACCACCTCATCCTCATTTTCGTCGACCAACAATTAGACAACGATATATCAATACAAAGGGTTCAAATTTTGGTAATTAGATTATATTAATTGATACTTAAATGTGTAGGGATATCAATTATCCAGTTCAATACCCTTGTCCATCTGCTTTATTAAATATTTTGATCAATTTAGATGCGGTTTCACAAGTGTCATGGGCTAAAAGAAGTGAAGCCAGCACTCGAAGTCATATAAGTGACAGAGCTTCACTTGTTTCATCGATACCTGGTGGTCCCGAAGGTGATGTTAAACTTACTCCACAACAATACGGTGTTTTAGGTAAGTGACAAGAATTATTGTCATATTTGAACCCCTAATTTGGGTGAATATTGTGGTATTTTTACTACAAAAAAGAATAATAATACGATTATATTATTTTGAAATTTCAAATTTCTTATTTACGTTTACATAAATAATATAATTTAATTTTATTAACAATAGCAAAATATAAACAATCAAAATAATGACATAATTATTAATTACATAAATATATTTTTAAATTAAATTCAATTAATAATAATGGATATTTATATTCGGATTCCACACAACTTTTAAAATATTTAAATAATTTATAATTGTTAAAATTGATTTAAACAGATAAATAATAGGTAATTCAAAAGAATAATGTTGTGCAGAATAATTTTAAATACAAAAATTTTAATACAATTATTTTATAATTAATGTCATAGACAGATAAGTTAAGAATTAATTATTTTACTAACTAATAAATATTATTGAATCTTATAAATAAATACTGAAATATTTTGTTATCTTATAGAGATAAACAATTAACAAAAAAAATAAAAATAACATATTCATTTGTTTTCACTTAATAAAAATAACTAATAGCATTTTATTATATAACTGCCATCAATTTTGAATAATAAGCCCTAATTATTTTCACAATCTCTCATACTTTCTTATCCTAGCTTTATAAATATTACAAACTTCTGTAATTGTATCCCAATCTCAAAAATATAGTGTAGCTGCATCTCAATCTAAGCAACTACTTATTCTCTCTTATTATTTTTCCATCATGAACGTTTTACAATTTTCAAATATATAATATCATTAATAAGTTATTATGTTTTTTATCAACTATCACTTGACAAAAATTTTATTGAATCAGAATAATTATAATTGCTATTCAGCGAATAAAGGACTTTGCTAAATTACATTTTTAATTTGTTTAAAAAAAGATTGTTTCATTTTCTTTTCTAATTTATTTCAGAATTATAAATATTTTTTTGTGATAATTTTTTATTATTTATAACATTCTTTTATGTGAAATTATTTATTTATGTGAAGATTATAGATAATATTTATTTTATAAATATATATATATATATATATTGTAAGTGAGTTTCTAAACGGTTGATTTTGAATAACGGAGATATTTTTAAAAATGTTCATTACTTTTTTTCCATTGCCTGAATTATTATTTTTTTTCTTTCTTTCTTTCAGTAATACATTAGTTGCATTAACAATTATCTAATATATTACATACTTCTTGGCTTATTTTTGCTTGTACTTGACGTTCAGTAAGACTAGTTTACAATAATTGTAATAGATAATTTCTTAAACAGCTACATGTAAGAAGGCGTTGGGTATTTAAAACATATTTTTAATATTTTTGTTTTTTTTTTTGCATACACACAAATGCTTTAAACTCTCAAGCTTTCTCTTTTTTTTTAAAGGCAAGCATATAAATTGTTGTCTATAACGCATTCAACGTCCTGATTATTGATATTTTCATGCCAAATAATAACTATAAATCACATAGTTAAAATTCTTTTATTAAATTGGTAACTTTCACAAGTGTTTAAAGGCATTATTACGCCAAGAATTGTAAGAATAATATTTATATTTCTGTTATGTATGTATTGTTTGAATCTTTTCCTGAGAGAAAAAATAATTTCTAGCATTATAAATTATTATTAGTAGAAAATGTCATTCACAAAAATCGAATATATGTATGATACTTTTTTAAAGCAATTAATATATTAATTTATATCTTTTTTTTTAATCAATAAAATTATCAATTTTAAGCAAAGTAATTTATATCATTGGAAACAATCTTTGATTCTTTAGAATCTCGATATTTTAATCAAACAAAGAAGTACGAATATTATGAATAATTTATCAATAAATTATCCAATAATATTATTTTTTTTTTTAATAAAAAATAATTTATTTCTTATGAAAATCATCGTTTTTAAAACAATGAAAATATTACCATGGATTTAAATTACATTATTTTTCAATTATTTCAATAGAATTCTAATTAATGACAAATAAATTAGTCTCTTCACGTAATCCTAAAAATACTTGCAAAAATGGATGTTAAAAATACTACAATACTTAGTTCAGCTATATTAGAAAAGTCAGAAGCTGACTCTTCTTTGTTCTTTAATGACAATGGTCCTCTATCATCATTTTGCATTGAATTGTCAGTTTTTCTTGGAGGGATAATTGAATTTTCATCAAAGTCGTCTTTAACTATGTCTGATGTTGTACCAGAGAGTGTTGTTTTACTAATACTATCAGAATGACTTGTGCTACTGCTACTTACAACGCTGACACTTGAAGTGCTTATTTTTTTCTGAGTAACTGTGATGGTGGTCATATGTGAGGTTGGTGGGCTCAATGTTGTTGGGACGATACTTTGATTATTTATAAAATAAATAGGACTGAATTCTGGTCTGACGTTCATCATCGTTTGTTCCCTTCGTATTCCACTTATTTCCCTAGACCTAGTCTCTCGGTCTTCATAGTGAGACACTAGTTTCCCCATGTATGGTACCTCCATGTCTACATAGTTGGCCCTGAGTGTAACATTAACAGCTGTCCTTGCTTCAAGATAAATTTCGACCCTGTTTGTTGATAAAATCAAGTATAAAAAGTGATGAAATTATTTTTAGAGTTGATGAATAATGTTCATGTCTATCAAGAGACTGAATAAACTTACATAAAAAAGCTATTATGTAAATTTACTATCAACTCTGCACATTTATTTACTTTCTCACGCATTTTAAAAAGATACTTACGTGTATAAATCAGTACGATTGCCCTGCTCTCTCAAACCCCATTCAATATTAGGTAACCTTGTACCATTGACAAGTGTAATGGACGTATTTAGAGCTTTGATCATTGCATGACCCTGTCCCCAGTAACTCAAGTACTCATAGTCATAACTGAAGGCCTGGGCTAGTTTGGCTGGTTCATCACGATTATTACTAATAGTAATAGTTCCAAGTATTTGAGACTCATTCTTCAGAGTTCTCTTACGCCAATAATTTAATTTCACTGATGTTAAATCATAAAATATGGGCTCACTTTCAACTAGGATTTCACCAACCACAGCAGATCCTTCTTCTCCATTCTGAAATAAATAAAAATAAATGAATTATAATTAAATAATTATTCTAAATGATGATATAAAATGAATAAAAGACTTGAAATGAATCACAACGTATATAAAAAATAAAAATTAAATTGCCATTGTAACTGACATTTTTAACGTAATTTATTTTCCCAAGTCCAATTGTAGTATCAAGTGTGCCAATGTAGTGGGTGTAGGTTGAGTCAGTTTCATTATTATCTTCTTGTTTATTAGAGACAACATGTCTTGCAATGAATTTCCCGTCTGCTCCATCAGATACAAGAACTGTTCCTACAGGAATTTTATGAAATTTATCCCATGCAAGCCACCTCAATCTTGCTGAATTCTCGACATTTTCTAGCAAGTAATACTGGTCATGAGTAGAAGTGCTGCCTAGAAGTGTAACGGTGCATTGTTTCTTTCCTTTTATTTGACTTCCAGCCACCCATACACCACCATATAACACTCGACAGACAAACACTGGTTGCTCTTCATTCTCTACAGAACTGTCGGAGTCTTTTGAATTCATTCCATCTATAACAAACCATATTTTTCCAATTAATCCAAGACATCTTAATTTTTCTTCTCTACATAATAGGATTTTATTTTTTTTTAAATTTATTACTTTATGAAGATGATAAAAAATAACTAAGAATAGAAACTGTTACGTTAATATTTATGGCCTTACTGGTTTTTTCTTTCTTTTATGATGATGTAAAAATGGTGTTTGAATACCTTTTATGGTTTTCTGAAATCCACCGATAACAATCTCTTTGGAGTCATCACGGTGAGCAATAGGGAGCCAATTAAGTGTGCTAGAAGTCACAGGCTGATGAAGCTTGGAGTATATACGAACACTACTGTCGCCGGAAGCAAGTGTGATAACAAGTAGGATCATGAAGAGCATATTGCTCTGATAGATATAAGTATTAGACTTCATCTGAAAGCAGAAAAAAAATTCATTAATCAAGTTTCTTCAGTTCGAGAGTCTTTCTTTTGATAATGAATAAAATTATCTTTGATAAACTAGCTTCCAATAATTATTAATAACAACTTTATTAAGAAAAAATATTCCATGACTCAACTTTAACTTGAAAATTTACTTTTTTATGTGAAATAATAATTTGAGATAAATTTATTTCAGGTTCGTTAGACGTTGAAAGGTTACTGAAATATAAAAGAAATACAGTCTGCAATATTAAAAGACATAAAGTGAAATGAAAGTCAAACACTTTGTGTACTGGTTTTGAAATGTCAATTGTCCACATATTTTTGAAGAAAGAAAAATATTTTTTACTTCAAATTAAAATATTCATATCGCTGACTAATATGAATATTAGTAACTGAGCTGGTTTTTTTTACGATAAGTCAAGAAATCTGAGCTTGGTTCTCATAAAAAGACATTTAAAAAATATGAAACTTCCTAGCCATCATCAAGCTTTAGCTAAAAAATTTTTTTTTTTGAAGCAAAAAAAAAATCAAGAAGTTTTATAGGATTTTCTTGGATAAAAACCGGAAACGGAAGAAAATTTACTGATTCGCAATACGATTCTGTTGGTCACGGAACATGATGCAGTGGTAACGGTGCCTAGTTCCGTAGTGCCATTAAGAGATACATGTCGATATAATAAAGTTATTCACTCTAAGTACTAAGGCTATATGTCTAGGAAGCTTTTAGAAACCTTGACCAAGTATGTAGTTCACTTAAGAAAGCTTTAAACTATTAACAATTGACGCAATCAGTTTGCATCAACTGATGACCCGTGACCACTTGGCGCCGTTCTACATCCTGGTTACCTGTTTCAAGGCAAAAAGGATGCTTTAAAATCAGTGCACAAGAAATATAAAACAACTTGATGCCATGAATTCAATGCTAAAATACTTTGTGGTGATTCATCAATCTTCTTGATAACTATCTAAAGCTAAATAACATTTTTTAAACTCTATTAAATCGAGAAATACTTATTTCTAGTTTAATTTGTTCAAGTACTACCTGTTTACACTATTTATACATGATAGTTTTATCTTGATTATATTAGCATAAATTAAAATCATACCACTGTTGTTAATTATATAGCACAACACTCCAAAGTGTTTTTGATCTAAAATGTCATAAATCAACTGCAGCTTTAGTAAAAATACTCTTATGTAATGGCTATAGACTATTTGTGTATAACTAAAGTCTTATTCGGCATAAAAATAGCATAAAAATCGGATTGTTTTAATTGAAAAGACCTGTTTCAGAGATTGGAATGGAGTTAAAGTTGATTAGAAATTATTGATTTTATTCAGCTTTTTGGTAATCTTTGGTGCTGTTGATAGAAGCACTCTAATTAATTGTTATAAAAATATTTATATTATTCTAGGATTTATATTGAACTGCATTACATAAATAAAGTCAAAAGAAAAACAAATTTCATCTAGCTGGGGATAAAGTTCAATAAATTTCCCACCACTTGATATCTTTATTCAGGATAAAACTTCTCTGTTATGAATTAGGTCAAACTCGTGGAGAAATAAATGAGTTTTAAAATTATTCGGCTGAGCAAAAAATTGATTAATTATGTAGTGACACAACTGGGCTAATGCAGCAAAATTGCTGTACACAAAAAAAAATACTTCTATACATGAGAATAAGAATATTATTATTTTATCACGGATTAAATTGAATAGCAATAATAATTGATGTTTCAAAATCATAACTGTTGCTGATGTATGATTTCATTATTCATTCATGATTGAAATGAATTTTTTCTCCAGTCGACTTCACATCCACTTGATGTTACTTGGATATTTCAATCTCTGAATTACCATTGTTCCAGTCAGCTATCAATTAACCATGGGTTATTGTTCGATCATTATTATTATCATAACTGTACAGATTATTTGCCATGTTCAAACATTATAATCTTTGATGCTTCAGTTAAATCTACAATAATTATAGAGATTATTTTGGATCCAATGACCTCATTTATTCACCATTGGCGTTAAAGGTTGCAAAGTGAATAAGATCTCTGTTTAGGATCTGAAGGAGTTTCAAATTCATCTTCTTGATGGAATAAAATATTTCCAACGAATATATTTAATTAACCCAATGAATTATTTAGCTAATAATCATCTATGAATATTTATCAGCAAGTAAATTAGTTCATAATAAATAGATAGCTAATTATAACCCAGGATGTGTTTGAATTTTTCACCGACAAAGTGAATAATTATCTTGCTGATGGAAGTGAGCAACTAGAGTCTATTTTTACTGATTGAACACCTTTCGTGCCCTCCCAGGGGTAATGCAATTTAGTTATTTTTTAATTAAATAAATAAATGAAAAGTTTACTTAAACAGGATAGAATAAATTGAACGGTAAAATAGAGTAGTTTGAAAATGAGAGTCAGGTCACAATATTACCACGCTTGACCTATCTCTGTAATTGACATTGAGCAGTGATGAGTTAACGAGCACTCTCTCGGGTCATTTTAAGTGACTTTATACGTAGTCCAGGGGTCGATTCTGATGCATGCTCTACGTAGGCGGTACCAGGCATACATGAGAGGTGACTTATGTATCTAGAATATAATAGGAGAGTAATGATATACCCATACCCATACTCATCATACCCCATCTACTCTACACCTAACTACATTACACTAAGGCATTCTCCATTTCTGTGTCACTCTCTCATTAAATTCCATCACTCAATCAATTTATCTACAACCATATGCTCTAATACACATATTCGTTTAATAAGTCACTTTTTTTTTTTAATTTTTATTCTCTATTCTTTTTATAGCTAGCTTACTTGTAAACTACATCTAATTGTTGTTCATTATATTACGCCATGAAGTAATAAGATTTGCTATGGAATTGATTTTTAGCCTTCATCACATACTGTTTATCAAGTAAATTCTTTTTTATTCCTTCTAAAAGAATTAATAAAGCACTAGGCAATTTATTTTAAATAGAATTAAATTAAATTATTGAATGGCTTTTGTTCTAAGCCAACAATTGTTATTAAATTTTTTTCATCAAACCTTTTAAATAGAATACTCCAAAATAATTTGCCTTTTCAGTGAGCACGAAACCATTTTTTTTTTTCTACTTGGAATAATATTCTTTCAATTGTGGTTTTTTATTTTTTCATTAACTCAACACTGGTCACGTTTATGCACTGGTGCACTTTTTCAATCAAGAATTCACTGATTAAAGGAAATAGTTGATCAAGATTATAGTGTCAGTGGTGTCGTTGGGAAGAATCCACGTCCTGTTTAATCGAATAGCATCCACGCAATGTAATGTTTTCTATTGATTCTGTGCCTGCTGCTGAGAGGGGAATTATCCTGAGGGGCTACGAAACTCAACTTGCCTCCCTTTCAACCCCTCTCAATACCTCCCTTTACCTCAAGGTCAGCCCCTGGCAATCAAAATACACTGAACTCTATATACACTCCAACGCTCTCACAGTCACAGGTGCACAAGTTAACGATGCATCAGCATTTTATTTTTTTTTTTGGTGATGACTTATCTACTTCCTACTTCCCAAAGAAAATAAATTCATCAAAACCATCCATTGAGAACTGGTATTTCAATTTGACTATGACGTAAGAGGTATTTTTTTTTTCTGAGTTTATCCTGTGAGGTAGAACTAGAATTGCCAGGAATTCGAGATTCTATGTCAGTCGTTCTACACGACTGGATATTGAAATAGTATATAGATTATTTCACTTAATTGGATTAAGGTTCGAATGAAACCATGGGAATGTATACAAGTGTATTATTTTAATGTTTTCATGAGAATCAACAAGATTTAATTAGAGACCGGTATATTTACACTTGGAATCATTCCGAATGATTAATCATTGGCCTTGAAAGATACTAGGATTTTTAAGAGCTATTTCTTTTTGATCATTATTAGATGCTTGCAATGATTTTGGATATACTTATGATAATGAAGTTTAGTTGTAATATAAATTAAGTTGAACTGGAGAAAAATACAATGATCTTGAGTCATCTAATATACTCTCAAGAAGTTGTGTGTACGTTAGAACTTTAATGAATTTTTTCTGTCTTCCTTGCTACCCTTAATTTCATTTAATTGACTTAGTCACCAAAGTCTGGAGGTTTTGGAGTAACTTTAGCAGTGTCATTCACATATTTCTGTCAATCTTGGATTATTATTGTGCTTTATAATTACTTATGCCGACAAATTGTAAGTTAAATTAATTTTATTCAATAGAATCATCATTTGATAGCCATCAATACCTAGGATCAAATTGACAACTGTCCTATCAAATGTTATTATTGAAAGAGAAATGAAAAATGATTGGTAATCAGGGTTCAAGTACTTACAATAACTTATTTTATGTAGAATCACGTTGCAAAAAAAAATCCTGGTGATGTAATAAAAATTTTGAACATGAATGATTAAAAGTAAAATAGTCAAACCGGCTTGATCAGAGGTCTTGGTGTTAAAGTTTTTGAATAAAAAGATCAATTAACACGTTAGACACAAGAACATTGAGAAAAATAAATCGTGGTACATTTACAAAGCAAGCAAATGCGACTGACGCGAGAACCTTTTTGGCTTAGCTCTACTCCTGGCGGTTCTATTCGTTGGATGACCGTTATCTTTCCCTTTCTTCCTTGAAGCCAGATCCCTACTCTAACTTCATTGACTATCCTTTTTTTTCATACATTAAAGTCGCTAATATGAGCTCACTCTGATACACTGAATGACCCTCTGTTAGAGCTCAATGACAGGCACAACACAGAGTTTTGTTGTATTTTTTGTCGTTGGCAAGGAGAGAAAGTGTAAATGCGTACGATATGCAAAGTAGAAGGTACAGGAATCGACGTGGAACTGGTGTTTGTTGGATTGAATGCACCGATGCGCGCGTTTCTCTTGGTGTGCGAAGTAGTTGGGGGCTGGTATGGAATAGAAAAGGGTGCTGTAGAGGGAGAAAACACGAGTCTGCGCTTCCCCTAGACATTCAGTCTATCCGATATCGACCCCTCCCGTGCCCCATTCGATGACACATCCTCCCATGCGAATTTTCAAAAGCATTACGTCACATGCGTTGTGGTATTGACGCCGACCAAGAGACTCCAGTTCACCGGGATCTCATCTAAGAGTTTAGTTACTCTTCAAGAAACTTTTCTTCCTTACTATCCATTGTAATTAACTACTTTTACCAGGCCATAGGAAATGATTACTATCACTAGTCTCTTTATTCTTCTTTCAAATGAATTCCTGATTTTTCAACATGATATAATTAGCTTTCGAATAAATTTCATTTTTCCATTGTTATTTATTCAGTAGGCTTTGAATTTGTTGAACAAGTTAATTATTATTTAGTTTTATAACCAAACACTCCAATGACAAAGCCATAAAATTATTCTTATTGATAATTTATGCAATAACATATTACATAAATTTGTATTTAATGACTTTAAAAACGACGACGAGCTTGAAAAACCGTTAATTTATTTAAAATCTTGAAACTGAAGAATATTTTTATATCTTGGATCTTTGATAATTTTTTTAAATTTATTAATGCTTCGTCACGTAATTTATTATATTCTTATTATTATATACTCTTTATTCAGTACAATATAATCTTGAGATTTTAAAAATGTAAATGTTTCTTTTTAAACTTCACCAGTTTCTTATTTATGACCAGATGCTTGATATTCTATTATGACCAGATTGAATTATTGTACAGGTTTAGAGGCATTGGAGAAGGCACTTTATTGTTGGGAAGATGCTCTTACAGCATTCAGTTGCACTATTGGTACTAATGCACTCGCGCTACCATCAAAAGCTGATGCTGCTTTCACCCATGATGTTCAAGAACTCCTTGATCTTGGTTATCAAATGCAGAGCACTGCTGAATTATTATTCATTGATCAGGTAGTCCAGATAATATATAAAAACTTGTCCAAAGATTAGCTATAATGATATTAAATAATGTTGATAATTGAGTTCATCAATTCACTACTGTTACCAAAGAGATCACATTGTGCAAAAAAAAATGAACTCATTTATATTATGACATCGTTCTCATTGTTTGATGAGACGTAACATCATTTTTGTGGTAACTTTGTGTCAAGGATAAACCAATTGGTTTCTGTGTATGCTCAAAGCCATTTCTTTTGTATATTTACAGCATTCGGTGCTTTTCTGCAACGATAGTGACGGAAGTGAGGCGAGTCAAAGGCGTGCATCGACTAATCGTTCATTTGGAAGAGAAAAAGAAAAGGCTGATGCTGCATCATCACCCGAATCATTTGCATCTGCTAAAGATGGGGTAATTCTTCAACAAAAAAAAAAAATAATAAAATATTTAGAAAATCATCAGAATAATAATAGTTATAAAAAGTAAAAGTGTCACATAATATTTGAATAAATCTCTCAATTGTACCTCCTATTTTCTTTCAGGTAGCAGATCTAAGAGAATTCGAGGAATATTTTGAATTTTTCCCCCATTTAGAGCAACAAAAATTATATCATGCAGCACTGAAACAGCATGAGGACAAAAGCATTCCATGCAGGTAAACTATGGATTTTCATTGGAAATAGATAATTCGAATTCTATTATGTCAATCTATTGAAATTAAGTATCGATCGTCTTAATTTTTTTTTTATTATCATCATTATTATTTATTATTATACCTTTTTTTACTTTGTTTGTCGTGATTCAAGTCTTTTCCATTTTTTTTTTTACTATTCAACAGGCGGCTTCATACAGAGCTCGTAAAGTGTGGATCGGACGTAGAACACGTAGCAAAGGTTCACTGTTTACGTCAAGCCTATTCTAGACTTTTTACAATGCCTGGTGCCGCAACCTGGATCGCTGACATTGGTCGGCAGATCATCAGTGATTTAATTGTCTATGCGGATAAGGTATGCTTTCTGAAGGATGTGCTTGAGTTATGTAAATTCAAAAATGTCAACAATCACAGTATAAAAAAAAATTAATCCATTATTCATTTGAGTTACTTACAAGCAAATAATCATTATTAAAATATAAATAAATTGTTGAATAAATAAATAAACTAATTATTTTCCAGGATCCAGAAGAATATTTAATTCATTATGATAACATGATGGAATTCTTGGCCAATCCTAGTAGTTATAAAATAATGCATGAAGAATTAACAGCACGAGGTGTTAAATGTATCAACTTCTATGATGTCCTAATCGATTTTATACTTTTGGACGCATTTGATGAAGTTGATAAACCACCATCATCCATTAAAGCCATTCTGCAGAACCGCTGGATATCTGCCAGTTTCCGGAAAACTGTAAGAAAAAAAATCCATTAATCATAGTTGATGATGTTTATGATACTTAAAAAACGTAGCTTTTTAATGAGTACTTGGAAATGATTATTATTGATTTTTTTTAAGGCAATCGGGACTGCAGTTTGGTCAATTTTAGCTGGAAAAAGACAAATGCTCAAGTATAATAAAGGATTTTTAGCTCATTTTTATTTAATTTCTGAGCAAGTATCTCCTGTGCTAATTTGGGGATTCTTGGGACCCGAGGGAAGTCTAAAGTCAACTTGTCAATACTTCCGGGATCAAGTGATAGAATTTTTAGTAGATATTTTCAATTTTTTTAAAGTGAGATATACCAATGTCGATGAACTTGCGGAAGATATATGGAGGGAAATGAAGACAAGGGTTGAGAATATAAATCAACGACTTGCACTTGAGGGATGTTAATAACCAAGTAATTGAAAATATTAGTCATTATATGGAATAGTAAACACGAATCAAAGTCGTATAAATAAAATAGACTGTCATGTGTATCGTTGTTGATTCAATGAAACTGCCAGTTATTATGAGAATTATTTAAACAATCTATACGTAAATTTAGCTGATCGTAACTATTTAATCATGTTGAATAATTATTTAATACAAATTGATATAACCAAAAGCAATAATATCAAAAAAGCACATATATTCCAACGCATAAATATTTATCTCGTATTTAATTATAATATCCAGGGATGATTAGCAGCTAATCAATTCTCAGGAACTGTGGAAGATTATTTAATATATTGTATATGGATGTATAAATATGTATTGATGTACAGAAAAATGAGGGAAAGAATTTTGTAACCAATGGATCTGTATTATACACATAAAAAAATAGAAAAATCTGTCAAAATTATTGGTAAAAACTTTATGTTTTTTTTTACCTTTTGTTTATGTGGTAATTAATCATATAAAATATTATCCCTTTCGTCATCTGACTCATCATCATCGTCTGATGACCAAAAACCTGCTGGCATCAATGCCTCACGAGGTTCTTTATTTTCTTGTAAACCATCCCATGCTAGAAGAATTAAATGATTTCATAAGAAAAATGAATTGAAAAAATTATTTAAATAAGTTAAATATATAAATTTTGTTTACACGCTTCGAAAACATCTTCTGTGTTAAAGACTAGCTTTATATCGTCATATTTCTCTGGATCAGCCATTATTTGTGGGGGTTTGGATCGATGGTATTGAAGTCTTGGCCATTGTAGAACTGAAAATCATACAAAAGATTAAATTTTAATTAATTTTATAAATTAATCAAGTATTTTAGTAATAATAGTTTCTACCTACATTTGTGAGCTTTCGGTATGTGTATTCTTATTTCTCGTTCCAGGTTTAGGTTGATTATTTTTCCGGGAATGATAGCTCCAAAAAAATATAAACATAAGTAATAGGATTTATCTTCATGGATCGTACTAAAAAAAATTAGTTGATAACTTTGAAGAATTTCATCAAATAAAAACAAATTATTGTGGTATTGAATTACATTTCGACCGAGCATCAGGTCAGTTAGAAATTTTATTAATACATGAAGATTTAAATATATATAGTTAATCGTTAATTTGATACACACCTATATCTGATATGATCGAAATCCACGAATAAAAAGTATTTGTTTACATTAGCTAGCATAATCCGTAGCACAATTTTATTATCAGTTTGATACCAATATACTGTGGGAGTTCGGAATTTATTTGTAAGTAACGGTAATTGCATTTTTAATTCCTGCGGATTTTCTTCTTCAGGCTTCATTTTTTTTTTTTGCTTTCAGTAACAATTGTCAGCTTTAAAAATGTATGTCAAAATATCACTTGTTTATCTTTAAAAAAGGGAAGCACGTGTTGATTCAAAAAAAAACTTTATCAAATTTAGATATAGAGGTCACTTTTGACATAACCTCAAGATTATTTTCAACAATAAAATCGCGTTATAAAAAATGTCGATCATTGAAAATGCATCAAAAAATTACTTTCCTCAAGGGTGTGCGTTGTTCCATGATGTTTTCTGATGAGATATGGTTTGGTTGTATTCGTCATTGTTGATAATAAGTTTTTAGAGTGAAGTGAATTTTGAAATTGCCAAAAGAATGTCGCAAATTGATGATAAAAAGGATACTCCTGGCACAGGATTTCGTAAAATAGATATCGATGAGTATAATGAAAATAATTTTAAAGAAGAAGATGCTGATGGAGGATCAGGGCCTACCGGTCCTGATGAAAATGAAATTCTAGCACTACTTAACCAATATCCTTTTTCAATACTATTTTTTTATAAATTAATTAAATAATTTTCTGATTTCTAATAAATAAAATATTTTATCAATTCCAATGAATATTTTAAATTTAGTATTATTCAAATAGTATTTGCCTTAACGGATATATCCAAAGGAAAACATGCAGAAGCATTAATTACTGCTTTGAAAGCCGCACCACTTGGATCTAAAAATCAACAGGTCAAGGTAAATGTTGGGAACTATTTACATAGTAATATACAATAGTGATTAGTAAATAAAATCAATATATTTTTCTAGGATAATGCAAGGAACGTGATACAAAAGGTACTTCTAAGTATAAAATCAAATCAAATGGACGACTGTCTAGCTCAACTCGACAGGGATTTGATGGATGTGTTGATGAAATATATTTACCGAGGTTTTGAGATACCATCAAAGGATAGCAGTTCACATTTATTAATATGGCATGAAAAAGTGTACAGTCTCAGTGGAGTTGGTAGTATTATCAGAGTATTTACTGACAGCAAAAGAATTTAAAAACAAAATTTCTATTATTTAAGCTCAATAAAAAAGTATACATTAAAGTGAAAAATCAAATTCCACATTTTTTGTTAACATTATATTCAACATTTCTCTTTATTTTATATTTTAATATTTTATTCTTTTGTATAATTATGATTATAATATAATATGTATATTTTTTTAATATAACGATTATATAAGAAATAACACGGTAAAGCTGTAATAATGAAAAGTACAAATTAATTTTGTTACCCTGAATCTTGAATATTATATTTGTCTGGCTATTATTCTCCACAATCATGATCCGAAGATCAGGCTAAATTGTAAAACAGTGTAGAAGACAAAAAAATAATTATTGTTTATTCACATTTGTGTTTGACAGTTCTCATCATCACATTTGTTTGTCGGATTAAAAATAATGCACTGATGAAGACAGCTTTGGCTCTGAAATTTATAAAAAATAAATATTATCAATTTATTCAAAGTTATTCAAATAAATTAATTATCAAATTTTAATTAAAGTTTAACTTACTGTCCTTCTTTGAAATACTCTTTTAATGTATTACTAAAACGTTTGCTGCATTTAACAAACTCTCTTTTACGTTGATCGAGAGCTTGTTTACCTGAAACTCCAGGTATAAATGCCGTGACCTCATTTACGGCATCTAAGAGTTTTTTGATTGCGCTTGCAATTTCCCTGGAAAAAATAGATTTAATTAATTCAATTCCATTAGAATCATTATATAAATGGTGAAAGTATTAATTTTTATAACAACTCAACCAGATTATTTATGCATAAATGTCAATAATTCATACTTAATTGTTTCTAAAAATGTCTTTCGGTCGGTGATTTCATCAGGAATTCTGCTTAGTATTCTTTTTAATGCTGCTGATTTACGATTGAGCTCTTGGAATGCATCTTCTGACCTGGTTGAGCGATATTCTGCAGAAATAAATCATAGTTAATTTAATAGACTCTTAAAAAATATTTTTAGACTATTTGTTGTTGTTAAAAATAAAATATCCACCATCACAGTCAGTTGCTGCTCCTTGTAAACGAAGTACACTTGCATTCATGTCAAGACTCAGCTCTGCTCTTCGTACTATTCCTAGTAACAGATCATATGTGATTCCTGGATGAGCATTTTCTGCTTTGGATAAAGCAGATTTCAATGTTTGGGCTGCTATGACATTCTGAGTCTCCAACTAGCGTAAAAAAGAATTGTCAGTTAATTACAAAATTTTTAATTTAATTGAAAAATTATAATTAAAATACAAAATTAAATGTAATAAAGGTCTTACTGCATTTAATAAGTAAATCAGTACAGCTTACCTTATTTAATATCGGTCGAAGTATCACAGGGAGAACAAGTGATGTAACTGGAGTCTCATCTCCCATTGTCATCCTTTACGTAAAATCGAAATTTTTACAATGAAAACTCAAGTGAAAGAGTAAAAAACTTTCCTTACACTTATTAAATTATTATAGTAATTATTAATTTCTTAAAAAATATTTAATGTTTTTCCTTTCGACTATGTTTAGGGCTCAAAGAGCTTCAACAAGTCGTCAACAAAAATAAATTATCACTTCATTTCACTAAATTATTTTTCCTTTTCACTTGACAGCTGTCATTAAACAGTTAATCTACTACATGAAAAGGAGGTTAAGCAAGTACTTTGCATAGACATGTACATGTACTATCTAGCTATATATAGTATGTAAACATAGTATATACCTGTACAGTGTATTAATCAACGGAGTGGGAGATTAGAAACTTCAAAATAAGTGTTACTCCAGCTTTTACTAGAAGTAAAAAAAAATTATTGAACAATCTAACTAAATTAATAATATCAAATAATTATAACCTCTTTTTTTTTTCATTTACCTTCACTACTTGCAAATTTTAAAACCCTCAAAAATCTTTACTGCAGCATTTTTGAAAATTTATAGATAATTTATGCGCAAGTTCATGTGTTGCGCATCTTCTAACGTGTGCGCTTATTGGTTAGTTTGTGTCGCTTGTTGCGATACAGTCACCAATGAAGCTTCATGCGTACTGGACCCAGATTGTACCGTGAAAAACATTGAGCCGACTATCTAACCTAGTTCGGATCTTTATTTTTCTATTTAAACTTTATTTATCAATTAAAACATTGTTTTTTATTTGATAATAATATTTATTTTGAGTGTAGTGGAATATTTAGTCTGAAATTAAAATAATAGGTTATCATCATGCCTCAAAAAGTTGATTCGGAGGGGAACGTATATGTTTTTGTAAGTAAACCATTCATAATAGTTGCCTATAATTACATAAAATTAATTTGTATTTATTATTTTAATTTTTTGTCTTTTATAGAATGATGAGGATTTACCTTACGAAGAAGAAATTCTACGTAACCCCTATTCTGTGAAACACTGGGCTCGATACATTGATCACTTAAAGAATACAAAAAGTCCCAACATCAACATCGTCTTCGAGAGAGCTCTTAAAGAGCTTCCAGGTAGTTACAAATTATGGTACAATTATTTATGCCATCGAGTAAATCAAGTAAAAAATCGTCGCATTGATGATCCTCTGTACGAAGATGTTAACAATGCATTTGAACGTGCTCTTGTTTTTATGCATAAAATGCCTAGAATATGGATAGATTATTGTTCATTTATGACAAAACAATGTTTTATAACGAGAACTAGGCATATTTTTGATAGAGCTTTGAGAGCTCTTCCCATTACTCAGCATCATCGGATATGGCCGCTTTATTTGGACTTTGTTAAAAGCCATAATATTTCAGAAACAGGAATTCGTGTATTCCGTAGGTATTTGAAGCTCGCTCCAGAAGATACAGAAGATTACATTGAATATCTGATCTCCATAGACCGCCTTGATGAAGCTGCGATCAAACTTGCTCAAATAGTGAATCAAGATGACTTTGTATCAAAGCATGGGAAATCTAATCATCAGCTCTGGTCAGAATTGTGTGATTTAATTTCTAAAAATCCGACGAAAATAAAATCGTTGAAAGTTGATGCTATTATCAGAGGAGGTTTAAGAAGATACACAGATCAAGTAGGATCACTGTGGAATTCTCTGGCAGATTATTACGTCAGAAGTGGACTTTTTGAACGAGCTCGTGATATTTATGAAGAAGCTATACAGACAGTGACAACAGTAAGAGATTTTACCCAAGTGTTTGATGCTTATTCTCATTTTGAAGAATTGATTACTGATAAACGAATGGAAGAAGTTAGCAATAATCCTAATTCTGATGAAGATGATGATATAGAGCTGGAGTTACGGCTAGCGAGACTTGAACATTTAATGGAACGTAGACCTCTTCTTCTAAACTCAGTTCTTCTTCGTCAGAACCCGCATAATGTTCAAGAGTGGCATAAAAGAGTGAAGTTATATGAGGGACAGCCCCATGAAATCATCAATACCTATACCGAAGCTGTGCAAACAGTTCAACCTCATTTAGCTGTTGATAAACTTCATACACTATGGGTGGCATTTGCCAAATTTTATGAGGAGAATGATCAAATATCAGATGCTAGAGTGGTATTTGAAAAAGCAACTCATGTTCCTTATACAAAGGTTGATGATCTAGCATCAGTTTGGTGCGAATGGGCAGAAATGGAGATTCGTCATGGGAATTGTATTGAAGCTTTGAAGTTAATGCATCGAGCAACAGCTATACCATCAAGAAGAGTAGCTTATTATGATGAAACAGAGACAGTTCAAACGAGACTATATAAATCATTGAAAGTGTGGTCGATGTATGCTGATTTAGAAGAAAGTTTCGGGACTTTTAGAACTTGTAAAGCAGTTTATGATAATATAATCAATCTTAAAATTGCTACTCCTCAGATTATCATCAATTACGGTCTCTTTTTAGAAGAGAATAATTATTTCGAAGAAGCTTTCAGAGCTTACGAGAACGGAATTGCGTTATTCAAGTGGCCAAATGTTTATGACATTTGGAATACATATTTAACTAAATTCTTGAAAAGATATGGAGGTAGTAAGCTAGAAAGAACGCGAGATTTATTCGAGCAATGTCTTGAACATTGTCCACCTAAATACGCCAAAGTCTTCTATTTATTGTATGCTAAATTGGAGGAAGAACATGGATTAGCTAAGCATGCTATGAAAGTTTATGAACGTGCTACAAATGCTGTTCCTAATGAAGAAAGGTTTGAGATGTTTAATATTTATATCAAGAAGGCTGCGGAAATTTATGGTGTTCCAAAGACACGCGAAATTTATAAAGAAGCTATTGAAGTATTGAATGATGAAAACTCAAGAGAAATGTCGCTGAGGTTTGCGGAAATGGAGACAAAGCTTGGAGAAGTTGATCGAGCAAGAGCTATCTATGTTCATTGCAGTGAAATATGTGACCCCAGAGTCACTTCCCACTTTTGGCAAGTCTGGAAGGAATTCGAAGTACGACATGGAAATGAAGATACAATGCGAGAGATGCTGAGAATTAAAAGAAGTGTTCAAGCAATGTATAATACTCAAGTCAACATGATGTCAGCACAGATGTTGAGCAATGTAAATATTTCTCAGACTTCTGATACTCCGGTAGATGCTATGAAAATGCTGGATAGCAAAGCTGGTGCTGATACTAATACTTCAGTGACTGCTAGAGGTGCTATTAGCTTCGTTCGTGGAGTTACTGAAGGTGGAGCTGCGAATAATAATGCTAAAGTTAGTAATCCAGATGAAATAAATATTGATACGGATGATACTGATAATGAAGAAGAAGGAGAAGAAGATGTTGAAGAGGAAGATGTGCCCGTCAAAAAACGAAAAATTCCTTCAGAAGTCTTTGGTGGACTGAAGTCCAATGATGATGAAGGCGAATAAGATAATTTTTTATACATAATAAAGAATGTAATGTTATCGAATAAAATAAATTTGTAATTAGCTTTTTTCAAATCTTCAATGTATTTATTTAAGGATTGCTTCTTGATCAAATCCTCATATTTTATTATTTTAATATCTACCAATTGTATTTTAAACAGTGAAAGTGATTACTGATTTAGTAAATTAAATATGAATTCAATCAGGTGTAATAAAAAATGTAAAACAGCAAATAGCATTCGTGATAACTATTTGTGGAAACTACTGGTGATGAAGTAGCTTTCAATATTGAATGGACAGAAGTATTTCATTGATTGAAATCCATTTTTTTATAAATAATAAATAATGTAATATTATTAAATAAAATAAATTTGTATTATCATTAAATTGTTATTTATTTATATTATTTATATTTTAAATTTACAATCGAAAATAATTAAATGGTATAGCGGGGTGGGTTTAGAAAATGAACATCATTGAATACTTCTGAAGAATCACTTTCTGTATGTCCATTCGTAACCAAAACTCTTTTCATACCTCCAAAAAATATTAGTTCACCTTTTCCTAATATAAATGAGTATAATATTCGTTCTTCTGGACCTTTTTGTGCACATTTACTCTGCTTAACCCAAGTTGCTATTCGATCTTCACATAATACATTAGCTATATTTAATACAAATATTGATAATCCATTTACAATTTTTTTCCGTTCATTACGACGTCGATACTCTTCATTTATTTTATAAATATCATCTAAAAGTTTCAGACGGTTCAATCCTATTCTATTGACCCCATGATCAGGATGAAATGCAGCCATTGGTCCATTCCAATTATTCCGTTCAACAACAATTCGTACTCTTTGACGAGGCCTATGTCTATCTGTTGATGATCCTGGTGGTAAATGTCGTTGTCGATTCTCTGGTACATTGTGTTGCTCAACTGGTATGTTACGTTTTACTTCCGGCTGTTTGCAATTGTCTACAAAAGCAACTGGTCCATAACACATCACTCTCTCACTAGTACTTCGTTCTTTATTTTGATTCTTTGTTTTTCTTTTACTTAAAATAATTATGTTATCTCCAACTTTACATGCTGGATGGCACCAAATCATCATGGGAGCCCATTCATTGCCACTTATTTTAATTTTAGTCCAAGTCCAGTCGGGGTTTGACATATTCAGTAACCAAACATCATCAATTCCAACATTTGGAGCTGTACAACCTCCGAGAATCAGGAGATTTTTGTCATTTAAGGGGATTTGTGAGTGACCGTAACGAGGTTGGGGTTTCGGATCAGGAGTTGATTGTTGGTACCAGGAGTGAGTATCTAAATTGAAGCACCAAATGTTATTTGAAGATCTAGAAGAATTAAATGAATAAGAATAGATTGTTAAGAATATTTAAACCAACTATTTTAAAGATTAAATATAACTTTACCGTAAAAAATCACTTATTCCTCCAAACACAACCATAATATTGTCATGGACTGATGCAGAATGAGCACAAGTAGCTGGTGGACTATTCAATGTTTCAATAGCAGTCCATTTGTTTGCTGTTATTGAATAAATATGAAGTTCACTAAATAATTTTCTGACCTGAAAAATAACTTTTTATATTTCTATTCCATTTAAATAATAAGACCAAAGCTAGTTACCTCGAAAAGTGGATACGATGGGGGATGAGCCCATCCTCCAAATAAAATGAAAGACTTTTTATAATAAACCATACTCGCACAAGCTTTAGGTGATGGGTAATTTCCCATTGGAATCGGTCTTTCCCATTTACGTGTATCTAAGTCTAACTTCCATAAGTCATTAAATGTTGTACCAGTCTTTGTGCATCCTCCAAAAATATACATTGAATTTTCATAGGCACACGCTGAATGAGAATGACGTTTTGATATACTTGGCAAGCGCTCGTCTGTTGGTAGAGCATCCCAGAGAAGGGAACCATAGGCAACAGATCTTTGAAAATAAGACTCTCTATGTTCTATCACATCTATAACAATATTAAAGTAAATCAGTTATTTTTCTCACAACAAAAACAAATTGGCAGAAATTGATGTAAATAATTTTTTTTATGAATTAAATTGAAGATTAAATACATAAGCATGGATATTTTATGAAATTAAAAACAAGTTCAGTTATTATTGAATAATAAATAGAAAGATGCTTACGTTTGACAGCATGATACCATCGTTTACAAACCAACATACACTCTTTCAGATCTTTGTATGGTGGAATAAGGTTCAAAATATGTTCTAAAATTTCATCAGGTAAATATTCAATATGGCAAGCCATTGTTATTTAAATTAGAATGATTGTTTTTAATCATAAATTCGATTTATGTCAACTAAATGGTCTTGACACACTCCAAACAGGTATGTCAATCGTCTAACTTAACCAAAGTCATTGGAAATTTATAATAACGTATCACAATAGGTTATTTTAAATGTTAAATGTAGAGTATTTTTAAAAAATATGTAATAACATAATTTATTTTTCGAAAAATATTCGGTTTGTTGATGATTTTTTGTTGTCTAATTGCCAGGCTTATTGCGAAGTTACTTAATCCTTTGAATTCGATTTTACCGACCATTTTGTTTTTGGAGCAACAAACTGTTTACTTATCGATTTTAGAAATTCTAAATATTATTGTATGAGGGCGCCTCATGTTTTTTCTGAATGACGCCATATTCCTGAAGCAGAACACAAAAGTTCAATGGCTGCCTTTCATTATTATCATAAATCTTATTAATAAACGTATAATTCAAGTGATAAAAACGTATTAAATATCTTATAGTGACTTAGATTTAAGAATTGACGTGTTTAAAGTTCTTTTAAAATGTCTGTGACTTTTGCACAACGTGCTGGAAGGCCACCACCGAGCCCTGCTCAAATACAAAAGGTTCGTTAGTTTTTTTTTACTCCATTAACGGTATAATAAAGAAATAAAATGTTTAACTCACTTTATGATATGTATTTTAGATGCTAGATGAGAATAGTCATCTTATTCAAACAATACAAGATTTTCAAAACAAAGGAAAGAGTCAAGAATGTCTTCAATATCAACAGATTTTGCATCGCAATTTAGTATATCTTGCTTCGATCGCTGATGCCAATCAAAACATTCAAGCCTTGTTACCGGTAAAATATTTAAATAATTATTATTGAAAAGGCATTGATGAAATTAGTGAGAATCAATATGAAAGAATTTATTGTTTTTAGCCCCCACAAGGTATGCCTCCAATGGCTAATGGCCCTCAACATAATATGATGGGACCTCAGGGACCATCAAGTGGTCCTCCTAGTGGCACTGGCCCAGGTGTAGAAATGCCACCAAATCCACCACAGCCAATGCCTATGGCAGGTTTTAATCAAGGTCAGCCAACTGGTCATGGTGGTTATAGAGGTCCTCCAGTTATGTCTGGACAGGGTCCTGCAATGAATCGACCCAATACAGGCCCAGGCCCTCAACAATATCGTGCTGCTCCCCAAGGATATCCTCAACAACCATCACAGGGATATCCATCTTCTTATGGTGGACAAAATCCTGGTGGAAATTATCAAGGTCCTCAAGGTTCTGGATATGGGTCAGGACAGCCTAATCAATATGGAACTCCTCCGAATGCACCACAACAAGGATATCCTACATCGACACAGCAAAATTATGGTCCTCCTACTACTGTTAACAGCTATGGAAACCAGCCAGGAAATTATCCACCACCAGGAGGAAATCCACCTGGTCAGGGATACGGTCCACCACCTCCTCCAAACCAACAACCATATCCTCCTCCAACTTCAACTCAACAAAACTTTTCTCCAAATCCTCAACAACAACAACAGCCCCCTGGACAGTACGGAAGTCCTAGTCCTCAGCCAAATTATCAGCCTCAATCTCAACCACCTTCTCAGAATGCATATGGAGCAAATCAATCTCCTGGTAATTATCCACCACCCCCAAGCTCTCAAGCTTATCCTAATAATGTTCCTCCTCAAAATTATCCTCCTCCAGCTACTTCGAATAACGTGGCTCAATCGACACAAGGACCGCCACAACAGTCTGGTCCTCCTCAGAATTATGTTAGCCAACCAAGTCCAGGTACTGGTCCTCCAGGTCCACCTTATGGGCCTTCATCAAATTCTCCTCCTTTCAGTAGTAGTGGAGTTAGTGGAATCAATACTTACGTTCCAAGTAATCAATCCACTAGCACTCCTTCTGCATCCACTCAAACTTATCCACCTACTAGTGGACCTCCTCCAGCGACAGTTCAAGCTGGCAATTATGTTCCAGGGCCTACTCCTTCTGGTTATCCAGTTCATCAACCTTCACATTTAGTTCCACATCCTCATCCTGGACCTCATCAAATTCCTCATTCATCACCTGCGCAGTCTCAATCCGGACCACCACCACAATCGCAGCCGCCTGGATCTCAACAGCCACCTCCATCACAGCCCTCTTCTCAGCAACAGGTATGTTGTTTGTTCTCATTATTATATCAAGATTGAATTAATGATCTGAAAAAATACTAATAATAAATTATATTTTATGTTAGTCTCAACAGCCGCCAACGCCATCATCACAGCAGCCACCACAAGGGCCTCCCCCAGGACCACCACAACAGCAAGGAGGTCAACAACCTCCTCCCCAATCGCAGCATCATCAATCGCAATCACCAAGTCCAGTTCCAAGTAATTTCCCACCATCATCAGGTAACATTTCGCAAGGGCCTCCTTCAGGGCCACCTGGACCACCTTCTCAACAACCACCAGGAGGATATGGACCTCCCCAATCTCATCCAGCAACGACGCAGACTTATGTACCTTCAGGACCAGGTCAACCACCTCAAGTTTATCCTCCACATCCACCAAGTCAAGGTGGTCAACCTCATTATGGACATCCACCGTATCCACCACAAAATTACCCACCACATCCACCACCACCTTCTGGACAAGGATATCAATATCCACCTCGTCCTCCTGCAGGCCATATGCCACCACCCCCGGGTCCTCAAGGTCCACCACCGAATCAGTATGGAGGTTATGGTTATCAGCAACCACCGCAGTGATATAATAGGAATTTTATTCAAAAATGATTATGCAAATTTTCGATGTTATAATTATATCATAAATATGTTTATCGCATTGGAATTTTTATATTTTGAACTTTATTAACTTCAGTTTATGTTTAATGGACTATTGTGTATTCTTTTTATGTTTTTAAAGAAAAAATAAAGCTAAATTAGTTGATATAAATTTACTAGTCAGTTATTATTTACCTAGTGGTTATTAATGTTGTGCTCAAAATAATTCTACAATGCATGATGCATATTTAACGTGTTGTGATTAATGGACAGTTCAGATTTGACGTAACTAAGCAAATAATTTTTTAATTCGATAAAATCAGCGGGATGGTTCATCGACCGTCTCAAAAATAATGTATATACGTTATTGTATACCAATAACGGTTGAATCAACGTATCCTTTCAACCTCTCAGAGCATTTCTATCGGTATTTATAAATTTTTTGTCGTCTTTCAACCTTCGAGAAAAATTTTACCCAGATGCCATCTGTATTAACTAACTGCATCTACACTTTTCCGAAACCTGACCATAAAATTTAGCCAGTATTGCTAAATAAAAGTAGCCATCCAAAGAAGATAGTGAATAAAGAAATGATAATTTCATTTTCTATAGTAATAAGCCTGGAAGGATTTAAAAATTTCATATAAATATATTCCTCTACACCGACATTCCCTCAATATGATGTTAATTGAATGTAGGGAGTTCTTATCTATTTTATTTAAATTATTTATTTATATTTTAAATTATAATCTCAGAGGCGATTGTTTTTATTTTTCAATACTATTCAAAAACGATACTTGTGTGTGATGCATTATTAATTACACTGTTATTTAAATTTATAACTTTTTGAATGACATTAAGCTAGCTACGATCATATTTCATAATCATTCATTCCAAATTATTCTAGAATTATCGTTGTTGTATCTATGATAGACTGTGGTGGGAGAAAATTGCTAAAATTTCAAGTTCCAATGTTTTACAGTTTTGAAGTAATTTTATTCAATTGCGAAACAGTACTAAAAAATTAAGATCTTGGATGTTATGACTTCGTAATTGTTTAAAGCATATGTCTTTCAATTGTGAATTAGGTATTTATCGGGATGGTTCTATCGACCCGTCTCCAAAAATAAGTAGACTTTGACCTCAGTAGAGCATTAATCATTAATGTTCAAGATTAAAACCTATAATTTTGCCTTTTATCCTCCCATTTTAATGAATTTTATCAGGACAATCTACTTGTAAACAAATTTTAGGTCAAAGGCCATCTAGTGGTTGAACCCCTACTCTCCACATAATTTGTTAAAATTATTTAAAAAATCAGCATACAAAAATTTAATCTAATTTTTCCCATTCTATATTCATAACTATAGTTCAGTTTTAGACGATAAAGATGGTTTAACAACTTCATCAGAATGACAATCACAAACATGGTTTGGTTGACCTACTGGCTCCATACCATCCAATACCTTAATATCACTTATCATTCTCTGACTCCATTCCTACAAAAACAAAAAAAAAATTAATTTCCATTGTCTAATAAAATATCCACATTATTACTTTCATTACAATACGCACTTTTAACAACGAAACATAATAACAAAGCACATCTCTAGGCAGAGCAACCTGTCGAATCAATTCTCGACCATTCTTTGCAATTTTCCTAGCTATGTCATCATTCGCTTTAGCCCATTTAACCTTCTCAACTAAATCAGACAAGTTATGATTCACTGGAACGTAATGCTCATGAGGGATCAAGTGGTGATAGAAAAATTCATAATATTTAGAAGTTTGTTTGAAGACTAGAGAATCTCCAGCTAGCAGATAAGGCTGTCGATATGCAGCAACTGTACCATCAATATTCAGCTGATATTTATACTAGAAAAATCATGAAGACATAACAACATTGTATTCCTGATAACATTTTGGTAATTTATCAGTATCAAACTCACCTTGAAGAAGTCAAAAAATGATATATGACGTTCTCCAGGACCATACTTTTCCATTTCATTTTTAAAAAAGAAGAAATTCGTTATAGAAACATTGAACAGCTCTGGATTTTCTCTAGCAATATCTATCAAATCTAATCGTTCCCTTCTTGAATCTCTGCCTCTCCAGAATACCTTTTCAATCTTCTTTTCCCAAGGAGTTTTAATATTCCCTTGAACTGATAGAACATCTAGCATAACTCTAGCATAAAAACTTCAATAAATAACATCTCCAAGAGTAAAAGAAATAATTTTCTGATTGATGTTATTACCTTCCCATATTTTCTAATGACGACTCCGTAAGATCGTAAGTAGGTAAAACTATATCATTAGTATCATCAGATCCACACCAAGAGAAAATGGGATACAATTGATTATTTTTTGGTACAAGAGGCCAATCTCCTAGGTTCATAAAAAATTCGCTATCTGGTAAGTGTACTTTTCGAGACAAGGATAGTAAAATGGAGTCCGAAAAGATGTTGAATCCAACATGTTGGCCATAACATTTTCTGTAAATCTGTAGTGTTTTTATTTTGTTTATAAATATGATAGTATTTATGTAAGATAAATATGATAAACAGTAATTTAATTACCTTATTATTCTTTATCACATAATGACAGAAGCTGTAGCTGTGAGGCTTATGATAAGTTTTGATCAGATCAGCACGAATTTTATCAAAATCTACTTCCGGGAAAATTTTCAAATCTTCTTCTATTTGTGAGTATGATTCAGGACATTCGTAATTGGTCATCCATGATTCAAGAGATGGATGTGGACAATTACATTCTTCTTCATAAATTGGACCTTAAAATTAATTAATAGTTGAATTGAAAAAATGTCTCCTCGGTATCCAATTTTTAATTAATTAAAAGAGTTTACTTGTTTATTATCATGACTGAAGAGTTACTTGTATTTATTAGTTTCAATGAAATTATTAATTACAATGAATGAAACTGATGGGTCTACCTTTTTCTGACTTTGATGCTGATGTCAAAACAAGATCTTTTACTCTAACACTCATTTCAAAGTTATAACAAGTTTCGTACACTCTATAACGAACAATAAAGCTACCATCATCGCAATCTAATGTCTGTGCCCAAATTCTACAAGCTTGATTATTTTTATTACGACCTTTAATACTTGCAAAAACTATATTTTTTCCTGGTGACTTTGTTATACTGAAAATTATTTTATTTTGTATAGTGATGGTTTGATATCAATTAAAGAATTTGTATTACAGGTTTAAATGATTAGTATTTATAAATAAAATGAATGATTAAAATTAAAACTTACTTTCTTTCTTGATAGTCTCTTAATTGTAAAAAAAAATAACGAGCTCTCATCACAACCTTTTGTGGATTCAATCCAGGACCCCATACTAATGTTTTGGAAGGATCAATATCAATTGCAACATACAGAGGAATGTAGAAAAAAATGAGAAATATAAATTGTATAAAATCCATTACTCTATAAGTGAGTATTTATAGAACAAAATTGATGAATAATTTATCTATTTATGTGATCGATTAATTTATTTTCCTACAAAAATAACCTGGTTTTAATTCAACTTTTATAAATGGTAATATTATCACTTTTTAGCCAATTATTCATTAATAATTTTCTCTACTCTACACTTTTAAGATACAAACAAACTCCTTCCACTGAAAAATAAACAATTGATTCTAATCAGAACACATGTCGTTGTGACATAACCTCTCGATTGTTATTATTAAGAGCTATCATTCGTGTGTGAATGTGTGTGCACACATATCACTCTACATTTTAATTTGCTATTGGAGCGCACAATTATAAACTTTAATTAACGGAAACATTACTTCTAAGACTTTATTAATTAATAGTAAAATATTAGAACTGATAATAATCGAAGAAAAATATGAAATACATTAGATGTTTGATTAAAATATCTTTTTTATTATAAAATGACAATGGATATAAAAAATCATTAAACGTCGTTATAAAAAAATTATTAAACATCAGTCGTTTATGAATTCGCATTACATACGGTTCACACCTGAAAACCAAACAAATAAAAATATAAATTTTGAATAGTAGTTCAATTACTGCAAATAGGTATTACTCAATTGAATTTTTACGTACGTGGATGAGAATAACCACTTTGTCTCGGTAAAGCATGAACTAATCGGGGGTTGAAAGGAGGTCTCATTGGTGGTAACAGTGGAGGCATTCGTCCTCGAACAATAGGTACAGGATTACGCAGTGTTATCATCGGATTCATCATTATTGGTCGCATGTAGTTCTAAAGGAGGAAGGAAATAATTATTATATTTCGAATGAATGTCAATTTGACTCAATAACAAGCATATCTTACGTCATAAAAAATAGGTACTGGTACAGGCTCCATGTAATGATGTGGTATGGTCATTCTGCGGTCTCTTTCTCGAGAATCTCTACGTGTTCTACTATCACGGCGGTCATAATCACGATCTCTAGACCTATGTCTGTTATCATCATACTCCCTTGAAGGTGTGTGATGCCGATATTCATGAGATCTATTGTGACTTGATCTTGAAACAAATAGCATATTAATTTTAAGCAGTTTGCTATTAAATACTATCATAGTTTATTGATTTATTTATAATTATTCTTACCTTTCATATTTCGAACTTTGATGGTGATCTTTTTCCACCTCACTTCGGGATCTGTATCTGGAAAACAGATAACAAGTTAGTTTGATCCGTCTCAGCCCCAGTAACCCATAATTGCCAACTACAAAAAAACGTAGCTAACAAAGATGAGTGTTAAGGGCATAAACAATTTTTCAGCAATTTCAGTATAAATATATATTGCTTTTTTCAAAGCAATATTATCTTTGAAGAGATTACTCTTCAAGATATTATGCCATGTTTGACATAATTTCCATAATATATCCATATATAACGCAATAATATTTTTTAAGTATGTTTATAGTAACTTACAACTAAATATTAATATGAAAATGGAATTCTATCAATACTTAATGAACTATTATTAGAAAATTAATTATCAATATGATAAATTAATTTTTTTAGTAATATTAGTGTACTTACTTGATGACGAAGACAATTCAAAAATAACAAAAAAAAGTATACTGGTACATATAGATGAATTGCTGAAGCATGACTTACGATGAGTACCTGGAAACGTAGTTTTTGATTGCAGCATAAATCATTCAAGCAAAATGCATGGATTTTGGTAAGTGAGTGATGTCGATGATCATCTGATGGTGCTAAAACGAAATAAACCATAACATGTTCATAAATTGATAATGGTTGTGCAATTATAAAATCCAATTTGATCCAAATTATATGGAGAAATCTAGTAGCCTTCTTCGTGTGCTGGACATCATGGACTGCTCCTTGATGAGTGACATTATATGTAAAATACATGTCAAGAACGATACATACCCAAGCATGATGAGTTAATCGCAGTGCTGGAATGATACTATGAACTAAAAAAAAAAGAATGTAATAATTTTAACAAATATTGCCTACGAAGTTGTTGAGTAAACAACTCAGATTGGTGGATTTGTTAATCAACATCAATGATCCTAACAAAATGTACATATTAAATACTCATCAACTTACTTAAAAAGCATATTCAGCATACGGTGACTACGTACAATTACTTGGAATATTCTGGCTCACAATTAGCAAGCTTGAGCTCACCTATTGGATCAACAGATACTCAACAAGCAATCATGAGTCAGCCGTACTAAGGTCAGAACTAAGACATTTGGTTTTCAGGAGTCAAACAAGAGATGGAGCAAACGAGCTCACGAAGAGACTCAGCATGCAGCTATTCTCTACTCGTCATACTCCCGAAAAATCCAAAATCTTGTTAGTTCTAAATATATATCCATATATCCATATTAAATTGGAATCATGAATTAATTGTAACCATTCGTATAAGCAAACGAACCTTGACTCCCTATGTGGACTTTTACTATGATGATAACGTCTTGGACTAGGACTAGAAGTAGATCGTCTTCTTGAAGAATGAGGGATTTTAAAAGACCCAACAGCTACAACCTTGCGATGTTCTTCTATTTTCGCCGTACAACTTTCAGCTTCCTTTATTTCTTCTCGTTCGAAAATAGGCTTGGTACCTTCTCCTGTTAGAAAAATTATGCTATTAGAATTATGATGGTAAAACTTGTTGTTCATAATAACAAGCCATGCTAAAAATAACACCTGTGATTATTATTAAATACATGATTTTAGAAAAGTACTGAGATGTAGATTGATTTTTTGATATGATCAGTCTGTATGTCGATAATACAGTCATATAAATCATAAAAGAGTGTAAAAAAAATACTTCAATTTATATTTTAATAGTAATAGTATCAGATGTAATATAAATTCAAGTATTTTATAAGTGCTAGAAAAATTCACTGTAGTAATTGATGTCTTAAGAATTTTGTGATCTTCAGTGGTGCAAAAATCTTCCAGTCGATGATCTTCACATGTTGTTTATAAACGAAAAACGATTCGATAAAATTTCCAATAAGTCAAATAAAAATAAATTCTTTAAATGAAGCTGAAATGATGCTTTTTCAATGAACCTAATGTGATTAACTGTTGAAACCAATTAGAGTGCAAAGTTAATTTCTGTGCATTGACTATTCGTGTAGAAGTGATATTTGACGTTAATTAAATGTAGCACTTAATCCACAGCAAACGTTAATAAAAATATTTTCGCTTACATGTGACTTTGATACCTCTTGAAATCGTTCCTCGGAATCCATGACGCAATCTTCAGAGACGTTTTTTATTTAATATTGATTTACTGTTATTGAAGTTCATTTATTTTATCTTCCAACAGTTGAAATCTTCGGAATGACGTTCAATCTTCGAGTTCGTTGTTTATATCCTATTTTTATTATGCTTGAACTGTACTTATCATATTCATAGAAAAGTCAGTAGACTGCATGATTGTAGATATTATTCATTTATTGGATAACGAAATAGAAACTTCATTCAGCCAATAATTGTAAATAGCCGCAGAATATTTTGTACATTTTTATCACGCATCAATAATAAAAGGATATAAAAAAATCTAACTAAATTACCCTCTCTTCTTATTAATTTTATTTCCTCTGGATTTTCAATCCTTCTATCAAGTGGTTCTGCAGAAGCTTCTGTTGATGGTAAATTTCTGTGAATAATTGTTTTTATATTCTTCAAGTCTGTGATAGAAATTTTTGTACCATCACCTCCTTTAAACAATTTCTTTCTTGAAGACGGAGAGTCATATCTACAAATGAATACAATTATGTGTGAAATGCAAAAACTATTGGCTATTATTTTCAAATAAAAAAACCAATAAGTGAAAGATGAAAACTTACTTTTCAGACATGACTATATCTTTTGGAGTACTCTTTTCATGATGATGTTTTCTGTAAGACCTATCTGAAGATTTACTCCGATTTCTGCTATGACTACGACTTCGACTTCGACAAGATGATCTTCGACTGCGACTCTTCAATCCAAGTTCTCGAGCACGGCGTTCTTCATATTCTTGAATCATTCGCTGCTTTCGACGTTCATGTTCGCGAGCTTTTTCTTGCTCAATCATCCATTCTCTTCGTCGACGCATTTTTTCTTCCATCGAACGAGAGTAACTTGGAGTTTCACTTTTATTTGGCCTTATATCACTACCACGTTTCATGCTTATGCTGAGCTGGGTCATAAATTGACCTCTTTATATATTTGAATAAAAATGTAAAAACAATGTAAATAAATGAAGTAAAATGTTTTTAAAAGTGAGGTTAACTGAGCATTAAATGTTAAATAGAAAATTGTGGTCAGTAAATTCACTGAATAGTATTACTTAAAATGATTGAGGATACTAGTAATTTATATCTGCACTAGTTATAAAATTTCGGTTAGCAACAATAAACATGCAACAAAACAGACAACACAATTTCTCCTTCAAATACTGGGCGCAAGTGAAGCGTTACTTTGTAGCCGTGCGCAAAAACATGCGCAGATTTATAGAAGCCCGGTAGCGTTATCCAGTTAGCATTTGAAGCTTTTCAATCAATTTTATTTTGTAATTAAACAATTTTCTTTTGTAGAAATGTTAATTACACGAAATCCTTTGGTATATATTTATAAACACATAAATATTTTATCAATAATGAAATATAATTAAGTATGCATTATAAAAGATAAAATAATTTTTATTGTCTTGAACAATAAATTATGGGAAAGAAGTACAAATATTTGTTTAAACAATTTTTTTTTAAGGCTCATATTTATACTTCTGTATTCGATAAACAGGTTATCTCATGCAATTCATTCATAAGCTGTAAGAAAGCCTATTTATTTATACTTAAAGAAAATTCCTGAAATTTCAAATTCCTGAAAGAATATCATGTTTTGTTTCTAAATAGATTGGATTGGCTTACAAAGTGAAAAGTATCTAATCCCATAAATAATCTGATAATTTATTGGTCTTGACAGTGCTCGAAAATTATTCTATAATTTTAATTTTGTCGCATTATTAAAATTTTTAACCTCATAAATCTATCAATAATAATCAAAGTAATTGAGATCAAGCTGTCTGATTAAAACTATGCAGTCGTTTTTTGAAATCGCAGATATTAATCCCCAATCAACCCAGTCTATGATACCTCGATCAGAATCAGCTCGAAAGTTTCCTAGTATCTTTATCGATGAAGAAAAGAACCTCGGCAATTGGAAAAAATACTTGGAAGATACTTTAGAAGCTGACAATTTAGCCCAAGCAGACAATTTATTTGATCTTGTAGAGCAAAGTGTTATTGATGAAGATTGTGAAACAGTCATCGGTAGAATCATTTGTTTATTCAACCTCTAATCTTCATAAATATAATTCCACATTTTTTTTCAGATGAACTTGATATTCCTGAAGAAACAGAACCGAAGATATTGTCAGTTATTAGAACCATTATAACTATTTACAGTAAAAATGAGCAGAAAAGATATAGAGTTGGAAATGGATGGGTTCCATTGCTAAGTCGTCTGGTCAAGAAAAATCCAGAAAAGCTACCAACATATATTGCATTTAAACGCATGAGAGACAATTACGTTCCAGAACCTGGAACTCATGGATATGTTTTGCGTCTTCTACTTATGTATCATGATCCAGAGCTTTGCAATATGTTGGACAATGATAAATTCTCTCTCGCCAAGTACACTGAGTTGTGGGTCAATTCTTTATTCGCAGGAACTTGTGTTGAATCAGTACTAAAATCATTATGGGCATACCTTTTCAAACATGATGATCCTTTTAAAATTTTTTTTGTCATTCTATCAATCATTATAAATAAAAGGTGATTAATTTTTAACTTATCATCAATTTATTCTTTTGAAAATTATAAAACTAATTTCAATTCAATTTTATTGCTTTCAGAGCTAAAATTATTGAAATGAGATTTGATGCCAAGGAAAAAATAGGAAATGCCATACAACTATTTCCTCGTTTCATGGATGCTGCAGAAGTGAGAGAAATTATATCGTCTGCAGGTATATTGGACACGAATACACCTCCATTCTTCAAGGAATTGTTTAAAAATTTCATGTTTGGTAGAAAACGTGAGAAAAAACCTGATAACTTGCCTGAATATTTACCATCTTCAGCTTTTCAAGTGATCTCAAATATTCATGGCGTGCCACCTTACATAGATTTTCATTATTTCATAGCAGATTGTAGACCTTATGTCATGTACGAAAATGGACGGTTTGCTTTTAAACATAATTTCCATATAGATTGTGATTTGGTATCTGAATGGTCATCAGCTTATTTAAATGCTGCTTTAAAAACACTTAAATCAATGGTAGAGGATTTTGTAATTGAAGAACCTAATAAAGTTAAACACATTTGTGTAATGGGTAGTGGGCTACAAGGCTATGATCCATGTATTCAGAATGTCATAACAGCACTTTTGCACAAGAATACAAAATACGTGAGCATTCTCTATGGTGGATACAACACTGTTCATCAACTATTGAAATTAAAAAATGAACTTAACTATTCTCTGAGGAATCACGTTGAGAATAAATGTGTTTTTTGTAATCCAGTTTTACTTCAAACAGGAGATGAGCAATCTGTGGATAATGCAGAACTTTATCAAGCAGGTTCAAGCAAATCAGGAAATGCAGAAACACCATCACTGGAGCAGGAATTGAATATTCCTGGTAAAATAAAGCAAAAATTAAGACAAACTGGACAGGATATAAAAAACCAATTCATGTCATGTGTGAATCCACAATCACCTTCTTGTGAAGGTTCATCAAAAGGACTATCAGGTGGTATCAAACTACCATCAGATAACATCTATGAAGATATTGAAACGGCATATGGCAAAGGAAGTATGGCTACAGATAGTGATATCTATGGAGTATTCAATTTAAATGACATTACTACTTCCAATGTATCTTTAAAACCAGATGAAATATCATTGGAGCCTCAGTTCCAACCAGTATTGATTGACCAATGGACAAAAACTCCAGATGTAGAAAAGGTATTCAAATGTAGAGAAATTTTGACAAGTGGACGTACTTATGCAAGGTAAATATGCTATGATTTGTTTCTTTTTGTAATTTCTAGGCATGAAGGTGAAATAAATATTAATTTATTGTTTCAGTCGATTAATAGTGACTCATACAAATATAATTCTGCTACGGAGAATTGATCAAAAATCAAAGAATAAGGCTCTCTTAATATTAAACTGTCCTATTTTATATATTTTAAAAATCTCAGGAAGTAGCAAGAATAAAGATTTTATGACAATTACTTTTGATATGACTGGAACTATATCAGTGCCATATGACAAAGTAAAATTATTATTGCCAGGAAAAGAAAAATTCATGAATTTGATCAACAATAAGTTTGGAATTAATAAATAAAATAGACTTTGAAATTATTTATAAATTTTCTGACATTATTAAATTTATTATAAATATAAAATATTTTTAACTAAGTAATATTATTGATATACATGTAATATATTTAATTACAAAATAAAAAATGTTTCAAATATAAATGTCATGATAAATTGTCATCTATCAGAATTATTACAGTTTTTCTAGTCTATCTATATAAAATAAATAATGTTTTAATTTTGTTTACATCAACGGACCTTACTGGAAACCTCATCGACATTCTCAAGGAATATTAATTTATATTTATATTAATTTCAATGTTGAGTTCTATCATTATTGCACAAATTTTATGAACATTTAGTCTCGAGTATACTTCAAAGAATGGCTGAAGTACTTAATAGATCACTGTTTTCTGCTGAAGATATCGAATACCGTTTTTGCGATCCTGAACATCTTAACTTACAATCCGAGAGACAACTCACATCCATATCTACCGACCAGTTATCAAAAATAGCACCTTGGAGAAGATTTCTAGAAGAGACAACAACTACAGATGACATAGAATCTGATAATCTTTTTGATCTTCCAGAACAGAGTGCTATTGATGAAGATTGTCAAATGCTCATAGGTATGATAATGAGATTTCATTATGAATAATTACTAAAAAATCTAGATCTTTCTTTCTTGTTAAATAAAACTCTCTTTTGTCAGATGAAGTTGAAATTCCTGAAGAAAGAAAAGAACAAATGCTGCTGGCTGTTCGAACAGTCATCACTGTTTACAGCAAAAGTGAAAAAGAAACTTATAAATCTGGAAATGGATGGATTTATTTATTAGGTCAAATAATATCAACAACTGATTCAACCTTGGATATTTTTATCATATTTAAAAAAATAAGAGACACATACGTTCCAACACCACGAACCCATGGATTTATTTTGAAACTTCTACTACGTTATCATGATCCAAGCTTTTATAGTTGGATTAATGACCATGATATTTCTTTAGATCAATGCACTGAGTCATGGTTTAACTCATTGTTTGCACAAAATTGTACTAAACAAGTATGTAATCTCATATGGGAGGCTTTTGTCAACCACCAAGATTCATTTAGAATTTTTTTCATTGCCTTATCAATCATTCTCCTACAGAAAAGGTAACTTGACGTAATCAAACAAAAAAATTCCAACAAATGAATTTATTAACTAGATATTTTTATTTTTTCATAGCAACTTGGAGAAGATGGCAATAAATGCCAAAGAAAAAATCAAAGATACAATTAGACTATTTCCTAATTTTATCAACACTCAAGATCTGATAGATGTTTTGGAGAATACCAAAAAGTTCGATCTTAATACACCTCCTTTCTTTAGAGAAGCATTTGGATCTTTTATGTTTGGAGATGATCGAGAATCAACTCCTAAATGGCTACCTTTGTTGCTACCATTATCAGTGACTTCAATGTTGGAAAATCTTCGTGATGTGCGAGTACCAACTATTGTATCTGATTATTTTATTGTAGATTGTCGACCTTCCAATCAATATGCAGGTGGTCATTTTTCATTCAAATATAAATACCATCTAGATTGCAACTCATTAATCAAATTATCCTCTGGAACATACGCCATCAATGATATTCAATTGTTGATAGAAAGAATAGAAGCAGCACAAAATGTTTCACAAAATAAAGAAATCCATATTTGTTTGATGGGCAGTAATTTGGTTACCAATGATAAATGTGTCCATACACTAGCTCTAAAGCTTTTGAAGAAGAATATTAAATATGTCAGTATGCTGTATGGTGGATATGAGATCATTCACAATACTCTGAAAAAACAGAAAGAATTTGACAAGTATGTTATTGATCATAATGAAAGAAAATGTATTGTTTGCAATCCAATGAGAAAAAAGTTTACGACACAAATAAAGAAGAAGTTCATGAAATCTAAGGAAAAATTGTTGACTTGTGTCAATCTAATGGATGGTAATTGTGAAGATAATTCAAAAGATATTGAATATATATTTACTGAAGACAATAAAATCGTTGCTGCTAAAGAACCAGTTGGGCGAACTCGTAGCACAGTTTCGATAGAAAGTGATATTCATGGAGTAGGAAATCCAAGCATTTCTAATCGATCAAACCTTTCGACAGATAATGATAGCTCGCAGCTTCATATTCAGTTTAAAATAGTCTTGAAAGATGAATGGCTGACATTACCAAATGTGATGGAATTTAAATGTAAAGAAATTACATCAGATGGAGAGACACTTCCAAGGTAAATATCTTAAGTAATTGATGAAGTTTAATGACATGTTATGTGTGTTTAATTTGGTAGGTATGATGGTAGAAATAGCGATTAATACCGAAGCTTTTCTATTTCAGTCTATTGCTAGTAACTGATACACATCTCGTCCACCTCAGATTAATCAAAGATTTTGAAGACAATGCATATTTAATAGTTAATTGTCATCTTTTTTACATTGAGCGCATCCGAGGAAGTACGAGTAATAAAAATATGATGATTATTTCATTTGATACCACACATGATAATAGAAGTACACCGGAAAAACATCTAGTGCCTTATGAAGAAATCAAATATAGAATGAAAGAGAAAGAAAAATTTACTCAAGTCATTAATGCAAAATTTAAGACATTACAAGGTTGATATTTAAAGTGATGTAAAACTTAAAAAATTGAGTTGAAGTGATATGTTAAGATTAAAATATTTAATGGAATGAAAAGATGAATTTGTATTTATTAAGGAGTGGATGGGAAGGATTTGATGAAATAAAAAGACAAGAATTTATAAAAAAATTTTTTTTTTTTTTTATTATAGTGTACACTTGACCGGCTAGATGTTTTTAGCTGATCATAATAAAAATATATAATACTTTTTGTTCCGAAACAGTCTTGAAAAATAAAATTATTTACATTAACCTAAACTTAACCTATGACCAGTCTTAGGAGTTCCTTTTTTTTTTTTTTTATCACATGGAAGTAGTTTTTTTTTGTTAATACTTGGGAAATGGAGTTGATGTTTAGTCCACTTCTTCAACAGTTGGTCCATTGTAGTTGTCATTCTGACGATATTGAGCTCCACAATCCTGAGGACCATTGCCAGCACCACCCTGATGGATCTTGGTCATAATTGGCGAGCATATCTTCTGGATTTCTTCCAATTTGTGCTTGTATTCGTCAACTTCGGCTAAGGTGTTGTTATCTAGCCACTGGATGGTCTCAGTGCACAATTGGGTGACTCTATCTTTATCAGATTGAGTCAATTTAGAACCGCAATCTTCGACAGCTTGTTTGATGGAGAATACATAGCTCTCAAGTTGATTACGAGCAGCTGCCTTGTCTCGCTGTTGTTGATCTTGGTCGCGGTATCTCTCAGCTTCTGAGAGCATGCGGTCAATTTCTTCTCGAGATAGTCGTCCTTTGTCGTTGGTAATTCTTACGTCATTACTACGGCCACTGGCTGTGTCCTTGGCTGTTACATGCAGGATACCGTTGGCGTCCATGTCGAAGGTGACATCGATCTTTGGTACACCACGTGGAGCAGGGGCTATACCGCTGAGTTCGAATCTTCCCAGCAAGTTGTTGTCCTTTGTCATAGCACGCTCACCCTCGTAAACTTGGATGGTAACGCCGGGTTGGTTGTCAGAGTAGGTGGTAAATGTTTGAGTTTGTTTGCAGGGTATACGAGCATTACGTTCAATGATGTTGGTCATCATACCTCCTGCTGTCTCAATACCCAACGAGAGAGGTGCTACGTCAACTAGAAGAACATCTTGGAGTGTTGAATTCTTACCACCTTCACCCGTTAAAATAGCTGCTTGCACTGCAGCACCATATGCAACTGCCTCATCAGGATTAATTGAGAGATTCAATTGTTTTCCACAGAAAAAGTTCTGGAGCATCGACTGGATCTTCGGGATGCGAGTTGAACCTCCGACGAGGACGACATCGTGGATTGCTCTTTTATCCAATTTGGCGTCTGCTAGTGCCTTCTCCACTGGTTGTAATGTGGATCTGAAGAGATCTGAACATAATTCTTCAAAACGTGCTCTCGAGACTTTGGTGTAGAAATCAATACCCTCAAAGAGAGCATCTATCTCGAGTGTTGCTTCCGTACTAGATGACAATGTACGTTTAGCACGTTCAGCAGCCGTTCTCAACCTCCTTAAGGCTCTTGGATTTGATTTGATGTTCTTCCTATATTTTCTCTCGAACTCCTGACAGAGATGGTCAACCAATCTTGAATCAAAGTCTTCGCCACCAAGGTGAGTATCTCCAGCCGTTGCTTTAACCTCGAAGAGTGATCCCTCGTCAATTGTCAAAATTGACACGTCGAAAGTTCCACCTCCAAGATCAAAGATTAAAACGTTCTTCTCACCCTTCAAGTTCTTGTCCAATCCATACGCAAGAGCAGCTGCTGTTGGTTCATTAATGATCCTGAGGACATTTAATCCTGCTATTGCTCCAGCATCTTTGGTGGCCTGACGCTGTGAATCGTTGAAGTAAGCTGGTACTGTGATAACTGCATCCCTCACTTTCTCACCAAGGTAAGCTTCAGCAGTCTCTTTCATTTTTGTCAGGACCATTGAACTGATCTCTTCTGGATTGAACCTCTTCACTTCACCACGGAACTCCACCTGGATCTTTGGCTTTCCTCCTTCACTGACCACTTTGAATGGCCAATGTTTCAAATCCTGTTGAACTTTAGGGTCGTCGAACTTACGGCCAATAAGACGTTTGGCGTCGAAGACGGTGTTTGATGGATTCATCGCCACTTGGTTCTTAGCTGCGTCTCCAATGAGTCGCTCGGTGTCCGTAAAGGCAACATAGCTAGGTGTTGTTCTGTTGCCCTGATCGTTGGCGATTATTTCCACTTTTCCTTGTTGCCACACACCCACGCATGAGTATGTAGTGCCCAAATCAATACCGACTGCAGGCATTGTGATGTTTTGTTTGTTTAAACTTTAACTCCTCACTAACTCTCTTAATTGTTTGCTTTCTTTTTGTGTACTGGTGCCGGGTTCTGCTTGCTCGCCGCTTTTATACTCTCGGCCGCTGCGCACCACAGTGGGGGACGAACGTTCCAGATGCGTCGAATCGTTTTCTCTAGCACTATCTATGATGATACTCCTAAAAATTGAGAATTCTGGATAATTATTATGTCCTTCTTCATATTTTTTAGCTTAATTTTTTAATGAAAACATCAATGACATTTCCCTTATCAATATTCCAAGTCCAATTGCCAAAAATTACGCCTGAATCTTCAAGAATGTTTTTATTGAAGTGTTTTTTGATAAAAAATGATCAAATCTTTCTTGTTTACAATTACTTTATGTCACATTTATACATAATTGATACACTGATGCAAGTTCATTGACAAAAAGTGTTCGTTGATCAATGCTAGAGATAAATTATTCCAGCAACACCTGATATCTAGCAACACCTAGAATATTCGCAAGTATTCGAGAATATTCTGGTTTCGTACGAATGTGTAGGTGATTGTTGATGAAGGAGAGCGTTTATTTATATCACCAGCCATCAAAACAATGTCAATGACTTTGGTCATACGTCAACTATAGCATTTCTATATTTAAACTTAGTTTTGGAGTTAAAAGATATTAAAGGGACATTTCATACATAGATAACGGAATTTTCGAGAGCTTTCGCATGGCCCACTGATCAATAAATGACATTCACAAACGTTCAGTTACGTTTGAGTCATTACTATTATTAAACTATAATTTTTATCTGATACTTCAATAACTTGATTCATTCATGGAGTAAATAATGATGAATAAACATATGCTTACCAATCTTGATAAACTAACATGTTTACAAAATGACAATGATTGTTGTGTAGGTTAATTCTTTTTCATTTCAAATGAAGGTTTGACTGATGAGTTTGAAGGTTAAATATAAAAAAACATGATTCATTATGACCGGAAAATTCAAAAACTATGATGATGAGTTATAAAATAATGTTCTAGGTCATTGACTTGAACTAGAGAAGAAGAGAATATTCTAGGACCGTCTGGTGTCTCCAGTCAGCGATCAATACTGTCACAACAATGGTAACATACCGTCATTTATACATTGCTGTAAACTTCTAGAAATCACCGGATAAATCTCGAAGTATCTGCGGTCGATAACAAGTTAGGAATAGATTTGAATTTAAATGGACGAAAAAAGGTAAATGATAAACTGATTAGTGAAAAACCTATAGAAGTAATAGAAAATACTACGATAGAAGATCATAATCATAGAAATAATAATTGTTAAAGGTCCTTCCTACAAAAAATAGGATTGGAGCATTATTGATTTTACTTCCAAGTTCAGTTACGTTCGTACGCATGTTCGTGATATTTCTGGAACGTTCGTCCCCCACTGTGGTGCGCAGCGGCCGAGAGTATAAAAGCGGCGAGCAAGCAGAACCCGGCACCAGTACACAAAAAGAAAGCAAACAATTAAGAGAGTTAGTGAGGAGTTAAAGTTTAAACAAACAAAACATCACAATGCCTGCAGTCGGTATTGATTTGGGCACTACATACTCATGCGTGGGTGTGTGGCAACAAGGAAAAGTGGAAATAATCGCCAACGATCAGGGCAACAGAACAACACCTAGCTATGTTGCCTTTACGGACACCGAGCGACTCATTGGAGACGCAGCTAAGAACCAAGTGGCGATGAATCCATCAAACACCGTCTTCGACGCCAAACGTCTTATTGGCCGTAAGTTCGACGACCCTAAAGTTCAACAGGATTTGAAACATTGGCCATTCAAAGTGGTCAGTGAAGGAGGAAAGCCAAAGATCCAGGTGGAGTTCCGTGGTGAAGTGAAGAGGTTCAATCCAGAAGAGATCAGTTCAATGGTCCTGACAAAAATGAAAGAGACTGCTGAAGCTTACCTTGGTGAGAAAGTGAGGGATGCAGTTATCACAGTACCAGCTTACTTCAACGATTCACAGCGTCAGGCCACCAAAGATGCTGGAGCAATAGCAGGATTAAATGTCCTCAGGATCATTAATGAACCAACAGCAGCTGCTCTTGCGTATGGATTGGACAAGAACTTGAAGGGTGAGAAGAACGTTTTAATCTTTGATCTTGGAGGTGGAACTTTCGACGTGTCAATTTTGACAATTGACGAGGGATCACTCTTCGAGGTTAAAGCAACGGCTGGAGATACTCACCTTGGTGGCGAAGACTTTGATTCAAGATTGGTTGACCATCTCTGTCAGGAGTTCGAGAGAAAATATAGGAAGAACATCAAATCAAATCCAAGAGCCTTAAGGAGGTTGAGAACGGCTGCTGAACGTGCTAAACGTACATTGTCATCTAGTACGGAAGCAACACTCGAGATAGATGCTCTCTTTGAGGGTATTGATTTCTACACCAAAGTCTCGAGAGCACGTTTTGAAGAATTATGTTCAGATCTCTTCAGATCCACATTACAACCAGTGGAGAAGGCACTAGCAGACGCCAAATTGGATAAAAGAGCAATCCACGATGTCGTCCTCGTCGGAGGTTCAACTCGCATCCCGAAGATCCAGTCGATGCTCCAGAACTTTTTCTGTGGAAAACAATTGAATCTCTCAATTAATCCTGATGAGGCAGTTGCATATGGTGCTGCAGTGCAAGCAGCTATTTTAACGGGTGAAGGTGGTAAGAATTCAACACTCCAAGATGTTCTTCTAGTTGACGTAGCACCTCTCTCGTTGGGTATTGAGACAGCAGGAGGTATGATGACCAACATCATTGAACGTAATGCTCGTATACCCTGCAAACAAACTCAAACATTTACCACCTACTCTGACAACCAACCCGGCGTTACCATCCAAGTTTACGAGGGTGAGCGTGCTATGACAAAGGACAACAACTTGCTGGGAAGATTCGAACTCAGCGGTATAGCCCCTGCTCCACGTGGTGTACCAAAGATCGATGTCACCTTCGACATGGACGCCAACGGTATCCTGCATGTAACAGCCAAGGACACAGCCAGTGGCCGTAGTAATGACGTAAGAATTACCAACGACAAAGGACGACTATCTCGAGAAGAAATTGACCGCATGCTCTCAGAAGCTGAGAGATACCGCGACCAAGATCAACAACAGCGAGACAAGGCAGCTGCTCGTAATCAACTTGAGAGCTATGTATTCTCCATCAAACAAGCTGTCGAAGATTGCGGTTCTAAATTGACTCAATCTGATAAAGATAGAGTCACCCAATTGTGCACTGAGACCATCCAGTGGCTAGATAACAACACCTTAGCCGAAGTTGACGAATACAAGCACAAATTGGAAGAAATCCAGAAGATATGCTCGCCAATTATGACCAAGATCCATCAGGGTGGTGCTGGCAATGGTCCTCAGGATTGTGGAGCTCAATATCGTCAGAATGACAACTACAATGGACCAACTGTTGAAGAAGTGGACTAAACATCAACTCCATTTCCCAAGTATTAACAAAAAAAAACTACTTCCATGTGATAAAAAAAAAAAAAAAGGAACTCCTAAGACTGGTCATAGGTTAAGTTTAGGTTAATGTAAATAATTTTATTTTTCAAGACTGTTTCGGAACAAAAAGTATTATATATTTTTATTATGATCAGCTAAAAACATCTAGCCGGTCAAGTGTACACTATAATAAAAAAAAAAAAAAATTTTTTTATAAATTCTTGTCTTTTTATTTCATCAAATCCTTCCAATATATTAATAATTCGTTATGACTGTCGACAATCATCAATTATTATCATCTATTTCCAAATTTTCATCGATTTTGCCGTAAGTCAATATCATAAATGATGTTGAATATTGTCGATATATTTTATCTCTCTTCATATTATATTCAGGATTAGCTGCAAAAACCATTTAACAGTATCAGTTATCGTCTCGATTCTTATTTATACCTACTTTCATTTTTATTTAACATTCCAATTACTTACCGTTAACATTACAGTTTCCAAATTCTCCATTTCCAAAACATCCTATCAAAGGAATCTCTGGAAAAATACTTTTAAATATTGAAGACTCTACATTTTTACGATTGTTGTACCAATGTGCACCTCGTCCATTGCAAGAAAACATCAATCCAATTGTATGTTTGTATAATTGCAAATTATCTTTTAGTTTTAAAAGTTTACTTCTAATGTCTTTTTCATTAACGTCATTTTTATCTAAAAAAGTCGACCAAGATTTGACATACTTTCCAGATATTATCAAAGCTAGCCATGTAAGGTCATCTCCGACTTCTTCGTGCTGATATATTACGTCTATCTCTTTAACAACTCCACCCCATACAGATTTAATTCCCCTAAAATCATTTACTATCAGTTCAGTTCAAAAAAGAATTTAAAATATAAAACATTATTTTCCGTACCTCAAGTTCATTTTATTTAATTTACGAACCATATAACTTTCATCAATACATAATAAAATTACACATTCAGGATTTTCTAATCCACCAATACCCTTCTCAAAAATTTCCGACAAATCTGATTTTATTTCGTGTTCATATTCTGCTGAACCTATATATTCATTTTTCTCTCTTTTGAATATATACGAAACTGTTAAATACGCATTTATCATGTTAATATGGACACTTGGATCATCTGGCAGTAAAAAATATGATGACAAACATTTATTCTCTTCGTATTCTTCATTTTCTATAACTAGTCCAGGAACATTTATGCCTACACTGAAGCAGTTTTTTGGAAAATATTTCTTATAACCAACTGAAAATAGTAATTTATCATTACACTCCAGACGTACATTAATTGATTGTTAATTTTTAATTATATTTCTCAGTTATCCAGTTAAAAGTACTTACAAAAAGCACGATTATCTTCTCCTAGATTAGCAAGAACTCCGTCTTTACTAATAAAAACTAAATTAAGCATTGGCTTATTTCTTATAGAACTTTCGAAAATTCTATTTACGTCATGTTTTTTAATCAAATCTTCATAAGTTCCTGAACGGATGATCACTTTTCTGATACTTAACTCAAATGTCGCTACATCACGCCATAGTCTAGAACAAATCAATGAATACAGCAAGTTATAAGTAATAATTATTCGATTAATTAATAAGAAAAATTAAATATTTACTTGCAAACTTGAGAACAGTGACACAAATCAATGGCCGGTAGATATGAAAAGATGATTCCCAAAGCATCATATGATAGCAGATTTGATTCATCTTTTGAACTTTCAGTCTTTTCCCTAAAACATTAAATATTATTATTATTACTATTAGAAATGATTAGCTTAATAAAAAGTAAACTGAATGCTTTATTATATATTGTTCTTTTAAATCCTATTCAATGTTTCAAAGTTTTCATTTTTGTGTACATTAAAAAAATAAATACATGACTTACTCATAAGTGGATAGTTTACACTTTTTCCTATCATTTCTTTCCGGTTCAATCCTTCGATTACTTATTACATCAGCTTCCATGGACATAGTATGCAGATTAGGTATTCTTTCAACAACCTCCAATGTTTACAATAATTAAATAATAATAAAATTTAAAACACTAGTTGCCTCACTTTTTTCGCAACATATGACTCCAAACAAGCACTTGCTCATTCAGAGATGATAAAGTAAATTTCTTTATTATCGACTGGGCAATGATTGAATTATAGTAAAATTGACTATAGTAACTGATAAAACAAATTCAGCCAATGAAAATTGAGCTTTACATTCAAATTTCAATCTAAAAGACGAAAATAAACCGGTAACAATGGCTTATAGTATTTGGTGATTTGACACAAAAACAGATTAAATTAGAAACCAATTGTGAATTGTTTGTGTTTTTATTTGGTTGTAGTGATTTAATAGCTGCTTATTTTATTGCCATAGTATTATTAGTGTTCTAAGTAAAAAGAAATATTTTATATTATCAATAATTATCATCATAATGATCTAGATTGATCAAGAGAAATAAAAGCAATTGATTTTATTTTTTGAAACATCTGCCAGCATATCTTTTTTCATTGTATAGAAAGGTGTACATTGGAGTATAAAATTTTTCTTTAAAATCTCATGTTACTAACGATTGGATTAACGTTGTTGAATTTTTAAGTTTATTTATAATAAATTGAAGATGAATGAAGGAGCAGCAAAGAATGAATCTTTTACTGACAATAAACAAAGCATTGGTATGTCTAAATCTAGTCGATCTTCTTCATCATCAAAACTTCAACCAGAAAAAATAATGCTAACAATAGAAATGATGGAAAGTGATGATGAAGATGAAGATGGTGATGAGAATTACCTTAAAAATGATAATCCGGAGGAAGAAGAAATCGATCAAGATGTTGAAGAGAAGAAAAATGATAATGCAATTGATACATTTAATGTAGAATTAAAAAAAGAATTACCTAGTATTGAAGGGTTAGCCATCAGTCTACAGACAGAAGGTAAAAAGAGTTTTGAAAAATCTCATTCAAATCAAAATTATCATTGTGATAAAATTGATAGAAATAATGAATTAAAGTTAATCAACAACTCTTCCTCTCGATATCAATTAGAATATGGACGAATGGATATTGATAGCATTCCAAAAACTTCAGAGTCTTCATTAGTTCCTGAAAAATATTCAAGAACTCATGGTAGTTCTTCAGTTTTAGAAGCTACACCTTTAGAGACGATATCATCATCTTACTCAAGTGGAATATCATCAGCATCATCTGGAATACCGTCACTTAATACTGGAATATTGGTGACTTCTCAGAACCAAATACATGATTTATTGACAGGTCAAAAACATAAAGGATCAATTACTTCTACAACAATTCATTTAAATAAGCAATCAAACACGAAATACGAACAAGTTAGTACTCATTCTGCTAATGCTTCTAATGCATCTCATAAACCAGACCCTGGAACTATAACTACAAATACATTCCAATCAAGTCTCAATTCTGCTGCAATAAACATTAAACCAGAGTCTGGTGTTGTGAATCAAGCACATATTAATCAGAATACGTCTTCACATCATTTGCCACTTGAAACCCCTATTAAACATCAACTACCGACTGGAAGTATGAGACCAGTTCCATCATATTCCCACAGGAATCTTATGCAGACTCCTCAAAGCAAGAATCAAGCTAATTTCAGCTCCAATAAATCTTATGTACAAACTCCTGCAACAATTTTTTCTCATTGGCAAAATTTACTACATACCCCAGTGCAAAACAGTGGATTGGATCGAGGATCAGGACAAGGATCATCAATTGTTCCTAAACAGGAGTCGTATTGGTAATTAATTATCATCATCATCTTTAAGTTCATTATATTATTAATCATTTTTTCTTTCAGGTGCAAGAGTACTGAAAGAAAGGGAGTACGAAGGCCTCTGGCTGAAACAATGATTCAAGAACCTCGAACATCAACTGATAATGTTAAGTATGTTGAAACGAATCATGAGCATCATGAAATTCAAAATCAATTGCCATTGGAATCGAAAAATTATCTTCAAAAAGAATCCCAAGTTTATTCTCCTCTTCCAAATAAAACTAAAGTTTCAGAAAAAAGTTCTTTGGAGAACCAAAACTGTCCTACATCAGAAACTTATAAAAGAACTCACAGTGAAATTCAAAACCGACCAATAGAGTTTCAAAGTAGTGGACAATCATCACAAACATCTAAGTCACAAGAATCTAAAGAGAATATATATCCGACGTTTCGAGATAGCTTTGAGAAAAAAGAAGAATCTTCGAAAAAATCATCAGAATTAATTTTGGAGAATAATCAAATTAATAAATTATCCAAATCAGATTCTTCAACTGTGAAAGAAGCATTTTGTAATCTCCAAAACATTAATAATAAAGTAAACGTAGTAGCATCAGTACCTTCGAGTATAAATAAAATTCAATTAGGAAAAAATCTTGTTGTTAAAGGTGTGGAGTATTTGATTCTCGATAAAGTGGGCGAAGGTATGAGTGGAGTAGTGTACAGGGTTAGAAATCTGAGTAATTCAGAATTGAGAGCCATAAAATGTGTAGACTTATCTAAAATGGATAAAGAAAACGCTCAATCTTGTATTCAGGAGATCACAATGCTTTCTAAACTGCAAGGACCATCGATAGTTCAGATGTTTGATTATGAAATTGACAAACATATGATATATGTGGTTTTGGAAATGGGAGACACTGATTTAAGTCGTTTGTTAAAATCCATTACTGCAGAAAAAACTCCACCGTTAACCATGGTCTTATATTATTGGACTGAAATGCTATCAGCAGTAAAATATATCCATGATAATGGTGTAATCCATTCGGATTTAAAACCAGCTAATTTTTTATTAGTCAAAGGAAGACTTAAACTCATAGATTTTGGTATTGCTTCTACTATAAATGGTGATATGACGTCTGTAGTAAAAAATACAACATGTGGAACATTAAATTATATTAGTCCTGAAGCTTTAGTGGATATTGGAGAATCTCCCAGTCAGCACAGTAAATATAAAATCAGTTGCAAATCAGATGTGTGGTCGTTGGGATGTATTCTCTATTCATTAGTTTATGGACGAACACCATTTCAACATATTCGACAGTATTGGGCTAAAATAAATGCAATAGTTAATCCTGCTTCAAAGATTTCATTTACACAACCACCTAATGCTGATCCAATACCGCCAGTGTTGATTGATGTGATGAAAAAATGTTTACAACATAATCCTAAAGCTAGACCTTCTGTTGAACAGTTACTTCAAATCCATTATATACCAACTGAACATCCCAGAAATGTTCCAGAGATCCCACCCACTATCATCATGAAAATAAAAAATGTATTGAATGATGAAGAATGGCATCAATTCATAGAGGTAATTTGATAGATTATAATCATTGTCAATAATTATTTTCATTATTATCAATGATTGAATTATTTGATTACAGATTATGGAGAAGCAAAGAAAGGCTTGATTATATTTTTCATTGTCGATTTTCGCGATAATGTACATAAAATTTGTATAATTTGATAATTATGTGTAAGTGATGAACTAATAGTATTTTATAAAACAGAAACTCTAATTATTCAATAAAAAATTAATTGTTAAATAGATGTAGTATACATAATTATCGATAATAAAGGTAATTTTTTGGCATAAGGGTTAAAAATATGCTCTAACAATTGCTTTTTATCTGCACAAATTTATTTGAATTAAAAAAAAACAAGATATTAAATTATATAATTTATTATTAAATAATAAATGATTATAATAGTTTTATACAAAGAACAAAAGCAAAGAGATATGACATTTATTTATGTATGACTATAGTTTTACATTTTTTTTAATTAACTTGTCAATTGTTTTCTAATGTACAGACTTATTGTTATTTATAGTAATATAATGGCTATTCAGATATAAAGATAAAATATATTATTTCATGTGACAAAAATAAGAATGAACACGACCAAAAATATCATTCCCTTTATAACTATTTATTAATATTAAAATTTGGTTTTTCGGGGATCCTTAAGCCGTGATAAATTGGCTTTTAAAATGAGGGATCTAACACACAGCCGTTTGATGATGAATTTAATTGGAAAATTAAGTATAGATTTTAACTGAAAGTGTTATTCAAAGCATGAATAAAATCGGTCATATTCGGTAACTATTTATCTAAACGAATAAATAAGTATCTGAGTTAGATTATGGCTTTAATTTATTTTATAGTGATTGATACCAAAAAATTTTCAACATTATTACCATTAATAAGTGTTTATAATATGATCATTATTACATGCATTTCTGATAATATAATTGCACGAGTAATATTCACATTCATCACGTATTATCAATTTATTTATTCTTTTTTTTATAACAAACAAAAATATTAAATATAGAAATCTTAATGTTTTGAATTAAAAAAAAAATATTTTTAATATTATCTGAATTAATTCAGTTTTTATTCATCAAATGATTAAACTTTTGTTATTAATAAAAAGAATTAACATTAATAGCATGTTATTGAACAATAAAAATAGTTTGTACTATTATTTATGCAAATAATAATTTCAAAAAGCTATCTCAAAATCTTAATTACTTATTATTACACTTATATTATCCGAGAAATCATTTGAATTACTCACAATTACTATTTATTGAAAATAATTAAAAAAAAAAATCAAAAAATTCTCCTAATATTCTGTGACAAAAGATCGGATACAATACACTTTTTCTAAGTTAAATTTTACACTTGGTGAATTATCTAACATGAAATTCTCAATCTTAACATTGTAACGAATACTCTTCGGATAGAAAATGTATTTCTATGGACAACAATTAAAAAATTTAATCGAGAACGCATTCTACCGATTATGCGTTTACAAAACGATCCAATGAGTATGCATTAAAATGACTAATTTTAGAAACTTCGTACCTCTTCGTACAAAACTTTCAATCAATGTGTATTATTTAACTGCCAGTAATGAAATAATCTTTCATCTTTTATTAAAGCCATTGAATTGGGCCTTTGAAATGTAAGCATAATTTCTTTTACTTTGTTTTTAATTTCTTTATCGAAAATTCGTTCACCAGTTTTCTCCAAAGCAGCTGACATATCATATTCCACTGAAGGAAGTGGCTCACGAATAAATCTTGCAGCTGTTGCAACGTTTGGTAGAATATGATTTTGGAGTGCTCGAATTTCCCAAAGACTACTGAGAAGAGCATTGCTTTGAAGAGGATCACGTTCTTCCATAAGAAAAGGATCACCGACGCCTGGATGTTCAGTTATATCACCGCCTTGGGGATGATCAATAAGACGTTTTAATCCTGGATGTCGAAGTAGAAGATTGCCAATAAAAAGCAAAATTATTAGAATATCTTCCGGTGGTGCAACAAGAGTCAAACGAGCCAATCGTTTTGCAAATGCTGCTACTAGAGCTTCTGGTAAATGTCTGTAAAAAAGAATTATTTTTAAATTTATTCGATCTCTTGAAAGTCAATTAATAATACAGTGAGATAAGTGATCAAGAAAATATCAAGTTGAAGAAAGTAATAATAAGGTTGGACTTACGTTGAACTTAAAAATAAATCCGACAAATAGAAGAGTCGTGCTTTGTACTTCGTATGAAAAATTTCTGGTTCAAACATTGAATAGAGTTTGGTAAAAATATTAGGATACTCAAGATTATGTTTAGTCACAAGTACAAAAACTCCTTGAAGAGCAAGAAGCCCAATAGGGCCATCTATATCCAACGAATCCATTAAGAAATCTGTTAATAATACTGGTTTTTCTAAATAAGGCATAACTCTTTCCAAAAGGACTATCAAAAGTTGCTTGTGCAAATGGGGCGTTAATTCCCAGTGCATAATACATGCCCAAACTTTATTCAATGCTCTTCTAGTTGATGATTGATCCCATGTAAAATTTGTCAATGAATCATCTTGATTAACACAAAGTAATTCCTGATCATTTGTTGATGCTAGTTCATCATCTTTAGGAAATGATAATTTATGAATAAGTTCTAGCAAATTTTTTATAAATAATTCTTGAGGTTGTCTCTTTGGTGTTAAAGAAGGTAGGCTCTTCCACGTATAATATAATGCATCTTTGTATCCAGTAATTTCTTCAAATCTTGCTATCAGAGAGGAATTATCTCTATCAGGAGAAAGAAGTTTCATAAGAATTGGTTTTAGTCGATGAAGTGGAAAATAATAAGTATGCTTTTCCGTTGGTTCAATAGGAAATTTCCCTTCTTCAGCCATTAATTTCAATGCTGTAGTCAGAGCTTGTAGTTGTGTAGCAGTTTTATCACTTTCAAAGCAACACAAAATCTTTTCCCAAATTTCTTCATAACAGTTTCGTAACCAATTGATGTATCTAAGTTCTGGGCTTGGTTCTATAAAATTAAATTCATTTGATTTCATTGAAAATAAAATGTAGCTTTAGCTGACACAAAATATCATATTCAGCTATGAGCTACTAAAAAAAATCATCAGATAGTTAAATCAATGAATAAATTAAGCAAATTGAAGATGTCACGCTAACATAAATTAATTAACAAAAAATGTACAACAATAAAATCTTACCAGAAATTGTTAGGGCGATTGTTCTTTCTAAATACATATCACGTCTTTTTAATACTTCTAAAAAAATTGTCTCCAAAGTAAGGATACAAAGTGTGCTAGAATCCTTGAAAAAATAAAGAAATAAAATAATTCGGTAAATTTTTTGATTTTCAAATACCTAACCTAATTAGAAAAAAATCAGAAAAAATATGAAAACTTACATCCCATTGACCTATTATGTCGATTAGATTATTAGCATGTTTTCTTGAAGCAAGAAACTCTTGAGCTTTTTGTCTAAGCTGCTTAGATGACATTTTGGAAAATTGAGAATGACCAAGACCTACTGTTTCAACCGCTGCCATTGTGGCCGTTGTAGCAAAAAAAGATGATGAATGAAAATAAGAATCCGGCAAACTTTTGATCAAGACTATCCACACTTTGCTAACCTGACATGCATATAGACAACTGGTTGAGCAAGATTATGAAGCCGGCGCAAAAGAATATCGGAGTATTTTATATGCGCGAAATTTAAAAACATTAATATTGCTTGTACTCAAGTTTAAATAATTATTTTTCCTATTTATAAATTATTTAATTAAATTATAATAATAACAACCACGTGAAACAATCACCTCACTCACTTGCTAGTTCAGCTCATTGACTATATCGACTGTTTGCAACGTAGTTGTAGTCTAACCTCAAATTATACTACTGTTTTGAGAAGTCACGTGTGTCACATAGCACTCAAATAAATCATTTACAAATTATACAAAAATAACAGAATAATTTTTTTTATTAATAACTAATCAAAATGAGACGATTATCTGAAGAAAGAACTAAATTAGTTTTAGAAAAATTAGCTAAATAGTAAGTAAAAACTTTCTTTTTTATCTAGGTTATATTTTTAATTATTTTAAATTTTAAAAAGCAATATAATAATATATATATTGTATTATTTATACTTATTATATTCTTATCTTTCTTACTTTACTAGTAAATATCAATTCTCTAACCTATAAGAGATCTATTATTATTTATTATTTATAACAACTGTCTTGATTACAGTATTGGAGATAACGTTAAGCTGTTGGTAAATCGACCTGATGGAATTTATTGCTTCAGAGAGAAGAAAGATCGAGTATACTATGTCTCAGAGAAAGTTTTATCACTTGCATCAACAGTTGCTCCAGAAAATCTCGTTAGTTTCGGTACATGTTTCGGGAAGTTTACCAAATCTGGTAAATTTAGGCTCCATATCACTGCACTTCATTATTTAGCTCCTTATGCACAGGTAACTTCTTCCTGATCCACATAAAAAATTCAATAAATTTTCACAATATTAAATAAATTATAATTTTAGCATAAAATATGGCTCAAATCGGCAGCAGAACAACAATTTTTATACGGACATCACGTGGTAAAAGGTGGCATGAGTCGAATTACTGAAAATACACCTCAATACCAAGGAGTTGTAGTTTACTCTATGAATGATTTACCATTGGTAAGCAGAGTGATTCAATTATTTGATAAAACGATGGCTATTTAGTCATTTATTTATGCATTATTTCAATCATAGGGTTTTGGAGTAGCTGCAAAAAGTTCAGCTGATTGTAAACTCGCGGATCCAATGGCAACAATTTGTTTTAATCAAGCAGACTTAGGCGAATATATTCGATCAGAAGATACATTATTATAATGAACTTTTAATAATAGGTATTATTATTGAACTTAATATTAATTATTAATTTTAGATACCATACTTTGTATATTTTTTAAAATTAAAGTATTCAAAAAAATTTATCAATGTATTACTAATTTTTATTATAATAATATTTAATCCAACGTAAAAATAATGACGTTAGAATTTAAATAAGTTATTTTAACTTTAATTAATTTGAATGTCACTTAGATTTTATCAATCGATTTATCAAGTGTCGATTGTTGAAGCTCGATCTTCAAGAAGCTGCTGCCATCTACTTAGAAAAGCATCCTGAACGCGAATCAAAATATAAATTTATAAAAAACTACGTCAGTGTTAGTGTAAACAAACTGGAGTAAACCATCAAGTACTCAATGCGATGTAAAGCCTACATAAAAAAGACTAATTGTAACATATTAATAAATAATATATCTAGAGTTCAATTAATTTTGATATGTTAATTTTTGATTCTAAATAAAAGTCAAGTTTGAGATGCTGTTATATATTAATTCACATTTTATCTTGTTAATCAAAGTTGTGTAAATTAAGAAGACAAATCAAGAAAACGTATTGATTATTGATTGCTGCAGAATATGAGAAGCTAAAAATTACAGTGAGTAATCAACAAGTAGTCATTCATTATTTTTATGTTATTGATGACTTGTGAAAGGTTGGAAATTGATCTATGATGAGTGCGAGTTTTAAATTACAAGATACCATTCAAGAGTACTCATGGAATTTTTTTAATAATCTTGGTATAAAAGCTATTATAGTTATCAATCAAAATGAAAATCACAAGGATACTCTAATAGATAAAAAAAAATTTGAGTTTGTAATTGATTGAAAGTGAATAGCTTTTCAAAAACAATTGTATTCAATTTTATTTTATGCATCAAGTATTTAATATTATAAAACTGAATTACATTTAATTTAATGACATGATTATTTTAATAGAAAATATTTATTAAAAGCTCATTTATTATTTTGTAGACTTTTGAAATGGCTGAAGATAGTAGTAATGATCTATGTAGAGAAGACTTTGATGCTGGACCATCAAGTTATGATGAAATAGAACCAAATTTATATCTGGGTAATCTTACAGCTGCTACAGATATAAAATGGTTAAAAGAAACTAAAATTACACATATACTTACTGTTGATTCGTGTCCATTGCCAAGAAAAGTTCAAATTCTTCCCAATGTTAATTTAAAATTTATTCAAATCACAGATATGCCTCGTGAAGATTTTTTAATTCACTTTGAAGACTCTTATCAATTTATTAACTATGCTCTTCAAGATGGTGGGAAAGTTTTAGTCCACTGCTATTTTGGAGTTTCAAGATCTGCAACTCTGGTTATTGCTTATATAATGAAAAAACATGAGATGAATTATGATGATGCGTTTGAGTTTGTTAAAGCTAAAAGACGATTTGTTGGACCAAATCCTGGATTTATAGCACAATTAAAGTTATATGAGACTATGGGTTGGACAATCAATACTCAAGATGTTCAATTTAAATTATATCGTCTTCAAATAGCCGCTGATAAAGTTCGTAAAGCCAAAATTCTTCCTTCAAGTTTTGCTGATTTAATTAAACCAGATCCCTCTTTGGCGACTGTCCGTCCAGAGCCTACTGTTTATCGATGTAAAAAATGTAGAAGAATCGTAGCTAGTGCAAGTAATTTACTCCCACATTCTCCTCAAGAGAAGCAAGTTTGGAGATATGTTAGTGTAAGAAAACAAGAGATGAGATCAAAGCAAATGAAGGCTTTAGAAGAGGTTGAAAAAGCTAAGAAAGAGGACAAGTCCACTGAGATTTGTACTAAAACCTATTTTATAGAACCTTTAGCTTGGATGCCAGATATTATGCATAACGTGGAAGGAAAGCTTAATTGTCCTAAATGTGAAACAAAATTAGGATCTTATAGTTGGGTTTCTGGATGCCAGTGTCCTTGTGGTACAAAAATTGCACCTGCTTTTTATTTGATCCCATCCAAAGTCGACTGGAGTAATGCTGTACAAAATGTTGTGGTAACTGTTTGAATATTACTTCTTATCAACTATTCACATTTAATTATTAATGTCTTTCATTTTTTCATGGGTCATTCTTTTAATACTTGAAAAAAAATTATATTCTTTTTTATCGACAACATATTTTTAAGGATAATTGACCAATGTCAATTGTGATAAATAAATTAGAGAGACTATCAATTGTTGATTAATAAAAAAATTAATTTGAAAATTAGATTATTTTTAAGAAAATGTTTTTTGGTTAACTAAATTTAGTCTTATAGTTAAAAAAAAAAAATCAATAATATTAAAGTGTTCGAAAAAAATAAAATCTAAAAAATATTTTTTTATACTTATAATACCAGGTAATGATCCATGAAAAATAAAATAAAAATGCCAATTAAATAAATATACCGTTAAATTAAAATCATAATGATGATGTTAAATGTCGAACTAACTAATGAAATAATTCAATCAGTAATATGCAAATGAATAAGACTACAAAAAAAAACTGTGACCACATTCTAATCTTGTGCCAATAATAATGATGTCTCATTAATATTGATATTTGTAACATGAATGTTATTTATTGTACTTATATTAAAACCTTCATGTGCCAAAAAATATTTTAAAGAATCATTAATCTTACTTTATAACATTTAATTTAGTTTTAAAAAATTACTTTATTACCCTGTTTTATTTTTTAAAAATTGTATTATAACAATTTAACATCATAATAACCAATAATAATTACAACTAATATTTTAGTAACTAAAATTAACCCTAATCTTCCACACACGGGTCATTGAATTTGGCATGAAAAATTGGCGGTCGGAGAAATACTTATAGGATTACGTAACTTTAAAGGTATGAAGACGAGATTTTATTTTAAAATATTTGTTATAATATAAAATAGGCCATTTGTATAACAATGGATTTTTTTTTTTAGATTAGTATCATCCGTTAAAATCACTTGAAGCGTTATTGACACAAAGAGTAACCCATGTGTGGGGGATTTAGTGTGTTGAAAAATAATGTAGAGGACTAGGGTGAATAGAAATGCATGTAAAATTACTACTGCACACTCACACGATACTTAAAGTATAAAATACCAATACTTAAGCATAAATATCTTTGGTATCTCTATACTTGATGTATAATTAAGGCACTTTTTCGACTTAAAAAGAATTTTAGATTATTTTTAATCACATACTGGCATGCATAGCGGAATAAGCAGCTCCATAAGGATGACTTCTCAATCTAAGGGCACTTAAACTATTCATTGCAGCTCCATCAATACCCCCGTGTACTTCAGACTGGTGATATGATGGAAAACTAACATTACTGAGATTACTATTAACATATCCATGACAATTTGCTGTAGTTTGTATTGCAGCATAATGTTGAGATGATCTCCAATAATCGCTGTAAGAATATTGTGAAACTTGGGATGGAGATTGTAGAGACTCGGATGATGTTTCGTGAGTATGTGCTATCCTGATAGGTCGTAGTGGCAGTGTTGTTTCAATTTCTCGAGTAGGCACTGCACCACGATTTAATGCTGAACTCCTTTCATTTCGCCGAAACTTTGCTCGTCGATTTTGAAACCAGACCTATTAAGAAAAAATACACAATGTTTTATTATTCATTTAAAAGCTAATAAAAATTGAAACTACATTTATTAGAGTACAAATTGTTGCTCTAAAGTAGTAAATAAAGATATTGAGCAAAGAATTGGCTATAAAAATAAAAGAATGAACATGATAGTAGTGTAGGCAAATTTTTTTTATGAAAAGAAAGGAAGTAGAAACGGATACGACCGGAGACGGGACAGCGTGACGGCTCCTGGCAGACGTACAAGTAAAGTCTGAGAGACGCTTGAGAAACGGTGAGATGGCAGTTGAAACTAAGCTAAAGGAGAAGCCGAAGAGAGATGACGTGAAGAAAGCGAAGAGGGGTAAAGCCAGAAGAATAACCACACACGTGCTGGACTCGACACGCTATGAAAGCATGTGCTTTCTGGAGAGCTACTGATGCCGACGAGCTAATCATAGCTGTTTGCCTGACAACCTGTCTCCTCCGATTTTCTGCCTAACTGTCCGCGACCTCCGAATCTTTCGCCATAAGCTTACGACATAACACGACGACGTGTCATGCTTAAACGCAAACCATTTCTTACGATGTAAGCTTCAAAGTTTTTTTTTTATATTTAGTTTTCGTGTCTTCATTCGTTTTATTCCATGAAATACGAGATTTGAAAATTTTCTATGTATTTTTGAGTTCAACAATTTATCAGTTAATGACACAATATTAAGCTTGATGATAGCACTGATGAGTAATTTTTTATTTGTGTTAAATATTCAGTAATTTCAATCATTAAAGAGTTAATTCTAGAGTACAGAACATTTTAAAATGATTAAACATAAAACTTTATCAGCTGAAATTATATAATAATCAACAGAAGTCATGATATACTGACCAATACTTAACTACGTTTAAAGTAGCTAATTAAGTAACAATTAATTCAACGTAATTAGCTTTATTATATCCTATAAAATGTATGATGATAAAACAATGAACATTATGTGGGTTAAAACTGCAATCTAGATGTGAATTTTTTGTTACCTGCACTCTGGCTTCAGATAAAGAGACTCTTGTTGCAAGCTCTTCTCTTACGAAAGCATCAGGGTAATGTGTCCTCTCAAAAACTCTTTCAAGAGCTGCAAGTTGTTGAGCTGAGAATGTTGTCCTGCTTCTTCTTGGTCTTCTTCCTCCATTAGATGTAGATTCATTGCAATCTAAAAAATCAAACAGATTGGTTAGGATATTTATTTTTAAATTAAGAAATATGATGGAAGTAAAATAATATAAAATAAATATAAAAATAGAATGGGAAAAAAATATTATAGTTGAATGGATTTAGTTAGTATTGGTGTATATGTAGTATGTATGAGAGGCGAGAACACTCGACGCGCCGACTGGATCAAGTCAAGCGCAAAAAGGATCTCGATTCTTGATGCGGTGGTGCGATATTCCCTCAGCATAGGACAGACATATAATTCTTCAATGAACCCACTGTACTTGGGTAATCATCAAAGCGGTATAATCAAAGCAGCATGACGTTCATGAAACGCGCCATTACGATTAAATCAAACGCTTTGGCGTCTTTTCACTAAATGCATCATTTGTCAAATTCGTATTTATATTTACTTTACGTTAAATCATGTAATCCTTTTCTTAATCAAATTAATTTATCATTTAATTGATCAATGAATGATCACTTGGAAATGTTGTTAGAAAAGTAAGAAGTGTATTTCAATCACCAACTTGTCGAGTTTGGTCATATTTGGTTGCTAAAAAAAAATTTATTGGTCATAAGATATTTAAATAGATCAACATACATACCTAGAGAATGATTTGTGGTTGATAGAAGCCTCGAAACAGTAAAATCTTGGGGGATATGAGAATTAGCAACTTGAGATATGATAATTGATTCATTAACTGGATCCTCGCTTTCTGAAGTTAACATATTTTTTTGATGGATGTTTCTTCACATTTAATTGAATAACTGGGATACTTTAAACTATAAATCACTTGGATAATTGGTTAATTTAATGATACAGTTGATGATAAATTGTAGCAAAATAATTTGAAAACTTAACACAATGTATTACTTTATTTTTCCTTTAAGACTAATAAATAGAATGTTTCTGATAAATAGTCATTGAAAATATAGAATATACTTTCGACACGTGTACTGTGCGCTGTTTTACTTTCCACTTCTCTTACTACCTGTTATCTTTTGCTTCTTTTTCTTATGTAAAACCACTAATATAGCTCGTGTTCCCAACCAATTATAATTAATTATATATAAACGCAAATAATTCGTAATGTCATGCGAACATTTTTTTTTCATTTTTTTCTTTTTTTCAAATGAATATCTATTATAATTGAAGCACATACAGGAACACTGTCACCAGTTGAAATGAATTTAAATTAAATTATTCCTTAGTCGACGTGTCGTGTTTTATATCCATATCTAATTTGTACTCGAAGACTAATCAAATAATGTAAATTATGAATTTTGTCCAACACAAAATTAAACAGTAAAAGAAGAGAATATAAGGAAGACTTTGACGGGGGTAAATGAAAGTGTTAATTGGTAGAGGTAGATGGAAGAGTAACTGGGAAATTAATCTTTCTGAATAATTTGAAAGCTGTATGTGTATAGAGAGGCAAGATGCCAACTGACTTTGCGAGTTAAGACGTACTTAAAGGTCTACATCTCCTCCCTCTAAATCTCTTTCATTCCATCTCTTTTCCTCAACTCCTTCCTTTTATCTCTTCTCTTCTCACATGTTGATACATTATCCTTCTCTTCTCTTGCCTCGGTCTTCATTACTTCTCTAATGCTACTTGACGAAAGAAATAGAATTATTTGAGAGTAGGTGGAGATTTCTAAGCTCCACCCTTATCTCCTGGTCATTGGTGAACAACATGATTTAATTTTTTATTCAATCAAGTGAAAATATTCCATATCATATCAATAATAACCAATGTCCTCCTGGAATACTCCATTTTTTTTTATTTGATGAGATTTTTCCTCTTTATTTCCCTTTTTTATGCATTCTGAAAACAAAAATTAAAAATAATGAATGTTTTTCCTTCGTGGATTGCAATGGTTCAATCTAATATTAAAAATTATGTCAATATTAAGTTGATAAACACAATCGATAATCTAATCAACATAACTGATTTAGAGTTAACAGATCTCAAATACAATTTGGAAAGTAATGAGTCAGCAGATGCGATTTAGTTGAAGTCGAAGCTTAGTTACGACACACCGACGATGCAGTGACAATAAAACGGTTTGAAATAATAGAGAGAAAAAGAAAAATAAAGAGATAAATGCAAACGTCGCGACGTCTTGACGTGGACACGTCGTGACGCCCACAGAGAATTATTAGGCGGGACTGCAATTGCTACAAAATTCCTTTTTTTCAAATCTCAACACCAGTCACTATTTTTTTATTTTTCATGTTTACACTTTAGCTCATTTTTCATGAATCACAACTCCATGAGTAATTGAAGCCACGAAAAAAAAATCTGGTAAGAACATTTCTTATTTCGTCAGCTAATTTATCCACATTTCTTTTTAATTGGATGGAAACCAACATCTTGCTCCTTATATACCTAATGACATCATTTTTTCAATTTAAAAAATATATACATTCTTTACTGAACTATTTTTCATTTAAATTTACTGACCTTTAAATAAATAATAAATAAATAGAATTTTTTACTGCATAGTTGGAATTAAATAAAGACATTTTTTGTAGATTAAAATGTCCTAGTATGATCTTAGATCAGTTCATTTTCTTAAACTGACCTCTATTGCCGTAACAGAATTTTATACCCGTGTACCTAGGGGATGTAGCTATCAAGGTAAAACGAAACCGCAGATGTGGTCATCGAGGGTCTAATGCTGTCCAACATCATTGAGTCACACATCTTGAAAAAAAAAAAAATTTAAAAGGGGAGTGTCAGAAAGGAAAATCGTTTGAACACTCTTACCGTGAATAATCTATAATAGAGAAGACTAGTTAGAGAGTGATTTAAACTAAAATCACTCCAGAGAGAACAATTTTGTTTGGTTGGTAAAAATCTGAACAGAAGATGGCAAGACGTCGTTTGATTCTAACATGTTTATGACCCTTACAGATCCTTTGAGAATTATCGAGGGTTTCTACTCGCACAATAAGGACTAAATTTTCATCCCAAATCTATAACAGTCAGTAACGATTTATTTTACAACCTATTTAAAAAAATAAACCAAATAATCATTGTCATAAAAATAATTATTAAATATTATTAAACAAATGTCTATTCAAGTTTAACTTACTTTGTATTTTTGGAGCTCATCTTTCTTTGAGGTGGGTCATTTTTAATTTACTTTTTGCTGTTATTTAACACTCCATTCAACCAATTATAAGATTCATGCGTCATCTCCGCTAATTAACCCTAGGGAAAATAGTAATCCAAAACTACGTGTTCACTGATGCTCCCTCATTCGGTCTTTTCTTTATACTCTATTTCTAACCTATCACGTTTCGCCATCCTTCTTACATTGATACAGATGACGTTCTGCAGATCATGTCATACATCATTTTTTTTCTCTCTATCAAGTTCTTAATAACTCAATATCGTTTTTTTACCATCATGATAAATTCATGGCATGTTGTAAAGTTTTTTTATTGTTTGTTACAAGGGTGGTAGAGGTTACCAAGTAAACGATTTTTTTTTAAATTACAAAAATATATGAAACAATAATTCCAATGAATATCGAGTTGAATTTCCGGTTAAAGAACTCATTAGCTGTATTCAAATCTACAGAAAAAAATACAAACAAGTAAATAATACAGTGGAACCAAATGTCAATGGCAAATGACAGTTAGTAAATTGAACATGATATTCATGTGGGTAACTCACGAAAAAAGGTCATTAATAATAACCTGTTATCAATTACATATGAATAAAAATTATACGAAAAACAGTATAACCTATAAGCGTAATATGCGCACACACATATGGGGCGTTAAAAATCGTAACGGGTGCCGATATCATTCTCCGACTTGGGGGTGAGTTCATATAGAAAGACAAGAAAATTACAATGGTCTATATTACGGACACACATCAAGCTAGTCAGCTGGCAAAAGGCGTGACTTAGATCAGCTCCTGTTGGCCCTCACGCGCAACCGTAAAACTTATACGCATAATTTTACGCTCACCATACATTTATATTATTCGAATACTCTTGAAACCTGTCGCCAGTTCGAACCAACTGACATGATGTCAATGTCAATTAAAGTGACGTTTGGTATATTTTCCATTTTCACTCCATAATACTCTGTTCCAGATACTTATCAGTCCATAATTTATCAGAAATTGTTTATCGTTAAATTTTAATGTGCAAATGTTGAAAAATATTTTTAAATTATTTCTATGAAGTCCCAGATGACGAGTGGCTATTGAATAAATTGTTTTAACCGTTAGAAAAAATTGAATAATCAAATTCCAAAAAAATAATTTGACACAATTGAATGCTAAATCTAATAGTATTTTTCATCAAAAATAATTCAGCATACAAAAGATGCTGAATTTAAATTAGCTTTGACCACTTATTATTATTATACATTAAAGTAACAATCATTTAAATGTGCAGACCTTAATCAATGTGGTTTGATTGATTTAGCATGAATAGAAGTCTGCAATAATAAACTTAAATACAAGTCTGTAACCATAAAGTAAAGAAAAGCCAAGGGGGTAAAATGATATCTTTGATAGACCTTTTGAAGACCAATGCTTTTATTCTACCTTTCTCCTTCTTTGCTGGGGTGAAAATAACACCCCCGTTAACAGAGCATGACCCCTGCCTTATTCTATTTCCATCTTTCTTATCTCCGCCCTATACCCCTTCTGATCTCACCTACACATGCAGCAGTTACAAAAAACATTATGTATTCATGGTATTCCATCAGCATTCTTAATGTTCATCCACACTTATTCCTCTATTTCCTATCATTTCTTATTCATTTTCACCTTGGTACGATGCACTTCTTGCATAAATATTCTCCTAGGGGGTGCATCCTAAATGGCTTCCGTCACGCTTTTAATTTTTGTTATTCAATTTCTGCATTCTAATACACTTTATTTTAGTGCTTTATCTTCATTATAACACCTGGTGTTGGATATCTGCTGTTGGTCAGTGAAAAATAACAGTTATAAAACATAGAAGATTCTTAATAAACTCATCATTTTTTTTTATTCTAGATCCTCTGCTGTTTGTAAGATTAATTATTTATTGGGGTTCAAAATAACTGATATTATTCAACAAATTTTTTATACTCAACAATAGAAATACTTGGAATTGATGAAGTCAACGTTGCAGTTGGAAGTCAGTCATGCTTAGTTTATCTAGACATTTTTATTTATAATGTAAATTATCTATTGGAAATGATGCCATGTTTACTATCAGTCTCTCTTGACCTAATAGCCTAGAGTTTACACAAATTGATTAATCATCAACGATTCTATTCTCATATTTAAATGATGGATAGGACCAAATGGCGATTTTAGGATTAAGGTATTGTATATCAGTTAAACTGCTACTGCTCCAAAGACCACCCGTGGACTATTGGTATTTATCTTTCAGGTGTTGAGGGTGATTTTAGCATCAACTTCTGTCTATCTCCGTACTCTATTGTTTCCACCCTCTTTGACTTTCTGTCAAAATTTTTTGATCGGAAGTCTTCTGGTCATCCGGTATCTGAATGTAAATTCATCTGATGACCATCTGGTTAACTTATTGATAATGACACATTAAAATCTGATGATTTATTAATTTTTACATGTCATTTCAATGATCTGGACAGTACGGAATTAGAATATCTACCTTTATTTTAGTAACGGAAGCAAAAGTAATACTTATTCTCGATGTCTACACGTTATGTCTCATGAGAGCCACAAAAGAAACATGAGTAGTGTCTGTCTTACTTACATACTGTCACACTTAGTTACTAACCACCACGACAAATTTTCAACACGTGCACATTGGTATGTATCTCATAAAAGAAGACTATAAGATGATCCACTTCTTTTCCAAAATTAAGCTACTTGTTGTGCTGTGTCTCTAGAGGTATTTATAAAATAATCAGGACAATGTATCCTACCATTATTATCATTTTATATTCTCATTGAAATTATTTTATACATTTTTAAAAAAATACCATTCTTTTCAGGAATAAAATGCTGCTCAAATGTATAACATCCTTCTGTCATACTCTCGTTTTTTATGACGTCAATCTTTCTGGATTAATATTATTAAAGGACAATATGACCATTGGTCAGTGATGGTAGTTCAATTATGTCCAATACTTCCACCATATGTCTCATTTGATGAATTTTAATTCAAATCTATCGGTCACTTCTGACAATTTGATCAGCAGTCTGAAAAATATCAACCCTTTTAAATAATGACTAACAAAAGATAAAAATTAATGGAATAAATTTGGGCTTTCACACTAGAAATAAATCGTTGAGATATTTTTTAAAGAGTTCATGAGTCTTTTATGTTATTCCGAAAGCAATGATTGCTCCTGCTAGTGGAATATAATTATTTAAACATCAAGCAAAATTTGATAATGATGAAATAATGTTGCCAGGAATTTAATTATATATGTGAATGAATTTAAATTTACCAGGGGGGGCTGAAATATTTTAGGGTTAAAAGGAAGGTTTCGAGACATTCAGACAACATGGCCAAAGTTCAATAACATAGCTATATTAAAATTGGCTTATCAGTTGATCAATCTAAGGCGTTGTGTGTTATATTAATCATTGAGACAGGAAATGATTGGTAGGTACAACACGTGCAATTCATGCTTTATATGTACGATTGAGGGCTGATTATAGTAAAAGGGTTGGAAAAAATGAATCAGATCAGTGCCACCTGCCCTATCATACGTACATTTTTATACAAGAAAGTCTTTTATATGATATATAAATGAATTTGTAATTTTTATTAGTATGTTATTCATTTGATAATATTTTACAGAAACCACAACCAGGCAGATGGTAGAGGTATTTTGTTTTAGTGGCATTTTATTCACCGAAAAAAGAATCAATATCACAACTAAAGTAACTCACGAGCTGTAGAACAGGTAAATCAAGACTTGGCCACTATTTAAAATGTATATACCTTGATTTTCAAGGTCATAGTTCGAATGTGAGTAAGAACAAAAAGTCTAAACATTATAAAGAACGAGTACATAGAATGAATAAGATGGCAGAAATGTCAATTTGACAGACGTGAGAACCTGCCTAAAGCCATCATTCTTCTCATGAAGCATCAATAAAGACCAAAGAAATTTGCATGAAAAATTCTAAAAGTTGTTCTAAAAAGAATGAAGGGAAACAAATATTCTGCTATGAGCATATGATATTTTTTGTTGGATTTTAACAATAGTTGCTCTAGGGTTCAGAGAATCTATTACTGAAGAATAAGAAAGTAGCATTGATATTCTAACAATAATTAAATTAATTTAAAAAAATTGAAATACATTGTATCTATTAACTAGTTCAATTCATCAATTGATAATGATAAAAAATGAACCAAAATTATTATTGGTGACACGTGGCGAGTACTTACATGATCATTATGATGGCATATGCACATGAAAGTACACAATGCTAAACAAATGGAAAGTCATGTAGTGGAATACAGGGACGTATGTTACTGGATATAATTTTCATTTTATAAAATAGATGAATATCAGTTGATCTCGTGCTTATCCATCTGCATATGTGGCTCGTGCGAGCTACCCTGTCACCTCAATTGTCACTAATGATTTTTTTATCATTTTCCAACACCTATTGTCAACCGTTAAAACTCTGTTAAATATGTTAGCACATAAAGTGACAATTATAGATCTAAAATGAGTATAATTGGTTGGAATTAGTGAAAGATAATTATCCAGAATTAATTCAGTTGGTGAACGTTAAATGTTTGATGTTAAAAAAAGTCATTTCATTAACGGACAAGTCTATGATGCGGGGCCTGATGAAAATGATGATGAAGGTAATAGTTAATACCTAGTTTGAATACATGAAATGTGCAAGGAATATTGAATTGTAGGTACCAATGTTGCGGTAAGCCAATAGATGGTCTCTATCTTGATGAAAGTATGCTGCATGTGAATATGTATAGCCAAGCAAAGGTAATATGGGGGTGCACATTAGAATGAAAGATGCAGCTGTCCCGTATACAGACGATGGTATACTGCACCAAGTAAATGTTCCAATAACGACAATAACAGAAATCTTGGTTTCCTCTGCATATATCAATCTTCTATGTTCGTTTACTTATTGCATTGGACAAACACTATTTCCATGAAAATAAAAATATTTACTTACGTAACTGAAGTGAAATATTTATATGACGTGTGCTGCAGGAGAATGCATTCTGCGGTAAGAGAAAATGTCCAGCTCAAAGAGGGCTCTTTGATAAACTACAATAAAAATTTTATCCTAAGTATACAAAAAATTGCTAATGGCTTTCAAAAAGTCTTTTCTACCTCAATAACGACTGGAATATATGAAAAAAAATTACCTCTGCACAGGAAAAAAAAACATCTTTGCACATATTTATTTTTAAGATATGAAAATATTTCAATTTGATACACTGATGAGCTTTGGATCCTCATTTTTTTCTTCCATTCATGATGAAAAATATTAAAAAATATCAATAATTCATAATCTTGGAAAATCCAGCTGGGTTTGTCATATCTGGCAGTTTAAGTCTTCAAGAAAATAAGTTTCTTTACGTTGGAATAAGTCAAGGCAAAAGATCAAGAGTTTAGTTTTTATGATGAAAACAGGAAAAAATGAATCAATTGATACAGAACATTTTTTTGGATGGATTTAATTCAGGTGTTGGCGGATAATATGACATGATGAAAAGCTTGAAAACATCCTACACAAAGATGGTTTTGACGTCCTAAATGTCCACAAAAGCATCCATCATCGATTTAGAGTAGATACTTCTTTCTAGCCATAAAACTGAAAGATGAAAGAATCAGGGCGCCTGAAGCTGCAATACCTGAAGCAAGATGCACACAATGGCTCAGTGCATTTTTAAAGTGTGTAGGAGATGTGGCAAGATGAGTGTATTATTGTAGTGAATAGAAAATATGGGAACTATAGCAAAGAAGCCGGAAAATAAGAAGATTATTTCAACGATGAAGTATGAATATCGATTTTGCGGTGAAAAGCCATCTGTCACTAAAGAGTCCACTAAATGGTTTCAATGTATCCTGACGAATGTATATCTTTAGAAATGTTACAGCTTTAAGTAGCTTTAATAAAAGCAAACCGTAGCTTCTCTATTGTTGACCATGTCAGTCTATTTAGAGTAATTGATTTTAACTATCACATCTACTCATCACTGGCGCGTGCAATAGACATCATTTATTATTTCATTTTTTAATGTAATTTTTAGTTTAAAAAATTGTTTTTTTGGTGATAAAATATGTTAAGTCTACGTAAGTCTTGCTGATGAGTTGGATGAGTGAAGGGCACGTGCTAAGGAGTTCATACAAATTTTGCTTTCAACTTCTTTTATTTTCCTTCTTCTATTTCTCCTTCATTAAAGGTAAAAAAAAATAGTTTGTAAGACTTTGAAAAGTTGAAGTCTGAATAGTATGTACTGTTCGTAGGATTAGTCTGCTTTTTTAGCATTTAACGGCCAAAGGATTGGTGGCAACATGAATAGAATAGGAGTACGAAGAGAATCGAATTTAAGGGTATTATATTGAGGGACAATTTGTACTTCCGTCAAGCATACAAGCAGAATTTTTTTCTTCATCCTCGTGATTATTTCTTCAACCGCATTACAGCTAAGTCTTCCCTTTTCTATTCCTCCTTTTGACTTTGCTGGCGCTCGTGCTCTCAAGCGCAAATTTATGAATTAATAAATAGCAATCCGAGGGAGTTGGCTTCTAAGTTGAATTGACAATCTCATATATTAAATACAATTGAAGTGTGGTTTTCACGCGATCATGACTCTTGAGAATGAAAATTCCATTCAGGAATTTACACAAGCGATTAACTTTCTCCAAAGCCTTGGTGTTTACTGCTCCAAAAAGAAATTTACAAGCTGATCAGCTATGGTCATTCCAAGGAACAATTCATATCATTTCACGCTATTTAAACTTGACTTTATTTTATTAAAATCCAACAAAATATTTAAGTTGACTTGGTTTTATTCCTGCTGAAAAAAAAATCAATAGTCAAAGTTTCTTAAAATATATTCTTCTGAGTACCTTTGGATGGAATAATATATGTGTAGCACGTGCCCAAATTTAAATTTATCTCCAAAAATCTATGGTAAGTATTTAAATAAATAAATTCCGTAGCTCTTAATACCTTCAGATTTTCTGAAATAAATTTCATCCATCCATGATAATATTCTAACCAGGATAATGCTGACTAAAGGATAATTTGTCATTGTTCATAAATCTCGTGTTTTTAAAGATCCACTCTCGACAGTTTATCAATGTAACTCGTGACTCATGAGTATATTTCTTCAATATATAGTAGGGGAGATTAATAAATGGTTACTCTACCCTTTTTTTGCTTGCGACATTTTTCTAATACCCTTATTTTATTTTTAAATCGTCCATTTAAAATTATAAACGTTCACGTGGCTACAATTTATCAACATTTTTATGCTTATCAGAATAATTGAATTTAATTTATAGAAAATTTGTAAAATAAATAACAAAAAATTACGAGAATTATAACAAAAAATTTTAATTCGTTATAAGATGTTATCTCCAATGAAAAGGTCAATCCACCCTCTGTAATTGACAAATAAAATTGTACTTTCATTGCATGAACTTTTACATTTGGTGATAAAAATTTTGAAAAGTCATACAGTGGAGTCAATATCAAAACGAGGATCACGTAATGTGAGTTGGGCAAAAGAGGGTGACTTTTGGTGAAGTGGCAGAGGTGGTAAAGGTCTGAAATAAACTTTAGGGAAGGGATGATAATGAGTAGTGGGGGGCTTACCGGTTCAGTCCCTACCTTTATATGAACCCATAACATATACGACTGTAGGCCTAGGGTAATCCCCTACCCTTCGAAGCTACATAAGGCCCCAGTGAATAGTTTTACCATGTCAGTGGTTTAACAGCCGTTGTCGCGCCGACATACATCGCACGTTCGCGATCGCGGGCTATGCCACGATTATTCTAGTCGTTACGATTTTATTAATTAATTCAAATCATTAATTGTTGTTCTGTAAAAAAAAAAAAAATATGTTTTAATATTCAACGTTATGTGGATGATTTATATTAAAGTGAATTGATTGACATTTTAATTATTACGGATACCTGAAGAAATTAGTCGAGCATTGCTGACAGTTACTGGATGAAAATTTGTGCACTTTTGTATTTTACAAATTATTCAAGTGAGTTATTATTTTTATTTATTATTAATTAATATTTAATTATTAAAAAATAATTAAAATAATTAAGTAATAAATAATGACAATTAAGTTGTCTTTAAATGTTGACTGATTTTTATTTTTGCAAAGAGTCAAAAGTTCCTAAAGATTTACTGCTTTTTACTGCCCTTCCAAATGACCACATCTGTACAGCATGTTTTCAATAATTTCCATGACGTAGAGTATAAATTTATTACATTTTAGTGGGAGCTGACCAACATGGTCAAGCAATGTGAGATTTTATACGGTAATAAACTATCTTTAACTCCATTTACTTTCGTGATAATTTTAGAAAGTTCCCTTCTCTCTTTTTAAAAACTAGCTGATCTGTCATATATTTCACACATTTTATTGATATATTTCCAGTAGAACTAATTTTTATATTATTTTCGTATTGGATCAACTATTTATTTATTCTAGAATCGAATTTATCTATTGTTATTCTTCAAATTGTAGCAGAACAAAATTGGAAAATAAAAATAATATTTTTAAATAATAGCTTGATGTAACAAATTACATCAACATATTGAAGAATCGGGTAAATTTTTTAATATTTTATGTAACGTTCAGTTCCATTAGCATTCAACGTCAGGACTTGAGTAGTTTATTTACATGTAAATATTCTTTTCCAAGGACTTTTAAAAAGAACGTTCTCGTGTTTAAAAAAATATTCCGCCAGTTTGTGAAATCCACGCATGGTTGAAAGGGGTTCACTATCTTTCTTTTTTTTATCACATTCACTTTAATTGCTACTGGTTGCATGTTGATCAAAACTGATTTTCAATCTCACGAGATATATAATAGTATCACTCCAAAAAATATCAGCTGATCATTATATCGATAATCATTATCCTGATCAATCTTCCATCAAGCTGGCTCTTATTATAATTTTTTCCAAGCTCTTATAGAACCTTCAGCATCAGATAAACCTGAGGAAAGACAAAATAATTAAATATTATTATATTTCATGAGAATCTTTGAATTTTTTTATTTAGTTAAACGAAAAAAAAAATTCGGACAATAAAAATAGGCAGAGAATTTTCAACGACTAGGGTGAATAAAAAGAAAAACAAGTGTTATAATCTTGAATCAAAAGAGAGTGGATAGACATAAAGAAGATTCACAAATAAAATCAACTGTCCACTGTCAAAAAGAACGAGCGAGTAAGAATAAAAGAGAAAGATTGGGTCGTTTAGATTTCAAAGAAAAAATACGCCAAGTAAAGTTTTTTAGATTGGCACATGCGTGAGGAGAATACATCTGCCGATCGAAGAGAATTGAGAGTAAAGAATCAGTCGAAAAGTATAACAAGAATACTTTGGCAAAGAGCAAGAGCGTGAAACGAGAAGACGGGTCCTATAGAAAAGATTTGCCCTTCTCTTTTCTTTTTGGCACTATTCTTTTTTACTCGGCTTTTACTCACCCTCTCTATACATTTATCCCAGTTTAAAAAGCCCCAACATACCCCAACATACATACCTACATATATGTATATAAATATACGCGAGATTTGAAAATTGCAGTCAACCCCTAAAAGTTCTCTCATTGATTCTCGCGTCCGGTTCTCTTTAAATGTCCCATCAGACATTTCTCCACAGGATACTGCCCTTGATCCATTGTTCCAACCTTTATTTCGAGGTTCGTCTTTGCCTTAAACCTGCCTCCATATGTGCTAACTTCTATGAGCAAATCAGGGCATGCGTAACCTGGAAAAAAAATGTAAAATAAGACTAGTTGAAAAAAATAAAGAAGAATACGAAAGAGAGAGAAACATGGTCCAATGCATATGCATAAGTGCTCAAAATTCAGCCGAGTTATAAAAAGACATGTGTGCACGTGACTGGTTAGAGCTGTTTGATATATGCAAAAAAATCCTGCTACAAACAATATTGAAGACATTCATCTTTCTTGTATCATGGGAACGACATGGAGAGAGAGAGTATATCAAGGCAGGTGTGACGTAAATGTGTGCTATCTATTGTTTTATATATTGACTCAGGATGTTTGGAATCTCAGCATGCTTCCTAGCTATAACAGAAACCACATAGCATGTGTTCAATGTCTTGGCAATATAAATTAGAGCAATATAGACTCTAGATGAATACCTAAAAAGGTAAAGCAACGTTGGAGCAACTTTTGTCAGTTGACAAATGTCCACTCCAATAATTTATCGGTATAAACAGTTGATGTTGGTCTGAAGTCCTTGGTAGACTTTGAAAAGATAAATAAACAAATAATTTATCAATAATAATAGCTTATAAGAATTATTGAGCAAGATGTAATCCTCCAATTTTGATCATCAAACCACATACAATGATGGTGATTATTTTTAATTCCTCTCCTATAGATATTTTTTTTCAATATAAAATTTAACAATATTGAATGCAATATACCTTGGGGCACGAAGATTACATATAAGAATGGAAGAAAAGAGCGTTGATGCATATGTACGTTGGTTGATCCCCTAAACTAGATGAATAGCGACCATTTTCTTTCGCGATTCGACCGAAACGTTTCGCGTTTTCTGTTAGAGAGCTCATGTATGTTAGGATTTTTGGATCTCCCCGTTGTGTAGAAACACACACTCAAGCCAAAAATCAGGTACGAACCTTTGCTCACCTGCCTCCTTTTCTCCCCAGGCCCCTTTAATCGCATTCTTCAACTCCAAGATTGAACGCGAATCCCCCTGACATGGTTCTAACCTTCACTTTCCCATTCTCTTTTTCTATCTTGCTCTTTTTATTGTACTCATCTTTGTTTCTTTTTCGACACATCTAGCTGGAACAAGACTTGGATCCTCGTGCTGTCTTACCACGTGATCCTTACTGGAATGCCACTCCTTAGTCAATACCAGTTTTTTTCCATCTCCTTCTGTTTTATCTTCAACTTCTTTCGTTGCTTCATGTGTTTAGTTACTTCAAACTCTTTCAAGGTACATCAATGAACCCCATAATATTTTTTAAAACTTCATAAAAAAATAATTCCTTTTATTTTTCTTGCCACGCCTGTCTATCGTCATCTATTGTCTTCCAAGTTTTTTACGTATTTTTCTTAACTTTTTCCTCAATTCTGCTGTTTCATCACAACTTGTGTGTATACTTTTATAACAGCATAACTGATCAACAGGTAAAAATTCGTTGAGCCACTTTACCTTCCTTTAAGAAATCGTCGACATCCGTGACCTCTTCAACTTCTTAACTTGCGGATGATGATAATTTAAAGAAATACGGAAGGATATAAAGAAATGTCGTTTGTTTTTTGTCACTTTTAAGTTGACCAAATGTCGCATAAAGAAAACCTCTTCTTTAATTACAGATACAAAAAAAAAAGCACCAAGAGATAATTATGGTTTGATTAAATCTAATCTCCCTGGTTTCATCATACGGGATTATAAAAGGATAACTAGCAATTTTTGTGCATGATACCCCTGACCTATAACCTCAGCAATATTCATTGGAGCATGTACATAAAGAGTATGAACCTAAAAAAAAAGAAGACCAGCTATAACGGTCGTTTCATACATTATATATTTTATTTTTTACCTCTTTCCTTGTGGCTTCTTCTCATAGCATTTATTCGCGTTTCTTATTTCATTCTCTTTTTGATACGTAGAAGGAGACAGAAAAATTCAGACCTGGAACACGAAAAAAGTACAGCGGATGGAAATAGAAAAAGGACAATAAAAGAATTGTTCCGAAAAAAGAAGGGGAAACTAAACCCTAGATTTATAATTGTTCGTTATTCAACCTCTTCTTTTTTTTTATTCATCTCAGCTTTTATATCCTACTTCTCCTGGCTTTATGAATATCTCATACAGTAAACCTGTCGCCTGATATACATTTACCTGTTTTTTTTTTATTGCTTTTCATATCTGCTATATGGGAATTTAAAAATATGAATCATGTAACAATAGAAAAAACAGTTGTACCATGTTGCTTTCAATTGTTACATTGTTATATATATACTTATTTCATAATTCATATAAATAAAGCATTTAATAATACCTGAGTCAATTGATCAAAAACAATTGTTCCCAAAAAAATAAGTAAAAATTCCGTTGAATAATTGGAGAAAATATTGTTGATATTTTGTGTCATTTTGTTCAACATTTTAACCTAAAAATAAAAATAAAATATATGTATATAATAAAAAGGGTGGGAAAAAGCCATACACAGCCGTTATTAGTCAACATCAGATAAATATCTTTACTTTGAAATAAATAGAAATGCAGGTGAGCCCCACATGATGTTTGTTCCTGTAGAGAAAATGGCTTATTCGTTCATTCATGACGCAATCAATTGTTAAAATTATGTAAATAAGACTATCAAGGTTTAAAATCGTAATTGCACGAGTATTTACATAAAGAATGACATCAAATAGACCCCCCTCAACGATAAAGAAAAATTTTATTCACTCATCAATTAAACTATAAACCACTGAATTAATCTCTACATATAATAAGTATTGTTATACTATTACAGACATAACCTGTTGCTATAATTTTTTATGCACACGATATCATCTATTTAGATGCGATAACATATGCTCTAAAGGGTCTCTATTACCTAACATAAAAGAAATATTAGCACCGGTGCAATTTTATTGTCCGCAATCAACCGCAGATAATTTAACCTTAAATCACAAGTTCATAAAAGTATTATTTTTCAGATACTTTGTGGTGATATTTTTAAAAATCTGTCAGTAGATAAATGTTATTCTTGTTTATCATGACAGCATAAATGTTCATTGAATGGAAGTACTTGATTTTCAATGGTATAAAGATCGATATATTTTCTTGAAGTTGTTGATGCGGAGCATAAACCATTTAGAGTTCTTTAAAGTAGTTTAGTGCTCTTTATAAATCGATAAAAAAAAATAAATAATACATTATCTGATTGGCATAATTTCGGCAGTGATCCGAATGAGTTCTTGAACTCACGTATCGTATGTAGATTGCCAGATGACGGAGTAACCAGATGGGCAGGTGCCCCCTCAAATAGTATTCGTCCCACACTCAAGTTTCTTTGACTTGTGTAGCCCAATGCATTTACTAATGGCTTTAACCTTTACGTGTAAGTGCATACATGTGTAATATTATAGACTGCACACATGATGTACCTATATATGGAGTTAAATACAACACAAGCATTCGTATAAACTGAACACAAATTTAAATAAGTCTATAAATGCATAAATGGTGTATTTGTAAATGTGACATGACGGAATTCACTGGTGAAAAAAAGGCCGCTCGCGTGCATACAGCAACAGCCTGTATGCAAATGAATGCGTTTTTATGCTTTAACACTGACAATAGCTTACTCATATGTGCACTCTTTCTCTTTCTCTTTTCCTAGTATACATGTCCCTACCCCCCTTCGAGAGGAACCGTTAAAAGTTAAAACCTGTTGGCTTTAGGTGTGTGAATGCAATTTTTAAGTTGTACACGATATTTTGCTAACTATTGTTATGTAGAGTTATATTTATTATAGGGTATTTGAGAATTGATTTTCCTTGTTAACACCAATTAACTTTTCATTGATTAACTGGGGTGATGAGAGTAACACTTGTTTGCTGATGATGTAATCATATTTGCCCTTATTTATACCTGGAATGATTTAATCAATACATTTGTACATATTTGTGATAATTACAAGTTAAATACTCAAAAAAAAAATATTCAAGGTAATATTACCAACTTTTAAAGTGAAATAACACCAAAAAAAATAAGGTTATTTTTAACCCTACATTGCATACTGAAAAATTAAAATATAAAATAAAATATCTATTCATTTATTGAATTTTAATTTTTTAAATTATTTTTTCAGGTGTCTAGACCTTGAGTAACACACATATTTTTTTTAGACTAAAAAAAAAAATTATGCATTGTAGGGTTAGGTGGCTGAAGTCTTTTCTGTTTGGAGTAATCTTTATCTAAGATATTTTTTTAGGTTAAAAATTGATAAAATATTTTAGACAGTGTAGATCTAGACATCATTTAAAATTTATTGACGCCAAAGCAATAAATAGTTCTCCAAAAATTTTATCGTATCAACACAAATGTCATTTCAAAAGAAATATATTCTATAGAAGATCAATATCAGAAAAGAATGTACTTCAAAGAAAATGTCTGTGTTTCCGTTTTATTTTTATTTTATATCTTTTTAAATTTAGTTATACTTTTTCTAGACATGTTTTCATTATCGATTTAAGAATGAATAACGTTTCGTTTACCCAATCACAAAAGAATAATAACCGCGTTAACTTGTAAAACCGAAAAAACTCAGGTGCACATAGAGTAAAGCCCTCTTTTGCGTGGTTGTCAGAGGTTCACCTGTTTTGCTGTTTCCCGTATGCTACGACAGGTGCTCATCTATTGTTATTACCATCGTAGCGCCAAGCTTCTTCTGTCCTATCCTTTTTCTTACGGGTAATTAAGTGTACGTACCAAGAATACTTTTTACTGACCTTCCTATACCTTACTAACTTTAAACTTAATTTCGTCTTTTTGAAAAATACTCAACACGCCTCCTTGTTAAATCGACCAATTCCCATGTCAACTCTTCCGTACCCTTAGCACTTACTACGCCACAAAAATTAGTTTAATTAAAGTATAATGAAGGCAATCATCTCCATTCGTCAACTTCAATCGTAGATTTTTTAAATAAGATTTTTTTTATAACAGGTGTCAACATAGTTATTAATTCAAATACTTGGATTTTGAGTACACGGGAAAAAGAAAACATTACTTAGTACTGTGCTACTCAATAATTTCTTTAATTAATGAAAATGAATCTAAACCTGAATGATTTACAGTACTGTAATGAGTGATAATGAAGAGTTAGTGCAAGCTTTATTAAAATTGTTTGACAGATCACAATTAAGTTGCATAAAATCTAAAAAATGGTTTATTATTGTAATTTTTCCAGAAATGCTAAAGTGGGCAGTGTCTAGATCATTATCAACTGCAAGTTCGACGCCTCATGGTCCACCTACAATGGATAGAACTAGTCGGCGGCCTTTCCGTGACCTTTCCAACACACCACCTGCTGATGGCTTGAAATCAAGAATGACATCACAATCTGTAGCTGAAGGAGATCAGAACACAATGTCACGACCCACCCCAGGGCGTCGAAGACGCTGCAGGAGTCATGGAAGTGACCTTCGTACTTATTTTCAAGTGAGTACTGATGCGATTAATTTTATAATTTTTCTTTCCAAGTCACTTGAATGAATTTTCAAACAAGCCGTTATAATTACAGGCTACGAAACCAAGTTTGAGACGTCACAAGCGCCAATCTATCGCCAACGACTCTCTAGATTCTCCAAAGACAGAAAGCTCTTACCAAAGTACACCCCGAGTAGACACTGACATCGGTCCTTTAACCTACATTCCTGAATGCATTACTAATGTTAGATATTCTACAGCGTTAACGCTGCCAACAGACCCAACATCATTACCTCGCACCTACCCAAAGGTGTTTCAGCATGTCAACAACACTGAACTACCTCAGAACGTGATGAATGAAGCTCGAGTAAACTTCCAGTCTCATATATCAGACTTTTTCCAACAAATATCTGTTGCTGGTAGTCCGGAAGATGTGATGGAAGCTGGTTCAGTGTCTCTAAGAAAACCAAATTTATTTCACAAATATCAACAAGATGCAGTTCAATTAGCTTCTAATGAATTAAAAATACCTTCTTATTCAAAATTTACTCGGACTCATAAATTAAGTACGAGATCCAAGACTCCTTATCATACAAAAGCTCCAAAGAGTCCAAGTACAATTAAAGAAACTCCACTTGTTGGAAGCTTAGCTGAGTTGAGAATTGATCAAGACATTCCCAAGTTTGAAAATATGGACAATACAGTAACAGAAGTGCTTTCTAGGCAGCAAAAACAAAACGTAGGAAGTAAGACAGTGGCTGAAATTTTAATGTTGGATGTCGATGAAAGAAAGAAGGTTTTAGAAATGAAAGATGAAGAGAAAAATGTGTCAGAAGATGAAGAAAACAATGAACAAATAGATGATGAAAATAAAGCACCACATAATGATAGTACTGTTTCTTCAGCTAGTCAACTTCTTGAAGATCCTTCACCTATTTCTTGGGCTTTCAGGTCCTTTTCTAATGACTCTGATAGCGAATTTCCTTTACGCCGGCAGCGAGGAATCAGAAGAAAACGCCAACAAAGGGATCAAGGATCCAATAAAGAGTCAGCCAGCAAGAGAGTTAAAATGGGATCACAAAGTGTTAGTCCAGCAACAAAGAAAAAAATTCTAGAAGAGGTTCAAGAACCTCTGGCCGAGGCTGTGAATGTTTATGTCAAAAAGCCACCACTTGAGACTGACTTGGATTCTCCGTTAGATAAAAGAAATAGCAAGGTATTGAGTCAAAGTCAAAAAGATGAAGAAATAAATAAAATTCATCCATGGGATTCAGAAAGTCCTAAATCATCATGGATGGATGATGTTTTAAGCTCTAAGAGTTCATTACTACATTCTGCTACGGTAACTCCTGAAGCACCTCTCATTGCTACTGTAAGACGATGCCTTAAATATAGTCCTGACATCGAGATACCAAGGACACAGACTCGAGGGTCTATTGAAATTGAATGCAATGTTATCGGAGATTACATCCACGTACGAGGTTGGTAAATTTAATTATCGTTCATGTATGAAATGATTACTGAAAATAAACCCTCCTCTTATCTCTCTCTCTTTCTATTCTTCCTTCATCTATTTTTAATTTTTTTTAGTTGAAAGTTTTCGAGAAATCAGATCAAGCAGAAAAACTATTAATGATCTACTGAATAAATGAAGTATTAATGCTACATAAACTAGCTAAAGTGATTCCAATGTATTATTAATTTGATTCTATCCTCTATAAACCGTCTTACGTCATCGGAAGCTCCAGCTTTATGGAAATTAGGGTGAAATACTGGAATCGACACGTTCCTGGAAGATTGTCAGTACATGCGCATGATAACAGACCATCTACTGTTTCTCTCTCTAGTTTATCTTGTTGTTCCTCCCGGAATAGAGTTGGAGGGAATGAGAGACAAGAGTCAAAAGTAAAGAACCTGTGACTACGTTCCTGACTGATATTATTGCGCAATCGCGAAGATACTCTTCTTCCTTTTTTTTACCTCCGCTTTCTTTGTCTATCACATTTTATACTTGGCGTCCCTTTGGGGTAAAGTTCCAAGTGGTACCGAGTGTGCCAGTAACCCACAGGCCTTTCTACCGTCTCTATATTGGTTAGTAGGTTTTATCACTCTATTTTCATTATTTCCACGTCAGTTATCGTTTATTTATCAAATCCAATAAAATAGATTTCAAGTAAAAAATTATTTATAATCAAATAAAACAATGTTTCTTGGTGAAATAAACAATAATTAATTCTTTACTTAACTATAAAAAGTGTAGTTGTGGTTAGAAAGTACAAAATGTGAATAAAAAGTTGACAGAAGCTTGACAAAATCCAACAGAGAATAAGAAGGTCTTTATCGTCTATGAGAGGGAAATGAAAAATGTACATTAATACTGCATTGAATAAATCAAGCTAGTAAAACAGTAGTGTGACAAGTGATACAGTCAGCCACGACAGCAAAGTCTTTACCTAAAACTCTTTTTCTATTTACCATTCTACCTTTCATGCTTTTATTTATTACCTTTAATATCTTTATCAAACAACTAAGAAATAACATTTCAATTTTATTATCCAATGATATTACTTTCCAATCCATCATCAATCATCAGTTGTTGTTTTTTTTTATTATTTATCTTAATAATTAGTTTTTTTAAGTCATACTTTAAATGTATTATCAACAAATAATCTTTATGAAAGATTTTCATTCAATACAATTATTGCATTATTTATATTTAATTTTTTTTTGTGATAGTGATTCGTTGCAAGGATCTTAGAAGAACATACAAGGGTCCAATTCACGCCTACGTGAAGGTAAGCCTAAAAAATTCGTGTGGTGAAGGTGTAGTGAAAAGAACTGCAGTTCATCGTGCAACTCCAAATCCAGTATTCCACGAGACACTTATTTTGCCAAGTCCAAGTAATTATAGTTGCATCAATAAGTCTACATCACTAGATATTGCTGTTTGGCATCGTGATCGTAGAGCAAGGTAAACCAATTCAACTATTTTATTAACTTTTTTTTTTTTTTAAATCCTCTCTCTCTCTCAATTATTTCTAAAATTAAACTTGTTTTTATTTTCTTTTATATTTAAATAAAAATAGCTCGTTTGTTGTTACGTAACTGGATGACTTTGTGTCGATTACTGTTATGTATTGAAATTCTTTGATACTTTTAGTTCCATGTCGAGAATTTATTGTAAATCAAAGTACCTTCCGGAGCATAAAATACGAATATCAGAACAAGTTCATTTAGTAATCGGGAGAGGGGAATCGATTGTCAGTGCAGACATGCGCATGACATTTAATCCACGTGCGAAAATCCTATCTTAAGTGATTCTGTAGACTTAAATTAATGTTTAAGCTCTTGGAATAATTATTGAACAACTAATACCTAATTTAAATTGATAATAACATTGTAATAGGATGTATAATAATATTTAATGTCTTTTATAAAGAACAATTGATTTATTTAATTTTTATTTTTAATTACAGACGTAGTGAACTCCTGGGCTGCATGACTCTACCTTTACCCCTGGCACAGGATAAGGTAAGGAGCATTGATTGTTATTATATATATTGTTTCATAAATAAAACATGAGAGAAACTGAGTGAATAATGAGAGAAAAAGTTTCAAGTTTTAATGTAAAAGTTTCATATAATCATGATTTAAATTTACTCATATTAAAATATATATTAAATGGATTTTTTATCCCTTCTCCTCTCCTCTTTCTCAGAGGTCATGGTTAAGTCGATTATCCAATCAGCGAACCGCAACTATTTTTTTTTTCATCTACCTTTGCACAATCGTTGCAGTAAACTCGTGAAAGACACAAGTGTTTATTTTGTTCTGATCTTGTAAAGTTGATGATAAATTAAATTGAATAGTAAAGGAAGCCTTAAATAAAACAAATATAATATATTTTTTCTCAGTATCTATTTCTAAAAGACAAGTTCAATAAAATATTTCATTTTAAAATGATTGTCGTAGCTATTTACTGTGTTGCATTTCTCGTTGCTGGAATTCTTCTGAAAATTTTCACTATTTGTTAACGGGATATCTACTTCTGGAATTTATTGATTGCTGTTCAGACAAAATGTGATTATTTAAATTTCTTTAAATTGGTTTAAAGTATTTATAAAATGTTTATTCGTTATTTTTTTTTTTATTGATAAGGAAAATAAAATTAATTTTATGGTTGTTATAGGAAGCGACATGGCACCCTCTGGAAGTAAGAACCGGCCGAAATACAAGTACACCTTATGCAAAATTACCCCAAGAATGTGCAGTGTCTTCACCGCTATCAAAAGACGGAGATCAAGTAGATAATAATTCTTCCAATGCTGATGATCTTACTTATCTGAGACACCTTGAGTTAGAACCTCTAGATCCACTCACTGGTTTACCACTTAACCCTGGATTCACCGCAAGAGGCGGAAGAACACCGTGCACAATCACAAGGCGATTGATTAGACAAAATGTAGCTAATCAGGTAAATAGACTATCACATTCTAAACCAAAGCCATCAATCTAATTTCGTAGGAACAAATATTAGAATATTATACCTGGAATAGTTGTTTTTTTTTTATCAGCATCAACATGTTATTAAATGATTTTTCATTTGATCAATTAAAGGTCCCATGGGGTTTCTCATTATCGTGGGGACGACCACCACGGGTAGAACGTGTAGACCCTAATAGCCCAGCAGAGCGAGCGGGTTTAAGGCCAGGAGATCATGTTGTATTTGTGGACACGACAAATGTTGTCACGCGAGCTCGCGAGGATATACTTAACCTGATTCAAGCTGCCACTAATCAGTTGATTCTTGAAGTTTACCGCAAATCAGGACCTCATGTCAGTAGCACGCAACGACCAAGCCTGGTGAATGTAACGCTGCAGCCTGTGCCTCCTGATCATTCCCATGGTCAACAAGCGATCGCCTTCACCGCTGAGGTCGGTACAGGCGTATTAGTTTAGAATTTTAAATTTCAACAACTCCCCTATTATCCATTAATTGCTTCATTATTATTTATTCAATTGTATTATTATAATTATAATGATTTTTTTATGTAATAATTCATTATTGTTTCTTGACGTTATTTGTTCGATGATTGCTTGTACTACAGTGAGAGTAATGATAATTGCGAAGATATTAAAGTAAAAAAATGAAAAAAAGGCAAACTTTTAGCGAGTAATGGATAAGTCTAGGAAAAAATGTCTGCTGTGTTATTAATTTTTTTTTGCTTTATTTTCATTAAGTTTAACTATTTTACTTTTTTTTTATTATTATTAATATTAATGTACATGATGTATTATTAATTATTATTGATTATTTCAATAATTGTATATGTTTTATTTTGTATTTAATTGGAGTCAGATGACCAAGTATACGTTGAACAGAGCTTATTATTATTAATAAGAGAAATAATAACTAATACAATGAGCAGTAATCATTTAAATTATTATTATTACTATCGCGAATAATATGACGTTTTAAAATAATATATACATTTTTTATGTTCGTTACCAAACGTCCAAGTTGTTCGTCTAATTATACTTAAACTAATTATCTAATCAACCAAGTCGCGAGAGTGAGATTACATTTTGTATTTTGTTCTTTTTTCTTTTTTGTTACCAATAAGTTTTGTTTATAAAGTAAAAACTGTGTTTTAATTTTTTTCTCCTCACCCTTTCCTATTTTTTTTGCCTTCAAATATTCCATTCAGGCCATGATAATAATTTATGCATGTACTTGTCAAAATATATACTATTCAAATTTTTATTCAATAAAAATATCTATTCTAGATCTAATTTTAGATTGATAGATTAGATTCTAGTCGACTCAGTTATTGTATAGAACAGTTAGAAAAATATTTTTATCAGTAGTTTTAATGATATAAAAATTTAAATGGATTGCTTTGAAGAGTAGTATCATTTGAAAAACAAAATATTATCTATTTTTGGGTAACATGAACTTTATCATATGAATATGACATTAAATTGACATTGAGTGCTTTAAAAAAATATCTTGGAATAATATAAAAAGTCTAGTTTAATTTAATCAATTAATTTGATGTCATATTATGAATTTAAAGCTAAATGAAATGAAAAAAAAGTCTCAATTACCCAAAGTATCCAAAGAAATCCTCTAGATTTTTCCAAATCTTGCACCGGATGCACCCCCTGAGGAGGAGCTGAGCATCAGAGAGACTCGTTACTGGAGTGTATTGAAAGGTGGAATAAGCCGTTTTTATACACCATTAGCAGAACGACGTGACATATTGTCAGCAACAGATCATACTATTCTATTCCAAAACCTAGAAGAATTATTGAAACTATCAGAAGAGATTCGAGATGAAGGTGGTGGTATTGACAGTTATTTAGTCCGAATACCTAGAATAACAGCAAGCTATCGGAGGTATTTGAGTGGTCTCCAAAGAGCTTGCTGTCTTCTAGTGGCATTGCGAAGAAATTCAGCTTTTGCAAAATTGGTTTGTGAACCTGCTGTGCCTCATAAACGTCGTCCTGATTTGACAGGAGTATTATTGCTTCCTTTAGAACACTACAGGTGAGAATGAACCTTGTCATAGTCAAGTTGAAATCTTATTAGTATGATTCCTTCAGAGAAATGACAAGGCTGCTAGGTCTAGCGTCTCCTAGGAATTGTCAGAAAGCAAGAGATCTAGCTCAAGGCTATAGAGAAGCAACTGCTAATGCTGGGGTTATGGAACCACCCCGAGACACTGGAAGACCTTTGTTAAGTTTACAAGAAGTGGAATCGCGATTGGTCTTTGCTAGATGCAAACCTTTTACCCTTGCAATGCCTGGCAGACAATGGTTGGTTTGTTCATGTTCATAATAATATCTATTCTCTTTAAAAATTATCTTCACTTAAATAATTACTTGTTAGATCATTGAATGTATATTCAAATAGTTTTGTAGAAATTTTTATCCAATTTTTAGAACATTAATTATTCATGTTTATAGTTAATAGATTAAATTTAAAAAGATAATAGTTTAAATAATTTTTAAATAATTAATTTTTAATAGTCCTCACTTCAAAGTGAATACAAATAACATAATAACATTCAGAAAATTCTTTCTAATCAAAGGCTCTTCGGTGGAGCACTGGCAAAGGTTGAAGGAAGACGTCTCCAACCAACGTGGGCTCTTTTATTAACAGATCTCTTGGTATTTGCTCGGGTGTCTCGTGATCGAGTTCTCTTTGTTACTGAAGAACCACTTCGATTATCAAACATCGCAGAAGCATGTTTCACCGTACGAAAACGGCCTACTGAATTCCGTCTCCAAGTATCAATCAATCAAAATGGTACTTATCAGAACGGACATGTAGACGTGACCCAAAGTGGTGGATGTAGTCCTCACAGTCGACCACGAAGACGTGTGCTAGTGTTACGTGCCCCTAATCCTGAACTAAAAGCTGTATGGCATAATCTCCTGCAACGTCAGATGTGAGTAGAAGTTTAATAACATTAATTATTTAATCCCTTGAAAGTCACCCCAGCCTCTGAATCATCTTCCCTTTAACTCTGCCCATTTTAGCATCTATGTGAATACAGGATTCACGGATACGTCGACCTTACCCAGTCCCGAAGAGAGTCCTTACGTTGGTAGTCATTATACAACTGCTTGTGATTCATCAGCTAGTCCTCAGGTATTACTTTTCATTCAAATAAGCTTTCTAAACTCCATCATTGTATAATACAATAATAAATGTATATTTCATTTATAGAAACTTTATAATGAGTTTTATTTTAATATTTAATAAATATTATATTTTATTTATATTAGATCACTATTTCAAGAAACTCTCATGAGCTCGAAGATAAACTCCAAGAGACAAGTTTGGAATCAATAGCCAAGAAAAGTAGCAGCTCGAATCAAGAAAATCATTTAGCACAATGGGTCCGAAATTCTCATCAAATACCACCACCTGATCATGAAATATCTCTGGAAGAATGGACAGCAGAAGAATTAGCTGCTCGTGCTCCAAAAGAGTCTTCAACGTCTTCAACGAATGTTCAAGTTCATGAGCAGGGAATTGAAGAAAATACTGTACCAAGTTCTGATCCTGATCAACACAGCACGACATCGAGTGCCAGCTTGTCAACCGTTAAATCTAGTAATGTTACCTTGAAGAAAAATGGAAAGGAAACACCTACTTCTTCGCTCAACATGTGCCGAAGGTGCCACAGGTGGAGTTTTTGTGTCGTGATTAGGATAGAATTTTCTTTTATAGTTAGCTTTTTTTTTGATCATTATGTTGCTCAACAGAATAAAATCCAACTGCATGTGTACAATTATTCTTTTGATATTGAGTTGATTATAGTAATTTTTTTAATGGAAGTGGCATTGAATGTTTCAAAGTTTCTTTAGCTGCTGTAATAAAAGTATTATTTTGTGCTTTATAGGAAACTTTTGTTGATAAGCATGCAATTTTACTTGTACATGAATGAATTTATATAAATAAATGTGTAATGTAGAGTATTAAAAACCGTTTAGTATAACAGGTGATGATAATTATAAAGAATTAAAATAATATTACAGATCTGGGTGTCCTACTCCACCTCTTCCACGAGACCCCTTCTCTCCTCTCCCACCAAAAATATCAGTACTTCCGCCAACACCAGACTTTTGCCCAAGTCACAGATTAAAGAATGGAATTCATGACAGTCCAAGTAGAAGCAGTACTAATTGTACTCCTGCTGATGGAAATACTGAAGATGGTAGTGAAGATGACTTAGACTGTGATGGTGAACCTCCTTACCGGTTAGTATGAATTTTTAAAATGTAATTTTGATTAAATAAATAATTGAAATAATTTTTAATCATCAAGAGCACTACGAAGATTCGGAACGATGAGTAGTTTAGATCAAGATGATGAATTAGATGAACAAGAAGACGATAATCAATGTCCAGAATCACCACCGTCAGGTTTAAGATCGTGGACAACACGAGCTAGTAATTTTGTCGTTAGTAAGATGGTCCTTTTAGAGCAATTAAGCGAAGGAGTAGGTAGTTATTTACTTCAACCACCTGTACCACCAGAAAGAACTGAGTTCTCTTTAGATCCTAATGACGAAGAAGGTACAACATCAGGAGGAACATCTGGAGATGACATCTGGGGTACACCAACTTCCGGAGGACCTGATGATGACAGTTTTACAGCAAGTCCAGTAAGTTTCATATAATATTCTTCATCCAGTTCATGAAAAAAAGTGGATTCTATTTTTTCCGACTTTTACTTCTTTAATCTAAAAAAAAGTTTATCATTAGACTTGAAAAATAAATTATTCTAAATAAGTTGCTAATATTTTATGAGTAAAAGTTTTAGAAAAAAGAACTACCTTTTTTCATCTATGTTTGAAGGTACAGATTCTTTGAGTTTTATCACTGCCGCCAGATTTATTGAAGCACCAATAGATTAGACTGTACCTTCCAACACCTGATGTGGAATAAGAGCATCAAATAGCAATGACCATTAGAAAATAAAGCTTCGCACGGCTCTGCATGATACAACGCTTTTCTTCTCTTTGCAAAAACAACTATTAAACAAAGCTGTTCATGTACCTGACAACTTATCTAGCCGTCAATCAATGGAAACATCACTGGAGAGGACAATTATGGACTGACATTGAATGCTGATGATGACCCTGATGAGAGTGGTGATTCTGAAGATTGTAATGTAACAGAAATCAATATGGATCAGTTACTTGGTAACAGTAATTTTTCATCACTTCGTTGCTTCCTGAACCGAAGAAGATTAGAACCACTACCGGAAGAGGAAGATTTATCAGCAAGTGGGAAGGACCAAGTTGGATGGTGGTGACAGAGGTTGTATTCTATAAGCTCCAAGATTGAAGATGAGGAAAAAAATAAAGAACGTGATGAAATATTCGCTAAACTGAGTCAAGAAGATGAAGAATTTCGAAAAAAAATTCTGGACCTTCATCGTAAGCTTTCAGATGTTGATGAAGATTCCGTCCAAGTTAAGACATCGGAGAAGAAACCTGAAAAACGAGTTACTCTGGTCGAAGCAACTCCACCTAAATCATCAGAAGGTGGAAAAATTCTCAAACCTGCCCTCAAGCCATTTTCTAAAATTAGTTCACTTGATAGACCGGAAACTAGTCAGAAAGTAATTGACAAGAGAAAATTGAAAAAAATGGACTTAGAGTTTGAAAGAAGAAAACACTTGGAACAATTGAAAAAACGATCAGATAAAATGAGTCAAGCTTTAGAGGAAGAAAAAGATGATAGTACGTCTGTTAGACCTCAAGAAACAAATTTCCTTCATCGTTTAAGGATTCGAAGACGTAGCATTAAATTACTCAGTTTCTTAAGTGGAAAAATGTCTGATAAAGCTCAAGAAGAACGGGCTGCTAGATTACTTAAAATCTACATGCCTGAAAAAAATACTAAAGGACAAAATACTATTTCTATTCATCATACTTCGAAAGATGGAAAATTTTGGAAAGTTCGAAACCGAAGACGATCAAATTCTCCTTAAATAAAACCGATTATTTTATTTCGGATTATCAAATAAATTGTTCAATTATAAAAATAAAATTAAGAAGTGAAGAATAAAATCTAGAGAGTACTGTCAATATATTTACGTCCAGGGATAGAAGTATATGAACTATGTCTTTCAATTAATTGTCTAGGATTTTCTGAATGAGAAGACATGAATGAATTGTTTTTATTTTAAAAAAAATTCCAAGTATTGATAGATAACTCGAGAATTTGAAGAATAAAGAGGACTTTTTTAGAGCTTAAATGCAAATAAATTAGCATTATCAAAAGTATGAATAAAAAAAAATGTAATTAATTAAAATTCGATATGTTTATTTCACTAATGTGAAATTATAAACGCCTTGTAATTAAAGATATTAGGTTTGTTATATTGAAATTAAAAATTGTGCAAACGGCCTAGTGATTGTAATTAAAAAATTTTTCAATCATTCTCGAGTAACTTAAAAATGTAACTGGCCTAGATAATCGGCTATACTTAATACTATGTTATTTAAATGAATTAATAAACTAATGATTAATTAATAATACATTATTCAATATAATAAATTATTAATTAACGTTTGTACTGAGTACTTGGTATCGTTCTTAAGAGTTATTGGGAGCTCATTATGAAATAATTAAATGATCAGAGTTGCTTTTGAAATAATGAACATGTAACTATAATGATCTAATCTAATTATATTTAGGTCCGCACGACTGACCCAACGCGGCACTTATTATCTTCCATTTAAACATTAGGAAAATTTTGAAACTTAAGGTAACTAAATAAATTTAGAACTATAAAAACAATCTAATACATAAAACAAGTAATTAAGAAAATTAGAAAAACATTACTCTTTTATTGCAGATCAGTTTAATGTTACTGTTGGTAGATTGTAAAATCTTGTTTGACAGAGGCTAAGTTTAAAGGCGAATAAATTATACTATTTGTTGAATATATTGGTCATTTTATTGAAATTTCCTTTCAATAATGATTATTTATCATTTTATTTTTTACCAAAAACTTAATTATAATAATATTATTATTTTATTCATGTTATATTAATGCTGCTCCAACATCTTTCTAGAATATACATGAGTAGACGTCTCAAATTTATAAATTGTATCCCCTTTGCCATCTTTTTCGTAATTCTGTTCTCAATGTTTCACGATCTAGTCTTTTAGGATCATTCATAAATTCTACAGTGGCTTTTTCACGAGCACTATCAACTTTGGGTGCTAGTAAGAATTTTCCATTATCAAGAAGCCAAGTTTGCACTGAATCACTATCCTCCGGCAATTTCTCCGGTAAATAAATTGGGGTAATTTTGACTAAATGCTTAATTTTCCACAACTGTGCGCAAACTTCTGGTATATTTTTGACGATTGCAATATCGCTAGCCTTAATAATAAAGATTTTTAATAAAATTACACATGACAATGATCATCAACAGAAATTTTTATAACAAAATTGCGATTGATAATTAATTTTAATTATATTTATTTCATGTACTTACTATTTCATTTAGTTTGAGAGCATCTAAAATGTATTTTTCCCAATAAGGATTACCTTTGTAAGGTTTCACACGTTGGACCATTAAAAGTTTAGTCGGTTCGAAAGGTGGATCCTTATGGTCTGCATTTCTAATTAATAAATTGAAAATCAATTTATTTTTGCTTTTTAGTATAAAGTTTTCTAACTGATAATACACCACTCTGATTCTTTTACTAAAAAAATAATTTCAACAAAACTCACTCACCGAGGATAATAGGTTATTTTTCCATACTTTATTCCGTCAGGTTTCCATTCTCTTGGGGTTTTTCGAAGATAATAATTACGAGTTTGAATAAAACAATACAAGGATCGAGACATTATTTTTTGTCTAAAATAAATACAGAAAACATATGAATTATAGGTTAATTAAGCAAATTGCATTTCTTGTGATACCTTTCAACTACGTAAAAGTATTGATTTACGTAATGACACTGATTATATTCTAAAAGTATATCGTTATGATTACTTGTTTAGTTTTAATCATCAATTATTAGTGACAGTAACAATTAATATTTAAAAATTAAATAATTGTTTATTCAACAAATCATTAGAGGTTATGTGCGTATGATATGCGCAATGTCCACTGAGCGGCAGTAGTTTTTAATAACCACGGTTATTGTGGTTTTAAATTGCACAACATAAATTAAATGACTTAAAAACAAATATTTCATACATAAAATTGCAACCACTATCTCATTAATATATTAACGAATATTTTTTTATTTAACTTCATCGTACAACAAATTGTAAACATGTCGACATTGTTTTCAATGTATTGTTTAAAATTAACCAATTACAAGTCTCGACATAAACAATTGACAACAATTTTGAAAGTAAGCAATTATTTGCAAAAAAACTGAATTAAAATAGAAGTACTGATTGTAATTATAAATTATTTTTCAGCAAATAAAATGATAAACAAGCAATTAAATTTATTTATCACATTTTAATTTAGTGTTGGGCATCATCATCCACTTCGGAAAATGAATTGAATGAACAAAAAAGACGTCAACAAATATTGAGTAAAGGTCTTCCAGAAAAAAAGCCCATAAAAGGAGTAAAACAAATTGTACTAGTTGCTTCAGGAAAAGGTGGAGTAGGAAAATCTACGACTAGTGTTAATTTAGCCACTGCACTTAAAATTATCGAACCAGAGAAAAAAATAGGGCTACTAGATGCTGATATATTTGGCCCTACGATACCTCTTATGATGAATCTTAATGAAGCACCGCTTACTAATGATGAGAAGTTCATCGAACCTCTTGTAAATTATGGCATTAAATGGTTCTCTTCTATTTTAGACTGTCTATCAAAGTTTTTGCTGATTAGAATAATTTTTTATTCAAAATATTGTTTTAGTATGTCGATGGGATTTTTAGTCGATAAAAAAAGTCCAGTAATATGGAGAGGATTAATGGTGATGGGTGCATTAGATACTTTGTTACGTAAAGTAGCTTGGGGTCCTCTTGATTATCTTATAATTGATACTCCACCTGGAACTGGTGATACTCTTTTGTCATTAACTCAAAATATTCCTCTCAGTGGTGTTCTAATTGTCACAACACCTCAAAAGGCAGCTTTAGATGTAGCTCGACGAGGAGCTAAGATGTTTCAAAAATTATCAATCCCCATTGCTGGTATCGTTGAAAATATGTCAAGCATCATTTGTCCAAAGTGTGCTAGTGAAGTTCCACTGTTTGGAGATGGTAGCATGAATTTATCACAAGAACTTGGTAAATAACGATTTATATTACATTATCCATTGTTATTTTTATCTATATGGTGATGGTAATTAATTTTTAATTGATTATTTTTAGAAGTTCCAATTTTAGCTAAGTTTTCGTTAAACGAAAAAATATCAGAGTGTGGTGATTCAGGAAAACCAATCATTTTTGCTGAACCTAATTCTGAACATGCAAATTTATATAGAGATTTAGCAAAGAAAATGGTAGTTTTTTTGCAAAAACAATCAATTAATAATTTGTAAAACATTTACAATTTTTTCATCAATAAATATACATATTTTAATGATTTAATTAATACTTTGCTCATAATTTTCATAATTATTTAAATCTTCGCGCTGGTTATACAGAGACACCTATTAGCAGTTTTTCGCACTACTGGTCGTTATCGATCAAAAAAATTATTATGTTTCTCTATCTTATGTCAGCCAAGTCTAAGCTGTGAAAATACACAGATATGGAGTTGGCAATCTTGTAAATTTTGTGACTGGGTCTTTCCGATCATTACAATCTAACTGGTAATTTTTTTACATTTGTCTTATTTTTCTTGAATTACAATAAGAATACCCATCCTAGACAATTAATGAATTCTTTCTATTATACTTACTTTTTCAATATGCCCATTTTTTGAAATGGTCAATTAATTATATCACACTTTATCCACGAAAATAAATTGTCTATTAACAGTTCACCTGACGATTACATAAATGCTTTGAAGATTAATTCTCCAATTTATCAATCATTTATGTTAAATAATGATTAAAAGTTTTGTTGATGATAAAGTTATGTCACATTATAATTACTAAGTGGTTCCAATAAATACATATACCTGTTTTAGTGAAGGACAAATAAGATCAAGATGTTCCGTCAAACGACTAACCTGGTACCCCGGGTATCAGCAATTGCTCCACAACAAAACCAACAGAGAGGCATGGCCACTCTAAAAGCTATCTCTATTCGTTTAAAATCAGTCAAAAACATTCAGAAGATCACCCAGTCCATGAAGATGGTGTCAGCTGCTAAATACAATCATGCTGAGCGAGATTTAAAACAAGCAAGGCCTTTGGGTCAAGGAACCAAAATCTTTTATGAACAAGCAGAAATCAAACCACCTGAAACTGAACCAAAACAACTAATGATCGCTGTAACGAGTGATCGAGGTCTTTGTGGAGCCGTCCACAGTGGAGTTTCTCGTAATATTCGTGATAAATTACTTGCAGATTCCAATTTACGTGAAAACACTAAAATTATTTGCATTGGAGAAAAATCAAGAGCAATACTATCACGAATGTTTGCTAATAATATTCTCTTCGTTGCATCTGAAGTAGGTCGACGACCACCAACATTTACTGATGCTTCCAAAATTGCTAATGAGGTCATGAACTCTGGGTACATCATTAATTTTTACATTTTTGTTAAAGATAACTTGTTTGATAAAATTTTCAAGTACTTCAACTATAATAACCCTTATTATATATTTTCAGATATAGTTTTGGATCTGGAAGCATCGTCTATAACAGATTTAGATCTGTAGTATCTTACAAAATTGATGAACTGCCATTATTTGACAAACAAGCTGTAACAGCTTCCCCAAAGCTTTCCATTTATGATTCTATTGATGAGGATGTTCTTCAAAGCTATTTGGAGTTCTCTTTAGCCTCATTGCTTTTCTATTCCATGAAAGAAGGTGCATGCAGTGAACAATCCAGCAGAATGACTGCTATGGATAACGCTAGCAAAAATGCCGGTGAAATGATTGATAAACTTACTTTAACATTCAACCGTACTCGTCAAGCTGTCATTACTCGAGAACTTATTGAAATTATTTCCGGAGCTGCTGCGTTGGATTAATCAGGAAAATAAAGTGTATAGTCGACCAAGTTGGCAAGTGAAAATAATACACATATTATAAATTATAATAAATAATTGAGTTTACAATAATAATTAGAAAATTAAAATAACTAGAAATTGTTTTATCATTTGATGACTTTGCCCACAAAAGAAAATACATCAATTTTAATATATTTTTTTGCTTCTAATAACTTAAAGATAATGTATTATTTTAAATATTTAATTAAAGTACGTAATTATTAAATAATAAACTGCCAATTATTTTCAATACTTTGGTATTAATTTAGTTTACGTATGAGGTAAAATAGGTTTTAAATAAATTCTTATCACTACACACCACTGATTGTTATCCAAAATAAAAATTGAATAATCTATAAATATAATTTTAACTTATTTACAATATATAAATAAATTTTATTGCACTAATAAATCAAAATAAAATTAATAATAGTGATAACTAGATATTCGATAATAAGTTATATTACTCAAAAGAACAATTAATATTTATCTCTACATCTATGCTACCAAATCACTCATATTTACATCATCATGAAATTTATCAGTGTTTCATCAACTCAAAATTCTTAATTATGCAGTAACTTTGTTGTTGAAATCGTTATTATCATAATAAATAATTAAAGTATGTCAATATATATAATAAATAATTAAGAGATAAAAACACAATGATGTTACAAAATTAGTGAAATAGAAAATCGGCCTATTTTTTCAAAGTTATTAAAGATCGTTCATGAAATAATTTAAAATCAATTGTCAAGTTGGTGTCGATGAAGACGTTGATACGATCTTAATTAAAATATCATTTTGTCGATATTATATTTTGTGAGTTCGTGAAAAAGAGAATTAATTATTTAACTTTCCAAAAATGGCATCAGTATTTCGCTTTTTCTTTGGTAATGATAAACCTAGTTTGATTGAGACATCTCGATCAATTGATAATCAAGAAGATTACTCAGATGATGAATCAGATCAATCAAATTCAGAATCAGTGAATTGTGTTCGAAATCGTATTAAGCCAGTAGTTGCTGACTTTCATCCTACATCTGAATCAGCAGTAGATGGTATGTAGATTATAATTAGTTTAAAAATTTAAATAAATTTAATTGCTGATAAATAAATTTTCAATCATTCCTAGAAGTCGATAAGAAGCCTGATAATCTTGTAATCAAAGATGTAGACCTTCTAATCCATGTCAATGGTAACTATCACAACACTTCTAGATTTGATCGTATGCGTCGGAAAGATGATGGAAAACGACTAGTAGTCAGACGTGGACAAGAATTTTTCCTCAAGTTACATTTTAATCGAGAATTTAACGAAGAGATTGATGAAATTTATTTTACTTTTACATTAACTGGTGTAATTGCTTCTCTTAAACATGGTACTCATGTGATTTTCCCTCTACGTACTGATGAAGAATTACCAGAAAAACATTGGTCTGCTACTCTCCTTGAAAGGAAAGAGAATTCTGCTCTTATTAAAGTACATTTTAACTTACTATTTATTTATTTAATCTTAAAAAAATATACTGGTTAGTAAATTATAATTCTTTAAATAGATTTATTCACCAGCGGATGCAATAATTGGAAAATGGAAAATTGAAATTGATGCAAAGAGTAAAACTAATCCTGACTTATCTCACCATTATAATCTAAAACATCTAATTTATCTTCTTTTTAATCCTTGGTCTAAAGGTAAAAACTATTTTTTAATATTTATTGGTATTTATTAATTTTTCTGAAGAATGTTTCTAACAATTATTGCTCATTAGATGACGATGTCTTTCTTGAGGATGAAGAGCATCGTAAGGAGTTTATATTAGCAGACACTGGCTACATTTGGCGACTTCATGTGAATGAACCAGCATTCTGGAGATATGCTCAGTTTGAGGAGAATATTCTTGACTGTGCTTTATATTTAGTATCAGATATTGCAAAGGTTGATGCTTCATCTAGAAATGATCCTATCAAGATATCAAGAAAACTAACGGCAGCAATAAACTCTAATGATGATGATAATGGAGTCTTAACTGGCAGATGGACACAAGAGTATGAAAATGGTACTCCTCCATGGAAATGGACTGGATCCAAGGAAATTCTTCAACAATACTACGATAAAAAGCAATCAGTAAATTACGGACAATGTTGGGTCTTTGCTGGAGTTTTAGCTACTGTTTGCCGAGCTTTGGGATTACCTTGTCGAGTTGTTACTAATTATCAAAGTGCTCATGATACAGAGGGTAGTTTAACTATCGACTACTTTTATGATGACAATGCTAAAGACATCGATGATATTACTAATGATTCTATATGGTACAATAATTTTTATATATCTTTTAGGATGTTATTAATTGTTAATTGTGATATAAAAATGTTTTAATATCGTAGGAATTTCCATGTTTGGAACGAAATTTGGATGAAAAGACCAGATATTGGAGATGGTTTGTATGACGGTTGGCAAGTAGTTGATGCTACACCACAAGAAGCAAGTGATGGTATGTTCTGTTGTGGTCCCATGTCTGTTGAAGCTATCAAAAATGGTGATGTTTTATTGCCTTATGATGGAAAGTTTATCTATTCTGAAGTTAATGCTGATGAAGTGTGTTGGAAGTATAGTGGACCAACGGAACCTTTGAAACTCCTTGAAAAATATGTAAATCGGTTAGTTCTTAGTCACAACATAATTAATAATTATAACCATTATGAGGATTGGATTTGTAATAATTTCTCTACCTTCTTTCAGTATTGGAGTGAACATAAGTACAAAAGCTGTAGGAAAGTGGGCGAGAGAAGATTTAACACATTCGTACAAACATCCTGAAGGTATGTAAGGGAAATAACATTTTAAATTGTTTATGATTATTTTTTATGAACATAAAAAAGTATTTAGATAATAAAAATTGATTTAACATTTTAGGAAGCACTATGGAAAGAGAATCATTCCAGAAGGCTTTGAAACAATGTAACCATTACTTCAGTCGTTATTACATGAATGAAGAATTTTCTGATGTTAAATTTGATTTCATGTTATGTGACAAAAACGTTTCAAAAGACAATTATGGGTATGTTGTAAGAAAAATATATAGGGTTTTATAAAAATTGTATGTATTAATTTTTAAATAAATCATTTATTTAGTGCTATTCTTATGATTAAAAATAAGAATTTGGAGAAAGAGTACTCAGTTTCAATGGTATGTTGTGCTGAGAAAAAACATTATACAGGAAAAAGAGTAGGCAAACCATGGAAAGTCACAAATGATCAACACACTATTCAACCTGGAGATGAAAAAATAATTCATATTAATCTTGATAAATGTAAAGAGATTATGAATACAATCAATGATTGCATTGTTAATGTTAAGTGTTTAGCTAAAGTTCATGGAACAAACTATGAATTTCTTGCGAAAGAAAATTTGGAATTTGACAAGCCTAAGATACAAATTACGGTAAAAATACATCACTTTAATTTATTATGAATTTGAATATTTTTATCACTAATTTGTTATACTTTTTTATTAGAAAAAAGATGATGTTATCGTTGATCAGCAGCTAAAGATGACTGCAACTTTCATTAATCCCTTGAAAACTGATTTGACAAGAGGAAAATTCACAATCGAAGCTGTTGGTTTTTACAAAAAAACACTCAAATTCATAGTCGCAAAACCAATTAAGCCAGGGAAAGAAATAACTTGTGAGTTTTGTTTAACTCCTAAACATGAGGGCCGAGGAGTTGTAATTGTGAAATTCTCATCAGGCCATCAAATTGGCGTAGTTCAAGGGGCTATTAATTTCGATATAATGAATAAAATTTAATTTAATTTAGGTAACATATTTATTGCATTATTAATATGGTATATAAAAATTATAAACAAATATTTATTGTTAGATGTAAGATTCAAAAATAATTTAATTTAATGATAATCAAATTTAAAGTTCTTTCTTTTATTAATGATAGTTTTTTCGGTTTAAATAAAAAAAATGTATTACACATGTCAAAATAAAAATAGATTAATTTGAAAATTATATTAATAATTTTTATTTTATTTGAAAAACTGACGGGAGATTTACTTACTCATATGTGACAGAATTAATAAGCAAAATTTCCTGGTTATTTTAAATAATATAACTATTTAAAAAATACCAATGTTAAATGAAGTAAATAATTACCTTATTATTATTTATGTAAAACAATTAAAATTTTATCGTGAAATTTTATCCAAGCATGTTATTAACAATTATTGTTGCTTTTATCGTTTTTGCAATAAAAATGAAAAATAATAGATTATTTATTATATACAAAGGTAAGGCACATAACAATTATTTGACCTCTTTCATATTAAATTTTATTCGTGTTATTGTATTTTTTCTAAAGCTGAAAAATTTTTTTAACATTCGATGAAGTCAACAATTTCTTCATTTTTCTGTTACAAAGTCTTCTATTTATAATTTTCGAATTCTTTCCGAATTTTCTTATTCATTTTTATTGGTGATGAATCTGATTTCTTTGGATTAATTTTATTCGAATCAATTCTATTAAAATTTCATATGATTATGAATATTATCGTATATGATTATATATCAGCCAATATAAATAAATACATTAATCAGTGTCATAATATAAAGGCTACTGTTGATTTCCATCAGCATAATACTTTAAGACCCAGATAAACAAGTACAATTTAATTTTGGTGAAAAGTTTCTTTAATGTCACATTGATTACAAATTGACTTTATTAAAAAAATTAATGATAAACGATCATGTTTATCTTAATTTATGTTGAAAGTATGATAAATATTATAATAAACAAAATAGGCTAAAAATTAGAGTGCATTTTGTTATCATACAATACCTTAATAATATTAAGTACAGATGAAGTTATTGTAATAATTAAATGTTTAGCACAGGAACATCATTTGGACTTAGTAGATTGTCACAAGAAATTATGTTTTGAATACATCTTAATTAATGAATTGATTGATAACATCCTTTGCTCCTTATGCTAAATTATGTAAAGTTTAGTTGGGAAGGGAAATTGGAAGGGTCTGTTTACCAAGGCTGCCGAATGCTGTTCTCAATGCACTAATGGAATATTCAGGTATCATACCATCGCATGTTGAACCTTCAAAAAATCGAACGACATTAATGATCGGTACTGTATTTCAACAATAGTAAAATATTTAAAATTAGAATAAAAAGTTAAATGGATGGTTTTTAAAGGTCAGATACTAAACATTATAATTTTCAGGAAACGAATTTTAATAACTTACTTGATAGTAATATGAAAACAAGCAAAGCAGAAAATTTTATCGCAAGGTATTTTTTATTCTGCAAATACATTTTTGCAAGTTTGAAAATTCCTTAAAACTGATACTAAAGTTATATCCAATGTATACCATACACGGTTGTTTATATACTTCTTCAGCAGTTATTTGAGGCAGTTTAACGCAATAATTAAATAAATTCCCGTCTGTGGTAGTAATTAACAAAATTACTTTTATCTATAAATTTAATAAATAGAAAAATTTTCGTTACTTCATACTCATTAAGATAATGCATACTATTTAAATAGTAGCATAGTTCGTTCACAAGAAAATATTTTTTAAAAGCATTACAAAATTTTGCAATGATCGTTCAAAAGAACTGCGAACATCTGCAGTAAGTACACCGAGTGTCCCATACGAATTTGCTTCTGCATTTACGTATGAATCTTACGACAGAAAATAATATCAGGAACTAACTTACTCTTATAAGAGTATTTTACTTTTAAGATTTTAGATGTATATCGGACATCTTCTTGGCTCTCTTTTAAACGTTTGTTTGGCTTTCTTTCAGACATTTAAATAGTCATCTTTTTGGATATCTTTAAGATAACTTCCAGAATATCCAATAGGAATTTGATATCTTCCTATCTGAGTTTAAAAGATGCCTTCTGGATAGTTTTTTTCTAGTTGGGTTTACTCTAAGTACTCTTTTTCTTTTTAAATTTCGTTCTAAGGAAAAATTTTAAAAAATGCCCATTAGATTATTTACTGCTGCCTTTATTTATAGTAGAGCCATCTGGGTGCCAGAGTACAAATTAAAAAAATGTACACTACAGACATCTTGTGGTGAGAGTACCAACTAAAAATTCAAATATTGACCCATCGGTAATTTTTTGGGCATTGTCCTCTAGTGAGATGCGTGTTAATAAATGTTTTTACATTTTACTTTATATTATTTAATATTTTTTCGAAAAAATACCCTCATGTTTGAATAGTTTTGTCATAAGTTCATAATATCAATTATGAGTAGACCTTGGAGACGCTTTCGAAAAGGTTATAGACGTTCAAACAATGCCAACAAAAACAACGCACCACGTAATGCACATTTCTAATTTAAATAATTTTTATTAATATTTAATTTATTTATATGATTTTGTTTTTATATAATAGAATCAAATAAGAGAGATAATAATTCTCATAGATCAAGCAATGACAGTGACAATAATGATGAGGAAGAAGATGAGATAGGATCATCAATCGATGATAATGATTCTTTTTTAAATGTTTATGCGATCAAAGATGATCCTAACATCCGTTTTCATGGTTGTCATTTATACTTTGATATGAATGGTATAAATATAATTTAATACTTTTTAAAGAATCTAAGACTTTGTGATAATTTTTTATTTTTATTCATTAGATATAAGTAAAGATCGACTACTTGTTCGCAAAGTGGAGGCAGCAGAAAATTTTTTTAATAAAAACACAGCTATCCCAGCTAGCATATCGAATGATGGGCCGTCATTTAATGTAAATGTTGATAGTTTTCTTAATGATAAAGATTTTATGGATGATTGGAGCAGCTTTGAAAGCGATCTACAAGATAATCCTCAAGTAACTCTCAGTTGTTTAGGTTTAGGACTTCATCAGGCAGTAATTAATTTACCTTCAGATGAACTTATTGAAAGTCTTCATATGTTGAGAGTAAAAATATTCAATTACAAACCATTAATTCCATCAAGTGACATCAAAGTCAGCTCTTATGGAAAATTGATAGCAACAAGAGGTTGTATCATTCGAGTTGGTCGTGTGAAACAATTAGCTCAATGGTTTGTATTTTCTTGCATTTCATGTAAAGCAAAAACAATAATAAAACAACCGAATGGAATTTTAACATTGCCAAAAAGATGTAAAGAATGTGGAAAAGGTAAATTTAAACCAGTACTTAGTTCTCCATATGTGAGATCAATATCATATCAAGTGGTAAAATTGCAAGAACACTTGGATACACTACAAGAAGATCGTGGAAAAATGCCTAGAATTTTAGAAGTAGAACTGTTTGATGATTTAGTAGACACCTGTGCACCTGGTGATGATGTAACAGTCGTAGGAGTTGTGAAAGTTCGTGGTACTGATGATGGGATACAGAAAGGCAAAGATGCTAGTTCCAATGCTTTATATATGGAAGCTGTATCAATAGTTGATAATAAAAATAAATCTCAGGGAAAAAATTCGACTGGTATCGTAGAATTAGATAATAAAGATTTAATAGCAATAAAAAAAATTCATAATCGTCAAGATTTATTTTATCTATTAGTTCATTCACTTTGTCCAACGATTTATGGTCATGAAATGATTAAAACTGGATTGCTATTAAGTTTATTCGGTGGAACTGGTACATCAACATCGCGAGATGACATTCATGTATTAATGGTTGGTGATCCTGGTCTTGGAAAATCACAAATGCTGCAAGCATGCTCAAAAATAGCTTCTCAAAGTGTTTATGTTTGTGGTAATGCTAGCACATCATCAGGTTTAACTGTTACACTTACTAAAGAAGCTGGAACAACAGATTTTGCTCTCGAGCCAGGTGCCTTAGTCTTAGCAGATAGTGGTTGTTGTATTATTGATGAATTTGATAAAATGCCAACACAACACCAAGCTCTACTTGAAGCTATGGAACAGCAGAGTGTCAGTGTTGCTAAATCTGGAATCATTTGTTCATTAGAAGCTAGAACTTCTATCTTAGCAGCTGCTAATCCAATAGGTGGACGTTATGATGCTTCAAAAACATTGATTGAAAACTTGAATCTCAGTCAACCACTTTTGTCGAGATTTGATTTAATATTTTTATTGTTAGATAGACCTGATGAACAAAGGGATACTCTTTTATGTGCACATGTAATTAAATCTCGTAAAGGATTTTTTAATACTCGACAACAAAATGGATTACAAGCTTCCCAACAAAGTGATGAACAACAAAGTTCGCTTATGGAACGATTAGTATCATTTGGACATAATGAAACAATACCTCAAATTCTCTTAAGGAAATATGTAGCATATGCAAGACAATATGTGAAACCTAAGTTAACTGTAGCATCAGGAGAAATATTGAAAGATTTTTATTTAAAACTTCGTGAATGTCCAAATATTTTTGGATCTCTACCAGTATTTACTAGACAATTAGAAGCGTTAATAAGACTGACTCAGGTATTTGATTACATTTATATTTATAATACTTTTATATTCAATATTTGATTTATAATTAATTTTCTAGGCTCGAGCAAAATTGGAATTACGAACTGAAACAACTGAACAAGATGCTTTAGATGTTGTTGAATTATTTCAGTTCATGGTTTCTAGTGTACCAGAAAAGAGTTTCATTGGAACTTTGAAAGTTGATAACGGTAGAATAACAGGAAACAAAGTGAGTTTAAATAATTGATTTTTATAATAAAAATTACTCTGATATAAAATTTGGTAACTTGAATAGTAAAATGATAAATTAATAATTTTAACAATTTTTATAGGTAAGAGCATTTATAGCACTTCTACGAGAGGAAACAAGAGATGGAAATACAGAATTTACAAAAAATGAGCTAAGTGAAATAGCTACAAGAGGAGGTGTTATAATCCAAGATTTTAATCGTTTTATATTTAAATTAAATGATGAAGGTATTATTTTAAAGAGAGGTCAAGATAAATATGTATTCGTTGGTGATTAATATAAAAATATCTATTGAAGTTTGTTATATCCGATTGGCTCTAGTTCATTATGTAAACATTTAACATGGAAGAAAATTATTTTGTATGTAAGGAGGATTAGGAGGAGGAGGAGAAGGAGGTTGCTGCACAAATTGAGCAGGCATTTGAAATTGATACCGTTGATTCATCGAATGCTCTTGATGTGGTGGATAAGCTGGTTGGTTATTCGTAAAAGATGTAGGATATTCAAAATATTGTGGATGAAAATGATGGTGATGCTGATGCTGATGTTGTTGCTCCTGTGTATGTGAATAACTCATAGGCTGTTGGTAAATTGGCTCTTGACGTAATAGTTGAGCCCCTTGCATTGGTGGATAAGGTTGTTGAAGTCTTTGAGGTTGCTGGTTGTTGTACATTCTTTGATGTTTTAGCTGAGTTCTAGGGTCTTTAGGAGATGGTGATGTTGAAAATGTTGATGGGGGAGAAATGAATGCTGGTGGTAAACGTTCAATGCCATCATTATTCACTTCAGGACCAACAAGCTTACAGTAATTTGCCAAAGCTAATTCACGAGCTTTGTCTGCTGCGATTAATTTTTCTAGTGCAGCATTGACATCTCCATGCTCCATAAATTTAGAAAGAGCTTTTTGACCCGGCTCGCATATTGGATATAATTTTGTCATACATTCAGGTTTACCCATGCAATCCCACATCATACATCGATCCTGTAAACCATTTCTTTTGATACATTCACATCTGTGCATCACACTACCTCGTAAAAACACACTTTTAGTATCTTTGATGGGGATCTAAAGTGATCGAAAGAACTTATAGGTAAATTAAATTATTTTACGATGCATATTTAATAGAATGTAATATTTAAATTTACTAACATAGCATTCAAATGAATTTTGTTGAGGTGGTACATCTTTACAAATATTTATTGGTGGTGGAGCTGATGGCTTATCCCATTCGCATGGTTTTCTAAATGTATTTATTAATGACTATTAATATTTTTTATTACAAAATAAAAATTGATTACTCACTTTCTATCCATAGAATCTACAATACATTTTAATTGGGTTAATAATTCCCTGCGGCGTCTGCAATTGTCGTTTCTTCCATCACATGGCATTTTGGTTAATTAAATTTTACATAAACATAATTTTGAATGCATTAATTTAAATGGTATGATACATTTTTACTACGAATTTTTTTTATAAAAACAGAATTAATTTTTTAAAATTTTACCTACACTAAAAATACATACTCTACAATCAACATTTTAACAAATGACTAATCATTTGAAGTTGCTGAGGTTAGAATAATACATAAATATCTGAAAAAACGTCTGCATCATGTGCTATTTATTTAAAAATAACATTATTACTTTTAATTATCTTTTTTAATCATCTGTTCAAGTAAACGTGTGATTTCCATTTAAATAGTTTATGTACAACAGCGCCTGTGCAATCGTGGTCACATGGTACTTTTGCTCGAAGTGGCAGTAGGTGACGCGCAAAGGTGAAGAAACCTCTAAAATTTTATCTGTACAGAAGTTTTATTAATTTTATTAATTAAAATGACATTATTAACATTAAATCAAAGTAGTAGATTATTTAATTTGTGCAAAAAATACTCCAACTTGCGAGTGGATAAACTTGGTAAGTTGATTTAATTAAAATCTTTAACTCTGGAGCTTTAACATCAAAATTGTTTTTAGATAGTTGTATTATCAATTATAATATTAATTATTATTATTATTTATTCAGGATCTCAACTTGTTGAGTTTTATTCAACAGTTATTTCTCAAAATCCTGTCAGTGGACAGACATGTAGTCATCAGAAGCCACCAAAAATGTATGGACAACCTACACCATTAACTCATCCTCACCTTTTGAGTCCTGGTGAACTAGTGCCTGGTATAAAATTAGAAGAGTTCAAAGAACGAAGAAAAACATTAGTTAAACATATCGTTGAAACAGGAAAAATATCATCTCATCCTCATATTATAATTATTCCATCAGCAACTAAGGTTTATATGTCTGATAAAATTCCTTATTTCTTTCGACAAAACACTGATTTTCTCTACTTTACTGGATGTCAAGAGCCAGATAGTATTTTATTAATTGTAGTGAATGGTGAGAAATATGAATCAACATTATTTGTACAAAAAAAAGATTTAAAGTCTGAGTTATGGGATGGACCTAGAACTGGAGCAGAAGCTGCAATAGATATGTTTGGAGTTGATAGATCTCTTCCAATATCAGATTTTGAATTTTTCATCTCTTCCATTATCAGTGAAGATAAAAATAGTACATTTTGGTATGAAAATAATGAACAAATTCATCCGGAATTTCATAAAAAAATATTACAATTAGTTAAATCTACAGGATTACGTAGTGTCACATCTCCTCAAACAATATTTCATAATATCAGACTGATAAAATCACCAGCAGAAATTCAATTGATGAAAAAAAGCTGTGATATTGCATCTGCAGCAATCACAAAAACTATAGAAGTATCAAAACCAGGAATGAGTGAGCATGAGTTATTTGCTATTGTGGATTATGAATGTAGAATGAATGGAGCAGAACATTTAGCATATCCTCCAGTTGTCGCTGGAGGGAAAAATGCTAATATCATTCATTATATAAAAAATAATCAGATTGTAAATAGAAAAGAAATGGTATTGATGGATGCTGGTAAGTAAAAATGTATATGATTGATTATGAAAATAAAATTAATTTGGATATTTTGGTATAGGTTGTGAGTATCATGGATATTCATCAGACATCACAAGAACTTGGCCCATTGATGGAACGTTTACTCCTCAGCAAAGAATTTTATATGAAATAGTCTTAGAAGTCCAGAAGTCGTTGATAAAAAAAGTAGAAGAGTTTATTACTTTGGATCAGATTTTCTATGAAATGTGTCGACTACTGGGTAAAAGATTACAAGAAATTGGTTTAATACCAAAGGATTTTTCTTCTGAAAAAGCTGTCTCAGCTGCATACTCGTATTGTCCACATCACGTTAGTCATTATTTAGGAATGGATGTTCATGATGTAGGAAAAGTTACGAGGAGTCTTCAAACAAAGCCAGGGATGATTATTACCGTAGAACCAGGTAAATATAAATGAATCATACTAACAAATTGCTATCTATTAAATCAGAAAAATAAAAAGGACGAATTTCTTTTAGGTATTTATGTAAATCCTAAAAATGAATTAGCACTTCCGGAATTTTATAACTTAGGAATACGTATCGAAGATGATGTTCTTATAGGAGAGAGTGGTTCAATTGTACTTACTAAGAATTGTCCAAAAGAAATAGAGCAAATTGAATCATTAGCAAAATTAAATCAATTATAACATCAACATTGTAAATAAAGTATTTATATAACAATGGTGTAACCCTAAAATGGATTATTATTTATAAACAATTATCATTGTTTGTAAATAATCTTCGCCTAGAATATAATCATCTTTTTCTTATTAAATTTTATTTATGTTTAATTATCGCATTACTTTCAAACTGCTAAAGCATTTTTTTACATTAAATCAGTCAACATTTTTTTCTGCTTCAGCATTTATTATAATCGTTGAATTCATCATCAGGCAAGCTTCTACGTCTAGAATGTTTAGTCTTGATAATGATCAACATCCCGATTATCTTTAATAACATTTACTAACTAAAAATTCAAGTATTGATACATCAGTAATTTTTAGTTTGATACGATTTCTGTTTATATAACAGCATCAACAGAGATAATAGTTTTCATAGATTAAGCAATGACAGTGACAACGATGATGAGTAAGAAGAAGATGAGATAGGATCATCAATTGACGATGATGATTCTTATTTAAATGTTGTCGTGTTGATGACAGTCATTTATGCTTGATGCGAATGGTATAAACATAATTTAATACTTGTTAGAAAAATATCTAAACAGACTAAATCGAATAATTAGCGAAATTAAGTCAATTATAACATCAACATTGTAAATAAAGTATTTTTAATTTTTTATTCAAAAAGTTGTTTTGCAGGAAATACACGAATATTATATATTTGTATCCAATATAAAACTACTAATAAAAGTAATAATATTGTATATACAATTAACGCCACAATAAACATTTATTGTGAGAGAAAAATAGCGTTCAGATTAAAAAAATAAAAATATATTTGTGCATTACATAAAAATATTAAAGATGAAGATTTCTGAGTTTTGCGTCAGCTTGTTTTAGTGCGATGAAATTTGATAACTGTTTAGCACGAAGTCGTGACCAAACAACATGATCATGCAGAGCATGGATTTGAGCAGCAGCAAGAGCAGCACTTTCTGGATATACAACTGTTGTACATCCAAGACCTACAAATTTAAATTAGTTTAACAAATGGAAATTATTTACACTTGATTCTCATTTTAATAAATACCTGAAGGAATATTCAAGGAAGACCAGATATCCTGAGCAACGTTGTCAGGTTTAACTGGTGGACAGTTAATGACTGGTAACGTAGTGTTACCAGAGAGTACTGGTCCAAGACCGTTGCTCCTGCCTGCCACTGCGATCAACACAACCTAGACACAGAAAGATATAAAGAACCCTCATTAGCATAATTTATATCTCAGCTTAATTGATATGACTTATCATTCACGAGAGAGAGTTGTTGATTTCATTGCTAAGTTCAAATGACCTTTTCATATTCGGCGACAATTTTTAATGTTTCAGCTGTTCCTTTATGAGCACTGGTAACCCTTAGTTGTGCTTCAAGCCCAAGATTAGTGGCTTGTTTAGCGATTTTCTTGCAGTGCTCTTCATCGGATGGTGATCCCATCAGAATCACAACCTTCGACATTACTGGTGGAACTAAATGCTCTAACTGGTCAGCTACCCATTTGAAATTACGTTTTACAGTATCTAAATCAGCGTCTGTTACTGTAGTGAGATTTCTGTAGACCTAAAAACAATTATTTATTAAATCTTAATTAATTAAAGCACAGATTTTTTACAATTTTATTTACCTGTTTGTCTTTCATTAGTCGTTTATCACCAGATGGCCAGAGTCTCCAAGAATCACTATCAATAATATCAGCAACTAAAATTTCTCCATTACAATCGACACCAAATTCAATCTTCATGTCAATTAATGCACAATCTCGAGTAGCCCAGGCTCTTTCTAAAATTTCAAACACCGCCAAAGTCGTTTGTTGCATTATATCAACTTCATCTCTTCCAATCGTTACTCCATTTAGTTTAAATTGAGCCGAAATTATTTGTTGCTCAGACCATTGGGGATCATGATTAGCATCATCCTTATAGAAAGTCTCCTGAAGGGGAGGAGTAAATTTGTATCCTTCAGGTACACCTACAAATTGAATCAATTCATTAATAATAATAATACTTGCTTTTATGAAATAATAATTGTTAACACGTAAATGTTTATTACCTGGATGTCTTTTTAGAAAGCTACCAGTAGCCAGTCGTCTAGTAACCCATTCAATAGGAACCATTTGACATTTTTTAGAAATAAAAGCATTTTCTCCAGCAACTTTGACAAAAGCAGTTTTCAATCCTGCCTTATTAAGTAATTCAAACACTTTAGCATTCGTGGCATTGCTAATAGCAGCCTTTCCTTCTAAATCATGAGCTTTAACACCGTCACCAGCGGTAATACGATCTTTGCTTATCAGAAGACATAACGATGGATCATCAACAAGTTCAAAAACTTGTTTGGTTTTTCCCTCAATTATTAATTTACCAGTTTTAAAGCCTGCAATAAATAAAAAAAATTAATAAAAATCATTCAATAATCGATTTATTCAACGATTATAGAAAAAATCTTAGCTAAATAACTGTGCCCCTTCATGATATGTATTTGGACACGTGTGTACAGTCAGTAAAAAATTTTTCTCCAAAAATTATTACTGAAACCTTGTTTATTATATGTGATATATTTATAGATATACGAATGTAGCCCAAATAAAATTAATTGAGGAGTAAATTGGGCAATTATTATCACTATTATGATTCAAAAATAACCACAAAAAAGATATACATACCAGCCATGGTGATTGTTCGAAGAATCCAATAGATGTGTCGGTATACAATCGGAGTATACTCCAGATGATCTTTTTTTCTCCCCACTCAAAATATTCTATGATTGGTTCAGAATTTTTTTTATCACCGAGAAAGAAGATAATAAACTTCGAAAATATAAAATGTTTTAAATATTTATATCAAATAACTATTAAGAAATAATCAATGATAGATAGTCCCATATTGTAAAATAAATAAGCAAACTGATAAATATGACGGAGAAGTCCTTATCAATTGGAATTTGCCAATAATTTTGTAATTAGCAGATAATTTTGTCTAATCAAAAAAGGCTATGGAATTTAAACTTGTAATATATATATATATATATTTGTATTGAAATCTCAATCGATTACAGATGAATTGATGAAAGCATTGATCTTATGTTACAATAATTAACTGTAGAGCAGGGCAGTTTATTAACTGTGGAATAGTAATCAATCTGATGACTACAAACTCAAGAGAAAATATTTGATCCAATATTCCTTTTCTCAAATTCATTCTTGTTTGTCTTATAAGACGCCACGAGGTCGTTAGTTTCTACCTATACACATACATCATAATAGCACGCTGAAATCACACGTGGTAAGCAAAACTTACTTTGATCATTATCTTTTGAATGAGATATTCAATAGTTTCATTTACAGTAAACCATTATTTCATAACATGAAGTTAAAAATATTTTTTTAGAATAATTTATTCAAATTTTTGAGTATTTTAAAGTACACATTTATCAAAAGTACAGTCCCATTATAAAGTTTTGGAGTATTTGAAATTTTTAAGACGTAATAAAATTGGATCCAACTGATTTTAAATCTATATTAAAAACATTCAAAAATTTTTATTGATATTTTTTTTGAATCTTAATATTTTAAATTAGTGCTAGAGGAATGTTTTTTTTTTTTTTTTAATTTTTATTATTAAAAATAAATATCAGAATATTCTGGATAGTGATGAAATATTTACTATCAGGCTAAACACTTACATGTTGACGTATACAGATATTTTGTAAAAAATAAAATAAAATATCAGACTTGCAGGGGGTCAATAGTTTATAAGAGCATGCAAGATATCAATATTATAATATGCAACAAAATTATTCCAGTGGGATGATCAATTATCATATTGTTATTTACATAACTTAAAAGCAAAAGCATCTTTGTCAATTACTCAAGTAAATAATTTCTATTTGTTTTTCAGTTTTTTTTTTTTTTAATATTTATTTACATGGATATTTGCTAAAATTAATTGAATTATTTGATGTATTTATGTAGTTTACTGAAGAAATGTCTGGTGACACAGAAGCAACAGAATGGGCACTATCAAAAATGTCATTAGAGTCAAAAAATGTAGAGAAAGGATGTTGGAGTAAAGAACGAGCCACTCGTGGACAAGTATCATCAGGACTAACTCATGAATGTGGAGTATTTGGATGTATTGCAGCTGGCGACTGGCCATCTCAAATAGATGTTAGTCAAGTTATTTGTTTAGGTAAATTATAATCAACAATTAATTCTTACAATTCGAAAGCAACATGTTTTAAATATATAATTAAATTTCCAGGATTGGTTGCATTACAACACAGAGGTCAAGAAAGTGCAGGTATTGTCACGAGTGAGGGAATATGTGCAAAATCATTTCGAGTTCATAAGGGAATGGGATTGATAAATAACATTTTTAATGATGAAAGTATGAAAAAATTACGAGGAAATTTGGGCATCGGTCACACAAGATACAGTACAAGTGCAGCAAGTGAGGAAGTAAACTGTCAGCCTTTTGTAGTTCATACAGCACATGGTGCTCTAGCTGTTGCTCACAATGGTGAGCTTGTAAATACTGAATCACTGAGAAAAATGGTAATGATATATTTTTATTTATCTATTTATTATAATCAAACATTGTGTAATAAATAATGATAAAAATTATAGGTACTTGGAAGAGGGGTTGGTCTGTCTACACACTCGGATTCAGAGTTAATAACCCAAGCATTGTGCTTGAATCCACCGGAAGGTGAAATAAATGGTCCAGACTGGCCTGCACGTATAAAACATCTAATGCAGCTTGCTCCATTATCTTATTCATTAGTGATTATGTTAAGAGATAAAATTTATGGAGTAAGAGATCCTTATGGTAATCGTCCTTTATGTCTTGGAAAAATAATACCAGTCGGAAAATTAGCTGGAAATGATTCGAGTGATTCAGATGATGAAGAAGCAGAAGGTTGGGTCATTTCTTCAGAATCCTGTGGTTTTCTTAGCATTGGTGCACGATATGTACGAGAAGTATTTCCAGGAGAAATAGTTGAGTTAACTAGAGAAGGAATCAAAACAATTGAGATTGTAGAGAGACCAGACAAGAGGCCTCAAGCATTTTGTATATTTGAATATGTCTATTTCGCTAGAAGTGATAGTATTTTCGAGGGTCAAATGGTATACTCAGTCCGTATGCAATGTGGACGAGTTCTTGCAGTTGAATCACCAGTTGAAGCTGATATTGTGAGTTCTGTACCGGAATCAGGAACAGCTGCAGCTCATGGATATGCAAGAGAATCCAAGATTCCGTTTGCAGAAGTTTTATGTAAAAATAGATATGTTGGTAGAACCTTTATTCAACCAAGCACTAGATTGAGACAGTTAGGCGTTGCGAAGAAATTTGGAGCTTTGTCTGAGAATGTCAAGGGAAAGAAACTTGTTCTTATTGATGATTCCATAGTTCGAGGAAATACAATAGGACCAATTATTAAACTGTTAAAAGATGCTGGAGCAAAAGAAGTAAGTAATTTTATATAAAAAATAATAAAATTAATTTTAAAATTGTAAAATAAAAATGTATTTGTATAGGTTCACGTCAGAATAGCTTCTCCTCCACTGAAATATCCTTGTTACATGGGTATAAATATTCCAACGAGAGAGGAATTGATTGCGAATAAGTTAGATAACGTTAAATTAGCAAAACAAGTTGGAGCTGATTCACTGACCTATTTATCAGTTGATGGACTTGTTGCAGCTGTGCGATATGGTATGGATAATCGTGAGAGTACTTATATCGGTCATTGTACAGCTTGTTTGACCGGCGAATATCCAGATGAATTACCAGGTGATCTTGATTGGTGAATGAATGAATTTAAGGCAATAAATAATAGATTATTCATTAAAACATTCCAAGCTGATGTGAATCTTGATTTGATTCAGTATTTATTATTGTCAAATAATAGTTAATTATCAAAATAATTTCTGTAACAAATGTTTTCTTACAAATGAATCTTAAATGCTTCTTTAACTTACAAAATAATATGTATAAAATGTTGTTATAAAATTTTTATATATAAATAAGAAATACCAATTACTTCTTTACAGTATCACTTTATTGTCTTAATTCTTCAATGCTTTTTAAAATTAATCATTCCTTTGGTGCTAATTTGTTGTGTCTTTATTATGTTCATCTACACTAACTTCTACACTTTCACTATTTTCTTCATCAATATTCATGTTTGATAATTTATCACAAGTTGTTGAAACTTTTCCTTTTTGTTTTCCTTTCCCTTTTCGTTTTTGTTTAGATTTTTTAGTAGGTTGGGTTTCGCTTTTTGGTTTCCTCCTTTGCAAAACTTTAATGAAACCTTGATTTTTAATTTCTATTGGCTTGTGATTAAATTCACGTGACTCATTGTCTTCTACAGTATCAGTAGGGGTTGAAGTTGAAGTTGAAGCTGTAGTTGTAGTTGCAGTACTAGTACTGGTTACAGTAGAAATCATGGTAGTAATATTTGTAGTGGGACTAACCCAAGGAATACTATCCTTCGATGTCGATGGACCTGGATCAATGACTGTTAATGAATTAGAATTATTTTCAATATTGTTTAAATTATCTTGAACTTGAATTTCTGTAGATTGCATTGCAGAATCATCATTTTGTTCATCAGAATTGTAAATTTCAAACGGGTCATCATCATCAATTTCTTCATCAGACTCGGAATTTAGTTCAATTCCTTGTTGTCGTTTTTCCTTCTTCTGTCTTTGTTTTTCTAAGTATTTATTAAAAGCTTCTCGACGATTTTCTCTCATTGTTTCCCATACTTTCAAAGCATTTTCTTGATAATGCAGAGGAACTCCAGCCTCTTTAATAGCTTCTAAGTTTGGAATTGAATTAGAGTCATCAAGAAATTGAAGTTTGGGTTTGACAAAGACTCTTTTCATTTTTAATATTTTATTAGTTTTAGTGAAAAATTTAAAGGTCGGTACAGTATCAAATATTGGATCTTCAAACTTTGGATTATCATCATTTTCAAAGAACATATATGTTCCAACAGCATCTTCATATGTTCCTTCATAATACTGCAAGAAACCATTTTTTTTAAATAAAATAAAAATCGTAATTTCAATGTATGTTGCACTTACCTTGTCATTTACTTTGATTAGAGGATGTTCTGTATCTAATCCAATCATGTCTAATTGAAGGTTTTCATTGCAAAAAGTATCTGGTCCAGAAAGACCTTCAAATTCAACATAAACTAAAGTCTCCTCTTCATCTTCCTCTAATGGACTATCATAACCCGACATGGTAAGTCTTGATTAATATTAAATAACGAGTTTATAAAATTATATTATTCAACTTTAAATAGTATATTATAACATATACATATATAATCTTCAAATTGACACTAAACTTCAGCGAAAATTTTTAAAAAAGACCCGCTTAAAGTTAATGGAAGTGTTACCGCTAATTACAATTTAACCTATAAATCACATAACAATAAACAACTATTGTTTGTTAATAATATTTTTCTATCAAAAGGAAAATAATAAATTGCAGGTTAGTGGTTTTTAAAATTCAAATTAATGAAATATCATTTATTTAATTTACTGTTTACACTAATAAAAAGTTGTATTGACACACACAGACACTACACTCCTAAACTCGCCGCTTTGTGTGCAACAGGGGTACCAACGTGCAATGCCTCGTGGGCGACATTTCAAGGCTGCCAACGTAATAAAAAGCAAGCTTGCTGTTGTGTTAGGTTACTCCATTGAGCACGTGTTATTCTTTCCAACGGTATTTCTATAAAATTATTTAATTAATTAGTAGTTTATAGATATGTTAATAAATTGGACTCATTCTTGAATAACCTAAAAAATGGTACGACACAATAATCAACTTCCTGATAATTTACCACAACTACAAAATCTCATCAAGCGTGATCCAGAATCATACAAAGAAGAGGTAAGTGATGTTATTGTTTTTCAAAAATAAATATTTTTTTGTTTTATAAAATAGATAAATAAATTATTATGCATATTATTGCAGTTTTTACAACAATACAATCATTACAAGTCAACTCTAGAAGTTTTTCGTTTGACACCTGAAAAATACAACAAGAGCCTTGATGAATTGGTTATGTTTTTGGCCCAGGTAAATATCATAAGCCATAAAATATGGAAAGAAGTAACAATATTCCTACATGATAAACGTTTTGGTATTTCAGGTATAAATAATTGGATATTTTTGATTTAATCATTTACAAAATGGAAGCGTGCTTGAAATATTTTGAAAATACCATTCTTTGTAGAGAAAAAGTTCTAAGAACTTTATACTCATTGATTGGTAACTCCTCGTTTTACGACGAACCAATTCCTCCAACTCTTCTTTTATATGGTCACATTGCCACAGGAAAATCTTTAATTATAGAATCACTTTTAAAATATCTCGATTACCATTATTCCATTATAAATTGCATCGAGCATCCTACACCTAAAAATTTATTTCAATTTATTTTAGATGATTTAACAAATACCTCATCGATAAAATCATCTGAAGATAATGATAAATTAAAATGTGATAACATGATGCAATTCATTAATCATCTTCAAAAAATTAATTTCGAAAAACCAGTAATTATAGTACTTGATAAATGCGAAAGATTACGAGGTATGAATCTATTGGAAGTATTTGTAAGATTAAGAGAACTAACTGGATTAAATATTTGTACTATTTTTATAACCGATCTAGAATGGGATAAATGTTATACCAAAATGATTGGAGGCGATGAATACAAACCTATTAGAATATTTTTCCCCCAATATACGAAAGACGAAATATTAGAAATTCTCTTTTTATATAGACCTGCGGAAAGTAGTAATTATAGCGACGACTTTTATCGAAATTATCTTAATTTATTTTTGTCAGTATTTTATCGTTTCTGTCGTGATATAAATGAACTTCGTTATATGGCTAAAATCAATTTTGTCAAATATATCGAGCCATTTAAAACTGGACTATGCACGCGTGAAGATAACGTACAATTATTATGGAGAAATATTTCTCCTATTTTTAAAGCTAACTTAGAAGTAATTTATTTAAGAATTTCATCTAGTGATGATTACTGTACTACAACTCAATTTTCTCCGGACTTTGAATCAACTACAAAATTAGCGTTAAGTTTTGAACTGCCATTCTATGCTAAATATCTGTTAATTGCTGCCTACTTAGCTTCTCATAATCCCCCAAAAGAAGATAAAAGATTATTTATGAAACAAAAAATTGATGATGGTAAAAAAAAGAAGAAACGTGTAAATCGATTAAAACCTTCAAAAGCGACAAAAAAACCAACAGGCCCACGAAATTTTCCACTAACTAGAATGCTAGCAATATTTTGTACTATTATAGATGAAAAAGTAGATCTTAATGCCAATTTGATAGCTCAAATTTCTACGATGTGCCGATTAGGTTTATTAACAACAGTTGGAGGAGATTATTCAGATCTAGATGAGCCAAAATTCAAATGTAACATTAATTACGATTTCATTGCTGTTATAGCTAAAACAGTTGGTTTTACCATTAGAAACTATTTGTGTGATTTTATTAATTAATATTATTATTTACTTTTTTACTTACTGATTTATTGATTGTAATCTTTATTAATAAACAATTTACATAAAATAATACATTCTTTTATTGTATATACAGGTGGCCCAATGCTTTACAACCGAATTGGTAAATTATCCTCAAGAACTTATAGACATTCTTAAAAGTTGTAACAGAATTCTTGATCCAGATATGCGAATGGTAAATATATGTTGAAAAGAAATAGCAATTTTAAAAAAATTCAAACTATTTTAATTATATGATTGTATATATTTATATTTTCATGTTTTAGATATTTTGCAAAGCTTTGATTTTATTGAGAAGTAAAAATCTGATAGATCCAACAGCATTGCTAAGTTTATTCTTTGAATTATTGAATTGTGAAGATAAATCATTGCGTCAATTTTTACGAGATCATATAATAAATGATATAAAAAATGTCAATGTGAAGCATAAAAATATGAAAGTAAATACAGCTTTACAAAATTTCATGTTTAAAGAATTGCAGAATTCGAGTGCTCGAGCTGCAAAAATGGCTGCTGATATAATGATTGAATTATATAACAAAAATATCTGGAATGATGCAAAAACTGTAAATGTCATTGCAACAGGATGTTTTTCAAGATCAAACGTCAAAATTATGGTTGCATGTTTGAAGTTTTTCCTCGGTAAAGATCCTGATGAAAAGAATTCTGATGACAGTGATAGTGATGATGATGTTCCAGATTTAAAAAAAGTCTTGTTGGCAAATAAGTTCAATAAAAAATCCAAGAAACGCGATAAAGAGTTGAAAAAAGCTAAACAATTAATGGTAAAAACGAAAAAGAAGAAATCTAAAGCTCCACAGTTTAATTTTTCAGCTTTACACTTGATTTATGATCCCCAGGATTTTGCAGAGAAATTATTCAAACAAGTAGAAAAAAATAATGATCGGTTTGAAGTAAAATTGATGTCATTAGATGTTGTTTCACGACTTATTGGGATACACAATTTATTAATATTAAATTTCTATCCATATATTCAACGATTTTTGCAGCCTCATCAAAGAGAAGTAACTAAATTATTACAATTTGTAGCTCAGGCTTCTCATGAGTTGGTTCCTCCAGAAAATCTCACACCTGTGTTGATGACTTTGGCAAATAATTTTGTAACTGAAAGGAACTCCAGTGATGTTATGGCTATTGGATTGAATGCAATTCGTGAAATGTGTTCTCGATGTCCACTTGTTATGAATGAAGATCTTCTCCAAGATTTAACTATGTATAAAAATTATAGGGAACGTAGTGTTATGATGGCAGCAAGGTCATTAATTTCATTATATAGGAATGTTATGCCAGAAATGTTACATAAGAAAGATCGAGGACGACCAACAGAAGCTACTATAGCTTTAGAACCATTAAAATATGGAGAAGTTGATGTTAAAGATTTCGTCCCAGGAGCTGAAACTCTTTTAAATGCAAGTAAGAATGATGATATTGAAATCGATAGTGAAAATACTGAAGACGACGATGATGAATGGATTGATGTTAGCGGCAGCGAGGATGAAAATGATGATGCTAGTGAAGATGATGGTGATGATGATGATGACGATGGTGATCAAAATGAGGAAAAAGGAGATGAAAATGAAGTTGATGAACAAAAAGGTGGAGTCAAGAAAAGGATGAAAAAACAAAAAAGAACAAAGCTTGATAGAAAAAGAGAAAAAATGCAAAGACTTTTACGCATGAAAAAAGTAAAAAAGGAAGAATTCACTGCAGAAAAAAAAGAAAAAGCTGCTTTAATATCTGTAGAAAGATTATTGACTGATGAAGATTTCAAAAAAATAGATTCTGCCCTCATTAAGCAACAAGTAACACCACATGCAGCGAAACGAGGAATAAAGAGGCCATTTGCCAATGAAGAGAAAGATGAACTTGTCAAACTTGGAGATATCGAAAATATTTATAAAAAACGCAAACACGATAAACAAGCTCGAATGGAAAGTATAGAGGTAAATAAATACTGTAAAAAATATGTTGTGATTAAAAAATATTTTTGTATTTAATTATAATAATGCATATGAATAAAATTAAATTATTATTTACAGAAAGGAAGAGAAGATCGTGTAAAATTCGGCTACAAAGACGGACGTCAGAATCCACTGTGTAGTAAAACTAACCGCGAAAAGAAGAAAACGAAAGCTTATCAAATGGTTAAACATAAAATAAAAACAAAAGTAAAAAGATCATTTAAAGACAAACAGATTGCTTTAAGAAATCATCTTCTTAAAATAAAAAGAATGAAATAATATAATGTATATTTATCAAAAAAAAGAGACAAAATATATATTTTAAATTTTCTCCCCAGTAAATGTAGTTCGTTATTTACTATTATTGAGCGCTAGTGTAGCCACCACCATCTTATGTGTCAATTGTATACATAACAAGTAGTATAAGCGTTGCATTAGTGTTTGTTGGTGTTTGATAAATGGCAATAATAATTAAATAGAAACGTGGCTACTGTAAAACATCAATTTTCTATCCGATAAATAAATAATTTGTTATTTAATTACATTTAATAAACATTGACTAGTGCAATAATAGTTTTGTTACAATAATGCTTATAAAAGAAGAGCCTCAGTGGACGTTGGAGTATGGAGACGCTAATTTTCAGATATTTCCAGAACTTGAGTCACTAGGTATTGATCAAAAGCATAAATAAATAACTTGTAGTCTATTAAACATTACTTTCCAATGGCTATTCAATAGAAAATTTTCCAATGACTCCAACTATCATAATAAATAACTCTAAAACCCTTTTTAAATACTCCAATTCAAAAAATCACTCATTGATAGTTAAATGTAAGTCGAAATTTACATATAACGTAGGAAATATCAATGAAAAACACCTGTGTATCCGTTTATACATATTTTTAATCTGTTTTTTATTAATATAAATCTATTGTTCATCAACACTTGTGTGTTTATTCACCATAACATTGTATTGTCGCGTCTTGATACGCAATGATAACCATAGCGATAGCATTAGTTTATAAAAAAAATTATGTAAAACCACAGTGGTTAAACGGTTCTGTTTTTTAATCCTGTAATTCATTGCTTATATTTGTAAAATATCGACCAATTTTATCACCTACTATCAACGTGCAAAGCTTATCGGCGTAATGGTCAAAAGTTCTTTCAATTTCCATGCATATTTAAAATGTTAAAAAATATCTTTAACATGCACATGATACAATATTCGATTAAAAAAAATAAAAACAATCGATTTTGCTAGAATTTCATTTCATTTTCAATGACCGTAGTTCATATTCAGGTTTATACTCCAAATACTTTATGTGTATTGTAATTATCAGAAAAATTATTACGACTAGTACATGGTTATTATAGATAGCATAGAAAAGTATTCCTATCTTCTTCTCACACTTGATATGAGTCGGGCGACCAGCTGAGACAAGGATGTAAAATATGAACGGTCACATAATACACAACCACCACGCCGGGCCATTCAAACGTAGCTCGTTATGGGATCCAACAGCATGGTCGGTTATTGATAATCACAATAAAATATGTTTCATTTATTTAAAGAGTACATCATGTTTTTAAACTAATTTAGTGAAGTAAAATGAAAGTAATGTTGAAATAAGTTTATTTCATAAAACATTTAGTGACAGTGGAAGTGTGAATAAAATAATGAAAAAAGATATTTCGAATCACTGTATATTAAATATGATTGATTATGAAGATTATTTGTGGTCTTTAGGTAAATTAGTTGATAGTTTATCAAACATATTTGATTGATAGTGAAATGAATAATGTTAAAATCATTAAGTCTAGGTCAATTTCAGTGAAGAATTTAGAATGCTTAACAAATAAATGAAAAAAAAAAAAATGCTAGAGGAAAAAAATATAAAATAATTCAATGTTGTTCATGTAATTCTAACATTCCTTATTTTGATAAGCAATTGATACGATTATTATGAAATGAGTGCAGGTGATAATTTACGATGATTAGTTTAAATTTATTTTTATTATTAAATGAAGGAAAAAAATAACATTGTATTCAACATTGCATAATACCCAAGTGCACACCTGTAAACTCTGATGTTAATGATTCCATGTATACTACCAGCCAATGCGACGTTCGTAAAGTTTGTCGACCCTGAATTTCTTATCCTTTTCTCTTTTTTTTCTCTCTTTTCTTTCTTGCTAAACTGCCAAGCCATTTTTGAGTGCAGTGATAGGAATAGTACAAGCTCTTTGTTTACAGTAGTTATTGTAGTTTTATTTCTACACTAAATTTAAAAATAATAACAAGGTTAAATAAAAAAAAATTATTTACCATTCAGATAATGACTGTCCACCACTTCCTGCGGACGATTTTTTACAATCATTAGGTTCTGACCTTGAAATTCCCCTTCTTTTAAATGGAAGAGGGGACGAAGAGGATGGAGGATCGTTTGAAGCTGATGAGAGTCCTGATGAAATAATGAAAGATGCATCACTGGATTCTCTAAATAATTTTGACAAGTTTGGACTGAATATCGACGAATTAGATGATATGTTTTCCAACATTACTGATGCAGGTATTATTTGTTTTATTTTATCTACTCCATTATTTGATAAATATTCCTTAATTGATAAATTAATGTTTTGTTACTACAGATGTCGATCTGTCACTAGCGGATATGAAAAATGTAAAACTTGAATCCAGTAATTTATCTTTCCCACCATCACCAAGCCACTCAGAATCAAGTTTATTGGGGATAGACTTACAACAACAACAACAACAGCAACATGAATTAATTAACAATTCTTCAACAAAAAATATTAAATTTAATTTCGATACACCTCCAATATCTCCACCAGAGTCAGACTCTGCTTCATCACCTCCAACAGTAGCAACAAATCTATCAGTGTTTCAACCTATGAAGCTTGTTTCTTTAAATACTTATCATGATGATAGACAATCAATTCAACAGCAGCAGCCAATTCGTAATAAAATTTCAGTGGCAAATGGAAATTTTGCTAAGCGGCTCTGTATACAACAAACTACAAAATGTACAAATTCTGAGCAACCAAAAAAAATGATTGTACTGAGTGCTCAAGATTTTGCTGCGTTAACAAAGAATGTTCAGCAACAAAATTCGACAATGCGTCCATTAAAAATTCAAACTGTGAAGCGTAATATTGCGAATAATAATCAGAAACAGGTTAACTCCAAAAATACTATTAATCTTTCAATCACAAATAATGAATCAAAATCAACAACAGTAGATTTTCCTCAAACTAATCAATTGAAAATAATCAATACCATTCCAAACATCCAACCGTTAGTGGAGCCAAAAGTTGTAATGAATAGTAATACTCTTGTAATTGATACTATTAAAGATACAACGACTACAGCATGCACACCGATTGTAGTTAATCACAAAGGGGGAGGAGGAGTGAGTCAAGTTGCTCCAATTTTAATAAAAACTGAAATTCCAGATGTAAATTTGACCACTGCTCGTCAAGAATGTGAACTGAAAGCATTAAAGAGACAACAAAGAATGATAAAAAATCGCGAATCTGCATGTCTTTCGCGAAAGAAAAAAAAAGAATATGTAACGTCATTAGAAAAACAAATTTCAGAGCTTCAAGAACTGAATAAGCAGCTAAAAAAAGAGAATGCATTATTAAAACAACGGCTGTTAGAAGTAGAAGAAAGAAATTGTACAATGACAGGACAAAGTAATAGTAGTAACAAAGTAACTATGAATAAAAAAAATACTGCAATATTACTTGCTGTATTTTTTATGTTTTCTATAAATTTACCACTTTTCGGTGGTATATTTTTCCCTGATAAAAGTCAACTAGATTCATTATCGAATTCTAATATTAATATGGTGGCATTACCAGCGGTATTACAACCGAATACCAGACATGGGCGGTCTCTATTGTGGGCAGAACCTCAGAATGAAACTGAAAATGATGCAACAACAATAGAAGACCGTGTAGGTGCTTCGTCATCACCTGATATTCCGCTAGATGATGATGCGATAAATCGCCATCCTCCGATGTGCCCTATGTTTATAAACCAAACCGAATCGATTCGTTTGGATTATGAGCTAAGACGATGGATTAGTGGTGACGACGATGAAGACAATGATGGTATGAATAACAATAATAAATTAAAAAATTTCACCTTTGCAACAAAAGAAGACGAAGAAAAGCAAGAGAATAATTCTGGAAAAAAAAAGAAATCTTTAGGTGAATTACTTTTTTCAGAGTCACTTGAAAAAATAAATAAACAACAGAAGAAAAATAATAATGAATTGTTAAAGAAAAATGAAGAAAAAGAAAAGAAGATGCTAGAAGAGAAATCACGGATCAATGGTGTTGAATCTCCAATAAAAAATAATAATGATAGTAATAGTGCAGTTCAAATATTCTCACTTTTTGGTAGCCGTTTAAGACGACGAGATGATACATTCTATGTAGTATGGTTCAGTGGAGAGCATTTACTTTTACCTGCTTTGAGAAGAAATAATACAGTAAGGCCTAGAATGTCATTAGTTTTTCCTGCAGTTTCACTTGACAACAAGACATTTACATCACCTCAGAATCATATACCAATGATGCAAATTGATTGTGAGGTAACTGATACTCAATTGGTAAATTTAGAAAAATCTTTGATTCCTCAGCATCTGAGAAATAATTATGATAAGCCGAAATTAAAGAAAAAATCGTCATTGCATAATGATAATAAGAAGAATGGTAATAATGATAGCAGTAATAAAAATGAGAATAATAATTATGATTACAAATATCATAATAATAATAATGATAACAATAATCTGTCATATAAAATAAATAAAGAATCTTCGTTACTCTCTAAAGTTCCTGATTTGATGGCAACAAAAAATGAAATGCCAGCGATATTTTCGGAGCAGAAAGAAATAAAGGACACTATAGTGAAGAAGAAAAAAAAATACAGTGAATCAGCAAAAAATGTTAGCGCTACAGTAATATTATTTTCCATTTCTGTAGTTTTTAATGTATGTTTTATAGTATTTCTTTTTTTAAAGACTATTCCATATAAGAGACGAGTTAAGGTAATGTATGGTGTAAAGAAATTTGAATCGTACAATTAAGTAATAATAATTTTTATACAAATCTACGTTTAATGAATTGATATTGTACATTGTACTGCCAAATGGTTGAAATGAGAGGCTGTGCAATATTGAGAAAAATTATCATATAATGATTTTTATAATAATGAGAAGAATTTATTTAATTATATATCTACATATATATATATATATATATATATTTGAAATCTATTAGTTGTGAATTGATTGAATAATAAATACTAAATAAGAGTAGGAGAAATAGTGTAACAGAGGCATAATAATTGAAGAGTGAAACATATTGATGCAATAAATTATTGTTAAGACAAATATTTGTCACTGTAATAACAATATGTATATGTTGTGACAAAAGAATAATTCGCGACAATGGCGATAAAAATAATATTGTAGGAAGAGGCTACAATAATTAAAGCTTACAGCTATATAGCAAGTGGTGATGAGTATGTGAAAAAAAATTTGGTTCGATAAATTTTTACATACTTAGAATAGACTAATTTGTACTAGTAATATTTTTTATTGAAATTTTAGAAAAGCACAATAGCTAGTATATAAATGAAATTGAGTGAAATATTATTGAATAAATTTTATTAACAATGAAGTGAAGAAATTTTGTAGTTAATTTATAAGATATATAATTAACAAGCACAGAAAACATAACTTCCATAAGAAATTAGTTGATAATTTGAATAGAAATATATATAAATAGATGAGAGATTGATTACTTGTTGGTAAAAGAAACTTATCTTTAATTACTTTTATTGAATAATGATACAAATTTTCCACTTTCTTATATGTACATTTTGGATTTAAATGCTGAAATAAATATAGACAAATTAATTTGAGATTTTATTTTAAAAACTTATTTATAATTTTTGAATGAAGTATTTTATTACATTTCAGCGTTAAACTTCAATTCTGGCCTCAGAAAATTTTTCAAGTCCTAATTTGATGGCGACACTTGTCTCTTCCGTGAACTAATTATAGGTTAAGATCCTATAGAGCGGTAGCAAACAAAGTATATTTCCAGCTTTTTCAGAAACCACATGTCGACAGTGTTGATAAACGTGAAAAGCTAATGAAACTTATTGTTCAATAAATCAAATAAAACTCGTAAGTATTGTTATTCGAATTCAATTATTTATCAATATAAATATTCTTTAATGATATTTATTCATAGTGATTCTACCATTTTATCACGTATTTGCAGAGAATGACAAGGTTTGCTCGAGCTAAAGGCTCCAAAGCCTCAAATGAACGAGTTCCTGAAGAATCAACACCTTGGCATGTTTTGAAGCAACAATTGGAGTCATCAGTCACAAATGAAAAAGAACAAAAACAAAAAACTAAATCGGCTAAAGAATTATTGGAAGAAAAAGAGGAATCTTTGTATTATCCTAGCTTAGACAATACCAATACTGATTGGGCCGAGTTTGAAGATGTCAAAAAAGCGACAAAGCATAAAAGTGATTCTCTACCAGATACTTCTCCCAAAAAGAAAATAAAAAAACATGAAGCTACTGTTAATGCTAAAGAAGATGAACTAGTTGAAAAATCTAATAGTTTTTCTGAAAGTAAAGAAAACAATAATCATCAAGATAAAAAGAAAATGAAGAAAAAGAAACGAGCAGAAAAACGTAAAAATAAGAATTCTCAACTTGAGAACGATGGTAATGTAAATAGTGTAAATAAGAGTAGTGACCAAGACACTGTTTCACAGGATGAAAGTAAAAAGCCTTCAGTGATACTTAGCAAGAGACAAAAACGTAATAGAAAGAATAAAAATAAAACGAACAATAATACGGAAGAAAAAGGTGCTGAAACAAATAAGAAAGATAATGATGAAACATCAGGTATGTTTAATGTTGAAGGAAATGACTGGAAAAATAATTTAAAATTTGGTAAAAGTGATAAATCTTCAGAAGAAAATGAAGTCAAGGATAACACAGATGATAAACAACCTGATCTAACTGACAAGGTACATGAAAAGAAGCCTTTCGATAAAAGTCATCGAAATAATTTTAGAACAAACAATTTTAGATCAAATGATAATAGATTTAATAATAATACAAAAATGATAAAAAAAAGAAAACCACCAAAAATTCGTGATGACAAAGAACATAAAAGAAGAAAACCTGATCCAGGTGCAAGTAAGGTTATCATCAATGGAATGGAGATAGAAATTGTATTATACGATGGTTTTCCAGTTAAAAAAGAAGATGCTGATAGATTAAAAGAATTAAGAGAGAAAATGGTAATGAAAGGTATCCCAAAATCGGATATAGATGCAGCGATGAAGCTAGAAAGAAGAAAAGCTGAGAAAGCGCTAACTCGAGTGAAGAAAAATGTTTGTTTCCACTGTCGTAAGGCCGGTCATGTTTTATCAGATTGTCCAGAACTAGGTAGAGAAGAAGCTGCTACAGGAATTTGTTTTAAATGTGGATCAACTGAACACACTCATTTTGAGTGCAAAGTGAATAAGAAAGAAGAATTTCGTTTTGCAACGTGTTTCATTTGTCGGGAACAAGGACATATTGCAAAACAATGCCCTGATAATCCAAAAGGTCTTTATCCACAAGGTGGAGCATGTAAAATATGTGGTGATGTGACACATCTCAAGAAAGACTGTCCAGATTTAGTGAAGGAAAAAGAAGATAATACACTAACTCTTGATACGATTAGAGACAATGCAATAGAATCATTGGATGGTGCTGAAGAAATAAAAAAACCAGAAAATATAAGTAAAACAAAAAATAAAATAGTTAAATTTTAAATGATCCTATGATTAAATTAGATAATGATGATTGTAATTAAATTATTTTTTAAATAAAATATCAATGATGTGAAGTGTAAAATAATTGAATAATTTATAATTTACACAAAATCTATATTTACATGAGTAAATTTATAAACAATATACATTAGTGGAAATAGTAAATTATTTATATACTTTTGATTAAATGAACTAAAATTGTTATTTCCTTTAAAATTTGATAAATGAAATATTAAACTGTTGCTTGAATAAGAAAAGTCAAATTTCATTCTTTTACAAAATAATGGTGGTTTTTTTTTAATAAGTGTCCATAATATGTTATCTATTCTTATCGAGCTTATACACATGCTAATTCAAAGCTATCGTCCACTTACAATTCACTTTACACAATTCAGAAAAGTAGAAAATATTGAACTTTGAAATTTATGAATATGAAATAATGCTGAATGAAACGTTTGTAAATTTTGATCGATTATCTTGTGATTAATAAGTCTATTTCTACAAAAAATGTCTTCAACACAATATGCTATTTTTTTTTCTCTCGCGTTCAGCTTTATATATGATTTTTTTCATAGATAAAACTTTTTTTTCGGTTAATCGCAACTACTACATATATTAGAAGTTATCAACTTAATTACAAATGTATACGGTAAGTATTTTAGATTACCGTTTCTATGCACAGTGGTGAAAAAAAACCTACATTTAAATCTGTAGAAAAAGGTTTACAATTTTTTAAAATTAATTATCATATCTTTAGATAATTATATACTTAGAAAAATAATCATATTTTTAAAAAGCTATGAACAATTTTTTTCGTTTAACGAATTAATTACATCCAAAACCAATTTTTAAACTATTTTATCTTATCAGAGATATGCCATAATCATGACTTTCACCAATTCCAAACATTCTTTGGTAGTTAATATTTTTCACCACACGCATTACGTTCACTCCAATATCATTTTTATTTATAAATTGTACAAAGGTTGCTAATTTATGAATTCACGATTCTCTAATATTATTTTTAAGCTTATCTCAATAGATATAATTAATGAGAATACTCCTGCTATGTACTAGCAGATTCTGCTTTGTAAGCTGACTCAATGATCTCTTTCAAACACCTACCGAATTCTTCGATTATCAGTCGTTGAGATGTTTCTTCGTCGAACATATTCTTTTCAGCATCTTCAGCTTGTGCCATTAAACACTGACACGTGATTTCCACGACTTTATCAGTCAAGAAATTGAAAGGTTGCCTATAAAAATAAATATTAAGATTAAATCACGTAATTTACTACTAATAATCTAATCATTCTTTTCAAAATATAATATACCTTGTGCCAGTATTTGATGCAGCAGGAATTCGGAAATTCATTTCGGTTGGTTGTTGATTTTTAGATTTGCTCAAATTTAACTGTGATGTTCTAACTTCAATAGCATCTGCAAGATCCTTCAATGACTTCTTCTCTATAACTGATTCTTCTACATTTCTGCATCCTATACATTTACAATTACCCGAGCAAGGAATTTTCGCCTGTAATAAAAGAATTTAACGTCTATTAAATCTTGCGGTAGGGTAAAAAAACATCAGGGTTGAAGAAAGAAAATTACCTCATAACATTCACAATAATTTTTCAAACAACCACTACGTTTGCAGTTACATCCTTTATTGTGTCTTCTTGTGTCATCACCTAATTCTCGACCTTTCCCAATTTTCGGTCGGAAAGCATTAGGATTACGTTCCAAGCATGATTTTATTGCTCGTTGTCTTTCCTCTTCATTGCCGAGATTATTCGAACAATTGTTACAATTACACATATGGCAGAATTCTCCATTTGCAAAGCAGTCGCAATATCTGAGACAGAACATTTTTATGTATCAGTTATTTTACACAGTATTTTTAGAAATGAAAATTATTTTTCGAATTATTAGTTCACTTATTAGAAAAATTTAGAATCCAGATTCTATAGAAGCTTGCTAGATAGTCTTTTTTTTATTATAGAATTTCAATAAAAGAAAAACGTTTCAATGCCTCTTAAATGTTGTTTGAAATAACAATTGACTTCCATAAAATTAAATACACTATTACAATTATAAAATATCAAGAATTTAGAAAAAAATTTGCTGCATTAGAATAATGTACTTACAGTTTAAGACAGTGTGACTTTGTACAATTGCAAGGTTTTCGTGGTCTAATTCCATTTGGTTCAATATTCGAATTGTGTGATTTTTTCGGGGTTTCAGCGATCGTTATCGTAGATAAGTTAGAAGTAGAAATTTGTGACGATTGTGAACTTGAAAGACTTGGGGTTGATGATTGTGATTTAGATTTTGGCTCGTCAACATTCTGCTAAAAGAATAAATGCATTCATTCATAAGTATTCCATACGGAATTTTTTAAAAATTTTCTTGATAATAAATTAATTTCTACCTGTGATTGCTGAATGTATTGTGCAGGCAATACAACAATATTTCCAACGTTGGAATTCGTAGACAACACAGCTTGGCCAGAAGCTAACTGACTTAAAGCTGAAGCTGGTATTGCAACTGCACTCTTTGGAGAATTAGCAGTAGCAGGAATTAACAATCGCTGGTTTCCAGTAGGTGTCGAAATAGCCGTTTTAGGTGCCACAGTTCTTAAAGATTGCCCACTTGTATTAAGAGGAACAACTTTAACAATTTGTTGGGGTCCCGAAATTTTTTGAGCAACTCCAACCGTGTGCAAAGCTGGAGTTTTAGGTTTACCCACTGTAACGACATTAGATGTTCCTGTAGATGGTGTACTTACTAATCTAACATATTGAACCTGTCGACCAGGCACTTGAATCTGATGAACTTGATTAGATCCAACAATATTCTGATTTGTTGGTATCCTGATAATCTGTCCACTTCCCAGTACCGTACCAGGTTTTAAAGCACTTTGACGAATGATAACCTTTTGAGCATTTTGTTGAGTTGTTTTCGGAGTAGTTGAAAATCCAGAAGCTTGAGAATTGACAATAGGTGATGATTTAACCTGTGTTCCTGATGCTGGAGCTGGAAGTATCTTTGCTGGAGATTTCATAGAACTTGACGGAATTAATGTTAATTTGGGTGGCTGTGATGTAGGTGATTGCACTAATTTGTTAACAATAATTCCCGATTGAGTTTTCTGTGGAGTCGATGGGAGATACTGCTGAACTTTATTCGAACCAAGGAGTCCCAATTGATGTGCTTGAGAGAAAGAAATTGATTTTGTCGAGCTCGTGATAGCAGGACAACTCGAACTAACTATTTTTATTGTCTGATTTTGTGAGCTATCTTGCGTAGATGCTATTAGAACTTCTTGACCTGTTTGGGTCTGACCACTAGTTAATATCATTTTTGTATAAACATTTTTATTGTGCTGGTTGGCTTGAGCCGGTCGTTTTTGTGTGACTTGTGCTCCTTTTGCTGGTTGAACATTACTCAAAGTAATATTACTAGATTGACATGTAGCTACATGAGGTTTTCCAGGTTGAGCAGATCGTAAATGAACGATATTTCCTTCAGCCGACTTGGCTGTGATTAAAGAATGAGCAATAGATTGTAATTGACCTGGTGATGCTGATGGTGGATGAGAAATTTTTAGTATCTGGCTAGTTCCTTGTCCTCCAGCTGGTGAAACAATCATGATAGACTGAGTTTGTGTTGGTTGAGTCATTGCAGGTTTTATCTAAAAATATTCAATATATGAATTAAATAATGTAATTATTAAAAAGCTCAAAATTTATTTCAATTATTAAATACCTGTACAGCTGATATTGGAACTTTTTGTAACGTTGGTTTTGTTTGAAAAACCACATTTTGATTGCTTTGATTAGCAGTCGAATAAGTTAAACGTTTAGTTTTCTCTTCAGAAACATCAGTCATCTCTATATCAGGTCCTATAATTTCAGTTTCAACATGTTCTTCGAGAGTTATTATCTCTTCTTCTGTTGTTGTTACTTCTTCAGCATTCATGCAGTCTAACTCAGCTTCTATACTTGCAAAAGCTTCATAGTCACTTGAAGAATACTGCTCAGAGTTTTGAGAAAGACTCAAGGTACCCAATTCATTGTCACCCAGGCTGATGGTTTCTACCAGAGCCTCTGACTCTGACGATTTATTTGTAGCCATTGTAGATAGACTTTTCTAAAGTCTCCTTCCTGAAATAAAAATGATATTTACTTTTATTATAAATGACTGTTATGTTAATAATAATGTTAATAATATTGATAAATCTTTTTGACTTTTCTTGTTGACACTGTTCAGAAGTTTTTTCTTACCAAAAAATTAATATTTTTGATTTGTTATTGAATTTGAATTTAATAACACATTCGATTGTCCAGAATTTTGATTGTTATGGATTAAAGGGGCCTACGATGGAGTCATTCATTGGGCCTAAATTTAAAAATTCAAAAATTCAAATTTCACTTGACCATAATTAAGCTTGTGACATTACAAATCAATAAATCAATAATCAAAACCACTATATTAAACCAGAATATCAATAATTATGGCAATAATCACTCTTAAAACGTAATAAATCGAATAAATATGGAAAATAAGAAGCATCTTCGATGCTGTAATGTAGACATTAGCGCCATTTATTGCTCGAACGCGCCATTTTACATAAACTAAACTTGAAACTGTTTTTTTTGATAAACAAAATGATTATTCATGATTAACTCATAGAAAATACTGATAAGCATAACGAAAAATCACATATTATACAAGAGTTTATAAGTTTTAATAAATCAACAACCACAAAATATGATATTTTCTGACTTAACCTAGAATTTATTCCCTCGTAACAAGGTTTCACATAGCTGAATTAGGGTGTGCCTTGCAATAATACTTTTCAATTTATTTGCTCACTACTCATTCAATTGCTTGACGATTGAATAACCACAACACTGTGTTGATAAATCAAACAACAATCTAAAGTTTATCGAACATACCTGCTTAGAACCTTGATAACTCGAATTTGTTCAAAATCACGCGCCCACCATTGCTGTCCCACAATGCAATGCACGCCGCCGTGTATAAACAGACGCAGAGAACAACGTTTACGATTACTAAATGTCCTAATTTGGAGTCAATTAAAGTGCTCAAAGGCTCAACAAATGCTAATGTTGCTAACAGAATCTTATAAACTAAGTATTTTCACGAAATTTTATAATATTCAAAAACATCCAGCTAACTATTTCTTCGCGCACTTTGTAATTTTCGATTTCACCATACTTTGCCCCCGACCGCGGCTAAAAACACGTCAGCTATTACCGCCCTCTTTGCCCAATCAAATCTTCAGAAACTACAATCTAATAAAAATAACCTTTTTCTCATAAATTAACCATTAATTATGATATTTACCTGTGTTTAAAATTCGATGATTACTCAATTTAATTAATTGTGATGGTTTTTAACCTATAAACTCATCAGTATTAGTACTGACGCGTATTATCGCGGGAAACGGAACACAATGAACTGGTTTCCAAAATCGAAAATGCTAGGGTGGCGCCACCTACTTCCATCATAAATGATCTCAAGTAAAAATACTTGATTAATTAACAATATTTCATATTTTTTACATTATAGCTGTATTGTTTAACAAAAAAACATTGATAAAAATCTCTATTCAGTTTCACATATTCGTTAGATTTTTATGGAGTAACTTACAGCTGCCAAATCATTTAATTATTGTGACTTTTTTCAAATATTTTTTAGTATTATTATCATTATAATTTTCATACTTCCGTTACGTCATCAATTTATGAGAAGTCAACAGAACTGCTTGTTGAATAGTCGAGCTTGATCAAATAACCTGCATTCATATAATTCATACATTAACGATAGTGAACTTATGCATTAAATTAAAATTGCATTGGAATAAATTATAAAATGGCGGTGACTACAGCTGTAGTACGCCAACAACTTACTAATTTAGCTCATTCTGGTGGATCTCATAAAGATCAAGCTGAAAGGTAAAGTTTACGTTCATTCATAACATTTCATTTTGCTAATTTAAATAAACAATATATTTCAGATATCGAACAATTTTAGATGATATTTTATCATCCTCTGGAGAAGAACTCATTGACAACTTGAAAATATTTATTGAAGCAAGTAAGTTTTTTAAATAAATTAATCATGTGTACTCTAAAAGAAATTATTCCGAATGTTTACAAAAGTTATATACAACACGTATTGTTATTGTTAACAAGTTAGTTCTAATCTTTTTATTAATAGTCACATTCTAACCTCATATTAATTCTTTTTAGTTGTCAACGAGAATGTAAGTTTAGTTATTTCAAGACAAGTTTTAACTGATGTGAGTTCCAGATTACTTCTTTTAGCGGATGAAATATCTAAAGCTGTATCACACTACACATTGGATAAAGTAAGTAAAATTTATTACAACAAATAGGATAAAAGTTTCCACAAAGTGTTTAAATATGATCTTGTAGGTCCAACCACGAGTAATTTCATTTGAAGAACAAGTTGCTAGTATCCGGCAACATTTGTCAGATATTTATGAAAGAAATCAAAATTGGAGAGAAGCAGCTAATGTCTTAGTTGGAATTCCATTGGAAACAGGCCAAAAGTAAGATCTTTTTACTGAATAAAATATTCAAATGATTGAATGTACTATTTAATAATAAAATATTTAATTTATTTCAGACAATATACAGTAGATTATAAGCTAGAAACTTATTTGAAAATTGCCAGATTATATTTGGAGGATGATGATCCAGTCCAAGCAGAAGCTTTCATCAATCGGGCTTCCTTACTCCAAGCTGAAACTAAAAACGAACAGCTCCAAATTTATTACAAAGTTTGTTATGCTCGAGTACTTGATTATCGAAGGAAATTCATTGAAGCAGCTCAAAGATACAATGAATTATCATATAGATCTATTATTCATGAGGATGAACGGATGACAGCTCTAAGAAATGCTCTCATTTGTACAATACTCGCGTCTGCAGGTAATTGAAATGGAAGCGATTATCAAAAAAATTATTAGTCGAAAGAAATCAAATTACAAATATTCATTTTCATCAGGTCAGCAGAGAAGTCGAATGTTAGCAACTTTATTTAAAGATGAACGATGTCAACAACTTCCAGCGTATTCAATCCTTGAAAAAATGTATCTAGATCGTATTATTCGTCGTTCGGAGCTTCAAGAATTTGAAGCATTGTTACAGCCTCATCAGAAAGCTTGTACGATTGATGGTCTTGGCTCTACGATTCTTGATCGTGCTGTTATTGAACACAATTTATTATCAGCAAGCAAATTGTATAACAATATTACTTTTGAAGAGCTTGGAGCTTTACTAGAAATCCCGCCTTCTAAAGCTGAGAAAATTGCTAGCCAGATGATTACTGAGGGTCGTATGAACGGCTATATTGATCAAATTGATTCTATTGTTCACTTTGAAAGTACGTAATTCAATACTCAAGTAATCAGATTTTAGTTTAGAGCTTTTTGTTAGTAATTGATGAAATTTATTTTTTGCAGCAAGAGAAATTTTACCAACTTGGGACAAACAAATCCAATCCCTTTGCTATCAAGTTAATCAGATAGTTGAAAAAATAGCTCAAACACAACCTGATTGGATCGCTAAAACGATGGAGGATCAGCTAGTACATTAATTAATTAATTAATATAAGATATTTATATAAGCTTTTATCTATAAAGAAAGTGTTGCGATTTTATTTCAATATTATTTGATAAAAGTAAAATAATTTAATAATGGTAGTTTAAAAAAAAAATCAAGACACAATTGCTGTGAGTCTCCTGCGAAAGCAGTGAAAAAGTTTAATAAACAAATACTCCAATAGCTTAACATAATAACCGTGTTTGACTTTATTTTGTAAATTATTCAAGTGATTAAATCAGACTTAACGACATTAATCGAAAAGAAAACATGATGAAATTATGGGTAGATACAATAAAGTCGAGGTGAATGTTTTACAATTTTACAATAGAAAATAAATCTAATAATTCATAAAGACTCGATATTTATAACGATAATAGTGCGGCTGTGTGACTTAGAAAGCAAAACTATTTTTTTTTTTATATCTAAGAAGTTCAGATAACTTTCTGATTCAATGCTCTAAGCGAGCAAATACTATCTAAGCAATGAAAGAAAATAATTTTTTGTCTTTTAACGATTATCAAATCGTTTATCATAACCCAACTAATATTCTGCAACAATTGCAACTCTAATATTTTATTGATTGCTTAGTAATCATTTTTTTTTCTTTTTAAATTAGCCTGTCTTTCAGTAGGTGATTCTGCAAGGCACCCGGTTATTTCGGGTAAACTTATCTACCATTACAATACATATTAAATCGATCCATGACAAATGTCGTATATTATTTTTTTATTACGACATCAGTATTTAAAGTAATTATTCGAATGGGGAAAAATTTTTTTATCTTATTTTTTTTTTTGTAAACTTCGATGTTTAGGCTTCCAGATCCAAAGCCATACCAATCTTGTGACCACCAGAGCTGAAGTTTTTGCCATCAATGTTTGTTGAAAGACTCAAAGTAACTCCTGAAACAATTGCAAAGACATGAGCGATATATTCGAGACGAAGTTCTTCGAGGAATGCCCGAGACAGTTTAATTTAAGTTAACACGTGACGACAGATATAAATAGCCAAGTCTTCTGTTCGTCTACAAAACTAAGGGAGGCTCTTAGCATGTCTTGGACAAGGGCAATAGCTTCTATAGTCACTTTAAAAGATGCCTCTTAGCTTAGATAAATATTTTTATCGTAAACTCTTTGTACTAACCATCACGAAGTTTCTGCTGATATCCCAAACCAATTTGGAGTTGAGAATTGACTTTAGCTCTCAAACAGGCATCATTATCAAGATCGTATTTGGTACCGAGACCAAATTGAGTTGCATTATTGCTTGAGTTCCAGGCAATGCTGATGGCACCTTCAAGTCCAGGCTTGACTTTGTGGTAAATCGAACCATTGAACTCGCGGCCATTGTTTCTAATTGAGTCATAGAGAGAGAGTTTACATATAATCGTTGCTAATAACATATAATAATTTAATTAACACATTGATAAATATTTAGAAAACTTACACGGAAGAATGGATGGAAAAGTCTTTCCCCGTGAAACCGAGGGCAACATTATTTTTCGTAATTTTGCTTCTTTGAGCATCAAATGATGTCTGATAACCAGCCAGCCATCCTAAAAATATTTTTAAAAATTCAATATGATGTATACATGTTGAAAATGATTTTATTATTAAATTTATATAATAGACTTCTACCTTGATAACCAATAACGGCTGTTGAGTGAATCAATGGAGCACTGTTCAAGCTGAGATCAAGGTCTGTAGTAGCCGAAATATTTTCATGTTTATATGTAGTTTTTAATTGACCAGTTTTACTCCTGAGAATCAATAAAATGACATAACTTCCGTTAAGAATCAGATAACAATAGAAACTAAAAAAAAAAGGTCATATAATCGAGTTATTACCCGGTTTGAGGAGAGAAAGTGCAGCTGTAACCAATGCTAAGTCCTTGCAAAAGTTTATCTGCAATGGTAATACTAGTTTCAAGAAGATTGTCTGTATTCCATTTTTCAGTAAGAGTTAATCCATATTCTTTGATTTTATATTTTGTCTCTAAATTTCCGACAACGACTCCAGTGTCTTGATTAGAAAATCCACCGCTGGAAAATTCAACTCCTGAATCAGTTTTGGTCTTGACATCAAGCTTCAATAGACCAAAATGGTATCCTTTACCAAAAACATCACGAGCACTTTTGCCTAAATCTCCATATGTGGGTGGAGCCATATTCTGCAAACAGAAAAAATTGTTAATCACTTGAAAAATATGCCTCAATGTCAACTTATTGAATTATAATTTATTCATTAGATAAATTATGCCCTAGTTAACTTCGGTCATCTGGTTTAACCCAGTTTTCTCTAAGAGTTCGCGAGCACATTTCATTGATAATATATACATATATACATGTATATATGTGCGGCAATTTTATTATTCTTGCCATAAAAAAATTGACACTAACCAAGTTAAAATAAGAATGGAGAGTAAACTATTAGTAATACTATCTTCATTCAAAATAACCGGTGTAGGGCTGCAGTAAAATTAATTCGCGACACAAGGCGTTGCATAGAAGCAGTATTGACCTGGAGTGATTATTACATAAGCCATAAATTGAAGAAATGAATGTGATCTAAAAGTTGATGTACTAGTGATCAATGAGAAATCAATCAATTAAAAATAAAAATGGATCTAGGGACCGTCTTAGATCATGATCAAGTCGAAGTGTAAATTCTTCCGAGAACCTTGATCTCGCAAATAGTTTTAATGAAGGTCACCCCGTGAAAGACGACATTACAAAGGATTTGCAGAACCGGCATTGTTCAAAAAATGGTGAATAATATCTAGTAAATATGATGACTCAAAGATAAATGATTCGAGACTCTATTAATGATTAAATTTTGTAGAAACTTACGTCGTTAATTAAAGACAGTTGATTTGCAAGAAAATGCGAATAATCACAAGAGTGCTGCGTGCACGATTCTACCGGCCAAGGAAGCTGCTTTACTGAAATAGAAATGCGCACGCGCAGGATGTGGGAGAAGAAAATGGACGCGCGCAACTTCCAGTGCCTCTCGAGGATGAAGAAGGTACTAGAATATCACCAATCAAATTTTTGCCGCGATAAATTTGGTTCAGTGTATCGAGAGAACTCTAGATTGTACCATTTGGCACTGGACCATCTGTCGAAAGATATTTTTATATTCCATAAGTCTATAAAATCACGCGTTCTCAGTCTGGTCAGTTATTCTGTTCTACGCAATAAACTGATAAACAATTAATAAATAAACTGGAAGCAAGATTTCAATCATGTCACAAGCAACAACAGTAAGTAATTTTGGTCTTCTCTGTAACATTTAGAAAAAATTATTGACCAACTTTATTTATTTATTTTGGATTTTTTATAGGGCTCTTCTCCTGAAGGATTAAAATCAACTTCTACTTACAGTATTCTTCACAATGACCAGGTTGGAAGGTAAATACAAAGACCATTACTTTAATCTGACCTATTTCCAGGTCTATATTTGTTAGATTGAATGTTTTTATATTTAGCTAAATTCTTCAAGTTGTTCGATACATTTGGTTTCAAATGTATTTAATTTTAAACGTCTTTTATTTATTTCAGATATGTGGTGGCAAATAAAGACTTGGAGCCAGGGGAAGAAATTTTAACTGAACTACCATTTGTAGTAGGACCTAAAGCATCAACATATCCTCTTTGTTTATCTTGCTATACACCTTGGCCACCGACTCCAGATACTCAACCTCTATGTTCAGCATGTGGATGGCCAGTTTGTAATGAAGAGTGTGCCAATGCTCCTCAGCACAAAGATTATGAGTGTCCAGTTTTTGCTGCTGCAAAAGAAAAATTCAATGTCAGTGCAGCAATGGATGAAGCTAATGCTACTGAATGTCCACAATTGGAATGTATAACTCCTCTGAGATTACTTCTTGCATCTGAAAAATTTCCAGAACGATGGGAGAAAGAAGTTAAAATCATGGAAGCTCACAATGCTAAGAGATGTGTTAAAAAACAGTGGAAGATTGATCACGTAAATATTGTTGGGTTCTTGAGAGATCGTTTGAAACTTGACAGATTCTCAGAGGAAATGATTCAGACAGCTTGTGGAATATTGGAAATTAATTCTCATGAGGTTCGAGCTGCTTCAGGATATGCTGCAAGAGCTTTGTATCCAACAGTAGCTCTCATGAGCCATTCCTGTGTCTCCAATACGAGTCATAGTATTTTTCCAGCTGATTATAAGTAAATATTTATTTTAATGATAAAATAAATAATATCATTAATACAATTGATTTGTGTATTAATAAATATTGTTCAATTTCAGAGTAGTTTTAAGAACAACTGTGAGAGTACCCAAAGGTCAAGAGCTTTATGGAAGCTATACACACTCCCTACTACCAACATTGATGAGAAGAGAACATCTCTTGGAGGGAAAACATTTTTCATGCGCCTGTCAAAGGTGTTCTGATCCTACAGAGTTGGGGACTCATATGTCATCTCTTAAATGCAATAAATGTGACAACGGTGTCGTTGTTCCTCTTGATTCTTTAGGTAATTAAAATAATTGGCATCCATAATTTATAAAATATTGTTTAAAATAAACACTTCATCTAATCCATTAATTGATTATCTTTTAGATGCTGACAGTACGTGGAAGTGTACACACTGTGAATTTTCAACAGCTGGAGCATCAGTAAAGAAAGTCTTCAACATCATCAATGCTGAAGTTGAAGCAGTGGAGGCTATCAGTGCTATGGAAGGTCCTGAAGCTATTCAAAGTCGAGAAACTGTTATGAAAAAATATCACTCTGTTCTTCATCCTCGCCATGCTTTTCTTACTATGTTGAGGTACAATTTGTCAGCTAATACAATTCTTTTCCATATGTTAGTTCATTGTTATTAAATAAATCAATTTATTACTACTTTTAGAATGTCATTATCTCAACTTTATGGTCGAGTTGAAGAATACAACCTGGATGATTTACCAGACATTGTTTTGGAGCACAAAGTTGATATTTGTCGACTCCTCCTACAAGTTTTAGATGTCATTGAACCTGGATACTCTCGAGCAAGAGGAATGACTCTTTACGAGCTTCATGCACCACTTCTTTTCATTGCCAAAACTCAATGGAATGCAGGAGTAATTGATGATGCAGCGTTGAAATCAAAGATGACAGAAGCTGCAAGTATACTAAGGGAAGCTGCATCAATTTTAAGTCTCGAACCACCGGAAACCAGTGAAGGACAACTTGGATTAATAGCCAAAGAATCTTTAAAACAATTAGAAGAATCGATAAACAATCTTTAAAGTAATTTTTTTTTTGATATTAAAATATTAGCAATAATATTTCTTATATAATTATTTATATGTATATTCTATCTTATTTTTAATACTTATTTTCAGATATATATTTGTTACTAAAGATATATCATATACATAAATAAATTATTTACTTGTATCAATTGAGCAAACTTTGTTACTTATTTTTGCTTAATTACGCACATCTGTGTTCGTATATGTTTTCTATTTTAGTCGGACTTGTAAATTGGTGGAAATGTACTTTACTTGTTACGTATGATCTCGAGTTGATCTCTAATTTTAAATCTTACGCTGTTGGTTCACTTGCTTTAAACTTAAACATTGGTACATGTTATTTTAAATAAGGTATTTAATTCTTAACAAACAGAATTTTTTTTTTTTTAGTTAAATGAACATTATTACATAGATATAAAACGATGAAAATCATTGAAATTGTTGCTAACCCAAATCCAACTTCAAAGTATAAAGAATCATATTCAGAAAAATATGGGAAATATTTAGTAGCTGCAAAAAAGCTTGCAGCTGGTGAAGTTATTATACGTGAAAAGCCAGTTGCTGTAGGAGCTGCATCATTCAATAATACTTGTTTATGTTTTGCTTGTTTACGAGTGATACCAGAATCTCCAACAGCTAAATTTGAAGTTGTATGTTCTGGATGTAATATTGCAATTTTTTGCAGCACTAATTGTGAGGTAATGATGTTCAATACAATCTTATTTAAAATGAAAAATTACTTAATGATATTTACTTTTAGAAGAATGAATTATATCATTCAGCTGAAGAATGTCAGTTATTCAAAGAAAAATTAACTCTAGATGATTTGAAAAAATTTAACATAAGATCTATTTTACTTCCACTTCGATTGTTATTGATAAGAAAGCAAGATGAAGAGTTATGGCAAAAAGTATTAAAGTTAGAAGCTCACTTAGATGCGAGAAGAAATACTCTAGTCTGGAAAGAACGTCAAGAAAACGTTGTTGATGTTTTAAAAGCATTTAAATTAATTGATCAATCTCAGACCTCAGATGAGCTGATTCAGCAACTCTGTGGAATTTTAGATGTCAATTCTTTCGAACTGAGATCTCCAGGGTGTCTAAGTAATCCAGGATTATGTGGAATATATATCATAGCTGCTTTAATGGCTCATGATTGTAGAGGAAATACATTTCTTACAGTCGATGATGAGTTTCAGCTGACAATTTATGCTAGCAAGCCTATCGAAGAAGGGGAACCAATCTTCTTCAATTACACATCTTCATTAGTAGTAAGACTAAGTGTAAAATAAATGAGTTTTTAATTAAATATGTAATACATTGATTAAATTATTTAGGGAACTGCTGCAAGACAGGCACATCTCCTTCAAGGAAAATATTTCGAATGTGATTGCAAACTTTGTGATGATCCAGAGGAACTCGGAGCAAATCTGAGTTCTCTGTTATGTTCTAAATGCAAACAAGGAATTGTTAGATTTGAAGGAAGATCAAAAAGAAATTTTTATGCTCCTGAGAAGAATTGGAAATGTAATATGTGCGGACGATTATTATCAGGCTGTTTAATTAAAACAACTTTGGAGTTAACTAAATTTAAAATCGATGAATTAGAAAATGGGAGTATCAAGGTCAATTTAAAATTCATTTAATAATTTACTAATTGATGTTAGGTATAGTTAAATCAATTGATAAATTATTTCAGGAGTTGGAAATACTGTTAAAGAAATTATTATTAACTTTTCATTCTAATCATTTTCTTGTGCTAGCATTGAAACAGAAATTATTGGAGCTGTATAGACATGAAGTTACAAACTTGAATCCTAAAAAACAAGCATTAATGAGAATAATTGAACTTTGTAAAGAAGTATTGCAAGTTTTGGAGATAGTTGAACCAGGACTTTCTCGACTGAAAGGTATAATGCTGTATGAACTTCACTTACCAATAATGATTCTCGCAGACCGAAATTATGTAGCACGAGAAATAACTCTCGAAGAGATGACAAAACGACTGGAAGAAGCAGAAAGTTATTTGAAGAAGTCTTTGAGTATGATACTTTTAGAACCTGCTACAACTCCTGAAGGACGTCTAGCAAAAAGGGCTCTACAAGATCTCAAAAATCTTCGACAGAATTTAGAAGATGTTAGATCACTGCCATCAGCAATAGCAACTAATGTTTACTCAAAGAATGATAAAAAAACTAAAATTAAAAATAGAAAATAAATAAAAATAGCTTTATATAATTTTATATTTTCTAGATATTTACTTATCAGTTATGCTCATTTCAATTCAAAGTCCGTTTCTATTCGGAGTCTCTCGTTCATACTCGTGTTTGCTCCGAATAACATCGAATGTATAGCAAATCCCAACAATTGCAAACGACGTTTGCTAAGTCGAATGATCACCGGTATGGATTAGACATAGTGATGTTGATTTTAATAACAAGAATGTAAACACATTTTTGAATAGAAACAAATTCTCTTATTTCAACCGTAACTATTTATTCTCTAACGTCTAAACTTTTCATTTTATCTAGAAGTCATTAAAACTCTAGCAATTTTAAATATTTATTGAAAAAGACATAACCTTTACTATTCCATTCATTCAAAAAACTTGGAATTATTATTTTATTCAAGATAAGTAGTTAATTATTAATAAAAATGTTTGACCAAAGTATTGTGGGTATTTGTTTACTTCTTTTCCTAGCACTTGTTTTTAACTTTTCCATCCATAAAATTGAAGAGGGTCATGTTGGAGTTTATTTCAGAGTACGTTCTATCAAATGTTTCTTAAATATATTTAAAAATAAATAAATTACTGGATTAAACTAAATAATGTTTATTTATAATTTAGGGAGGTGCATTATTACCTCATGTCAGTCAGCCTGGGTTTCATATGATGGTTCCACTTCTGACGACTTACAGATCTGTTCAAGTTACTTTGCAGACTGATGAAGTGAAAAATGTCCCTTGTGGAACAAGTGGTGGAGTAATGATTTATTTTGATCGAATTGAAGTTGTAAATATTCTTGATGCTAATGCTGGTAATTATGTCTACACTATCGTCAACAATTATCGCTCATAGATTATTAACAACATTATATTTACAGTGTACAATATGGTAAGAAATTTCACAGCTGATTATGATCGAGTATTAATTTTTAATAAAGTTCATCATGAGTTGAATCAATTCTGCTCTGTTCACACATTACATGAAGTTTATATTGACTTGTTCGATCAAATTGATGAAAATTTAAAAACTGCCTTGCAAAAAGATTTACATGAGTTGGCACCAGGCTTAAGTATTCAAGCTGTTCGTGTAACAAAGCCTAAAATTCCTGAAACAATACGGAAAAATTATGAATTGATGGAGGGAGAAAAGACCAAGTTATTAATTTCTATAGAGCATCAAAAAGTGGTAGAAAAAGATGCTGAAACAGATCGTAAGAAAGCTTTAATTGAAGCTCAAAAAGAATCCCAGGTTGCTGAAATTCAGTATAAACAGAAAATCATGGAGAAAGAATCATTACAGAAAATAGCAGCCATTGAAAATGATCTGCACCTTGCTAGACAAAAAAGTCTTTCAGATGCTGAGTATTATAAACAGCAAAAACAAGCCGAGGCAAATATGTTATTATTTTCTAAGGAATATTTGGAAATAAAAAAATATGAATCCTTAGCTAAAAATTCAAAGATTTATTATGGACAAGAAATTCCCAAAATGTTTGCTTTAGGAGGATGTTCTCAAGAGCCTTCTTTAGGAGCAACTGCTACTAGTGCATTAAAATATGCTCAAGAATCAAGTGATTTATGACTTAGCTTTGTTTATCTTCCTGTTATATATTTGGCTCGTGTTATTATTTCTCGTTATGTATTATGTTCTTTGTAAGTATAAATTATATTGTTTTCAAGAATAAATTAAACCATTTTATAAACTTCTTAGGTTATTAATTTCCTATTTAGTATATTAACATCAATAATGATAAATTCAGATTTAAATTTTGGCGGGCATTTCTTGGCGCATGTCTATTAGTTGATTATTGCTGAATGAAAAATGGCGTATCCAATCAAATAGCGTGACCTTGTGTCTACTTTTTTTATGTGGTTATTAGCCCCTGACCAAAAAAACCTGACGTAACTTGACACAAATCAAACAGTTAATATTTTCATTTTATTTTTTAATATTTATCGCCCTTGGGGCTACTGCCAATTCATTGGATCTGAACATGATCCAGGCCATTCAGATAAAATTAAAAGTGATTGGGTAGATATAGAATTATAGTGATTAGATTCTATACCAAGTGATATAAGTCAGGTTAAATGTGAAAGTATTAGTGTGTAATTTAATAAAAAATTGATATTAACATTAAATCATGATAAGCTTTATGTCTTGTGGTCGTATTTTTGGCATCACCAATAGAAATAAGAAGATTTTAACAAGAAGGACTTATTCAACTTGTCAAAGGATATTTGCTCATCAGAATATTTTTCCTGATTATAGACCATCGTTAACAGTTGCTGGAATTAGGGTAATTTTTAAATTTCATTCAATTTATAACATAAAAAATATATTTTTCATTAATTATTAGGCATTGGATTAGCAAAAGTTTAAAATTAACTCTAAAAGAATACACTACAATCGTATAAAAAAATGGGTAGAACAGCAAGAAATCGTAGAAAAAAACAAAATTCCATATTGAAATCAACAGAAGAGGATTTATCAGTTCTTGAACGTATGGAAGATTGGATGAAGTCAATGGGCTGGTTCCCAACTTGTAATCTAGTACCATATATTTTTCCTATTACAAGGAGAGGTCTGAAGACTTTAGAAGACATTGAAGTTGATAGCTCACTTGCAATAATTCCTATGAAACTGTTAATAACAACTTCTGTCGTCTCTAACAGTGATATCAAAAATATCTTTCTTAGTAATAAGACTTACACAGCACAATCAGTCTTGGCAACATTTCTGTTATTCGAAAGACATCTAGGCTCAGCCTCTAATTGGAAATGTTATTTAAACAGTCTTCCTATATCATATACTGTTCCAGATTATTGTAACAATTCAGAAAAAAAAATTTTACCGTCATTATTATCTCAGGAGCTCAAAATCCAGTGTAGAAAAATGATTAATGACTTTAAGACAATCCAAGAATCAATCAATGAATTAAAAAATACCAACACTAATTTATGTTATCATTGTAAATTACCTTTATCTAAAATATTCACATTTTCTGCATACAAATGGGCTTATTATACTGTTAATACTCGAGCAGTATATTTAGATTCTAATAAAGATGTACATAATATTATAAATATACGAGGCGATGATAATTTAGCATTGGCTCCATACCTAGATTTATTTAATCATACATTTGATGCTTCTGTTAAAGTAAATTTAATTATTGATAAATCAGAAGAATATTATCACATCTATACTCTAAGATGTATTGAAAAAAATTCACAAGTGTTTATTAATTATGGAACTCACTGCAATCTCAAATTGTATACAGAGTATGGATTCTTTATTCCCAATAATCCTTTAGATGAGGTGCTTGTTGATTATTGTGATGTAAAAAAATGTGTACCAGTTTCTGAAAGTGCTAATGAATTTATTATGATTAATAAATTCAATAAAGATATTGGATTTACATCCACAGGGTTGAATTTCTCTGCTAAAATTGTCTTCTTTATTCTAAGTACAAATTTAAACACAGAATGCTGGAAGAAAAAAATTTATACATATGACTTTAATAGCCAGGATTTGATCTTATTAAATAAAATATCTTGTAAAATATTGGATATGAAAAAGATTGATTTAATGAATGAGTTAAAGAAAATGGAAGAACATGTAAATAGAAGCGAGAGTTTTGAAATTGCTATAAATTTAATGAAACAATATGTGTCTATTTTAAATCATTCTTTTGATTGTATCACGAAAGAACTGCTCTCAGTGGAAAATAAGTGAATAAATAAAGATTTTCGTTTTCATTAAAAATAAAATAATGTGTTAGAATTATTTTTATTAATAATTAAAAAATAATTAACTCACTGTAATTATCTCTAAAAATAAACAAAATGGAAAGATAAATTATTTCTTTATTTCAGTGTTGTAGTGGAAATTCTATTGACCGAGCCCAAACGAAAAAAAATGTTCCTCAAGCAAAACCTGTTATTACTCCAGTCAAAAACCCTCTCATTGTTGATGGAGTCACTGGAGGCAAACCAGGTCAACAAAAACGCAATTGTTTTCATCCTGGAGCATCAAGTTTAAATCGTGAAGATTTAAATTTCCATGACAGTTCATCCGTAACCAATTCCGAAATGATAAAGGCTATGCTAAGTTATATATGGCCAAAAGTAAGCCACAAATTGTTAAAGTAATATCCTAATATTATTTTATAATTATTTTTCATTGCTTCAGGAAGAACCTGAGATACGGAAAAGAGTAAAACTTGCTGTTGGATTATTAGTTGGATCAAAAGTGTTGAATGTCACTGTACCATTTTTATTTAAGCATGCAATTGACCATTTAAATTCTGCTAGTGTTGCTGCTGGAGGTGAACCATTGCTAGCCATGAGTACTGCACCTGAAACAATCACTACTGTAGGAACATCACTGCTGATAGGATGTAATTAATTAACTTATATTTTATTTTATAAAAATAAATAAAATATTCTTACTGTTTGTTTTTTTTATTTTCTATAGATGGAATAGCTCGTTGTGGTGCAGCAGGATTCAACGAGTTAAGAAATGCAGTATTTGCAAAGGTTGCGCAAAATTCAATTCGTAAAATTGCAAAAAATGTTTTCCTACACCTCCACAACTTAGATCTTAGCTTTCATCTGAGCAGGCAGACTGGAGCTCTTTCGAAGGTGAACTATTTGCAAAAAAAAATTTCAATTAAATGATAAAGATATTACGAAACTTACAGATGATTGACCGAGGAAGTCGTGGTATTAACTTTGTTCTAACAGCCATGGTCTTTAACGTTGTTCCCACAATATTTGAGTTGGCACTGGTTAGCACTGTCTTGGGAATCAATTGTGGTCCAGAGTATGCAGCTGTGGCTTTCGGATGTGTAGGAGTTTATGCAGCTTTTACGCTTGCGGTTACCCAGTGGAGAACAAAGTTTCGTGTTTACATGAATAAAGCAGAAAATGAAGCTGGTAACAAAGCTGTTGATTCACTTATAAATTATGAAACAGTCAAGGTGATTATTAGATAATTATTATTGATTTAATTTTTTTTTACAATTAGCTTTCACTATTCATATACACAGATTTTTGTACACTACTAGTATTTTAATAACGAGAAATTCGAAGCTGAACGATATGACGAATCATTGAAAAAATATGAAGCCGCTTCATTGAAGACAAGTACCAGTTTGGCAATGCTTAATTTTGGCCAAAATATTATATTCAGTGGTGCTTTGAGTTTAATCATGCTGATGGCAGCAAAAAATATAGCCAGTGGTAGGAAATTCATTAAATTTTAACTTTAAATTAATCAAAAAATATGTTGTAAAATATAAAAACATTTATACATAATATTTATTGTCTTGCGAATTCAGGAACAATGACTGTTGGAGATTTGGTGATGGTAAATGGATTACTTTTCCAACTATCAGTGCCATTAGGATTCTTAGGATCTGTTTATCGAGAAGTCAGACAAGCTCTGATTGATATGCAGACAATGTTTTCTTTAATGAATCGACCTCCTGCTATTTCGGTAAGTTAATTTTGTAATTAATGATTAAAAAAAAAAATAAATCATTTCAAATATCATTTTTACAGAGTATACAAAATGCTGTGCCGTTAATGATTTCTCCAGCCAAATCTGATATTATGTTCGATAGAGTTCACTTTCATTATATTCCAGGAAAAACTATTCTAGATGACTTATCACTTAAAATACCCAGTGGGAAGAAAATAGCAATTGTAGGCGGATCAGGATCAGGGTAAATTTAAATAACAAGAAAAAATCTTAATATAGATACTAAGCAATTATTTATTAACCTCGCTGTTATAGGAAGACTACAATAATTAGATTATTGTACAGATTTTTTGAACCACAAAGTGGAAGAGTTATTATCAATGGTCAAAATATTCGTAATGTAAATTTAGATGACTTAAGACGTGCAATAGCAATTGTTCCTCAGGTATAATCAGAATTTTTTCACTGCTCTGTAATTTTTACAATGTTTATCTGTCAGTTATTAATTTAAATATTATTTCCTCAGGATTCTGTTTTATTTCATGAAACGATATTCTATAATTTACATTATGGAAACTTGAATAGATCTAAAGAGGATGTTTATGAAGCAGCACGAATGGCAAACATTCACGATGCTATTCTCAAATGGCCTAAAGGCTACGACACGCCAGTTGGAGAAAGAGGATTAAAATTAAGTGGTGGAGAAAAGCAAAGGGTGGCAATAGCTCGAGCAATTTTAAAAAACAGTCCTATCTTGATATTTGACGAAGCTACGTCAGCTTTAGACTCCATCACGGAAATGGTAATAATTTATAAAAAAAAAAAATTTTCTGTCCTTTTTATGACATGATAATATCAACTGAATAAAATATTTTATTTAGAATATCTTGGATGCACTTCGTCAAGCAACAATGGGGAGAACTTCTATCGTGATTGCTCATCGTTTTTCGACAGTGCTAGACGCTGATGAGATTTTAGTTTTAGATAAAGGACGTTTGGTTGAAAGTGGAACGCATGATGAATTATTGAAAAAAGAAAATTCAGTTTACAATAAATTATGGGAAGCTCAGCATGTAGGAGTTATAAAAAATAAAAAAGAAAATATTACGGAATCAAGTCAATAAATTAAATTATTTATTCGCATTTCTTTTATGATTCCGACATTTGTGTAAATATGTTTATAAAAATAATAATAATATTTATGATCTTATGAATAATATAAATAAATAAATCTATTGTAAAAATATAAAATACTCGAAATAAAATTTAATTGTTAAATGTTTATCTGAGACTTTTCACTTGAGTTATAAAATAATAACTTTTCTAGAATAATTTATTGTAAAAAAATATTTAAAATTATCTTCAAAAACTAGAGAAATAATTTCTTTTAATCAATTTATAGTATTCTTTACTTTAAAAAATATATATTATTTTCAAAGGGAGTTGCTATGGCAACTATTTTATCAAAACAGACATGAGTACGATTCATTCATCAATTGGTTACTAACGAAATACAATGTTTCCGGTGTAATTATTATTTCTATAGTACAAATGATGATTTATATTAACAAAAGAATTGAAGAAAAAATTTTGTTCTTTCAAAATGCAGTGTAATAAATAACGTTATTGTTGATTGTAAGGAAATGCAAAACGAAGTGCCTCCGTTACCTATAGTACGTTCTGACGGACATAAACGATCTTCTAGGTAAATAAAAAAAATAATTCCACACAAAAATAATAGTTAAACAGTAAAGAATATTCTTTAATAATTACTTACAATCATCTAATCATTAGCACAATTGATCAGCTTGCAAATTGTTATAGAACATTGACTAAGGAATTTAGGTCTGATTCACTGACAGAGAAAATAAATCATTCACAATGCAAGAGCATACGATTTCTTCAATCAAATCGAAAACAATTAAAACCAATTGGTTTGTAAATTATGAAAAATCATTTCCAAAGTAGATAGATGTAGTTTCAATATATTTGTTGGGAATATTTGGATTAACTATTATTAGGAGGACCATACAAAAACAATTTGAGAGCTCATGGTGTACCAGAGTCTACCAGGATGTCAAACAAAAATTCCGGCATTGGCCAGAGAATTATTTCTGCCAAAACGTTACGGGTGAAGGAGCTACAGAATCAACTCACTGATGCTCATTATCATTTAAATGTAAGTTAAAATAAATTATCATTAGAAAATGATTATAATTTAATGAAAATTTATTGCTCTTTTTAAAGGAATTGGCCAATGAAAATAAACTGTTAAGAGCACTCCAAAAAAGGCAAGACTCTGCATTGAAACGTTATGAAGGCACTAATGCTGAGCTACCAAGAATTATTAATTCTCATCATGAAGAGTTGAAAGTTATTAACATGAAATATAAACAGCTAAAAGCTCAACATAGGTATACTTGTGATTTGTTAAAAGAAAAAGAAAATGAAATTCATTCATTGCAGGTGAAAAAAAAAGTTTTAATTATTTATTATGTTCTTTAATGCTTTATTTATTTATGTTTTTAATTTATGAAATATTTTTAGTCACAAAATAAACATCTACTACGACTTAGTAAAGACCAACACTTGGAAGAAAGAGAAAAATTGCAAATGCAAGTGTCAGATTTGAATCATCAGATACAACAACAGCATGAAACCATTCAGGTAATTAAAATAATTCAATGGAAGTATTTAATTAATTAAATAATTATTATTATTATTAATTGATATTGATTTAAGATCTTAAATAGAAAATTAACACTGGAAAGTAAAAGACTAAAACATCAAATTACAACTGAAGTTGCTAAGCATAAGGAAACGAAGAAAAAATTACAAGAAGCTTTGGAAAAGTTGAAAAATGCTGAACAAATGTTGGCAAGCAAAGAAAAACAAATATATAATGGTCGACTACCCGCATTTAACAGGCGGAAGAAAATTACTAGTCAATCTTTAACGAATCTTCAAGATAATAGGTAACTGATTAATTTATCAGTGATATACACCTATTTATTCTGTTCAATCGATGTTATTATTGAATATTAATAATTCCAGTTTTACTTCAAACTTCATCAAGCCTTCCAATAGTAGTAAAGATTTTCAATATGAGATGACAAAAAATAGTTTGGTAAAAAAATTCTATTGACTTGTTAAAGTATTAAATTTGAAAATAGATTCTGATGATTTTGAATATATTTTGTAGCCAAAGTTACCAGGAAGTGATCCAGATGAGTCTAGGATAACGATACCAAAGCCTAATTCATCAGAAAATTCCAGACGAAGTGAAACAATGACAAGCCTAGAACAAATAAGGAATTTCCGATTACCAAAATCAGGTCACAGTCGACGTAGTTCAATAAGTGGACGAAGTAGTCATGAAAGAGCTCAAGAATTAGATACTAAATTGGATTATCAATCGAATTTTATTGCCAAAAGTTCACGTTCGAGTTCATTACATAATTTCAATAATAATGCTGATACACAGGATTCCGAAGAAGATGAAGAAATAAAAAATATTACCCAGGGTCTTGCGAAAAAAACAATCGATGCTAAATATCATATACCTAATGAATTAAGGAGAGAAGCTGGTTATCCATTTAGTGATAATGATACTGATGATGAAGAAATTAAAGAAGAAAAGTTGATTACTCCAACTAGCAGATCAAGAAGTTTGCATGCAAAGTATAAAATCATTTCGTTATTTAAATATCAAGATACTTTAACTTATTCACGACTAATTGATTTTTTATTTTCAGACTAATTAACGGATATATTAGCTCGCCAAATACAGCTGAAGAGAATGTCAGCTCTCGGCTAAAAGAACCAAAAGAAGAAATGAAAAATTACCCAAGTATTATAAATAATAAAAGAATTAGTGGTTTAGTTAAAGACAATCTCAATACTGATAATGGTTGTGATGATAAAGTAGCTGATGTAGAATCTGAAGAAATAGAAGAAGAAATTCAAATAAATAATGAAACTGATGCTTGTAATATCACTTCTCCAAAGTCTGACATTGTAGTCAAAGATACAAAAAAGAATAACAATGAAGATGTACTAACAGAATCAAAGTCGTGGACAGTATTACAAGATAAAAATAGAGAAGAACGAAAGTTGGATGATTTATTATTTGATTTCCAAACTATTGATCTCAATAATAAGCCTACGAATAGTGACTCATTGAGCATAATTAATGATAATGATGAACTTATGCAGTATTTCGATAAAAATAGGCATACTGATGTTGAAGATAAACGATCGGATGGTAAACAATCCCAGCAAATTAATCTATCAAAACCAGTTTGTAATGGAGATTGGAAGATTGAAGAAAATAATTCAAATGAAGCAGTTGATGGATCGAATGAATGTAGAGATGTTAAAGAAGATCAAGAGCCAAAATCTAGAAGATCTGGAAGAAGAGAAAAGGCTAGTAATTCACCGAAACAAGATTCAGCAAATGGAACACAAGCTTCTGATCAAAAAATCTCCAATTTTAATAAACAAAAATTATTAGCTGCCATCAAAGCTATAGATGATAATGAGAATATTGAGTACCTCCCGAAGAAGAAAAGCTTAGAATCTGCTTCAAGATCACAAGTAACTGAAAATCTTTATCGTGGATTGCCAACTCATGCGAAAAAAAGAGAAGATATTATTAAGGATATCTTTGGACCTACAAAAGTAGAGACTAAATTACAAAGTGGTTGTAGTAAACTACATTGATAATTAAATAGAAATAAGACTAGATGTATGTTGTAATTAATATACAATGTGTATAAATTATTGGTAATATAATAAGAATGTTATTACATTCCATCATTTATATTTTTTTGTATAATATAGAAATATTCTAGTCATACTATTTTTTTAAACTCGACATAACTTATTTTTAATCGTCAACCGTCTTTATTATTAACAATATTGAAAAAAAATTATAGTTATTGAAATTTCTGAAAAATTTAACACTTATATAATAGTCATTTGTATTCATGTTTGTGATGAATTAAAAATAAAATTGTGTACAAAGTTTGTTATAGTTAAAATGTGTTAGCTGTACGTAAAAATAGAAGAATAAATAATTTTTTGTCTACATAAATAAATTAAGTAATTAATTACTTATTTACTTAATAAATTAAAAAGAATAGAAATACTGATAATATAACAATAAACAATTTATTTGTTATTCAAAACAGTATAAAAATAATGGACGGATTTTTTGTTTGTTTTAAAAATATTATATTAATACAAGTGTATGTATAAAATTGATTCAATATTTTTAACGATCATTTATATAAAATTATAAAAAATATTTAATCATAAAAAAATTAGAATATTTTCAATACTCACATTACATTAAAATTCAACTATATATCTCATTAAAAATCCCCCATAGCAGCAATAATATTTGACAGTGCTGTTCTTGCGTCACTATCTTGGAAGACACTTAACACATCCATTGCTTTTTGCGAATGGTCTTTTTGCAACTGCTTCGTCAACTCGATTCCTGGACCCTTGACAACAATGTCATAGACCTAACATGATAAAAAAATTAATTAAATTATTGAATTACTTGATTTCAAAATATTTACATACCTTGGCATAATCTACATTATGTACAGACTCCAATCCTTTATCAATCTCTTCCAGAATCGATGGATCATGCTCAATATGAAACATGACTGGTGCAGAATATAAATTAAAAGGTATTTGAGGATCTTTGCCAATAAGCGGGCTTAAATCTAAACAAGCCTAAAAAATTGTTGACATAATTAAAAAAGAAACATCTCAAATGTATAAAGTTGTATTTTTATATACCTGCCAAGCAAGAGCTAAATGTTTTCCAAATTTATATCCATAATTTTGCATCTCTTCATTATGACCAGCAAGCTTCAGCGATCCTTGGCATGATTTTCCCAACAACGCACCAGCACTTAAAACGTTTTGCAACGTCCACTCTCTAACAGCATACCCCGTTCGATCTGGAGGTGGTACTGGAGGCACAGGGTTATTTTGTCTATCTCTTCTACCAACGAATTCAGCTTCAGCTAAATCTCGTACTGCACTTGACATAAGCTCTACTACCTAAAATAAGAGAGCAAAATATTAATAAGAAATAATTTATTTATTTAGTTTTGAAGCAAAATAATAAGAATAATTACATTTTGGTTTCTTAGGCCAGCTAGTTCAGCACTGCTATTTGCCAGAAGATAATCTCCACTTAAAAGAGCAATTTTGTTGCCAAACATCATGTCATTTAATTCTGCAGCCTCTGGATAAACACCAGGTTGGATATTGACCAAACCTTTATGAACTAAGTGACTCGTTCTGATCATCTCAGTAACTTCAGCTAGAGCTCGTTGGCTGTGTAAAACTCCAGCTGCTTTATCTTCTTCCATGTCATCAACATTACGATGACCAGCAGCTTTGGAGATTAATAATACTATGAGACCCCATGCTTGCATATTATTTCGGCCATTATAAATCAAACTCCTGAAAAAATATACTTCATTTATAAACTATTCAATTAATTAATCAAGTTATCCAGAGACAAAAATAAAACAAACTTTGCAGTTTTCAAAAGAGGATGATTGGATCCAACAAGTTTTCTTAAATGAAGAGCTACATTAGCAATCTCATCACTTAAAAGCCATCTCAAGTTGAGGAAAGAAGTTGGATAGCCCACAATTTTTTCAGCTTCTGAAACTGCTCTATTCCAATCAGGTCTTTGGTTCGCTGCTACTTTAGTTCCATAACATCTTGAATTTTTGTCGTGTATTTCCAATCTTGATGAAAAGTTATTTCTATTTATGCTGCATAATACAGAATACTTTTCACATAACTTCACTGACAGAGCACTACTCTTCCGAACAACTCTTGAAATTGAATTATTTAAAGCCATTATAATTTTTGATTCTCATAAACGTCACTGATCTGCATTTAACGAAAACAGAAAGCAGTACTGATCGACAACCACCATCTAAATAATTACATGGTCAAGTCGGCCAAGTATTCAGAAACGTATGACGTTTCAAAACTTTCACCTCTGTCCTAAATTCCTACCGTAAAAGCATAGTATTTGACAAGTCATCAGATTCATTCTTATTTTTATATACTTTGTTTATGAAATAATTGTTTACAAATTTATTTCATGACAATTATTCAATTTTAAAGAAGTGAATCATCAGTTATTTAATAGTTAATTCTTGCAATACTTTAATTACAATAAATTTATGATTTTTATTTGAAAAATTATTATTTTGATTTAACCTAACCTAACCTATGATTTGTCCAATCGACTGTTGCTATTAATTAAATTTCCAACTGATTAATCATTTGATGAATTATTAATATTTAATAATAATATATTTACTTAATAAAATTGTTATTATTAATACTTTTATACACTACAAACAATTATTAAAGTTTTTGAGACAATTCTAATTTCTAAAACAACCTTTAACATAGGTTATTTGGTAAAATTTAGAAATTTATCAACACAAAATAAACTTTGATAAAAGTAAAAAATTTTCTAATTTTTCTCTGATTGAAATATAAGTAATGATGTGCACAAACCAGTCATTTTTATCTGACACTTTGAAAATCACAAGTTTTTCAAATATCTTATATTGCAGAAACGATGTTTATCAACGCTGTTTTTGCATTACTATCTTGAAAAGTATTTAATGCGTCGATTGCCTTCTGAGAATGATGTTTCTGTAATTCCTTTGTTCGTTCAATCCCTGGACCATTGATAGTAAGGTCGTATATCTAATGTTAAACAATCCTTGAATTAATTATTCTTTTAATTTTTATTCAAGACATCGTCTATTTACCATAAATTTACCTTTAAATAATCTATATTATGTATTGACTCTAATCCTTTATTAATTTCTTCGAGAATAGCCGAATCATGTTCAATTTGAAACATGACAGGTGCAGAACACAAATTGAAATGAATTGGTAATGAGCTCTTCTTCGTAAATGGTTCCAAGTCTACACCCGTCTGCAAATAATTCCATGGAATTCGCAAAATAATTGTCAAACAACTTTATTTTACCTGCCAGGCAAGAGCTAAATGTTTTCCAAACTGATATCCACACTCTTGTATTTCTTCATTGTGTCCACCAAGATTTAGGGTACCTTGGCATGATTTACCCAATAAAGAACCAACACTTAATGTATTTTGTAGAGTCCATTCTCTAACAGCATATCCAATTTTGTCTTCAGGTGGTACCGAAGGTATAATATTATTCTGGTTATCTCTTCTTCCAACAAAATCAGCTTGAGCTATATCACGTACAGCAATGGACATGAGTTCTGATACCTTTGATGATTAAATTAATGAATATTAATATTAATATATGCTAATATTTAATTCATTACTCACTTCTTGATTTCTTAAAGCTGCTAATTGAGAGTAACTATTAGCTAATAAGTGATCACCGCTTAGTAGTGCAACTTTGTTGCCAAATTTCATATTAATTAATTCTGTATTTGAATAAACATCAGTCTGAATATTGATTAATCCCTTGTGAATAGAAAAACCAGCTCTAATAATTTCCGTTACTTCTGCAAGAACACGTTGGCTATGCAGAATTCCAATAGTTTCTCTTCCTTCTAAACTATTTGGTTTACTTAGTCCAGCAGCTTTAGAAATTAATAACACTATAAGGCCCCACGGTTGAGCATTAACTCTTCCATTATTAATTAAATTTCTGCCAAGATATTTTTATTTAAAATAAAAGTTTTCTAAAAAAATGGTGAATAAAAAAAAACATTGCAACATACTTAGCAATATCTATTAATGGATGATTAGACTCCATCAGTTTTCTCAGGAAAACTGCAATATTGGCAATTTCATCACTTAAAAGGCCCCTTAAATTGAGAAAAGATGTTGAATATCCGACTATTTTTTCAGCCTCTGAAACTGTTTTAGACCACACAGGGTTTCTGTTGCTATCTATGCTAGTATGATAGCCCTTAGAATGGTGAGCTGAAATGAATCATTTTTTTTATGTTGACAATGATGTTGTATTGCTTTAATTTTTTTCTGATTTAAATATTAAAAATTAATTACCTAAAACTGTTGGCAATAAGTTAGTCCTCTTGGTAATCTTGGATATTGAATTGTTGATAGACATCCTTTCTGTATTTAGTAATATGGATTATATAATTTTTACTTAAAAAAATAAGAGCGTAATACTTTTAACAAAATACTAAACATTTTCATTTGAAAATTACCATGAGTTAATACTGATAAAAATACAATTATTGATATTTTTAATTATATTTAAAACAAACTATTTTATGTCATGATATTGTTGTAAATGTTATCGCTAATTTTCACGTGTAAAACTAATTAGCGCACGCGCAACTATTTTGGAGCATCGAGTCTTGAAAGAAAAAGGAATAATTTTCACTTATTTTTATTTTCAGTCAACACTTTTTAATTATTAAAATATAATTTTCATAAAATATGCATAAAAAAGTATCAAATAGCACTCAATAAAATATATCGCACAATTTTAATTTCAAATTTCATCCATGATAATCTTTGATTCCCTCCAGAATATCAAATACGGTATATCTGTAGATGGTAGTGCACAGTATCATTCGCTGCTCATTGAACAATAACTCACAAAATGTCAATTTATTGCTTCGTATAATTTTATACTAATATTTACAAACAATTAGTGAATGAACTGGTAGTTTTATTTCCTTGATTAATCATTTCAGTTCAAGATAATCCGTGTTTACAAACGTCGTCACATTGAGGTTAGAAATTATAAACATGTAATAAATAAATCAGAATGCACTTAGTAACATCAATAATAATTTATGTTTTTCAGGCCATTCTATTAAAAGAAAAAATTAATTATTTTCTGAAAAACAAATAGCAGAAGAAATTCAAGAAATATGGCGAATGTAGGAGGTAATGTAACATCAAAATTTCGCGATAAATTTCGATTAGTCCATAAAGAATTGATAAACTGGTTCCCTGGTCACATGCAAAAAGGTTTAAAACAAATGCAACAAAAATTAAAATCTGTAGATTGTATTGTAGAAGTTCATGATGCAAGAATTCCAATATCTGGTCGTTATGAACGATTTAGACATTCAGTGAGTGGACTGAAGCCTCACATATTTGTATTAAATAAAAAAGATCTAGCTGATCTATCTCAAAAGCAAGAATGGGAGAAGAGATTACACCATGATGGAATTAAAAATATTATTTATACTAATTTTAAGGATCAAAAGTGCAAAGGAATGCAATCAATTCTACCTCTAGCTTGTAAATTAATTGAAGAATCTGAACGATACAATAGAGTGGAAGCATCCGACTTTTCTGTGATGATTATAGGTGTTCCTAATGTCGGTAAATCATCTTTAATAAATAGACTGAGAAATAAATATCTTCATAAGTCAAATGCTACAGCAGTTGGACCAATAGCAGGAGTTACTAGATCAGTTCTTACCAAAATAAAAATTTCAGAAAAACCTCCAGTCTATGTCTTAGATACACCAGGAATTCTTACTCCAAATATCAGAGACATTGAAACAGGATTAAAACTAGCTCTAGTTGGTTGTCTTCAAGATCATTTAGTAGGTCAAGAAGTATTAGCTGATTACCTTCTTTATTGGCTAAATAAAAATCAACGTTTTGAATATGTGGATAAACTAGAGTTAAAGAAACCAAATGATAATATATTTGAAGTACTTGCGACTGTTGCTATAAGGATGAAAAAAATGAAAAGAATCAAAACTTACAACAACGAAATTATGGTGAGACCAGATATTGTTTTTGCTGCAGAACATTTTGTGCGTTTATTCAGAACTGGAAGTTTAGGTTTTTATTGCTTAGACGATGATATATTATAGTTAGCTATTATAATTCATCTGAGAAGTGGTTGTAAATAGTTTTTAAAGTATTTCTAATAAATATTTTCGAATGTAAATGATTGATAATAAATCGAAAGTAGTAATTTTTTCATTATACTGAAAAATAATTTCAATATTTGTATGTTTATTGGAATTAGGTATTTTTACCCCACTACCAATGATTTCCCTTCCTTTTCCGTTCAAATCGCTGACTACTTCCTTTCTACCCATGTCTTTTGACTTTCACCTCCAGTCAGCTGGTTCTGTTGATTCGTTATCCATATTTAAAATTAGGATACAATAAATTTAATTTAAATATTCTGTTAGTAAATAAAATTATTAATGATCTAATTTTTTTCTGATATCAATATAGTTAAAATTAAATTACAGCTATTATGTTTGCCCGAGTGACCTTTTATCCAACGCTATTTTATAATATGGTGATGGAAAAAATTACATCGCGACGGTGGTATGATAGAATTGATGAGACTGTTATACTCGGAGCTTTGCCATTCAAAAGTATGACGAAAAAGGTATCAAAATAATGATTAGGAATGAACAAAAACCTACGACATCAATTTAATTAATAAATCATTTTATGTTAGCTGATTGAAGAAGAAAAAATCGCTGCTGTAGTATCTATGAATGAAGACTATGAACTTAAATTATTCTCTAACACGGCAGAGGTATAATTATAATTTACTAAAATAATCAACAAATAAAAATTTTCCACATGTTTTTCAATCAGGAATGGGCGAAGTATGGAATAAAATTTTTACAACTATCAACGACAGACATTTTTGAAACACCATGTCAAAAGAAGCTGGAAAAGGGAGTAGATTTTATAAACCAATTCAACGGCAACCTCGACAATAACCCAAATAATGAAGGTAAATTACCGGGAAGAGTTTACGTTCATTGTAAAGCTGGAAGAACCCGCAGTGCTACTCTTGTTGGTTGCTATTTGATGAAGGTAACACTTTACTACTCAAACAGAAGCTTTTAGACTATAATTCAACACTGTAATATAATTTGTTAATTAATTAGAAGCATGGATGGACGCCCTCAGAAGCTGTCGATTACATTAAGAATAAAAGAGAGCATATTCTATTACATACTGCTCAATGGCATGCATTGAAAACGTTTCATCAAAGTAATTTACAAAACCAAAGATAGTACAAAAAAATTGTTCATTGAAAATTCACCTGTTAATTACGTATGATACCGATTTATTGAGTAAAGTATCACAAATATTCACTCATCTTCATTAAGAAATGCTAATTATTTACTGTTATAACTATGTATTTACAATTTTATTGTGTTTATAATAAAATCTTTTAACTACTTACATGATTGAGATATTTTTTTTTCATTTTTTACATGTTTTAAGGCAAATAATTTAGCTTCTTTTATCGCATTTTCAGTCATTAACGTAATCTTATCAGCTGGAAGCTTTAAAGCTTTAGTGTGGCTGATATGTAAAGGATTTTCGTCATCAAATGAACCCAATTGTATTGGTAATTCTTTTTTAATAACTTCCATCCATAAATGAGCATTAAAATCAGCCGTTTGATATTCCTATGATAACATATTTAAATATAGAAATGTATTTAAGTAAAATATTTAAGAAAATAAAGAAAATTTAATCACCTCTGGAACAACACATCGAGCTCTAACTTTTCTTCTTGATTTTAAAATCAAGAAAACTGGTAAATCTTTACAAAATTCAAATGCCATTTGAAGAGGTACACTTTCCACTTTAATGTCATTTGAATCAAGACAGTATACAATGAAAGGATCTGTTCTGGCATTCATGGCTTTGGCCATTTCTGCCCTAACAAATGACATAATAATTTCTTTTTTATCATCTTTTGTTGTAACATTCGCTAAATAATTCAAATTACTGTTTGAAAGTTTTTGAGCATCGATTAAGGGAGTGTTTACTCCTGTGACAGCTTTTATTATATGATTCGAAGCGCCTTTCGAAACAAAATTAATAATGGAAAATTGATGTAAAACACTCGTATTATGTACATGAGTTCCACAGCATGCTTCTCTAGAAATTAATATTTTGTTAAAACAATCAATAAAAAACTTTACCATTAATTAATTAATTTTACGTACTTGGATCTTAAACCATCACTATTGATTTCAACTATTCGTAGCTCTTTTTCAGGATAAACTTCACCTGGAACGAGAGTTAAGTCTTTTTCAGCCAAAAATTGGAATACACCAACAGGTCTCGATTCAACTGGTATTTCTGCATCTATACAATCATTAACCAACTTTTCTACTCTTTCCAAATGTTCAGGTAAGACTTTTACTCCAAAATTAGTGAATTTAAATTCTAAATGTTGGTCTCTGACAATACTTCCACGTTGTGCGATTGCTGGAAATGTAGCTCTCAAAGCTGCATTCAATAAATGTGTTGCTGTATGATTTCTCATTAAATTAGTTCTATATTTTTGATCAATAGTAACGGTTACGTCATCTCCAACGCACAATTCTATTTCTACATTTTTATTTTCTAATTCATCAATAGTCAATTGATGAACAACATAGCCATCTAATTTCTGAACATCAACAACTGTTAAAGATGTATCTTTTACGAAAATATTTCCTCGGTCTGATAATTGACCTCCTCCAAAAGCATATAGTGATGTTTTATCAAGCACCAGGCCAACCTCAGTTGATTTCAAAATATTACTGTCTAGCTTCAAGGAAGATTCAGACAGAAAATTACCTAGAACCATTTGTTATCAATATAAATATAATATATTAAACATTAATTATATTTATTAAATTTACCATTTACTATTAATCCAACTATGTTTGATACCAATGGTGGAAATTCATATGGAAACTCATATGGATGTCCATCAAAAGTATATTGATATTTGTAAGAATCATTTGTTTTCGGCACATTAGAATTTTTCAACTGCTCTAAACATTCTGGAGATACACTCATTCGTTTGAATTTCTCTATACCTATTCTAGATCGAATTCTTGCATTTTTCAAATGTTCATCAAAACCTTGCTTGTCTAGTGAAAGTTGTTCAATTTCAGCAAGCTCTTCCATTGCTTCTATGTCTAGACCATATGTATCATACATTTTAAAAGCTAATTCTCCTGATATTACAGATAAGTTAGGATTATTTTTAAGAGTCGTTTGTAATTCTTTAAAAGCTTTAATTAAACCAGGAGCATATGGGTCACTGATATTAGCTAACGATGGTTTAATCTTTACTAAATTCTTCCATGATTCTTCTGAAGAACTACGTAAAGAATCTAGAAGATTGCTTTCATATTCAATAATAGTTTGAATCTAAAAAACATAATTATATAATAAAATATTTCTATTTGTCTATCAAATATTTTAAAAATTACCTGCTTTAAATTTTTAATTATCTCCGGGTAAGTATTGCCAAGACTTTCTGCGACATAAGGTATCAATGTATGTAATAAATTATTTTTTCGAAATGTTTCATTACCAATAAGGATTGCTTTTCTCAAAATTCTCCGAAGTTTGTGATTCTTCTCAGGAATCATACCATCAGCTAAAGCAACAGTAATCATTCTCCCATGATCAGCTAATATTCTGTAACCAGTATCAATTTTATTTTCATCTTCAGTACCAAATTTTCCACTATATTTAGGAGCGTTTGTACTTTTATGGATCGCTTCAAAAAGGGGTTGGAAAAGATCCGTATCATAATTAGATTTTTTACCCTGAAGTACAGCCACCAATCTTTCAAAACCCATTCCTGTATCGATAAACTGTTTATCGAGAGGCACAATAGAACCATTTGTCAGTCTTTGATGTTCGATAAATACAATATTCCAAAGTTCCGTTAAGTTCGAAAGGTTTATTTGTTTAGTTGAGGTTTTATCGCTAGCTTGTAAAGATGTATCGATGTGAATTTCAGTGCAAGGACCACAAGGCCCAGCAATATTCATCTCCCAAAAATTATCTTTTATACCAGTTGCGAATATTCGATTATCAGGAATCCCAAGCTTTAACCAGATATCTCGACATTCAAGATCGGCTTTTAAATTTAATGATTCATCACCTCCAAAATAAGTAACATATAAATGATTTCTATCAATTTTAAATAAATTAGTCAAAATTGTCCAGGCATATTTGCAAGCTTCTTCTTTACCGTAAACTCCAAAAGACCAATTTCCAAGCATTTCAAAGAAAGTATGATGATAAGAATCAAATCCAACATCAGACAAATCATTGTGTTTTCCTCCAACTCTTATACATTTTTGATAATTAACTGCTTTTAAAGCAGGAGGATCATGTTCACCCAGGAATATGCCTTTGAATTGATTCATCCCTGAGTTAATGAATGATACCGAAGGATCACACCAAGGTATAACAGGACTAGGAGGGATAAATGTATGATTCAAATCATTTGTAAAGTATTCAATAAATTCTTTTCTAATTTGTTCAGAATTTTTATGATGCTTTCTGCTTGAATAATAGCGTGAATATACAATATTTCGATAATATCTTGATAACATAAATATCTCTTTATTAAATGCCATGTTAAAAATATTTTTATACCCATAACTCGAAAGCCGGTACATGTTTTTTAAATTTTGCTATTTGTTTATTATTGTTTGGAGGTTGGAAAATTATGAATCCATTCTCCACCGTGCCAACTTGAAATTATTAATTGACAACACATTAAGTGATTTAAGTAGATCATGCACGTAACTAACATGAACAATATTTGGTCCAGTTATTATTAGTTTTGAATTATTGTTTATTTATACATCAAACCATTGAAGTTCACAAGAGAAATGTATGGTGCGTTTACATGGATTATTTCACTCACCATCTTTGATGTTCATGAAAATCAACATGAAACTTTTTTGGAGGGAAAATGAGGTGTGCTTCATCTTCCCTAAACAATTTACAATAGCATTGTGACCAGACAAATTTGGTACCAATTAACGATCTGGACATTTCCATTTTTTAATATTATCTGGAAAAACAGTAGCATCTCTTCCAACTGTGGTTAAAACATCCATGATAATGTCTGATAACTTTATGAAATTCCAAGTCCCAACATTTGACTTGTCTATCTTCTCCACAAGAAAATACCTCTGTACGTCCTAATTACAAATTTTATAATAATCTGAGTTTGTTTACTAATTAGAGGTTGGGTTAGAGAAAAGGTTAGGTTAGAGAGGGCCCTGAAACGATCCTTTCGGGAACTAACTGTTTCATGTAAACGGAGTTTAAAGTGATTTTCATCAAAAATATTCATGAAAATAGAAAAGTGATGTAGAAGTGCGTCGGAATGCGCATAAAGCGTTGATAAAAGGTACAGTAGAACTCGGCAAGAGGATAAACCCACGTGACTTATGTCAGCCAATGAAATTGTTAGCTTTGTCCTGCCGCCAAGCTTATCCCCTGCTCTATTTGCACGCAGAAGCTACATTTCCCTGTTGCCTTATCGAAAAACGCTCAAGCCTTTTCAAGGATGAGTTTATCGATACAATAGTGTAATCGGTATATTTTAATTATTCGTGTGGTTTAGTGTTTTCAATAATCGATATACTTTCCAAAATTTACTCGCAAATGGTGCTTTACCAAAGTCGCCATTTTGGTAATACGTTGGGTTCAGACGTGCGGCTGCATCTATGATCTTTTTATTTTTTCCCTATTCCCGGTCGGTTTTTAAGAACATTTTCCTCATTACGACTATCCAGTGATATCAGTGATGACCCAGCAAAATAAAACAATGAATTTCCTAATACATGACGTTAATGGTGAGTCCAACAAATGCCCGCCAATAGTTCACATGCATGTCTTTATTCCGTTATGTTCAATTGAAAATTAAATATAACAAACTAACCATAATGCAAGTCATTTGAGTGCATAATAAATTTTTGTCATTTATCCAACATTATTTTAATTAATATTTTACTTTATATTTGCAATTATACATCCAGCTATTTTACTTAGATAAATCATGAAGGAACAACGTGCTCGAGTTTTATACAGCCAAGATTTTTTTTATTTTTATTTATTTATAAACGTTCCAATATTTATAAAACGTTCGAAGTTCTTTAGTTACTATTAGTGCACTCTATTTGACCTTTGGTTAATTTTTTTTTTATTTTTTTCATTGTAATGCATCATATAATAAAACAAAGATGTTACTAGAATATTTTACGCAACATCAAATATATTATACAATAAAATTAATTGGAAAAATTTAAAAATTGTGTATTACTATATTTTTTTTATTAGGACATCCGCAAGTTATTAAGGTAGTACAGAGTACACCTAATAAAACATTAAGTGGTATAGTGGGAACATCTAATACAAGTGGTATCAAGATATTCAAAGCCCCAGGCCAAGAGTCTCAGGTTTTAAGAACCATTAGTTTACCTAGCCCTTCTACTCCTGGTCCACGTGAGTTAACAAACGATTTTACATTCACCACCCATCATTCTTTTTATATCATATTTATTGATTCATAATAAAATATTTATCTAGGAGTTATGACAATACCCATACAAAATGCTAAAGTTTCGACTGTCAAAACAGGAGAATCAGCAGTCACGAAGACAATTCAATTAACATCAGCTCAAATGGTTTGTTAACTAACAATACAGTAACTAATTAGTGTTTTTAATTAAAACTTACATCACACTAAAGTGATATTCTCTTGATAATTCGTAGAGTGATATTAAACAAGCTATCGTATCTCAACAGCAAGCAAGTGGTCAACAGATATTGAAAGATGCTTCAGGAAAAACATTTGTTACTCCCATACTTGATCACAGTGGTAACCGGAAACGTTATGACGCCGATGGCAATGATTATGTTCCACAGTAATGCATTGTTAAATTTTATTTATTTCTTTAATGACTCTAGATATGTTCATTTAACTATTCATTTTAGTAGCAAACGGAGAAAAGCTGAAAAAGTTGGAAAGGGATTGAGACACTTTTCTATGAAAGTTTGTGAAAAAGTCAAGAAGAAGGGTACAACTTCTTACAATGAAGTTGCTGATGAACTCGTCGGTGAATTTACAAATCCGTCACACATGAATTCTTTAAATCAACAGTACGATCAGAAAAATATCAGACGGCGAGTTTATGATGCTTTAAATGTCTTGATGGCAATGAATATAATCTCCAAAGAGAAAAAAGAAATACGATGGTTGGGCTTGCCAACGAATTCACTTCAAGAATGTGCGTCGCTGGAGAAAGATAAAAAAAAGAAAGTCGAAAGAATTAAAGCAAAAACTCAGCAACTTCATCAGCTAATTCTTCAACATATTTCGTTCAAAAATTTGGTAGAACGAAATAGTGTTACTGAAAGTCTTCATGGGCCGCCGAAACCTAATTCGGCAATACAATTACCGTTCATAATATTGAACACAAGCAAAAAAACTATCGTAGACTGCAGCATCACGAACGACAAGTTAGTGTACTTTTGAATATTCTACAACTATTTATAGATTGAATTCTTTTTACATTCGAATTTATTTATTCTAGATCTGAGTACCTGTTCAACTTTAACGATAAGTTTGAGATACATGATGACATTGAGGTATTAAAGCGTATGGGCTTAGCCTTTGGTACGTCTTATTAAGATAACGAATTCTATTCTTTTTATGTAAAGCAAGCTATAAACCAGTCACTAATCGTATCACCTGTTATAATATTAATGTCTCAGGTTTAGAAAATGGAACGTGTGGAGAAGAAAACTTACGGATAGCCAAATCGATGGTACCCAAGTCATTGGAAAAATACGTCGAACGTAAGTAGAAATTTTTTTTTTATATCTATTCGATGTAATAGAAGAAATAATAATTATTTGAATGATACAGAGTTAGCATCAGGAGACTTAGAGAAATTCATTCCTGTAACAATTCCTGGACCAAGTACAACTATTGAAGGAATGGAAATAAAAACAGAGGAATCGAGTTCACGACCACCTTCGTCTTTACACACTTCATTATCAGAAGAAGCACTATCTCCACCCTCACAATATTGCTCGGATGATGATGAGGATGAAGATGAAAGTGATCAAGATGAACCAGCTGACAGTGATGTGGATGTTAACTAGCATCTCGGTTTCGTAACTTGGGATTCAATTTAAAAGCCTTTGCTTTTTTGCGAAATCAATTGTACCTAATAATTCAATCACATGCCATTAATGAGAGTCAGTTGATCGGATTTAACGATCAACTTATATCCCAGGTTAACTATCTATTCTTTATGCTAAACTTGAATCCAGAATTATCAGTTGGATCCTGATAATTTATTGGATCCATTATTAATAATGCAGTGAAATAATACTGTATTAGATATTTATGCAGAAAGTGGCTTGATTTCTTTTATAATTAGACACATAACGTAAGATATTTTTGAAAGAACTTTATTATTGAGGAGTTGAAAAAAAACAAATTAGAAAAGATAATGGTCACTTGAAATTATTTTAGAAATAAATGATTTTGTAACTCATTTATTTTACTCCTTGATTGTTTTAAATGAATAATTGTTTGATAGTTAAAGAGCAGAAGTATTGGATATGATGAAGAAGAAAAAGATGAAAAATAATAAAGTGTGCAGGGTGATTGAAACTCGGTGCTATTTTAATCGCGCGTTGTCTCACACAGGTTTATACGTCTAGCATATATGTATTATAAATTATAATCTGAACAATATTATCTCGACTACATGTATAAAATGTAACAATTACTCATTTTCATATGGCACATTTATAATAACAATAATTACTGTGGTAAATAATGATTCCATATAATGAGAATATTTATTTCTCAAAAATTAATCTATTAAAAGTATGGAATAAATTGTAATAATATGAATATTATTCATATAATTTCAGGTCAAAATTGTAGACTTATCTTAATTAAAATAATTTTTTTCGTACACTTTGAATAGCAATTGATTATGATCATAATTTCATTTTAATACTTATATATTTTTCTTCCTTTTTCATCTTCAATCACATATTAATATTATAATCTTTCAGAAAATAAAAAAATACCTGATATGTTAATTTACTTTTATTCCATCATTATTTTATGGCCCAACAAATTAATTTATATTAATAATAAAATCACAGTATGGTATTAAATTCAATCGAGATCATTATCATTATACAAGTCATCAAAATCTGCAACATGAAAACTGGTTATTAAAATCAACGAATTTTTAGTTAACATTTTATGACTCATACCATTGAAAAAATCTGCATGTACTGCTTTTTCATTAGCAGCTAAATCCATCAGTAATCCACTGAGTCCACCGGCCTAACAAATAAAAGAAAATTTATAAATAATAACATACCATAACCTCTTCAATTTCATTAATTTATTCTATATCACCTCTTCTAGATCCATATATGGACCAGCTCCTTCTGGAAACATTTCATCAGCAACTTGGGTTGGCTTCATTGTTAAAATCAATTTGCACTTCACAATATATGTTACTTCACCAGACTTCTTTTGAAGCTCAAATTCAAGTTTGCAATGTTTTTATTGTCAATAAGATGATTGATATTTCTGTCACTAGAGCACTTTTCATGAGTATATGACGTCCATTGAATAAAAAATAACTGAGAGTTGCAACAATTATAAAAAAGTTGAAATAAATCGAAAGTGTTATAATCGAACTATCAAATCGAGATTTCGATAGAACAGATAGATTCGATCCTTTCCACTTTACTCAGATTTATCGAAAAATACCAACGATTTATCGTTTCAGTTATATTATTTGTTTTTGTTTATCCTTATCAAAGTATTTAAGTGCGTACTCCAAAATAAAATTTATAATTATTAGATAAGTAAAATGACAATAATAATTAACTATGGCATGCTGGATCCAATTGACATCATTTGAGATTAGTCTAATTTTAAATTCTTGATTATTACTCTTTCTAAGTGAAAATAAGTGTATAGAGTTAACGTAATTGATTCGATAATGGAGCGATATTCAGAAATCCAATTGCCTCATGAATATTCAGAGTTCAAGGTTTGTATTAAAAGAATAAATTATAGTCTTTTATTTGTGTTATAAAAATAAATCATATTTCAGACGATGGAAAATTTATTGACATGTCAAATTTGTTATGATTATATGGATACACCAGTTATTACGCTTTGTTCTCACAACTGTAAGTATTTTTATTTATATATACATAAATTTTATAATGTTATAAGTTAAAATTTACAAACGATTTTCTATTTAATTATTCTAGACTGTTCATTATGTATCAGAAAATATTTACACTATAAAACAAGATGCCCTCTTTGCTTCAAAGAGGCATACGAAAACGAATTGCGTCCAAATAGAATTTTAGAAGATATTATTAATAATTATACAGTAATTCGAGAAAAATTAAAAAATGTAATTAAGGAAGAAAAAGATGTAGATAATAATGTAAATAACACAGTTGATAGTAACTCGAATAGTACATTGAATGATGTAAAAATCCTACAGTCTGCAAGCGGACTGTCAGAAGATGTTAATAAGAAGAATGACAAAGATGACAATGAAGATGAAAAATTGAAATTTTCTCAAACATCAAAAGACTGTCAGTTTAGTCCTAACAAAGCATGCTCCTCACAGTCAGAGGCGAAAATAATTGAAAATTGTTCTTCAAAAATAAATGAAGCTGACTCCAAAGATAAAGGGAATAACAATGATAATAAAAAGAAAATCGCCTGTTCAGTCTGTCAGGTGGAAATTTTATTAATAAATAAAGATAAGCATGCCGAAGCCTGCACTGAACGCGAATCACATCCAGAAATATTACCAGTGTAAGTTTAATTGATAAAGTAATTTTTTTATTAAATGAAACGATTCATTTTCTATACGTATTAAATTAAAAATAATCGACTCAATATTTTTAATGGTTCGAAAATGTATTTATTTATCATCTCTTTTTATTCTCTTTTATAAGCGATATTTATCTCAGTTCATTAAATTTGCTGAATCAAGCTTCTTTTCATGCTATAAATACATTTTTATCTACAGGAATAAGTCTGAACGTCAACCTTTACCAAAGTTAGTATTAAATTTAATGAAAGACTCAGAATTAAAAAAGAAGATGAAAGAACTTGGTCTACCAATACAAGGTACTCGAAAGGTACTGGAGAGTCGTTATCTCCGATATTGCACACTCTACAACGCTGAATGTGATAAGAAAAAACCAAGAAGTATTGCAGAGCTGTTAAAACAGTGTAAAGATGATGAAGCACTTGAAAAAAAGTTGGCAAAAGTTTCTTAATTTTTTTAACATAAAGTATTTGAAAAATGCTCACATTAGTTGGATTACACTGAACATAAAAAAAAAAAAAATTACATGAAGTGAAAAAAAATCCAGGTAAGATTAAATAATTATATGATTCATGAACTTTGAAAAATGATTAAATTAACATCAATATATTTTTTTTTATTCTTATACGTATATTTGTATAGCATTTTTGCGTGACATGTTATTAAATATAATTTATTAACATCACATTTCATCAATAAGTTGTATTTATAATTCCATTATTATAGATTTTTATTCTAAATATTAAAAAGGCATCAATTATCAATTAAGCAATTAAATACATAAAAATAATGCTTCTAGAATTGATTTATAATATTTACAGGATTATTTACTCTTTTGGTATCATTGCTTCCTAATTAACATTGATGACATAAAAGCTAACAATCAATAAATTACTTGATAATTTCTGTTAACATTTCCATTATATTTACTCAGTTTATTTGATATTGCTTTCATTCATTTATTCATTCTTATGATTATTTAGTTATTTAAATAGTTTCTCTATTTATTTATTCAAACAATAATCTCAATAGAATTTGATTTAAAAGCCATCGTACCATTTAATATAATTCCATCAAACACTTCACATATACTTTTCTTATTTTTTACTAATATTTTTATTTTTCAGAATTTGGAAAAATTAAATTCATTAACAGAATTTATATGATTTTTTTGTAACAATCTAAAGTCGAGTTTATTTATTTACTTATTAATATTAATTTTTTAAAACAATTTTTTTGATGTATCTTTATGTTTTATTTTTTCAACTATCATAATTTTTTTTTAAATATATTCTGATTTATATTTAACATTATGATATAGATTTTTATATGATTTAATAGCTCATTTATTTGATTTGATAGTTTTGAAAAAAATAAAGAAAAATTTTATCTTTTTCTTCATATATATTCTAAGCTCGATGATGATTTAATTTTACTATACCTTCTCTAATGATTTGTCTGTTTTTTGGTTTTTCTTTCGCGCCACAGTTATACCAATAGAACCTCGAATTTTTCTTAATAAATCTATTATTTCACTAGTTGGTGTATTTTCTACACTCTCATCATTTATCTGAAACATAAAAAATTAATGAAAAAATGTTACTCCAGAAAATAGAGATGATATAATATTGAAATACTTATGTGAAACGGTTTCATGATAAACTTCTTCATAAATTAATGTCAAAAAATATACATTGAAAAAAAGACAATTACCATAACTAATATATCGCCTTGTTTTAATCGCCCGTCTTTTGCTGCCACACTGTCTGGATGAACCATAGAAATTATCGTTGATTTATTATCAGGTGTAGGCTGCAAGCTGAATCCTAATCGGCTATTCCAACCACGCGTCAACTCAACCATGAATATCTAATGATAAAATGCAATAAAATAATTCATACACCACAATTACGTAATCAATTTAATTGAATTAATTTATTTTCAATAATTATAATAAACTTTTCACTCTCATAATTCTTTCATAAATAAATATAACAGTTGTGCTAGCATAAGTTCTATTTTTTTTTCTTATTTGAATTCTTATTGATATGTAAATGATGGTGATTCAAAGTTAAAAAGTAATAGTATTTTTTTTTATACATAAAAAACTAATAAAGTAGAATAATATAATAGAAAGAAAAACGTTATTCTACGTGTGATGTAAACTTAGAGTAAATCATCACAGTAATTTAGAAATTATGACAATAATAAAGATTAAAAATAATGATAAAAATTATGAGAATGATAAGAGTATTAAAAAAAAGTACATTTGAATGGTATGAATAAATAATAACAATTCTTTTTTACCTCGCAATCTTCTCGATGAATATTTTCCTTTGGGAGAAAATTATTATTCCTGGAGTTCTCCCTTTCCTTAAAATTCTCTCCATTATCAGTTTTATCGTCTGGAGCAAACATAACACCTTTCCACTTGAGCAAGCTTTTGCAACCAACTGGATCTTCAGCACTTGGAATTTTTCCTGGAAATTTACATTGAAAATTCACGTATTAATATTTCTTCCGCCATATTAAAATAACACGATACTTTGCCCCCTCCTGAAGCATGCCTAACGTTGATAACTCCACTGTTCACTCTACCACTTACAGCTCTTGAATGATATAAAAAACTTTTAATTACCTGCAATATTTTGATCGCTAGAATATGATGATGTTTTGTCTTTGGCTTTTCCATTATCGTTATCATTTTTACTACAAGTTGGATTGACACTTTGATAGGCTGGGTTTTTATAACTAAAAGTGTCATCGTTTGTAGTTTGGGTAAATGATACTATCGGTGGCATTGATACAGGCTCGGACGGTAAATTATTATCCTGCATATCATTAAATAACATATTTCTCTCATGACATTCATAATAATCTATTCTTCCATTCAAATTCATACGGCAAGCATTCACATTATCATTTGCATTTGTCTCTTGGTACTCTGAATCTTTCAGAGTTTTTTGGAGTTCAGACTTTTCGTTAGATGCCATCACGTTTAGAACTTTAGGTCGTGACAATTTCATGCTATTACTGACACAATCAACTTCATGTATATCATGATCAATTGAAGCATTATCGTGATTAGTATGAAACTTTTCTTCTAAACTTTCGTTGGTGAGTGATTGATCGTTGTTATCACTTTTTTCATCCAATAAAGTTGTTCGTGATGGTGGTCTTCTCAATCGCCGTGGTGAGCTGGATGAGCTGGGAGCATTTTGGGGATTATTGACAGGCTGAGAGCCGTCTGATACGTTTGGAGATAATTTTCGAATTGCCAAATCACACAGCATATCTACTGCTTCTTTTCTACAATAAAAAAAAAATACAAAGTGTTAGAGATTAATCAACACAAATTATATAATTTATTAAATAATTATTATTACTTATAGCTACTTAGTTAACTTATTAAATGTCAAACTTTTTTTGAAGCATCAAAAAATTATGAAAGCTAAAGAAAGCCTTCAAAAATAGAAAGACGTTTTCTATTAACTCAATACAAGTTATCTGGTTACTCAATAAACTTATTTTACGGTTAGTTAATTTTCGATATAGTTCAATTATGTTTTTAATATAACTCCAAGTATTCATTCTCAGCTTATAATTTATATGAAGATATTAATTCTGTTGGCTTTTAATCAATTGCCATATTTCATTAGTGTAGTATCTAATCGATTAATAAATGAATAAATAATTGTATATTTGCACAAATTGAAAAAGTTACAAATATTTGTACTGCTTTTAAAGCAAAACAATTTCTGGCAACCACTATCAGCTTTTAATCTTTTTTAATCTATCCAACCAAGTAAAATAAAATGTTAACAATAATTTATAGTCTAAGAAGAATAAATGGTAAAAGAAATTGTGTTAATAAATTACAGTACCTTAAACTTGTACGAGGTGGACGTAAGGGATGATCAGACTCTGTTGGAGACAATGCAGATACTGGAGTCTGTGCTAAATCACGGTAAAGCCGTAGTTTTACTTTAGGACCACATTGTCTAAGTAACGCAACAGCTTCTTCATGGCTCATTGGAGAAAGAGGAGCACCATCAACCGCAACTATTTTATCACCAGGTTGAATTCGTCCATCGCTTAAAGCTGGCTCTCTCACCAATGCCCTTACGTAATGCCCCAAAGCGCTGCTATCAACTTTCCTCAAAGTAAATCCTAGGCTTCCACCAACCTTCGTCATCTCGATATCGAATTCCTATATAATAATTAAAAAGTTAATTGCTAGTTATTGTTATCGAAACTGGTGTTATAATGACTGTAATCAATTAGTTTACTTACACCACAAGGTTCGATATGAAGCGGAGGAACAGGATTAAAAATACGAGGTTGTGGCAGTGGTTCTCGGCGTGCTGGAGGTGTTGGAGGTGCTCCAGGAGGTGTAATACTTGTCTCTCCTGGCAATCGACAAACAAGTAGCTCAACTGTACTTGACGTAGTTCGAAGAACTTCCAATGCTTCCTATAAATATTAGAGAGAGGAAAATTTTTTATTGACTCTCAAGTATTTATGTAAGAAAAAAAATTACATTACTATAGGTGTGATTCATATCATTTAAATAATTACTAAAACCATTACATAGAATGATAAAATAACTGATAATTAATAGTTAAAAGAAAGTTGAAATATTTTATTGCATCATATTTTCACTTAATGATGAGAAATAGAATTCTATCAATTATAATGTGCATTAAGAAAGTGATTTTATATTTAAAAGAGCTTTCTCTAGATTGTGAATAAATTTTTAGTATTTTTTCAATGTTTTAAAGGACTCTAAAAAATTTCACTTTATTTTCAGTCGTGTTCACTTCAACACGCTTTTAGTAAAGTGAAAACTAAAAAAACTACGATTTAATAATGTTTTAAAAGAGCAAATTATGACTGTAAAATTTATAATTACATTTAATTAATCCATAGAACAAAAGAAAAATGTACTTTAAGTATGAGTGAAGTGTTTTTTAGTTTATATTATGGAGCACTAATTGTGAAGACCATAAAATTAAAAGAATACGCTATATTTAATATGATGTTAAAATGAAAAAAAAAGAGAGAATAAAAATTCCAGCGAAGTTAATTGATTGTAAAAGATCTCTTTTAGCTGCCTTAAATAGTCAACTATTAGTAGTTCTATATACAATCTCATACATACGTAATTGGTTAAGTCAGAGAGAGGAATGCCATTTGCTGCTAGAAGAATATCACCAGGTTGAAGTTTGTTTGAAAGTGCCGCTGGCTGTTGAGGGAATAGTCTTTTTACTCTAATCGGGCCTGCTGTACCGCCACCAGAAACACTTAATCCAAGCCCACGACTAGTTTTTTGCAAGGTCACCCGGAACGTGTTTTCTGCAAAAAAAATAAATTATAACGATAAATAAACAAATAAAGAAGAACAGAAAAAAAGTTATTAAACTTTTCTATTCAAAAAGTCCGATTTTCTCCTAGTAATGACGATAAGACCAGGGTGCAGTCATAAATAAATGGCAAAATAAAACCAACCACATCATCGCGTTTGTATGATAACAACGAGTACCGGATACATTGGATAACTATAAATTGCCAGACATAGAGTTGACTGTAGTCTCTTGACTAGCCTTTAACCGGATATCCGATTTTCTTTCTCTTTCTTTCCCTCTTTCGCTCTTTTCACCTTTTTCTTGCTTACATTTGAATCCAATCTATTTAATGGTCGCTGAATATAATCAAGGTTTATCAATGGACCAACTGATAATGGCCTTTACATTGTGTGAGATCATTTAAACTTTGTTGCTAAATTTATGTCATACATTAAACCTAAGTAGTAACTGATTATTTATCAACCCTGTCGTCAGTAGATTCGGCATTTTATTTCATGAAAACTACAAAAAGAAAAATAAGGAGTCTACATGATATGTTATTTTTACATAGCGTTTATCACTACAGTTGTAGCAACCAAGTTTAAAACATTGTAATTTTTATTTTAAACTTGTTATTGTTTGTTTCACAAACTTGTTATCAGAATGAAGTTTGGAAAAATAGCATTCAAAATTGCCAGATATTTTTCATTGTATCCCAGTATCTGTAGCCTCTATTTTTGCTACTTTTTTTTTATGATAACTTTATATCATATGAATAAATCAACAAGGAATTTACTTCATGTTCATAACGATATCATACAATATTTAATGAACATCTCTAAATGCTAGATGATAAATTAATTGATCAACTCTCTTCTCTGTCTAATCATAGCTTTCAAAAATTTCAAACTTACAACAGCATGTATTTCAACTGATGTAAATGATAGATTCTCTGATTTTATATCATATAATAACTCTCGATTAACAGGATTTCAGTGATAGTTACCAAAATGCAATTGACACCTCTGTAAATCAGAGACAGAATTAATTAACTATGGCCTTCCTAATTAACTGCAGTCACTCTCCAGGCTAGGAGATCAGTGGCATATGTTACAGTACATGTACATAATTATTTACTTGATTATTATTTATATGGTGTGAATTAACGATCAATCAACACCCTGACCCTGCTACGTGTAATTCAATAGACACCTTTGAAAAGCATAGAGGAAATTAATCAACCACAACTTTCTTGATTCAGTTGAGCTTTTCTTAAACTTTCAATGCTCCAACCCTTCTTTTGTATTGTGAAGAATCGATTCTTCTACTGATTCTTTTATTGTATCAACTTTGAGGAAAAATAAAACTTTATTTTTCTTATCAAACATTCAATAGATGGTTTTAAGTAGTGAAGACCAAGTAAATTGCTACTAAGTTCCCTAATTAATTACAGTTTGTTTTTTATTGTTTGGTAGTTTAGTTGATGGCTTTGATTTCATTTTTTTCTATCATTGATTTATTTTTCAAAATAATTTTCAATGAATTTTCAATATAAAATAATTATATAAATTCATAAAAATGATTTGCGTTAAAAAATCGTAAAGAAATAAATTCCTTTTTATACGTGACACTGGATTAATACTTGAAAGCCACAAAAGAATTAATTATTCGAAGATTTCTCAATTTATTACAGATAATAACTTGCTCCAGCTTGAAAATATCTGAACGTTTGCTCCGATTCATTAATAAAATTCCTGTGCTGATTTTTCAAGTAAGAAATCTCACAAACAATGCATCTTTTATCTTATCAGACATTGAATAAATGCTTTTAAAGAACGAAAAAATTCATTTTCTACATTCTGATGAATTACAAGTATCTGAAGTTTGAAAGTATCAGTTTGCTATGCAAGAGTTAATGAGTTCATGTACATATACTGATTTGTTAAATATATTTTTTTTCATGATATGTACAGTGAAATTGAAAGGAGGGCACATTATTTTCTGAAACTAATGTTTATATAATATAATAAAAAGCTACATTACACGAGCTATTAATCAATTCGCCTACTTTGCTACTGATCTAACTGAATCATGGCAATTTAGATAGCAAGAAAATAGTTAAGTGATCATACTACGCACAATGACGTATGTCTGTGTAGGTATAGGAGTGGCCTAGTTTGGCAAAGAGCACTCTGCGCAGACCAAGGATCAATAGTGCGTGTCCTTGTGAATCCACATTAGTTACCTTTTTGTTGTTAGAAATAAAAACAAATGTAATAAAAAGTAATTATACTATGACCAGTTGTAATGAATCGCCCACTAAAATCATCAAGTATATCTCCAACAATCATGATGATGATATGTAATCATATATACACAACAAAGGGGAAAGTTCGAGCCCAATCAAAGAAATTATTGGATCATAACATAAACAAACAAGTTTATTTTCTTTGTTTCGTACTCACTTTTTAATTTATTTTTTTGCTGAATAAAAAAATTAATTGAAAAATTCTAAATAAACTGATAAAATTAAACTGACAGATGCATTCGATGCATTAAGAGAATGTTAAATAAAATGACTTTTTTTTTAGTGTCATGTAGAGAACCTGGAACAAGAAAGTTCGTTAAATATTAACGATAAATTAACTATTAGAATCACTTTAATACCTAGAAAACTTTTGTGCCATTAATAAATTCTATACGTAACTCTATGACGAAAAATAAAAAAAACAAACGTTAGAATATTTTAATTCTTGCAGTGTTTTAAATAGTAGGTAACAAAAAACTCAAAATTATTCATGCAAGAAGTTAAAACTCTAGATTTCAGAATTTTTTTTTTTACATGCTGATTGTTTAAATTAATCAATGTGAAGCTGAAACTTTTATTTTTATCCGTATTACTTTGAAAAGAATGTAAATCCAATTAATTCGGTCAAATAAATTCTATCGTAGATAATTGCAACCTTCAAGATTATTTTTGTTTTATTCCGTTTGTATGTAGTAGTAATATTGCAAATCATAGCTGTTGGATATAAAAATTTTTATTTCTAAAATAAACTGTTAATTGAGAGAATCTGTCATTGGAGTCTAGAATATTTTTAAATTTATTTATTAATCATCAATAAATTATATTGAAGATTTTTTTAACTATGAAATTAGTTCAGTTGTTCTTCAGGTGAAATTTGATATCGATTTTATCAAAAAAATAATACATTTATCATGATAAAATATTGAAATTAGGACAAACGAGTGATCTTGTTCTTGACCTTGCTCCAGTTTCTTATTTTTCAGATTTTTTTGAATTATAATTAATGATCAAAAAATTTTAACAAAACGCCATATGATTGTTAGTGGAATAAAAAATGTTTTTTTACATTCTATTAATAAGAATTAAAACCAAAGAATTATTCACAATAGCCAGAAATAATATATTAAAGTGAAACTATCCGTGTAAATGCTGCATTCAAGTAGAAATTTTCACGAGATAGTCTAAAATACATTTCAAGCTACTCTACGAGAATTTCACCATATTCATAAATGCAAAAAATATAAAATATTTATGTGTTTGTCATCCAACTTTTTGACTAAATAAATAAATTATTAGCTTCATAAGTTTTCAAATAGTGGAGAAGTCAGTGTACAAACAATTGTTTTATAAATATTTTAATCTTCTTTATTGGTCAATACGTTCTAAGCTAATTAATTTTATGAGTGAAATTGCTACTTGAACGATAAATAATAATAAAATAAAAAAGTCAATTTATATTAACTGTTTTAAATAACTCAAAACTGGGTCATCCACGTTCAATTTAAATATATCAAATAAAATTTAATAAAAAATTAATATTCATGCGAATATTCATAACATTAATACCAACTGCTATGGAATATTAATATTCAATCTTTTTAAGGTTTGCTATAACTCTTCTAGAAACCACTGTCAAATGTAGCAGTCAAGAATTATGATCAAATATTCACGACAAAGATGTTTCTAAAATGTAAAATTTATATATATATATATATATATTTTATTTATATAAAAATATTTTACCTGGATTTGCATCGAAAACAAATGGCTCTGCCAAAGATGGTAGATGTTCTTCTTCTGGTGATCGTTCGGAAGCATATCCCTGGTCAGCTTGATGTTCACATCCGACAGGTCTGCTAGTTTTCTTAAGCTCAGTTGAGTTACTTCTCTCAGGTGTTTGGTATTTAATCTGGTCGAGACGTGCAGGTGGCTTAGGAGCCTGTAATTCTTTTGTCAAGAAATTCCTATCGACTCTGTCAGGATTTTCTGAATCCCTACTAGGTAGAGGAATTGTTTGAATGCTCGCTGGATCACACCACTTTGGGTCTATTCGTCTTTTAGGCAATGTGCCCATCGTAAAATCCGTCGGGTAGTCTGTTCCGTTATGGTGGCTACAAACTCGGTTGTTGGATGGATAAACAGGTTCATACCTTCCCTCTGCAGGTTCCATTGTTCCAGAGATAGTGTCAGCATGTTGATTTTTAGGCACTATACTATAATTGCCATGTTTACATCGTACCAAGTCAACTTTGCTGTTCTGATGATATCTGAATCAGTTAAATATGAAAAATTTTAAAACATTTATTTCATTTGCAGAAAAGTGAATCAACTGAATTGAGTTAAATAAACGAATGAATACATATCTCAATTAAATCGGATAAAATGTTTCAATAGTTAGAAAAATATGTAGTGGTTAAAATTATTCATATTAAATCCAATGTTTTACTAGTCTGGTTATTCATTTGAAGATCAGTAAGAGCATATTTTAAAAAAAAAATATGAAAACCTGTTTTCCTAATAGATGAGGTCAAAAATTATTAATAACTTTAAACTATTTATTTTCTGTTTCTACATGATCGAGATAGTAGAGTGGATGCTGTAACTTTAATCTTTTATCTCTTTCCTGAAGAGTAGAACAAAGGTTGATTAAATTAATTAATGGAAACATACATTCTCATTGTTATTATTACGCACAAAAAAATTTTAATACTATGTTTAAAAAAGTTTCAGTATAATCTCAAAGTTCTGATTTTAGTTGGGAGGTTTCATTTGATTAATTGAGACATTTTCATTATGTAAATAGAATAATAATAAGTTTAATTAGAAAGATATGTCAACATACTCCCAAGGATCTCCTTCCAGTGAGCTTTGTGAGCGATATTTAACGAGGTCGAAATTCACTGTGGATTTATCATAGTATGGTACTTCATAATGAGACTTTTTGTAAGGTAAAGTTCCACCCAAATTCCCACTTATGGTGTCTGATATCACATTGTTGTTATCTGACAAGTTTTTGATAAAAGCATCTTTATCATTATCCAAGTTGTTTGGTAGCGAACCGGAAAATTTGTATCTGTAACAGAAATCAAATATCAAACATTAAACATGAATATCAAATATAAATATAAGAGAGCTCACAGATATTTTTCTTTAGGCTAAAATTAAAATTTTAGAGTAAATAAACGACAAATAAAAAAATATTTAGAGATGTAAATACATATAAATGTGACTTTTAGTCCTCATCTAAAATAGAAAAACGTTTTGTTTCAAGGGTTTTTTTTTTTTTACTGGTGAGCAGTTATCATTGTTTTGTTGTTTAAGAATGGCAAAACATAAAGAAAATTTAATCCTCAAAATGAATCGAAAAAAAGTCTCTCTTTAAGTGCTTTTCATACTTGTAAGTATACATTTTGTGCCCTATTTTCTACTTCACAGGTAAAAACAACAAAAATTAAAAAAGCAGCACGTGAAAAAGAAATGCAAACTTAATTATCTATGAAATTTTAATATTATTGTAATTATCATAACAGTTATTTTAGCTTTTAATTTTACATAGATTACCAATGAGCACAAAAAGTTTGAATAAAAAAATTCAATGAATTATAAATGATCACTTTAAATCTGCAGTTCTTAAGTTCTTTTCAGCTAAAAAACATTAGATATCCAGCTCGTAAGCTTCATTGAGAATTACAGCTCAGCATTTAGTACTAATTTAGATGTAAATTTATAAATTAGGGCAATTAAATTCGGAAATTGGTAAATGAAAAATACAATACCTTTCCTGGGTAGATGAATTGGAGCAAGGAACAAACATCTTGCTAACGTGACTTGCAATTTTACCCTTAGGATCACAGAGATTACCAGAGGATTGAGTTCTTCGTCCAGCAGTAAGACCTTTGCCATGATGACGACTTAGATTTGAGCCCATATTGTTTAAACTGTTTTCATCAAGTGATTTATTACAATCATCAGATATGCCCTTAGATTCAATAATCTCATTTAGAGCATCCTGAACTTGCTGAACTTTTGGATAATCAAAGTACTTGCTGATATCTTGAGCATTTACTTTATATTTTACTGGTATTGGAGGCTTAAAATAATGCTTATCTTGTTTTGACGACACATCTCGAAGTTGCAGTCGACAAAAACTCTCATGATTCTCCCGATTTATCTTCTCCTCTTGCTTTTCTTGACAATTCTCGTTATTACTCCTGTCGTGAATGTTGTTGTATTTGTTCGTATAGTTTTTACTAATATTTATATTATTATTATGATTATTATTATGATTGTGATGGTTATTATTATTATAATTGTTGTTATTATTTTTAATGTAGAGCCTGCAAGTTACAGCTGATCCACTTACACCTACAGGGGTCACAAGTGCTTCTTCACCTGCAACATAAAAATAATTTTCATTTAAATTATCATAAAGTAACATTATTTGTTATACAAATTAACCCACTGCAGTCTCAAAAATAACCTCACTAATAAATTTACCAACTTTTAATGCTAAATAATATATCTTTCCGTATTTCTATTCCTACTTTTCACATTTACATTTTTGTTTTTTAATATAAAAAATTCATAGTAGGCGACGTTGTTGATGAATATACATTGTTTAATCTAGTTAAGATAATTCTACCGTGAATGTTCAATAGGACTCGGTAGATTAATATGAATGTTTTAATATAAGAAAAATTACTTATAAAAAGAATATTCGCCTTTTCAAAAACTTGCTCAAATATTTTACTCCAAAAACTTTTGATTAAAAAATTTTAGCTTAGCTTACAATATTTTAGATTTAATAGCAACTTATTATTGATGTTAAATACTTTTAATTAAAAATTATTCTATCATAGATCACTAATTTATTTGAAAAAAATTATAAACAATAGAATATAACCTTGAATTAGTTTCTAGCAAAATAAAATGATTAAATAAATGTGATAGTACATTTAAACTTCAGTTAGATAACTGGAATATCGAGAGGAAGAATATGTTCAGTAACTAACTAGATATTAAAAATAACGAGGTATATATTGTTAGCTTAATTCGAAAACTAAATTCAGTAATTGGTTAATAAATGAAGCAAATACTTTTTTAAATGGTATAACAGACAATTAACTTATAAAGTGGGTTAAACGCAGAGAAAGAACATAACAATCACAGATAAAAGTATCAGAAATATCAAAATTTACAACTATCAGATAGCAGAGAATTTTTGTATTATGAATCAAGTACGTCATAAAATGACTCAGTTGTTGATAAGTTTTCTATTTAGGTCTCTAAATCCCTTACTATTTATTTCCAACTCACTCTATTGATTTCCACTTGTTTATTGAATTTTTTAACAAAAATAAAATCAATTTTCCATCAAATTTATATGATGTATTGAATTTAATGAATATTTAAATTGATTATAAATCAAAAGTAGTAGAAAACAATGGTAATTCCACTTGATAAGTTGATATGAAGAGCATTTTTGTGTTTAAATGGTGATAATAGTTGACTTATTGCTTCTATTATCATATTGAAGGAAGAAATATTTAATAGAAAATATTTAATGTCCATTAGATGTTCATAGAAGTAGTAAATAAAATAGAAACAGTGACTATAAAAATTTTTATAACACTTTGATGACACTAGTAAAAGTGTTTGAATGACTATTGTCACAATTTCACAGTAACGTGAATTCTGAGACATTTAAGTAAAAATATAAATTTATTTTTAATGATGAATATAAAGTTTATTTGAAGAGAAGAGTATTAGAATTAAGTAGTGAGAGGCCAGGGAGGTAGACTTCAATGATATGCCATCACTGTAACAATGTAAAAATAATAGTAGAGTAGCAATAACAATAAAAAGGTACATAGTAAGAATGAAAATAAAATAGACAAAATGTGTTCAAGTCTGTTTGCTACTTACGCATAATTTACAAGGATAAGGAGAACTAGGACACTCAAAAGCAACCGTCAACTTGGACAAATCCTTCGTGCAGAGAATTATTAAATTTCCCAAGAGATTTCCTCACAAAAAAGAGCAGAAGATTCTTCTACACCTATACAATTTATCGGTTTTCTAATCAGCACCAAGATGAAAAAATAAATTTGTCGTTGACGTGACACAACTTGATAATTTCAATCCAATATTTGATATAAACGAGTTAATATTAAATAAATATTCAAAATGTTGTTTATTGTAAAAAAATATCACATTAATTTGTCGAATTAAATGCATTATGCATTTACCAAAAAATTATTTTTATCAATAATTCATCTTTTTATTATTCATGAAATCACTAATTCAATATATTTATTGACTAACGAAAATCATTTATACTATCAATATTTGTTCAATTGAATTATTCTGATTTATTTAAATGAAATTATTTAAAGATAAACCCGTTAAAAATTCTTGAGAATTTCTTTTTATTCTTGTCCAGGCAAAACTAAGGACAGGAGACTCACTGCATTCCACTCTGTTGACACAGCTTGTTCGTACACAGCAAGGATCCACGAACACAGGTATAACGTACATGCTCACGAACTCGTTTTCACAGATGTGGAGTAACGCGTCACCTTCATCAATTTTTCTATACGACTCCAAATAAACAAATATATCACAAAAAATATTATACAAATTTTTATTTCAATTTGTATTTTAAATTTCCAATTATTTTCTTTAAGAAAAAGTATCGTTCCAATCACTGTAAAATTCCTTGAATTCTCAAAATCCGAAACTTTACAAATAAACGATTTAAAGGTTCTCGAACTTTTCAAAATATTCGTACAAATAAATGATGTATTTCTTCGGAACCAAGTAAAGCACAAATAATATTCTAGCACCAGTGAATTTTTCTCTTCAATGTTTATCAATACATTGCAATAAAAAGGTTAATTGTTTATAAGAAGCAACATAATAAAAAAAAAAAACCGTTGAAGTATTTGTTTTGATTGAAGAATGCTGCTAATAACAGTCATTGACGAATGTTTGATTGTCGTTAAATGACTGGAATATAAATTTACACTCGAGTATCATTTATTATTAATTAAATAGCTTTGGTTTGGATGAGGAATCACGGTTCACGCGTACGCATATCTCGGTTAGAACGCTATACTATTTCTGAACGAGCAACCACGAGAACGCGTATTCCGACGGTGGAAGCGTCATGGGGAGCAGCAGTCAGTGCATTAGGAAGAGAACAAGTGTATTCGTTAAATGCTCCCCTACACCTCTTATTATATTAGTAAGTTTCTCACGAGGCCAGTATTTTACTTGTATTGAGCTTGCAAACTCTTGTACAAATGAAATTGTATTGAACTAATTAAACTACTAGTCACTAAACTGACTACATTAGTGCATTACTATTTCTAATTTCCAACGGCTAAATGCCCAACAACTATGCTTCACAATTAACACTTTATTACTACCACTATCACTGCTGTGTATTGGTACGATATGCTTTTCGCGGTATTCTCCGCTACACTGAAAACCTGACCGGTTAACCATTCAGTTTTCCACGCGCTGAAGGCATTGGAGGCATATTATGTACAATTGAAAATAAGCTGTAACCTCTCCAGCCTATGTACACAATGTATATGTATGTATATACATTTTATTCACTAAAGGTATACTTTGTGCCGTTCGTAATTTGTGTCGAGTGCCTTCATTGCCTTCATTTTCAGGTGTATGAGACTCAGAGAGTGGGAATTTTGAGTTGAAGATGGTACGTATAGCACACTCTGTACAGATAGGTGAGTAGAATAAAAAATTCAATTAATATATAGTGTTACTTGAAATAATTTAAACATTGACATAATAGCAAATAGAGCAGCAAATATGCCTTTTTCAAATAGGAACAATTAGGCTGTGAAAATAAACATTTCATGCAACAGGAAATATTGTTGCTAAGTAAATTAAATAAATGACAATAATTACAACAGTCAAGATATTAATTAACACATAACTACTAATTGTTCATAATAAATTGTCTGAATTATTTTTTTTTTGTTTTGAAATTATCAATTAGTTGAGTCAATGGACTATCATTCAGCATTTCAGAAACTTTGGAAATTTAAATTGGAATAAAATTTTGTTGGTGATGTTTATAAAGTAAGTATTTTAATTTTATAATTTAAAATTCAATTAAAATTTGTTCAATTACTTAATAATTGAATATACATTTTGAAAATATACAATATGTCCTATGGAATAACCTTTTGCTCCATTTTTAATAATTGTAGTTGGAAAAACATTAATTCAATATAAAAGAAATTTAAAACTCTTTTTGTGATTTGTTTCAGGTTTTTATGACATCAAAAACAATATTAAAAGAAAGTGTTGCAAACAAAGTCAATTTAATTAAAATTCACTGAAAATAATTGACATGAGAAAGCTTCGTAATCAATACTTTAAAAGTTCAAACAATCAAATTAATAGATATTGATTTATTTTATTAATTAATTCAGTTTATTATTTGAAAGTTAAACCAAATTTATAATATCTCAATACACCGTTAATACAAAATAATTACTGCTCAAATTTAAAGCACAGCTTTGAATATTCGAGATTATCAATTAATACCTAAATCAATATGATTAAATATTATGCTATTCAGCATCTCAATGGAGAATTTTTTCCTGATTTTCTACTATCATTAGAGTTCTATATGTAAATAAATCAGCGAAATAAATAACTTTTGATTGATTTATAAGAGAAGTTGGAGTACTCTTTAAGAGATTTTCCTAAAGATGAAAAAAGTTTAATTTTTCAACAACAACAAAAAATTTATCTAATAAAAACTGAGACACATTTTATTGCAATTTATGGTTTTATTTTAAAATTATCTTTTTTTTTCTTTCATTTCTTATTATTTCTACGTTTGTTGAGATATTTTTCACTTCTTCATTTTTAATTACTTAAAAATCTCAAAGGTGTCTGCCAGTAACTGGCGCATGAAATTAAACGTTAATCACAAGTACTCTTTTATTATTAAACAAGAATATTTGGAGACATTTTTTTACCTGTCGTTTTTCATTTCTTTGTTCATGAAGAATACTTTGGACTTAGAATTATTAATCCACTGATCTATTGTCAAACAATATTTATTTATGTTCAATTAATTAATATTATTATTAATATAACTATTATTTTTTGTTTTTTTTTTATTATTATGATAAGAATAAGTGTTGTTAAAGAGAACAAAACTTCACACTAATTAGATTTTTAATTTGATAGAAAAAGAAATGACCCAATTAATCTAGAAGTTTTATGAGAAAAAGAGAATTTCTAAATCATCAAAGCAATTTTTTATTCACATCACTATTAATAACTAACAACATTAAATGAACGTATCAAGTAATTGTACCGAGTAAGGGTAGTTAACATGTTGCTCTTTCACCCACAAGAAGCTGAAGAAACAATATGGTATTAACAACGTAATGTCATCAAAGTATAATTAAATGATACAACTTTCTGTTAAACACTTGTCAAAATGATGAATATATTCTATGTATTATTAATATTGTTAGTTTCGTACTGGTGATTACAATAATGGAATGGAAACCGCAAAAATTAAATTCCTCAAGTTAACTCAGGTGTAATTCACCAAACTCTGAATAACGTTGAGAAATGTACGAAGTATGATCGATGAAAATTGTTTGTTTCGACTTGGAGGTTTCTTAGCAACTCAAGTCAGTTCATATACATATTTAGAATCCTAGTTTTGGCTAATTTACATTCTTTACTATAATATTCACAAGTTTGTGCTGGTTTTAACTTTTTACATTACATATTTTTGGAACCAACTACTTGCAACAGTGTTTAATTATTAATTTTAGCAACAATGAATTAAACGAGATAGTGTATCATCATTAAAAAAAAAAAGTGCTTGTGTTATTTTTAAATTTAAATGTTTGACTTTTTTTTTTATTGTTTTAAAATGATTGTCATGAACAATTTTAATGAAGACTTTTTTTTAATTTTAAAGTAAGCAGTGAAAAATATAAATATGTATGAAATATTATACACAAAAATTTATTTCTGTCACTTTTAACGACTTTAGCAGAGGCAATTTTAATGATTAAAATAAAAATGGAATTACCATAAACCCATTATCATCCCAGTATTTATTTAACACATACTAAAAGGGCAGTAATTTAATGCAAATTTCTTTACAATGTGATAAATAATAAGCTGGTTAGCAATTATTAATTTTATAACACATGAGTGATGAACTATAGCATAATTGGAATCGCAAAAGTGTTTATGTATTAATATAAAGCAATGTATAATAGATGTTATTATTAATTTTCCATCTCTAATTCCATTGGAATATGATATAATTAATAGATTTTCCAATAAACAATTAACAATAATGAATGATACATTTAATAATAATATATTAAATAAATGCTTTGATGTATATACAAGAAAACGACAATTTTTCAAATTTAAATAATTAAATAATATCATTCTCTTTTATGATTCTCTTGACACATTTCCCCTACACAAGTGACCTAATTCTCAGGCCAAATAATAATCAACAAATAGTGTTGAATTTAGATGAAAATTTGGAAAGTTGGTGATACACTTGAATTATAAATTATACAGTGAGAAAAAAATTATATAGTATGTATTTCTTTTCATAGTTGTTAAAAAGAAAGGAAGAAAAAAACCAAATACTTGTTACTATTAGCATTTAATTAACTGCTATGATATTTGGAGAAATAATACTCCTTTATTGATATCAATTACCTAGTTTTTTAATTAACTGATTCTCTCTCTCATAGAAATGATAATTTCAACTTTTTAATGAATTTTATTTCACAACAAGCTTTAGAAATAATTATTATAATTATAAATTAAAAAAAATATTTTATTGTAAAAGTTTGAAACTTATTTTTATTTCTTATTTTATCAAATTCATATCAATCATTGATAATAATTATTTTCTCTTATAAAACCACAGCTTAGTCGTTCACTTTGACTGGTGGTAGACTTGTTTGTTTATGTATATATATATATATATATGAAAAAAAAAGTACTTACAATATATTGAAAATTTGCAGCACTTTATTTCCTTTGATGGGAAATAAAGTTTTTCTTTTATTTAGATAAAACGACGTGTCAACGTAGATTCTTTTAAATTGAATTCTCTTAAACAAGTGTCACATGTACACATGGTGATGTTGTTGATGTGCATGACACAGAAATTACATGGTTCACTTTCAAGGCACACGTTTTAAATATAAATAAATTAACTGACTACAAAATGCAGGTAAATATTGTCATTTTAATTCAGACATAATTAAAAATACTAACGTATTTATCCATTGTTCTTGCAGGTGAGAACTTATTCGATTAATCCACTGTGTGCGTGACGAATTGAGATTATTCTCCTCAACAGTATCATTATTTTTCCATTTTTGGATGTTCATGTAATCAATGTTTGTATTAGGTGGTGAAAGTATACGAAATATTTGTGGCATTATTTTACTATAAGACGGCTTTAAAAGTTTATAAATATCACGGAAATAATTATTTTAATATGAAACTCAGAAAGTGAGAAAAGTAAATTACCAAACATTTGATTTCTGGTAAGAGAAATAATTATTCGCGTGTAATAAGTTGTGTAATGTAGACCGCGCGCGATATATATAACAAGTAAGGAGAGAAATGGCGACGATGGACCAACGTACTCGTAGATCTACGATCATACTGTGACACAGACTCGCTGTTAGCCTCTTTACTTCCTTGTGGAATAGGGGAGAGGAATAGGGTGGTATCGCGCGCGCGTTCCACCCCCACTGATTACAGCATAGCTCGATGACGCCACACAACCCCTGGTTAAACTGCGATCAAACGGTCCAAGGTTTTCGGCACTTCACAAATTTACAAAAGATTGTTCCTTTTATACTTTATCCTTTGTTTTAACATTTTTCATATTCCATTCCTTTTAGAGAATATTCTTCACAAAGGATTAATCATCCAACAGCTATTCGAATTATTTATAAATTTTCAAAGGTCTTTCTTCTTCACCAACAATCTTTGGCTTTTTATTATTTAATTGTATTTATTCAAGTTCAGGTATTATTTATAATTGTTATTAATAACTCTAGGTATTAATTGTACGATAAATATTGGAATTCAGCCAATTTTTACTTCATCATTTTCAACAACAAATATGCTTGCTATAGCAGTGGAATTATTTTCTCAAAGTCATTTTGATATGGTTTTAAGCCAATTTGTTGATTATTGAAAAATGTTAATAAGAACAGTATGGTTTTATGAATAGGAAAAAATTTGTAAAATGAAAAATATCAAAAATATGACGTTGATGAAATAAAGACTTCAAAGTATCTTCAAAGATGAAAATTGTGGTAGAAAAAAATTTTCAATAGTGATGGAAGATATAAAGAAGCCTTGGTGTTGAAGGTTTCAGATAAATATTCTTATTTTAAAGTGAAGACTTCAAAAGCAGATAAATTACTTTGTTAATATTTATCGTTTTTTTCCATTTACGTATATACGTAAAATAAAATATATTACAATCTATTTTTTTAAATAAAAAATACTAGCTTATCTAGTCTGTTTAATGGTCACTTAAATTATTATAATTATAATTATTGTGATTACTTATATCTCCATATACTTACATACTACTCTAGACTATTACTTACTTAGTAGCTAATTTATTTCAAAAGAATTTTATTATGCTGAAAATATCGTGAAAGAATTTTTTCAAGATAGCTAAAATAGTTTACTTTGATATGCATTATATAACTTTCTGGAAATGATGGAAAATATTTTTTAAAGATCACTCGTTATTATGTTAAATAAAAAATAAGTAAATATTTAAAATAACATCTCCAGTTTGTCTATCAATAATTCAATTTTTTTGAAACATTTTTATGTTTGAACTAAAACAAAATAAAAATAGTATTAATTATAGTCTCATTCAGAGCTACATCTAAAGCAGTTTAGTGATGAAATAATAAAATAAATAAAAGCAAAACATGTACTCTATTATTTAAAAACTTTACCTGAATTTTTGTCTGGTATTTGTTGGTTTGGATAATCACAAGCTCGACTTCCTTCTTTTCTTCGTTCTTTCAAAAATTCATAAACTTGATGAAAATAATCAGAAGCAAAATTGGAATTTCCTTGTATTCTATTTCCACATATTTTAGAGCACTCATCACTATAATTATTCTTTGTACTATCGATTCTATTTTCACCCATAGAGTATAATGGAATTTCAGTCTGACAATTAAACAATTGCCTTGTAATCGTGTCAGTCTTGTCATTTTCCTGAGATATAGTCCTAGATCTTGAAATAATATGATTATTATCTAAATAAAATCTTCTATTTTTTCTCTTATATCTTCTAATTTGTTTGTCATAAATATCATTATCATAATAATAAACAGTATTATTTTTATTATTAATATTATAAATAAATTTTCTTGTATTTGAGTCGTAACTGTTGTTATTGATAAAATAGTTTTGATTGTTATAAATAAAATAATTATTACTCTTGTCTTCATTAGTCTTCCATTGATTTCTGTATTTCGTTTGAAATTTCTTGTATTTTTTACTTCTAGACATTTCTGGAATCACTTGACGTTCATATAAATTATTCAAATAGACAGCCTTAGACAATGTGTTTAAAATTCTGCTACGATAATTTATGTACGTTTTGATTTTTCGATACCTGTCCTTGGCAATCTGTTCTTTAGTCTTGTCAGAAATCATTGTTGATGTAAGATCCTCTACTATCACGTGCCGCAGATAATCACCGATAGAATAAATCTTCATTTTTCCTGGTTTTATTCTCTTCCTCGTTGATGAATAATGACGATATTTGTTCATGTAATACCTTCGTGCAGGAAACTTTTTCATCATCAGTGTTGGGAGATTATTATTTATAAGTGAATCATTTCTAATTTTTGATTGACAATTAAATATTCTCACATTTACTGGTTTTAACTGTTTTTGACATTCAATACTATCATCAAGAAAATTATTGCAATCATTTTCACAACATTCTGCAGTTTCAAATAATAATTTATTGTTATAAGGTTCGATAATTGTTGCATATTTAACTGTTGAGTTGTTATTTAATTTATTATTGTAAATTAAGCTCTGTAAGGTATAGCATTTTTCATTAATTTTCAATCTCATGATTTGAATTTCAGGACAGCTACATGGAGAAGCACAATCATAACAATAATGATCGATGCATTGAACACTTTTATTGACATTTGAGTTTGATTTATTCATGGTGTTAATTGATAATTATTCAGTCACTACTACCATCGAATACTCTAATGTTTTTAATTTACAAACATTTTTAAAACTCTTTTTTGCAGTGAATATTCTATTTAACTTATTCATTTCTACTGGAGTGTTGATTTTTATTTTTAAATATTTAATAAAGTGATTTGTCGTAGCCATGTTTCCGTGAATTCTGAGTGTAGTTAAAAATAAATTAATTTCATTATTCAAGATTACATTCAGCCTTCATACGTTCTTAATAATTAAAGCCAATTTGATCTGTCTTTTAGATGCAAAAGTTGAACGAATTTTTATAATTTAATCATACAATGAAGAATACAAATGGTTAAGATGTCATCAAATAAATAATTCATTAACAAACATTAATCAAATGTTTCATTCATCAAAAGTGTGTCTTCAATTTCATAGTAATCATTATTTTTCATCTGTCAGTCTGTGTTTTCTCTCAAAATGTTTCTGCAAAGCAATTTTTTTTACGTTTCACTACTCGAAGTCTAGATTCACAATAAAATCCGTGTATGTTGTGCCACTTGACATTACTTGACGTGTTAAAACTCGGTAGTTAGGTACTTGAGTATAAAGCAACTGTAGTACCAGTACGTTTATCGCAAAGTAGAGTTGGCCTTACGGTGTGACATCATAAGCATGTTCAAAAATAAATGTCGAGTGGTTGGTGCGCGCAGACAGAAATTTCAACATATCAAATGTATTAAAAATATCGCGGCATTTACCTTCCTTCAGACAACGTGGAACTAAACAGTACAAGAAGAAGGGGAAAGAGAAAAAATATTACAGTTATGTTTTCATCCCTCAAATCTTTTTGCTTTTCAGTCAATGTTTAGTTGATGATAGACAAGAATGTCTATGACAGTTTGCCAGAAAATACGAGATAGAATTGCAAATCTATATGCTGAGACACTTATTTAAGGATTTACTATCTATATCTATTAGATATTGTGTCGTAAAATGTGTACATCATAAGAAAAGCAATATATTTTTCAGTATATAAGTTTTATTGACTGCAATGCAGATTGATAGATTGTTATGTATTTATTCCAACATGTATTAAATATATTGTTTAAAAAAAAAATCGTTTTTTTTCACATTTATGAATAAGAAATCTTCTTTCCATAATTATAATTATATTTTCATCCTATTATAAGTATTAGATTAATCCTTTTATGCATAAAAAATTCAAAACATGATTTAGAATATTTTTCATTATTTAGTCTTTTTTGTTGAGGTACATTCTATCAAAAATTTGTTCGTATTTTCCTATAAAAAATTTTAAAATACTTAATATAAAATATTTAATTAACTAAAAAATTAATTTATTTAATATTAAATTGATTCAAACTTCAAAAGTAATGCCCTCTATTTAATTTATAAAAACATTCATTTTTAGAAAATCAATTCTTAAGGTCAATGTTGACGGGAAAAAAAAATTAAAAAAAATTGTTGTTCATTCATTAGTTATGCGTTTCATTTGTGGTATTCTAATAATTACTATGTATCTAATGTTACTAAAAATAAAGTTGTTTTCAAAACATTGAGAAAAAAATTTCTAGAAATAGATTTTCACAACAAACATCTCAAACATCAATAATTATAGCTTCTATTTAAATTTTCTAATATAAAAAATTTCTACCTTATAATAATAATAACTCTAAAAAAATATCTAAAAAATTATTTAAAAAATATAATTTTTCTACATTTTCGAGGTATTTTAATTTCTTAACAATCTTATAAATATCTTTAAAAATAATCTGCATTTTTTAGGTCTGAACATTGTTATAGAATTTTATATAAACCAATTACAAAAAAAAATATATATTTATATATTTGGATTGCATAAAAGGATTAACGTAATTTACATTTGAATTCTTTTAAACTAATAATCAATATTCATATAAACTAAAAATCGATACTACTATTTAAATAAATTTTAAATACAGACTGTAAGTGTGAGTCATTAACAATGATTGCACACATTATGGAAGTGAATAAAACAATTACAATAACAATTATTAATGTTCCACAAATTTATGGAGGAGTATAATAGTAGTATCTCTTATTAAAGACTCTTGAGAACTCTGAATAATAGAGCTTAATAGAAAATACATAATAATAAATCGAATAAATTGTAATCAGTGAAGAATTTAACTAATGCACTTTTTAAATTGATAACAGTATACACAGCTGCATAATTGTAATAATTAAAATTGATATGTCAAATGTACAACATAATACAACAATGATAAGAGATATGTAGCTGCTAAAGATCAAAATAAACTATCTCTGAAAAATTATACAATTGCACACAGAATAAATTCTGTCTAAAAATGTGTAGAATATGAATACATTACTTATTGTTGTCATTAATTTACACATGGTCACGCATATACATTTGTTATTATTTTTTTAATTATTAATATTGATATCAACGTATTGTAAACTACTCTACTGTATAACAAATAAATATACATATACATAATATTAACTATAAAAGCTTTACTTATAAGCATCATCAACGTAAATATATTCTATCTAATGTTCAATTACTCGTTAATTAATCATTATTTCCTTCAATTTATTATACAATATGAATATTTATCAATTAATATATCTGTATTCCATTTGATATGCGATGATTTGCTAATCTAGATGAATCTTAAGTCATCAATTGTTATCTATGTTAATTGAATGGAATAATAATTAATAAAAATAATAGCTATTACCATTATTATTATCAATTATTATAATATAATGCAATATTATCTAATTATATCCATTATTAATAAGGAAGAATTAATATTATAATTTTTTTACGACATAGACAGTTGATTCTATCTCATCATCCGCGAGCAATATTAACAATTCAGTCATGAATGCTTCGACATTATTTTCTAATACTTGTTTAACGATATCAAACGTCAGACTTTCATTTCATCTTAGGGAGTACTTTTTTTTTAAAAAAATCATTTAAAAATATTCGATTTGATAAATAAAAATAAAAAATTAGTTAAAATAAAAAACAATTCAATACTCACAAATAATTGTTACTAGGCCATACTATCAAATGGGATGTATTATCCTATCTACGGGGTTTTTTTTTTTTTAAGTACTTGTTAACTCTTACTGCTTCACCTTTCTCGTTTTCACACTTTATCATATTTGATAACTAATATTTACACTGATTGCTACATACGTAATACGAAAACTGGTGTGGAAGAATATAATTCGGTTGATTTACTAAAGTTTTTAGTACCTTGTTTTTCAGTAGCCCTTTTATTTATTGATGATGGCAATACCTAAAAACATTAAATAAAAATTTATTAATAACTGACCAATTTATTATACTACTTATTAATATTTATTACAGTAGTTATGATAATGATGATTAGAAATTAATTATTCTTGTGATTAATCATTCGAAGTATTTAGCGTTATTGATATTGATTTAATTACAGGAAACTAGGCCAAGTTGTTGATAATATTATTGCATTTATGTTTAATATCAGTCAAAATTATTCATGCTATCAATTAATTTTTTTCATGAATATTAAAATTTTTAATATGGTTTCATTAAGTCTATTACTAACATTATTCTAGAAGTTATTGTTGAAACAGATCGTAAAAAAAGATGTACTATCTATTTAATTCAGCTCACCTTTTTCTTGTTATGCAAAGCTTTATCCCCTCCGTGGAGTTTATTATCTAGCTTACAATTTACTTCCAATTCGTTACGCATTCCTGAATCTTCCGATTTCCATCCGGTTGTCTTTTTTTCGTTTAAATCATCTGTTTTATCTTGGATTGAACTAATCTCAAACTTAATATCATTTTTTTCTATAGATCTATTGGTCCTTGTACAATCCAAGTAATCAAATTTTCCATTCAATTTATCGTCTGTGATGGATTTTATTTTAGGGTTGACAAATATTGATCCTATTGATGTAGTTGATATAGCATAAGATGTTTGATTAAAAATCGTACAATTATTGTCTTTATCATTATTAATCTTATCATTATTACTTTTAATATTCATATGAACGTTTATATTATCATTTTTATTAATATTATCTTCACTATGATTATTATTAATTGTACCAACTGGGAAATGATCCTCAGTTGGTTGGATACTGCTTGTTATGCATTTCGGAATAGCTAATTCCTTTAGTTCTGGTGAAGTTTTAGTTGAATTAGTACCTTCTATGTATTTAAGACTAGTAATATTATTAATGTCAGTTGTCAGATCTTCAGAAACATCAGTCTTTTTACCTAATAAATCATTATAGGCACTATTATTATTTAAAGAAACATTTTTATTTTTTATTTTATCAGCCATCATCTCTTTTTCGTTATCTTTTATCATTAAATATTCTAGCCGCGTGTCTTCCATCCTTCTTTCTTCAGAATCTATTAGAATCTTGGTTGGTACTGTTCTTAATTTTATCATTTCAAAATTATCAAGTAACTCATTTAATACAGTTTTTTTACTTCCAGATAAATTACCTACTGCTTTGATATCATCTTTATCTTTTTCTTTTAGGTCCGAAATTATTGTCCGTTTTTGTGATGACTTGGCAGAATATTTATGAAAAGTCACCTGTTTTTCTTGAAGGGGATCGATTGGTGTTACATTTTTCTGTATATCAATTGACGATGATGAAGGATAATCTTCGAGACTTTCAGAAGAGTGATTTTTATCGGATATATCTTTATTATCTGGCGTCTTCGTGAAGTTTGATGAATTTTTTAGAGGTAATGTTTTTTCCACTGGCGGAAAGTCAAGCGTTCTAGTTTGTGAAGTAAACTCTTTATATTTGTCTGTCAAAAAGTTCAAGTGGGCGTTATCTGCAAAAAAAATTAATGAATACGATTATTTATTATCCGACTTATTTTAAATAATTCTTTTTGATAAAATATATTTTTTTAATGAAAAAGAAATGCAATAAATAAAACCAACTCTGATTTTTTAACATTTTTAGATTGTAAAATCACTTTTTAAATATCAATCTCTTGCTTCATTGATCCGTTTTATAAGAAATTTATATAAAATAAAAAAAGTTAAAAAATAAAAATCTTGTAATATATATGAAGTATATTTTTATATTTGTTCAAGTAAAAACTACTTTAAAACTCACCCAATGATCCAGATCTGTTGGTATTATCTGCAAAAGTCAACATTTTTTTGTCATTTACTTGAGAGGAAATAATGACATCTTTAAAGTCTTGAGCAGTAAATAAAAGTGGTGGACATTTTTTCAATTTATTAGTTCTAGTCTGTTTCGCCGAAGACAATATTACTTCCTTGTGATTTAATAATTTTAAGTCAGAATTCTTTTTATAAATATTTATTTCAGGTAAGTTTCTTCCAATGATTGTTCCATCATCAACTTCAAATTCTTTCTTGGGAATTACTTGATTGTGATCACTTTTGAGTATCGAATGTTTTTTATTATAAAGGCTCTGTGGAATTTTTTCATCAAAACTTGTTTGAGACTTCAATGCAGTTGTAGTTTCACATGTTTTGTTGATGGTCTCGGTAAATTTTGGTATTGGAGGAGGAGGAGGCTTACGTTTCTTTCGGCGGCATGGTACGGGTGGTGGAATATTTCTTTTAACTAGAAATAAAAACAAAATCAAGTTTGTTTATTTATTTAAAATAAATCTAAAACACCAATTAATCCACTAAAATCATCGTACTTTGATCCATTTTAACTCAATTATTTTTTTAATTAATCAATTACAAATACTGTGATAAAAAATAAAAAAAATACTAATCAAAAAATCACGGAGCTTTAGAAAAAAGAAGTAACCAGAAGCTTTAGCACCTAGTAAGAAACTAAAGTCGAGTTTTATTTCTACAAATGAAATTACGTTAAGCTTGCCCTTCCCTCGCTCTTTTCCTCAACACGGAACTCATCTACTAGACTAAGATTAACAATAAATCAATATTTTAATCGAATAAAGACCTTTTAAGAACAAACTAAAGGTTTCAGCTGACTGGATTAGAAATAATGAATACCTGTTCATATGAAGACTTGATGGCTTGATGTACTAACATCAAAATCTTCAGGAGACAATAACAAACTTGCTGAATTTAATCCATTCCTCGTGACTGCTCTATCAATATTATAAAAATTATGTACGTCATAATTGTCCATGCTACTCGATCTTGCACTATTGTATGTACTTGATGAATTTTGATTAAATGCCAAGGGATCTGATAATTTTCGAGGTAGCCATTCTCGTGTCACTGATGAATGGACATCTGATGAACTGTTGCCTTTATTAAAATGTTCACTGAAACAATAATTAATTTCTTAGCGTATTCAATCTTCTATTATTATATTTGATAATGATTAAATTCTTGATAGATAATATGCTATCATAGTCAATGATAATCGTTAATATGATTGAGTTTACATCACTGAATTATATTACATTGATTTTTGTAACACTTTGATTGATGATCATTATTATTGGCTTCATCAATTGCAATAGATTATCATAAAGACAGAAATTATCTACTCCATTATTGATGAATTTCACATAATTCAAATATTGTTAGACAATTAAAATTTAATCAAATGATTGGTTGTATAATAAACAATATTTACTTTGAGTTGTGATTGTTGACTGAGTTAGTGTTCTGAAATTGGTTTTGTTGCTTAGAAGCACGTTCAGTTACTTGGGAAAGAACAAGTTCAACTGTTTCAGATGAACTATTTTGTAACATTTTTAGAGCATCTTCATAGCGGAAATTTAAAAGACTTTGACCATTTATCGCAACTATCCGATCACCTAGAAAAATAAATTTACTTTAGTACATAAAGTTAATTAACTTTTTCACTTAAGTTAAATAGATAAAGGTAAAAAAGGGTAAAGAAAATTTTAACAAGTTCTTTTGCTGTTACATAAAAAGTTGATGTAATAAAGTGATAGAAGAATACCTTTGTTAATGTTTCCAGCCATATCAGCAGATCCACCAACAGAAACTGCCTGGACGTAGACACCTCCATCATTTCCTTCAGTCACCTGAAGTCCAATACTTCCGCCGTGACCTCTTTCGAGTTTAATCGTTGAAAGAATCCTTTCTTCAGCAAATGACAACTCTTCAAGTCTTGCCATTAGTGAAGTTGACATTGTTTCGTCGTTGGAAAGATGAAAAGACTCGTCGTCCACTCTTATATCTGCATCTAAATTATAGAATTTATTTTTAATTTCATACTAGCTTTGTACAATGTTTCAAAGTAATATTCATAGCTCAATTGCAATTAACTCATTCATATAAACTTATGAAAAAATTTCTTGCTCTTTTTACTAAGCTGTTCTTTCCGTTTTAATTAAAAAATATAGTAAACAAGATTTTTTTTTTTTGTCATGAAACAAACTAGCGTTAATCGAAAATAAATTAAACTATGTCACTCTTAGGAAACAGTAGTAACATAAAAAGTGTGGTAGACATCAGTCCACTGGATCTGGAGATAATCACAAAAAAAATCTATCGTGTACACATACATACACAGACTAGAAAGCCCCTCTTTTTCGAAGCCGGTTAAAAACTAAGCATTTAAAATGAAAAATGTGACTTAATACAGTTTTTTGTACGAAGTACTTTTAAAGTTCATGAAAAGAGTAAAAATGTTAATACTTCACAATAGCACATCTGCTCTCAGCTATTGCAATATGGAATGATTCCACATGTGTGCTATTTTGATTCAACATGTTAAAAAAATACAATGAATATTTTATGAGACTATTCAGAATATTTTTGCCAGTTTCGAATAAATAATTAACTCCTTCTAACCTGTTGAAATAGTTAATTAAAACAAATAGTATTTAACTCGAAATGACAAAGCGAAAGTTAAAGGAAAATGTAAATCATGAAGTAGAAAATAGTAACGAGTTTTATTTGAATTCCCTAGACAATTCATTTGATGAATAGCATGGTAGACAACGATAATGGTTGTGATAATTGTTTTTGACAACCATTCTGATATTGAAATAGTTCCGAGAAAATGGTGAGCAATGCAATTAGAATTCTCAAGTGACATTGTAATAGAAATTAGCAGTAGTGAAAAAGTAGACACTTTTACAGATGTATTTATTGTGTTGGAGTGATGTTACTGACAAAACTATGAGTACCAATGAAAAATGAATTGTTCATACGAATCAAAATATCGAGAAAAAAAATCTCAAACTCGCTTATTCAATACATAAAGCCTACTCGTATTTTTAAACTTTTTTTTTGTTGATGAATTGTCAGAATATACTGTTCTACAAACGAATAAATATGCCAGAACGAAAACACAAGAAAAGCATTTATCTGAACGTTCCATTTGGCATAACTGGGTTGACGTGACAATAGAAGAGTTGACAGCATTTATTGGCGTGATTCTGAACATGGGCATTATCATTATTCATAATTTAAAGAATACTGCTTAACACTACGTTGAACAAATACCATCACTTTTGGTGATTCATTTTACAGACGAAAAATTTGAACAAATGCTCCAAATGTTGTATGAATATAGAGAAGAATTATTCGAGAGAAAAAAGAAATGACAGAAAAAAGTGTAAGATGAGTATGATTACGTGAAGATAGAATTAATTACATTCCAGTGAAGTTGAAAAAAAAACATTCCTAACTAAAAATGCAAATTATCTTCATGAAGATAAATTTTATTTGCAAAAGTGAGAATCGTAAAATTATTTGCAGACGATGCAAACAAGTTTGTCAAATTATATTTGATAACCTAGCAGTCAAGTTTTACTAGAACTGCAATCAAAATAAATATGTTTGCAGAATTAGCAAAAATCTGAAATTTGTAGTTTTGCCTCAGTAAACTTTTGCTGAAATTGACAAATATAAACTCAATAAGATTTGATATTTATCAGTTTCAATCTATGTAACTTTATTCTTTTTTAAAATAAAAAGTTAAATTTATCAGAATATAAAAAAAAAAAAAATGCTAAATATCTATTCCTCACTCAAATTTATTTGTTATCAGAAAAAAATCTAACAAATAAATTTTGCAAGTCTTAGGAATTTATTCCATATCTTATTGAAAATTCCAAGAATGTCTCAAGTCAGACAAACAAATACCTATTGAAGAATAGATCGTTATTTGAGGGCAACAATTTCAAAACTTACACACCAAGAATAAGCCCACAAGATAGAGAATCTGCATTGTGTTTTACGAGATACCCAAACTAGATACATTTATTTCACTTTTCCTTACTACCCATGTGTTGGTGCCAGCACAAAAAGCTTCGCCCTGATCTTATAAGTTCTAGGATTGTTTTACAACTATACCAGAAGTTACTAAACGCCTATCCTGAAGCAAGAGGATATTACATCTTTGCCAATGGGTGTTATACAGGAATCCCATTAGAGTACGAGCTATTGAAACTAAAATGTTATATAACTGGTGCATGGAGTACAAGTAAGCGTATAATGCATTCGAGATGTCATTAAAAAACCTACTTTCATAAACAATAATGTTGTAGTGTATTGATCGTGAAATATTCTACTTCTGGTGTCGAAGGATAAGAGAATAATTTCTGCATTTAAGCATTTACGAGGTCTCAACTATGGAGACTGTTAACAGAAGATTTCATAAAAATCTATTAACAGAATAGAATAATAAAAATAGTAGGTGTTGATGATAACACAGAGCATGGAAGTTTATAATGCATTATGTGAAAGTGATCTCTCAAGAGCTACTGATAACATAAATAATGAGAATGTGTGCAAAAGGTCAGCTTGAATGGCAAAAGCAAACATTTGATGTTTATCTAGTGATTAAGAGAACTAGTGGTCAGTGATTTCCATGAGGAAGCATTTACATATCCCAGAAGATCATCATCCTCAGATAATGAGAAAAAGCTCAATGCCAAGCTTTCTATTCGTATAATTTGCCATCTGGGAGAAGTGTAAAGGACAAAGGTGACTTGGTATGTTCCAATAGGAATATTAAAGGAGGAGCTGGCAAACTAATTATTATTATAAAACACGTTCTCGGAAGCCAGAGCTCCACATTAGTGAATGCTTCAAGAGATAGCACACAATAGAAAATTATGAGCTATAATTTTCACACTTAAGTCGAGAGCAATACTGTATTGTTGTTAAATTGAATAAATATTCTATAAGCATAGATATGTTAATTAAGATAACATCATAAATTTGATTATTTTCCAAGGACTTGGATCATTAGTATGCACTCAATAGGAATTGGATAATAAAAACTTTATGAAAAGGTATTCACACTTGAAACAAATATGAATGTGATTTTGTATCTGAAGATTTGTAGCTAATCAATATTGACAATCTGACATCATTTGAATGATTAATTAATAAAATTGACTTGGTAATTGAATAAAAATGAATCAATGAATATTGAAATCCGTGAATTAGTGTAGAATTCTTGCAAATTAATGCATCAACAGAGCTACAGAAATGCTATGCATAATATTGAAAAAATGAAGAACTTATTGATTCAATAAATAAATATTGAAACATATTAAACAATAGCTTGATATAAACAGTATACTTACTCAATACATATGCTTCAGTCATAGGAGATTCTTGTTGTGAACTCTGTGCAGAAACGGTTGACTGAATTGATAAAGTCGTATCAGACTGTGTAGAGAGCAATTCCAAGTCATCCGAAGAATCTTTTGGTATTGAATTACTATTGTAAATCGCACGAGTTCCCATTTTCACTCCTAACCTTCTCGGCAAGCTTGGAGTTCGTACTGACGATCCCTGAATACTTTGCTTAGAACTATCATAATGATTAGGAAGACTCGATGACTTAGCTTTTATTATACTTTTGATATCAAGCTCCTTATTTTTAATATTACACATTTGCTCAGGAAGCCGATACTTATTAACATCATTTTTTTTTGAATTTCCGGTTTTATTAATTGCTGCATATAGCTCTTCAGCAGGATGCTGAATAACAGCCTCTTTCGAAGCATCATAATTATTATTTAAAGGTTTTGATTTAGGAACATCATAAATAATTTGTTGACGATCACAAAGCTTTCCAATGCTCTCATAGTTATTTATAAATATTTTTTCTTCTTTAAATAGTGCCGGATATTGGGTATTTTCTATTTTCTCATTAAAATTCATTTGAGATCGTTCACTCTCATCTTCTGTATCTCTTGAAGCTCCTTCCGGTTCTAGGCGTGCATTCACTTGGGCATACAATGTGTCGTCTTCTTCTTCCGGTGTATAACAAACGGAGTCTTCATTATTTTTCGGCTGCCAATCACTTGAATCTTTCTCAGGATTTTCATTTTCTTTATTTTGATAATCTTCTAAAGTTGTTTTATTACATGTGTCATCATTAATCTTTATTTTTCCAATATTTCCAATCGATATTTTCATTTTACTTATTTTAATCTTTTGTTTGAACGGCGAAGTTACCGAATTTTCCAAGGATAATGGCACTCCAAAGTCTTTTATTAATCCCTGAAGTGACGTAAGCTCCGATCGAAGCTTCAAGAAGAATTGGTGATGCAGAGAAGTGAGCTTAAAAGCATAGTAACTTTTTTTGTGATCCATATTTAGTTTAAACTTCACTCTTTTACCGTTAAACTTAGTGTAAATAACAAGGTTATTTTTACTATAACTCAAAGTTTGGATATCCTTCCATTGCAATTTGATTAATTCCGAAACTTCTCGAAACTGTCCGGCTCTTTTAAATAGTTTAATTCCTTGTCCATAAACACCAAACCATATTTTAGACTCAGATTTTTTTGTTTTACTTTTGTCATCATTATTCTTCTTTAAATCTTTATCAATATCAATAGAATTCATAATTAAAGAATTTTTTGGAACCATATAGACATTTTCTTTACCATTGCTGTTAATTATGTAATCAACTTCTTGATCATTCGGAGCAGAAACAATTGCATTCAAATTGCTGTAATTATCAGAGTTGTAATCGATATTGTTAGCAACAGGATAATCAATGATATTGTCCAATTTACAAGTACTTTCAGTAGCAGAAACACATTTTATACTACACGAAGATGCACTAGCTTTAGGGCAAATATAGCTTTGAGCTTTTTTAAGCCTCTCAATGATTCTTTTCAAAGCTTTTGTTTCAATCGTAGCGATGTAAAGGTGTAATCCGTAATCATCAAGTTCTTGCGCATGTGTAATAAATAATTCTTCAGCAGTATTTGCATCTAAACCTGAAAGAAATAATAATAAACCATTAGTGATGAATAGATTATTGTTTTATATTTAAAAGTAACAATAAAAAAGCTATCAAACCTCGTCTATTTTGATGGGCTCGATGGAGTTGAGTTGTCAAGACATTTATATTGCAGTTCAAGTGTGGTCTCGGTTGATCAGGAGTACTCAGAATCAAAGTTTCCGGGACATAGTGTTCAAGCAAAAAATAATTACCCCGACCGTGTTCATTCTCGTTATAGTTACCAAACTCAGCTTGTAAAGCCAAACCCGTTAAGTTTATAAGTTGAGGTAAAGTACAAACTAATTGCTGTTCCAATATACACCGTCTTATTTGAAGATAAAGTAAGTGTTTTGATATCCAACTTCTAATACCTCTAAGAGACGGTAAGAAGAATCTTTGCCTAAGATATAGCATGAAACTAGTTGGAAGACATAAAGGTCCTTTATTTTTGTCGTTATTTAACCATCCTGGAGGTGCTACTTTGTGTAATTTTATCTCAGGCGGAAGCATAGCAAAGTCCCCAGCTAATAAAGCCGCCAGTCCAAGTGTAAAATTTTCCTCTAATTGTTCCGTTTGAACTATTGATTGAAACAATTCTCCAGCTGTTATTTTCTGACGATCACAGACTACGTCAATCCGCTGTCCAGATAATAAAATTACTACCAGTCTGCCTACATTATTTCCTTTTGCATCTCCCACCGATAATAATTTTGGCGGCTGATTCGCTCTAACCACAAACTCTGGCCCAACACATTGTGTCTTATTATTAAAACAGCGCATTGGTCCACTGAGGGTTCGATATAATCTCGAAGGAGCTCTTTGAATAGGCTTACCACGTCGAGCCCTTGGCCCATTCCTTACAGCATTTCGGGGTGGTTTTGGGGGCGGTGGTGGTGGTGAAGAGCTATTATTCTGAGCATGAAGTACAGCCTGTCCATTGAAATTTGATCCTATTCTCGGTGGCTTTGGTGGAACTGGTTTATGGAGGCCTTGAGGTATTGTGGAAGACTCCGGATTCTGTTGTGTCCGATTTAAATACTGTTTTTGTTGCTGTTGATGACTTGAATGGTCATCGTTACTTCCTACAACATTCCTTAATTCTCTATTCAACTCAGTAGTATTACTTCTCACAAGATTTTGTCTCAGCTCTAGAGAATCTTGATTGACGTTGTGATTATTTGCCGGCAACTCAACATTAGAATACTGTCTTGGTAATTGTGCTTGGTTAAACTGACTTGGGAAGTTATTATTATTATTAATATGCAAGGGATTATGTTCATGTTGATATGGCATGTGTTCGTTTATTTTCACACAGTGGGCGATGCTTGGCTGAGACCAGGTGCAGCATGTTCCAGACCGGGGATTTTCTTTTATAGGAATTGGCTGAGGGTAAACATCCTTCCGTTCAGCTAGTGGATGCCACTTGACAGCCGACAAACCATTGACTCTTACATCTTGCGAACTGAGAAATGGCTTGATTGGAAAGGCATAAATTGGTTCACTATAAACACTACTGCCGCTGATTGAAGGTTTTGTAACATTTCCATTTGTATTATTTTCTTTCTTTATCGGCTCAGCAACGTGATTATCAGCTCTTCCACCAATCAATGGATTTTTTGATGAACACTCGGAATAAATTGGTTGAGAGTTTGTTCGAGAATGACTTACTTGACCATCTAAAAGTATATTTCCAGATTTTATATCGACTTGAGATTGAAATTGAGGCTTTGCGCTTTGCAATATCCGTTGATCTCCTTGAAGCAAGCTCGGAAGATTCGGATGAGATCGTGAATTTCGTGATTGAGTTTTAAAAAGATTTCCTTTTTGATGTTTAGAATAGTGATGGTTTCCTGACAACTGTTGATTATTTTCCGAAAGTGGATTTTGAGGTTGACTTTTGTTCTTAGTTGGATGGTGACGCCGGGGATGATGATAGTAAGGATGTAATTGTCTTACTTGATGTGTTGTAGCCCGTTTTCGTGCTGTGTACTGAGGTGACCTCACCACCTCCCAGTACATATCCATTACAATATGTGTAAATGGTTTTGACAGCAACCGCATGCGACAGTACTCCGATATCACCTGGAATAGACAAATAGAATCGTTCATAAACAATCATTAATAAAAATTAAACGTAATAAATAAACAATCGATGACAGATAGTAATAAATTTCAGATAACAATCTTCATAAATTTATGGTTAAAAATGAATGTATTAAAAGAGACATTTAAAATAAATTATTCACTGTAATGTTTAATATTTTTATCTAGTCAGTGTAATAATTTTACTTGCCAACTCAAAAATGAATTTTAATTTAATTTCAAATGTATTTTATTTAATAACAATTGACTCTGAAAATTAAATAAAAAATCGGTGGTGCAATAAACTGCATGCAACTAAATTATCGTGCAGCAGTTCATGGATATGGTAATTGATAAATGGAATATATTATAAATAGTATCATTAGCACAAGCAAAGGAGAAATAAAAATATCATGACATGAAGTTTTTGGTGAGCAATGAATTTTTTAGTTTAGTATTAAAAAAAAAAAAATTCAATCCAATGAATAAATACAGAATGACAATTCTCATTAATTTTCTAATAATTGATAATTAATTATTAAAATGTCATTTAACCAATGGTTAACCGAAAGCTATATTCAACATTCATTTGAACTGTAATTTAAAAAATTAATTAACTCTATTTACCTTGAAAAGCATTTTACCTCAATCGTACAGGAAATAATTTAGTTTAATGAGAATATTCTGTTTTTGTAATAAGAACAAATATTAAATTAATTATATTTATCATTAAAATGTAATTTTAATGATCATTCTCTAATTAGATAATTAAAGAGAATCGCGGAAATTTTTTATTTTAAAATGACTTCCTTACTCCAAGCTATTTTAGTAATTATTATCGATTAATTTTCATGTCACTTATTGTTCAATAAAACAATAATTTATAAAAAAAAGAATAGAAAAAGTAGAGTACAAAGTTTTCAAATGAAATGTTCATCATCTTCATTATCCTCATTCCACTTGATTATATAAAAATGACACCTTTCATTCAGTGGTAAGTATTTAAATGAATTTAATTGCTTTCATTTAACATTATAATGATGAAGCAATTTGTATAATAATCAATTATTAATTATCGTGTAATTTGAATACTTATGTATTAAACATACATCTAAAAGGTTCATAAGAGAAGCTCGTCGTTGTGGATCTGGTTCAGTCATAGCTGCTAGGACAGATTGAAGAGCAGAAGGAGGTGAAACTGACACAGAGCCTGTCAGAGCAGCAACCCTTGGAGTGGTATCCAATAAAGCTCGACCAAGGGAATACATCCACATCTGTACAGATAAAAATAAAATACATTTTTATTCTACTTTTTATTCGCATATTCATCATGTGTGGCATTGATGGATTGTTTTTTAACCAGCAACAGTAATAGTAAATGTCCTACTGATGCATAAGATTTTTTTTTTTATTTCCATTTTACTTTTATGTTTTTTTTCATCAGCATGTCTTTCATCATCATTTAATTTCTCTACCCGTTTTCTTTTCATTTACATACCTTTTCTGACTCTGTATCTGAATACAATCGACCAGGTCTATATTCTGGAGGCAAATATGCTCGTGCTGTTTCTGGAGGCGCCACTTGCAGGGTTACTCTACCCCTTGGTGTCAGTTCGAGGGTGTGAGGTGTAACCACGGGCCCCGCCCGCGAGCCACTTCCCACAACTCCACTGTCTGTAATAATGGATGAAAGGTGATTATTTTAATCTTGCGTTAACAATACGATTTGTTGCTATATATTTAGACAACAGAGTCAATATTCTGAACCCGTTATTCAAATGTTACTTAAATGAGACTTTTGTCATTCAGTTAACAATGAAATTATTTATTGAACTGGAAGGAATTTGTTTAAATGATAAATCATAGATAGGTCGTTATTTATAAGCTCTGACAAAAGGAATAAAAATAACAAATATTATTTACAATAAACAAATAATGTGGTATGAAGTTTTTCTATTTTTAGAACATAAATTGAAGTTTTATCTAGAATTTTTCTTCATACTTTTTTTTACAACTCTTCATCCCTCAAAAGTGTATTTTAAATTAAAAATAAAAAAAAAATCTGTGATAAAAACATTCTTTTGTCTTGCAAATCAAGTATCTCATAATTTTATAAAATCCATATTTAATGATGATATTAAAAATAAAATATTATTCCTTAATGAGAATAATAAAGAATACATATCATTTGATTTCTTTTAGAATGATAATTTGAAAAAACTTCCTATGAAACATTTTTCAATGTTCATTTAAAAGAATCTTGAGAATTCAGGTAGATATTCTGGATTTATGTTATTATATATGCAATAAATTCAAAAGTTATCTGAAGAAGCTGATGTGACTTGAATATTTTGCATTCTTCTGTTATCAATGCTATAAAAATCATACAGTGAATTCTTTCATTCCAACACAAAAATAAAACCTTCATTTAGTTACCAAGTAAAAACACACAACTTACAATTAGCCTTGCAATAAGTTATTTAATAATAAACCACTGTGAGTCATCGATTGAATGAAGTTCTTAAATTTATTCTCAGAATAATTGTTCTCAAGAACTACAAATAGATATACCTATTGACTTTAACTTCTCTTTAATAGATCTCCGCTATAACTTGCTTATTCAGATTTATTTTAAGAAGCTTATTAAATCAAAGATGATTTTATAGCAGGCAATTACTAATCGTCCAAAAAAAAAAACAACAATTCCTCTTAGCAGGCTATCAAATACTTGGTGGGATTGTCATGAGAATAAAAGCTGCCTTAATCAACCTTTAATCTCAAACTCTTGAAGATAATTTATCCACTGATTTTTTATCATGTAACCAACACTGAACTCTAAAGTAAGAATAAACTCACTTAATAATAATGACAGCTCATTGACATAAATTCAGAACTCGTTGACATATTGATGCCAAGGAGACTGGAGAGATGCTTTTGAAGAGGTGATATTAGGTATTTTAATTAAAAAATTTCGAGCCTCCCAATTGCACAATATATTATTTCAGTCTCTCATCATCTCATATAATTACATCACAAATGCATCGACCAGGTGATTATTCCCCTCTTGTTGATTTTTCTAGCTCAACATGATAATTCTTTAGATTTTAATTAAAATTTAAATTATTCAAGGGCATACAATTTTCACTAATGACATTAATTGAATTAGCTTGAATGTCACGTATTTATTGTGATAATAGGAATGTGCTGAGGAATGTATTCTCATAGACAAGTCGAATTGGAGCAATCCTTTACTTGATATAGAGGACATGGACTATGTACGTTCCTCAGGCATTGAGTAAACCTCATATGTTGGAATTACCACCTTTTCTCATACCTCCATCCACTTCCATGCTTTTCTATTTCATTTTATGTGAAGATTTTCACTGGCTATTTATATACCCTGTTTAAACAGAGTCCTTTAATCCTGTGGATAAACACTGCTTCAATAAAACATTTTTTTACGAGTATTTAGAAAAATAAAAAAATAAAAAATACAGTAAATAAAATTTTTAATTATAAAATACTTGGATTAAAAATAAACGTCATTTTGGATTTTCTGTAATCCTAGAATAAGAGACCCTAAGGTCTTCTAGAGAAGGTACCTTCTGTTTCTTCAATTCCTTGGAGAATAAGCACTCTTCCAGGCTTATGTTGGAATAAATTTATCACATGAGCTTGAGACAAGTATACCAAAAGTAGTTTATATTAACCAACTTAGATATGAAGACAATCTATCTTATTCATGAGAATTTTGAAGTTTACTTCATCATTTATTATGTTGAATAAATTTCCTAGTATTGTAATAAATTGCATCTTCAATGAAGTATAGAAAAAGTAAAATAAGTATTTCCTGGAGATACAACAAGAATCAAAACTTTTTCAACAACTGACCTATCACTGACAGGATATTTTATTATGTACAACAATACATGTTTACCAGAACCCATTAGATGATGAATACATCTTGATACTATCTAGGATGAAGTTTTATAAGAAAGAAAAATATTTGTAAAGTTGTCAACTTTTATTACATTATCTAGGTATCTTTTTAAAATCAAATTTAACTTCATTGAGGAAAAATTCTACCTGCCTCTAATACCCAAATTATCCTGATCATTGATCTCCTTGATTGCCTTGGTCAACAGCTAGGAGCCCTAGATATTAGTTGAAGGAGATTGCTTGATCAGAGGGTTTCACTCTTGGAAAAATGTTTTGACAAGCATCAATTCATTTCATTATGATATCATGAAAGTTAAGATCGATAGGTTATGACGTTAATGTATTCAGTCAAATATTTTTGAAATATTGATCGTATCAATATGCCATTATCTTGAGTTAAGTTCTTTATTGGTATATCAATGAAAAAAAAACAATGTTAATTGAAGATTGAAAAATAATAATCTATAAGATTCTAAAATATATAAATAAATAATGTAAAAATTATTTTAGAAAAAAATTTAATTCAATCATTTCTTTTTTATCATATCTTCACTATTAATTTTTTCCACGTCACATTTTTTTCAATCTACTCCCAATTAAAAATCTTCGTGCAGTAAAAATATGTCATTCAATTAAATTGGGGTTTAAAATATATTTATTTCTATTTTTTACTCGTTTTATAAACACTAATATAAAGCTTGAAAAATTTACATTTGCTATTTTTTCTCAATAAAAGATACAAATCAATTGAAAAAAAAAAATTACTCTTAATTGTTGTAACAAAAAAAAATTGTTATCGATACCTATCATATTGATATTATTGATTAAATTAAATTTTAATAATGAAATAATTATATATTGTATTATTACTTTAAAACCAATATGCTTATTAATTTTGATTGGAAATGTAGTAAAGTCTACCCCAATCTTCTATTTCATTCAAAGCTATTTCTTACTTGAAAACATAAATTTAATTGGCTCCCAATATTTATTCAATATATTCAATTAAATATAAAATAAATCTTAAAGTCAAAATGTGGATGAAATTTTTATTCAATTTAAAATAAATAAGCTATTGAGTACTAGAACAATTATTAAAAATAAAAATAATCAATAAATCTATTTATTTCTACATAAATTCGTTTTTTTTTTTTTTTATATTAATTTCATCAAGCAATAATTTGTAATGCCTTCAAAGAGGTAGATTAGTATTTAAAATAATTTATGCATTCATATAGTCAGGTAATGAATTTACTAATCCACATATTGAAAACTATTCTATAACTCTTTGATATAATTTATTGAATAATTAACAAGCAATCAATCATCGATAAAAGTAATTTTAAACTAATTATATATCAAGTATAAGAATAATTATTTTTCAAAAAAAAAAATAATTTGATAATAAAGGTTATTCATAATGAATGTTTTAATTATTCCAGGTCATTATCTAAATAAAGATTACATAAATTTCAAGAGAATCTTTTGCTTGATTAATAATCAACGTGGCTTATAGCTAAAGCAAATATTTTCATTATTTTATTCCTTAATTATGAATTATATTTTATAAAAAAGAGCTTGAGTTTTAGCTTCATTAAAATGGCGTTGACATCAAAGCTATCAAGAATAAAGAATATGAAACACATCACAAGACCTAAAGAAAGATCATGACAAAAGGTAATTTTTTAATTTGTCATGACGTTGGAAACCTCATTGGTTCGTTGATATAACAATAAAATAACCTTTTTAAAGCAAAGAAATCTTAACAATACGTCATGAAATGTTAAAGAGACTTTTCAATTATAAATAATCCAGAAATGGTTGAATCATGTTCTTGGTTGTGGTTTAAAAAATATATATAGAAGCTTGCTGAAGCTCTAACATTATTCATGGTTAAGTGTATATTGGAAGATGTTTATAAAATGTGTTAGGTACATACTGGAGAGAAAGAGATCCTGGAGGGCCTGGGCAGCTTGGCAGAGTAAAGCCCATGTTTCTGCGGCGACGAGGCCGGTTCCTCTCAAAGCAAGAACATCTCCTGCTGAAACCGGCAATGTAGGACTTTCTGTTGTCTCCTTTGACATTCTAAAAATAAAAGATGATAAAATGTAGATTATATTGATCTCAAATCTCTCATATTTAGATTTATTTTATTTATTATTGAAGGATTAAAATTTTAATTAAACTGAAGAAGTAGATTTATAATAAAAAATAAAAGTACTAGAAAAATAATTAATTGATTTTTTTAGTTTGAATTCTCTTGACATTTTCCATTATATTCACATTGATAAGCATAACTATTATTATTATTATCAAGTGTTATATTATTTATCATGATGATTAATCAAATGAAGTTATTAAAAATTTGTAGAACTTTTTGGCAAAGGTCCAGGCATGAAGTTGGAGATGATTAATAAGTGACATTAATTTTTAGGAACGCTACTGACTCTTGTTAAATATTAACTAATTTTTGAATTAATTAATAATGTTGATTAATTCAAACAGAATCAATTGTGTAGTATTTTGATGAGTGCAACGAATTATAAATTAACCATCTGTTCAACTCATTTAATACCTGAATTTATGACTACTCTACACATTGTTGCTCAATTATTCCAATAAATATTTATTCATAAACCCAACTCATTATTCAGCTAAATATAGTTTTTAAAGTAAAAATAATCCGCAAATAATTAAGTAAAAATAGTTCCAATTAACGATGGATTATGAATAAGAATTAGCAAGATAAAAAAAAAGTTTTATAACTGAATGTAGAATGACTGTAATAAGTGGTGTGGAACTTATTATTTTCTCCTGGATGGAGTTACTGATTGAGAATAAAGTGATAAGTGTTGAGAAGTTGAGAATTTAAATCTATAGAATGAAGCACATTTCCATTGGAATTAGATTAACGCTCTTAACTGATTGATGCTCGATGCAGCAATGACCTATAGCTGCTAACCTTAATTCAGTCCAGTGCCAGAGACGAATGATTTTCAACTACTCAAAGTGGTGATGTGCCAATCTTCCTCCAACAAGCCTAATCAATTTACTGTCCGTTCAGCATGATAAATCGACTTTTAACACCAATTTTTCAACCATTTGATTTTCATCTAGTACTTTTTTACTCTGTGTGCTATCATATTATCTATTAATGTTGCAATAAAGCTTTCTTTTTAAACATTATTGTTAAAATCAGTGGCAATAATTATTATGAATAGATGAAACTAGAAATATATCATTAAGACTTAAATAAATGAAAAAAAAGACAAGTTAGGATGTATAAGTTTCAGTCAGTCTTAGCTTAGCTCCAGGATATCAATAATAAAAGCCTGCATTCTCTATGTATTATTAGTTTTATAAATTGGTTAATTATTTTGTTAAAACTAACTACCTTTATCATTCAACAATTATATTTATATTAAAGATAATAAATAATAATAAATAATAATAATAAAGAAATTTTTTATCTATTATTTTTTGTCATTGATAAAAAAAATTAATTATTATTATTATTCAAGCATTTCAGTTTAATTTTTAAGTCATCCAGTATTCTTATGAATAATGTAAAGGATTTGTTTTTGTTTGTTAAGCTTATAAATGACTCACGAATGTATAAAATTAAATGAAAACCTTCAGTATAAGTAAAAAAGATAAAAACACTGTTGAACATGATGTAAAAAAGTAACCTTCACATTTAAGTTGGTTTAATTACCGAGAGGCTCTTTAATTTTTCTAATTAGCAAGGTTTTTTTTTTAAAGTGAATTTTCTTTAGGTATGATTAACAACAGGTAAATTTTATTTATAATTATGTTAAGTAAACCAGCGAATATTTAATACTTGAAATAATTCATGATATAATCAGCAAATTTATCTCATATTGAATGAAAGTAAATAAATAAATACTCAGAGAACCTATTAATAATACTACACTTTATATGTAGGTTGTTGTCACAAATAAATTTTATAGTCACAGCTTATTCAAATGTTTAATAAATGTTTATCAATTACTAATATCACTATTTCGAACTCTGGTATTTATTGGAAAATCATTAATGGAATCCAAATTTTTAATAATGAATTCAATAAAGTAACTTAAAAATATTTACTACTTTATTTAAGTGATTTATTATCTCTTTCTCATTTTATTTCATTCATTATGAATTTAAAAAAAATAATTCACTTAAGATAAGAGACTCTATACTCGATCAGAGTCTAGAAGCCGATCAACATTAATTTTATGGCTTTTTATCACATTATAAAATATAAAACCCTTAATTAAAAATTATTTATAAATATTATTAAGTGTATTTTGATCATGTCACTAAATATCGGTATTTTAATTGAACTATTTTGTGTGGCATTAAGCAAATTTACTTGTTACCATGAGTATTTTATTAAGTGTACTCAATTTCATACTCATAAAGATTGGCTAGACGAGCATTATTATTACTGTAATTATTTTCAATACTGTCTATAATTAAAAATACATTTGAAAACGTTAACTATCTTTTTTTTTATTCACTAGACTATTTTCATTACCCAGTGAAAAAAATTTTTTTGACATTATTTTATAATTCATTTTGGTTCATTTTCTACACAGAATAAATTTTGGTGTAAAAATTATCCTACTTTAAAATAAAAAATCTATCACGGTCATTGTGTCGCACAGTTACTCTACTGTAAATAGAGTAAATCAGTACTCGACAAAAGTATTTTCTTCAGTAATATTTTTTGGGTACAATTATGGAATATATGAAAAATTTTATTTTGAAATTGATTGTAAAGTAAAATATGATCGTGAATAAGAAATTCTAGATTAGAAAATAATGGAAAAAATTTAAAATTTCAATTACCCAATACTCGTCAATCTGTAATTGAAATATTTAAAGTATCGAATTTTTATTTTTTTTCTAATTAAAAATTCCTCATTTCAGAATATTTATTATTTTATACTTTGTAATTATTAATTTAGTAATAATCCGGGATTAAAAAATTTCATTTTTTTTATACTCAACACTGAGGTAAATTTTATATCATATTTTAAGATAATTTTTACGCAAAAATATTTTTTGTGTTGGTTCTTTAAAAAATAGTAATTGAATGCTTGGTCTATTTTACATGACAATATTTTTTCCATTTTATCAGATTATTTTTGTAACACTTCCCTCAAATAATCGATTAATCTGTGGCGCAAAAAAATTTCATCAAACATTCAATGTACAACCACAGCTAAATAAAAAGGATGTGATCAGTACTTGAGTTTCAAGTGTAATACAGGCAACTACCGTAATATACTCGATAAAATATTCAAACTATGTAATTGCCATGATCATCATTCCACTAGATATATGAACCTTGACTCACGATAATTTTCAGTTCACTAATACATGATAATCGTAAACCTATCACTAGTTATACTCCTATTATTGAGCCATGCAATATTCAAGTGATAAACATCAATGTTAAAACCGACAAACGTACCTATTAAAGCACCACATGTGTGTTACTTTTATTCGTACTTTTTTATTGAAATTTTTTAATTGCTAAAAATAATTTACCAATATCAAATCTAATAATTTTCAATAAATAACAAAACTATCTACACATGTATTATTACCAAAAATTACACTGAATTTATTTCATTATTTTTTTTTTTTTTAATTTCCAGACGATTTATCAGATTAAAAATATGAATCTTAAGCTTCCTTTTTTAACAAAGCATTTATATTTTCGTTCAAAGAAGTGAAAAATTTATCTTTCCAAGTATTTAATACATCAAAGAGATATCATTTTAAATGATATTAAAGAGAGAATATTTTGTTTCACTATTTCATACATCATATCATTCATTATTAAAAACATTTATCTTTAATTTATAAATTATTCTAATTAAACTAACAACTCATGTAATATTTTAATACTGATTATCGATAATTATCATCTCTATTACATAATAATTAATTATATAATTGTTTTAAAATTATTTCATACAAAATAAATCATCCGTTAATTATTTATATTATTTATTTTTATTAAAATGAATAAAAAATTTGAAAAAATAAATGTTTTTAACGCATAAATATTTACTTAATCTCTTGGAAATTTCATCGCATTTGCAGCCGACTGTAAAGTTAAAATCTATAGAGATTTAAGTTTCATATAAAAACAATGGTCAAATACATTTCATTGTAATTTCCACTCTTATGAGCAAGGATTATAAAAGGACGAAAAAAAAGGGTTGGATAATATATTAAAATGATTTGAAATAATAATAATGATTGAATTAATTATTATAATGACAGTTTAAACATTCTCTCACGGTCGGACATGATGACATCGTTATCATTCAAATTCGAATTATTCAACGTGTAATAGCCAAATCGTGATAGCAACTTCGTGTGTGGCATCAGATGGTAGACATAATTGTGTGTTTGTGGTAAGTTGTGGTTTTAATTATCAATAGATGATCTACTAAAATGAGTTAATTATTTATTAAATGTTATAATGAATCATTTAAAACTATTTATGATGGATTGAACTAATTATTTAGTTTTAATCATTCATCATAATTTATCTACTAATATTTTTCAACTAAAAATTATCAAACTTTTAATCAGTTTAATTAAATTCAACATTGTTTATGTCAAGATTGAATAAATATTATTTATAAATTTTGTGCTACAAATATTTAGTTTGAGACTTTTATATTAAAATCGATCATTTGAAATGTCACGAGTTGAGTTTAAACTCCAAGTGGGTATTTCTAATTTTAAAAGAAATTTATTTAACATGAATGGATCTAAATAAAGCTTCGAAATGTATCTAAAAAAAAAAATTTACGAGTTTATTTTGGATGATTTGAGTTGAAATCTCACCAGATCTATATTACTTTAGGATATATACATATATTGAAAGGAAGTTTTGAATCAATATCCATTCAATAGTCTTCAAGATATCGTCTGATAAAATCTTGTCGTTTACATACGTTTCCCTAGTCTCATATCCATCCATGAAATTCATTCTGAAACTAAAATATCAGTGTCAAATATAACTATAATCAAATTTAAATTCTTCAATAAAAAATATTTTTTATTTTTATAGTTTGGAGTTTTTATTAAAAAAAAAAAAAAAATAGCTAAATGGTTACTATCGACTTTTGCAATCACGTATAATGCAGCCACTTTATCTAGACGATTACAGCAGCGGCAAAACACAAAGATCAAATAAATACAATCTCTAGTTTTTACACCATTAGAATAACTCTTCGGTTTTTCCCTTCATCGGTCTAAGAGGCAAAAAAATCGGAAAAAATAAGGAGAGATTTAAAGATTAGAGTAAGGTATGCATGTAATCCTTGAAAAATCTAACAATGCATACAAGAATTTGCACAGAACTGCACATAAAAATATTTCATATAATTTTGTTTAATTAAATTATCTTAAATGTGATGAAATTATTTCAACATTAAATAACTTATTCATTTAAAAATCACAGAATTTGATTGCTCTATTTTTGACATAAAAAAATATTAATCAATCCAATTCGAATCTTAGTGTTTTTGTTCAATGCACTTTTAAGTGTCTACATATGACGTCCTTGATTTAATTAAAATTTTAGTCACTTTTAATGCACTTGAAAATGTTTAAAAATTAATCATGTTAATCAAATAGGTGAAGTTATATTTCAACATGGGTAGTGCATTAAAATAAAATACTTTTAAATGTGTGATTTTCGGTGTTGATTTAAATAAAATAATAATAAATCATCCCCAACCAATAAATAACTCGTTTTAATCTGGTCTCAATTTCTTCAACCATCACAACTAATCTATAATCCAATTATCCATTTATTTATTATGTCCTCGCAACTTTGTAATCAGTGAAAATAAATAATTCGAGTTTCTTTTATTTATTCGGAATTTTAGTTACACTTTATGTTCAATAAATCACTAATTATTGATTATTGGCTAAAAGTTAAGTTCTAAGTGGAAAAGTATATTTTCAACAGCTCGAAACAGAGACCAACTTCTTCAGAAATGGAGAAAAAAAAAATTTTACTTCCGATGTTAAAGACTTGGCCGCAAATGACACGAAATTGGATGTAATTCAAAGTTTGTAAATAAGGTAAGTAACGTGAAATATAAATATATATTCAATTTTCTATTTTTCCACTCGATTTTTTTCTGTAACCAAGTGGATAATTTATCAGCAAATAAACCAGGTGACTACGTTTTTTCTAAGAAAGTCGTCTTTTCTAGGAATCAGCAATACCCTAACGAAAAGTTTCATCAAAATATTGCAAAGTCATCTTTTTCGTACATGTTCGAATCAATACTTTTTTTCTCTATCGTTATAACGACACTTTTCAGGCGAATATTGGTCGACCACAGACGATTAATATCAGAAAAAATTATCCAATTAATTTGATAAATAATCCTAGATATTATATTATTATTATTAATATTAAAAAATAATATAATGTTGTTTGATTTCGATAATTGTAAATTGAATAATAAATTTGATATCTAGTATCTGTAAATAAACTTGAAATCTATCATACAATTATAAGCTAAAAAAAAATTTCTCATTTCCTATAATTTTCTAGTTGTTTCCATTATCTTGTTTCCAATCAGAAAATGGCGTAATCAAGAGAATGAATATTTTAATTGAAAAATAATATTTATATTTTGGAAAGAGTTTTTTTTAAATAATTGCCATTATTTAAAAAAATTAAATTAATTTACTGGATTTTTTTAAAAATAAATATTTAATTAAAATGTTTTAATTTAATGGAAATGAAGAATTACCTGTTTATGATGAGAAAAAAATAGCATGTGAAAATAAAATAAAAATTTATATAAATAGTTTCAGCATTTTTCAAATCAAATTAAATGATTTTCGCTAGTAAAAGAGTGAATAAAATTATCAGAAAAGGTTTACGACATTCAGAGATAGTTTATTTCATCATTTCTGATGCTTATGAATATTTTGACAGGTCTTAAGACCTTTTATTTTGTTTCACGTGATTTTTTTTTATTTTTAAATATTCGTTCATATCACGTTTAAAACTTCAGTTCCATTACTTCTAAGAACACTTTCTAAGACACCATTATTAAAAAAACAAACAAAACATCAATTTAATCAAAATTAAAATAATCAAGCACGCTAAGAATATACATTTTTTTAATAAATTATTTTTTAATTATTTTAAGTAACCAATAAAAAATATTCCATTACGACTATTAAAAATTCTGATTTTATTAATTGAAAAACAAAATTAATTATTAAGAATAAATTATTTTTTCTCAGTACAGTAAGATGATTTGTTGAATAAAATCTTTGAAAAAGGAGCATTCACCTTTGGAAGTAAAAAAAAAAAAACGAAAAAAAAACCTGTAGAGAGATTGAGATGAATGAAAGCTTAGCAAATAAAATAAATGACATATATTTGCATAGACATACACACAGACACACAGCTGCACCTACCTTATACGTCATCAAGGGGTTCATTGTCACGCGGAGGTACTCTCGCGTTGATAATCTCATGGGTGAGGGAAATCGAACTCGCCTGTCCACCAGGTAAATAATAAACCAGGCATGATACTCCAACAAGGAATAAAAAAAATAAAAATACAAGATCGAACATCAAGAGAGAGTTCAATATCATTAACTGCATTGTGTATGTTGGTTATTTCGTTAATCTACTTCTTTACAAATATTCTACTATAATTTATCTATTTTTTATCTCCCATTATTTCACATTTTGAAGCTCATTTAATCCATTGTATTTCTTAGACAATAAAAAACAAAACAAAATATACATTTATTAATTCCTTTGTCGCGAACAATGATATAGCCGATTAGTTCAATGAAAATGTGATTATCACAAATATTTGGTATTGTTAATTAATCAAGTGGAAATGAATAGCGTGATGTAATTCAGAAATTTAATTGGAGCCGAGGAAATGGGTGAATGATACCTATATACACTTATAGATATAGATATACATCAATAATATTACATACAGTCAAACGCAACAGGAGAACGTAATTTGATTTTGATTCAATGTGTATTCAAGCATGTAAAATATATCGCGGTTATAAGATGAGTAGCCAGCGTAAGCATATATTCCTGTCACAAACATTTCCGTCTAAGTAGGACCGTTTATCAATTTATTATTCCCACGAAAGACTAATTCATTACTTTAAACTCTCTATAAAATTACATTAACATCTTTCCCAAAATTAATTGGCTAAAAATTCGACAATTTAATTAATTAATCAATTTATTTATTTTTTTTCACAACATTAATGAATAAATTAATTGGAATATTTTTGATAAATATTTTAAAATAATGTTGATAATTATTACATATTTGTGAAGATGTTGTTGTGTTAATTAGTCACTGATAAAAAATAAATAAAATACTGATAACATCAATGACTAGTGTGAAATAATTTTGAAAGTAACATCGGAGTAAATAAAGTCTCATGGGGGTGTACTTTTCTAATAAACGTGTGGTCTATTTCACTGTCAGAGAAATACTGAAGCAATGAGTTTGACGTAGTGCACGTTCGGTCGTTTCTCTTTGGATTCCACCCCTTGCATATCCACCCTACCCCTTCGGCTTCTCGAGAGTCTAGATTCTCATCCACCCACTCGTGCTCTCACGTCAAACGCGCATCCACCAACGCAACAGTTGCGCGCCCAGCCCTACGCGTCCATTACCGATCTTATACCCTCTATATTCTATAATGCTTTATATATAATGATACCACCCTCAAGCTTCCATTTATTTACACGATTCGAAACGTCCTCGTGATACTTTAACTCGTAGTTTAAAACCAATAAAAGTTTGTCTCTGTAAATATAGTTATAGTAGCCATACCCTTTATCCCATTTGTATCATCAGAACTGTGAGGATAAAAGTTTTTTCCCGAAATTTGCGATAACTAAAATTACATTACCGGTGATGGAACGTTTCAAATATCTACAACAATTCAATTTCAAGAAGTATGTTCTTTCTTTTAAAATAAAATATCTTTTATTTCACTTCTTTTTTTCTGAACAATAATGTCAAAATAATATCATGTAAGTTTATTGGAAAAATTGTAATGTTCAATGTAATATGTAACGGCCTTTATGTATTCATGAACCAGATGTGAGTCTCTAGACTCTTCAGAGATTACAGCTACAATTTCCCGCCTTTCATATTTTTTACATATTTCTAGTAGTCTGGAGATCATTTGATCAGACATTTCTTCAACGTTTTTGATCAACGATTTAAAGATCTTTTTTTATTTTTTTGGTTGACAGTTTGATGGTTGAATGGATTTAATTGTTTTAAAAATGTCGTAAAATAGGTATTGAGCAAATGGGTTTGTTGATAAATTGAAAGTTTAAAGACACGAGGGGTCAAGTGGACTATTTCATCATATTGTAAAATAATGGTACGAGAAATTATTAAAAGGAACGAAAAGTTTATTTAAAATGACAGTGAAGATTTTATAATTGAGACAAATGTCTGATGTGCAATCCAACATCAACAAATCGTTCAAGCGTTGCTTACAACAAAATTTGTCGTTTGTCAATCATTATATAGATGGAGATATACAATTATTATATAATATTATAAAAAATCTTGAAATATTTTTTCAAGTAAAATAGTAATGAGGTAATAATAGGATAGTAGTTATATATTTTTTAGATTAAAGAGTAAATTATTATTTTCTAAGTTTCTATTTTTTTTTATAGTCTTAAAAATTACAAAAAAAGGAAAATGAAATTTAATATAAGAAATACTTCAAGATTTCTCAATCGGAGCATCGATGCTCAATCACGAGAATTTTCAGTTTGTTGATATTGAATATTTCAGTCAACCAATGAAAGTTCAATCATTTGATTTCAAACTCCGATAGGTTGTAAAAATTTTTCAATTGATGGATGAATTAATCAGTTACCATTTGACTCAAATTTATGATATTTCAACAATTCAAGTACATCGAAATATATAAAAATCCATTTTTTATTTATCTTTATAACAAATTTTCGTAATTTCATCGAAATTTTTCATGTAATATTTGGCATACATTTTAACATAAAAAAAAATAGTCCCAGTTGTTAATTAAAAATAATAAAATAATTTAACGTTACAATACACAACCCACTACTCCAAAGAATAATTCAATTTTAAATTAAAAAATTGTCAGTGAATTTTTTTTTCCATGTCTTCCAAAGTGCAATCATTTAAATTGGTCCATTAAAGTCTAATTATTAAACAAAGAAAGAAGAAACTTTAATCAAATTTTTGGTTTAAAAGAAAAATCTGTCCTACATTAGACGTTAATTAAAATAAAAAAAATTATTTATTATCAGTTAATAAATTTCTGTTGAGGAGATTTTATTTATGTTGGCTATAAATAAGATCGTAATTCAGTTCAACAAGCTATCAGAAATGATGTGGCTATAAATTATTTTTAAGTTGAATTCTTGATAGTATTTTCTTTAAGTACTATTTTAAATGCATTTATTTGGTATAAATCAAAACCAATATTTTCCTTGCCCCCCACCCCCTACCCACTCTTCAATAGTTATTGAACTAAATTTCTTATAAACTTTATGAAAAATTTATTTAACATAATCCTCCATCTTAAGATCTTTCAGATTCTTATTCAATACACCCTAGAGCAGTTTGAAATAAATTGTATTTAAAAACGAACTCGTTCGTTGGATTTATAGAAAATTGAATAGGAAAAAAAAGATGATATATTTTGGAATTACTAGAAAACGTCATGACCAGCTGGACTAAAATCTAATCAGTTCAAAACGACTTTTATTCGAACATATCGAGAAGTAAGTTAAGAAACGAAATTCATTTAACCAAGTCAGTTGATGTCATTGATGAAGAATTTGTTGGAGAACATGTAGATAACGAATTTTATTTAACGAAATCCTGAAGAAAAGTTGGATTCATTCAAACCCATTCAAAGGTCAATCGATATGATTTGAGGTTACATAAAGTTTAAAGTTGAAATGGTGAACAAAGTCTGTCAAACAATTCTCTCAACTTATAATTCTGAGAGTAACCCTCGAGTTTCCCTAGTAACTCATAACTTGTTTATTCTTCTTCTTATTTAGATTTTATTAAAAATATATCCATTTGTACGATAAAAAATATCCTTTTGCCTTAAACTTTGTTAAATTTAATAAACTGTGAACAATATTACCAGAAAGTTCACTTTTTGGCAAAGAAGAAAGTTGTCAATTGGAAGCTATTTAAAATGTATTCTTTATTATTATACTTACAGATTCAGTAAGAGAATTCTAAATGATAACTTTCTCCTTTAAATATCAGTTGCACATGAAATGCTCTTTTCAGCAGGTATTAAAAGGGAAGGGTAATTTATTCTGCATTAAGAACAAGCAGAGGATCATTAGAAAGGAATCAAAAAATATATATGTTAAATCAAAGAAATGAATGTAATTAAAAAAATCGTTGCTGTTTTTAAGAACTCATTTTATCAACATAATAGTAGTCTCTTTTTAATTATGGAATTAAAAAAAAAAATTGGGATTATAATTATCAACAAATATATTATAAAAAAATTAAAAGTTATTTTTAACAATATTATTTGAAAGTATTTTGTTTTAATGAAACAATTCTCACTCATTTTAATGACAATCTAATAAATACTGGAGCAATTATGAAATATCAACTAAATAATTGCAATTATAAAGACTGTATATAGAAATTGAAATTGTGTTAGTATTATTTTTTTTAAATGAGTATGAATTGTGTATAGTATTCATTCAAAGTTTGAGTTACACATTTTCAACTTCTTGTTATACTTATTGAAAAGAGGAAAGTTACTTTTGCTATGAATTTTAATATAAAATGAAAATATATTTAGAGTTATAAATTATCAAAAATATGCATTAAAATATTATATGAAAATAAAAATAATATTTCCTAGGTGATATTATAGATGAAAAAAAAATAAATGATTAAAATAACTCGATAAATTTTTCTTTAAACATTAACGAGAATTTTAAATTCACTTATCATTGGAGAACAAAAAAATGAATGAAAAAGAAAAAAAAGCATCTTGAAGTGAAGAATTTTATTGAACGTTTTGAATGAAATACTTTCTTAAGCTTAAGAAATTCTTCCTTCTTAAAGAATTATCTAGAATAAAAAAAAAAAACCATAAAATTTTTTTTCTTCATAAAAAATTATCGCACAATGAGTAAAACTTTAATAAACAATTTTCAATTAAATGAAGTATATAAGCAGTTATATAATTCACTTCAATTATGAAGTTTTCTCAATACTTATTTTTTCGCCAAATTATAAAACTTCTTTCATATTGATATTTAATTTATTGCCAAGTAAACTTTGAAAAATTAAATTAATAGTAAAATCTATAATTGAATATTTTTTTTCTATCAATATTTTTATTTTCCAATCAAATTATTTTTCTTTCTATTTATCAATATCAAAACAGTCTTCTGCTTGATTACTCACATTTTTTTATTGCATCATACATCAAAAGGATTTCCAAAAAAGATTTTCACTTAGAAATTTATCAATCAATCCATCCCACTACTCTTGTGGCATGCACGCTATTTCGATCAATAATTTATTATTAAATATCAATAACTTTATTTAAAAAAGAAAGTTGTGAATAAATAATTTGATAAAGTATCATCTTTAATCATAACAACTCAAAGGATTTAAACTATTTGAATAGAGAATCCTTGCAATTCTACGGGCCACAGATGGTATGGACTGTCTAGATAATCGATCACCGATAGAATTTATGCTTATCTACTGACTACAGGAGCATTATTTGTACTGATGTTTACTGCATACAAATCGCAAAATCATGTCTTTAGATAGTAAACCACGCGTGTAATCTCAACTATTGGATGTTACATTGAGACGACAACGAGATTTTATTTCAAATATATCTAAAGTCTTGCGGAAGATATTATTTCATTCAAAAATTCTCTAAATAGAAAAATATTTCCTTGCTACTTTTTCTCCTATTCTTATATTCACTGTGATATCATGGAGAGAATTTATTTCACCATCAAAGCAGTATAATAAATTTATTCAAAGATTTTTTAGAGTTTTCATTCAAAAAAAAACATTCGTAATTTATTTTATATGTATTTATTTTGATTAATATTTTTTTTTTTATACTCTAGACTACTGAATTTGACTTCTGAATGAAGAATAAAAATTTTTTATCTTAAATAAACCATGGAAAAAAAATTAGCTTGTTCTTAAAGTCGTGTCAGAAATCAGAAAAAAAAACAATAGGGGTTGATATAAGGGTGGTTTCCGGATTTAGTAGAGAGTCATAATTTTTTGCTCACTCTCTTGAACCTGAATAAAAATATATTCAAAAAAAAAAAAAATAGTCTACTTTTTTTCAACATCATAATTTCAACATTTTTGATTAAAAAATATTCTAAAATAGTTATCATTACTCTTCACATTTTTTAAATTTTTTTCTTATTTAAATTGAAATTAATTGAAAAAAATTCTATTTTTAGTAGCAAAGATAACAGATGTGTTCCAGAATAATTTATTAAAAAGTCGTCTAGCACTGCTATGGAGTCTATAATAGGCTTACAAACCATTAAAGAAACCTTTTTAAACAAACTCACAGAAGGTAAGCAGAAACTATCGTTTCTCTAAACTCTGAAAGACAACACACAAGTTGCCCGTCATGCAGTGCGATAACTTCATACTTGCGGATGAGGTAAGTACTCTACTTGATACTGATAGAATCACGAATTAACCTCAGAGTGACACTTCATTTTAGTACCTCCATCCCGCACAGTCGACAGGTCAACAACACTTTAATCCAACTTTTTATACTTTTGTATATTGACACAGTGATTTTTTTTCACGAGACACTTCAATTATTTTTTTTTTTTTTACACTCTCCAAATAAATTTAATGGGTAAAAATAATCTTTAAAAAATCAGTAAATTCTGATAAAAATAAAGTGTAATTAATTTTAATTATACTTAACTAAGAAAATAGTATTTAAGATAATGATGAGTAAATGAATTTAAAAGAATATTTTTCCATCATAAAAATAATGATATTTAAGAGAATATTTTTTAATATCTTGTTTCAAAGAACAATCAAGAAAGCAGCTAAATTACTTAATAAATTAATTATAAAGTTTTAAAACACTTAAGAAATGAAAAAATAATTTTTTTCTACAGTAATACCAAGTATTATCAATGTCCTAACACTAACATAAAAAATCCATACAATTTAAGTGCCCCAGGTGCATAATTCTAAAGTTAAAGTAACCTTGTTACAACCATAAATCCACGAGTAACAAATATAATTACACATTAGAATAATCCCATATTTCACAATTCAAATAGAAAACCCTGACAGCTAGAAAAAATAGATTTAAAAGTATAATTGAATTTTTCTGTTCAATATTCAATCTTTTCTAGATAATGTAGAGACAAAATCATGAAGAAGCGAGATCGTCCAGAGAAAGGAGGAGATAAGAAATGCAAAGAAAAATTGGAAACTGTAGATGAGGAGAAAAACTTAAATCAAGGCTTTGGAGACTGGTTAAGATCAAGTGATGGTGTGGAAATGATGAGACTTTTTGTAATAGCTAATTCACTCGTTGCTTTTATCACAATTGGATGGCCTAATATGCAGCATGTATGGACTATCTTAAGAGATTATATAATGGGAGATGAAGAGGAGTAAATAGCATTAAATGTTCTATTTTCTACTCCTAAATCTTGTCATTTAGAACTTGAATTATACAGTGCTTAATAACAGTGTTTAATACAATATGACAGTTTTCAATTTTATTTAAAATATGATAAAGTGTCTCATCTTAGACGGATATTGCATTCACTTCTTGTTTCTTGCTGGACGAGTATCGATTTTCGAAGCACTTGCTGTTGGCTGCAAGTAATCGTGTTACTTCAATGGATTTTCCTCAATTTCATTGCACCTTACAACTGAGAGTGTCAAAATGCTCGTCTAAAGGTACTTGGGAAGTAAACTAGACATTTATTATAAAGGGAAAAACTTCAACCAAGAAGAAAGGAAGAAAGTAAGTGAGCTTGTGGAAAAAGAGAAACAAATAAAATTTCACAATGATCGCTCTCGTGATCCGAGGTTTTGTTTTAGTTGGAGTTCTTGGTTGGTATAGTGCCAGTGTTTGGAAAATGATTGATGGATACTTCAAAGATAAATTTGATAAGTACTTGCAGGAAGAGTACGTTAAAAATCCACTGATGAAAAAAAATCTACAAGAAAGACAGACTACTTTAAATGATAAATCAATTAATCAATTAAATGAACATCCAATTGATCCAATTACCATCAGAACAGAGAATGAAAATAAATCAGATTCGACAACGATTTCTGCAAATAATGTATTTTTAGGTCATCAATCAATGAATAATCACAGCCAACCATTACCAACATTGAACAATAGTTCAAACGGAAATTTAGTTTTAAATGCAGAAAATATTGAAATTAAAAAACATTCTGAAGAGTATTTTGATGGAAAAAGTTCAAAGTTGCAATCCAAAAAACAAACAAGTAATAAAAAAAGAGAAAAAATTGTTTTGACTGCTTCAGAGCCATTGAAGAAAAAGAAAAAAATACAAACCATAATGTTATCAAAAGAAGATTTCAAATCCGCTAGCATAAAAGCAATGAAGGATTTTGATTTTTCAGAATTTGAAAATGATGCTGAAGATAGTCAATATATTGAAGGAAGTATACCAGTTGCCAGCTTGTCCTATAAACCTAAAGCAGATATTGGTGATCTAGACAGAATTACAGACGATGAATATTGTCCAATAAATTCAAATAAAGATCAAGAAGAGTGTAGAGTAAGAAAAAAATGGCCTTGATAATAATACTAAGATTATTTTGATAATCTCTAATGATAAAATAGACAAAAATATTTGTAAATTAATTTAAAAATTAAAAGTTATTGAATAACCTGCATCATTGTGTAAATAATATACATTGAAATATAATGACATATTTTATTATTGGCTTAGACAGTCATTTGAATTAAAAATTAATTATGTAATAAATGAGGTTTCTTTATCATTTCCGAAAAGTTTATAAAAGCACTTAAAACACTTATTTAATATGTCAATGATGGTTCATTTAATTTTCTTGCTATATCGAATAAAGTATATTTAGACAACCAGAAGTTGTTTATTTTTTAACTATTTTAAAATAGAACGTAATGTTTCTCATGATAAACAATTTTTTATTTTTATTTAATTTATTAAAAAAAACGAAGAGTGTAAAAAATTAATAAAGCCTTTGAAAATTTAATTAGGTTGTCATAAATGACTTAGCAAAGTCTATGCAAGGTTACTTTGTGATTTAAATCTCTTTTATATATGAAAAACTTCTATAAACACACAGTAATCAAGGTTTATTATTCAACTCTACCTATTTATATTATTGTTTACCGTTTTTATATTCAAGGTTTTCATGCAGATTTGGTAGCAATTCAATAGTAAATATTCAATTGCTAACAAAGTACAAACACTCTTTGTATTTTACTCCAAAAATTGAATATCATTACCTGCAATTGTTTTGAGAAACTCATTATTATATATTTTCTCTGTAATTAAGATTTTTTAAGACAATAAATCAAACACAAAGAATAGTTATATAGAACATAACCTCCTTAATTTCTCACGCTAATTTATACTGAATAGAAATGATTCATGCATACCTCGTGAATGCTGTTTTTCGCCGAAAAGACGACTTTCTTCTTCGATTATCCACTTGAACAAGTTTTTAAATGATAAACGATTCATTAAGTTGCATTTATTGTTAACTCATTATTACTTTTCGGTGCACAACGCGTAAATACTGTCGTACGGTACGAACATATTGTTTTTCAACGTAAATTCATGCACATTTTATCATACGTATATTGATAATGGGAATGTATTGTAACATCGTATGTGAAAACGCGTCTTTTGCATTAGTTCACTTGGAATTTATCACAGCGTGAGTATCGCGGACTGAAATAGCGCCATCGTTGCAACACTAGCGCTCTAGCGGAATTTATAGAAAGCTTTTTGAGAATTTTCAATTCCCGTACTTATCGACATACTTAAAACAATAAATTTGAAATTATTTTTATTAATTATTTCGTTACGTAATTAAAAATAAAAAAAAATTAATATTAAAAAATTATTTCTAATCTTACACAATCACTTAAATAGATTATTTTGAGTTACAATTGATTTTTAGAATAAATAATAGGTGTTATCTCTAAATAAATTGTATTTTCATAAATTTTCCCCCTCCTACTTAGCTCTAGTCATATAATTGTTTCTTAATGTATTAATTTGATAAATGTGTTGTTATTTAAATCGGTTCAATCGCACATTTCTTACTAAGATTGCAGTGGCGTAAGTGGTAACGCGTCGGGCCATAAAGGCAAAGTAAATGCATACAACTCGACTAGTTTCAAAAGGACCTATATAGACCTAGACCAGACTAGACTCTTCGATTTTCGCGCCGTTGATCTTGGATCCTTTGATGGATATCAATCTCAATAATGCTCTGATCTTTGTGAAAAGTTCTCTCGAGTTCAGGACCCAACTCCCAAGATCAACGGGAGGACTCTTCTCAAGACAAGCTCTAATTATATCTCGTATGCTACTTTGTCATGGTTATCCGAAGGATCCTGGTTCAAATCCAGGCTGCAATCCATCTTTTTTTCTGCACATTTTTCAGCATGAATTATTGATTTAATATAAAAAAATATTCAATAAATAATTTTAAAACAACTGGAGGAACTCTCATTCAAGAGTCTAATGAATTTTTTTAAAACATTCTATCTCTATTTTTACATAGAAGTGACATCTATTGGAACTTTTATTTGGTACTAATGTAGAATACGCACATGTACCAAAAAAATCTCGGATAAAACACTGTTAAAAAACAAAACATCCTATAAGTTGCGATGGCGTAAGTGGTTAACGCATCGGGAAAATGCCGGTCCATCTCAAAGCATCTCTCTCAGGCTAAAAAAGTTCTCTCACCGAAGGATAAAACACCATCCTAAGGATGTTGACCAACCTTCGAAACGTGCACACTGAGAAAACTCCTGACGGGATACGTCATTAACGTGTCCAGATAGGATGCACTTAGGAACCCGAAGATCCTGGTTCGAATCCAGGTCGCAACACTTTTTTAGTTCTATTTTGTTATATCACTATTTTAAAATCAAGTACACCCATTTTTATTTTGATGATTTTTATATTTGTTAAATTCTAAATAATTTATTTAAATCTTTTTTCTAAACCTCTAAATACATCTCCTAAAAATGTCTTTCTAAGCATATACGGAAAAATATAAACATAAGATATAGTTTTCCTTCTGCTGTAAGTTCACCGTAAAAAAATTACATTTAGACTCCATAGAGTAGAAGATAATTTTTTTCACATCATTGTGATAAGAATAAAAATCTTAACAAACACAAGAAAAGATCAAATAATGATTTTTAAATCAATTATTTAAAATGTCAACAACAGAAAGATTCTGAATTGAGAGTAATAAAAACATTATTTATTAAAAAATATCTATTTCAAAGGGTTGAATAACTTTCGAAATTCAAAATATTCCGCTCTTTATAAAAGAACGAATAGCGCCATCTACAACACACTTTTCTGCGCATCATAATATGCGCGTAAAGAGTTTTGGTTATGTTTTACTTGCAACACGTGTGGAGTCAGTATAAATAAATCGAATTTTTCTAACGAAATGGCAGAAACAGAAAGTAAAAATATTGTGGATAATAACGATGAAGTAAAGAGTGTAAAGCGTAAAAAAAAACGTTCTGCTAATCAAATGGCGAAAAAATTACTGCGTAAAAAAAGCCGATTCAATGATAGCTACGAACTGGATTACGATACTTATCAGTATTTAATTAGAATTTTAGAAGTGTTACGAACAGAATTTTCTACAATGGATGATAAATTAGTGTTTGCCAATAATATTTTTGAGCAAATGAATGATCGAGAAGTTGAATACACTAAAAATCAAGTGGGATCAAGAGTAATGGATTCTCTAATGAGCTATGCTAGCTTTGAAGTCATTCAAAAACTTTCTGAAAGTCTTGACCACTCTCTAAGACAAATATTTAGTGATAAATATGGCAGTCATGTTTTAGAAAAATTAATTTATGTTTGTGCCGATCGAGGAAACAGCAAAAAAACTACTTCTGTTGATGTAAAACAAGAACAAGAAAGCAAAGATAAAGTTGATGTTCGAGAAGATCAAATTGATGAATATAATAAAATTGTTTTAAAGCTGTGTAAATACGCTTTAAATAACATGGAAGAATTTATTTATGACAATTATGCTAACCGTATTCTTAGGACTGTTATTGAATGTCTAGGAGGTTTCCTGAATAAATTTGATAACACAGAGATCAGTAATTCGAAGAAAACTAATTTATTGAAAACGTCACTATCCCCTAGGAGGGAAGTTATTCAAGAATACACAGATTTGTTAAAAGTAACAAGTCAAAGAATACTCAACTGGCCACAATTTCGAGAATTTGGAAAAGATAATCTCACCTCTGGTTTCTTACAGACTCTCCTGTACAGTTTAAATGAAGTTGATTCAAAAACAAACATGTTAATCATCAAAAAAATTACAAAAGACTGTTTTACTCCAAATCAAGAGGGCACTCTTTCTAATATTTTTGATTCAGAAAATTCTCTTAGACTATTAGAAACTTGTTTAGCTGTTGCAAAACCTAAACGATTTTCCAAATTATATGAACAATATTTCAAAGGTAACTTAAAGCAATTAGCTTTAACAAAGAACTCTAATTACAGCATTCAAAGATTGTGTGATTATTGTAAAAGTAAAGAAATTTTTGATCAAATTTTCGAAGAGATTTCTGAAGACTTCAATGAAATATTAGAGAAACAACATACTGGAGTTGTGCTAAGTTTGGCGAATGCTTGTCTTAGATTGCAAACAAAACAAGGACCATTTGTTAATTCAATAATTAAAGCTTTAAAATGTGACGGGACGGAACAACAGCTGCAACTTGTACCATTAATTTCACGACTAACTACCTACGATCAACTAGAAACTGCTAAGAAGCAAAACCGTGACATTTCTATTCATTTACATGGCAGTTTGATCCTCCAAGCTATTCTTCAATTTAATAAACCTATAAAAATAGTTAATTCACTACTTGCAATGAGTGCAGAAGATCTTACGAATCTTTTCAACGATCCAAGAGGAAGTAGGATTCTCGATGCCTTTATGGAAAGCAAATTTGTTGGTGAGAAGAGCCGAGAAAAGCTAGCTAAATTAATGAAAGGCTATTGGATTCAACTCGCAGCAAGCGTTCATGGCTCAAGATGTCTTGACAAGTTTTGGCAATTTTCCAATTATAATCAGAGGCTTCATATTATGGAGGAATTAGCTTCTATTGGACAATCATTGAGTTCTTCAAAGACTGGTCGATTGATTTATAATAAACTTAATGTTGCATTATTTGCAAAAGATAAAAAGTTATGGGCAGAGAGTCAAAATAAAGAAGAAAAAACTAAAGCTCTATTTGCGAGTATAGTTGGGGAATAATTAAATTTAAAGAATAATAAATTTATATTCATTTGTGAGTAATTCTGCTTGTGAGTAATATTTAACTTATGAAAGTGATGATTGTATGTCGCAGTGGCGTAAGTGGTAAACGCATCGGAACAATGCGGTAGATCAAGGAATAGGTAGGCCCTGCACCATTCAATATAAATCTCAATCCTCTTACAATGAACTGGGTCTGAACGCCATAAGGCTGAGGCATTGAAAGAGGAAAAGTGAGATTTCTACTTTGTTGGAGGGACTCAAATTGGCGATTTGTATTCCTTGATTGTGAACTTCCGAAGTTCTTGGTTCAAACCCAAGCTGCGAAATATTTTTTTAATATTTTATATTAAAAAGAAAAAAATGTAAAATGCTACTATTTAAAAAATTTTTAAAATGTTCATAATTTCATCATTTGTTAAATAGTTGTAAATAAAAAAATATTTAGTAAATGTTTATCTTTATTAAGTATTTATTCTTTTTTTAATTTTACGATTTATTCAAAAAAGTTATTTTAAATTTGTAACAAATTTCGATAAATAATTCGATTCAATTATTCACATATACACAAATTTATTAATAAATTTGTTTAATTATTAATTCAATGAAATTTCATCAATACATTCTGAGTTTGAAATAATTGTCCTCAATATTTTTATCAATGATATCTTCAGGCTTTATTCTGATTAAAAATTATCAAAAATTAAAACCAATAATGTACGTGTCATTCTATCCAAACAAGTGCTGCCCTCAAACGATTGAGCAATTGCTTTGATCATTGTGATCAGCAGGTTAGAGCAAAAACGTTTTCTGAAATTATTTACACCGATCAATTTAATACTTTTTGTATAGAAATTACTTTATTACGGAAAAAATAATACTCCAAAAGTTCTCATAACTGTGAATCTCTTTAATAATTAATGCATAAAAGTAATATCAATAGATCTTGTTCATAATCATGAAGTCATTGCGAATAAGTTTGTGCCTGGTCGTAGCAATTTGCGCTTTAGGCTCCAAATTAGTTTTAGCAGAAGATAGTGGAATTGCATTAACTAAATTTGGATCAAAAACTGGACCTACGATCAAATTTTTTTATTGGTAAATATTTTCTATCAATGCATCTATTCACAAGTTGTATAACCTTTTTCTACCCAACTTGTTCAATAATTTAATTACTAATTGATATTAATATCAGCATTAATCTAGGTTAATAATTTTTTGCAGTTACTCCTGCGGTTATAAACGAGTATTCGATGAATATGTAAACATTCTCAAACAAAAGTATCCTGAGCTTAAAATTCATGGTCAAAACTACGAACCTTCAGGATATAATATGTTTATAGCAAAATTTTTGGTAAATTTTACAATTTATCATATATTATTTCTTCATAATGAACTTGATTACAATAATAAAGATATCAAGAATTTCTTTACTATTCTTCAGTTATGAATAGTAGTTATGTGATATAACTATATAATTTGTATAAATAATGAGTAAGTAAAAATAATATTTTACAGGGATTCGCAAAAATTATAGTCATCTTTTTGATAATAAGTGGTGTGAATATAACTCAATGGCTCGGTCAACCTCAACCGTTTTGGTGGGAATGGTGTCTTAATAATAAATTCTATGCTTGTATTATGATATTTTTCGTTTGTAATGCGGTGGAAGGACAATTAATATCATCAGGAGCATTTGAAATTCATTTCAATGGTTTGTATTGAACTTTCAAGAATTTAATTACTCCAAAATAGAACTACACTTGATTTTATTAAATAATAAATCTCTCTAGATGTTCCAGTTTGGTCAAAGTTAGAAACTGGACGTGTTCCACAACCACCAGAACTATTCCAAATAATTGACAACCATATCCAAATGTTGTTCCCAGAAAGAGATTCTATGTCTTTTAACAAATAGCTAAATAATATTGATGACAAAGAATGATTAATATAAAGCGAATGTGATTACATAATTTACATAAATATTTAAAGTAAGAACGACTATATAGGTAAAGTTTTCAACAATTTTCCATGGAAATTGACATTCTTATGTCAAGAATAATTTACATTAATTATTGGATTAAAGGGATTCGTTAAAATCCTGTCTTGTGAGATTGATTAATCATTTAATATAAAATTAATCATTGACGATAAAACGGGTTCATATAAGAATTAAATTATTATCATAGGTTGTATCTACATGTATATAATAGTTAACATTGGCATCTGAAAGTGAATGGAATGAATTAATAAAAGTAATTTACAGGACAGCTAGATAAACTATGTAAATATTTATAATCTGCATAATAATTGTAATACTGATTCTATTTATGTTGTATTAATTTATTAATCTATGGATTAATTAATTAATTAAAATATATGATCATCACATAACTAGCAATAACATTCCTAGAATTCGATAACTGTCAAACTCGTATTCATTAAGTTTGGTTTAAAAAAAGTTCTATTGAATAAAAAATTCATAATTATTTAAAAAATAATATGCACTTTCTTATTAATAATTGCCCACCCGGTGTAAATTTATAATTCATACAACATAAAAAAAGAAAGAGGTTATAGAGTTGTTACCTATTAATTTTACTGATATTATAATTATCGGTGAAGTTTGAAGTAATTGTTTCGAATACGAATTAATTACATAATAAATTAAATAAATTAACTTTATTGGATTAATTGTTTTATTTACGTTTTTCGTAAATATGTTGTAGGGGGCGTGTAGAGAACAATGACTTGAAAAACAAAAAATAACTCCGGTTCCCGGTATTTCACAAGTGATAAATACTAATTACTATTTCTTTTATGGTTCGATAACACTCAAATTATTTTTTTTAGCCAGAGTTCATTTTTAACTTCTATCATTCGTAACACGACGATTAAACATTATCTACATGTAATGTATTACTTGTTTGTGCCTTTATAACCTTACTTCTTAGTAATATTCCTGTCCATTTTATTTGTGTTAATAATTGATAATAAGAATGATAATTTCGTATTCGTTGTATTCATCTTAAAATTTTGAATATTTGCTCTTTTTGATAATTATTGGATAAATGAATGATAAAATTGTTTAACAGAATACTTTGATTTTCAGAATGTCACATCATTGTTGCTGTGGTGATTCTCATTCAGAGGGTGAATTGGGAGTGCAGTATAATTTATACCAAAAAATTGATCTCGACAACGTAGAATGTTTAAACGAATATCAAGAAAATACTGGAGTTCTAGTTTTTAAACCGTGGGAGGAACGTTTAAACCGAGAAAAGGTATTTTTATTTACTATTCTTTCCATCTATTTCATTTAGTTAGCAATTTTCTATGACGTTATAAACTGATAAATTACATTCATCTGATTCATTGGTGATAAATTGAAAAAAAAATTTATGATATAGGGACAATTTCTCTGATGTATCCTGATGATCTAACCCTTATTTTCAATGATTTATTGTAAATAACGAAAACGTCTGAATTACAGTACGTAGAAAGTGATGCTGATGATGAAATTCTCTTCAATATTCCGTGAGTATTTCTAACGAACTAAATTTCAAATCATTGTTGATCTATTAATTTACACCTTTTCTATTATAGATTCACTGGGAACGTTAAACTTAAAGGACTGATTGTCATTGGAGGCCCAGACGGTTCAAATCCCACCAACGTAAAATTGTAAGAATTTCTTTATTCAAAGTTAATTGGACTGTCATTTTATTAGTTTTTGTCGTATACTAATTATTTTATCACTTGATTTTCTGTAAACAGATTTAAAAATAAACCAAGCATGACCTTCGATGATGTAGGATTAGAACCTGAACAAAAATTTGAACTTTGCAAAGATGACTATGGAGTTCATGAGTATCCAATAAGGTATTGTTGCCTTGTTTTTAATTAATTTTTACTCAATTTATATAGTTACCGCATTTTTATCATACCTCATTTCATGTCAAGGCTTAAATAACACTGAAAACAGGTATTCTCAGTAGTTTGTCAGTAAATTGTAAAATAAAAAACATCTATATATACATATATACACGTGGTATATTGTTAGATACATTTTCAAGGTTCATTTTTGTGTTTTCATATTGTTCTGAGTCATTATCTTCGTACCGATAAATTTCGAACGTATTTTAAACGACGTAAACAGGTACAAAAGAGCTAATTGTAAATGAAGAAACTTCATTTTAATTTTCAAGTTTTTAGCTCATAGAGAATTTAATCATGATAATTGAGAGTTCAGAGAATTTTCTTATGATCACGAGTTTTATTTGATGTCTTTATAAAGTAATATTTGTTTTATGTTGATCTTAATAGGCAAATGAAAAAAATGGCAATGATAATAAAATGTAGTACATCTCGGAAATTTTTATAAAGATAAAAAAAAAATTACATTTAATATTAAGCTGTTTTAAAATAATTTTTTATTAAGTGGTAAATCATAGCTGCATTTCAATTTTCCTATAATAATCTCATAATTGAATTTCATAACAGGGTGGTGAAATTCTCATCAGTCCATCACTTAACTCTTCATTTTTCCGGCAATGATGGAGCAGAAAGGACACGAATTGATTACATAGGATTAAAGGGCGAGTGGACTCCAGCTCATCGACATGGCGTAACAATTTGCAACTATGAAGTGACACCACAAATGAGTGATCACTCTGCTTCTGACTTTAGTTCATCATCACGAGAAATTCAGTGATAAAAAAAACTCGAAAACCGCACAATCTGAGATTTTTTACTCTATTATTCATCTTTAATAAGTACTCTCTCCACTTTTATCATTAAATGATAATTATATTACATCTCGAATGATGATTTAATTATCGTCTTGTTTATTAATAAGTAAATATTATTTTTTTATGGTTTAAGGTATTTTTCATAATCAATTGTTGATAATGAATATCATAAACTTGTAAAATTTTGAGATAAATGAGGTCAAGTACCTCTTTTTGATAAAAATATCAAATTTTGATCTCTATATCATTTCTTCTTACCGCTATAAATGCCTTCTCATGTTATTTTCGGCTTGACAAAGATCGAGAGTTCTCGTGAAATAACTTATTCAAGCTTGTTAATGTATTTTAAAAGTTTTAAATAACTTGAAGATAATTTTAAAATTGAAAAAAAATTTTATAAGTGAGTTATTGATTTGTATGTCATTAAAATGATGATAAAATGTGAAAATTAAGTTGCTCAATTTGTTTGTAAAGTTTATCGAGCATTGAAGCTTTGTTATTTCAGTAGATGCGCGCTTACCCGAAAGACTGGGTCGAGCAAATAAGGATCGACATACGAAAAATCCCGCATTCGCGTGCCGACTCAGCTGGCGTACACTTCGACGAGAATAGAATTAAATTTTCATCATCACATTTCTGTTATTGTTCTTCAATTTTATTATGACAATGAAACAATAACACTGTCATATAACTTGATGTATATACATGCATACGTTTCGTTATAAAAAAAACAAATTTGCATCACGTTGCGATCGTGTAAATTTTCATTATTCATTAGTGAATCCAAAAGTGTCTCAAGAGGGAGTCAAGACTAAAGAGTTGCCAAGGAAACAGTCAACGAAAGGTGCGCTAGTATTCAAAGTACTGCAGCTGAATTAAAAGATACGTCAGAAATCACTGTAAGTAACAAAGAAAATACTTTTTATTTATATTTTCTTTAATATTGTTGATCAATTTTTTCACATTCAAGTTTAAATCCACAATAAATAATTTTTACAAGCAATTGCATACACAAGGAAAAATACAAATTTTTTAAAAAATGATATTTGCTTTATTTATATTTGCACTCAAGTGATAATAATCTTCAGAAGTAAGTGTATTGATTCAAAGACTTTTTTTCAAGATTTTTATCGCTTCAGAATTGAAAGAAAAATTGAAATAAATATAAAACATAATGCAGTGAATTTTTGTTTTTTATAGAATTTTAATTCGACAAAAAATTCAATTAATCTATGATCATTTGAACATATCAAAATATTAATGAAAATTAAACTTTTTTATTGTTACGAAGTCATAAAAAGTGATTTTCTCTGTCAAAACAAAGATTAACAATAGTGTACAATAGAAGTAAGATGACAATAGAAATAATAATTGAAATCTTTGATGTAAGAAGAATATTCAAATTTTTTGTGCTATACTCATACATAAGTAATAAGTGATAATATTGCCATTCTAATTGAGACCTTAGGTGTAAGCACATATTCAATTCTATAGAAGTTTTCTTTGAAACGTGTCTTTCTTTGAAACATTTACGAGAAAAAGCTTTTAGACGTATAAATTAAAAACTTATTTTTTCAGTCAATGCTGTTCTGCACTCAACGTTTCAATGAGTTCAAAAAAATTAATTCTCAAAGTAAAATCTCAAATACATGTTATAGAAATTGATAAAATACAAAAAGAAATTCTTTAGCATGAAATTCGGATTATTTGAAGAAAATATCAATTTTGTGAATATTTATTTACTGAAATAGTTATTATTATATTGAATAGTTCACATAACATTCTATTTATGATGTTCATTTTCTACGACTCTAAATACTGTCCAACTGTTTATATCATAATAGTATTGAATATTCAATGCAAACATATGCGCTATCACTTCCTTATCGGTTTCCAGAAAATAAAGTGAATTGCAAAACATTTAAATCATTTGTGTAAAGTATTTTGTAGTGAAACACGTTTCATTTATTTTGTAGTTATTCAATGATAGTGATAAAAAGCAATATAAATATTTTTTAAAGTCATAGACCTATTAACAAGTCAAATAATTTAAATTTTAATAATTTAGAATTAATTGGATCTAGTTAAACCATAATCAAAATAAGCAACATGTCGGTATCATAAAAGTTAATATCTGAACTTTGATTAATGGCATCTGGATGATCTAATGTAATTCGTATGTTCAAAACAATTACTTAATTGATATTAATGAGTTTTAATTTTCATTTATTGATTTTAAATATATTACGTCTTTATTGTTAAATCAATTAATTTTTTTTTGGCCATAAAAAATGATTTATCCTTGTTGAAGTATTAAGCTTGGAATTATATTTCCATCGTCAACATTTATTGCCCTCATAAGCAATCTAATCATTTTCGTTGGAGCATTTAATGATATGCTTTGAATGTGGTAACAACCCATAAAGTTGATGTAATACATGATTTTCCCACTTTCCATGTCATTAGTATTAAAAAAAACCTTGATATGATGTACATATTCCTCTCGATTGGCCAAAGATCGTTCATTGACAAAGTGCAATGTAGGTCATTAAACTACTATCACGTCATCGGAAAATTGTGAAAGCCGATAATGCAATTTAATCCCAAGGATTTGTTATGTAGATTCTTTATCGAACTGAAATCATTTTTCTGTCAATTAAAATTTCATTTGTGTGGAATAGTTCCATTATCAATACTTCTCAGTCAGTAAACAATGCAAACATTGTTGCTAAAACTAATCCGTTGCAGCTATTCAGATATTACGACATGAACAATTAAAATTAATTATTTACATAATTCGAATGTTTTTAGTCTAATTAAATTTTAATTGTATTCAATGTTATTGTTATTATTCGATGATTTGTACAATCTACTTTTTAGTTGCAGTCATCTCCACATGGCTTTTGTATCTTTCACTATCTATTTTCAGTTTACCAATATACTTCATATGATCAATAGAGCCTATTATATTTTTCAATTTTATATCTGAATCCTACTCTATTCTGAGATAGAATCGATAGTTCAAATGGACTCTTAAATTGATTAGAAGGTCAATCATTAGTTTTTCAAAAAGTCCTAAAGTAGAATAATTAAAGTAGGTAATCAATGTTTCCTTTTTTTCACGGCCACTAGAAATGAAAAGACGTTTTCTGAGCTGTACAAAAATTCTAAGAAATTGAAGAAAATCCTCTTAGAATTATTCCAGACTATTTTTTCTGCTCATCAAGACAATATAAATATTGCAATTTGTTTGATCAAATTACAATTTTATTGGTAGCAATCTTCTTAAAGAATGTTTGTTCATCAATAATTATTTAAAAGATAAAAGTCAATATATTAAAAATCGTTAAAATATATTTTTTATCATTATTTTGCAGAGAAGGAAGATAAAAATCAATCATAAACTGAATTCTGGCATTTACTTATTATATCAAAAGTAAATAAAAAGAAGAGGAACACTGAATAAGCCTTTCCAGAATCTACTATCGGCTGACAATTATCAAGAAGGGTTGTATCATCACTGGAGATAATATTACTCAGAGCAAAGCAGATACATTATGATGCATCACAAGCCTGATTAAAAAAAAATAAATTAGAAATATTGATGCTTTTATAGATCATAGAAAAAGAAAAAAAAAGATGAAGTGTTTTTTTAATATTGAAGATAGATTAAATGTATATCAAAAGACCATATTTATATAGTTTTATCAACATTTCCTGCTTGCTGGTTTGCCACCACCATCGAAGAAAAAGCTGTCGAAACAATGTGGAGAGCTAACACTCCGTTAGTTCAGTTGCTGTCAAGACTAGGCATAGTGAACGTGATCACTATGAAGAACTAGTCTGCTTATAATTTTTATTTATCTTTCTTTATAATTATCATACAGTAATTGAGTGTTATATTAATCTTTTGATAGACTGGTTTTACATTTTATTACTTTAACTTCATGATATCAAAAGTGAGATTCTTATTTTTGAAATAAATAGAAAATTTACAATTCTTTCTCAGTTAATTAACTAATGAGTAAATAAATGATAAAAAACATTTATTTATAATGTGACTTTAAATGATGAAGATTAGGTTTGAGTTTAGTAATTTACCAAGAGGAAAGCGAAAAGTGTGTTTCTATTTTTTTAGATGAAATAAAAATGGGAAGAATTTAAAGATATAAGTGTCATTATCAACAAAGTGTGATAGCAAAGATTACATAAATCCTCTTGAGATTACGCATTTGTTCTTTGATTTTAACGTGATCAGTTGAAAAAAAAATTTACGGAGTGTTGGTTTATTAGAGCAATCATGACGCATCTACTTGAAGATCCTAATGAAGAGAAAAAGAAAAAGAGGAAGAAAGCGGAAGAAATAAACGATGTTGAAGATGAGGATGAAATTATGGATATTAATGAAACTCCACCACCTGATGGGGGTTGGGGATGGGCTGTAGTTTTTGCGTCTTTTATGATACACATTGTTAGTAAGTATAATGGTTCAAAAAATATTTTCAATATTAATTTTCGAATAACATTGATATTATTATTATTGCATTGATCCTCTTTCTATTTTCAACTTCCCACAGTTATTCAATGTTTGAAATAACTCTATGATATTTCTGTTAAGCCAGATTATACAATGTAGCTAACTTTTCCATTATTTGTTAAATAATGATGGAAAATATTTTTGAGATTGCTCAAGCTGTAATTACGAGTTAGAAATTTTATTAACAAGTAAACAAGTATCAGAAAGTATAATAAACAAATTAATTTTAAAGCAGAAGTATTGTTCCCACTATTTTATCATAGAAAAGTAAAAATAATTACGTAACCACGATAGGAATAAATTTATGATAATTATCTAAAATTAGTATTTACTAGTACCAATAGTTATAATTTTTTTTAAATAAATTCATTGGTTAAGAAATAGAATCAAAGTTTGAATAGAATATTTATTATGTTAAAATATTAAAGATTAATGAACAAATTATTCAGCTGTTTTTGCAATAGTAAAATAAAAAATGTTAATAATATGTAAAAATATTCTTTGAGTGATTAAAATTCCAACTGATAGTGTATGTAGTAATTGGACATATGCTTTCCTTTAGCATAAAATTTTCATTGGGTTTTATTCATTTATAAAAGTAATTGCAGTTTTTAAACAAACCTTTTAAAGTAAATCAGAGTAATGGGTGAATAGTTTTATTGCTAAGAGCTAGTCCATCCTTGACTTAGAAAAAATACGACATTGATATAAATGTGAATTTCTCGTATGTGAATAAAGAAAGAATCATTCATGAGTTTAGAAGATTAATCTCATGGACATAAGTTTTCTGATAATTGTAATGATTATAGTTTAATTTATATATATTTCAAAATGTGCATAATAACAAAATGTAAAAAAATCATAACAAATGTGCTTTCAGATTAGCTGATCTAAATGTGGTAAAAAATATAAGATAAATGATATTTCCGTTTCATATTCTGTGTGACCTTTGACATCTTCATGTCACATTTAATATTAAGTATTACTAGTACATGAGAAAATTGAGATATTAATTCAATGGAACATTCCAAAGAATCTTATTTTTCTTTTTACTTCGAACTTTGAACTCAAAAATTAATTTTAAAAATTATTTTACAGTTTAAAAAATTACGCGTACTAGTATTATGCGTGCAAAGCAAAAATGATCCTAATAATAATGGTAATAATATAAAGTGAAATAAATGTAGTAAAGACACGCAAGCATATTTCATGATTGTTTTTTATGATAAGTTTAAAATTTAATTTAATTGTCTATTACAGCTGACGGTGTGACCTATTCTTTTGGTGTTTTCTATGTCGAACTTCTCCATTACTTCAATGAAGGAAATGGTACTACAGCTTGGATCGCATCGATCCTTGTTGGCGTAACTCTATGCTCGGGTAAATTTGATTTTTCTTTCTATTATTCCATTTTTTTATATGAATATCATCATCAAATAATAATAAACTTTCAAAAGAAATATATTATCTTTCATTTTTATTTAATAAGTATTAAAATTATATAATTAATTAAAATTTATTTTTAGAATTAGTATTTAATTTCATGTTTCATTCGTAATATAATATTCATTAGTGAGCTATTATTGAATTAAATTGGATTATTTGTTAATGAAAATAGGACCTGTTTCAAGTGCATTTGTAAATAAATATGGATGTAGAACAGTAACAATAGCAGGAGCGCTTCTTGCAAGTTTCTGTCTATTGATAAGTGTCTGGGCTCCGAATGTTTTCACACTTTGTCTTACGATTGGAATAGGAACAGGTAAATAATATATGAGATTATCTTATGTAACATTAAATAAACATTGACTTAATAATCAACCTTTCTTATTAATATCTCTTAAAAATCATATATTTTGATGTTAAAAATTATTTCTAATCTGCTAAATCTAGTGAGGAATAAATTTTCGTCTTGTTTAAGGTAAAGATTTATTGCTTTGCAGTTAAATTATGTATTAGACTTTGATTAATTATTTGTTTAATTAAGCATGCTTTAAAAGTATTAATAAAATCGATGTAATTCTTTACAGGACTAGGTTTTGGATTAATTTACTTACCAGCAATTGTGTGTGTGACGATATACTTTGAAAAACTTCGATCACTAGCAACAGGTATTGCCGTTTGCGGCTCTGGCCTAGGAACTCTCATTTTTGCTCCTTTTATTGAATATCTCATTGCGACTTATGGATGGAGAGGATCAATGATGATTACTTCAGCTCTCGTTCTTAATTGTATTATTTTTGGAATGGTATTCAGGCCTGTTGAGCCTGTAAAAAATAAAAATATTCCATTAAAGGTAATTCATTTCACTAGAATTATTCAAATCTAGCAATAATTACATTTTAAACCAATCATTTCTGTCATGAAAAAAAAAAGATCAAATGAAATGTCGAGTCGTGAAATGGCAAAACGAAAAATAACTTCTTAATATAGCAAGCACTGATTGTAAGTGGTTTTTTATCTCTATTTTTTTGTTGCTAAATATAAATCTGTATTTTGAAATACAAATGAGACAAAGTCGTGCCTCCAACCAAGAACATCTACATAATAAAAGCACCGATAGCTTTATTAATTGTATCAGTAACTTTTCATGAGTTTCCGCAACATTATTCAATAAATTAAAATATAATATTACCAATAAAATTAATCTTTTTATTATCATTCCAGGAAATAAAGTCATCAGAATCAACTCTCAAAGTTCTTGAAACCAATGGAGTGTTAAAAAATGGTCTAAATCGACCACACAGTGTAAATAATGTTAGTACAACTTATCATTTTGTTTCTGAAACAAATGATAATAAGAAAGATCGTATAAGATTTGCAACCAGTCAACCAATTCTTAACAAAAGCGTTGCATCGCATTCAGGTCATTACCCTCATGCAGAACATGGTACAAAGTCATTTGGCAGTGGTATAATGAATAAACGGGATATTTTTTATCAAGGAAGTGTCGAAAATATCCGTAAAAGATCGTAAGTATTTTATGATATCAACAAGTTAAACAAAGTTTCTAAGAATTAACTTTTTCCCCAATAAATAAACCAAGAATATTAATAACCCATGGCTAAAATGATTTCCTTGTTTTCATTATCTTTACAGTGCTTCCGTTGGATACAATGAAAATCATATTCCAATCCAAGGCTCCCTGCGGAGTTTACCTAATGGAGCAGAGTATAAAACAAGTGAAACTACTGAGTGTCTTCCTCATGCTAGAAAATCTCTTGGGATTCTACAGCAAATGCTTCAACTCTCACTTTTAAAAGACCCACTGTTTCTTTTGTTTGTTATATCTAATTTCTGCACAAGCATAGGATTTAATATTCCTTACATTTATCTCATTGTAAGTATTAGCTGCTTTTGTGTTATGTGTGTTCAAACAATTAAATCCACTTGATTGAAATATTTAATGAAAGTCATGAATCCAATAATCTGATGGTTATTTCCTGTAATTTCAGCCACAAGCTCAAGAGCGATCAATTGCTAAAGACACTGCAAGTTATTTACTGGCAGTAATTGGGATTGCCAATACTGTCGGTCGTATTGTGCTTGGATATGTTTCAGATAAACCGTGGATTAATCGGCTATTGGTCTACAATCTCTGCTTAACTACTTGTGGACTGTGTAAGAATATTTCAATCCATCTAAAACCTTATAAGAAACTAAATTAAAGCCATTGACTTATTTAAATGATAATATTTTGTGTTTAATTTATTTCACAGCTACAGTATTAAGTGCGTACTGTCGTTCATTCATTTCGTTTGTAATTTACGCGAGCGTCTATGGATTTACTGCTGGCGCATACGTGGGACTTACATCTGTGATTTTAGTGGATTTATTAGGCTTAGAACATCTGACCAATGCATTTGGTTTAGTGTTACTCTTTCAAGGATTCGCATCATTTCTGGGACCACCAATTGCAGGTAAATTTCGAATTAAAATTTTTAATTCACCATTTTTACTGATAAAGCTTTTCAGTCATTGTAATAAATTTCGTCTTCCTTTCAGGATGGCTGTATGATGCTTTGAAATCATATGATCCTGGATTCTTTGTCGGTGGAGGATTAATAGCAATAAGTGGTCTAATACTATTTTTTATACCTTGTATACAAAGGCGTCTAAAAAGGAATGAAGAAAAATTAAAAATGATTACTGTTCCTACTTAATAATGTGGAGAATAAACTTGTATGTTTTTATTAAATTAAATGGAATTATTATTATTGTTTATTATTAAGAGATATTGATAGCAACTACTTACCGTACTAAAAGCTAATTTATAAGATGATTTGATGAATAATTTGAAAGTTCCCGCTCATCTAGAAGCCTTTCAAAATTCATTCAATTGGTCATCTACTTCAGTAGAAATTCACCTTTATGTAGAATCCAGAATGTTCTATGTTGGTCCACGAAAATAGTAACTGAAGCTTTACTGTTTTGTGATGTATCAAATCATCACATCTTGAGTGTCATTTTAATGGATAGAAAAAGCGATTTGGAATATAAAGAGTACTTTGGATATCATAAAAGTGGAGATCATTCATTAGTGTAATGTGTTAGAAGATCGAAGAATCTTTATGAGTAAAGACACCATATTGGTCTTTCCGATACTCGGAAATTGAGAAGTGATCAAAAGTTTAATTCAAGTAGACATTAAAAATTCATACTAGTTTTAATATATTTTTTCCAAACATTTCAAGTTCTTTAGTCAGCGCAACAATATTACGAAAAGGAATTTTGAGTAGAGAATTTGATTTACGTATTTATCAACAATTCTAATCAATAATTTCAGCCGTTAATAATTGTTGTGAACTGTTAATTGTAAAAATTTGTGTAGAAGTTTTTTAAGTGTTAATTTTATTTGTTTCATTAGAAAAACTGGAAAATATTAATTAATAGACTGCGCAATAACATATTTATTAATTGTTTAACGATTCATCTGTGTGATTTTGTGTTGATTGACAGCGCCACCTAGAATCATACATAACGGATTATGATGACGCGACATAATGTTTATTTATAAGTTATTTCTAAAAATCCTCATGAAATATTATTTCTGTGAACTTGAAAAAAATTCTATTTTTTTATTCAAATTATTTTGAGGTTCATTGAAACTTTATGAATGCATCAAATTCATAAAACGATTAAAGATGCATGATGGGTAGATGAGGAATGTGGAAAATGAATTAATTATTTCTGAGACAATTGTAAAATTTAATGAATAAAAAATTTAAAAAAATAATAATAGTGTACTCATTTATAAATAATAAACTGTTATATTTATGTTTAGAATTAATTATAATGGATGAATTAAAAAACACGTCGTCCTGTCAATGAAAAAAAAAATTGCATTATGGGTGGATAAGAAATAGTGGAAATGAACTGTCTAATTTTTTGATTGGTTAAATACATGTTTCTAGAATGTTAATAATGTTTACCGTTGTTTAATAACTTATTCCATGTGCATTTTTTCAAAGACTTGGAAATATAATATAAAGAGTAAGTAAAATTTCTTTTCAATAATAAATGAATAATTATATAATTGTAAATAGCATTCGAATAAAATTAAATGATAATACAAAATTTAAAATAGAGACTTGATGCTGACTTTTTTCTGAAATAATCACCTAAATAAGTGACGGGAAAAAAAACTGGATCCTCAAGTGAAGAGTAATAAAAAAAATGGAGAATTTCACTTAGAAACTCCCCGCCTTTGATAAAGAAAAGAAAATAGTCTGGAGAAAGTAGGTGTGAATGTGTAAATGGAATTTTGGCGGCAGACAAACTGATGACGTAGGTAGAAAGATAAAGAGGGTGGGGGGCAAGCGGAAGGGAAGTTGAGTCGGGGACATAAAGGAACAGTGAAATTGAACCAGTCGGTACGTCGCGGAAGAATGCGTAGCCATTGTTGGTGCTGCGATCGTTAGTTTTATAGATGTTGGATCGTAATGGATACGAAAAATAATTGGAGAACACGTGAGTTATTAGGAATAATAGTAAATCAAATTTCATATCACTGGTAAGAAACTAACAGCAGCCAAAAAAAATATCGGTGAAAGAGAATTGGTGACGGAGAAACTTGGGTCGTTGCGTCTGATCGTTTGGTGGCGTATGCGAACTGAGCGCTCGCGCAAGTGAGAGCAATAAGCTCGTGTCTGTGTAAGTGTGAGTGAGTGACACTCGGAGGGGCTACTCGGCGGCCGCCATAACACCAACGGACCAACCAAACTGGCGAGCAGGGAGAAAGCGTAGTGCGAGTGTTCTAAGACGTAGTGGTAGTGTTTTCAATTGAAATTACGTGGAAAGTCAACGTTTGAGTGATCAGGTAGGTGATAAGTAGTTAAAGCAAGAGTCCAAGTTCGCGTGATGACTAAAATTCACTCTTACAATATCATTTTTCGTGGATTAAGTGGCAGATAGCGCGGCAGACCCTCTGAGCTTTCTTTCCTGAGCGGTCGCACCGCCATGTTGAATGAAACCTACGCCAAATCGAGCTAGAGAGGAGCTGCGCGTTGTTCTTAATGCTAGAAATCTATCACATTGGTTAAAACTTGATAACTCCAAACATTCTGCTGTGTTTAGTGTCGGTTTCTACCAAGTTATAACCTTGTTTATTGTGCTCTGAGTGCATCAATTGAACTGGTTGACTGCCTGGTCGCCTGCCTGTCTGGGCGCGGGTCTGCTGTACTCTGCACCTATACCCTTCCCTTGGTCTGTCGTACTTCTTACTTTGCCGCCTTATTTCATCCTCATTCATTCCTCCGTCGAGTACACTATTTTTCTCATCTCCCAATAATTTTATTCAGTACTTATATTTCCTTAGATTTGTGTTTTATCATGTGCCACTTTTATCTCTATCGGCTGACCCTGAATTTCAATGCCATGGTGATCCTTTATACTACATATATTCCATCAATTTACTCTATATTCAATCATTTTTATCATTGTTTAAACCAATACTTTTGTTTTCATAAACTCCCCGTCATTTTTACCACCATTTTATCACAATATTTAACATTTTATCGGTGTGCTACTTTTTGGCCTACTTATTTCAAGAGACACACTTTTTATTTCGTTTACATAATAATTTTTTTTCAGTCAAAAAATTCATCTTTGATATTGAAAAAATTATTCCAATATCATTTCATTCAATATTATGTGAAAATTTGTTATTTATTTAATTACTTTCCCCTAAGATGAATGATGCATTAGAAGTTAGTAAACATTTATTCATCTTCATTTGCTTTCATAATTGAACTTATTACCAATATCAAACATCAATTTAATCTCAAATGAAAGTTTTAAAAAATAAATCATTTTATTTATTTAATGAAATAACTCAAGATTCTATAGATAAAACATCAATATTCATGGCAATTATATTATCATTTTGAATAACTTCTTTTTCCATATCATGTTACCTTGATAAAAGCAGAATGAGTAAATAATTGATACATCATTCCTAAATTTCATCACACTTCACTTTTTTCTGTATGAAAATGATACTCTGGATTGATTGTAAATTAATTAGAAACTCCATTCATATCGATTATTCTCAGGCTTCAAAATACAATAGATAAGGTGTTAGATATTTGTAATAAACTTTTTGAGCATTTAATCTTTCATGCTTCAGTAAATTATCAAATTTGATCATCATAGCAAGAATTGATTATTTGAAAACCAAAAGTTCTATATTCATTCATTTCCTATCATTTCCAATCCTTTCAATTGATTTTGATTAGACGAATATTTTTATTTTTGTCTCTATGTATTTCAATTGATATTCGTTATAAAAAATTCATCTTATACCCTTGAAAGTTGATTACAATTGAATGTTATTCAAAATTAGTTGCAAAGCTATTTAAACAGACTCTTTTCACTTGAGTAGATTTCAGAATGTCATAGTTAAGGTGTTAGCTCTTAAAAACCTAAATATTTGGCGTATTTTTATGTAATTATATTGCATTTAAATAAAATAAAATCATTAAAATTAGTAAAATTAACATGAGCTATTAAAGTGGGAGCAATGTTGAGGTTGTTACAATGTGGGGTTCCTGTTATGTTATTCAGATGTTGCTAAAATTGCGAATCCTGGGTGGAGTCTTGGCGAATCACATGAGGGTACAGGGCTGACATTCAAGTCTCTACCTTTTGGTAGGCTTGAGTAGTGTTATGTCTCCTCAGCATCAATCTCCCTGGTCGCAGCACAAACATCTCAGCAAGCAAATATCGAGCTACGATGCTCAAATCAAACTATATCATTGTCAACTCGGTTGTTGATGAAGCCTCGTAGCATCAAGCATCAGCATAAGGCAGTTACCTGCTACGTAGCATTTATGTACCATTTATGTCGGAAAGGTAGGTGAATTTCTAAAATCGTGGATCACTGAATCCGATTAAATCCGATCTTACTTATAAGCTTTTAAATATCACAGGTTTTATCTCAATGTTTTAATATGTAACCTTATATGATATTTACTACGTATGATTCGTTTAAATTTGTCTCTTTCACTCTTTTCATAATCATTTTATTGTAATTATTTATTAATAATAGGTATTTATATGATTGTATCTTCATAATTATCATTTTTGCACCTTTTCTGTTACAGAAACGAAGTCATCATGCAGCAGGTGGATACCAACCCGCCAAATAACTCTGTAAGTACATAATTTTCAATTTATCCTCCATTTACTAAAGTAAGAACATTCTTAATTACGCCAATATATTGTTCCAATTGTAAATGTAAAATAAACAATGTTATTCATTTACCGAAAAATATTGTTAGATTTTCAATGTTACTATTATTTTAATTATCCTTTAAAAGTCACTTGAATATAAAAACTAGGTTTTATAAATAAATTATTAGCTTTTTTGTTCAAATTAGCTTTCAAATTGCAGTAGTTATACTTGAAATAATGTTTTTTACGGAAATATTAAACTAAACTTTAATATAACTTTACAGTTAGATGTGGAGGAGCGAGAAAGGCTATGTAATATATTGAAGGTAAGAACAATAAATAAATTATTCAAACAAAAGTTTGTTAAAGCATGAAAAATATTTATCAGCTATAAAAAATCATGTTAGAAGCTATGAAAATCTAAAAATAATAAACATTAACGTGTTATTACACTTGGAAGAAAAATAATGATTGACATTAAATGGATGAATGCAAATATATTGATCATTTGAAATAGATTCTAATCCATATTGATTTATCAGTATCATTAATGTCATTTCATTGTAGACAAGTACGCCTGGAAGGACAACAGGATCACAATCAATTCCTGCGAAAACGCCACCACCACGAGAGGAGCCTGTAATAGAGCCAGTCAATGGGGTGGTCCAGCCACCTGTCGTACCTCCACCAAATCGTCCAGGACGAATAACCAATCAGCTTCAGTTCTTGCAAAAAGCCGTACTGAAGCCAGTATGGAAGCACCAGTTTGCTTGGCCTTTTCAGCAACCCGTCGACGCAAAAAATCTCAATTTACCAGTACGGTTTTATCATTTGTTTATTCGTAGCATTTAAAACTATTTCTATATTTAATCCATTAGTCCTACATAAATTGGTACTCATGATTTTTCTTTTATTCATCAGGACTATCACAAAATCATCAAGCAACCGATGGATCTGGGCACGATAAAGAAACGTTTAGAAAATACGTATTATTGGTCAGGGAGTGAATGTACCCATGACTTTAATACTATGTTTAGCAATTGCTACACTTACAACAAACCTGGTGAAGATGTTGTAGTGATGGCTCAAGCACTAGAAAAATTATACCTGACGAAGGTATGTTCATCAAACTAATGTTCAGCATATATGTTATGATTGATAGTATAAATTTCACTATGTATAAGAGTTCGATTGCCAGGCAACACAGTAGACAGTTTTTTACCATACTATATTAGTGAAGGATTAAAAAGAGCAATCAATACTTTTTACTTTATTTTAATTCGATACTGAAACTATATCATTTATTTTTTTTATTCTACAAAAATGTTTCATAAAAAATAGAGTAAAATGTAAATTTTCTTATTGATAATAGTCGATTAGAATATTCTTTCAATATCAGAGTTTAAATAAAGAATTAATTAAATTTAAATTCAACCTGATAGTTAAATAACTCATTAATTAAGTTTTAATTTAAAAGTTTCGAGTCTGACAATCACAAATCCTATAAAGTTTATTTTTGCTTAAATTTTTCAGTATTTTAACGAATAAAAATTATTGTAGCTAATTTTTTTTTTGAAAAAAAGTAAATGATAATAATTATTCGAAACAATTGTTTCAGGTTGCACAAATGCCAAAAGTGGAAGTGGAGATTGAACCTCCAGTGCCAAAAGGGCCAAAAGGAAAGAAAGCAAGAACTAACGCACCAATGATTCCTGGTACGCCAGGAGTTGGTCGAGGTCGGCCGTCTTCTGGAGCAGCAACAGTTAGTTCCAGTGTACCAAACAGTTTGACCCCTGCAGCCACAACGGCTGGAACCACTGGTGTTCTACCAATACCTCCTCTCGGTACTCAAGCACCAGTATCTGTACCTGGAAGTACCAATACTACCACCATTGCACCACCAACAAGTATAGGTGTTACGCCGATGGCTACTCATAACTCTTTACCGCAACAAGTGGTCCCTCCACCAAGTGGATATCACGCGCAGCCAGCGCTGGATCCTCAAGCAGCAACTGCCGTACCTGCGCCACCACAAATTCCAACCACATCTACTGTTATGCCACCTTCACAACCTGCTAAACTCAAAAAAGGGGTGAAGAGAAAGGCTGACACGACGACACCCACCGCTAATTCTTTTGAACCTATGTATCAACCTATAGATGCTAAAAATGCTAAACTTCCTACAAGAAGAGAATCTGGTAGACAAATCAAGAAGGTAACATAGTTTTTTTTCAAATTATTGCCAATAGATATATTTTTTATTACTTTGTGTGTATAGAATGTGCTCATATTTCAATCAAAAAATATTTTGGTACATCAAAAAGCTACAGCAAAAATTTTCAAGTATTAAAAATCATTTGATTTCAATTTTATATATATAAAAGAGGTCTTCTTATTGCAAAAATAAATTAGATAGTACTCTAAATTTAAAATAGATTATCGATTATTCTAATTTTATAATAAAACATTCTACCAGACGCTGTCGATGTCTCGAACTAAAAATTTTATAAAAAAAAATAAATCGATATAAAGTTTATTTATATTGCTTGAGTTAGCCTTTTAAAATAATCAGTTAGTTTGATGTCTAGTCAAATGCTTGATTTTTTTTATTTGAATTGCTAAATTATCTCCATCAAATTAAAATAATAAGTTGGAAAAAAATCATTTATATTGAGGTGCATTAAGACGATCTCCAGATGAATAAAAATCTTGACAAAGTGCTTCAAAATTGATTTTATATCGCATGAAAGAAATTTTGATAAAAATGATTCACAATCGAATCTAAAGTTTAAATGATTCGAATTAGTTGATTAGAATGGTTTAATGGTTGTCTTTGACGCTTGCATGCGTAATCATTATCATTGCATTAACATACTAACAGAGGGTTGATGATGGGGCTGTTTCAGCCATCGAGACAAGCGGAAGACGGCCTTGTGCCATTCCATCAGGCCAACATGCCCCTGATCGGGGCGATGGCCCAACAGGTACTCATAATATTTATCATCAACAATCCTTCATTCTCCATCTGTGTTGTCTTGTGGCTTGCAGTGATTTTTATACATTTCTATATTTATTCAATTATTATTTTATTCAAAAATTTTATCAATTTCTTTACGTAAATTTATTTTTAAAAATATGCTCAATGTAAATTCATTTTATTTACTATTTCAAAATTTCATAATTACTATTATAATTATTTTTTGCTTAAAATTGTGAATTAAATTAGATACTTTTTTTCGATACTTTACAACAATCATTAGTAATACTATTTCTTTTATTTTTAGCCACAACATGTTGGTGGTAAATCAAAGGAAAAACTTTCGGAAGCGTTGAAATCATGTAATGAAATTCTCAAAGAACTATTCTCCAAAAAACATTCGGTAATTATTTTGTTTAAATTCAATTTTCGAACGATTCAACTTTTAAAAGGTTGAAAGTATATTCAAATATACATTTGTTTAAAATTGAATAGGGTTATGCATGGCCATTTTACAAACCGGTTGATGCAGAACTCTTAGGTCTCCATGATTATCATGATATAATCAAGAAACCTATGGATCTTGGCACAGTGAAGGTATTTTCAATTGTTTTATTGATAATAATTTTATTGAGTAACGTTGAATTAAGAGTTTTCTATTAAAATTAAAAATGAAATTTTATTCAGACGAAAATGGACAGTCGGGAATACAAAACAGCTCAAGAGTTTGCAAGTGATGTTCGGCTCATCTTTACAAATTGTTATAAATACAATCCTCCTGATCACGATGTCGTAACAATGGCGAGAAAACTACAAGACGTCTTTGAGATGAGGTTCATTATTGATTCCAGTCACAAAATAATTCAATAAATATTTTATTCAACTTTTTTTCTATCTGTATGTTTTAATAATAAATTCAATCAAATCTAATTAGGTATGCCAAGATTCCTGATGAGCCTGTGGGTGGAATGGTGGCAATGAAGGGCAGCAGTAGTAGTGGTAGTAGTTCGGGATCAGAGTCGTCGTCAGAAAGTGATGATTCGGAAGAGGAACGTACGCAACAATTGTTAGTTCTTCAACAAGAATTAAAAGTGATGCATGAGAAAATGAAAAAGTTGATGGAGGGAAGTGGAAAAAAGAAAAATAAAAAGACTAAGTCGGATAAACCGAAAAATAAGCCATTGAGTAATAAAAATGCTGGACTTGTTGGAAGCCACAGTGGTGCCATGAAGGAACTTATGAAACCAAGTGTCGGGATACCGAATGTTTCGGATAGTGTTGGTGCTAGTATAGCGAGTGTTGCAATGGGCGCCGGAGACCTTAAAATGCCTGGAGCCATGCCAGTTGGTGTTGGTATGGGTCTACCTGGTGATCATCATCCTGGCATGGTTGTTGGACCTAACAAGACGCATCCTGGAGCTGCTGCGGCAGCGAATGTTAAACAAAAAGGTAAAAGTAGAGGACCTGGAAAAGCTACAGCTACAAATGCTGCCACCAAACGACCTAAAACGAATAACAGGTCGACGAGTAATAAAAAGAAAAATGCTACCAATCAACCACCTCCGATGCCATTTGATTCTGAAGATGAGGACAACGCCAAACCCATGTCTTATGATGAAAAGAGGCAGCTTAGTTTGGATATCAACAAATTACCTGGTGCGTAACTTCTAGAATTTTTAAATTAATATATCTCTGAGATTGAGTTAGGGTGATGCTTTGTTAAAATGATTAATTTTTTATTTTTATTATAATTGGAATTGTTAATTATTCAGGTGACAAGTTGGGAAGAGTAGTACATATTATTCAATCTCGAGAACCTTCTCTAAGAGACTCAAACCCTGACGAAATTGAAATTGACTTCGAAACCCTCAAACCATCCACATTAAGGGAGCTCGAAAGCTACGTTGCCTCGTGTCTGAGGAAAAAAATACGTAAGTTATTGAACAAAAATGTTTTAAGTAATTTAATTGTCAGTTTATACGTTTCATCATTAAATTATGATCTTAGCAATGATTATGAATCAAAATATTCTCGATAATAAATGAATAATAAATAAATACAATCGTTTTTTCTATAGATAAAAAAGTTAGTGGTAAATCTAAGGATGAACAAATGGCAGAGAGAAAGCAAGAATTAGAAAAAAGATTGCAAGATGTAACTGGACAATTGGGCAATGTAAAGAAAACTACTAAAAAAGGTTCGTTACTTGCCAGTTTATTATTTTTAAAGTGTAATTAAATAAAATAATAATCATTATTATTGCAATCAATTACTATTGCTAATTATTTAAAAAATTATGATTGATTAACTGCACAAAAAATTTATTGTCAAAAGTACAATAAAGTTTAATCCAATATTCTCTAAGTATTCTTAATAATTTTAATGGTTGATTAAAATTTCAGAAGACAGCAGTAAATCAGTAGATGTAGTGGGTACCGGAGGAGCTAGCGGACCATCACGATTGTCAGCATCAAGCAGTAGTAGCAGTGACAGTGATTCCAGTAGTAGTTCGCTATCCTCGAGCTCCAGTGATTCGAGCGACAGTGACGCAGGTTAGATATAAACCTCTTGTAACTGTTGCAATTATTCTACCCTAATATTGGGAACAATTAAGCTACTTAACAAAATTTAAGTAGCCCAACATAATAATGTGAACTGACAATTTATTACGCCATTTTAACTAATTTTATGAGGTTATTTGCGATTGTTTGTCAGTCGAATTATCCAATTTTATCATCATCATCATTCTTAGATTCATGTTTTGATATTTTTTTAACAATTAACTAATTAAGCAACTGAATAATTCAGAAGTGTTGATTTTTTTAATGGAATTATCCTTAGATAAATAGATATTTATTAATTAACTAATTTGTTTTATTAATGATAATATTCATGTCTTGACAAACATTAAAAAATACATTTCTCTTCCTAAGTTTTATTAATTACAGTAAATTTTCAATTACGATCTTCCATTTAAAGATTGTACTTTCCATACCGTATTTCTAGTCTTCATTAATAAATAATCATTGTAATTTTAATGTTTGTCAATTAGTAAATAAATTTAAATAAATAAATGAAGATCATTTATCAATCATTCTTCACATTATTTTTAATTTATCGTTTGATTAAATTCAAAATTGAAAGTGTGTAAATAAAATTTTAAAAAATTAAATACAAATGATTGAATAATTCAACATGGGCACAAAAATATCGCAAATATCTTCAATTTCAAAATAAACCCTCTACTGAATATAATTATTTATTAGAAAGGTGTTTTTGGTGGTAAAGTATTTTTACCATGTCGATAAAATCAAGCAAAAATCAAGTGTCAAGAATTTATATTCCATCAAATTTATGTTCCAATACCATTGAACGTATTTGAATGATATAAATTTAATGTTTATAATGTATGTGAATAACGTAAATTAATTTTTACCTAAAAAATCATCTTACTTGACACAAGATTTAGCTCTTGAAACATAATTTAAGTACATATAATTATATACATACATACATACAATTTTTTTTCGTTTATTTTATATAAAAAAAAAGAATATTATTATATCTATAATTAATACAAAAGAAAATTATATGAATAAAGAAAGCAATTACGGGGAGCAGGTGAGCTAGTGGAGTGCAGACTGTGTTTAGAGGATACCATAGTCATACCAGCTTCTTTTACTAATGTACGCGATCCATTATTAAACAATCAAAAATATTCATTGATTCTTTTGCCTTATTCGCCAATATAAAAACCAAATTTTCGCTGCATGAAATGCAAATAAAACGCAAAAAAAAATTCACAGATACTGTTCAAGTTGACCAATTTTTGTGTCGCAATGCTTTATTATTCAAATAATCATCATAATAATAAATAATATCTAATGAAATAATTATTAATAATAACAAACATCGTAAGACAAAAGGTATCGTATAATTTTTATTAGTGAAAAAAAGTCATTTAATAAATATAGATATTTCTTTTGTTTACTCAAGTGTGGTAATAAAAATTGGATTTCTTGAACAATTTTCGCTGCATCGTAAATCAAAAAAAAAAAATTAGTTAGATATAACAAGGACAAATTTTAATAAATAATATTTATGTAAATTCGATTAATTAATTTATTACGTGAATGTGTTTTTAACCAAATTTATTTATATGCCAACGATTGATTAATTTTTTTCGTATTATTTATTTAATCGAAATAATGACTTGAGGTCAAAAAAGGCGGTAGCGAGTGAGAGAGAGAATGAGCAGAGTGACAAATAGACAAACAAAGGATAAAATAATTCAATTGAATTAAAAATATTATAATAATAGAAATATTGTCGAAAGGAATGTTGAAGAATTCGAAGAAGAAAGATTTATTTATCAACATCATTTCATGGATACATGACATTTGATTCCATTATTTTAACTTGGAATTAATTATATCAGACAATCAGCACGACTATATGTGTGCGCAACGATTGAGCCATAGATTTCTTACAATGTCTTATCAAAAATTAGAAAGAAATGAAAAAACTAACATAGTCGTTTTAGAACAAGAATAAAATGCAGACAATGTGTATTGGTGGCTGGAATATTTCAATCGGCGCATTGTAGCATCATCTTCAATTACTTTTCAATAATTTTACCACAATAAAATTAAAAAAAAAAAGTTATAATTACAATAGAACATGTACAGAAACTTTGATTGTCCAATAAACAAATAATTACTCGGTTAAATCCCGTTTTAGCAGCTCCACATTTCTAAAAATCCCGAATTCCAGGGTTAGGCAACTCAAATTCGGATAAATAAAAATACATAAATAAAGGAGCTGTATGAAAATATTAAAAGTGAGTTTCAAATGGTATGTAGTGATGAGTTATTTAATAAATGAGTAAATTATTTTTAGAAAATCTACAAATTGTACAAAAATGGAGGTAATAGGACATTTTAAAAGTGGACAAAGCGATATTGAAGAAGCAAATTGATTTAAATTAAATTCCTATGAGGTAATAATTAAGGCGCACTAGCCTCCAAACACATTGTTTGCACTCCGCTAAGCTTTTTTTCGGTTATTCGATCATGATAAAATAATTTTTTTATATCAGAAACAGTAATAAAGAAAACCATTAACTTCTCATTTAGAAGTTATTGTAATGGGTCCGATTTTTTAAATTATTAACAAAAATTATTTCGACGTTGATTTAAGATGATAGACATGAAAAACAAAAAACGGAAAAAAATTGTTAACTTTTTTCGTCATATTTTTTTTTCATTATAAAATTTTTGTGAATATTGTTAGAATAACAATAATTAATTAGACTGGTATGGTTTTACATGCCTCCAATGTAAGAATATTAGTTTACAGACTATTTTTAGTAATAGTTTATTATAATTATTATTCATTTATTATTATTATTCTTATTATGATTATTTTGTCCAACAATACCACTCGGTGATATATATTATTTAATTGAAATTCATTAATTATGTCTATATTATAATTTTTCTTGCTTAGTTTTTTTCTTCATTTTTCACTGAATGACTAAAGTAAATTATGCTATAATGATTTTTTTAATATAAACTTAACCCGTCCTTTTAATTTAAAAATTATGATGATAAATGACAAACATATATAGTTTTAGATAATTTTTATACAAAAAAAAAAATTTGTCTTTTGTCAATCAATTTAAAATCAATAATCATTTGTTTAATTATACAACTCTATTATTTTCTCTCCTCTCTTTGTCTTCTTTGTTTTTTTAACTTTTTTTAACATTTTTTATACTTGCAATACGTTTTCTTATTGATTATATATGTTTTGCTATGTCAGTGTCATGTACAGTTGATTATTTAACTGAATCGAATCAATCAAGTTCTTGTATGAATGAATATATATTACGTTATGGAGGCAAAAAAACTCACGTAACAGTCTAAAAATGTGCATTAGAAAGAAGCACAAAAAATATTTCTTGACGATTTATGTCTTTTATAAAGAATGAAAAAATCATTAAAGATATATGTGTTGAATAAATATTAATTACTTTAGATGAAAGTGAACAATTAATTATCATGCACATTAATGAATAATTATTATGATGGCTATTATAATAAATATTATTGCTACTCATTGTTAATTACAATTACAATCATTTGTTTAATGAAAGTATGATTTGTTTGATGATCACAATTAGTATAAAATACAACTATTATTAGTATGATTATTAATGTTTTTTTTACCAATAATAATCTTCGTTTGAATTTAAGTACTTAACAATTGATATGAAAATCAAGACACAAAAGCAATGTAATTATAATGATAAACGTATAAATAATTTTTGAATCATTGATATGAGTAATTAATCGTGTTCGTCGATTTTAAAGAGATTAAATCTAAAGAAAATGTCACACCATTCTCGTCAAATATTTCCCAAGGGAATATAAAAAAAAGTAGATTTTGAAAATTAGGAAATTTATATTTAAATTTGATAAATATTAAATAGTATATGTAAAATGATTCATAATATAGATCAAATTATTAGTGTAGCCTGTTATATACATAGAAATCACTAATAATAACTATGTAATATCAATTATTAATTAATTAGTTTATTATTAAGAAATATGTGAATATTTTTTTTATTTAATTTAGGCTAAAATTTATAGGGCATTTAATTATTATACTTCATATTGCCTTCCAATATTATCATACCGAAGATTTCGCTTATTCTTAGCGATTTTATTATACTATATTTCCATTTTCTCTTCTAAGAATCGTAACTTCATTCTTCCTGTTTACACTATCAACATTTTTTAATAAACAATTACTGATTATTTCAACTAACAATATAATGAATTTATCAATTAGTTTGCTAAATACTACCATCAATAGTTTAAGTAACTAGAGTAAATAATCTTTTACCTCTTTTTTTATTTGTCTTTGTATTATAGTGAGCAAAAGAAAAAAAAAATATTCATAAACAGAAATATCACAAAAAATATTCATACTATAAAAATATTCATAAAAATTCCATTTTTGTAACTATCGCGAGTGGTATTGATCGGAATGATGCAAATATGAATTTTGTATATAGTGAAAATGATAAATAATTGAACTGTAATATTTAAGTATTGATCAATAAGCTCGATAAATCATTCTGAACAGAATTAGAATAAATAATTGAATTATTGATAAGTGAAAGAATTATAATAGTATGAAAGAACGAACAATTGACGAATTATGATAAAAAAAAACAAAATAACAATATACAAAAATAATAAAAAGAAATATTATTTTCTTTTTTTTATTCCAAGTGTATGTAAGTTGAAATGCAGAACGAAGAATTTCATAAACCTCGACGTGCAATTAGAGTCAGGTTTTGATTACCATTCGTTAATTCAGCTCGTTATATGATTTATGTAGTTAAGATAAACTAAATATTATCCGTACTCTTGCTCGTTGTTTTCATTAAATTATTAATTATTCAAAGGAAGATATATATGTTTTGCCTAATTAATATATATATATATTGATGAATATATATTGAATATATATTGAAAGAAAAAATTAAGTTAAGAGATTTTTTTAATACAACAATGAGCAAGAATTAATTGATCAACGATCTCAAAGTTGTGCTAACTGATTGTCTGAACAAATGAAAATTAATAAGTGAATATACAATCGAAATTATAAAACAAATTAATTGACGATATTGTGCTTTCAAAACGTGTTATTATCATCCCCAAAAGGATTAAAACAGATATCATAGCACTTATTCAAATTTATTTACTTTTAATTTATTGATATGATTAAATGTAAGCTTGAAAAAAAGCGATTTAAAAAATAAGACAAGAAATGATGATTAATAAATAAATAACAGTTTGAAAAAAACAAAAAAAAAAAATACAACAATAAGTCGTGATTGGAAGTTTTTTTCGTAGTCAATCATTTGTAATAACTGCTACACCATGAATAGAAAAAAAAATCATGTGCATCACTATCAATTAATCGTGATTAATGAATAAAAATGAAATATTTAGAACAGATGAAAGAAACTGCTGCAGAGTTTATAAAAAGGATTAAAGTCCTCAGAATTCATCGTTAAAAAATAAAAAAACAAGTATGGGTGTGAGTGTGTGTAATTATTATTAAATAAATAAATAAATGATAAATGATTTTTAGTGAGTGAATGTAATAATTGTGTACGCGTATACATATTTATATGCACACGCAATTGTTCGCTACACGATTTAAACACTAATGACAATTATGTAGAGTGGGAGTACGAACGAAAAAAAAAAATAAGAAAAAAGTTGTTTTTTGCGCGTAAAATTTTTTAATATAAAAATAAGCATTGATATGAAAGTCCAAAAAAAAAGGAACATACAATTGAGATATTTAAATTAACATTGTTGTACACAGTGATACAATTATAATATAAGTATATGAATAAAATCTATCAGTAAAAATACATTTTTGACGTTATTTAATTTTTCATAAGTTTTAAATTATAATTTATAATATATCCATTAAATTCTAATTATTAATGATTCTTTAAATGCTCAAATAATATTTTAAATATTTGGTATCCTTTAACAAACGTCTGCACTTCACTAGCTCGTTATGTTACAATTCCTGGCTGTTTATTTAAAACTTGCACGTATGTTATTGTTCGACGATTATCACATTGATTTACAGGAAATTCTGCAAATCGACCGCCAAGGAAAAAAACTAAAAAAACAGCTAATGCTGCACCAATACCAGGAAACACCACTGTCCCACCGGTAAAGTTTATCATCTTTATTATAAATATATCATTTTTAGTTTCTTTAGTACTCTTTTTTTTTTGCTTTTGATTCATTAGTGGTCATTTCTAATGATACTTACAATTATCATGATCATTAATATTAATTACATTATTAAAAAAAAAATAATTAATATTAATAGGCACCTACCGTAAATCATACGGGAAACCTTCTTATTAATAATCAACCTCCAAACACAACGGGACCAGTAACGAAGCCAGTTGTAACGCAATCCAATTCAATGCCCATTGAACAAGGTAATACTTCATTATAATCATAACATTTTTCGTATTATTCATTCATCTAAATGATTCAAATGTAATGTATTTAATTAAAAAGTTGTAAACTTTAGGATAATGGTGAGAATACAATGAAATGTTGAATTTTTAATAGGTGGAAACCAGGCAATTGGTGTAGCAGCAGTGACAGCCCCAGGGATTTCTGTGGCAAGTCACACGTCAATGCCAGCACAACCACCTCGACCAAGTTCCCTAGCAACAGCAGCTCCGATGAAGAAAAAAACTCCACCACCTTCAACAACGTCAAACCCGCCTACACCATCATTATCGGTACCAACACCTCCGCCTAGTGTAACTCCTACTAATGCCAATACTTCAGTAGCATCGCCGATAGTCACACAGACGTCACAAGTACCCACGACAGTTGGTAGTTTTCCTTCTGTAAATACTTTAACAGGTACGACGGATGGAACACCTTTGAGCCAACAACCTCAACAACCACAGCAACAGCCGGACCTTATGCAGCCTTACATCTCATTAGGTACTATTCGACAGACGAATCAATAGTTAAATTAATTTATTGGGAAATAAGCCGTTAGACCTCTATAGACTTTTGTTTATCTTTATTTCGTGACAACAGAATCCATGGCAACGAGCCAACCATCAAGTGACGTAAATATCAGCAGCATTAAAAAGGAGTCAACACACGTGTCAATGGTTTCACATATTCATCCGCCAACAACCAATAATGCTAACATTAACATGATGCCAGATATTAAAAACTCTGTTAACATTATGCCCACGAGTATGCCGTCTAATTTAAATTTGAGTAATCTCAACATGGCTAATATCAACATGAACTTACAACAAAGCATTGGCACATCTATGTCCATACAAAATCAATTGGAGAACATGATAAACACATCGTCTCAATTGACTAATATACAAAATTCACACAATATTACAATGGCTCCACAGCATTCCAATGGTTTCTCTAATGTTAAACGAGAAAATTCACCTCCTATGATGAATAATAATGGAATACCAAGTTTAAACATGGGAGCGACTATGGGAGCTATGAGTTCTATCTTTGATCCTCATCCTATACTCTCATCAATGCCAATGACAATTCCTCAACTAATTGTAAAGAAAGAAGAGAAACCAATGATTTCTCAAGCTCAAATGCCTCATAAACCCCCTATGGATGGTGAGTTTTTGTAATCATTTTATATATTATGAATTTTATTTCTGCTTTATTTGTCATTTCTTCTACACTGCTTTCAACTATGTATATATGTTAATGTTTATTAATATTGCTAAATAATATTTCTAAGTGTCGTAACTAACTATCGCTTTACTAATACATTTTTATAATAACATTTCTTTAGCCGGAGCTTTCTTTGCAGAGATGAGTTCATTAGGAATGCCTCCGATAAGCAATCATTCTATTTCACAACCAATGTTATCTGAAAAGAAAATGACACCACCTGATTCCAAAAATTCTGCGGCAAACTTTGCCTCAGCTTTTAAAAATAAGGTAAAAATATATTTTTAAAATCTTTAAAATAATTTTTTTATCAATAAAAAAAATTTATTTCTGTTAAATAACAATGAATTGTTCTATTAAATGTAGACTGTCGAGCAGAATGTAAAAAATGCTTCTTCATGGTCGTCACTTGCTCAAGCTTCAAGCCCCCAATCAGCAGCAGGAAGTAGTATGAAAAGTGCAGCGAGAGATTCTTTCCAGGCGTTCAAAAAGCAAGCCAAAGAAAAGCAGGATAGGGTAACTATATAATAAATTATTCAGTGTTAATATTTGCTGAAGGTTTAGTAACTCACGTAAGTAAATTAAACAATATTTATTATTTGAATAAAATATTAGCAACGTGCATTAATGGAGCAACAAGAAATGCGAAGACAACAGAAAGAACAAGAGAGATTAAGACAAGAAAATGAAAGAAAGAAAGAACGAGAAGAAGAAGATGCATTGGAAAAGATGATGAAAACTGTCAGTGATCAACAGGGCCCAGCAATAACAGCGACGACTCGCGCTGAAGAAATAAGAGTCTCGACGGAAACTGATAGCAGTAGTCCAAGTCATTCATCCAGTCAAGATAGAGCTGCTGCTGAACGTGAACGTCAGAGGCAACGTGAACAAGAACGTCGGCGTCGAGAAGCGGTAAGTTTTTTTATTAATATATTAATTGAATATTTTTTATATAAAATAATTAAAATATTTTGACTCAAGCTAATTTTCAAAAAATATTTCTATGAAAAAGCTTCAAATAATTTGTATATGCTTTTAGTGAAATAGATTTTGTTACTTGAGCCAAAATAGAATATTGCAAAAATTTTTATGAAAAGTATTATTATAAGAAAAAGCGATAAAAAATGTAGTTTTTAGATAAACTATAGTTTTATCATAAGGGGGACTGGAAAAGAATAGGTTTATTTGTTATTTCAGATGGCAAACAAGATTGACATGAACTTGCAGAGTGATTTGATGGCTGCGTTTGAAGAAACGTTATAATGAAACAAATTGCTCGTAAATATCCAATGAAACCGGGCGGGACTTGGATAATATTATCCGGATTTTGCCGCTGGACGATATTAATTGCTGAATTTTGTTAATATATTGATGATAATAATAGTAATAATAACAAAAATAATGAGGAAGATGAAGAATAATAACAATAATTATTATAATAACAATAATTATAGGAATAGAAGTAGTTCAAATAGAAATAATATAAATAATAATTATAATTGATTAAATAATAAATTAAAGATAAATTTGATTTAAAAAATAATGTCGTGAATAGTCAAATTAAATAACCTTCTAATATTGAAGGTATCACGAACGTTATTGTTACGTTATATTCATAACAATGGAATTTATTCCTTCAACTACTAGCAAGTTTTTTATGAGGTAGTTGAATCATTTTTCTTCGGCACAAGAGGCCATTTTTCAACGAGTTCAGATGCTATTGTGTCGCCTGACGGACACCTAAGTGTGACCATGTGTAATTATAAAATTGAAATACTTATTATTGACTTTAAAGTAAAAAAAACAAAAAGCAAATCAAAGGAAACTTTGATAAAATGCTCCTCTAAATGTTTGTGTTACGTTTTCCGGTTTTCATAAGTTTGTACTTTATGTAAATTTGGAGAAAAATTATGAGAAAATAAGTAAAAAACACAATGTTTGAAACATATAATGATTAATGATTAATAAAAACAAATAATGAGTGATACTTGTGTGCAGTGAAATAAATAAATGTGTGATTTGATTGATTGATTGAATGAATAGTAAGATATGACGAGAGGAAAATAATATGAAAGTTATGTATATTTAGTTAAGTTTTATATTTTTCCACATCCAGTCATTAATCATTGGTAGAAACATATATATTATTATGCAAATCCAATTTTTGCCAATTAACTGTATATCGAAATAACTATTATTACTCATCATTATTTTCAGATTTTATTTTCGATTATGAATCTACTGTAATTGTAAACACGTCAAATAGGTAGCCTTGTTAATTAAGAGTCATTAATAAATAACATACAAGATTTTACCTAAAACGAATAATACAACGTGGTGGTGTTCATGAATACGAAAAAAATACTGGAGTTTTTACGTAACTCTATCAAACGGATTAGGAAAAAAAAAAAAATAGAAATAAAGATAAATAATTTAGTAAATGGAATAAATTAATAATTAATTCAACAGTATGAAGATGTTGAAAGCAAAAAGGATTTGAAATCGTGAAAATTAGTTCGACTAAGACATTATAATATATTACTCGCTTTAAAATAAAGCTGTCAATTATTACAAGACGGTAAGACGTGAATTAAGGCTCGATTGCTTATCGTAAAAATCAAGATAAAAACACACACATACACTTGATATGAATAAATGTATCATGGTAGGGTTAATGAAATATAAGCCCAGATGAAGATAACTTTACTAATTTATTATAGAGTTAGAAAATGAAAGAAGAAGAAATATTTCGATAGATCTTGTATATATATACATATGATAAATTCATGAAAAAATAATCGAAGAAGCTTCATTGCTCGCGTCTGGCATCATCCACAAATAAAAAAAATAAACAAAAAGTTATTATCACTTGTATATTAAATTAATTAATGTTGAAAATCAGACTAGAATGTAATCAATATCATTATTTTTAATATACTAAGTTTTTTTTATTAATAAACAAAGTACAAAAAACTATTATTTGATACGATAAATAACGAAATAGTAATGTTTTTTCAAAAAATTTACATAATTAATGATGTTAATTGAGTTGATCAAAAATAATTGTATATTTCATTTAAACTTTCTTAGTTTAATGGCTTACGTTTGATTTATAATCGATAAAAATTAAAATTGATTTGTGAACTGTGAATTATTAAATGATTTTATAAAAAAAAATATAAATATATATTTTTTCTATCGCATTTTTTTCTTAGAAATCATCACATATAAATCTTTTTTTCTTTTTAAAAATTATCTCTTAATAAGTTACACAATGTTATTACTTTTTTTTTTTTCAATCAAAAAAAAATTTAACAAAACTAGTATTTTATATAAGCTACTTATTATTATTACTCATTACTACCCTATTTATGATCCATTTGATTATTTTATTATTCACCATGAATAGATGAATCTTATTCTCCTTATTTTTATCCTGTAATCAATTACTTTTGTTAATTAATTATTTAGATTGTAGATTAATTAGAATATTATAAATATTAAAAATTTAATAAGTAAAATTTATTTGATATTTCTTGTAGGCGCGACATTGCTATGCTTCTATCGACAACATTTTTTAAATAAATCCATTATTTATTAATGAAAAAATTTAGTAAAAAAAAATACAATCCTCGTAATTAAGAATTGACATTGTGCATGTGTTTAAATGTTTGTTAGTTTCTAAATTCATTATATAGTAGGCCGTGTCGTAAGTAAAAATTACATAAACAATTAAAATTAAAAAGAGATAAAATTATGTAGGTAATGTAAAAACACATTATAATTTAATTTTAAAAAAAAAATTTGTAAATGTGGAAAAATATATTTGAGAGACGGCCACGAGTTCGTATTAATTGAAATTTCATGAAAAGTTAATCAGCGATTTGTTTACGATAATTATTAATTTAATTATTGAATATTATTTAAAAAAATATAATATCCTGTATTATTTTTGAATGCAATGTTCTGATAAAAAAAAATACAAATGATATAAAGAAAATATCAGAACAAAACTCAGGTGATCGTCTTCGTTTGTTGAAGCGATTGGTTTTAAAAAATATTATCGTACTGAATGATTTTTTAAAATTGTTTGTTCAGTTATAATAATAATAATAATTAAAAACCAATTAAGATCTGGCTTCCAATAAATTTAGTGTATAAAACGAAAGTATGTTCCGTTTTTTCCATTAAATGACATTATATTTAAATATTGTTATTGATTATGAATTAAAGAAATACTTGATTAATTATTAATCGTTGATATCCTTTAGGTGTTAACCATTTTATTTCATTCGAGTGTTTAAATAGACGATATAAGTTGCAATGAATTTAAATAATATTAATTGAGTGAAATTAAAAATAAAATGAAAAAATAATAAAACCAATAATTGATGATAAAAATAAAATAATGGTGTATTGCCCGACGTGAGTGACAGCTAATAATGTTTTCTATCCTGCCACTCATCTCAATACAATATAATTAAGGATAAACTTAATAATAAACAGTAAAAAAAAAAAAATATGCAGTTTAGTTTTAAGAAGAAATATGTGTGATAGGTATTATAGTTGTATAATACGACGTTTATAAATGTAAATAATGGACGAAAGTTATTGGCAGCAATTTATTGGAATGCAGATATATCTTATGTATAAAAAAAAAAAAATTAAAAATAAAATAATAAAGTATGATTATTCACCTTTTAAAGGGTAAGCTTTGTAATATCTTTGAAATCACAAGCAAAAAACAAATAAAAAGGACGTCGATAGACAAATTAAATTATATAACATACTAGATCTCAGATTAAGATTAGCATTATGAAAATATAATGATAAACACCAAAATCACTCCGTTGTATCAAAACTAATTTTTATATAAGTACCCACAGGCGCACATAAACTCCTATGGCACATTAATTTTAGAATGAAAAAAAAAAAAACCCGATTAAATGATAAACTAATAAACTTACTATTAATGCTAGAATACTAAAATGGTTGTAAATAAATAAGAATAATATAAAATAAATAGTTAAAAATGAGATGATGCTTTATGTTGTTAAGTTAAAAGCAGTAATATTAATTAAATAATATTTTTAGAAGTCTCTCAATATCCATAAAAATATTTGCAAGATGTTTGTTTGTTGTTATTTAATGTTTTTAAGATCTACCTATGCATTTATTTGAATAAAAAACTTTTTAAACAATCAAATAATATTTATTGATTTTTTTTCTTCATGTTTGAATTTTATCTTTTATTTAACAACATGAAGCATATAAGCTTACATACGTAATAAATATTTCTAGAAATTTGGCAAATTATTTATACCATCTTTTGATGGTAAAAAAAAAATAGTTACGTAGATTGAAAGTGTCAAGAATTTAGAATTAGTTTAATAACAATGAGTAAAAAATTTATTACGTTTTTTCTTAGAGTTGGCTATTTTCTCCAATTTGCATGCAAACTTTTATCAAATGTAATATATTTGTATGCAATGAAAATAAAAAAAAAAATACGAAAAAAAATGAAAAACAAAATACATTAGAGGAGTGCGCTACTAATCTATGCATATATCCTTTATATGCTTATTAATTTGAGGTTTCATATTAATTATTAATTAATAACCAATTAAAAATATATTTATCGTGTACATTCATTAAAACCTTACCTATAAACACTTTTATTTAACAAGAAATAAATTAATAAATTTTTTAAATACCAACAGTACGTTTTATTTTACACAAACACAATAAAATAAAATAAGGATTTACTAATATTATTTATTAAATAATTAGCATGTAATAATTGAATTCGGATTCTTTATTGTTTCTGTTCTGTTTATATTATCATCGTCAATTGTTTGATAGTTAAAGTTTTTATTTAATTAAAAGGTGTCTGCATAACTATTTTTTGTGATGAAATTCAAACGACATTTATATATATATATTTAAATTTTTCATTTATGATCTAATTTTCAACCGTACTTATAGGCCTTTTTAAGCAGAACACTTTCTTTGGATTAACACGGCATACATATACACATATATATTTATATATTGTTTTTAAATTTAATATTAATCAATAATGTTAATCATAATCATAACTATATAATAAATATCATAAATTTTATAATGTAACTGTTGCTGTACAGCAAACAATTCAACTAGCAAGCTGATTCACACAGATAAAATGTTAACTAATAATCGATAATAATTATTTGAAATGCAACCATAACAAGATACTTTTTTTCTCTATATAGAAAGTTTTTCAGAATTATTACTTTTTAGTTTACATAATTGCTCTAAGATGTGATGAGTGCATTTTTGGAATGATCATGTATCTTATAAATTAATTAAAAATTTTCTACGTTTAGTATTTTTGCAACTAATTCTTTCTAAAGATTTACAAATTCTCGAATTATTAAGAGTACTGGCAAGTAAATATTACTTTCAAAAATTTTATTTGACAATTGTTTACTCTATATGTCATTAAATATTATGTTTGATGTCAATTTTTATGAGCTGAATTATATCGATATTTTTCATTAACAAAAATTTCAGGTGCAAAAATCAAAAATGAATGAGTCAATCGTGATAAAAGTTATAATACTTAGTTAAAAATTAAATTAATACTGCACTTGCACTCATCATAGTATCCCTCCTTCATTAGTTCATTAATTAAATTTATAGATTTATCCTTCGGACTATTGCCGTCATAATTATTGATCTACAGCTCTCTATTTCACGTATCATACCGTACAATTTGATGAAATTTTTGCTAGAATCAGAGCTCCAAAATATAAATAACAATTTCATTTATACATCTATCACATTCGCCACTACGATAGAATTCAAACCAATAGAGATTTAATAAACACGAATGAAAACAGGATATATATCTTTTTTGTATTGCTTATAATCGACTTGAATTAATTGCTTCAAATTAACATCAAGTTGTATCAGGAATTTCAATCAAATCTCTAAAAGTTCATTCTCACAGGCACTTAATATAAGCTGACAGTGTATCATAACTGCGAGTATTAATTCATTGATTTTAATGATGTATGATGAAATATTTTATTATGATGCTGCATTTATTATTTGCTTCAAGTTTAAATTTAATTGATATCGCTGATACTCATGAATGTTAATAAAGCAAAGAATCTCTAATTACATACAATTGTAAAGTCGTAAATTATTAATTCAGTCAAGTTTTTAGATGTGAACTTTACTTAAATCCGACAAGAAGGATTTAGGGGTTATAACATGTGAAGAACCTAAAAAAGAATCAAGAATAATAATTTAACTAGAATTTATCATTATCATACATAATTGAATTGAAATACTTACCAATTATAACTTCCCAATTTTTCAATGCATTCGTTACTTCATATGCACAGCGAATTTCTGAGAAGCAAACTCCACCAACGATAAAAACAATCAAGCGAGGAACATTTTTAATCGTTTGTTGGCCTTTGTCTTTGTGCCAATGCCCGTAACGTACACTAGAAACATTAATATTGAACAATAAATTTAATTTATAATACATTAAAAATCATAAAAGAGTTATAAATATTTATTACCTAGTTGGTGCATGGTAACCAGAACTAGCAGCTCGACTTGCTAAAAATTGGAAATGTTTTGGATCTAATTTGTCGTCAATAGCATCTTCCATAATATCTTTAACCACTGGAGTCCAACGACTCATTTGATATGTCTGTTCGGTAATCCTTTCTTTTCGGGGAACTGTATAAGGTTTCTTGCCTTTACCCTAATTAACCATTTCAATTTAATCAATTATTAGTCCCTGACGAATTAAGTTAATCATGTTACTGTTAATTAAGATACATACATCAACGTTAATGCCTAAGAGAGCCATGTTCATGATAGTTTGCTTATCATCAGGGGACACTTGAGCATGATGTATAAGCCGATTAAGATTTTCTTCACTGATTCCATTCTTACTAAGAACATATAGCGCAATAATACGTAATTTATCAATGTTAGCAACGGTTTGATCCAACAACACTGGAGTAATATTACGCATTTGGTCCTTAATACGTTCTCCTTCAGCATCAGTACCCATAGCCAAGTCCTAAATAATCATTACGATAAAGTTAAGCAATAAAATAACAGTGAATCATGTTTAAAATGGAGTTTTAAGTAATAATTCATGTATTTAAAATTACCTGTTCGACTTTACAGAGTTTATCGACATTGCCTTGATAACGTTTCATACAGTCTTCAGCCAAGTGCAAATGAGTCGCATATTTACTAAGCTCTTTCTGATACTGAGGCATTTTCTTTATCATCTGCGATAAATCCCTCATGCTTTGTTTATCGCCTTGCGGCATTCTCTTTGATTCCGTAAATTTTTTAAGGTTTTTTGTAACATTTCTAAATAAAGTCAATGAAAAAATCATTAATAACAATGTCAATATATTTAATCATTTATAAAAAATAATTAATACTTACTGAGAGACAACGGCAATATGTTGATGCCTTAATTCAACCCACAGTTCATCATTTTCATCTAGCAATACTTCTTTTTCAGCTTGACCTGCTGACGCTTCATAACTGTTGACAATAAAACGTAATTAATCTTTTCATACAAGTTTAACTTTGAAAGCATGCTTTGAATAATTGTGCACACCTATAAACATCATTCTCGATATCAAGTAAATCATAAGCCATAGCTTGCAGCGTAAGTTCATGAAGTAAAGGTGAAACACAATCAAATCCGCGATCAAGAATCAGCAATTGTGAGCGAGATTTCTCGGGTCCTTCTCCCATTGTTGGCTCATCTGCCTTGTAGGCATCTAGCTTTTGTTGAACCATTTGTGCTAGCTCAACATTGCGATCGAAGTCACTAAACAATTGTAATATGCATGATCAGTATAACTCGATAATTATAAAGTCAGTTATTGATTTTGCATCATAGATGGATATTGAAAAGTAAATACCACCAAGAAATATGAGAATGGAATAGTATAATTCATAGTAATTAATTAATGAGAATTTAATTGAATACCTTCTATATCTGACAGATGGATATTCTCCAAGAGTGGCACAAAGCGTTGCTATTTGCTCAGCACTTCTTTCCATATTAGCACTCCGAACATTGATGAATGAAGGATTGTAGAAACATTGGAAGGTTTCACGTGAATCCAATGAGAACACCTATTATTTTATCATGCATTAGCTCATTAAATAATTCAATTTGATAATGTTTTATACATTTTACATTACAGACACGCAAATCAACTACAAACTTGAAGCTTTTAATAATAATTACATTAAAAAAAAAATAAAAGGAAAAGTGAAAAAGCACATTATCAGCTTCTAAAGCTTAAAAATATCTATGAAAAATATTTAATGGTCTGTATTTAGCCATTATTTATTGATTATTGTTAAAAGCATTAAGATAGAAATTAAAATGAAAAGGAAAATAAAATAGTCGTTGGCGATGCTAATTGAATTTTTAAAATTTTTTAAAAGCATAGCAGTAAAAATGTAATCAACTTTTTTAATCATTCATTTTGATATAGAAAATGTACTATTATTATTTAAATATACATTTTTTTTATCACTACTATGATTTCTTTAGCTTTTTCATCACCTGCGACTCATATGGAAGAAATGCTATGTTGATCTCTTTGAGAGTTTTAATCTTTCTAGCGGCGAGTGACTTGCAGAGTTCATTGAAGAGCTCCTCCGGGCAAACTGGATCACAAGTGCAAGCATGAATGCAAGTTGAGATTGTTAGTTTGTGCTTTAGTGAATATATTTATGCTTGTTTATGATTGAATGAAAGTTTAAATATAAAACATTAAAATGAGGGGATGAAACGATAATAAAATGTATGAAAGAGGAAATGGTGCACAACATTATGTTTCTTTTGACAAATGGTCAGAATAACATATTGCACACTCAGTGGCAATTTTATACACCAAAAAGACGAATAAAAAGGAGTTAAAGATTGCATTGAAGTTTACATATATTCGCAGTTTATACATTTTTGAGATTTCACTTAATTTTACCTGCTCTTCATATGGTATAAATGCAATGTTGATTTCTTTCAGAGTCTTTATATATTTTACCACTGGAGATTTACGTAACATTGAAAAAATGTCATCAGGACACGCTGTGAAAAAAAATAAACTAAAAATTGGTTGAAGATGAGAAAAAAAAAATTAAATAGAAGAATAACTTAATCCATTGTAAGTAAAGGGGAAATAATGAGTATTAATGTTGTTAATAATTAAATCATCCTGGATTTACTAAAAGAAAAATGTTAGATAAGTTGTTAGCTGTTAAATGAATAAATAGTGGATTAATGTTAATTTGTTCAGTATCACATGGTTCTGCCAAGAGAGTATTAATTATACTTATTACTGTGATAAATCTTGTTGTTATTATTAAGTTGAATCAAGATAAATAAACAACAAATATACCTTCAGTGAAGTAAACGTGGGCATTTTTGTAGGTAGTTCTCGTAGGATTATTAAAATCGTCGATGAGTTTTTGCACAGAGCCATTGCACGGAGTGATAAGGTAAATCGCCTCCATCGATGGTAATGGTTCTCGTTTTTTGTTAATATCCTCTACCAACGTTATACCCTGTGCACTTATATCATGCATTTTACAGCACGCTGATACCATCCTCATTGCCAATTGATCTACTACAAGGATTCTCCATTCTACTCCACGATCAGACTTCTTTTTCTGCTTGATGACTTCATTCATAATCTCTGAAGCAAAATAAAATATACATTTTTAGTTTATTAAAAATATTATAAAATTATTCAACTTTAGAAATAGGTCAAAATAATGATGAAGCTATTAATCAACTTAGAATTCAATGTGGTTGGAAAAAAAATACTTGAACTTTTTTTTTACTGTTGGAATTATAGAGTGAATACAAAAATCAATAAGAATATATTCTATATTATGAGGGAAAATGATAACTGATATTACAGCAAGTTTTCTCGTTATAAGTATCATTAGTATCAATTATTTATGCAAGAACTAAATCGGAGATTAGTTCAATCTTTTGTAATAGAAGGATTGCATGCATTTATTTCAATTCATGGGGTAATTACATGAGATAATTGAAAATAAAAAAAAATCTGTAGGTAGAAAATTTGGGTGGCAATAAAATAGACATGAAAAATTTATGTGAGAGATTTTGATAATAAAAAGTGTATAAGTATCAAGAAATGCTCATAATTCAAAAATAAGACATAATCGTTGGAAAAACGATAATTTAACATGTAAATCACGCTAAGCAGTCTAATCTTAAATCTTAGGAATCCTTCATGTATTGATCGGCCTTTCAAGTCAGTGACGTCACCTCCCACAGTCACGTATGCTTATAAACAAGCACCCTTATGGGGAAAAAAACCGATCAATTCATTATCTTTTATATTATAGAAATATTAACATTGATTTTTGGGTGTGGAAAACTTTGATAAATAAACAACTTCAAAGAGTTCTGTTGTTATGATTATTAGCATACTGAGTCTTATTATTGGCACTGAATGTGAGGGTCAAGAAAACGTCAACCCCACGTGTAGAATCCAAAAATAGAATTGCAATGTCTGAGCAAAAGCGAACAACTTATTATTTATAATATATTTTGTTTCAACACATAGATGTTTAATGATAAATAAATATTATGATTCAACATGTAATAAATCTTTGTCAGATCTCTTTTAAAAATTGTTCGACTTGAGATTTTTCGAAGACAAAAAGAACAATTCATTGTTGAAATTTTGTTACATTCAAAGGACAGAAATAATATAAGAACTGATTGACAATAGACATGAGAAATCTGAAAATTGTAGTGTTGCAATAAGAGTTTGACATTTATGACTGTACTGAGACGTGCGATGAAGTCATCTTCATGAAAAGTACGCCTATAAAATGAATCGATAAAGTTACAAAGAAAGCTTAATGTTAGCTAATTAAATAATCGAAGGATAGAGCAATTCTTAAGGAAATAATTAAAACATAAATTAAAAAAAAATACAATGTAAATAAGCATGAAATTTAATTATTTTTTTGGTACTTACTTTGACCGACTTGTGCTTTGAGCGCCATTTTGACCAAACTGACACTGTTAAAGTAGTCGGTAGGTGGCGTGAAAAACTTCGAGCCATAAAGGACGCCTTCTATTTTTCACTTATTTATTTTCTTATTATTTATTGAATTTTTTTTGCGAAAAGGTGAAGGATAATGACGAGAAACACTGAAATAACTTTGTTTATAACTTTTTTATACTTTAAATATATAAAACAGGTAAATCTCAAATAAAAATTCTCTCTTTTTCATAAATTGATTAATTAGTCATGCTCCAGTAGAAATGGTATATAAATTTATTTGCAAAATCAATTTAATGAATCGTTGATTGTTCATTTGAATGTACTTTTTGAGACTAAATGGCTATCAACCTGAAAACAAGATTAACTAAGAGAAAAATCAATTATGGTTAGCGAAATGGATAATTTTCTTGTTATGAAGCTTCAATCATGAACTTTTAAAAAGTTTAGCAATAATGTTTAGTTGTAACTTTAAACATACTCTATTTAATAATTTATTTAATACAATATCCATTAAAAACATATAAAAATCATAAAAGCTTTTTATAACTAATAAAAACTCATTTATTGTTGTTGCTTGTAATTTCATAAAGTACTTAAAATAATGAAAATTCTTTTTCATATTCTTCTATTTTATTAGAAAATTATATTGGATATTAATTGAATAGAAAAATGGATAATAACAATAAATAAATTCAATGGAAAATTAATAAAATAAAAATATTCAAATGCTGAAACTACTTTATCGACCGAGCATGAAATTTTTTGACCTGCGTAATAGCAAAAATGCGCACGCAATTGTTTCTAGAGTTGTCAGTCGCGCGCATCGCATTGTATTACGCGTGTTTTGACTGATGGCGTTGTTCTCGTCAGTTTTCGGAGTGTTCCGTACGTAACCGTGAGCAACAAGAGTGTGAGTGTGTATGGAGTCAAAGCATTCACCGACTCGGCCTCGCCTCGCTATGCTTTGACCGTTGTTGCCGGCACTTTCAGTTTGAATCGAAGAGTTGACGGGAGTGTTTCGTGGCTTGATATCTCGTGTCAGTCGCGTGTGGTATATAGACCTGACGATCGTGTATGGAATCTGACACTCGCTTGTTTACATTTGAATCACATACTCCGTTCAAGTTGGTCAAGGGTCAAGGACCTACATAATACAAGAGTGATTATTATAAAAATTGTAAAAGTCATAAAATCAAATTATTCCATAGTTTAGTTTGAATTAATTGTTTAAGAGAATTAATATGATAATGTCATGAGTGATGATATGAAAATTTTTTGTAAACGTTAGTGATTAAAACGTGTCAATTCAACTTCTTGTGATGACCTGATGAGTGTTTGATGAGTGAATCGTTGTAACTGGAGATAGAATTGTTTAATAAAAGGGTGTTCATCGGTGAATCGGAGCATCATGAAGGTGGAGTACCCTTGTCGTGTTGAGGGCTGGCTCAATGTCTGTGGTAAGTCAATCTACATTTGTCTTATATGTTAATTTTTTATAAGTGATGACAGCCTAGTCTATAGTGTCCCATTTAAACTTCAATCATATTTATAATTAACTGATTACAACTCTGAAATACTCGGTTAAATTTTTCAATACAAAATCACACGGTTCATTTAATATACATTAATTTTTCAATTATTTCTCATAGCTTTTTATACTCTACTCCTTCGTTAGACCTTATTGAATCATTATGAAATATGTGACAGGGTGATTATAAAAGTAAAAGTAAGAGAAAACTATGCCTCGTAGTTTGTTTTCCGTTAATTAATTCACAATAATTAATTTTATTCATCAATAATCTAATCATAAGAAATTAACTTATATCTTTGATATATAAATCATGCAATATGCATTGAAAAATCAAGCAAAATACTTGATAAGCTCCAAATCATGAATCAATGCTATTGTTACTAATTGAAAAATATTTCACAAGTTTCAATTGTGACCATTTGCTTTGTTAAACAGATATGATGATTTATTAAACAATTTTCTAATATTTTTGACAGAGTTCATCACAACAATTTGATAAATCTTGAAATTAAGAAAAGCCAGCATGATTTCTGCAATTTAAATCTCTCTCTGCTCTTCAGTGAGAAAATTAATTCTATAGCCTCACCTAACTAAGCTATATTATTAATTTTAATCTTCATTTATTCCTGCCATAAGATTATAATTTAATCAAATTTTTTACATAAATTAAAACAATAATGTGGTGTAATCCAAGGTTAAACAAAGGCAGCAATTCAATGCCTGATATAAATAATCCTTTCATTACCTTTTAGTCATTAATTCAAAATTCATTTCATGGTTAAGCTACAGTTGATGTTTAAAATATATCTCCATTGTCATTTATGTAGCAATATAGTGCAATATTTTAATAGTTATTCCGGTTTAACGAGAATTAGTTGAATAGATGTAATAAAAATAAACAATTTATGGCGTCTGTTCCCATGTAACAAATAAATACTTAGATTTCTTAATTTATAATCAACTTGAGGAGTCTATGGTTCAACAGTAAATGTTTAAATTCAAGATTTATCAAGCACAATAAAAGTCAGCATTAGCAATAGTTTATTAAATTAATTTATAAATAAACTTACCTCATAATAAATTGGTATTTTGTTCTAGTTGTTAATAATGATTGTAGATCAGATAAAACTTACGTGTAGTTTTAAAAAATTAAAAGCAGCAATTAATCTATAGAAAATAGCGGTAAATTGTCCATATGATACTTCTTAATTAGTTGAATTGTTTGTTATATATGGAAAGTAAATTTAGCCATCAGATATAAATCATTAGAGTTCACCCATAGAAATTCACACTGGATGCAGAATAATTGCAATTCATGAGCATAATAACCGTGTATTGCATCAATATGTTTTGATGAAATCCAAGCTACATTTATAAGCATTGTGTATATCATGAATATAATAATATAATCCGAGTTCAAGTCGACCATAAACCTATGATTTCCTGTCTATATATTGCAATATCACATTCTGATTGTAATTTTATTGATTTGTATGGAATTTAATGAAGTCTATATTTACAAACATAAAATTATAACTGACGACAGGTCTCTTTTTGAATTCACTGAATACGTAGTCATATATTACGTATAACTAGGTGATTCTTTACTCTCCCTTTCACATTCAGCTTTTTAGTTGGTTAATATTCAATAGGTTGACTCAGTAAATATACTCATATTATTTACTGAGGTCTATTCTGTATCCCACCTGTGTTACACTATTCATATAAAGTTTGCCATCGAAAAAAGTTGTGTTATTATGTGTATAATAACTTGATATGACGTAAATCTAGCTGCACTAGAAATTTATACAATTTGAATTTTGCTAAGCTGCTCGTGCTTACACGTGACATGGGAACGAGTGGTGTAACGGCACACGAAATGTCTATCGTGAATTCTGCTATACAATTCCTATCTTTTCAACATGCCGGATGATAAAATGATGAATAAATCATGAGATTTAGTAAATAAGTACTGAGACTCGGGAGATATAAAAAATTTTTTTTGAAAAATGGCTCCGGAATCCAGATGATGATAACTCAATTGGAAACTTTCCAAAGTTGATAGCTCAAATTCTATTATCTCAATATACTCTTATTAGATTAAGTTTTGAAATTCATGTGCCTTCATTTATCAGTTTAATATAAAGAACCCTGTTATTGATTCCATTCCCTAATTCGCTATCATTGTTGCGAATCATAAAATTAGGAGTTGGAATCTTTATCTTGATAATACTGTTGATTGGATTTTTATCATGGATATTTATTTAATACTTTTTTCTAAATTAAACCTTAACAAAGCAAGTTAATCACTTTCTATAAATCCTTTTATTTGTGGTCTTTTAATTTGTTGACTCTGAACTTCAACTGTTTGTTTTTTATTGGATTAATGATTGGAAATTCCATCTTTACATGAAACTAAAAATTGTAAAAATATTCCATTCAGATTTAACAATGTCGATTGGTGCATTGATGAAATATTGATTCAGTGACATATAACATTGAAGCCATTTATTTTGAGAGGTTCTTTCATAATCCACTAAATCAGATATAGAATCGCTCCAAATTTATATGCATAGTTCTGAAAGAAAATTATATCAACAAAATTGAAATTTTCTGCTCCAATACATTGAAATAAACTTTCTATTTAGAACTTGAACATTTCAACATCAAAGTCTATTTTATCCTCAATTTTTCAAATCTATTGATTTAGAAAGATATTTTTAATATCAATAGCACCAGTTTCAAGATTTGTTGACATTTATTCAACATTCTTTTAAATTACTTTTTCATCGTATCATCATTAATTTGACTAGAGTATATCAATAAAATTTTTTCTAATGCTCTAATTGATGGTATTCTTAAACCATACTTTAACCACAATTAAAAAAAAATATTTCAACTTTCAAAAGATTCAAAAAAATATCTTCCTGAAAACAAACTGTCTGCAATGTGAATCGTGAACATCTATATCGTTAGAGTTCTTTTATAGAAGACTTCTATCTTTTGAACAAACTGAATGATAAAATGTTGAATAAATCATGAGTTTTAATACAGATATAACTAGCATGAAGAAAAGAAAATTTAGCTCTCGATTTCTGGTATAAAGCTTCAATTGTGCTTTTGATCCTTACCAAAATGTTATCCTATTAACGTAAGCGGCTGTGGGGTAGTCAGGATATCCTTTAAATTCCAAACTCTCCTCTTCCATTTCTCTATGTATGCTGCTATCACAAAGTATAGTCCATAAGTCATCAAAAGTTGTACAGAGCAATATAAGAAGTTTTAGAAGACAAGTCGGTTGTCTTTCTTCTACTACCCTAAATACTCTGACTCGATGGCGATATTTTTATATTTAAACTCTGGTATATGCTCTGTACGTTCCACTTGCTTTTATACTTGTCTACTTCTGTACTGCATTCAGAGTTCAAGCACGTATTTTCGTGACCCTTTATAATCCTTTATACTTT